CCCCAGCGCCCCGCCTTCGGCGCACCCACAGTCAACGCGCAGCAGATGCAACAAATGCACATGGGCCACGCCATCCCGTCGGGCTATGCAAACGGCGACGCAGCTCACAAGACAGAGGTATCATCGTCCGTTGAAGACCTAGTCTCCGGCGCCGCCACCGAAGCCGCAGCAGCCAAGACGGCCGAGTCGACCGAAAAACCAGCAAAGAAGGACAAGTCCAAGCCGATGCGGATGATATACTCCGACGAGACAATCAGCCCGGAGGAAAAGATGGCACGCCTGCCCCGATATTCCTTCGTTCCCAACCGCAAGAATACCGTCCTTGGGGAGCCCCCGGCCGCCGTGGTCACGGGCCCGATCCGCGATTCGGACACGGTGATCGACCCGGCCCATTGACATCTTTCGTTTCGATTACAAAGGCCCTGCGAGCGCAACAGTACCCTTGCGTGTGTCTGTGTGTGACGATAGTCGAGGAAAGACGGACAACGGAACTCCAGCTAAGTTCGACGCATATCTATCAACTTCTAGCTAGAATGCTCATGCGTGGGTTGTTCTGTTACCTGCCCTGATGATTCCAATCAGTAGTTTTTTGTCTTGGCGATCCATTCCTCCTCCATGATATCTGTCGTGCAAACAGACAGGCAGGCAGATGTCCTCTCTCTGCAGCAGGCGAAAGAGGATGATGATGATAGTTCTGGTGAGTCCAGTGGACTTGGCGTTAATCGGGGTTGATCCCAGTATCAGTAGGTGCTCTACTACTCTACTTGACCTTCCTGCTCTTGTTCCTTTGTTTTACCTCCGTGCTGCCGAGACCCGTTGTGATAGATGCTGTCTACCAGTGGCATCTATCTATCTATTCTGTGTAAGTTCTAGAAACGTTCTCCTGTGGGAGGGAATCCATTTGCTTTAATTATGCGTATCTACATTCGTACTCTGTAGTTGTCTTGCTTGTAGTAAATAAGATCAGATCAAAAGGAATTGCACATCCTTACTTTCACATGAATATACGTCCAAGACTACCATTTTTGCCATTATCTCCCCCAATCCCGCTTCTCAGTACAGAACCCCGAGCGCTGCGCGCACTGGAGGAAGCATGAACTAAATCAGGATACAATGGCACACATCCATCGCGGAGTGACCCATAGTTACATGTATAGAAGACCATGTACGGCCATCTCAACCCCACATTTAAGCAGAAGCAGCCCTCTTCTCCCTAAACGCCAACCCAAAGATCACGAGCCCATAGGTAGCCAGCACGCTCAATCCCATGGGGACAGGCTTACCCCTCGTCTTGATAGCGCGCGGGATGGAGCTCCCGCCAAGCACAGCGGAGGCCAGCAGACCGAGTTCCTCGCCGTAGGACTGGCCGGAGCGCAGGCGTGCAAAGCTGAGCATGTACAGCGCGCCTACAGAGAGACCAGCGACGATTGAGGGGATGGAGCCCGTCTTGGCGTACCCGATTGCTCCGCCCAGGGAGGTGAGCAGCGAGAGGGCGAGGGCGGAGTTTGTGGGGAGGGAGTTGGTGCTCTATTTTTTTTTGGTTGTTGTTAGTTTGGATATACTTGGAGAGCGTGTTGAAGGGGGATAGAGTGGTGTGTGTCATACCATTTTGGTGGTTGTTTGGGGGTTGTGGAGGTGCTGATGCTGAGTTTCTGGGGTGAGTTGGGGATGAGCTGGTTGAAGAGGCCGAGGTTATTAGTCAGGATTGGTAGTATAACTACAACAGCAACGCTATCTTATAGTAGTACTGCGGAAAAAGAATGCATAGACCTCAATAACTACTTATTTTAAACGCCAGTCTAATGCACAAATGCTGGTACTAAACGCCGATGAGCAAGAGTCACCAAAAGCATCCACCGCTCATCTCTCATCGAGCTACAAGCTCAGCGGCCTCGTCAGGGTGTCGTCCATCTTTTCTCGAGTCAACAGTCCCATACCCATTACTCGACGGACCTCGGTCGTCATTCGTCTCATGGCTCTCATTCTCATCATCAACATCATCAGTATCATCACGAACAAACCCTTCACTCTCCACCATCCAAAACACAGGCACGGCACTAATAACCCCCAACACCGTCAGCATCCACCACGGGATAATCACATACCCCTTCTCAACGCCATACGTGAACGCCATTCCCATAAGCGCCGGCCCCGCAGCGCGGCCTATGGAACTGACGCTTGTCCCGACGCCGTTCAGGGTGCCGAGGACACTGAGACTGGAAGCGGAATTGGTGAGCAGGATTGTGCAGCTGGGGAACCCGAATATCGTGACGGTGAGCTTGGCCAGCATGATCAGAATCACAGTTGGTTTGCGCAGTGCGAGTGGCACCAATATTGTGAACGGGACGACGAAGAAGATGATTGGGAACATGAGCGAGGAGACTTTGAGGCAGGTCAAGACCCCGTACCGCTGTGCGGCGGCCGGGAAGAGGAGGAACTGCACAACTATGCCTATGATGCCGATGATCGTGTAGAACATGCCGATGGTTTGGGAGTCTGCCATTGTCAGTCATTTAGTCAACTATCTATAGGTTGAAACACTCACCTACACCGAATCCGCCGGCGAACTTGAACGGCAGATGCACGTCGGGATTATTGTACAAGTCTTGTTCTGGATAATGGAGGAATACTGGAAACAGTGAATCGAACGCCATGCTGTGCATGGCCATTAGTGTATAGGCTAGCAGCACGAGATTCGACTGCGGTGTAAACACCTGACCCCAGGTTGGGCGCCGCATAGGCCGATTGCCTGCACTCCTGTTACCAGGAAGCAAGGCTCTGCGCTCCTCATCCGCGGCTTTGGAGTCAAGGGTTTCGCGCTTCCTGCGGGAGGTGCACGATCTTGTCAGTGCCTGGCCGAGCACCAGGCCGTAATCGCGTTGATCTTTCTTGGCTGCCAAGGTTTCCTATTGTACGATCAGCGACGAGGGACCTTAGACCAAAAGGGAAAATAAAAACCTTCATGAAGAGGAACCCAATAGTAATACCCACGATAAAGAAACACGCAGAGGCCAGATTAGGGAGTGCAAAAGGGTATTTCCGCAAGAACTCAATGTTTCCGAAGAGACGCGGGTTCTTCTCTGCCGGGTTCGCCAGGGCCCCTCCAAAAGCAGGCCCAAATATACTCCCGATCGTCCAGACCAGCGGCATGATACTGAAAGCGCGCGGCTGTAGTTCTCTCTCTGGCACCATCTCGGCGACCATCGTGCGAATGATGCCGACATTGCCGTTCAGAAAGCCCAGTAATCCACGGGAGATAACCAACATGGCTAGGTTCTGAGACATGCCGAAGACGATCGACAGGATCATAGTGAACGTTAGACAGAGCAGAATGACTGGCTTGCGGCCAACGTAGTCTGATGCCGTGCCCCAAGGTATGGCCATCAGGGCCTGACAGCCTGCCGCGACGGCGGAGGTGGTGCCAACCCAGCGAGCAACTTCATTTTTGGGGACGCCGACATATTCAATCATTTCCGGCTGGGCGTGAGGTTAGTTGGACGTCATTGTACCCTGCCCGGCTATGGGGTCGGTTGGGAGGCGGCGGTGGGGCTCAAATACATACCAGGTAGGGAAGAATCGAGGTGAGCACGACTATAGCGCCGGGGGGTTATAGTACTTAGTACTTTGCCTTGACTGGGGGTATAGAGTATGAACAAGCACTCACTGGGCTCTGCAAAGCGACATATTGCTGCACAGCTGTGGTCAGCGCGGGGACTCGTCCGACACGATCAAAAAAGCAAAACGTACACAAAATCAATAACTGCCGGACGGGCAGTTGGGGCTTTCGCATGCTGGGCTGAAGCGATCGGTCTCCGCTGGTTACCGAACGCAGACAAATCGAGAAACGAGGCTTGAGGAAAGAGAAAAACAAGAAGTCGGAGACAACCCCGACACGAAGCCATTTGCAGCGCTTAGCGCCTGAACACCATGACTCCACTCGAGCGGGCCCAGCCGCAGCGTCTGCATCGACGAGGCCGGGTACCAGATGACGTGGATATTGATCCCGGGGTCGCTGAGAGGTGGGGAAAAAAAGCTCATGTGGTGTCAATCCCTGCTGAGGATTTAGGGCAGGGGTCTACAGAGGGAAGTTGTGGGTAGGTTTTATCGGCGCCGTGCCCCGTGTTTACAGTACTTCGAACCTAGAATTATTATTGCACCACCACTCCTTATTTCCAGCAAGAATTCTTGTAGGATTGGCAAGGAAAGACCTAGGATCGAGGACGGCACTTACTGCTTGTGAGCACTTTCGTTCTATTATTGACACAACCGGCTAAATTAAACAACTGGCTTAGGTCTTTACAAGGATGAAATAGGGCTTATATACTAGTCTTGATGTACGCCAAGTCCTTGTCTGTGGTGGCTGAGTTACTTTGGATTGGATCCGAAGGATCGTAATAGAGCCTTAGACTGTTTCATCGGGAAATAATAAGGCTCTCTCTACATGATTGAAAGGTTGAGCCTGGCAATTTTTGGAAACAGAAAATAGAGACTGGTAAATGTTGGAGATGTACATCTCGCAATATGGATAAACGGCACAACTATTTAAATGTTGCAATAGTTTTACCAGAAAAAAAATATAACCGAAGCTGCGCCATGTCAGGGCAAAGCTTAAGTGTTGCTTGTCCGGAATGCTAATGTCGTGCCAAGAATCGCGACATGGGCTCACCTATGAAGAACACAAAAATAATACTACTCTAGATCACGGCGTCCAAGGTGGCGGCCATCTCTAGTCTCTATTCAGGCATCGCGTAGTGAGAAAAACCGGAGTGGGCGCCGAAAAGGGGAAAAAGAGGGTCTACCCTTCCTGGCTAACGGGGCCTAGAAGTAAAAGATGGATATTTGGGCCGAGAGATCCTTTGAGGCTCTTTTCTCAGCGACTATTATAAAGGTCTCTCTCTCCCCTATTTCTCAAGATTAATCGTACCAAGCCATTCGTTTCTTGTCTTTTTGCAAATAATATTCTCTACATTCGTTACCCATCTTTTAATACCGCCGCCACAATGCAGTTCAAGGTCCTCACCACCCTCCTTCTTTCCACGGCCCTCGCGTCTGCCTACGACGCCGAGCTCGCAACCGAAACCGCCTCAGCAGTGGCCTGGTCCGGCTCCTCCGATTCCTCCGAAACGAACCCGTACAGCAACTCCGTATTCATCCCCTCCATCCCGAAGTCCATTCTCACGGCGCTCGAAACCGCCATCCCACCCTCATGGTACACCGATATCTTTAAGCCCAGCTTCCGCTCTTCCATCGAGAGCGAAGTCCTGGCTGGCACCATGCCGGCTTGGTACAACTCCCTGCCTAACAGTGTCAAGGCCTGGGCTTCGTCTGAGGGTGACTTCATCAACAACTTCATCGGCGCTGAACAGACTTCTGCGCTTGCCGTCGCGATTTCTTCCAATGCTCCTGCTACTGGTGTTCCTGCGCACAAGACTGCTTCTACTATGAGCACTGCGGCTGTGACTGTGACCAGTGCCTCCGGTACTACTTCCGGTACTACCTCCGGTGCTGCCTCCGGTGCTGCCTCTGGCACTAAGAAGTCGGCTCCTTCGTCTTCGACTTCGACTGGTGGCGCTCCGATTGCTACCGGCGGTGTTGCTGCGTCAATTGCCGGCGTGGCTGGTATCCTTGGACTGGCTCTGGCTCTGTAGCCCGCTGTCTGATAGAATTGGTGGATCTGTTTATTATTGGATTCAACTTAGCATACATTATACACTATAAATCTGTCTAGGATTATCAAAAAATTAACTGAAATGTTTTGTCTTGAGAATTCGAAGAGGATAGATCTATATCCTCCTGAAAAACCTACTATCTATGGTTTGCCCCCTGGTTTATGGAATGGCGGAGGACGAAAGATCGAAAGTTGAGATGTGGAGTGGTAAGGTGATAACTTTCATTTCTGGCAAGGCCATATCTTCAGGCGTGCGACCTTGGAATGGCGTTGAGAGGATGTCTACGGAAAGAAGTATGCAGAGCTAACCAACTTTTTCCTGTATATGTGATATCAAGGTAGAAGCCTTCGAAGCACCTGGTATACTGCAACAGAATAAGTATGTAACTATCCCTTGCTCACATCGTCACTATTTTAAACACTGCATCAACAACCCAAAACTCAATTACTCCAGCAACTTGGCGGCCGCCCTGATCCGCTCTAGGATGATAGAGCTCCATTTCTAAAGGGACAAAAGTTAGCCCGTAACCATCCCGATTGTTGCAAAGACAAATACAAATACATACCCTCGCATTCGCCGTATCCCCAGCCTGGAAACTCTCCACTAATCCCGGGAACGTCGCACCCGAGTATCCAGTCCAAATGCCAGGAGCAAAGACGACATGCTTGAACCAGTCACGTCCGTCCAGACCGGGCTCGTACAAGAATGCTCGCTCGATGCCCTTGTACTTGGCGTTCGCTACCCGGATCTGGATGTACAACTTCATCTTCTTCCACCAGTGGTACCAGGGGACGTGGTCGCCGAGCTGGGAGTTCAGATCCTGGGCATACGCGTCGAACTTGGCTGCGACATCCTGGAAGTGAGAGATGGCCTTGTAGAGGGGTGCGAAGTCGAAGCTCATGCCCTCGCCACGCGCGACTGGTTCGACGGTGTCCAGGTAGTTTTCCAGACCGACGGCGTAGTCTGTGGCACTCATGGCGAGCAATGGAGACTCGACTAGCTGCGCAGCGGCAAGGGCCCACAGCTTGGTGGTTGCCAAGTGGTACGAGAATGTGGGGTCGCCGAACTTCTCCATCCAGGCGAAGCTATCGTAGTTCGAGTGGTAGTGGTACACTGGGCCTCCGGGTTGCGGGCCGAAGCCAAAGTCCACGCTGGCAATGCCGCCGAAATCCTGGAAGGCAGTGAAGTCGCTACCGCTGCCCATGGTTGCAATGTGTCCGTCCCAAATGTCACGGACAGTTTGGCCCTCGGTCTGATTTGGGGCCGGCACAAGGCCAGTGACGTTGTAGATGACTCTGTTCAACAGAGGACTAGCGCTAGGTCCAAATCGTGTGCCAGATGCCGCGACATCCACGTTCAGATACGCAATGTTGGTCTTCGACAACCAGGGGATATTCTCCTCAACCCACTCGGTCGACCCGAGCAGACCATACTCCTCACCGTCCCAACTAGCAAAGACAATAGTGCGTAGTGGTTTCCATCCAGCTTTAAGGGCCACTCCGAAGCTGCGAATAACCTCATTCAATGCTGCAGAGCCACTGTTAGGATCTCCAGCGCCACCGGCAACCCAAGCATCCCGGTGGTTACCCAAAATCACAACTTCATCAGGGATAAACCCCTTGATGACGCCGATGACGTTCCATACCGGATTGGTCACGTATTCCTGCTCATTGTACAGGTTGATCACAACGTCTTCAGGAGATGGGCCAACGTTATAATCGACGCCCTTGTAGACGAGGCCACCAACCCACGGAGTATCAAAGTCCGCCCCCTTAGGGCCATGCCCATTCAAAGCTTTGAGGAATGGGAGAGCCTCCTTATATGAAATTGGGAGTGATGGAATCGAAGGAATAGAGTTGTAAGGATCCTGTCGTTCGCACCCGGGCTTGGATGGATATCCAGGCGTAGTGGGATCACCGGGAAGAATGCCTGGTCGACGAGTAAGTAAAAATTACGCAGAGACGAACGAGTGAATCTTACTGAGAAACTGCGTACTTCCTCTCTGGACAGCACTGGGATTCCGCGCTGGCCCATCCGGGTAGGCAGCGTAGCCATTTTCCTCAGTGATGGGTCCATCTTCCTGGGGATCACTGTAAATGACCACGCCGACCATACCCAGCTCCTGCGCACGCTTAACCTTCAGCCCACGGAAGACATGTCCATACTTGACGAGCGCGATTTTGCCCTCTAGCGATACGTTGGCGTGGACTAGGGCCTCGAAATCCTTATAGGTGCCGAAATTGGCGTACACATACTGCGCGGTAACGTTCCCGCTAGCTGAATAGCCATGGAAAACGGGGACACGATCCGGTAGACTAGAAGTAGGATCTTCGTCTAGCACATCTTCTTCCAAAGTCGCTTCGAAAGTGACGTCTGTCCTGTCATCGGACTTCTTCAGTAGCGCTAGGCGGTGGTCCAGTGGGTAGTTCATGTAGATGTCATAGGACGCGAGGGTAGTGTCCTCGATACCGAACTCTTTCCATTTCTCTAAGGTCCACACAGCTTGGCTGAGGTTCTTGCCCGCTAGATGAGGTCCTGCTGTATAGTAGGAGCTCCACTCGCGGGCCTTGGCGGCCGATGGAGTGTTGAGGAGGATTTGTTGGAGCTGATCGTACGGCATTCCATGGCCCTCGGGCCAGGCTGGATGAGGCAGAGAATGGGACCCGGGGAAATACGACCAGATCGAGCCATGTTCTCCTGGTAGAATGCTTTCGGGAATCAAGAACAGGATGAGGACGACCAATAGCACAGCGCCCAGGAAGACGGTGCAGGCGCGCCGAAGGGAGTGATGGGGGTAGCGGTGCCGCTGGCGAGCGACCCGCACCTCCAGCAGAGGCGTCGTCTCTGAGTACGGCATGGTCTTCTCCCTCATCTTCGATAGATGAAGAAAGAGAGAGAACGAACGCACTTCTCCGCATTCACGTCATGGCCGAGGGCCCTTATCGGCTGAGTCAGCCACCCCTCCCATTCCAGCTGCCTAAACAGGAGATTTATTGTCGGTGGAACCGCGTTGATTGCCGAGCTAGTAGATAGTCATGCAACTGGGTGACAGGAAGCACCAAGATAGCTGGGAGACGGGGGGAGAAGCAACAACACTCCTGATGGAGCGGTAAATTATATAGTGAGGTATAGAATACAAGGAACAATGGGCGGTCACTCCTCCGCCTCGTCCGGGAAGGGCACATAGTCATTGGGAGCCGGATTCAGCTTCTCACCGAGGTCAATGCTATCCCTCAGGATCTGCCGAGCAGCCTCATCACTGACTCCCATATCCTCCCTGACCAGTTGCACCGCTAGCTCGGGCACCAGGACCTCCTGTGCGTAGCCAGCTACGCCAGCCTCTTTGAGGACTGGGTCATCAGAGGACAAGCGCCGCAGTTTCAGAGAGAACCGATCCATCACCGCTTGTAGCCTGAAAAGATTTCCATTAGCTTTCGTGTCATCGCCACACCACCGAGATAAACTCACATTTTCTCCGACCCGTTGGTGCCATAGTACCCACACGACATGTTTTCCAACCTGTCGCCAGATAACAAGTTCTTTGCTGTGCCCGCCTTCCTGTCAGATTCGAGTCTGTTCCGAAAATAGGAGGAGCATCTGAGCTCCAAGATATTCTCCAGGTGCGGAAAATGTTGCTGAATCCGCTCCCCAAATCCATCCCAGTTGATATCGGGGTAGCCGTGTGCTTCCCATTCCTTCCCAGCACTCAGTTGTTTGTGAGACCGGCAGAATTGCTGCTGCTGGCGGAAGCCTTGCTTCGGTCGTTCTTCGAATTCTAACAGTAACTCCGGGTCGACTTCTTCCTTGCATAGCGGACACAACCACTTGCGAGGCGATTGTTCTCGGTTGTCATTCTCAACTAACTCGTCTATTTCGGACGGTAGTTCGCTTAGAGGAGTGCTCAATCCCGATGAATCCTCATCGTCGTTGAAGGATATTGTCTGTGGCTCCTTGGATGATGCGGTACTCGACATAGAATCTGCAGGGAAGGTAGGAGGAGGCTTGACCCTCTTCCGGACACGAGGTCTCCGTGAACTCAATATATCAATATCCATGGGCACCTTGAAGGCAGGTTCCAGTTCCTCGGGTTCAGCTGGTGCGTCCGTGTCTGAGGCCTTGTCCTTCTTGGTCCGGAACTTGCTCTTTCTGTTCGCAGTGTCGGGGGAGGACGTCGCAGTTGACAGCGCACTCGAGCTCGGCGCTTGAGCATACGAGGGGAGTCTGTTCTTCGAGGGGTAGATGTTGGTCTTGTGGCGCTTGAACGTCTGCGACTGTGATGATCGCAAAATCGAAGAGAAAGGGGCGTCATCGTCTTCCTCATGATCGCTCTTCACGCCGCCAATGGTCCGTTTCTGTGGGCTGCTGCCATTCGGTCGCGACGATCGACGCGCTTCATCCTCATCCCTCTTCGCGACCTTCTCATCCAATGTTGTCCTAGCCACTCTCTCCTCTCGCTTGACTTCCTCATCTGGGCTCTGTGAAGAATGATCTTCTTCGTCGCTGCTGCTCATAGGATCAGCATCAGTGGCAGGCTCGGGGTCCAGTTCTGGTTCGGGATCGGGCTTCGCACGCGGCTTGTCGTCTCGTGGCTTGTGGAAGGTAGACAACAGAGGTTGAGCTGGCCCATTGCGCCGTGTCTGCCGGGTGGACGCATAGCTCGCTTCAGGCTTCTGCTGTCGCATGATGAGAGAGGTGGGCTTTATAAATCGGTTGATTGCCAACCAAAGGCTCTGGGCGCATTGGAGAGGTGGGTGTTAAGGTGGGTCGGGGTCGTGTCGGGGCGCGTGCACCAGGATCGTCGGGTATTCCGAGGATCACTCCCTGTGGAATTATTGGACAGGCATTACACAAGTGGAGGAAAATGTGCAAGTGAAGAGTGAAAGATAAAGCGAGAGTGAAAAAAAGGCACCCCGTGACCTTGGAGCTACAGCAGCAACTATACAGTCCACAGTCCTATCCGGCTTATAGACAGAGCAAAAGCAAAGCCATCTCAAAACGCCATGCAAGTAATACGCCACGGTCCCATCCACGAAGCTAACTAATAAAGAAGAATGTGAAAAAGAAAAAAAAAGAAAACATCATTCAAAGCTCATCTGGATCTCGCCCTCATCATGATCAGCCCAGGCATTGTGCTCGAGATCGACGGGCGCCACAGCGCTGGTCCTAAGATGAGTGGGCACGGTAGCTGAGGACCGCAGTTCCGGCCGCGTGGGAGGATCAGGCCAGTCGGTGGGCGGAGACTTGTGGTAGGAAGTATCATAGGTCATCTCAATCTCTTCTTCCTTGGGCGCAGCTGAAGAAGTGGGAGGGGGTGGGAGCCCGTGTGGAGCTGTGGCTCCGACACAGTTCGTGGCATAGCAGGGGTTGGTTCGCCAGTCTTGGATTCTTTCTCGTTCGATGGGGACGGTTGCGCCGACCGGGACTCGACTAGAGGATTCAGGTCCAGTTTCATCGGAGGCAAGGTCGATTCCAGCTGTTTGACCTCGATCGCCTCCGAAGCCAATTCAGCTCGAATAGCCTCAATGTCAAAGAGCACAGTCCCAGGTCCACTGGTTATCTCACTGGATTCGTGGGGATTGTTGTTCCGGTCCACATCGTATGTTTCCCATCCTTTCTTCTCGGCCAGCTTCCCTCGCTTGAAGAGGCCAAATCGCTTCTTCTCTGGTTTCGCCTCTGCTTCACGACGAGCTTCATCAATCTCGCGGATCAACTCCCGCTGTCGCTCGGCATGGTTGTCGGGGTCTGGGTCCTCGATTTCCGCAAATTCGTCACCGAGCACCTCCCAGCCGACTTCCCTGAGGAGACGAGGCATAGCAGCACGGTAGTCCATATGTCCGTTCACAGACTCGGTCAAGTCAAAGTTCTCCAAGCCAGGGATCCCCTCCACAGCTGCGAGACCAGACACTCGCGAGATCCCGCCGCTCGTAGCCCGAAACAGATAGCCCAGGATCCAGTCGTTGGTGGAGTAGCCATTCACAAACCGGCCAGAGACCACGCTGCGAGCCTTGAGATACTCGTCCTTCTTTGCCACGATCGGTGACCCAAAGAGATACACATTTTGAACCAGCCCAAAGGCGCCCTTGTCAGCCAGTTCTCGGAGGCAGTAAAAGATGACACGCGCGCCGAGGGAGAAACCAAGGAGGGTGACAGGCCGGTTGCCGAGGTTGCGATCCCGCAGGGAATCGGCCATGATGAGACCAGCTGAATACGCGCGATCCAGCGACACGCTCCATGGATTATCGATTAGGTAGGAGAGTTTGGTGAGAACAATGGGCAGTTGCAAGGATGCCATTAATGCCATCAGAACCGTACTGCCAAGCACTTGTTGGAGGCCTTGGGTCAATGCCTAAAGTAGGGGGTTGGGTCAGCTTTACAATCAACGGCGGAGGAGAGATATTATTACCTCTGTGGCAAGAATATTGATAGTGTCACCCATACTTCGGAGCATCTCAGGCTCCCACAGGACGGAGTAGAGATCGCCCATAATAGGGTCCACGGTGCTGAAAGGGAGACGGACGTCATCCACCTTGCCGGTCATCCAGCCGGCAACAGTGACGATCAGGTTGACTTTCTTATTATTGTGCAAAGGTCGATATTCGAAAGTCTGCACGGGACCGGTACGCCGATTTGAGGCCCTCAATCCAATGGTGCTTCCGGTCACGGTGGCACCGGATGCGATCAAGGCCGTTCCACCGGCTCCTCCCAAGAACGCACTGGTTCCAGAAATACCCACGGTGGTGAAGCCCGCGGCAAGACCAGCCCCAATGACAGGAGCCAGCAGCCCCGCCGACAGACCGATAACTAGACCACCACCAACGGTTGCTAACCCCATAACCATGTATTTTCGTTTCAGTGCCATCTTCCGGCGCCTCTCCATATGCCCAGACTCGTCCCAGTTCTCTTTCTCTGCCTCTTGCTGCATCTCCAGGGCATCCGTGACCCGCTTCTCAAAACGGCAGATTTGTAGCCACGACACATCCATAGCGGCACCAACATTCTCAAGAAGCGTTCGTGAGCGGGAATCATATGCCGAATCGGCTATCAGCACTAGGAACAGGTCGCACAGTACCGTCCACCGAAGGTCGATATCAATTCGATCAGACGTCGGCATCTGCGAGGGCGTATGCACATCTGGATCATCGTTCTCGTGAGCATCGTATGGCGGAGGAGACCCAATTTCAGAGGACATGGCAGTTTCAGTGGACACCCGCGACACATCGCTTTTCAAGGCCGGAGATGCCGCAGAAGAAGTTGATTTCTTTGGGGATTCTTCCTCGGCCATCGGATTCTTGACTCGCGCGTTCTGCATGAGAGGCCGCACCAGATCCGAGGGTTGCACGCCGTGTTCAGCAAGCTGCTCGATCATGATCTGCTCGGCGGAGTCGATCTCCATATGCATAAATAAGCGTCCCATCATCGCCTGGCCCCATTTCCTCAAGGCGTCCACCGCGTCCTGAATTGTTTTGCGTGTAGCTTTGGTTTTTGGCACCTTCATCAATTCAAAAGTCATTTGGTGAATGGCTAGCCTCACCACGCCCACGTATGCGATTTTCTGCGTTTCATTGAGAAGGTCCTTCGTGGCTTGCAGTTGGCTGAGCGAGTCGCGAAGCTCCTCGCCCTCAAAGGCAGCAGAATTGCCTCCTGCATCCCGGAACAAGTAGCTCGTGTCCTCGTCTAGACTATTGGCGGACTGCGCATCTTCGTCCAGCTGGACTCGAGTATACCCTTTCCCAGCACCTCCCAGGCCTCTGTAGACGGCATCATTGTCATTTGCCACGCCCCCCTTGACAACTAGTCTCCCGTAATCATCGTAGTAGTCAAACTCGTCGGCGGCGCGCATGTCCTTCCACTCGACTTCCTCTTCCACGTCTTCTTCGCTGTCCTCATCCGGCACTTGTGGTTGGGCAGCCAGTCGCATGTGGGACCATTCAGATATTTGGGAGGGGTTCGCTTTCGAGGTTGACGTGAGACGAGGAGCTGGCGCACTCGATTCCAGTACCGCGGGAGGCTTTTGGCCTCTTTGTTCCGGTGCGTTTTCAGCATCCTGCCCCCTTTTTGGGGATCCGACTCAGGGTTGTCCTGGCATGCTACCGGCTCCGTTGGCTGCTCGGTTTGCTTCTCAGTGGGCTCGTCTTCTGTAGGATTGGTGATCGCATCTGCGAATTCGCCGGCTTCTGACGAGTTGCTACTTGGAGGCGGAGCTGGTTTAGAACGAGCTCGAATAGGGAGACCGAAATCGTCCACCTCAACCGGTGCGTTTTCCGCCTCTTGAGTTTTTATGGGTTCGTCCTTATTTTGCACCGCTGGTGCGCCGGCGGTGGCGCCCGTGGCCGGCGTGGGATCATTGACGACATTTTGGGAGGATTGCAGCGTGTTCGAAGAGGAGCTTGGGGCGGGCTTGTCCGCAGAGCGATCGACGGCGTCGCTGGAGGCTGCGGTCATTATTATTTCATGAACAGCAGGCCGTTGGGGCCTCCGGACGACTCCTTCCGCTCCAGTTCCCGGGTGATGGTTGCTTGGCGCTTCCTCGGACGTTCCAGCTCACTGCAGTAGAAGGCTCACCCATTCGGGCCGACAACAGCTCTGTGTGGGGGTTGAGTCCGAAATGTGTTGAATGCCCCCCTTAGTATGGCGGTGGTCATCCCACAGCTTGGAGAAAAGGTCCGATCGGGGGCCACGTGAGGGAGGGGGGGAATGACGTGCCGAACTACCAGGGGCCACAATTGCGAATTGACCGTATTGACGGAGATGGGCGAGTTCGGTGAGAGTGTGGGCGAGGAAGAAAGCAGAAAAGAGGAGGAGGAGGGGATGGGGGAGGCAGGACGGGTGCCGAAAGCGGAAGCCCATCTGGCGCAACAATAAACATGCATTCGTAAGACATCGTAGTCGAGACATGACGATGATGACGGGGAACCATCCTACTATTTCATTTTCTGATCTGGCCATATTGCCCGACATCATCACCACCATCCTCTTCTTCACAAGCTGCACGCACCCGCCCGCCCCAGCCCACCACCAACCACGACGGGCAGAAGCCGAGCCCGGCCCGCAGGCAGTGCTTCCCCGGTGGCCCTGCTTCTCTTCGCCCGGGTATCAGCCACCTCGGTTGAGTTTGCAGCCAGTGCCTCCATCCCAGTATACGAACAGTCCCACCAACGCTCGGGCCGGGATCAGCTCCCTCAGCCTCGATCAGGCCAAACAGAGCGCGTCTTGGCCCGGCGCATGGCGTCATGGCCTTGGTTTCATGGCTGAGTCACTTGATGCTCAAGCAGGCTTGCGGCTCTAGCACCGCGGGGCCAATAATCAGCCATAATCGAGCGTGCAGGCAACCTGTGGCGACGAGAGCCGATCCTCTTGTATCACGCTGCTCTTTCCTTCTTGCCCCCCATGGCCTGAGACCTCTTTCCACTCATTATTAGGACCATGGCACATCAAGGTAGGACCGTCTGTCTCTGTCCGCATTTCGTGACTGACCAACGATGCCATATGCACTAGGCTCCGAGGCTTCCATTGTCCGCATCGCAGGGGCTGGGTTTCGGCTCTCCCTGCTCCTCAACGCGGCCGCCTGTCAGCTCGCACAATCCCGCATCGATATCCACAGCATCGCCAAGGGGATCTCGCTCTTTGCGCTGACCCTCAAGCATGTGGGACAGACGCTGGAGGCCGCGGATCTGGATCGGTCTCCCGAGGCCACCGAGAAAGCTTGGGAAATCGCCGGCCAGGGCCAGATGGTGTTCGTCGAAATCGAACATATGCTGGACAAACTGAAAGGAACCGACGCGAATGACAACCTCCAGACGATTCCCGTCCAGGAGCGTCTCAGATGGTGCTTTCCGAAACAGCATGTCACCTATCTGTTGGCCCAGTTGGAGTCTCTGAAGCTTAGTCTCATCGTGGTGCTCCGAATCTTGCAGCTGGGCAACCTGATCAAGGCCAGCGTGGACAATCCTGCCTCGTCGCTGACCGTGGACGATGCGATTGCCCAGGAAAAAGCAGAAACACAAAACATGATCATCGTGCGGTACTGGTCGGTCAAACGTCTCGATCGTTTGTGGGATATGGTGGAACAGGAGGCGATGGAGGCCGCCAACGACGAGACCAACCAGATGATCAGCTCCAATTACTCGGCACCGAACACTGCCGCAGCATTGAAGCCGCTGGTCGCTGCGACTAAAGGTTCTGAACTGACCCGCCTCCCCGCCGTGACCTTTGGGAATAGTGACGTGGGACTGAGTGACATTGAACGATCGCCGAAGGACATGGTTCACTTGTCCGAGAGTGCCATGAACCAACTGCTGTCGGTCTGGATGCCTTCACTGGACTCTTCTTTAGTGCGGGATGCCGGCAAGCCGGCCCACGGGTATGAAAATTCTGGCCAGCCCCGGATCTATATCTCATCCGACAGCGAGAATGACTCGAAAGACCTCGATTTCGACGGCCATGAAGTGCGAGGATACTATCTGGAAGGGAATACGGTGGACTGGCGCAAGCCGCAGTCTCAAGAAGCTCGTTATCATGCCGCCCAGATGCGCAGGCGGTATTCCAGCTACCAGGCCCAGGTCGAAAGTGATTCGGATGACGACAACGATCGGCGACGAAACAACCACCGAAACAATAAGACGACCGCTGGCTCCAGCGACGAGAACGAACAGAGAGCTGCTGAACCGCATCGACCCTCGCTCAGCGTCCCCGTGAACAGCGGTGGTCGCGTCCATTCTAGCAGCATGCCATCCAGATATTCTCCCACATCGACGACCAGACAACCAGCGCCATACTCAAGCAACAGCTTCTCGCAACCCACCACGACTCCCCATCAGGCCGCCCCCAGCCGCCCCTCCAGCACGCCCCAGGACTCCCTCCCCAGCAACCATACAGACACTACTCGAACCAAGACTACTCTAGCACCCCACGGTCCATCCCCACAACTCAGCCCAATCAATTCAATCAATACCCACCCTCAGCCACAATGCCCAATGCTTCCCCACGAGGCACACCCCCGGACCAGGCGAGCAGCCCTGGGGCCGACAACCAGTCTACAACAGCAGCAACCTGCACCAACCCCGCCACTTCGCTTCCGCATACCCGCTCTCAACCTCATCTCCCGAGTCAGGCTGGGCAGGCCCCCCTCGTTCACTGCAGCAGTCTCCCTCGCATTCCCACCGTCGAATCGCGCGTGACGATGCTAAAGAGTCTAAAGAGCGCGAGCGCGAGCGGCACAAGAATCTGACGCGCAATGCCACGCGGGGGTTGGCAGGTGTCGGAGCGATTGCGGGCTTTATGGATGCGTTGGAAGCATTTGATATTCTGTGATATCTATCTCTGTTCTTTTTTCTTTTTTCTTTGGAAGGAAACAGGGTTGCTTTTCCTTGTTAACAGTGTGTATTCTTTTCTGTTCATGTCTTTCTGTGGGATGTCTGATGTCTAGTGTCCGCAGTACTGTTGACCGTGTGACGAACTTTTTATGATGTGATATATTACTTGATATCCCAAGCAGCTCTAACGAATGATGGTTAAGCAATTTTCTCATCTCAATTTAAGAGGTTGAGACCTCATGGTGGATGAATTACAGTTCGTAGTCGCAGACCAGAATCCAGAAGAGCCAAAAGTATCTCAACGGTACATCTATTTCAGCATATTTTGTATGCCGAGGTTCCCACAACTCTTGAATCGCAAGGAACTATGGAACTTTAACTATAGGACAAATTTCGTATGGTATGTCTTCCGCAGCTCCTCCCAGGCCCTTGAGTCACGGAGGCTTATCTATGGCAAGATAGTGCAAATTTGTGACTCTATTTGTATGTAGGGCCTTCCGCAGCTCACTCGCTTTTGAGGAGCCATTAAGGAGTTACGAAACCTCAACTATAGATAGCCTACGTATGCCCTTTCAAAAGGAGCTGCGGAGCCTTACCTATGATAAGATTGTACTGGAGGCTTCTCATTACTTTGTATGAGGTGACTTTCGTAGCTCCTGTGAGTTGTGGCTCCTTACCTATAGAAAAGATCTCGTATGCGGCATTTCTCTAACTCCTTGTAGCTCCTCTAGGGAATTTTGAGTTGTAGAAGCCAGTATAAATTTGGGTACTCTACTTTATTGAGATTGTGGATCCTCACCGTCTTTCCTATTTGTACAAGTCGATTATTATTAGTTCCGCCTCAAAAGTTGTTGGACATCCCTAAAATTATTCCAATCAGGGATTTATACATTCGTGAGTTGCACTTCCAAGTTATGACATCCTACGTGCTACTTTTCTAAAAGGGTTATACAATTGAAAAGCGTAAAGGGGAGGGAGGACCGTGCGTCATGGGCTGGCAGACATGTCAAGGTCCACAAACAGTTGTAAATGAACGGTTGTTACCAGGCTGGATGCTGAGTGCCATGCGTCACTTATTCTAATACATATGGGGCGTCCAGAGAACTGTTATCGCAGCTTAAGCCTCTCAGCACCGTGCACATGCAGTTATATATCTACATCGCTAAATAGTTAGGTAGTTAGCCGGATTAGGGATTAAACAACGAAAGGTGGGGCGAATACGAGGATCTACATGAACAGTTTAGTATTAGTTACTAGCATTTGACTATCCCAGAAGTTCAGATGAATTTTTCTGACCACTGTCATACCTATATTAATGAAACCCTTCCCCCTCCCCCCCAACAGAATTCGTTTCGGAATATCCTGACCTATCCTCAAAATCCGACACTTCAACGTTCAAGCCATGTTCAGTCAGTGGGCTCTGATCATCCTCCTGGGTTGCCGCCTAGCAAACGCCGTCGAGTTCGTCAACCCTCGGGCCCCCCTCGTCACTGGCAACCTTGCAGCACGGCAGGGATATATGTGTTCCGCGGATGAGATGCTCTGTGTGGATGGCGGATGTTGTCCATCCAGCGCACCGTGCACAAACTTTATGGGGAGGAACAAATGCAAACAGGTGTGCTACGAACCTGACTGCGGAGACGGTATTTGCTGCGGTCTCGGATATGAATGCCCACCCCCTGGCGGGCACATTTGTACCCAAATCGTCGGGTTCTCCGATTTCTCCATACCGACTCTGCCGCCGGTTTCTTCTTTCAATCCCGGTGGACCGATCGTTACATCTGAGCCTCCGTTCGCTATGCCGGGAGGACCTACCTCCTTGCCAGCAATTGATTCAACACTGGGGTTGCCTACGGATTCGACTGCAAGAAGTTCATATGCTGGTGCGGCGTGGCCGACGACTTCTTCTCAAATGGCCAGCCCGCTATCGCCAGGACAGGATTCTTGGATGGTATGGGTGTGTGCGTGGGTGATTGGGTTGCCTTTCGTCGTGTAATACCTATGAAGGGAATGGGGATGGTAATGGAAGACCGTCGGTGTTGACTCTACCTGTTCACATCTTCGCCACGAGCAGTACAAGAGATATATTGAAATGTAATCTTCTCAGCTCTATAGGCGACGAACGAAAAACAAGATAAACAGTAGCTGCACATGTATTTCTCTTGATTATTATTGGGCTTGTTTCTATATAGTTGATGTTTAGTCTCTTTTATGCCCAAGAATACATGGGCAGATCCGTCAATGTCAATGTCGGTGTATCCCTTGTCATTGGCTCTATGTCAGGATGTCAGGTATTGTGGTCTTATTCGCATCTTCTTGAAAGGTTTATAAAGCTATATTGGGTTATAGAAAGCTTCATTTCTACTGTCATGGACGTATTGAACTCTGGTCAAAGAACTACTGAGCCAGGGTTTCCAGTTGCGCAGCGCGAAATACCTCACCCAGGGCGCCATCGGTCCGCAAGTATGTGTGCTTCCCTTTGGTGAACCAAAAGCCAATTGCAACCAGCAGCATCGCCCCAAATACTGCAATAGCCCAGTTCATTGTGGTAACAGTAGGAGATGGCGAGCCAGGAAAGAGGAAAAACACTGTAGTAACACAGCAGTATATAAGTGCAACCCAGTTAATCATAGGACGCAAACGCCCAAGAGAGAATGTTCCTAGCGGAATATCAGACATTCCAAAAATAATAACCGCGAATATCGGCAGCGCGTATGATATGGTCAAAGCGATTGTGCAGACGCTGACCACTGCATCAACAGCGGCCTCGGTGAAGAAGTATAGAACGCCCACCAGGGAAATGATAGCACCTTGGGACCAAAGGGCTCTTGCTGGAACTTTCCAGTAGGGATCGACATGCATAAGATAGTTGCTGAAGGGAATGCCACCATCGCGAGCAAACCCCCATGTTAACCGAGACGCAGTTGTCGTAATACTGACGCCTTGGCCCAGGCCATTGAATGTAAAGATGCTGAAGAGGGCGATTGTCCCCTTAGGGCCGACTGTCTGCCTCACAAGCTCTAAAAAAGGAAGTCCGGAAGCTGGCGATAGCACATTCTCCAGATTTTGAATGCAAAAAAGGCAAACTATCATGAATATACCGCCTGAGAATGCGCCGGAGACGATGGAAAGCCAAAGGATCCGTGGGCCATTTTTCTGGGGCGATGGGAGCTCTTCGATCAAATGAATCACAGCATCGAAAGCTGTCAGACCGTAGGCGGATTGTACCAGCCCTATAAACCAAGCGACGCCATCATTCCATGCGGTATTGTTGATCCATGTTCCGAAGACGAACGAAGGTGGTTGAAATGACAGGTCGCTTTTGACGCCGACTGCGATGATTAAAACGAGAGAGAAAAGGACGAACTCTCCACCAAACCAGGCGCCGACGAGATTGTTGAACCAGCGGAGAATCCAATCTTTCCGACAAGCAATGACATTTGAGACTGTCATCAACATAGTGATGGCAAAGTAAATGAAAAACTTCAACCACCCCAGGCTTGCCCCAGTCCAATTTTCGTTGGACACCGTCCTCAACCCGAGGATAATTTCTGTCATAAATGCATTTTGCGACGCGGATAGCGTCCACCAGCCAAAGACATTAATCCAAGCACAAGAATACGAGACAAATCGACCAAGTGAGGATTTCCAGAGGCGGGAAACCCAGTAGGCTTGCCCTAATGCGGTTGGCATGCTGCTGCACAGCTCGCCCAGGGAAAGAGCCACACAGAGGTTGCAGAATGTGACAAGAAGGAGGCCGTAGAGGATAGTGATGGGTCCTCCGTTTGACAACCCATTCGATAGATCAACTGCAAAAGTCGCCCAAGTTCCGAGGACGCTGAATGAGAGTGCTAGCATGCTCCATGGGCTAAACTTGCGTGAAAGGCTTTGGACATGACCAATTGTCCCTAGACCCTCGGCGTATTGGGTGGCTATATGGCCTGAGCCAGTCTTTTCCAACGTTGCTGATTTCTCTTCCTCCATGCTGGAGCTTATGTCGATATAGAAGGGACGAATGTGTGGAATAATCGAAAAAAAATAGAGAGCTACGAGGACTGCATTTTGTTGAAAATGGGAAGTATTTGTAGATTGGTGCACGTGTGTTGCGTTTTCCTGAGAGTTAACATCCCCAGATTTTGGTCAATCTACATTCCTGATCTCATCTAGCGCGCCGAGGACGTTGGGGGGAAGAGTATCCACATCAACGAAGATTACAACCGTGGGACCTTGGAGTGAATACCACTGAAATGGGGCAACTCCATGGACTTTTCCCTAAAATTACGTTATATGGACCACAAAGTTGCCTGATTTGTTCAAAATTTCATCCAAAACGGTTGAACCCAATAGATACCCTGTTAGCCCGAGACTAAATCCCTTGGCCAATTGCGCTAAGTCAAACTCGGCAAGTAAATTGACCACCGATAACGGGGAGGGGAACACCGTGGCCAACCGATTATTCGTGCATAGATCTCGTAGGGAATGATTAACAGCACTCCCTCTATCGCAGCTTTTGACTATAAATTGCATTCGATTTTGTTTCCTGAAATTTTAGTGTGCCAACTCTCCTAGTTGTTTTCTGTCACACTCTTTCCCTTCAATCTCCAAAGCTACAAGCACAAAAATGGCTACCATGCCGGTTCAACATGCCCTGACTCCATGGTGGAGGACTCAACCGCACCAACTTGACGACTATGTGTCGTCTGACTCTGTACCAACGGAATCAGACATTGTGATCATTGGAGCTGGAATATCCGGCGCATCTGTTGCATATCATCTCCTGCAGCAGCATAAAGGACCCAACCCACCAAGAATTACCATACTCGAGGCTCGTCAGGCATGCTCTGGGGCAACGGGTCGAAACGGTAAGACATATTTTCGTTATTTTCAGTCGCCAATCTGACACAGCGAACTAGGAGGGCACTTAAAGCCAGACCCGTACAGCTTCATCAGCGAGCTTGCCGCAGAGTACGGCCCGGAAGCAGCCGAAGAAGTAGCTCGGTTTGAGCGATCTCATGTTGATGCGATTACTCGCCTTGTGAGAACTGAGAAGATCGACTGCGACTTTGTGTTGACTAAAGCAATTGACGTTCAATTGCATCTTAACGAATGCAAAAAAGTCAAGGCTCGCTTTGATCGCTTACCAGGTCTCGGTGTCAAATCGGCCGAAAGTGTGAGCTTCACGGACCAAAAAGGGGCAGAAGAAGTGAGTTTCCGTATATCGAGAGCCTTTGACTTAAAAAAACTAATCGAGTGTCTCTAGAGGTCTCATGTCAAGGGAGCCCAAGGCTGTTTCAGCTACGAGGCCGGCCATATCTGGCCCTACAAATTGGTTCTGCACATTCTTGGCCGTTGTGTTGAGCAAGGAGCAAAGTTATACACGCATACTCCAGCGCAGTCTATTTCATCAGAACAAGATGCTTCGGGTCTATGGACGGTGGAAACGCCACGGGGCGCTATCAAAACAAAAAATGTGGTTTTTGCCAGCAATGCTTACACATCGGCTATTCTTCCTATGTATTCGAACAAGATTGTTCCAGTGCGTGGAGTCTGCTGCAGGATAGTCCCGGTTCGCCAGGTGAAAAAGCTAACAAAAACATACACCTTGAGATGGTCATGGAGTGAGTTCGACTATCTTATCCCCCGGGAAGATGGCAGTGTGATTGTCGGTGGGGCCTGGAATAAATATTACCGGCAAACGGGAGATTGGTACAACAACATCGACGACAATGGGATGATCGAGTCCGCCAAAGAGTACTTTGAGGGTTATATGCAGCGAAACTTCCACGGCTGGGAGGAAAGCGGTGCATATGTGGATCAGATTTGGACTGGAAGTAAGTCAACTCCTGGCACTAACTATCATTTTCCGAGAAAACCATATTGACATGGCATCTTACCAGTTATGGGTTATTCGACAGACTCTCTGCCTCATATTGGACAAGTGCCCGGAAAGACAGGTCAATTCATAATTGCTGGGTTCACCGGACATGGAATGCCGCAGGCATGGCTTTCCGGTAAAGGTGTAGCGGCAATGGTCTCGGAGGGGATTCCGTTCGCTAAATCTGGGATCCCAAGAATCTTTGAGGCTACTCAGGCTCGCCTTGAGAAAGACAGAAACGACATCCTTGAAACTATGGGTGAAGTTGACAAGCCATGCGCACGTTTGTAAATAGGCATGAAATTGGCGCTCATTGCTTTTTCGTGTCATCAAATGAGCTTACATATAATCCCTGATTCCCGCGCCGAATCAAACTCCCTAGGATTTTCATAGGCAGCCTCACAAACAATGAGATCATTACTTCGAATACATTTTCTTTAGTAAGATTGTTATCACAGCAGGTATTGCCCACGAAATATTCGATTCTTCCAATAATTTAAGGAAACAAGGAGTGGCACCAGGAAGCTAACCAAAATGGGTAATTATTTTTGCCTCTAACAGTTCGGGTACAGTGGAGGGATTGGTCTCGCCTCGTAGTCCATTCATTATATTTTCGGTTGCTCCTTGCCATGACCTTCCTAACACGACCTTAGCTTCTTTTCTGTCTCAACCTCAATTATATTACATCGCAGTGACAATTAAACAACCATGTCGCCAAAACGTAAGCGAACGGTTCAAGGCATTTTAGCAGGAGACTGGACTGAATCACTCTTATTCTTTGCTGTGGGGTAGAAGTCCATTCTATTTGCAGGGATTGACAAAATCCTCTATCCATGTGAACATAGGATGTGCGTAGTATATACACCATAGAATAGAGACATAAAGAAAGATCAGAGAAGAAAATATATCACTCGATCAACGAGGGCATAACATAACACGTCCTAGGCGCCTCCAGAATCTCCTTCCTCAGATCTGGCTTCCACAGAAAAACAACAGATCCCTTTACACTAAGCGTAAGGCACGCAAACAGAAAATCACACAGACGATGCCATGAGTCCGCGCTTAACCGCTTCGCAACCTTGAGCATCCGACCCGCCCACCAGGGACGCGCCGCGCAGGAGGTAGCAGTTGGTGCATATTGCGAGAAATCCGCAACGTTCTCATTTGAAAAATAGTCGGGGGCGCCATCGTTGCACTCTAACAGGATCTGTAAGAGCGCCTCAATGGAGCCGCTCATGCTGACTTCACTGTCTATCACGGATTGTTCGAGCGTAGATAGGAAAGTTGCTCCACGGGAGGGAGTGTATCGGTAGTCCCATAGTGCGGCGTTGAGCATTATTAGCGCGGTCAGGCGCGCAACCATCTGTTTGCGGTTTCCTGATGCTGTGAATCGAGCTCCTGGGGGTGCGGCGAGGATTTGGTGGAGGACGGATGGTTTTTGGATCGCTCTGCGGCGGGTTGAAGAGCAGGAGGATGGGTTTTCTTGTTGGTAGAGGGCTAGTTGTTCGCAGCGGCGGAGGAAGTCGAGGAATTCTTCGCATTGAAGGCGGATTTCGTCGATGGGGGATACGGATAATTGATATTGAGGGAGTGATAGCGCTGAGGGTTCGGGGCATGATGGGTTGGTGTCTGAGAGAGCGGAGGAGGTCGAGTATGGTGGTGAGGGTATTGAGTCGTGGAGATTATGAAGATGTCGAGGCGATGCGGTCTGCAGCGCAGTAGCTGTCGCCGAAGCGGGCCGTTCATGCTCGAAGAAGAAACTAGGTCCGAGTGTTTCATACCCAGAGAGGATATAGTCCTGCCAATTGATTAACATGCCCAGTCGAGTATTCTCGAAAGCAGCCGGGCCCCCACGAGCTCGGATCATCTCGCGCGCAGCACGCATGTGCGTCCAACTGGTCTCCTTGTGGCCCGGGCGTGGGTCAAAGTCTTCGAGGGCTGCAGCGCTCAGGCAAGAGATGATAGCTACGTCTGAGATATCGTGTGGGTGGGTTTGGAGGTGCTCGCGCAGCATGCTGACGGCGCGGTCTCGATGCAGCAGCGTATTCTTGGTTTCTGTTTCGTTGCGCACCCACGCCCAGGTGTTAGCTGCGTGCACGAGGATGGTGTTCTGGAAGGCAACAGCGCCCTTCATGGCTTCCGGCACGAACACAGCGGTGTACCAGTTGTGCGCTTTGGCGGAGCGGAAATGAGACCCGTACGAACAGGCGGGCATGTCATTCACGTAGAAATCAAACAATTTCTGGCTTTCCAGGTCCATCTCAATGGGGAGCGCGTTGAACGGATCTGTCCGTGCTGCGCTCAGGATAGTTCGTGGGGATCGCGCGGACGGAGATGACCATATTGATTCTGAGTGGTTGATGTTGTCCGGATAAGTGAAGATAAAGCCCTGCACTTCGATTGAGGACGCCCGAAATGGCACGGCAATGGCAGCACTGTCCACTGAGGAGACCTTCGAGGAGGCCGAATGATCCCCCACCTCAACGTTTTCGTCTGATACCAAGTCATTGCTGCCGCTGTCCTCCGCTTTATTGCGCTTCGCAATTCGATTCTTCCTTGGCCGGCCGCGTTTGGATCGCTGTACAGGCTGTGCTTCGTCCTCGCCTTCACTCTTCGGAGCACCACCACCTTTCTTCTGCCGCATATACTGCTGCATCACATGTTTCTTCACCTGGGTCAGGTTGCTCCGACTATTATTCGAAGCGTCGATAAACTGCCACCGCATGTTGGATTCGTCCGACGTGTCTGGCAATGACATGACTGAGCAGTGATGCACGCCCGGCCGTGATGGTCGGCGTTGCGCAGAAGAAACCGACAACGGAGGACAGGGGGCTGATGAATAGTCGTCGTGCCACTTTGCCCCACTACTAAGCCCCCAATGATTTTACTTCCCATGACCATTAGTTGCTGCAGTTGTAAGCAGTAGAATAATAATTATTACTCAATTGTGTCGTGATGAAATCGGACCCCCCCTCCCAATGCAGTTAAGCGTGAGGATTCCGTGGTGGAGCCCGGGAGAGACCCCAAACACACGCTGGGGTAGGGCTGGCTTCGGCCTCTTTCCGGGTGTCCTCAGGTAGCCCCAGCCCTCCATGGAAATGCTCTTGCCGACAAATGGCGTCAGAAATGGACTACAGAATGAGGGCTTTGATAGATAGTAGCAAGGCATGTCAATTCTCTTGCACATGCATGTACGTCCTGGACTCAGTGAGACATCGGAAAGATTCCCCCAAAATCCGGCCGATCGCGATGGGCACGAAGAAAGAGGCTATGCTCGATTATGTCAACATACTAGCCCTGACAGAGTGGCTGCCGATCGTGACTGGTTCAGGATCCGCCCCCAGATAGAAGAAAATCCTAAATCCTTCAGCCATGTGGTGGAACCCGGGTTATCCGCCCGACCTTGTTGCTTTCTTTCTTGCCTTGGAGCTAGATGCAGGCTGGTCTATAGATTCTGTTGAACATCCGAGACCCCAAAGAGGTCTCTACGGAGTCTGACAACTGACAATTGATAATAAAATTGCCAGGGTAAAGCAGTAGCCACGTGGGCAAGTAAGACATTTTGGAACCTGTTAACCTCTTGGTTCGGTCCCAAACAACTAAAACAGGTTAACCTCCTAGTTCGATCCCAAACAACTAAAACAGGCCCGCTCGGAGATCATCAACGGCCACGGCACTCTGAACCCGAACCAGGCGCGCTAAGCACTGCGCCTTCAAAGTCGCCCCCAAAGTCTGCAGATAATCGCGAGAACCTTGTCGGCCACTAGCGTGTTCTTTACATATGCTTCTTCAGGAAAAGATGCTCCCTCTAATGGCAGTCTCCTCTTGATCATGTGATATAAGCAGAAACCAGGGGTGGATCTGGAGACCTGCCTATCAAGGAAATACAAACGGCCCGTTGTAAGAGCTAATAAATGAGCCTGACATGCTACCGAACGCCTGATATATATTCTATCTATCGAGATCTCGCATTCATTAATTCAAAGTAGGCTCGTTGCTGGTATTTGGATTTAAGCGCTGGGGGCAAGATCCAAGAATAGGTCCTGTTCTATTTTCAGAGCATACAAGCGGCCGTAGGGGGTGTCATCGTATGATCTACAGATGCTGCATGTTAAACTTCGTTCCTTCGCAAGACGTCATTCTTATCGTTACAAGAGCGATCCATTTGAAACCGCCTCCTTGCGCGGAGATCGGCTGATTGCCCAGCTAAGTAGAATGCACAGACAGTGGACCCGGACCCACGAGACGAACGTGCGAGGTATACTCCACTTCTGCGCTAGATGGCAGCAACAACAGCATCCGGTTCAGGCTCAGGTTCCCCTTCTCGAAAGAACTCCTCCTTTTCTTCGAGGGAGCAACCAGCCGCCTCCGGATAGACGACGTCTTGTTGTGCGCTTGGACTGCTGAAGTCGACGTAGTGCGCCAGCGCGGCTTCCACGCACATGGCTGTGCCCTACCGCTCTTAAACTGCGGGTTTCATATTCATACGCTGAAGGGCTTCGACAGCCTCGTCCCGAGCAGCTAGACGTCAAACAGTAGGTCATCGTCGCCTTTTCTGCCGAGTAATAATGACGGTCCAAAAAGATCTCGTCTTTTTACGGAGAACCTCTGTGCGTTACCCGATGCAGGCCGAGGAAACATTGTCTATACCAAACTCTCATGATGAGCCCGTGAAACTTCAACCAAGAGTGTCGAACATACCTCCCGATGGACTATGATAGGCACGGGTCATCCGGCTTGCCTCTCCTATAGCTCGACTACCCCCCGACCCTAGACGGGAGTCTTGAACGCGACTATGCTAATACTTTGGACCCCCAAGTTGGTGTAGTAGCAACAGCATCCGGTTCGGGCATAGGCTCCCCTTACCGGAATACTTCCTCCACTTCTTCTAGGGAGCAGCCAGACGTCTCCGGATAAAAAGCCCATACAAGCACAGCAGCCGTCCAATTGAAGGCCACAAAGCAGTAAAAATACTCCGATCCCAAGGATGTTAACGCGATAGGCGAGCACTGCGTGAAGATGAGGTTAAGGGACCAATTAGTCGCGGTAGCGATGGAGGAACCGCGGGCACGGATGGCAGTAGGGAAGATCTCCGACGGGTAGATCCAGGAGATCATGCCGAGCGCAGTGTAGAAAAGCGAGAAGACGAAAAACATAGCGATCGCCGCGCGCAGGGCGTCTTGGTCTGCGCTTGGACTGCTGAAGTCGACGTAGTGCGCCAGCGTGGCTTCTACGCAGATGGCTGCGCCCATGCCGGCCAGCGACGGGATAAGCAGCTTACGACGCCCGACGCTGTCGATGAAAGTCAGGAATATCGTGTTCCAGAGCTGAGCTACTGCGCCCCATACCCCGATGATCATTAGTGATGTCGATGTGGAGAGGCCTAGTGACATGTATAGTCGAGGTCCGTAGTTCTGAATCATGTTCGTCCCTGAGGTCTGCGTGAAGGTTTGCAGATCGCACGCTAGCAGGATCCCGCGGCGCCAGCGCGCCGTAAGGAAGAGCTGTCGCCAGGACCGGACGGCTGCTTGCTGCTCGTACAGCAGGCTCTCGTGGATCTGGGCGAGTTCGTGCTCGACCAGCGCGTTATTGCTTGCCCATCGGTTGAGAAGCAGCCGGCTTAGCACAGCGCGACCTGCTCTGTCTTTGCCCTTTTCGATGAGCCAGCGCGGTGATTCGGGGAGGAACCACACTCCGCAGGTGAGAACGACTGCTGGCACCACTTGAAAAGAGAGCGGGAAGCGCCAGGAGAAATTGCTGTCATGGAGAGAACATCCGTATCCGGCCCACTGCTGTTGGTCGGTTCATCATTTGCATGTTTGAACACCTCGGGACTACTCACTGCGACCATGATACCGAGGCCAATCATCCATTGCTGCATACTGGCGAGTAAACCGCGAATCCGGGGCGGCGCGACCTCGCTCTGGTCCTCTTGTCAGCTACGGATACGGTCCAGGTGCCAATTGACATACACAATATACGGGAATAGTGGCAGACATGAGACCAATGGCGAACCCAGCGGTGAATCGGCCAGCGATTAACATCGCGAGAGTAACCGCACCCCCCTGGAGCGCGGCCCCGAGACCGCCGAGCAACCCGCCGACAAAGATCACCATTCGGCGTCCGTAAAAGTCCGAGATATAAGGCGTGAGCACCGAGCCCGCGATAGCACCTCCTAGAGTGGATCTTAGACTTTTTTCTTTTCTTGAATACACATGACAGGCACGTCATAGGTTACCTGTATAAGAAGAGATTATGCCTCCAGTAGCCGCGTCCGATAAGCCCGGCGAGCCGAAGTAGCGTAGAGGGGCATCCTGGCTGATGCTGGATGAGGTGACGCCCGAGTCATAACCAAAGAGGAACGAGCCTAGGGCTGCGAAAGCACAGCAGAAGGTAACGAGGGTAAAGGCCATGATCCATTGATCAGCACGGCTGCCTAGGCCGGATCGGAGGAGCGTAGCCCATGGGGGGGGGAAGCATGCTTAAGAAGGGGAGAAGTTGGAGGTTAGCCTACAAGGGAGTCCCAGTGAGTCGAGTATAGTTTGTTAGTTAGTTTGAAGACGACCAGAATAGCAATTGTAATCATTGATGATCGCTGCAGGTCCCTGCAATCCCTCGTAGATCCATGAGACGCAATTTATGTAAGATGTTCGGGGACTTGCCAACATGCCGACGCAGCAAAATTCCCTCACGCGCAATTAACTCCGAGCCTTACCTAGTCACGGCACACCGCCACCGCATCTGGGCATGTACCCGTAGGGCATGGGTCGGGGTTATTAGATCATCATCGGATTATTCATTATTCATGCCGCAGTGAACCTAACGAACGAACTAACCTCTGATGATTATTTTCCACCTCACCACTCACCACCACCACCACTACATGCCTCTCCCCCGTCTCCAGCCATGGCGACGACCAGCCCGCATTCCGACGAGGATGATCCCAATCTACTCCTCAGTGACGCCGACCCCGCGACGTCCATGAGCTCCCAGTCCGTGCCCCTGCAGAAGCGCCGCCGAGTCGGGCGAGCCTGCGACGAGTGTCGTCGCAAGAAGATCAAGTGCGACGGGAAGCAGCCCTGCACCCATTGCACCGTCTACAGCTATGGTGCGCATCCTCCTCTCCTCCCCCGTCGCTCCGCACGTGGCTGACCATGTATGACTCTTCTAGAATGTACCTACGATCAGCCCTCCAACCGCCGCCGCAATCCCGCCCCACAGTATGTTGAGGCTCTCGAAACGCGCCTGCACAAGGCTGAGGCGCTGCTCCGGGCGGTACTGCCGGACGTGAACCTCGATGACCCGCAGCTAGATGTGCAAGCCACCAAACAAAATCTGGCCGCTGCACAAAAGGAGTCTCCCGGACCTGTGAGTAAACCGTCGGCCCCGACGTCCGGTCCGTCCGAGTCTGCGCCAGAAGGCGGGGAGGAGGGTTTGCTGGAAACCATGGTCGGTAACTCGGGCTTGTTGGATCGAGATGACCAGGGACACTGGGACTATCATGGACACACCTCCGGCGTCATATTCGCGCGCCGGCTCCGGAAACAGCTCGGTGCTGCGGACGCGCCTAGGCCGATGGCTCGGACCTCACCAATGAGGGCGAAAATGTTGGAAAGTCCCAAATCCATGTCCGAGTCGCCTCAGGACTCGACACTGCCTCCCACACATGATCTACCGTCACGAGCAGCTGCGCGCCGCCTGTGCCATAACGCGATCGATGACGCCTGTTCCTTGATGCGGTTCGTGCACGAGCCTTCCTTCTTCGCCAACCTCGAACGCGTCTACGACACTCCGCCAGAGCAATTTGGTAATGAGGAGAATGCGTTCTTGCCTCTACTGTATATCGTCATGGCCGTCGGATGTCTGTTCTCGGACGATGGAGTTGGTACTCTAGATGTGGCAGGCTATGAGAGTGCAATCGACCAAGGGTATGTAGTCAAAAGTCTCACGCCACTATCAAACTAAACGTGCTATAGATTTCAATTCTTCAAGGCCGGTCGACAATTGTTGGAGATTACCGATTGTCGCGATTTGACATCACTACAAGCGATCTGCTTCATGGTGCTTTTCCTGCAGTCTTCTGCGAAGCTGAGTACCTGCTACTCTTACGTGGGTATTGCGCTCCGCTCGGCGCTACGTCTTGGCCTTCATCGCTCCGTGGCCGCAGATTTCAACCCGGTTGAGCGAGAGCTGCGCAAACGCATCTTTTGGGTTGTCCGCAAGATGGATGTCTACGTCAGCACCCTTCTGGGCTTCCCACAGATGTTGAGTGACGACGACATCGACCAGGAATATCCGTTGGCGGTGGACGGAGAATTCATCACCGCAGAGGGCATCGCCCCAATGCCATCCGGCTATACCCCGTTAATGGCGGGTTGCAATGCACACACGCGCCTTTCCAACATTATTTTGAAAGTCGTCAAGTACATCTACCCTGTGAAGAATGCCCGGTACCGCTCGAAATCCGATCAGCGATACATGGTGAGCCACTCCAAGATCCGCGAGATCGAGCGTGATCTCCAAGCATGGATGGAGGAATTGCCTCCGGCCTTGCGTCCAGGGACGGAGGTGTCGCCACAACTGGAACGGTGAGTTTGTCCCTCGTTGATCCCGATAAACTGATCTAACTTCTCTACAGTATTCGACAGCTACTGCGCATAAGTTATGCCCATGTGCAAATAGTCATGTACCGCCCCTTCTTGCATTATGTGACTGGTGGTTCTCAGGCACGAGGCGTGGACAAGCGATCTTACGCTTGCGCGGCCGCGTGCGTCAGCGTCTCGAGAAACATCGTTCACATTACAACCGGCATGCAGAAGAGGGGTCTTCTCAACGGCTCGTTCTGGTTTACGATGTACACGACTTACTTTGCTATTCTTTCACTCATCTTTTTTGTGGTGGAAAACCCTGATTCACCAACGGCCAAGGACGGTGTCCTCAAAGATGCCATGGAAGGAAAGAATACCCTAGCTGGGCTGGCCAAGAAAAGTCTGGCTGCAGATCGGTGTTCCCAAAGCCTGAACGTATGTGTTCTGCCTACCCACTAGATCAACTGCCAGAATACTGATGAGAAACTGTAGTGTCTTTTCAAGACTCTGCCGGAGATCCTGAAGAATCGCCAGGGCTCGAAAGCGCCTATCAACCTCAAGCGCCCCGCGCCGCCAAGTCGTTCAACGGAGGCAGCCAAGACTCAAACTCAGCATACTCTGCCACATCGTTTAAGCAGCTTACCTGTCCAATCCGTATCCCAAGCTGGTCGGGGGGATGCCTCGAGCCGTCGACAAACGAGCCTGGATGATACGCAGAGTAATCGACCCACGGAGAGTGGTACTCAATCGGCATGGATAGCAGGGACGCCGGAGCTGCTAACTGAAACCATGTCTACGCCGGACCAGATTCAGACAACAAGTCCATTGAATCCTTCTATGCCCCAACAAGAAGCGTCGGGCCTTGCATTCTCCCAGCAGTTCAACAACCCGGCCAATCTTCCGGATCTCATGCCGATGATGTTTCCGTCAGATGACCCATTCGCATACCCCACTCAGCCCATGTCTACTCTGGAAGACGATCACTTCCGCCACGATCAACCGGGTATGTCTTCATCGCAATATTCCTTCGATCAAACAGGGATGGCGCCCACGACTCCAAGTGACCCGTCAAGCGTGGGCGTCACCACTCCTAGCTTCGAGGCCTTCCCCAATCTCCCGCATTTACCCAGCGGGACACCTTCTGGCATCAAATCGTCTATCCCCAGCCGTTTGCAGGGCACATCCCAACCCATGAGCCAATCCCGCCTACACTCCCCGATGACACAAACTCCAGTAAGTGGCAGCGAACAACTAGGCAGTCCAGACCTGGTGTCGATCCCCAACAACAACTTTGTGTGGCAAGGATACAACTTTCAGCCCTCGAACTTGGCCATGGAACAACAAGCCACGCAGCGGGACGTTTCTGCCAATACCCAAATGCAGGATTTCAATATGGCCATGGACATGGATCTGGGTATTTCGTTTGACGACCTGTTCGGCAATCGACCTGGCGGTGGCGGGGCGTCCAACGAAGAATGGATGCAGTGGATGAACGTGGGTGTTTGAGGCTTACTTTTCTGTTTTACACTTGGCTTTTCCTACGAAGATATGCAATCATGAGCAAAAAACGGTGCTTGGTACATAACCTGTTGATTGGATCGATACCTGAGGGTTTGGCGTTGGTTTTCGTTGCTGGTTTTCTTTTTTTTTTCTGCGTCGGTCATATGAAGATATCAGAAGTGAGCTCATCTAGACCCATCATAACTTGCTGATCTCGGTCGGATACGATACTTCTAATTTAACAAGAAAGTTTTCTTTTCCTGAATATCGACTCTACGATTTAAATAGCCCTAAAATAAAACACCTCCGCTGAATAAACTATATATACAAGAACGTGATACTTTATATACCATGCAACCTCAATCCAATGAATATTAATCACGCAAAATCCTTCGGATGAAAATCCCACAACCTCATCCGTTCTTTAATCCACCAAACGCCAACCATCTGCGCCCTACTGGCCCAGTCCGCCGCCTCACCTCCATACTTTTCCTGTATAAGCCCAGTCAAAGACTCAATATTCCACTCAACAATTGGCTCCTCCTCATAAAAGTCCAGCTCGGTATGCGTGAACCGAAATTCAAAGTCCACGGTCAGTGGCAGAATAAGCCGATACGGCATAGCCGCCGACCCAATGGAAAGCATTGTTCCGCCGGCGTTGATGATGGCGAACTTCCATGCTTCGCGGCCGAGATGCGAGTTGACGTACGGCCGGATCAGGGATTGGCCTTCGTACTGGTTTGCAAGATCAAGTGCGATTTCGGTGTCGACTTTGTTGAGAGATTTGGTCGATGTAAGGAGATCGAGGATTGTGGGGAGGATGGAGATTGTGGTTGCGTTGGCGACTGTTTGGATTCGGGGAAGGAGTGGGTGGTGTAGTGTTAGTGGCACAGCGAAGTTGCTGATGTGTCCGTTTTGGTACGTTCCTGTCATCGAGGAGTCTTCGTCGAAGGCTTGGCCACTGTTGTGGGTGGGAGGTTAGTACAGAGGGAAGGAAAAAGGGGTGATATGGTAGGCCTACTGGTCTCCGACAAACACGGTCAAAGTTTCGTTGGCTATCCCCTCCTCGTCAAGTAGGTCCATGAACTGGCCCAGCCAGTTGTCCACATAGCGGATTGTGTTCAGATAGGCGTCCAGTTTTTCATGTTTTGAGAAAGCCTGGGAATGTGGGATGTATTCCTTCTTCGTGAACTTGGAAGGTACACCCCACGGGTGATGCGTGGTACTGGTGAAGTGAGAGAGAAAGAGTCTCTGGTTCTTGTCAATGGTGTCACGGATCATATCCTTCAAATACGGACGGATCTCTTCTTCCGCGTATCTGCCCGCTCGTCAGTAAATGGTGTGCCCGAAAGACTACTGTGCGGTTCAAGACTCACCCGAAATAATTGATCTTCTCCATCTTGTGGTAGTACTTGGACTCGGGCTTATCGATATCCTCCGAGTACAAGGCCTGCTTGAAACCCAGCTGTGTGATGAGCTTGTCCTGGGCCTTGAACTGGCCCGTGACGGATTGCGCATAGATGGTGTTCCAGAGACGCTCGTGGGGATCTCCCCCATCGGTTTCGTTCTGTTTGAGCTGGTTGAATAATTCCAGCACCTGCATGAGGCATGGCTGGTACGACGTCGTGTCCATCTCTGCCATGAAATCCACTGGCAAGGCTTGCACGCCACAATAGTCCACGATACGGGCTTTGGAGCTGAGTGTGCTGCCTGTCGTCACGCCTTCGATATTGATCCCGCCAAACTTTTGGCTAGCAATTTCTGCGCTGGAGTTGAAGCCGGACGGTTGGCCCGTGAGCACCTCCGCTATGGGGGTCAACTGTGATAGAATCTCGTCGAGGTTTTCTGGTGATTCTTTGCCGCTGGACTCCCATGCTTCGAGAATATGGTCGTGTACTCGTGATCCCGCTTTGAAGGGGAACATATCCTGCCGGCCACTTTCCATCATCACCATGACAATATGCGTGATGGGAATGTCGCGTTCCTTCAGAGCCTCTTCCATGGGGGCTAGCAGGCCCCGATTAAGATTGGTAATTCGAAGCGGATCTGACGTGGGATTGTAAGAGTTGCGCGAAGCCCTATTTCCGTGTGGATCCTTCCACCGTTCAAACCCAGGAGGCAGATATTCCGAGGCCCATGCGGGCAACTCGGTCAGGTCGGTTTTGCCCGGGCTCCATCCTTTATAATGTCCATCTGAAGGCTCCCAGTATATTTCCTCCAGCAGCTCGGGGAAAGGGAACGGATTCACAACCCCAGGCTGAGGCTTGACCGAATGCGAGGCAGCGCCTGTAAACATGACGAAGGGCAGAGCACCGGAGATATGGTTAAATGGCACTGCTGGTCGGATGATCCAGAGAAACAGCGTGACTATTGCGGCCCGGATCGTCCACGTCCTCACTCCGCTCGATGGGGTCCTGCTGTTGTCCGCCCCTGGCAGCTGCTCGTCCGGGACATGGAGCCATTTGGAGAACACTGAATACATCCACTTCGTCATCAGGGGGTATATCCACGCCGCCAATAGCACCGAGACAACGAGCATGACCGTTGCCGCCGCGATAGTCGGACCGAGTCCACTTAGAATCAACATCATGCCCTGACGACTGTTTCCCACCGACTTGGCGGCGTCCCACCGGATCTCGCCTCCCGTTGCGTAGTAGAAACTAATCTGCGACGAGGCCGCCATAAGGATGACATATCTGTATAACAAGGAATTAATATCATTATAATGCCCTGAATGCTAGCGGACTGAAAGGGTAACTGACGCTAGAATGCTGGTGATGGTCACCGCACACACCGACAACCAACCCCACGAGGTATATAACAGAGCCCATAATGCCGCGAAAAGAAAGATCTCTTGAATAAAGAACGTCGGGAAGTAGATTGCCAAAAGATGCGCTTCACCGAACCGCAAATGCTGATATAGATGCAAGAACTTCGATGACAGAGCCGACACCACCACAATCGCAAAGGCCAGACGGTGTGGGGAAGGGAACTTGGAGAAAATCCTGCCGATCACATTGCAGGGGCGTCGCCATGTTGACGAAAGAAACGAACGATCAAACCCCATCTTTTGTCAAGCATCGCCGAGATAGAAAAGAGATCAGGAGTTAAATCGCAGCGCCAGAAATGAGTATATTTAGGGCCCCCAGCCCAACCGATCCTTGGCGTGGGCGCAAGGCTTGATGTGTCTCAGGGCTAGCGAGGCTGGAGAACCAACGAGACTTCGTCAGGACAGGGCCGGAGCCAATCAGTTGGCGACCTCGCATTTTGCGCCATCGGACGCAAAATCGCGCGCACCGATTTGTCGGTCCACTATTTGCTCTGGTCGGGCCTGAAATGATTAATAGTGGCAGCCGTCACCAATCCAACCAAGTGCTGGGGTCCACTTCGCCCTGCTATTTACACCCATGGCTAGTGTCGGATCATACCCGAAGAAGACGCCAGATGAGGTAAACCATCACGCGAGAATAGCAAATCAAGGTTTTAAACTCCTACAGAGTCTGACCTGAAACACCCCGACATTTCCCCCCACAAATGCGTAGACTATGCTAGGAACCGTTCTTTAAGTACTAGCTAACTGAATGTACATCTCGGATGAAAGCAATTAGTCAATCCTAAATCCTATCACTGATGCCCTGACGGGCCGCGGCAAAAAAAAAGACAATGCTGTCATGTGACTGAACTCAATCGAGATTGACATTATTAGCCTGTAGCCAGCTGTGTTTCATTATGGATCGAGTGTACTATGCCCCAGCATATATATCGCTTGAGATCCATAAGGATCAACCCATGAGGGTCAATTGTTGGAGATCTACATCCAGTAGGGTTGAGGTTATCTGACTTTAGCGTACTCTCACATTCCCTGCGACCCACTAATCTCATCCTTCCGTTCAACGACATGGCACCACCCTTCTCCTGAACCAGCATTGCTTGGAGTCACTTCGATGCTTGATTACTGAATTCCCTTGCCTGAATCGAGGGTGTCTCATCCCGGGTCTTCCGCCAATCCATTCGGATGAAGCCCTGATGATCTTCACCATGGCTTCCCTCCCCAAGCTCTCTACCGTCGTGAGCTGGTTCCTATACCTCATCCCTATCTACCTCTTCGTCCTCGACCCGATCCTGCGCCAGGTCTTTCCCGACTCAGTCTCGATTTACTCCAACGACGGCGACGACCTCCTTCCAGACGATGTCCCCTCCGGACTCAACCTCGACGACAGCTTCATATGTCTGGAGGACGGCGTGCCATTCACCTGTCCCGATGCCGCCGATGGGTACCGCGTGCATCTGCTGTCGCACGAGCCGCTGGTGATGTACATTGAGAACTTCCTGTCGGACGCCGAAGCAGACCATCTGGTGAATGTCAGGTATGATCTCCCCTCCCTTCCCCCCATCCACGGGGATGACTCTCTAATGTGTCCCACAATCGCAGCGTCGACAAGTACGCCCCCTCGATCGTCACCGACGGCAAAACCGAACGCGTCGACTCCTCCATTCGCCTCTCCGACCGCGCCCTCCTCGACCGCGACGACACCGTCCGCTGCCTCGAAGACCGAGCGCGGGCCTTCCAGGGATGGCGCCCACACCTCTACATTGAACGCATGTGGGCACAGCGCTACAACGCGTCGGGCCACTACCGGCACCACTACGATTGGAGCGGCTCGTGGGCCCGTGGCGGCGACCGCCTGAGTACTTTTATGGTGTACCTTGACGCAGACTGCACGGGCGGAGGCACAAACTTCCCGCGTTTGTCGATGCCGCGCGGGAAACAGTGGTGTCGGTTCTTGGAGTGTGAGGATGACGATCAACAGGAGAAAAAGCAGGGGATCACCTTCAAACCCATCAAGGGAAATGCTATCTTCTGGGAGAATCTGCGGCCGGATGGCTCGGGCTACCCGGAGACCTGGCACGCTGCGTACCCCGTTACGTCGGGGACGAAGGTCGGCTTGAATATTTGGAGTTGGTATCAGCCGCCGAAGAGGGGGAGGTAGGGGTGAGATGTGTTTATCTACATTTCACATAGAGACATGTCCACTATTGTCGCAATGGAGATGATGGGATATCTGCCCATCTGTGTTCTTCCCCCAAAACGGCCAGATGGTCACGTCTATATTGCCTCGCGAGGTAAATGAGGATACCAATAGGTACCCCCAAAGTACTCGCCATATGTCTTTTTTTTTTATACGGGGGAGCCAGACCATCGATCCGTAGTCGACATACTTTCGGTATCTGGTGGATACAGTGCGGTTGCCCATTCAGCTCGATCTAGGGATTCTAGGCAGACATGATCTGTACCTCCGCCCCCAACGCCCAGCCCCTACTGTAGCCTGGAGACTGGATGGTAGAATCTGTCCCAGCGCCGAGAGATCCAAGAGTCCCGCCCCGAGACATTGGCATTGCCAAGCGAGGGCATTTTCCTCACGAACTCCACTCCTCGTCCCCAACACACGAATGAACGGGCGGCACGGGGCCGGAACAACCGGACTCCCGGCACCACCAACATTCTCGGCGTGGGGCCAATACCGCAATCACGAGGGCGTGGCGCCCAGTCCGCTCCTCCTTGTCTAGGCACAAAAGGCTCGGCTCTTTTTCCTCCCCGGACAATTCAGTCACGGCTCCCCTTCTTCTCGTCCGGACACTCTCCTTCTTCCACTCTCTCCCTGTTCTCTTCGAACACTCTCCATTTTCCCCCGGCTTATATTCTTTCGTTGCTCCTCTGGTGTTGTCGCGGTGTTGCCCCTTTTCTCGCTGCTGCCTCGGTTAGGCTGACACCGAACGCGCCACGTCGCTCCATACCGATCATTCTGGTGGTGTTCTCCCTGGACGAGTTGCGTCCTGGTTGAATGCTAGGTGTCCCTTGGCTGAGTCGCTGTGCCTGGTTCTTTCCTCCGCTCGCACTGCCCAGCCCAATATCTTGGCGCCATGTCTGAGAACAACATTCACCCGCCCGCGCCCCACGTCGCGGCCGCACCAGCCCCCGTCGCGCCCGAGCAGCCAGTGCAGCAACCTGCATCGGTGACGGCGACTGCGGCTGCTGCCAGCGCGGCTGTCAACAGCCCCTCATTGAACGGCGGTGGCGAGCAACTGCCCTGTCAATGGGTCGGCTGCAGCGAAAAGTCCCCCACTGCGGAGGCTCTCTATGTAAGCTTCGACCAGCCTGCGGTTATCAAAACAATGAATCTCATATTCGAATCAGGAACACGTCTGCGAGCGCCATGTTGGCCGCAAGAGCACCAATAACCTCAACTTGACCTGCCAATGGGGCACATGCAACACGACCACAGTCAAGCGGGATCATATCACCTCTCACATCCGCGTGCATGTGCCCTTGAAGCCGCACAAGTGCGATTTCTGCGGCAAGGCCTTCAAGCGGCCGCAGGACTTGAAGAAACATGTCAAGACTCACGCCGACGACTCGGAAATCCGGTCGCCCGAGCCTGGCATGAAGCATCCCGACATGATGTTCCCCGGCAAGCCCCAAGGTTTGTCTTTCTTTCTTAATGCAAATGTATTGCAATGCCTGACTGGTGTTCTAGGCTACGCTGCTGCTGCTCATCACTACTTCGAGGCCCCTGTCAATACCGTATCGAGCCAACCATATACGCATGGCGCGCCGCACTACTATCAAGCGCATCCGCAGCACCCGCCCACTAACCCGCATTCTTATGGCAACGTATACTACGCCTTGAGTCAAGGCCAGGACGGCAATACCACGTACGATCGCAAGCGCGGTTACGATGCATTGAACGAGTTCTTCGGCGATCTGAAGCGGCGCCAGTTTGACCCGAACTCTTATACCGCCGTCGGCCAACGCCTCTTGGGTCTACAAGCGCTTCAGCTTCCCATATTGAATGGTCCCGTGGCCGAATACCAGCCGATGCCTGCCTCTGTCGCTGTTGGTGGCGGCGGTGGATATAGCCCTGGCGGCGCCCAAGCCCCTGCGTATCACCTGCCCCCGATGTCGAATGTGCGGAGCAAGAGCGATCTGCTCAACATTGATCAGTTCCTGGAGCAGATGCAGAACACGATCTATGAGAGCGAGGAGAACGTGGCTGCTGCGGGAGTTGCCCAACCCGGTGCGCATTATGTGCAGGCAGGAATGCACTATCGGGCTACCAACTCCCCGCCCACGCAGCTCCCCTCCAGCCATGCGACAGCCACCACGCCGGTTGGGCAGATGATGGCCGCCGCTTCTGCTCACTCTCCTTCCACTGGCACTCCTGCCCTGACTCCGCCCTCCAGTGCGCAGTCTTACACGTCCAGCCGCTCTCCCATGGAGATGCCCAGCACCCATCGTGTTTCGCCTCCACATGAGAGCGGTGCCAACATGTACCCCCGACTGCCTTCGACCTCCATGTCGGACAGTATGACCGCAGGCTACCCAACCTCGTCGGGCGCAGCACCGCCTTCGACTCTCGGCGGAGTTTTTGACCATGACGAGCGCCGTCGTTATACGGGAGGTACCCTGCAGCGTGCCCGCCCAGCTAGCCGTCAAGCCTCAGAGGACCGCATGGATACCTCTCACGACAGCAAGAAGGACGGTGAGCAGACCCCGACCGCCAAGCGCGCCACTCAGTTCTCGGAGAGCTTGATCGATCCCGCTCTCCATTCGAGCACGTCCCCGGACCCGGATCACGAAGCCGCCCAGCGGACCGCTCAGGCAGCCACGGAGGTTGCGGAACATGATGTCAACGTCGCGTGGGTGGAAAAGGTTCGCTTGCTGGAGAACCTGCGCCGCTTGGTGTCGGACTTGTTGGAGTCTGGCAAGTACGGTGCCGAGTCGCCCAGCCACAGCTCGAGCGGATCTACATCCGCCGATGTCTCCATGGCCGAGGCTGCAAGTGCTCGGGCATCCCCTACGCCTGAGAAGATGGAGGAGCCTAGCAAGCCCATAGGGGATGCAATTCTCTACCCAACACTTCGGGGTGTAGATGAGGATGGGGATGCCAAGATGCCCGGCGACGATGCCTAAACGGAGCCGTTTCCTTACTTTCCAATAACGCTGTCATGACCCATTATTTCTTTCTTATCTTCTGTCCTCTCTCTCCTTTTACAACTCAATTGAACAATTTCTCTTTTTTTCTTGTGTCTACTTTTGATTATGCCTACCTACCCACAGCAACGATGGTCTCTTCTCCTTGAATCGCTTCTTCGCGTGCCATTGTTTGTATCATTATTATTAAATGGAATCATGCTATTTATTTACGGCTGAGGTTGTTTGCAGAACGTAGTAGTTAGTTTATTTGGTTATATAGGTTACATGTGCCTGTCCGTGACGATCTGGACTCCATGCGGCGTCGCATCCGGCGGAGATGTCAACCTCCCGATTGGGACAAGCAGCATTCCAGTGGGTGTGGGCCAGACTGGATCCGGGGCAGTGACGCAAACGATTTGGGGCAGTGTTCCTGTTCAGCAAGGGATCACCGGCAGAATTAATCAGGGGGGTTCTTGTGCAGCATGGTGAGGTGATGTATAGATTTTGAGGGTTGGGTGTGTGTATCGTGTCCGACTATTCGCGTGTCTACAGGTGAGGATACTACGACTACACAAGACAAACAATCAGAACGATCGTTCTTGACCACTTCCTCAAACCACTAAACCTATAGCTAGGCCATTCCATCTGCCCCGCCGCCCTAGTTTACAGTCACATTGGCCTCTGCACTCGGAAGCGTTGCGCGAACCCACATAAGGCGTCATCTATTCCCACCGAGCAGGCCACTGTTTATGGCATTTGATTGAATGTCTTTTTTTCCTTTTCGTTCCTTTATTTTCTCCTTCTTTTCTCACCAGTTTTCCTAGTATACTTGTGTATACAACTCCCTCGCAAGTCACGCTCCCCACGCGACGTAAGGCGGTCAACCCCAAACAGACGCCATCGCGTCGATCGAGGACTATCGATAATAATCAATCAACTCAACCACCACCACCAACCAACTCCGGCTCTCCTCCACTGGCCTCAGAATCAGCCTGTTCTGCTGCTGGCTCTGGGTGCTGTGTGTCTGTGCACTCGTGTTTAGTTTCCTCTACTCACTTTTGTTCCCTTCCCGCCCGGTTCGTTTGGTCGCGGTGGCAAACCCGCTGAAATCGGTTCGCCGGCTCTGACGCCTTTTCATTCTTTGGTTCTACCTCTGAGCGTGCCTCCGAGACTGGGGCACCCGCCGAAACCCGGTTCGAGTTGTGACATTTGTTTTTTTCTCCTCCCGGAACTGCTTGTCGACTTCGCCTCTTTTTTCGCCTTCGCTCCAGTGGCCCGCCCCCCGTGTTGTTTTTGCGCACACACACTTCGAGACACAACACCTGGCTCTGGATTCCTGCGGTGCATACTACGCAGCATCTGGAAGAAAGGAAGAAGAAAAGTCTTTTGTTTGTTTGTGAGAGCGTGTGTGGACTTCCGCCGGTACGGAAAAAATGCCGCTGTCGAATCGCCGTCGCGCGCGGCGCAAGGAAATCCAACTGCAGGAAACGTCGGATGTCGAGGCGCCGGACTCATCGCCTAGTCGGCCATCTAACAAGAAGCGCAAGGTGAGTTCTGGAACTGGTGTGCGTGTGTGGCTGGGGGCGCGCAGGACGCAATGTGCTGACTGGGGATTTCTTATCTGATTGCCAGATTGACCGCCGCACCGAGAAACCTGTCAAAACCGAGTCCGGCGATGAAGCCGAGGAATCAGCGGGCGAGCATGACCCCTCGACTAACCAGGACCTGGTCGATTTGGTGATTTCGTACCTCAATACCGCCCGTGAAGAGCTGCGCGTCACACGCGACCACTCCAACTCCAAGACCGAGAATAAGCAGAGCATCCAGGCCTATGCGAAGATTGCGGGTCGTAATTGGACGTACTACGTCAAGACGCTGCATGTCAATATTGGCCGTGAGCCCGACCGCGAGCAGAGATCCAATGAACAGTCTAGTCCAGTCACGATTGCTGCTCGCGCGCTGCCGGATGTCCATGTTGATCTGGGCCCAAGCAAGTTCGTCTCCCGTCTGCATGCGGAGATCTTTTACGATGGCGAAGAGACACCCGCCTGGCATATTCGAGTGAACGGCCGCAACGGCGTGCGCTTGAACAATTCGATCGTCAAGCGCGGCTCCGACGCCATCCTCTCCTGCGGCGACATTATCGAAGTCGCCAACACACAAATGATGTTTGTTACTCCCGGAGATGATGCTCACATCCACCCGAGCTTCGTGGAGCGCGCTCAACGCATCGCCAATGGTGAAGAGCCAGATCCTGCTTCGAACGCGTGGGACGCTTCTCAACATGCCCACCCGTCAAACTCGCAGGCAACCGAACCTGCGCGGCCATCTTCATCCGGCGGCCCCTCATTAGCTCCTGCGCCACAATTCCTCAAGCGCCAGGTGACGCCGCCGCCGCGGTCGCCGGACACCATTGGCGCGCGCACTGCCAAACAGTCGCCGCTGTACAACCGAGGCATGATGATGGAAAGCACCGAGGAGATCGACTACAGCAAGGATGGAGCCAAAGACCTGAAGCCGCCATATAGCTACGCTACGTTGATTGCGCAGGCTATCTTCTCCAGTGAGGAAGAGAAGCTCACGCTGAACAATATCTATAACTGGATCATGGAGCGATACGCCTTCTATCGGCATTCGCAGAGCGGCTGGCAGAACTCCATTCGGCACAATTTGTCTCTCAACAAGGCGTTCCAGAAAGTCCCGAGGCGGACAGACGAGCCTGGCAAGGGCATGAAGTGGATGATTGCCGCGGAGTACCGCGAGGAGTACCGGAAAAAGCAGATGCGCAAGGGCACGCAGTCTTCTGCCCCGTCATCACCTGCTACCAAGGAGCCTCCTTCGTCGGCGCGTGGCACTCATGTCACAAGCTTGGACACCTCGTTCTCAGCTACAGCCAAGAAATCTCCACCGGTGTCGTCGCCTGGATTCAGCTCGTTCCCGGTTGCTCCCGTGGAAGCCTATACGCCCGAGCGTGGCTCGCGGCTCGGCCGTGGTGTTGGCTCTGATCATCCTCTGCGGCATATGAACCCGCGAGACCACGAAGAGCCGTCGCCGCTCCCAGCTCGTGTCCACAGCAACGCTACCAGCGGCTCCAACGTGCCGAGCAGCAGCAATGCCAACGCCACCCGCGGGTACGGTCTATCAGACAATGTCGCCGGGTCCCCACCAGTGCTGTCCTCGTCATACTACGACGAAGGACCCTCATCAATGATCACACCCGCACCCCAACGCCAACAACCCCGCCTCCCACCTCCCAGCACAGCACAGATTCCATCCAAATTCATGCCGATGAGCTCCCCGGCTCAGTTCTGGAAATTCGCAGACATCGGCAGCACGCCTGCCCGCCCTGTACCGGACATGAGCCCGCTAAAGGGCGAGCCAGATGACCGCATTATCGCCGGGTTCCCCAGCAGCAGTCCCCCGCCTCCGAACCTGGCTAGTCCCAGTAAGCCGGGTACATCGAATGGACTGGGATCAAGTCGCACTCTGCCGCCGTTGCAGTCCGAGCATGGGGAAATAGGTGGTCCCAATAGAACACATCAAGAGGAGCACATGGAAGAAGAAGATGAGGATGATGGTGGTGGTGGAGGTGGATTCGACTTGGCTCGGTATGCACCCCCTACCTTTTCTTGCTCTGTCTCTGGAACAAGAACTAACTAGCTTGAACTTGCAGTGGCTTCCAACCTATCGGCTCATACCATCGCCAATTGAGCAATGCCGCCCGCGCCACGGCTACATAGGGCAGTCTGTCTCCCAGATATACTGTACAACACTCCAGACTGCATCCTCAAAGATGATTGTGACGTGAATTTTGTTTTTGATGCGCATATCACGCACGGTGTTGGCGGTTTTTTGTTTTCTGTTCTTTTTTTCTTATTGACTACTTTGTTTTGTTTGAGCAAAGGAGTTCGATTTTGCGCTTAGGAGATAGGGTTTGATTCGGCGTCATTGACTCCTTTTGTTTCAATTTTGTTTTCTTCCTGTTATTGTTTATTTTTGGGACGGTTTCTTTTTTTCATTCGTCTGTCTGTTTTCGTTAAGATGGCGCTGTTTGTACAGAAGAGAGCTCTCGGAGTGACTATGCCAAAGAACTGAGACTTTTTCTTTTAACAATTGTGGTTATGGATCTATAGCTAGTTGCCCGTCTAGCAAATTGATTCTTCTGCCATGTTCAAGTTGTTTCCTACGATTTAAACCTAATCCACGGATGTAGAACAAACATAAATTTAACCTCTACAATATGTTCTCCTCACTAATAAAGTCATCCATTAAGAAAACTCATAGACCCCGACACAAAACTCGGATCTATTATGAATCTATTATACTCCCACGAGAACGCCATATATAGAACCAGATGTGTTTTACACTCAAACAAGGTCCATGCACCGAAGGAAAGCAAGTCTTGCCCGGAGGGAACTAACTACTATGAAGCAAGGTTTTTCCAGGATTCCTACATCACAGTATATTGACGCCGGTGTCGTTGAGGATGTTCATCACAATTTGGGGGCGAAACCATAATGTCTCTTATGCCTGGGCAAGGCTGCTGACGTCTGAGGCTTAGTTTGCGCTAGTCGGCGTTACCCTAAAATCATTTGTGGTAATGATTTCGCATGAATCACCTGCATCCAGCACAACATAGAGAAAGAAACATCGCTTTTCAACTACTCTACAGTCAGGCACGCACATCTGGCCAAAACCTCTCCTCCAGCCAAATCACTTGCCTCCACCAATCGAGACATTGTCCGCGCATCTTTTCTGCCTCCTCAGCACCCTTAATCTGGTTGGCCGTCTCATCCACTATATCGCCAATGCAATTGACAAAAGCCTCGAAGTCTGGGCTCGACCAATTGGGAATGAACCTTTTGCGCAGCGCACCGCCATCCGCGTCCGCCGCACCCCCGGCCGCACTATTCTTCTTCGCTTCTTCACCATCTTCCCCTTCCCCATCCTTTCCCTCCATGAACGATGCCGCATACTTCCACGATCGCAGGTAACACACCTCTGTAGCCCACAGCACCACCAGACCTTCCAGGGTTGATACCCCAGCGCTGCCCGCCGACATGAACAGGTCAATATAGGCGCGCGTGGTGTGAGTAGCAGTAAAGGAGACCGTGCCACCTCTCTCCAGCGGCTCAGCAGAGACATGGTCAATGGACCGACAAGCCGGGTCACAAACCCCATGCGACTCAGGATTCACCTGGCTCTGCTCCTGCGCTTCCCGCTCTTGGAGAGCCTGGCATTCAGCCTGGGATGCACACCGCCCATACACCTCCGACTCTCTTTCCCCGGTCTCGGTGCTTTTCCCTTCGCACCCGCCCGTGAACCCAGGACAGCTGCCCGAGCCTGAGGTCGAGATCTGAGCCGAGGTAGTGATATTTCCGGATCCGGACTCCGCGAGTCCTGCGCCACTCTCCGTTGAGATGGCAGTCAAATCAAGCCCGTACTCTGCGGCCGTTTCTTCAAAGAATTGCAGCTCAGTGCGGATGTTGACTAGCGCGTCGATCAGAACGTCCGTTGCGTGCTGCTCGGGTGTGGCATTGCGTGGCGTTGCACTCGTAGGGTTCTGTGAGGGGATTCGAATTTTGGACAGCAAAAGGCCGATGAACCGGATGTAAGCTTGCGCGTAGAGTCGGTCTTGTGAGAGCCATTGCGACAGCGTGGCTTTGGGTAGTTTGCCACGGCCGGCAGCGCGGAGGAACGGGTGTGTAGTGGCACGGGTGAGGGCGTGAGGAGCATTGGAGAGCAGGTAGGTGGTTAAAAGAGCATGACTAGTCATTTTGGACCTGCTCTGTGGGGGCTCGTTGGGAAGAGGCGAGGTTAGCGCACAAGCGTGGTGGGTGGGAAGACGCGAAATTGATGTGATGATGGTGTCAGATCTGATAAGGAACCTTACTAGGGTTAGCTAATCGTACAAGAAATCCATAAATTATTCATCATGGCAATCTACACAAGCAACTCATCCGAGCCACAACCAAATTGCACGCTCCAGAATCGAAACAATCCCAATCGTAATCTTCATCCGGAAAAAATGATAATCAAAGAAGCAAATGAACCATCATCACCTCATCCCGAGGGGATCCTGCGTGACATTTAGATTCGACGCTCGCCCGCGTCTGACGTCTCCCCCGACTCCTCCAGCACCATCCGGATCAGGGCTTCCAGCGTAAAGTGCGCATCATTCCCCGCATTGTGAAGATTCATAGACAGGATGTTCAGAGCATGCAGAATGTGTTTCAGCGACCGGATGCCAGTTTCGCCTCGCAGGCTCTTGAACAGTTTTGCCGTGTCGTACACCTTGCGGTTGTCGAAAAACTCGTTGTTTGCCGCGTCGGTAAACATCGCGCACCCTGCGTCGCGAAGGTGCTTCAGATCGCCGACAGGGTTGTGTCCCACCAAAATCACCTTGCGCGGTCCCTTTCTGTACTCCGGGACGGCACCAAATCGGTCTTTACTGGCCGAGTAAGGCGGAACGAAGCAAGCATCCACCATCGTGGGCAGCTCCACCAGTGCAATGAACTCGCTCTTGCCAAAATCAAACCGGTCCGGGCATCCCTTGCAGTACTCTTTGTTGATAATGTGGCGAAATTCAATGATCCGGAAGTGGCGCGAGTGGATTTGCTTGATCCAGTCAGTTCCAAAGTCGCCGGGCGGAAGGCCCTTCAGGTCCAGCGTGTCCAACATTGAAATGCCAACTTCCGTCACCTGCTCGGGAATCCGCTCGTTCCATTCGATGTCAATGGCGATGAAGATCGGCTCGTCTTCGAACGGCCAGGGAACAGGGCGATAGACATTAACAGGAGGGAGATACTGCTTCTCACCTCCAGCCTCCTGGATCGGGGGACGCAGCCCAAAGTGGGCAATGGTCAGCTGCAGGCGGTTGCGCCACTCTTGCTCAATCTCAAATTGCTTCTGTAACTTCTTAGCCGTGGCTCGTTTCTTCTGCTTGATCGCTTCGATCGCAGCCTCGACTTTCATTTCAAAAGCCTTCGCGGCTTCCGGGTCACACTTGTTCACCCACTCACCCCAGTTGTCTGGCTGCGCTGGAATGCTCAACTCCAACTGCTCCTTGGCGTGGCGACTCGTGCTTTTGTCCAGATAGATGGGACGAGGGGTTCCGTCGTTGGGGAATGAAAGCAGCAAGCCCCGCTGGTCTCGAGGCTCGAAGCACAACTGGCAATGGTAGAAGGCGTTTATTTGCGTCAACAATGCCTTGGCCTGCAGAGCTGGAACGAGGAGCAGGGGCCTATGATAGATGTTCGGGGGAACATACAGAAAGTATCTGAGACGATATCAGTTTGGATACCCATCAAGTTGATTATATCGATGGTTACTTACAAATCCCAGTGCCGGTTCCAGAACTTATTCCCATCGAAGAATCGCGAAGCAACCTTCTGCGACATCTCACCCCGAAGGTACCGGTAGGGGAAACGAGACAAGGCAACCACGGGACAGAAAGACTCCGCAAGTGTGACATCGCTGGGCCACCCGGGTCCCTGGGTGGAAGAATCGACGTCAATCGCTTCGTTGTCGAGGTGCGCAACCGCTTCAAGCTCGTGGGAGGTGCTGTCATTCTGGTCCACAGTGGGCAAGATAGCCTGCCCCGAGTGGTCCTGGTTATCAAGTTGGTCCACGCCAGTGACACGGGAACGGATGTATGACAGGGGAGCAATATCGTTTGAAGTAAAGAAGAGAGGAACTTCCATCGGCGTCATCCAGTCGTAGGAAACACTTACATCGGCGGATGCCTTGGCTGGAGCCAAGGCCTCAGGAGACACTCCACAGATGGGAAATTTCAGCCCTAGGGCTCTATTCAGGAGTTCCTGGTCTTCCTTAAACAGGAGCTTCAGGCGCTCTTCTTTGTCCATGTTGAATGAAAAAGAGGTAAAAAGACGGGGGTAAATGAAGGCTGAAAAGCAGGACACGAAAGCAAAGGAAGGAACAGCAGGCAGCAAAACAGGAGTGAGTGAAGCAGACTATCAGAAAACAGTCGACAACGGAGCAGGTGTTGGAGAACAAGAGACGAGGCACACCTGGTAGAGAAGTGAAGGATGATGAAACAGGTGATGGAGAAGCAGGATATGAGAAATCTGAAGATGTTCTGGGTAGAGATAGATGGAAAAGATATGTGGATGGGAGAGGATATTTGAAAAACAAAAGGTGTGAAGGAGAGGAAAGAAAACGACATCAGAGAAGGCCTTTATACGCAGGAGCGTCGTTGCCTGCGACGACATCACAAGTGATTAAACACTGCCCAGAATCCTTATCTATATGTTTCTACGTGATGTAGAGTATCCAGACATGTTACGGCGAATTTGACGCTATTCGGAGGTCCTCTTAAGCTTGTCCGGCCACGGTCTCTCCCACCGAGACACTTCCTGGGTGCAACATCACAGAAACCTGGTGGCAATAGTATATCTGTATTCTAGTAGAGCTGTTCACGATATGCAGTCTCGACGATATTATCGTGCGATATTATCGCAGAGATTTTAGTCTAACGATACGATATAGGATAATGAAAAATCCTAACGATATCGTATCGTGAACAGCTCTTTATTCTAGCCCTATGCGCAACTCTTTATGCCCTTTTTTTCCTTGCAAAGGAGACGCAAACAGCCTCAAAGAAATCGTGCAGAGTAGTTCATGACAACAAGGGCTCGATCATCCACGTGACTTTCTCGGAACAATGATCATCCGCAGATTGGCCTCCTGTTTGGAAGGTGCAGCTCAACCACTTCAGCTCCAACCAGAATGCCCCGCTGAGTCGCTGGGTCGCTGAGTCGTCAAAGGGGGTTTTCCTCTCCTTCCTTTGTTGTTTTATTATTCTTCTTTCACACAACTGCACAATGGCCCTGACTGATGACACGGACGAGAGCGGAGGGGTCATCCTGGACGGTCCCTTCGATCCCGACGCCCAGGCGACAGTGACAGACTACATCGACTATACCGAATACCTCCCTGCCGACCTGATCCGCTCTCTGACCCTGATTCGAGGCCTTGATGACCGTTACCTTGATTCTGCCCAGACTGTACACAATCTAGCCAAGGACTACGCCCAGCTCCCTGAGCTCCCCTTCGAAGCGCGTCCCAGTGCAGTGGCCATGCGCAAGGATATCTCCAAAACCCTAGATCGCGCCATCAATGCGCGTGAGTCTGCATACGCTGAGGCCTGCCGCCTTTACGATGTTGTCGATCGCCACTTCGACCGACTCGACTGCATCAGACAGAAGCTCGAGGCGCTACCCAAACCTTCGTCGCGCGAACCAACACCAGTCCCACAGCCAACTCCCAAGCGTGTGCGCTCGGGCAAAAAGGCAGATTCTACGACTCGTATCACCTTTCGCCTGGACAACCGCAAACGCCCTGTAAACCCAAAATCGCGATCCCGACGCTCGACCATACCCAGTGGGCGTCTCTCGGGCCTGCACCCAGATTCTCCTATCGCCAGCACGGAACAATCCGATGTCGAAGCAGAAGTGATCCGCAAGCCTCGCCCTCCAAAGAAAGAAAAACAAGCACGACGCCACAGCGCAGGCGCTGGTGTCTCGACGAGCAATGCTCTCGCTTTGCTAAAGCCGCCGCCGGCCGATGCCAAGCTCGGAAGCGAAGATCTGCCTTGGTTGCGACTGACGGAGTGGGAAATGACCAAGCTACGGAAGAAGATGAAGAAAAATGCAGTCTGGCAGCCCAGCGAGGTGATGATTCACCGTGAGCTCGCCTTGGCGGATCGGGGATGGGAAGCATACCGAGCTGCCAAGGCCCTGGCCGAAGAGACCGGCGTCGAGCTTATCGACTGTGACAACATTGAGAAGACCCGTCGCGGCGAAGTGCCTAAGGAGCTTGAAGAGACCAAACTGAGCAACCGCGGCATGAAGCTGAACGAAGCCAAGAAGCTGAAACGGGAAATGCTGGCGCGAGAACAGGCGGCAAACGGTGTAGGCGGTCCTGCTCTACCAGTCTCTGCTCAAGCAACCCCGACTAGCAGCCGAGCGTCACGAAAGCGCAAACGAGATGAGATGGCCGAGGAAGCAGACGTTGTTCCTGAGCCAGCCCCTGCCCCGCCGTCACGAGCGGATCCGAACCGCCGCAGGTCTAATCGAGGAGCCGCTGCACCATCTGCAATCATGGCACACGCGGAGGCAAAAGTGTCGCCTCCCCTGGTGTCTCCCACTGAATCAAAGCGCTCCACGAGATCCGCTGTGCACCCTGTCAACACGCCGACACCTCCAATGACCCGACCCTCATCGCGCCGGTCTGCAGCCGCCACCATTGAATCGGGTGCTATCTCGGGACTGGCCAACGCTGCCACAGTGGGTGGAAGAGACCTTCGCATCAAAAGCGCCACTCCCGCGCGCAAGACGCCTGTCCGGGAGGCTTCGCATGCTCCCAGCGTCCCCGGCCAGACTCGCCGACGCAAACGTCCTGCGCCCGGACCCGTCTCTTCAGGCCAAGATGGTGGCGCTGCTGTCAGCTTCGGGCGCCGCAAGGCAAAACCTGGTAAAAAACACCTCAGCGCGCGCGACTCAGCGGCGCAAGATGTCCGCGTCGACGAGGATGGGGTGCTGGAGGAGATCGATGCCAATGAACCACGTTACTGTATGTGCGGAGATGTGAGTTTCGGGACAATGATCTGCTGCGAGAATCCGGATGTAAGTCTTCTTCCCTCGACCCGTTGGAGTTTTTTGCTGATCAACATTGCAGTGTGATCGTGAATGGTTTCATCTAAGCTGTGTCGGCCTTTCCGATGTGCCTTCGCGAACTGCCAAATGGTACTGTCCCGAGTGCCGGGTCCGGTTCCACAAGGGAGTGGACGGTATCGTCCGAGGCGGGTCAAGGCGGTAGCTGAGAGATGAGTTGCTTTTACTTCTGTATGATACCATGATATCTTCTTTTTCCCTGTCAATTCCGGTGTTGGGTCTTGTTCGGCGTTTTTAATCAACGGAAGGAAGGATCTGTATGTGAGTTTAGCTGGGGTTTGTTTTAGGGCCAGGCCCGGCGATAACAATTTCATCAATTCGTGCGCAGCATGTATGGTGATATCTAGCCCTATTTCATTCGTAGTCTTCAGATACGCAATGGGCTCAGTCACTCGGCAGTCAATACATAGTGGCTCGACACCAAGGGAGATAATACCCAACCTTACGACTAGACCGTCGAATATATAGAAATGCAAACTATCTAACCCCCGAATCAACAAATTTACTTCAGCTCCCACTTCCCACCCTCCGACACAATTTCCACCGGCCGGCGCTCATCCAGGGACACCCGGCCCGCATCCAGGATGGCCGTAGTGGCGATCGTGTTTTGTAGAGTGGGCAAAGGCCGCTTGTCTAGCTCGTCGAGCGTGACTCGGCCCTCGTTGACGGCCGTGACGGCGTCTATGAACTTCTCGAAGCTGACGTAGCCGTAGCCCGTCTGGCCGCCGAAATTGCCTTCTTCGTCAGGTGCGTAGCGCATGTAGAATCTGCGTTCCAAGGAGTATAAGTATTGATACACCGAAAGAGAGCGGGAGGATGTTTCGTTCTTACGGGTTCACCCAGATCAGGCCCTGGTCATCGCCTGTGACTTCGTAGCCGCGCTTGGCTTGGTTGACGCGGATCTCGCCGTTGGCGGCCATATCTATGAGGATGTTAGGATGTGTTCATAAGCGAAGAGGCGGTAGGCGTTACAATGGAAATACTGATTTGAATGCACGCCGGCATTCTGCGGCGCCGTCCAGCTAGCCGTATAGACACCCGTCGCAACCTTGCCCGGGTTATCCTTACGCCGCCACTCAACCAGCAGGGTGATTGTATCCTCGGTCTCGGGGACACATCCCAGCGCGGCAGCGGTGCCCTTGGATGCCGTCGCAGTGACGCGCACAGGGTGATACTCCGGCACCATGCTCTCGCAGATATCGACATGGTGCGAGTTGAGGTAGTACGAGATATCGGAGTCCCGGCCCGCCCAGGCCTTGAAGGTCTCGAGCTGGCTCTTGGGCTGGCTCATGTAGCTGTAGAAGTAGTTGAAGTCGCCCAATGTGCGTGCCTTGGCCCGCGCATCCGAGTACGCCGGGTCGAAGCGCTTGTGATGCTCGATGAAGACGAAGACACCGTGCTTGCGCGCAGCCTCGAGCAGGGCTATGTGGTCTGCTAGACGCTGCGTGGCGGGCTTGGTGATCATCACATGGATGCCTCGTTCGATTGCGTACAGTGCGATGGGGAAGTGGGTTGGGTCGGGCGTGAAGATCGTGATGGCGGATCCCTTGGGCAGGGCATCGATGGCGGTCTTGTATGCATCGGGATCGGTTTGGGTGTCGGCGGGGAACGAGGCGAATGAGACATCGAGGTTGTTGTAGACCTGCGAGATGTTGCGGTGCAGGTGGTCGCCTGCAGAACAAGACAATCAGTTAGTGTTGATTCTCTGTATCTTCAGAGAGACTCACGAATGCCTGGGAATTTCTTGCCCGACACGCCCACCATGCTCAGTTCGCTCACCTTGCCCCGGCGGCGCAGGTCGAACAGCGTCAGTCCCACGACGCCGACTTTCTTATCAGAGCTCGACGCGCCACCGCCGACGAAGCCGGTGGTGTACTCGCCGGTACCGACCATCAAAACGCTGGGAGGAGCCATGGTGATGTTAGGGATGTGAATGGATGTAGGAATTACAAGGAGAGAAGGAATCACAGAAGAAAAGATGGGGTGCATGGAGGTCCAACATGGAGCCATGACTTAATTCTTCCGGCGTTTGACTCCAATAGCCGATCGTCATCGCTGCATTGTGTTCTGGACTTAACAACAACTCCTTCTTCTTTTTCTTCCTCCTCTTCCTCTTTCTGACCCCAATTGCAGTTCCCCCTTTCCCTATCAATTCCTGCCTTTCAGTGAATCCTTTCTCTTCCAATTCTTCCCTTCTTCAACCACCAACTAGTATATTCCACTCATGCCACCTTCTTGCCCCACGAACCCCACATTATGCCGAGTTGCTGATTCGTGGAACTGCAATTCTCCGTTCGGAGCATTCGCCGACGTGGGGGAGTGTGTACATGGTTAATTATGATGATTACCCTCTAGGTGTCTTCTCTTCTGCTTCATCAAGAATCCCTCGCACAGTGTCACTCGTCAACCATCCACCATGTCGCCCACTCCCCTCCGCCCCGGCGTGTACGCGCCCACCATGACCTTCTTCGACGCCAACGAGGAGCTCGACACCGCGGCTATCCGCCGCCACGCCGTGCGCCTGGCCAAAGCCGGCCTGGTCGGCCTGGTGACGATGGGCTCCAACGGTGAAGCCGTGCATCTGACGCGCCAGGAGCGCATGACTGTGACGCGCGAGACCCGCTCCGCCCTCGACGAGGCTGGGTTCAGCAACGTCCCCGTCATTGCCGGCGCCAGCGAGCAGAGCATCCGCGGCACCATCGAGCTGTGCAAGGAGGTCGCCCAAGCGGGCGGCGAGTATGCGCTTATCGTTCCTCCCAGCTACTACCGCGCTGCCATGGGCAACGACGAGACGCTCTATGAGTTCTTCACGGCTGTGGCGGATGGCTCGCCAGTGCCCCTCATCCTGTACAACTACCCGGGCGCCGTGGCCGGCATCGACATGGACTCCGATCTCATCATTCGCATCTCCGCTCACCCCAACATCGTCGGCACCAAGTTCACCTGCGCCAACACCGGCAAGCTGACCCGTGTCGCGCGCGCTCTTGGCGCCGTCACCCCGGCCTCGCCGCTGGCTCCAGCCCAGAAGCCCGCGCCGACGGTGGCCAAGCCCGACGCAAAGCACCCCTACGTCGCTTTTGGCGGTATCGCCGACTTCAGTCTGCAGACTCTTGTCTCTGGGGGCTCTGCTATCCTGGCCGGTGGCGCGAACGTCATCCCGCGTCTGTGCGTGCGTATCTTCAGCCTTTGGAGCGAAGGCAAGCTCGCCGAGGCCATGGAGGCTCAGCAGCAGCTCAGCGCTGCTGACTGGGTTCTCACCAAGGCTGCTATCCCTGGCACCAAGTCCGCTATCCAGTCCTACTACGGCTACGGTGGGTTCCCGCGGCGGCCACTGGGTCGCCTCAGCGAGGCTCAGGCCCAGGCCGTGGCGGATCAGATCAAGGATGCGATGGAGGTTGAGCGCTCCCTGCCAGACATTGCATGAGACCGTGCGGGCGCTGTGTATATAGGGTTATATTATGATTACATATTTTAAACGATCTGGCCAGCAAAAAAAAGGCATCTGAAAGAAAATAGCTCGAATCCACTATCTCATAGCCTATGATCATAGCCCAGAGTATTTTCACTGGGGGCCGTCGGCAAATTTCCATAGGCGGAAGAATAGCGAGTGCGGGTCGGAGATGATACGAGACAGACTTTATCGGCTTCTAGTTACCCCACGCCCGGCTCGCAGTTTCGGGCGAGTACGCGGAATTTCTCCCCGTATCCCGCGGCGCACTGAAGCCCCGGGCTACTGTGCACCGTGCTGCCAAATAAATGTTTAATGCCCCTCCCTTGTCCCCTCTGATTTGGGTTTGACTCTTATTCTCCTTTACCCTTCTCTTCACATTCACTATCGCCTATCCCCAATCTCTATTTCTACCAATCTACCTCGAAAGTATCCACGATGCCCTACCCCGATGAGGCTGAGGGTTTCCAGGTTGATGGACCCTCCATCACCGAATTCCACAAGCGCTTCTTCAAGCTGAAGCCTTTCGGTGACTACGACGTCGACGTCAAGATCGAGGCTTGCGGTATCTGCGGCAGTGACGTGCACACCATCAGCGGTACGAACCTCTCATACTTTGGTGTACGAGTCAAACTAATAGAAATACAGGCGGATGGGGCGAGCAGAAGTTCCCTCTGTGCGTCGGACACGGTAAGCAGTCTACCAGGGACCCCAAGATGTCCTCCTCCCTAACAATCACCAGAAATCGTCGGACGTGCCATCCGTGTTGGTCCCAAGGTCACTCTCATTAAGGAAGGCCAGCGCGTCGGCGTCGGCGCACAGTCCTACTCCTGCGGCGAGTGCAAGCAGTGCAAGAACGATAACGAGACTTACTGCCCCGTGCAGATCATGGACACGTACGGCGCCGAATGGCCCGAGACCGGGATCGTGAGCCAGGGCGGCTACTCATCGCACGTCCGTACACACGAGCACTGGGTCTTTCCGATTCCCGAGGCACTGCCAACGGCACAAGTGGCGCCCATGCTCTGCGCAGGCCTAACGGTGTACTCGCCACTGGTGCGCAACGGCGCCGGACCTGGCAAGAAGGTCGGGATCGTGGGACTGGGCGGGATTGGACATTTCGGAGTGATGTTCGCGAAGGCGCTGGGCGCAGAGACGTGGGCGATTTCGCGCTCGCGCGCGAAGGAGGCTGATGCGCGCAAGCTCGGCGCGGACGGATACATCGCTACCGCTGAGGAAGGGTGGGATGCGCCGCACCGCTTCTCGTTCGATCTCATCATCAACTGCGCCAACTCGTCCGAGGGCTTTGATCTGGCGCGGTACTTGTCCATGATGGATGTGCATGGCCGCTGGATTAGCGTTGGTCTGCCCGAGGAGGAGGGACAGGTCATCAAGGCGCAGAACTTGATTTCGAATGGTGTTCTGATTGGCGCGAGCCACCTTGGCAGTCGGAAGGAGATGCTGCAGATGTTGCAGCTGGCGGCTGATAAGGGCCTGAAGAGCTGGGTGGAGGAGATTCAGCTTGGTGAGGAGGGTCTTGCGCAGGCTATGCAGCGGATGAAGAAGGGTGATGTTCACTATCGGTTTACGCTGACGGGATACGAGAAGGTTTTTGGTTGAAAAGTGATATTGTGGTAAGGATTCTTGTATCGAATCGGTGTTTTAGGTGCAGGAAGCTGTCTACATAGAGCGTATTCTTCTATTTGCGATAGATACGGACTTTCATCGGCGCTGGCTTGTAGAACCAGAGCCCCGTGGCTTCCAAGCTGCTTTCACGGTCCTCGAGTTCAAGACGGTATGCACGAAGCAGGGTGGGAATCACCTTATAAATCTCGCACAGGGATATCTAGTTCATAGAGTCAGCCGTAGTCCTCTTGTTCGATTAATTGAGCCTACGTTCTTGCCCATACACGTTCTTGACCCAGCACCAAACTATCACCCTAGCGGTCAGCCACATTCAATTGACGTTTAGATGAAAATACCTGAAGGATATATTTATTCATCTTATCTGCGTCTGCTTTCAACCACCGATCTGGGTTATATATCTCCGCATCATCGCCGAACACCGATGTATCAAGCTGCACAACAGTCGGGTTGATTCCCACGCGGAATCCACCGGGAATCCACTGCCCTGCAATATTACATCCTCCAACAGGTACTTGTCGAGGCATTGTAAGCGCCACACTGGGATGGATACGTGCGCCCTCTTTGATGCAGGCGCTCAAGTATGGGAGTTTGCTGGCTTCATGGTACTTGATATGCGGTGTACTGAGTTCGCCTCGGTTTGTGGCCTGCTCGATCTCATGGTTGAGTGCGCCGTAAACAGCGGGATTCTTCAGGATATGATAGAGTGTTGTCGAGATATGGATGGCTGTGGTATCACTTCCGGCAAAACTGAAGAAGAATGAGCATGTGTGAGAATCAGTGGGCTTTGCGCACTTACTATGCTCCAAACGCCTCAAGCTTTACATCCTCAATCTGAAAGTCGACCTTCTCGCCCTGCTGCTGATGGATGTTGAAAACTTTTGAGATAACATCAGACCGCCGAGACGCAGTCTTTCCCGACTCTGCTGACTCCTGGATATGCTCCTTCACAGCCGACTCCGCCGCCTGCGCAAGGCCATCTAGAGCTCCCAGCGCTTTGCGAGTGCCTGGAAAAAGAACACCGAGGAACATGAACAGAGACCGGAGGTAGGTGGGCATGACAGCCGACATGGTCATGGCCGGGATTAGCGTGTCGGTGGACTCCATTATGCCGAGATGATCGCGTTTGGCGTTCAGTAAACCGAACATCTTGCTAAAGTAGAGCTCGCCGATTACATCGTAAGCGTACCTGTGCCAGTTCAATCTCTGTTAACTATCAATTTTTGGACAGCTTTAAAACGGAAACTCACATTCGCGCCCACTCTAGCAGGTCAATAGATTCCTTTGCATCTGCAAAGCCTCCGAACTGGTCTAGCAGAACATCGCTGCATTTGTTCACGTACTGCTCGGACTGCAAGATGTTCGCCATGGTGTACACGCCATTTACGATCCGGCGCCGCTCGGCGTGGACCTTTTCGTCTGTCGACGTGAAATGGTCTGGGTATCGGGCTGTTGGGAGTCAATATTAGTCTGGTTCATATTACACGTGTTAAGAGAATCTCTTACTATATGGTGCCCGGAAAGACAGATAGAAATCAGTCTATCGAATGGTTAGATCCAACGCTCTACGGAGCTCTGAGCGACATTTACCTTTGTGAACCCCGAGTTGACACCATAAATAGCCTTGATAGCATTCGGATCACTGATCGCAAGCTCATTCGGGGCAATTCGCACAATGGGACCTAGTTCGAATGGATTAGATCCCCCGTACCCCTAGCGCGATCTGCGATAACAGTGCATACCATACTGTGCATGCAGCTCTCTTTGAATCCCATGGGGGTTTCCACCGGATACAGAGCGCACGATCCAGGCACGCGATACAGACGCCCAAAAGGGCCCTGGGAATCTTGCCAGCGGATGGAGGAATTGGGTGTAGATGATCCATCCCACCCAGTAAATGGCGAATCCGAGTCCTAGGCCTTGTAAGACACTCGAGACTGTGAACTGCGAGTCAATTGCTGCCAAAAACACCATAATTGGCCAAATCAGGGCGGACGGTCTCGAGAGATGAATTTTCGCGCACGGAAAGAGGAGAAAGAGTGCCAAAACTATTCGTCAGTTGCAGCTAGCTAGGTATTGCGGGGCCGGCAGTTCAGCCATTCTAACCAATATTAAATGGCGAGGTATGCATTCGCTTGCTTGCACACTAGAGCATGGTACTGATCTTTAGGCTGACTGCAGTGCGAAAGTCAGAACCGGAATTCACCCTCTCGGGTCGCGGACTGCAAGCCCTTACTTCTGGAACGCCCTGTCATTATGGTTACATAGTGCCCTCTCGCTGGTGGAGAACAGAATTTGAATTGTTCATCTTCACAACTATTCAGTTGGAAGAATTGCTCAAATTGGCTGTATATATGCACAGTATTGCAGTCGTCGTGGCGCCTTCAGATTTATTAATGCATGCCCCAGGATCGCAAACAATTTAGGTGTAATATCGGTCTTTACATCTCACTGGTAATGTTTCAGCCCCTCGATCGCGTAGTTGGTTAGTACACGATTTTAGCGAACCAACGGACCTATCCATTAGATGTCAACTCCAATTGGCCCACCTGCGATCCAAGGTAGATGGGTTATATGTTAGCTTGACGCCACTACGGTTCGTATCTACTTTAGTTAGAGAAGGAGCGATGCACGCGAAGCGGAGATCTCGCCGTAACTCAGCTAGCACTTTAAATCGTGGTGACTCTTTGTTTGTGAAATATCCAGATTTATGCTTCTTCTCCAGCCACAAGGCAATGGGCTGAGGCGATCATCAGAATGCGTCCTCGCATGATAATCTTCGTTTCCGGCGCTTTGCTCCTTGCAGCAATGAGCGGGGCAGAAGAGATGCCTGCGTGTGCTGTGGGAACCTATCTGTTCATAGATTGCAACGCGAATGGCCTACTAATGTCCCGGCCAGATGCAATGTATGGAAACTGGAGTTAAAGGATCATCCTGTTCAATGACCAACACGACCTGTATCTGCGCGGATGTCCCATTACAAGCCAATCTGGCTCTCTGTGTCGAGACCAGCTGCACCGTCAAAGAAGGCCTGAGTAGATTGCTGCCCATGAAACATTCACATAATCGGTTTTACTAAATGCTCCAGCCACGAGGAACCTCACGAGTACCATGTGTCACGAGCCATTTCGCGACAAGTCCAACATCATCGTTGTTATTAACTCTGTGTTCATGGCGCTTGCTATCATTGTAACTTTTATTCGCAGCTTACAATTTCATAAACAGTTTGGACTGGAAGACATATTTGCTACTGTGGGACTAGTAAGGACTCTTCGAGAATACGATTAAGGAAATCCACTGAGCATCAAAGCTTTCGGCGGTTGTCATGGGTGCATTAGAATTTCTCAGTAGGTTATTGTACCAATATAGTTCATTGGCACTGATATTTCTTCTAGTGATCGATGCAGGCTACGGAAGAGACATCTGGACAATATCCTTCGCGAACATTGAGCTAATCCTCAAGGTCCGTTCATACCGAAAATATTCGTATGCGGAGTGGTTAACAACGTACGTCTAGTACAATTGGGTCGTTGAAATGCTCTATATCGTCGCCGTTGTCGCTGTGAAGATGGCTTTCCTCTGTCTCTATCTCAAGATCTTCCCCAATATCGGGCTACGGAGAGTTATATATGCCCTGATGGGATTTTCGACTCTCTATTTCCTAGTCTTCACCCTCGGGATCTGCTTCAATTGCCTTCCTGTGACGTATATTTGGACTGCCTGGACTGGTGAAACCCACGGCAGCTGTCTAGACTTCAATGCGTTTGGAATTGCATGTGCCGTGATCAACATCGTCCTCGATGTGGTCGTGATGGCCTTGCCACTTCATGAGATCATCAAGTTAAATCTCAGGCCCTGGAAGAAAGTCCTGGTCATCGTCATGTTCTGTACTGGATTCTTGTGCGTTGTCTCATGTTATCCACCGATGTGGTGCTGACAAAATGGTGATAGTATCACGATCATCAGCATCATCCACCTCACGTTCGTCGTAACCTTTGCCGACACAACCAACGCAACCTGTAGGATTCCCGCAAAGATACATGTCATGATCACACAATATTTAACACAAATTTCCAGATGACTACGTGCCAGTGGCATACTGGTCCCTCATCGAGTCCTACACAGCGTTCTTCTGTGTGAGCATGCCAGCCATCCGCCGCTTCTTCAATCGCATTCTCTTCACCTGCTGCGGCATTGCCGACTCGTGTCAGCAAGAATCGGATCCGAAGAGTGACGCCTCGGCGTTTCACCGCCGCACTCGCTCTAAGAACCTGTCTATCCGGAGGACTACCAAAACTTCTGTTAGTCGGGAGCCTCTGTCTCGGCGAGACTCGGATGCGGTGAATTTGGTGGATGTAGGTTATTACAGCTCATTCCAACGGCGTGGTTAATAATGTAGACATAGACAGTTACATACGATTGTGCTGGCTGCATAAGATAGACTGATATTTATGTCATGCATGAGGAATACCTTACACCGCATGTTTATCGGAATGCAGAACCTGGAAAGCAGCAATGCCATACACATTCCCGAAGCATGCAGAGCAGCAATCTCTGATCGGGTCTCTTCCGCTTTGCCCGATCGGCATCCTGCTCAGATCCGTGGGTCTGTCGACCCCGGGTTTGTGTCAATCCTCCAGATTTAAATATTCGCCCCCCGGCCGAGAAAAAAAAAAAAAAAAAAAACTCTGCCGCCAAAGTACTGGATACTTCACCTCCCCGCATGCTTGGGTGGACCCACAAGTACCGAGTACATTGAGCATCTCACAGCATGATATCAGGCCGCCAATGACACCCCCAGAATACTTCACCGCCTGACGTTCAGGCCCGTCGTTTTGGCATCTTCCGTTTCGCCTTCTCCCTTTTTTATTCTCTCCTTGCGCCTTCTTTTCATTTTCCCCTTTGGTTCGTTCTGTCAATTATACTGCATTCATTCCCTGTCCTTTTCTCTCTCTTTTTCCCTCGGGCCTTCCGGAGTTGTGTTTGTTTCGCATCCATTTGTTAGACTGGCCTCCTACGTCGTCGCCCGAAGCGACCAACAAAAGACTCTCGCCATTGCATTCGTCTATTGACGCTATACATATACAACGATACACTAGAACGGGTTTGGAAAAAAGCAAGAAAAGCTCTGTCATTTGGCACCAGTTCAGCATTTTTGTTATTGTTCATAATCGCCTCCGTTGACTGCGCGATCGATATCCTCAACGTCATGTCGCCACGAGATAACACCGCCGGCCTCCCCACACGGCGACGCCCCTCGTTAACGCTTCGGCCGCGCGCCCGGACAACCGCGCACGTCACATTCCCGTCCAAAGATTTGAATTTCGACTCGTGGCGGGATCCCTCCCTGGTGGAGATTTGCCATGAACCGGTGGTGGTGGAAGAAGTGGATGATTTCCCGGAGGCTGTGCCTCGGCGTCGCGGCACCAAGAGTTTCTCGAGCTTGCGGCACCCCATGGATGGCCTGGTGGCGCTTGGCCGTCGGCTGTCCGTGTCCATTCGCAGCAAATCCTCGAAGCAGAGGTTGTACGCCCCGGATCAGGACGAGGATAATGAGTGCCACCACTGCCATCATTCGAGTCACAAGCGCCACATTTCCAACAGCTGGGATTCGAAGGCGTGGGATGCGTGGTGCAAGGGCCACAGCATCAATCGCCGCCCCTCGCTCAACAGCGTGTCGGCCCTTCAAAGCTTCTATGCTCCCACTGCTTCTGTGAAAGGACCCATCCCTGGCCATGGATTGGAGCCCCCGGTTTTCCCACATGACATCTATTCAGGGGCGGCGGCACGCGCTGCCGCGGCCGCGCAGAATCAAATGGCTAAGGCGGAGCGGGAAGCGGCGAAGACAGTCGATATCTATCTGACACGGGACTCGGAGAGCGGCATCGGAATCGACCTCCGTGACCGCTCAGAGCTCTCGGATACCGAATTGGCTCTCCTGCGTCTTGGTAAGGACTTGTACCGAATCTTATACCCAGGCGATTGCTAATGACTTCTAGACCCCGTGGCATATCTGCCGTCTGAGATTACAGCACACGTGCTTTCCTACTTGGACCCTCAGTCACTCATGAATTCTGAGCTTGTGTCGAGCTCGTGGAACCAACAGGCATCCTCCCGCCACGTCTGGAGGCAGGTCTTTCGGGGCGCCTACCCCCGTCGCCCTGCGAGCTCTACCGCTTCCAAGAAGAAACGGTCCGTTGGATTGGGCAAGTCTCTTCCCAACCAAAATTGGAAAAAGATGTTCCTGGTGCGGCGGGCTTTGGAACACCGCTGGAAGGAGGGCAAGGCTGCTGCGATCTATCTTGATGGCCACACGGATAGTGTCTACTGCGCCCAATTTGACGAAAATAAAATCATCACTGGCTCTCGCGACCGCACCATTCGCGTATGGGATGCCCACTATCCGTGGCCGTGTTTGAAGATCATCGGTCCGCCTCCGGGTGATTTGCCTGTAACTGGACCGGTGAACAACCCTGCACAGCAGGCATCGGGAAAGTCTCCCTTTCTGACCATCTGCCCGCCGGCAACTCCGCCGGCGAGTATCGTCACACCTATGGATCAGTCGTCAAACTACCACAGTGCATCAATTCTGTGCCTACAGTTCGACGAGGAGATCATGGTCACCGGGTCATCAGACCACACTTGCATTGTGTGGGACATCAAGGATGACTATCGTCCCATCCGCCGCCTCACCGGTCATCGAGCCGGAGTATTGGATGTCTGCTTTGACGATCGTTACATTGTCTCCTGCTCCAAAGACAGCAGCATCTGCGTATGGGACCGCAACACGGGCACTCTCCTCCAACAACTTGTGGGCCACGTCGGCCCCGTGAACGCAGTGCAACTCCGGGGCGACCTTATTGTGTCGGCCAGCGGCGACGGCGTGTCCAAGCTGTGGAACATCACTTCGGGCCACTGCGTCAAGGAGTTCTCCACCAAGGGAAGTCATGGTCTGGCGTGCGTCGAGTTCAGCGAGGATGCCCGGACCATCTTGACCGGCGGCAATGGCAAGCGCATCTACCAGTTCGACGCCAACACCGGCGAACTGGTAAACGAGCTCAAGGGCCACTCAGACTTGATCCGGTCTCTGCATCTGGACAGCATGAACAAGCGTATTGTCAGCGGCAGCTACGATATGAGTGTTAAGGTGTTTGATACCGAGACCGGCGCGCTGTCCATCGACCTGCCGGGGTGGACTACCAGCTGGATGCTGAGCGTCCAGTCTGATTACCGCCGCATCGTCGCCACGAGTCAGGATTCTCGGGCGGTCATCATGGACTTTGGCTACGGCCTGGATGGGATTGATTTGTTGGAGGAGTGATTTGACTTGATCTTGCATCCGTTTCTATAATTTTCTCTTCACTTAGCGTTGCTTTTTGATTCTTTTCTACGGAAGGATTTCTCGTGGGCGGTATACATTTATTGAAGTATTTGGGCGTCAGAACGATATGAGGGGCTCGGAAGCCCACGCCATTGGAAATGGACTATAGACAGAGAAGATACTGCTAGAGTTAGTTATTACACTCATTTGATCTATCCATCTGTTGGCATACAACCTTTTGTAGTTGGATCCTCAGGCACCCACATTACCTAAGCTTCCCTGATTGGCCGGGTCTTCCAGCAGGATCCGTGGATTTCTCTGGCACATCAACAAAACAAACCGTCTTTCCATCGTCTTTCTCCCAGCGGTGCCGTTCGACGGTCTCTCAATCTTCCCACTGTCGCATTTCCCGCGCAGCCATTGCGGTCTTTGCTTCCTCATCTCCGCTTCAGCGTCTTCCTCTACCTTTCCCCGATTACGACCACCAACTACCCCACCATGGGCGAATCCAGGTTCGTTTTTGCCATCGAACCAGGAAAACAATGCTAACCACTCTTCGTTGCTCTTCAGACAAGAACTGCTGGCGTGGCTCAACAACCTCCTTCAGCTCAATATTACCAAAATCGAGCAGTGCGGAACGGGGTAAGAGCCGTTAACCCCGACACAATCCTCCCCCTCTGGCGTTCTCACCGATGAAGAAATAAAGTCATGAGCTGATGGTGGACAATTAAACAGTGCGGCGCTATGCCAGATATTTGACTCGATCTTTTGTGAGTCGTCGCGCTTCATCTGGCCACCAACCAGACCACCGAGCCCAGAGAAAGACAGCGTGCTGATAGCCCCCTTTTCGTGCAGTGGATGTTCCCATGGCCCGGGTCAAGTTTAACGTCAATACCGAATACGCCTATCTGCAAAACTTCAAGATCCTACAGAGTACGTTTCCATATCTCGGCAGGTTCGACGTATCTCCGCCTGATTCTCTAACTTATCCGGCTCCAGATGTCTTGGCCAAGCACGGAGTAAACAAGCCTGTGCCCGTTCAGTCCCTCACAAAATGCCGCATGCAGGATAACCTCGAATTCCTGCAGTGGGTGAAGCGGTACTGGGATCAGCACTACCCAGGCGGCGAGTACGACGCCGTCTCTCGGCGCAAGGCCTCCGGTGCTCCCAGCGGCGGCGCGCCTAGCGGCGGTATGAGCGGCCCTCGCACTGGTTCTGCGGGTGGCACACGGCGCGGCGTGACCCCTACGTCCTCTGCGGCCCGCCCACGCGTGGGCGCCGCGTCCAGTGGAGGCTCGGCGGCATTGCAGCAGGAAATCGCGACACAGAAGGAGGCGATTGCAGGCCTGGAGAAGGAGCGCGATTTTTACTTCGCAAAGCTGCGCGACATTGAGCTGTTGTTGCAGAATGCGATCGAGGCGGACCCGGAGCTAGAGAAGGATGAGGACTCCCTGCCCAAGCACATCCTGGCGATTCTGTACTCGACTGAGGAAGGGTTTGAGATTCCGGCTGAAGGCGAGGAGGGCGCGGCAGATGAACTCGAGACGTTTTAGACGGTCTGAGAGGAGTTTTCACGAAATACCCCCCCCCCCCGAATGTGCTGCGTTGATTGTTGTTGAGACGGCTTCGGTCTACTACTCAATTCTTTGTTTGGAGGGAAAAGATGTATCTAGAAGGAGGTTCTGCTCATGGACATGTTTATTATTGACGGACGCAAGAAGTTCTTATAGTATCTGCCTTGTAGGTGTTGATTACGTCTCACTAGAGGATATTACTCTGCTACCCTAGAACCCACATTTCCGGGCGTTAACTGCATCTCATTAAACTAGCCCGCAAGTGGTCTAGCGACCGCGGCCAGAACACTCGGTGGGCCCATCGCACTTTTCCCGTCTGGGCCCGCTGATTTCGGGCCTCCGTGTTTGCTTTCTCGGCGCGAGTAATAATAATTACTGGCTAATCAATTTATGAACCGATGGCCAGAAAGGCGTGTGTCGTGCATGCTGACTCGACTGAAGAAGTATAGTTAATTAATTGGCTCGGAAAATTAATCATACTCATAAGACGCCATCACTACTCGCGGCCCCTGATAGGAGAGGGTCTGGGTCTGGGTCTGTCTGGCTGGGTTCCGCTTCGCTTCTGGCCCTCGTTCTCTTTTCCCTCTCCTTCTCCCTCTCCCTCTCTCTGGTTCACTCCTTTCTTTTTATCGCCTTGTCGCCGCCGTCTGGCCCGTATTTTGTCTTCGACCGACCATGGCCTAGGCCGAGTCGCCTGGCTGTTCTTCTTCTCTCTTCCTTTCGCTCCTTAGCCCACGGGTAAGATCGTGATGTTGCACGGGGTATTGGATCAATTTGGACTGACCGATTTTATTGAGCAGACTTTCATTCTTTCCATGGCCTTCGCTCGCTCCTGATTCTTCATTGTCCGGCGACATCGCAGCTGACATCCACTCTTTTCTGCCTCTGCTCGCTTCAGTCACTCCTTATTCTGGCCGCGCAGTATTCAATCTTTGCTTTTCGAGTCGCAGGCAAGAACCTGGCTTTTTCTCTTTTCATTCGACATCCCCAGGATATAACTTGATCAATCTGCGAGGCTGGTCGATCTAGCTTCGACTCTTTTCGGGGGATCTTCATCGATAACCCGATAATCTTTATACACTTTTGATTCGCCGAAAGGAAGGGACCGGGGCTGCGCCTTTGCAGCCATTGGCAGAATGGCTCACCATGGCAATCACCGCCACTCTCACATCAGCAGGCTGATCAAAGCCCGACAACACCGACATCAAATGGAGGCGCGGGAGGGGCAGACCAAGGCCAACAATGAGAACGGCCCGGATAGTTTGGTCGACTCGGATCCCACACGGAAACCATCTCTGCCAGTGCTTGATGCGCTGGCGGGCGAGAGTGAAATCTGCGATCCACTGCAAAACGTGACCTGTCTGGAAGATATAGCGGACGTGAGCATTTGGAAACGAGACTCGACCGAAACCGATCACCAGGTGGTCGTCGAAACCGTCGTGGAGGTCGTTGATGCCCAACATCACACGCTTTGGCAATCCACCGGGACTGATCTGCCCATGACCATCTCCGACCCGTCGTTTGGCATTATCACCATTTCACCCAGTTCGGTGTCTCCGGCGGAACCATCCACCACGGTGGAACCATCCACCACGGTGAACGGGGTTTCTGTTATGCTTTCTAGCCAGCCACGAACATCACAGTCTCTCGTATCGCCTACGCGTTCCCCGACACCCGTGGCTGGGTCCAGCAGCTCTGCGTCGGCCATCTCCACTCCACTCATCGGATCTGCCACTATTGCGTCAGTGGCCAAGAGTACACCTTTGGCGCACAACAACTTCTCCTCGCCAATCTCAGTCTCGAGCTCCGAGACACATTCATCACACACTTTTTCATCAACGTCTACCACAACTGAGCTTTTCGGGGGTTCAGGAAACCCCGGCGGGAGTACGGGCAGCGAATCAGGCACATCCCCTAATGACTCGTCATCCGGAGGATCTGGCTCGATTAATCCCACTACATCAAAGATTGTCGGCGGCGTTGTGGGCACGGTGGCCGGTATCGCCGTGCTTTTTCTTCTTCTCTTCTACTACCTTCGCCGCCGAGGGTTCTTCCTCCGCAACAAGTCACCTGCACGTCTTGGCTCTCACGACGAAACCGCCGGAACGCGCGAGATTATCAGCAACGACTCGGTCTTCACGGCATCGTACTTTGCGCCCGCTTTCATGAACCGCTGGCGTAATTCAGCGCAAACTACGCAGACCGACAGCACACGGAGTTCCAACCCTAGCGAGCGCGGCTTCCAGAAGATCTCTGGCCGTAAAATCCAATCTGTTCTCACGTCCGGCGGCGACGGGTACGGCGGGGTGAGCCCTCCTGAGGACTCACCCACGCTTCCTCCTGGACTCTTCCCTCCCACGTCACCGCGTGCGTCGCCCTCCTCACATGCTCCGCCACCAGCAAACCCGTTCAGCAGTCCACTGGACTCACACTACACGCGAGAAACAGAAGAACCCAGCGCGAGGGTACTGCGCCCCTCTCCCGCGCGCGACCCTGTCCCAGGCTCGGCGAATGCCGCCATGTCTATGCCCATAGCTGCGCAGCCCCAAAACGCGGCGACCCCAGTGGCTCCGCCGGCCGCTCATCGAGCCGACGGATTAGGCCGCAGCTTTCCCAGCTTTGATGGGAGTCGGGGCAGCCGGTTCCAAGAGAGCTTGGACCTGTGATGTACCTACCCAGGTGCTTCTATGGATTATGCGACATGAACAGATGTGTAATGGGTTTTTCTATCTGGTGTTTATTGCCATGTGCATTCTTTTTCCCCACACTTTACTTTTTTCATAGATACCCCCCAGATCTTTCTCCCTCTATTTCTATCCGTCTATTTAGTGGAAATACATAATTCTCGATTCTCTACTGCACAACTATATACCCCACAATACCTCATTCCTCATCCACATGGCCTGTCGATCAATCACAACACCGCCACATCTCTCCCCAGCCACACCCAGCCACAGCCTCCTTGTGTTTTTGAATCCCAGTTAATCCCAGCTCTTCGATCTCATCCGCCTGACTATGGAGTGGCTCAGCTGTAAATTCCTGCAGCAACACCCCTGCACCGATCAGACCGGTGAGACTATACATTTGGTCCATGTATGACGCGGATGGCTTAACACCCAGATGCTGTCTGGCCTGGCGGTGGTCGCCTCAGTCTTTCCACCTACACAAGCGGCGTCCAAGAGGCAGAGGGCGCCCAGATCGACGATGACGCACCAAGAGCCAGCCACATACAGCTATCTTTGCGACAATCGTACTCAAATCTATCTGATACACGCCCTCAGTGGGGCCCTGGTCCCATCGGTCATTGGCCCTCGCAGTGAGGCGCAGCAGTGTCGTTCTAAACCTCCTGGCGGTAAAAGCCCAATTCGTCACATTGGAACACAGTGTTTGGGCAGGCTTGGCGGCGCTTTTTTTCTGTCGTATTCATGCGTGATTGATCGGTGAGTAATAGTGGGAAGTGGGTGAGGCTGGGGTGAGATTGTTATACTCGGCGCCTAAATCAAATATTAGTACTACCTGTTATACCTCAGCTTCTTCGCTTCCATTTCTTCGCTTTAGCTTATTTTACAAGACAGGCCCCTTTCCTTTACCCGCAAGCCATCTAGCCAACCCCATTAGACACCTCTCCTGAAAACGAGGGTTCGCAGATCTAGACCCGCAGAGACGGAAAAATCGAGAGAGGGCTGTGCCCATTGCCATATCCTGTGGTGTTGCCTCCCTGGGCTCCATCATCATCCCCAGCGTTACGGTTTCTCCGCTGAATCCACTTAATCCGCCTCCATCTAGCACTGCCCTTCAAGCCTAGCCTTTAAAGGACCATCTTGGGTTGGACTGTCAAGCGCTGGACTTTAAAATTCGCCCCTGTTCTTGGCTTGTACTTGGCATCGCTCCTCGCAAGATTGCAACAGCAATAGGCAACACACCCCTCTTTGCTATGGGATGGTCAGAGTTTGGTTTCTCATTCCTCGGCGCTTTCTGGGCATCTACACAGCCCCTTTGGCCGATCTGATATAGTTACCTAACTGCTGGAGTGCTCACCATCCCCTGTGAATAAGGACTGGAGACACCATATCTATTGTGATCTCTGTCTCGTCTTTTACATTGGGTATTGTGGCTGTTTTATTTTAGCCATGGATTCAAACAATAAACCCCCTCCGAGTTCAGGCTCCCTGCTAAGCCCGGTGGCAGTGGCGGGCCCTTCGGGCAGACAGGTAAGCAAAGCAAAATAGGGCCTCCCAGCTTAACCGACACTCCGAGCTAAAATACCCAAAAAATGCAGCAACGAGGCCTGTCCATATCATCATCAGCAACAGCCTCATCATTCATGTCCGGGTCAACAGAACTAGACCCCAGTGCGAGCTCCTATCATGCCCCGGATATGGCATGGAACTCGACTCCAACCCCACCTGATCCAGCACTTCTAACAATTCAACATGCCTATGCATCTCATCGGCCGTCGCTATCTATTGACGGCGCCACGCTGCGTCCGCGCTCGGGCTCGTTCGCGTCGTCGGCGGATACGATGGTTCGATCTCGAGCCAACTCGGTAGACCCGGGCTATGTGGATGTTGATTCTAAAGTCGACTATGACGATGTGTCACTCTCTGAAGCATTGGCTCCGGATCCTCGAAATAAAGATGATTTCCGAGTTGATGATAACCGATTTGCATTTTCGCCAGGCCAGCTGAATAAAATGCAGAATCCAAAGTCACTCGCTGCGTTTCATGCGCTGGGTGGGCTGCATGGATTGGAACGTGGGCTGCGAACGGATCTGAATGCTGGGCTATCAGTTGATGAGCGGAGGTTAGAAGGGAGGGTTGAATTTGATCAGGTCAACCCATTGTCGACTTCTCGGGGGAAACGATCGGCCTCTATCAACAAACTTCAGCCTCTTCCAGAACCAGATCCAACGCAAAGTTTAGGAGGGAGTGAAGGTTCACCGTTCGAAGATCGCATCCGTATTTTCAGACAGAACAGACTGCCGACTCGGAAATCAACTGGGTTCTTGAAGCTGTTCTGGATGGCATATAACGACAAGATCATTATATTGCTGACCATTGCGGCCATCGTGTCTTTGTCTCTGGGTATATATGAAACCATCGACGGAGGAACGGGCGTCGACTGGGTGGAAGGCGTTGCTATCTGCGTGGCCATCTTGATCGTTACTGTCGTCACTGCTGCCAATGACTGGCAGAAAGAAAGACAGTTTGCTAAACTCAACAAGCGGGTAGGCTATCCTTCTCATTACTGTTCAATCAACACGCTAACAGAATGATTCTGCAGAATAACGACCGCGAAGTCAAAGCCGTCCGCTCAGGCAAAGTCACCATGATATCCATCTACGACGTCATGGCTGGCGATATCCTCCACCTCGAGCCGGGCGATTCCATTCCCGCTGACGGGGTATTGATCTCCGGCCACGGCGTGAAGTGTGACGAGTCCTCTGCCACGGGCGAGTCGGACCAGATGAAAAAGATTAATGGCCACGAAGTATGGCAGCGGATCATCGATGACACTGCAACAAAACGACTCGATCCGTTCATGATCTCTGGAAGCAAAGTTTTAGAAGGCGTTGGCACATATCTGGTCACCAGCGTCGGGCCGTATTCCTCTTATGGTCGGATTATGTTGTCTTTGCAGACATCCAACGACCCGACCCCACTTCAGGTGAAGCTAGGCCGGTTGGCGGATTGGATTGGGTATGTGGGTTCGGGGTAAGTTTATAACTGTTGGCCTTATATTGTATTTCTTACTGACATTCGGTTAGTGCTGCCACGATTCTTTTTTTGGTGCTGTTGTTTCGGTTCATCGCCCATCTCTCGGATAACCCGGCGAACCCTGCAGTCAAGGGCAAGGAGTTCGTAGATATTCTAATTGTCGCTGTCACCGTCATTGTTGTCGCGATTCCAGGTAAATAATTATCTTCCAAGATTCATTAATGTCGCTGACATGGATGCTTTCACAGAGGGTCTTCCCCTAGCAGTAACGCTAGCTCTAGCTTTTGCTACCAGCCGCATGGTTAAGGAGAACAACCTCGTTCGCGTCCTACGTGCCTGTGAGACCATGGGAAATGCAACCGTCGTGTGTTCCGACAAGACGGGAACATTAACCCAGAACAAAATGACTGTGGTCGCTGGGACCTGGGGACCGGGTCAACGTTTCAGCCACTCGCCAGATGATTCTGATACTGAGAAGTCGGCAACTATATCCCAAATTTCCCAGGGGTTCTCGGCACCAGTCCGGAACTTGATTGTCAAAAGCGTTGCTTTGAACTCCACAGCGTTCGAGGAAGACAAAGACGGGCAGAAGGAGTTCGTTGGCAGCAAAACCGAAGTGGCGCTCCTCCAACTCGCTCGCGATTACCTTGGCATGGACCTTGTCTCCGAGCGCGGTTCTGCTCATATCCTTCAATTGATTCCATTTGACTCTTCCCGCAAGTGCATGGGTGTGGTATACCACGAACCTGGCGCAGGATACCGTCTTTTGGTTAAGGGAGCTGCAGAGCTTATGGTTGGTGTTTGCAGTACCCAAATCACAGATATCGATGTGTCAAAGAAAAGCCTTGCGACCGAGCAGCTTTCTGGGACAGACCGAGAAGAAACCTTGGCAACAATTGACCGATACGCCCAGCGTTCCTTGCGGACAATCGGCATCGTGTATAAGGACTTTCCAAACTGGCCACCGACAGAGGCCAAGACCTTGGAGGATGACTTATCTGCCGCCAGCTTTGATGATGTCTTCCATGATATGACCTGGGTTGGTGTCGTCGGCATCCAGGATCCTCTGCGGCCTGAAGTCCCAGCTGCAATCCGCAAGTGTCATACGGCTGGAGTTCAGGTTAAAATGGTGACGGGGGACAATGTCGCCACTGCCACGGCAATTGCAGAGTCCTGCGGCATCAAGACCGAGGACGGCTTAGTGATGGAAGGCCCCAAGTTCCGGCAACTGACAGATGAGGAGATGGACAAGGTGATTCCCAATCTCCAGGTCCTGGCGCGGTCTTCGCCAGAGGACAAGCGCATTCTCGTCGAGCGGCTTAAGATTCTCGGGGAGACCGTCGCCGTGACGGGCGATGGCACCAATGACGGGCCAGCTCTTCGGACCGCAGACGTTGGGTTTTCTATGGGTGTGGCTGGAACAGAGGTAGCCAAGGAGGCAAGTTCGATCATCCTGTTGGACGATAACTTCCGGTCAATCGTGACCGCAATTGCCTGGGGCCGAGCCGTCAATGACGCCGTGGCCAAGTTCCTGCAATTCCAGATCACAGTCAACATCACCGCCGTGGTGTTGACTTTTGTATCATCTGTCTACAGTTCTTCAAACAACAGCGTCCTGAACGCCGTGCAACTGCTTTGGGTCAACCTAATCATGGACACATTTGCTGCGCTAGCGCTCGCAACCGACGCCCCAACAGAGCAAATCCTCGACCGCAAGCCCGTCTCTAAACGGGACTCGCTCTTCACTCTGACGATGTGGAAGATGATCCTCGGACAAGCGATATACCAACTCGGCGTGACGTTCATGCTTTACTTTGCCGGCGACAAGCTTCTTGGTTCTCATCTGCATAACGACCCCAACAACCCGGAACTCCGACAGAAAGAGCTCTCGACCGTTGTTTTCAACACATTCGTCTGGATGCAGATCTTCAACGAGTTCAATAACAGGCGGCTTGATAACCGCTTCAATATATTCGAAGGCATGTTCCGCAACTATTGGTTCCTGGGAATCAACGCCATCATGGTCGGCGGCCAAATCATGATTGTCTTTGTTGGCGGCGAGGCCTTTGGTGTTACGCCCTTAAGCGGGATTCTGTGGGCTATCTGCCTCATCTGTGCAATTGGATGTCTGGGGTGGGCGGTGATTCTGCGTCTGATACCAGACCGCCATTTTGGTGTTGTCTTCAATGCCGTGGTGGATAGTCTAACATTTATTCTGCAGCCACTTCTCAACGGCTGTGGGGCTGTTGCTCGCGGTATCAAGGCGTTTTTTCAACCCTTGCCTCGGTTTACCCGGCGCATCTTTACTCGGGGAGGTTCGAGGGACGATAATTCTGTCAGCCCTGTGGACGAAGAAGCCGCTGCTCCTGCATCTGCTTCTTGTGAGCAGCAGCGCAAGCAGACACCTGAGCGGCCTCAGACACCGCCGCAATTGACCGTGCCTCCTATAATGGTCACTATATCTCCTTAGCTGAGGAACTATGATCATTTGTATACTTCTTTTAGGCTCATCATGGGTATTGTATATAAATAATATGGATTAAGGAAAGGTATACATTGGGATACATGGGAATGTGATGGGTTGGCGTTTGAATTGGCTTCGCGGTTTTTTCTTTGGGAGATGTCTCCGGTAACAAATTGCATTTATGCTGAGGCGGTGGATTCTGGCGTCCTTTGAAGCCAACACCTTCCCACTCTGATCTCCCATCCTCGCTTCCCTGTCTATTGTAATAGCTAAATTGGTCTTGGAAAATGGTCTCAAGTCCGTTCAGTATGCCTGGCTACTTGGAGACCATTATTTTGTCCCAAGGTATAAGTGTCTGGATGGCACTGTTGTCAGTATAATATCGCTGCAAGTAGGTGCAAATCGCTGGCAGTTCATATCTAGCGCGAAGGTCAATCCACCATTTATTTTCACGAGCTCTGGTGTACCACAAGCATAATAACAGAAGCGCCACAGGGTCTTTTTCCCGTAAGCAGGCTTCAAACTCGTCATTCATATGGCTTAAGACCATTAGGACTCTTCCTAGCGAAGCCTTGCCCTTTGGTAATCCAAATAGCCGTGAGAGGCCATGTACTACCGTGAAGTAAGGATTGTTTCCCAAAGTTGATGACTCGTCAAGCCCACACAATTGCACTAATTCGGCTGAGACGCCATCGGTGCCTTTCACCGGTAAGGGTTGGTGCATATATGCGAAGGTCTCAGACATAGTACGAAAGACACTGTTCGGCCGCAAAGGATTCGCCAGATGCCACAGTGCCATCTTGCCATTTCCTAGCCTTAGCCACTCTAGATCGGAAGGGTCGGGCGTCCCGAGAGGCCATGCCTCCTCTGGAACACGAGCATTGATGGATGAGAAGGTCAGGATACCAAGAGAGCCAGCAGTGGCCCAGAGAGGGTCCTTGTGCTCTTCCTTGATAGATTGGCTCAACCACTTGTTGAACAAAAGTGTGCATTGAGACCAGTGATGAGATTCCCGTAAAGAACGACGACGATGGGTCGGCGTGACGCCAAGATAGCGATCATGGGCAGCTGTCACCGCCAGTGTACCATGCATCAAGAAAGGACACTACAACACATGCCTCAGTACAATTCAGAAGTTGTCTTTGGGCTGATTGGACTCACGGTGAAAGAGAGTTGTAACATATGATTTTCATAGATATCGACCATTGCAGAGTCACCAAGAGAGTATAGGGTCCGGTATCGAAACCGGTTGAAAAGTGCTTGATCATGCAGATCTAGCATGAAAAATGTTGATCCATCGTCAGCCCATATGGCATTGCCGATAATTGACAGCGGTGATGGCAATCCAGATCGTTTTCCTATTGCTTGCCTCACTAGTTCCTCAGAGAGCGGCTGCAGATCGGGCACATTGACCCCGAAGTTGCACAGGACGCCGTACGTACGACATCTCATGCAACGGGGCCTCGTCTCGTCACACTAGAAAGTAAACATTTTCTTCATTTAGCCCGACGGTCAATTGTGAGGGGCGGAGTATAGCTGAGGTTACCTTTAATTTCCTCAATTTGCAGTTTCGGCAGCCAAAGCGCGACTTGCGTTTACTGTCGCGCTTCTTTTCGTTCGGTGGGACATCCGAATCCATGACGGATTTGCACGAAGGTGGACTGCCAAGACCACCAGATGTAAGAGGACTGACTGTCAGTACTCAATTCACGTGAGCAGTGAGTAAAGAGAGAGACTGTTTGTTGGCGCACTTGGATATCTGGATGGGCTGCCTACGAGGAGAATTGACGGACAAGAACGTCGGCAGACGGCCTGCCCCTATCTCCGTGCACAATCTCCGGCCTGTTCGATCAACGCTTGGCCCGAGTCCCGCTGACCCACACTTGCCTCTGCTCGGGTTTAGAATCCGATGATTGGTCAATATTGGCTCTATTCACGATGTTGGACGGTCGCTTTGCGAGATGATATCCTAATGGAGCAGACATATTGGATCAATCCTCCAGGGTTGACATGCAGTCGCACATGAAGTTTCCGTTAAGTCCGTGACTACTGTAAGAGGCGAAGTATATAAAGCGAAGGCAGGTCTACTACTGAGGGTGCAGGAACAGACCGTCTCATTCCAAACTCAATCAGAACCCTGAACTTGTACGGAAACCCATTTGTCTCTCGGCTCGCCCTCTATTGTCGGCTTTCACTATGCGTATCTTCGTCACAGGTTCCACCGGCTTCATCGGTTCAGCCGTCGTCAAAGAACTTCTCTCCGCTGGTCACGAAGTCCTCGGCCTAGCTCGCAGCGACAAGGGAGTCGAGCAGTTGAAGGGTCAAGGCGCTGAGGCCCTGCGCGGCAGCATCGAGGACCTACAAGTCCTCAAGAAGGGAGCCTCTGAGTGTGACGCCGTCATTCATCTAGCCTTCGTCCACAACTTCGCCGATTACGCGGGCTCCTGTGCCACGGATCGGGCTGCCATCACTGCGATGGGCTCCGTCCTGGCTGCCGCGGACGGTGACCGCGCCCTGGTCATTACTTCGGGCACCATGATGCTGGCACGCGGCAAGTTGGGAGACGAGGACGATGGGGCCGATATGACCAACCCGATGGCTGCAGCCCGCGGCGCCTCCGAACCAGTCTGTCTCGACTTTGCCAAACAAGGCGTGCGCACCAGTGTCGTACGCCTGCCACCCACCACGCACGGCCCTGGTCTTTCGGGTTTCATGGGGCTTTTTGTCACCGTCGCACTGGAGAAGGGTGTTTCGGCCTATGTCGCCGAAGGCCATAACCGCTGGTGCGCTGGCCACCGCGACGACGCTGCTAAACTGTACCGGCTGGCAGTGGAGAAGGCAAAGCCTGGTTCCATCTTCCATGCGGTGGCCGAAGAGGGTGTGCCACTGAAGGACATCGCGACTGAGGTTGGGAAGCAGCTGAATATTCCTGTAGTCAGCATCCCAGCGGAGGAAGTGGAAGACCATTTCGGCTGGTTTCATTTTGGCTCCACAGCTGATAATGAGGCCTCGAGCACAAAGACAAGGGAGCGGTTGGGGTGGATGCCTGTAGGCCCGACATTGATCGAAGATGTCCCGGCTATCATCGACTTTATGAAATCTCAGAAAGCATAAGATGCAGGGCTGCGGTGTTCTTATGAACAATCAATAGGCGATGGAACCCCTTAAGTATCCTGAATGTTACAATCGTTGCTGACGCCAACATTACTCCTTCTATGCTTGATTCAGTTTCCTATTTAGTAGCATCTATCCATAATGGCCATCTCGCCAAGATACGTAAACGGAGTAGGGCATTAAAAGACAGTGTCTTGAGGCTTTTTGTCAGTAGCCCAGGGAGAATTGGACGGGAGCTAATTCAGCCGTAGAGGAAGCTACTATCGGCGTCGCTTTTACCGTGTGTAAAGACGAGGAAACCTCTCGCCGGTGTTTTGCGCCAGCCATCACATCAACAAGGTGAATAACCAATGCTACAATGCTAAGCAGGGCGCCGAATAGTGATATGAAGCGAGTGAAAACTCGACCGCAGGGATTACGGGTGAGAAGGAGATCCGGCCGTATATGCAGCTATTTTTAGTGTATGTGATTGAGCCCCGAACCTTTTAAATGCCCCGCGTTGATGCGACAGCACCCTTTCGGCCCCCTCTCGATCCTAGTGAAGGAACCTTTTGCCTGATCCACTCCCCGATTCTGATCCCGCGATCATCAGCATGACTGTCGACACCATATCCCCTCCCAAACTCCGCGTGGCTGTCATAGGCAGTGGAATCGCTGGCCTTGCAGCAGCTGCCTTTCTTCGAAAACACCCCCAGTTTGTCATTACTGTCTACGAGCTCCGTGGTGCAGATTGGAAGGAATCTTCTGCGGCTCTTGGGCTCCAAACGAATGGCACCTCCATCGTGGAGCAACTGGGTATCACTAGAGAAGAGGTCCGCGGGGTGATAGGTGCTGGGTATCGAACATACAATATTCAGGAGGAGCCGATGAGCAAAGGCAAAGTGGCATTCCCACCAGATGGAGAGACTGGGTTCTGGTTTGTGCATCGACAGGATCTAAAGGACGCATTGTTACGCAGAGTAATCAGCGAGGACGAAGAAGGGGAGCCTATCCAGGTGATTTACGACAGTCACATCGTGGACATTGACCCAGAGGCTGGGGTTGTGAAGTTTGCAGACAGGTCTTCTGTAGATGTGGATTTGATACTTGGTAAGTCGAATGAATTCGGCTATGTGACAACGGTTCAATTAACCTTCTTCACCCATAGGCGCCGATGGCATCCATTCCAAAGTTCGACAAGTGGTTATACCACCTTCACACCCAGAGCCTGCCTCGTGCGGGCTCTGCGTGTACCGCTTTGTTCTCCCTATGGATGTCCTCAGGAACCAGGATGGTAAAATGCCAGATATACTCACCTTCAACGAGGGTAACTTCGTAGTAATCATTGCTGCGGGCGATGAGGGCAACCGCAACATGGTCATCTATCCCTGCCGTGAGCTCGAGCTGATGAATTTCGTCTGCGGTGTCCCCAATACAAGCCCTAAGGTTTTAGCCCATCTTAAATCATCTGGGAGCACTGAAGCTATCGCAAAGGATATGGTGGAGGAGTTTCATGGATTCCCTAACTGGCTTCTAGAGCTCTTCAGGTTAGTGACAAGCTTTATATTCCACACTACTGCGTTTCGTAAAGCTAAGAATAGCTGCGCATTCAGCAAATCCGATTTGATAGAGGTATTCCCTGTGATCGATCAAGAGCCTCTGCCCAATTATGTCAAGGGCCGGACCATGCTAATTGGCGATGCTGCGCACGCCATGGCACCGTATTAAGCACAGGCAACAAACCAAGCCCTTGAAGATGTGGAGGGTCTCAGCGTCATCCTTGCGGATGTTTCTAGCCGCGACAGAATCCCAAGTCTGCTGAAGTTGTGGGATGACATACGCCGACCACACGCATCGTTTGTTCAAAAGGACTCACTGGACTCGCAGGCCAATCTCTCGACAATACATTGCAGCGATAAATTTTTGAAGTTTAAGCCATATGTCAGGATGGAAGAAGTGCTCAGGCAGCTTCCAGAGCAAAGGGAGTCTAGGATTTTCGCTTAAATTCAACAGGGCGAGGTGGGCCTGGCTATCGCTGAAAGGGCTTGGATACCGCAGAGACAATTTTGTGCTTGTCGTCTCGATCCACCGTGTTAAACGGCAGATTTATGCATACTGAACGGTGGCATCATATAGTCCCCTCATAACTTATTGAATTGAGCTCAATCTTTGTTTTAAAACGAAAGGGTATTTATACTATGTGGCAAATCGCCGGAGAATACTGAATAGCCCGAAGATTCAACAACTTGCATAATCTAGTGGTACATTTTTCAGAGGTTGTGAGGAAAAACAAAAAAGATAATACCTGACCGTCATTAAGTTGTACATCTATAATACCCAGAAGCTCATCACAATGCATGATGACCATATCGGCTTCCACTCCCGTTCGACGAGGCCTCATTCTCGTCAACCGAAGGGGTTTTACCATTCTCAGACTGAACGGTCCACTCATCTGTCCTATGAATTCTGAGAGAGTTGTTCTCCAATGGCCTTCCAGGAGCCGTGACCGCAAAAGCGGCAGCTGCGGTTCCCAGCACCTGTTCATCTTCCAGATACCGAGACCGCGTCACAGACTCTTTCACTCCTCGACCCATACTTCCCAACGCATATGAATTGCCATATGAGTTGCTGTTATTCCCGGTGGCGCGTTTCAGCATCGACACCTTGAGCATTCCGCTGTCGAAGGCGTCGAGGAATGGCTTCAAGCATGGAATGCAGGCAGTCATAAGACTGACGCAGAGGTTTAATTGGGTCAGGATGGTGGCTTCAAAGGAGTATAGACCGATGTCTGCGGATGAGGAGGCACGTTTCATATAGATAAGGCGTATGATGGTTGTGATAATAACACTAAGAGATTAGTTGATTGAGCAAGAGGTGGTGACCAGGAACTAATCATACAAGAAGCGGAAAACAAAAGCGCCCACGACGGTCATTTTTTTTGCGAAGACGACCTGGACGGGCTTGACAATGTAGATGGGGAGGACGCAAATAATTGCCTCGGTTAGGATGTCGATGGGGGATATGGCAGCCCAAAAATCGAACTATTTATGTAGATATTAGTACAGTTCTGGATTTGTAGACTTTTTGTGGGAAGTAAACTCACAATGTCAATGCAATGGGCGCTGTTAATCGTCCAAGGGTTGGGCACTCCACATTGGAAGGCTAGAGTAAAAAACACTGCGATCATCCAAGCTATAATTAATATTGTTGACCAAAAGCAGATCTGTTTGTGCAGTTTGTTGACACATATTTTGCTGAGGAATTGCAAGACTGAGATTTTTGCGAGGCCCAGAGCCAGGACGTAGAAGAGGTTAGATACGTAAATATCCTGGGAAGTTTAGCGACGTTTGCATGCTCTCTGGAAGAGCAAATTACCTTTTCCACGGAGCTCAATTGGTCCACACTCAAGATTGTTTGAGGCTTTCCAAAGCCTTGCTTTGTTCCTGCGTAAATGATACCGGATTGGACGATAGCAAAGATCTGCCCATCCCGGTGTTAATCCTCTCGACATTTGAGGGGAGTCAAATGGAGGAAAACTTACTAGCGAAATGGAAACAGTCCCATCATCCCATCGCAACGATCGAAGCATGTAGAATCGAAATGCGAGCCGTATCAGCACAGAAATGACCATCATCACCACGAGATAGAGCGTCGCAATGGCAATCTCGTCTACATGATCGGGCACCATTGGTGCTCCTGTGGAGTTCCCACTCATGCTTTGAAAGGTATGTGCAAAATGGTTGAGCCGAACAGGCAGGATCGTGGTGTCCTTAAGTCACCTATGGGAAGAAAGAAAGGTTTGGGCCGAGTACTATGTGTGACCTTTTACTGAGCAGATCAGAATGTGGGTCACCCTAGCACCAATCCCCATGGTTTTACTTCGCCCTCGAATGAGCGGCCATGGCCTGTACCAACTACGGAAACTCTAAGTCCTCTCCCGCTATTGGGAGGCTGCAGGGGTCGACGCGCGCCTTGCTAGGATAAAATCCTTCCAAAACATGAAGTGCAGGAAAACTGCCTGCACGGCGCAGCCCTCGACTCATATCGCGCGACACCCCTATTAATTATTGTTGAAGGATTGTTGCATCATTTGCACGATTGCCCACATCGACGTGAAGATGGTTCCACCGAAAAGTCAAGCGATTGATATTACACAATAGCTGTTGGGAGTTTAGGGGATCGAGCAGTTCGTTGTAAGCGAATCGGTCCGATGGCCCGAAGATCTCTGCAAATCCTGCGAGGCCGGACACTTCCCTCATCGTATCGCGAATCACTAAAGTGCGGTGTGGGTCTATAGGGACGGGGTCACATTGCTTCAAGCTTCCCAATCAATCATTCTTGGTCTGTTACAACTGCAATAATAATGCCTGGCCCCTAAAAAGATAGGCCATAATCGCTTGCCGTGGTAATTATTAAGGGGCGGGTAATAATCCGATTGTTACTTCGGAGAACATCAGGTCAACATCCTTGCGAATGAGCAGGGATTTGATTTTCGGGCGCGATGGTGCGACCAAACGATAATGATAGTGCGGATAACTCGGCGAACTAAAGTCTAGACTAAGCCTATAGAATCTCTGAAATGGTGTGGCGGATACTCTCTCTGTCCATCAACGAGATAGGAATCCTGAAATACTTCTCTAGAGCAACCACGCGTTCCTCGTCGGAGCTGAAGGATTGCACCACCTCAGAGGTAGCTCCCAGGCGACGCTTCAGCACATCATTGAACAGTGTCAGATCACCCACGATCTGGCCTTCGTCGTCCAGGAGCATTCGGACACACACTACATGAAAAGTAAACCAGCTCTCCCGACTAGTGCTCATGAAGTAGTTGATGATTGCGAAATCCTCCGGAAGAAACTCCGTCTCCGTAAAGCAATAGGCGGGGATCCATGGCCCGCCCCCGTTACGCATTTCGTACTGCCAAAGAGCTTGACCTTTGCCAGTGTGCTGGGGGATGGGAGCATAGAGCAGTCGCCCGGACTGGTCACCGACGTTGCTGAACTCCAAATTCTGCGCCAGGCGAACGGGCTGGTGCGGGCCATTGGAACCAAATCCAACGTCGATCAGGTACTTTTGCTCTCCAATCGTAACGAGGTTGACCATGTGGTTCCTAAATTCTAATCAGTGTTTGGACGAACCAATCAATGGAAGGCTAAAAAAAATCATACCATCCGTCGTACTTGGGGCCCCTCCAGTTTTTGGAAGCCGACATGGGTTGTGCAGCTTCATTGACTCGACCTCCCACGGAGGTGATATTGTATCCAAGGCTGCGCAGAACGGCCCCAAATAGTGTGCTATTCTCCATGCAGTAACCACCTCGAGCGGACTTCGTATCCACGATTTTCTCGAAGACCTTTTGAGCATCTAGAGAAATGCTACGGTGAACTGAATAGTGAAGGTTGAGATTTTCAAATGGCACCGCTGCCAGTTGGTAGCGCTGTAGTGCCCCCAGGAAGGCCAGAGCGGACTCATTGTCGACACCGGGCCCAGCCTTGACTACTGGTGATTCTCGGTACTTCTGAGGAAGTTCAATCCGGTCGAAGTACCGGGCCAGCTGCTCCGGGGAATAAGAGGGACGCAGTGACCAATCGATCTCAGAGCCCATGTTGATTGACCGAGGCACAGCTGTGGTGAGAGGGAATCCTTGAAATGATACTCAGGGCAGAGTTGATCTCAGGAGTTCTCCGGCGATAGAGTAAAAGGCCCTCAAAAGGACCGAAGGTCTCGGTTAACATTCTAGTCTCCTCTAGGACTGGCCCCACTGCATGTGTGGCCGCAATTAATACATGCACGTACGATGTAACAATCCCGGGGATCCCTGTCGGGCGGATGCTTTAGTGCAAAATAGCCCCAAAAAACACGGATGGATTAGCCAAAAGCGAAATTGGCGATTGGCGCTGGCGCAATGGACTAAGATGGCTATCAATTAGGTTAGTCGACCTCCGAACAGAAGACTGCTTTTGTTTTCTTTTTTCCAACAGCTCCGTTATCCTTTGCAACTACCTAACCTTCCAAAACAAACCTTGGATCCTTGTCCTTTTTCTATTTGTGTTTTTTCTTAATAGTAACTTTTTCACAGTAATTTCAACATGCCTTTCAAACACGGTGAGATGGAGGTCCAGGAGTTGGGCTCCCGTTCACAGAAGAACCGTGATGATGAGGACCTGGCAAGACATGGCAAGAAGCAACAGTTCGAGGTACAGCTCGCTGACGAAAACCACAATGGGACCCTACTAACAAGAGCAGAGAAACTTTGGTTTCTTGTCCATGTTGGGCTTCACTACCACTATGATGTGCACGTGGGAAGCAGTACTTTTGTGAGTTGCAGCGTTCAAATGCATCGTCGCCCAGTAATTGACCCTTTTCACAGTGCTAATGCGATTGCAATGATTGACGGCGGTCCCGCAACTCTCGTATATGGATTCATATTCTGCTGGATAGGTGCCCTAGTCACTGCCGCCTCACTCGCTGAAATGGCTTCAATGTACTAAGCCCTACCTGACAAAAAAGGCCCAACGCTGACGGGACATAGGGCTCCTACTTCCTCCGGGCAATATCATTGGGTGGCAATGCTAGCTCCTAAAGGTCAGGCGGTATTCCTGAGCTGGGTGACCGGATGGCTAGACGTAATCGGATGGTGGGCCAACACTGCCGCGGGCGTATACTTCGGCGCAACAGTCACCCAGGGTCTTCTAGTCCTGAACTATCCAGATTACATATTTCGACAGTGGCATGGGACCTTGCTCATGTTTGCCGCGTTGGTCGTTTGCGTTCTGGTAAATTCTGTCGGAGCAAAGCTCTTGCCTAAGGTGGAGGGCTTGATCCTAATCCTTCACATTATGGGATTCTTTGCCGTCTTGATTCCCCTTGTTTACCTCGCACCAAAGAAAGACGCAACGTACGTCTTCGCCACCTTCGAGAATTCCTCCGGATGGAGTAGCGCAGGTCTGACCTGGCTCATTGGATTGATGGGAACTAACCTCCCATTCATTGGTACGGTGACCCCCTTTTGCCTCAGCTACGATCTTATCTAACAGAATGCCGGTAGGTTATGACGGTCCTTGTCATATGGGTAAGCATCCCTTCATCATCCGTTTAAGCTCTTCAACTAACAGCCCCTAGCTGAGGAAGTCGTCAACGCCTCAACCATCGTGCCTTGGTGCATGATCGGCACAATCTTGCTGAATGGATCACTCGGATTTGCTATTGTACTCGCCTTTCTTTTTTGCATCGGCGATGTCGGCAAGGCCATGAACAGCGCAACAGGCTACGGCTTCATTGAAGTTTTCTTTAACGCCACTCAGTCCCATGCTGGAGCGTCCGTAATGGCTGCCATTCCCACTGCACTGGTCATCTGTGCGTCTTTTGGGTTCTTAGCTTCTGCGTCGCGCCTCACCTGGGCTTTCGCGAGAGACAGGGGGTTGCCATTTTCAAAATTTCTGTCTCACGTATGGACAACCGCCCCCCAAACTGATCATAGAAAACAATGGCTAATTTCAATATTTTGTCTACAGCTCAGCTACGACCATGCCATTCCTTTCCGCGCTGTCATTCTTTGCGCGACGCTCACTGGCTGTATCTGCATTATCAACGTGGGATCTACCGCTGCATTCAATGCTATCATCTCGTTGACGACAGCGGGCCTTTTTACATCTTATGAAATTGCGATCGTTCTAATGTTCTTGAAGAAAATCAAGGGAGAGCATATTCCTTATGGTCCCTGGACCCTCGGCCCGTTCGGCATTGCCATCAACATCGCCTCGATCTGTTTCTTGACTATCGCTATCTTTTTCTCTTTCTTCCCCCAAGGCTTACCTGTGACACCTGCGAACATGAACTGGTCAATTGTTGTGTTCTCTGGGGAGCTCATCCTCGGTCTGCTGTGGTATGCGGTTTATGGGAGGAAGGTATATCATGGTCCCATCGTTGAGGCCGGTGTTATTCCTATGGAGGGTGGGTTTGTGGTGCAAGGACCTCGGGAAGAGTTCTGAAGAGGGCGGCTTTTCTTATTGTGTGGCAGTGACCAGAATGCATAGAATTGGAACACCACGGGAAAAGTTTTGAGTTATTTATCACAGGGTTGCGTATTTAGAGCTTTAGCACATTTCAATCAGCTCGTTTTAAATAAGCTCAATAATGAGATACCGCGTCGATGCTACTAACCTTAAGATCAACCACTGGTTTAGAGTTATTGTCCCCGGGGTTCTGATCCGCTGATATCGGCCTGCTAGGCCGAACACCGGTCGAGACCTGTAGTGGTTGTCTCAAGCTAGAATTGACTTCCCTTCGTAGCAAATCGATGACCGACAATATTTCGCCAGATTGCAAAGACACTTCATGTGAGAGGAGATGCGAAGTAGGCCGAAGATGTAGAAAATGTATCCCAGCTGTCACTCCTCCACACTATGGAGACTATTGGTAAACGCACATTGACTGAAAAGGGATCGGAAGATGGATTCCTGCCCGTAATGTATAGCAAAATTTAATTATAAAGCACACTAATACAAGTACTTTTTCAAACCACCATTATCTTCTACGACGGATCAAATGCATCTTTCAGTGTTCCAAATCCAACTCCGCCTGTTGCCCCGGGAGTCCTTAAATGGACATTCTCCGTCTTCGTATAAGAAGGACTCTATGTCCTTTTCAAACCAGACAGCTTCCCCCTGACAATGACCGCCTTGCTCAGTGCCGATAATAAATTTTGGTCGGCGGTCAGGCCAAAGATGCCTTTCGCGGATTTGTCTGCGCATCTCTGTAAGGAAGACACGCCACAGATTGCCATTATCGACGAACACCAGGAAGCTCAACTTCACGGAGCGGAGAGTATCTGGCAGTTTCGAAAGGCATAGGATGAGATCAGCCTGGCTGACTATAAAGCGTGATAACTCGAAGTGCCGAAGTTTGGGCCATTTCTCGAGAGGGAAGATTCTCTCTAAGAGCACAGGCGCGGTAGTAATTGGTGGCTCTTGGCACTCGACGTAATAATCCAATCCTGCGGTATAGAAGCTGAACTCCTCCAAGTTGACTGCTTCGCTTAGTGCGGCGTAAAGTCTGCCATTACGAAAAGATTCCCAGTTCGATTCGAATGTTCTTCCACCGAAGATGAAAGGAAGATCAAGGTGGCGAAATCCCGGTTTCTTGAGCACCTTGACGAAATGATCGTATTCCGGGCAAGGTTCATCAAATATCGTGCAATTAATTCCCGTGAAACGTTGCCGAGCATCGAGACTTAGCTCCACCACATTGTGTTTCTGCTGGGCGAGCGCACGTATCACAATGCGGAATCCACGATATTTTTCTCTGTGCCTTTCATCAACACCTTGCCAAGGAAATGTGATCACATCCTCAGGCTCTTCAGTAAGTGATGTTGGCCATCCGTAGGGAACAGGGTAGATGAATCCTCGTGGAAACGCTCGAATCATAGGAGTTTGGTAAAATGGAGTAAAGAGCATATTATGGGCTGCCGGCGTCACTGTGACTTTGTTCAGTGCAGGGAACTGTTCGAGCCCATAGACAAAAGCCTCTTCGTCATAGCCTCCAGCTAGAACATCGTCTTGCTTCCTGACCAACCCACGATAAAATTCCCAACACTCGCTTAATGAGGGCCCAGTTGAACACAGCTCTCTCATAGTCGGGCAGTCCTGCGGCAAAAGTACAGGCCCTGATCGCCGGTCGAAGATACGCTCAAGACTTTCGACGCATCCAGCCTTAAACCAGAGAGGACAATTTTGCCTGTTGAAATTCTCACTATTTTTCACTCGCTGAATAGAGTCGAGATCCTCGTCGTCTTCGAAATGCTCATGATCAGAATCTTCTTCGTCGAATGACTCTTCAATCTCATTATCACTCAAATCCGAGTTTGGTAGGAAGATACCGCGCCTAGGATCGATAATATCTGGTCGAGGGCCACGGGAAACCCGCGTGTCATCCCAGACGATTTCTGTGATCTTGTAGCGAAATTTGTTGTGATCTGCAACTGCGCGGAAGACCTTGATGTTCAGGGGATTGGCCGACAAAAACACTCGGGACAGTCGGAGCTCTACCGAATCGCAAAATTGTTTAGAGACAAGGCGTAGGGACTTGATATCACGATTTGGTAGATGCGATAATACTGTATGGAACAGCTCCACAGGAAGGTCCAGGATTGGATGGGAATTCGAAGTCATTGTGTTGGATTGTGGGAAAGTGTATTGGAGGGGGAAGTGGGTTAACAGCAACAAAGCTATTAGGATCGGGGGGCGAAGGACGGCGTCGTTTTGGCCGTCTTTTTGCCGTCATCTTCTTTTAAGTAGTTATCTAACCACTCGTCTTCTACAAAAACAAGAGCCTAAAGAATATCGTAACATTCTAAACCCCTAAATCCCTATGCTCCCAAGCCTCCTGCGCCTAAACGCCCTAACCTCTAGAAGCTGAGCGAAACCGATTTTTGGCCCGATTATGTGGAACCCGGGCTCAGGCACCTCAATCCTCCAGGATCCGCCTCTAACAATAGTTAGTAAAGCAGCTAATTTTCGTTTGACTCTGCTCTCTGCCCTCTCGCTATTAGTATTTATCAGTAAACTCTCCCCGTACCTGCTTTCTAGAGCACCAGCCTATCCATCACCTACCCGCTCCTTACTGTTACCTCCTGGTCCGCTCGCGATGCGCCTTTTACTCTATACTTTGCTTTTTAGCCTCTGCAGTGGGCACTCTCCTCTGAGCAGGGAATACCTGGTTGTTCCTAAAAACAGGAAGGACTCAAGTCTACTGGGCTATCTGGAGACGGTTTCTACTGCCGGGCAATCGAGCGTTCCTTCTTGGTCAATAGATGGGCAGTTGAAGTGGTGCCAAGTTGCCTTGATTGTTTCTCAAGTTTCCAAGTTGAAACAAAATGTCGATGTGAACTACATCGTCGAAGATTATCCACTATCATGTTTTGCAGCTGTTCCTCGCGATCTGAACAACACCAAGTAGGATTATACTATTTTACCTCATATATCTCGACCATATCTCTCCAAAAGCGAGCAAGAATGGGCTCTTACCGCCGAGGGCTAGAGTGGGCGGGGAATGTATACCCCAAAATCAACACAAAAAGCTACCCCAATTGGTTGCGTCACTGTGCCCGTCAAAGTCAACAATAATGGCCGTGAGCTTATGACCTCGATGGTTGCTGGCGTGGTTGGTATCGAGGCACATTCTGGCGCAAATGCTCAAGTCTGTGATGAAAAACCAACCAAAGACTCAATCCAGCCGTTCTCTGCGTGGTGGATGTTTGAAGAGCTAGATGAGGCGGAAGTTGCCAAGAAAAAAGAGAAGGAAATCACGGAGCAAGAGGCGTACTGGAAGGATCTCAAAAGGAAATAGAGAAATACCTTTGGCAGTGGACGTGCGTCCACAGACGTAGGCGTAGCTGATGTGAGTCCATCGACTCGCGTCTAGGACGGCTTAGTGGCCGCTGTGGTCTCATTTCTGACTGCTGACTATAACCTCTTGGCTGGGGCCATTATCATTTGTATATACGTCTTTTCATGCTCCTCATGGGTGTTGTATCCAAATAATGATCATTGCAGGTCTCTATGTAGTTGGTGTACTGCCTCAGGCGTCAAGGCATCCAAGCCCTCACACCTCCAGTCCGTCGTCACTCCGTTGCCCATCAACACCCGCATCACCGCATTGCTCTTTCCCAGCCATTCCATCTGGCTTGTTCCGTGCAGGGAGCGCTCTGCCACGTTCAGTCTCTATCTCTCCGTCTCTCCCTCGAACCTCCTTTCAACCTCGCATTACCCCAGTCCACTCCCAGGCAACGCTCCAAGCTCCCCCGCTTCCACCCACATCGAAACACCCGGCCACATATCAAGAACGGCGCCCACATCCAAATCTCACACTGCTACAACAAGTCCAATCCACCAATTCAATTCCCTCCTCTCTTTCTCCTATTCGCACCTAAAAGCCCGCAACAATGTCTCAACTCGACAACTTCCGCACGATCAATATCGACCGCCTGGACCCGGAGTCCTCGGCCAACTTCCCAATGGAAACCCTCCTTCCCGCGACGCTGCCACCCCCCGAGACCTCCAGTGATGCTGCCAACGTCGCAACACAGGTGCGCCAACTGCTGCGCGGCGGTGACCCCGAGGGCGCACTGCGGCATGTCCTCGACACAGCCCCGCTCGGCGGCGACGACCGCGCCAAGGAGGTGCACCTGGCTACCGTTATTGAGGTGCTGCAGGGGATTCGGCAGGGGGAGATGACTCGTGTGCTGGAGGGGGTATGTGCTGGGGACGGCGGGTCGGAGAGGGCGGATTGTTTGATGAAGTATCTGTACGTCACTCCCTATCTTGAAGGATATTTTAGGGAGAGTATACTAATCCTACGTGCAACAGCTACAAGGGAATGTCCTCGCCTGCCCCCGGTAGCGGGACTCAGTCGCCGCGCAGCATGTCCGTTTCGCCGCAGAGTACCGGCGGGTTCTCACAGATCCAGGGGCGGAATTTGGGCGAAGGTGGCGGTGGACAGCAGATGAGTGTGTTGCTGAGCTGGCATGAGAAGCTCGTCGAGGTGGCAGGCACTGGATCGATTGTGCGGGTCATGACGGACCGCCGGACGGTTTGATGTTCTCCATGGTTTCTTGTGTCTGCTAGAGAGGCTTTCTTGACTGATTGCATGCCATACTCCCTTTTGTGGCTGTGTCAACGTAGTTTCTGGATTTCTAATAGTACATTGGCATTATGTGTAACACGTTACTGTTGTTGCTTCATGGCTTCTCGAAATCGCCGCCGCCCAGTATATCTTTCAAGTTGACGTCGCCGCTCCCACGCGGCAATGGCTGCGCTTGGCCCTCCCCTTCCTTCCACCCGATCATATAGATTAATCGGAACGTTGCAGGGATCCCCTGCGCATCCTCCTCCATATGGAGAGCACGGTAGATAGCGTCATTCGCTAACAAGACATCGCGCGATAGCGGCCCAGCCTCACGATGCATGATGGCATTGCTCTCGCCCATAGCCTGCAGGTCCTGCATGAGAGCAAAGGTATCCGGGAATTCAACAACAATATCTTCGACATCCACCGTCTGCATCTTGAACCCGGCGCGTGTCAACAGACTGCCTACGTCTCGGACATCCGCCAGCGGTGAGACGTGCGGACTCACGCCGCCGCGCCGCTCCATATCCGCCAGCTGCATTGATCCACGCAGTTCAAAAAGCGTATCACCGCCGAACATGGCTGCGATGAAGGGAGCGTCTGGTTTAAGGATAGTGTTCACTTGCTCCAGTAGCGCGGGCAGGTCGTTGATCCAGTGTATCGAGAGCGAGGATAGGACGGCGTCGAATGAGTTCGGTTCGTAGGACAGTGTCTCCAGGTCTGGGATCACTTCTCGCGTAATATCAATCTCCTTGTTGAAGGGCAGATCGTCATCCCGGTGCAGTAGTGCCCGCGATGTCTCGACGCAGGTCAGTTTGGAGATGCGCTCGGCCAGCGGCGGCGCCGGTGTGCCCTCCGGCGTGGTGTAGTCGATGTTCGGTTGCGTCAGCGCGCGTGCGATGTTGCAGCTGTTCGCGCCTAGATCGAGGACATGGGGGAATTTGCGCTTGATATCCTATATAGCAAAGCTCATCTCGTCAGCTACTGCTGTGTTCTACTTTGTTGTCCTGCTAGACTCGCTCACCAGTAACCGCTCGCATAACCGCATCGCCACCTCGTCTTTGAGGTAGTCGACTTTCCGGCTCTCCTCGACATTATGCGCCGCGCGGTCTTTCTGTAGATGTTTTGTCCGGCGATTGAAGATCTCTAGCATCGGGTTGCCGGGGGTTTGAGCGGCGTAAGTCCGGAGTGATGATGGGGCGAGGCAGTGCCGTGGAATTGTCGGGCGGATTGCCCGGAGAGGGAGCATGGTGAGTTGTGGTGAGGAAGGAAGTTGGGGAGTTGTTCAAGTGCAGGTGTTTGTCAGTGACGCAAATTTGTTGTTCCTCCGCACTGTCTGCCGGTCAACCGCGCCGGATCCTCGTCTTGACTTGTTGCTACATTCCGGACTCGGGTTGAACAGCAGAAAAGCTTTGCTGTTTCTACACAGTGGTACGCTCTCACACACGGAGATAAGGCATTGCTAATGCTGATGAGAAGCAGGGGCGCAGAGGTCGCAATTGTGGCTGCAGTCGCGGGTCGGCCTGACGCTCAACAGACTGATCTCATTCGTTCCTACAAGTCGCTTTCCTAGCCAAACATGAATTGATCAAACAATACAATCAAGAATGTCGCGTCCGTTCCCTTACACCTACATCTCCTGTCCCTGCGCGGACACTCCCGTCCCCGAGCCGGGCAGGAAGCGCAAGTCAACACTGTCGCCGCAGAAACCAGAACACACAATTCTCCCAGCAGAAGACAGCCAAGAAACAGAGAAAGAAGAAGAACAAGAAGAGCAAGGAGAGGATGAGGAAGAGCAGACGTTCGACCCCAGATCACCGCGGTCCAACTTCTCGCTGTATCCGCCGGAACAGCTCCTGTACTGCGAGGACTGTCACCAGATCAAATGTCCGCGATGCATCACCGAGGAGATTGTGAGCTGGTACTGTCCCAATTGCTTGTTTGAAACGCCGAGTAGTATGGTGAAGAGCGATGGCAACAGGTATGTGGTGGTGGACCACCTCGTGCGTAAACTGCAAGTTAACGCGCAATTTCTAGGTGTGGCAGAAACTGTTTCAACTGTCCTGCTTGCACCGCTCCGCTGGCTGTGAGTACCATTGAAAATGTGGCCGGTAATGCGACCCAGCAAGGGCCGTGGGTGCTCTCCTGCGGATACTGCCTATGGACCACGCTCGATATCGGCATCAAGTTCGACAAGCCAACCAATATCCGCAGCCAACTGCAGAAAATGACAGATTCCACTGCTCCGGCCTCCTTTGACAGAAAGCCTTCCCGCACTTTCGGCGATCTCAAATCCCCCTTGGCCACTTTTGCCTCCATTGACGAACAGTCCAATGCCCGTGATGAAGAGGATACAAACCAGTCCGCACACAAGGAGGACTCGGCGCCTCCTCTCGGCGCGGAAGCACGCTTTGCTGCGTTGAAATCATTCTACCGTACCCAAATCAACGAGACATCCAACTCGCCAAGCGATCCCCTCAGCTCGGACTTTGGATTCTCTTCCCCCGGAGCCCTGAACCGGCTCATGTCTCTCTACGCCTCGTCATCCCGCCTAGGAGGGCTCTACGGCAGCGGTAACAAGAAGCCCAAATCCAAACCACCAGTCATGCGCGAAGCCCTCACGGCCAGCGAGGGTCTCCGCGTTGCCGACTCTCACGCCGATGTCGAGGTGATCGAACGTCTGGCTTCCGCGGACTGTGGCTGGAACGGTGTTGCCTCAGCAGACCAGCGCACCGAGCAATCGCCCGACGTCCGCTTCGTCGACGACCTCCTTCCTCTCCCAGTTCTCCTGCGCACCAAGCGCGCCAAACGCTGCAAGTCCTGCAAGCACATCCTCGTCAAGCCCGAGACCAAGCCGCAGTCCACCCGGTTCCGCATCCGCCTCATCGCACTCAGCTACATCCCACTCCCGACTCTGCGGCCCCTTGCTTTCCCCTCATCGTCTTCGGCAGTCTCTCCGACTGTCCCTGCTCCAGATCTCACTGCCCTACCCCCTCTCCGACCTATCCATGTCCTTCTCAACCTCAAAAATCACATGTTCGACCCCGTACGCATCACTCTCGCCACACCGTCCGTAACTCCGGGCCGCGTCGCCTCCAAAGTGACTGTCCTGTGTCCGCAATTCGAAATCGGCGCCAACAGCGACGTCTGGGACGAGGCGCTGCAAGGCGCAGAGGTGCCCGTCGCTGATTCTCGATCTGCCACTCTGCGCGGCGGTGAAAAGGTCCCCGAGGCCGGGAAGGTGTGGGACAAGGGACGGAACTGGACCACTGTTGTGCTAGAAGTCGTCCCGGGCACACTGCCGGGCACGGATCCTTTGTCCCAGGGAGGAGCAGATGACGACCAGACTCCGCCTCTGCCTGATGAGGACGTCCTGGAAATCCCGGTGTTTGTGCATATGGAATGGGAGGCTGAAGCACAGCTTGAGCAGCAGAATGTTGGTAAGAGTTCTAAGCCAGATGACCTGGTTACGCGGGAACTAGCTTATTGGATGGTCCTGGGCGTGGGGAGGATTCAGGCCGGGTTGTGATTCTTGTTTCTTGTCTTGTCCATACCCCCTTTGGATTTGTATTTACTGCATTGCCTACATAAGTCATACTCTTCTGTTCATCCCAGATCTCCATCCCATAGCAGGCAGGGCATCATTACAGCGAAACAACACGGATAGGATAGACAACCGTAAATGCATTGTTTTTCTTTTTTAAGAGTCACCCGAATTTGCATTTGGCATGCCACTCTAGTTTCCAGGTATGGGGGTGCGTTAACTAGAAACTACCCAACAAAGATTCCCTCGAGACACATAAAAGAAACAACACCGGAGATACAAGACACAATCAGAAGAATCTAGTACTCAGCGCCGCTCTGGGGGAACTCGAACACGACGGCCCGGCCGGTTAGTCGGCGGTAGACCTCGCCGTAGGCATCGAGGCGGTGGTCAACGCCACCACGCTCCTTCTCGTCCAGGATGACCTTCAGGGTCTTGCTGCCGTCCTCCTTGGTGCGGGTGCGCTTGCCGACGATCTCGACCGGGTAGACCAGGTCAGCGAGGATGGCCTCGTGGACGGCGGTCAGGGTGCGCGAGCGGGGACGCTTCTGGGTCTGGGTGGTGCGCGAGTTGACGGAGCGCTTGGGGCGGGGCAGGATGCGGCGCTGGGCGACGAAGAGGACGTGGCGGTCCGAGAACTTCTTCTCGAGCTCGCGGGTCAGGCTGGATTTGACTGTCAGTTTTTGTTGTTCGATATAGAGAAAAAGTGTAGTGAAAAGCATACCGCTGCTGGATCTTGTGGAAGCTCTGCAGGAGAGGGACAGGGACGAAGACAATGATGGCCTTCTTGCCGTGGCCGACCTCAACCTAATGTGCGGAAGACATGTCAGTTCGTTGAAATGAAAAAAAAATTTGCGCGCACAACGCCACAAGCAAAAAAGCCAATTCCTCTTGCTGGTCGGCACCGTAACAGTCTGACGAGGCCTCTGAAGATATTTCCCATCCACTTGGGTTGATGGTGCCGTGCATCAGGACGATAAGGCCTGTTCATCGCACACACCACACACAGAGCCCCGACACAGAATCCCATCTCTTGCACCAGCAATTCCCCCGAACGCATAATCTCACGAAATCTATCCCCGATGCTAAAACAATTCAATTCTTACCTCACGGGCCGAGACGAACTGCAGGGGTCGAAGGGTGGCCTTCAGGTCCTGGGTGTTGCTCTCGAGGTCGAAGAGCGCGCCGGCGACCGCGGTCTCCAACTCGGAGGGGTTCTGCCGGGAGGGGGAGTTGGCGGCAATCTTGTTGATGGCAGCCATGATTGCGAGCGACGAGGTGCTGCTGCGGGGAGGTGCTGGGTGGTTGAGGTCGGCTGGAGGATTGGAGAGTCTCGCTTTCCTTGAATTTGTGTGGGATGGATTAGCGAGTGTGGGCACTAACCCAGGTATGGTTAGCGCGCGGATTGGCTGAGGTAATGTTGCTGAGTCAGGTGAGTGATCATGTGACCATGCCCTAAATCAATCCATCGCTGTGGCATCAAGGTCGAGAATAATGGTAGGATCCGTGGAGTTATGCCTACTTAAAATCATCGTACGATAATCTTGAAAATGGTGGATTTTGCTTGTGGACAACGCAACATTCTAGCAACTCGCTCAACGGCAGGGATGGGATAAGCCATCCAGGGAAGCAGACAAAAACATGCGAAATGACTCTTCGAAAGGAAAAACAAAAGCAATATTAACAAGCACAGCCCTCCTTCGCCGTCGCCGCAGTTCGATCTCCCAGGTTGACGCGCGAGTCATCTGCCGACCGGCCACTCAACTGAGTTTGTCCAGTGCCTGCTCCGGCACCTCGACCAGTCTTCAAACTGCTCTCGGGGATCGCATTGGCAATAGCCGTAAATACATCCACCACGTTCGTCCCCGTCTTGGCACTGGTCTCGAAGAACAACAATCCCTCCTCCTCCGCATACGAGCTGGCTTCCCGAGTCGACACTTTCCGGGCATCGCCAGGCGTGGCGTCCTGCTCATCGTCCTCCTCGCCTGCACCCTCATCTCCATCAGCACCAGTAGACCCAGATTCAGCCTCCGGCGCGGTTGCGGCCTCAGAGGCATCGCCGCCATCGTTGGTCAAGTCCAGCTTGTTGCCGACAAGGGCGATGACAATCCCCGGGCTCGCTTGACGCTGCAGCTCGGCCACCCAGTGTTTCGCTTTCGTTAGCGACGAGGGCTTCGTCACGTCGTAGACCACCAGCGCGGCTTGCGCGTTGCGGTAGTACATCGGGGCCAGCGAGGCGAACCGCTCCTGGCCTGCCGTATCCCAGATTTCGAATTTGATCGTGCGTGTAGGCAGAGAGCATTTCTGCGTGAGGAATGCGGCTGAACAAGAAAATTATAAGCTGAATTTCATATTGCGCCAATGGCCCAGCGGGACGACTGGGCATGCTATCGTCCGAAGTCGGGGGCTGGGGGGCCTATTAGGAAATCTCACCTCCAATTGTTGGCTCCTTATTCTCCTGAAAATCATCATTGACAAATCGAAGGACGAGCGAGGACTGTCAACGATCAGCAACTGCTCAGTGTAGTGTGTAACCTGCCATGCACGCAACGTACCTTGCCCACTGCAGCTTCGCCCAACAGCACGAGCTTGACGCTGCTGCTCGGCTTCGGGGTATTTGCGCTAGCGGCCTCGGACATGGCTGAGGCGGATAGGGGAGATGTGAGAGGATGTGGTCAGCAGTGCTGCAGCAAGGCGATCAACCGCCGTCGGGCTGAAGGGTGAGGTGGCGGGTTCAGTGGGTGCCTGGCAACGAATCCGATTTTGGGGCGCTGTCTCACTTCCTTTATTCGTTGGAACACGAGATGCAGATGTCCTAGGAGAAATCAGGTTCTCGGCAGTAGACAAGGAGAGAGAGACAGAGAGAGAAGACGCCGCAGTTCCCCAAGCGGGAGGCAGATGACGCTCGCCGCCTGATTAGGCTTAGTGGTCACGGGATCCAGACTGAGCCTCCACAGACAATTATAGGTATACAACATGATTGAATTGAATGATATAGAATTATTCAATGTACCATAAATGCATCTAATCAATGATCAATGTAGACAAGATAGTCCATGCAGGGAAGAATCACGGCCAAGCCAATGCCCGACGCTGTGAAGCCCAATACCCAGCCAGTGGTGGTCAGCAAGCAAATCGGCCCAACAGACCCGAAGATGCAGCCCAACCGTTACTTGTCTAGCCACACGCGCTAGATTGACAGGGGGAAAAAACGAAAATAGAGACAGCCGCAGCTGAGTTTGATAGACGCACGAGTATAATACAGACATGACAAAAAAAATGACAATACAAATACATCAATCCCTAAAAGAGACAAAAAACGTGCTATTGACCGCGAGGTCGAAGCTCTAGGTTCTTCTGGTATCAGCCCATGCAATCCCATGCAACAAGATCCCGTCCCGTCTATGCCAAAACGCCGCTTGGAAGAGAAAAGCACAAAGGAACACCAGAAGAGAAACAAAACAACTTTTCAGGAAGGTGGGCCGTGGGATCTCGGTAGAGTCGTGTCGGAGAAGAAGGTAGATGGCGAGGCGTGAGGATTGGAGGAGGGCCGGAAAAAGGAGGATAGGGTGAAATAATTGAAAAGAAAAATTCACGCTGAAGATATCCGAAACACATGCGGTATAGTTGAACGGAATTAAAAGGGTATATGTGGTGTCGCGCGGCAAGGCCCAGAGGGTGAAACGAATGAAGATAGACCGAAATGACAAAAGAAAATAGTGATACAGTTATCTAGACTCATAGTTAGTAACAGATGGTATCAGGAGGATCCGCTCCGTCTTACCGAAGAAGAACCAAGTCCAAACGTAGTGCGCAAGACTCCAGCAACCATGGGCGCCAGATAAATCCGAATTGAAACCATTGCCGGCAACGAGGGGCTAGAAGAGCAAGTCTTCCGCTCAAGTCGTTTATTTTGGTGGTGGTGGAGGTGCGCCGGGCTTCTTCACCCCGGTTGTGTCATAGGCGCCGCGCCCCATATTGGAGGCCGATAGGTCCCGGAGTATCATGTTGAGGTCTGCACAGGCGAGCATGGTTAGAGAGGAGTTTTGTGGAAGCTTTTGAAAAGAAGGGTGTGAGAGAGGATGCAGGTGAAAAAGAAAGCAGCAGGGTTGAGAATGAGACAAAAGGAACTCACCAAGTAAACACAGAAACCCGTGAGTTATTATACTTCTCGAAGTACAAACGGCACTTCCCAAACCACCCCCGAAAAACAAAAAGAAAAGGAAAAGATCAAAGTTCTAGACAGAAGAACAAGACGGGTGCGATGGATGCAGATGCAGTCGAGATCAGAAGAAGCGGTCCTTTATGAATGGCCGCGGAAACAGACAATGCAGCGCGGGCGCCAGGAGATCGTAGCAGGAATGTGACGGACGCCAAAAAAAAGTTTTAGGCCGGATGATAAGTCGGTCGGGTTTTATCCGAGTTGTATCACCAGAGGCATGGATCGGATCCGTGGCCGCAAGAGACGAAAGAGTATCCGCGCGCGTTCGAGGGTGGCAGCAGTGTTGTTCAATCCATGAAATCGCGATCTAAACCAGGTAACTGCCAGCCCAAGGGATATGTGGACTAGTGCTCGGCAAGGGAGGATTGCACGGAACTGGGCTCCCGGTTGATCCGGGGAGATTGAGCGTATCGCAAGGGAGGCGAAGGGAGAATAAAGGGCGGCTCGGTAGGGGATGACGGAGATGAGTAGTTCAAGTATGTGGAGAGTGAGCAAAGAGTATGTAACGGACAATAAATATCTCCCTAGGGGGAGGGTCTCCCAGGGGGGGACCGATTGCGTAGTTATACTAGGTGAAAGTGTTGTATGGCTGACGATCAGCCTTTTTTTTTTCTTTTGAATTATTGAATTAATTAATTTATTTTCCCATTAATCCAAATTATTATTTAACTGAGTGTCTTTGTTTAGCCCCGGCGGCTCTCCCGTCCACTGTCCCGGGGATCTGTATTCTCTGACCCGACCCCCTTTCTTGCTCGCTCCAACGTCTGCTAACCCCCATTAGTGCCGCAGTAGTGCCAGGGCGATCGGGCAGCTTTGTTCTATCAATCGAAAAATTTCCTAGGACATGATGCATCACAATCCGATCTGTATCTTTTTCCCTCTCTCTTTCGATTCTCTTTGCGCGGAACCAAAAGTACACCCGCAACCCCCAAGAAAACAAAAAAAAAAAAAAAAAAAAAAAACCGCTGAGTCGAGAGACAGAGGCTAGAAGGAAACGACACTCGATCCGAGGGTATGGACACTGTTGCAGGAAGTGGAACCCCAAACACCACCAGGAACAGCGGATGGATCCGAATTAGACATCGCTGGGCTCTCGCGTGGTCGGGCTCCATCGGACGTATCTCAGTTGTACCCAATACTAGGCTGTACTGGATAGGGCAAGGGGCCTAAGGGGCTGGCATATGATGCCTAGGCAGAGTCATCCCCTAGCCAACCAACCATGTTAGATCCTGACCAAGGCCAGACATTTATTCGGTTGTCCGCTCAATAATCATCAAGAAGACACAAATTCAGGCTCAGTCTCGGAGAGCCCCGGTTCTGGCCCCGGCTGTGACGGCGGAGGGAGAACAAAGCCAATCGTATACTTACGAGTGCCCCCCCCCCCCCCCCCCCCCCCAAGGTGTCTCGCCTCGTTTCGTGTTGGGTGACGCCCAAAATCGATCTCATCGAGATTAGTTAGGGGGCAGGACTAATCAATGGCAAACGGTGGGCCGACGGGATGGGTAGTTTCCCCTTCTGCTGGAGAGATCGGATGCTGTGGGGGACCGGGACTGCCCTTCTAGTCTTTCTAGCGCGCCCGGCTTGGGGTCCACTCGCAGTAAATGGTGGTATCGGATGAATACCGTATTTAGTGAACATTCTGGACTCCTTCTCTGTGACCTGCAGAAAAGAGTCAAGACCTTCCTTGACTCCACCTCTAAAACTTTTGCGTCAGCGTTCTCCGTGAGCTCGCCACAATGGAGCCGCTGGCGGCTTCGATACACTTCCAGATACCCGATCCGCCAAAGGGGAGGAAGCGACCTTAACGGGGCCCCTAACCGTGTTTCAGCCGTGTTAACTCGTAACTTGCTGCGACGAATGATTATTCAGTTACGACGTCACCCTCCGACAAGGCTCAGCAGCCAGGGGCGGTTTGCTGGAAAGCGAATCCCCAATAAGGAACCAAGTCCTTGTCCCGGCCCGGCGATAGTCACATACATGTTCCCTGCGATCTGACCCTTTTTGTGGTTAAAATCCGTGATCATCGCCAACGGGAAATATCAGTACATACTGCTATACATTATTAATTGAAGTTTAGTAGCGAGCTTCCCTTTTCTTGTCAAGCGGGCCCATCCTGCTTCGCGACCTTCCAATCCAGGCCTCCGTTTCCATTACAGCTAGAACGACGCTAGAAACGGGAGAACGCTGCGACATCCCGTTGCAGCCCCATAATAATAATACTCTGTCGGTCGTCCGTCTTTTCGCCGTCGCGAGTTTGGCCCATCCTGTGCCGCCGTGTTGGGAATTCAGGATTTCATGTGTCTACATACAGTAAGGAACTGACAACAGGATGAAGGGAGCAGGATTCTCTTCCATGCATAACGGTTCTTAACATCTGCGCCCCTCACGACCCAGGGCTATGGTTCATGGCGTATTAGTTCATTCCTGCGACGGTGCGAACCCAATGCCTCGAAGGGCAATTCCCGACGTAATCAGCCACCGTTTCGGGGGGGATGGGTCTCCAAGCTTCGGCTCGATGCATTAGTTCTCCCGCGCGCGGCCTTGAAACATGGGTCAACCTGGAGTCAAATCAACACTGCATGAACTGCCTTCCATCTTCCTTTCCGCGACAATGTGCTGGAGGCGGCGCTTAGTGGTCGTCCAATAGCCATATCGGATGAGAAGCCGTGCGGACAGCTTGCCCGCTTGTCGATAATTGGTTGCTCGCTAAATCAGGGCTTTTCTGGCCTGTGTCTTTTTTGGACCGCCACTGTTCGATGTCTCCATTATCTCGGCACTTTCTCATCGATCTAGACCAGCATGTCCAGATCACCACGACTTTGGACGCCGCCCTAGGGCACCGCGGAAGTGAAGCCGAGCCTAGTACATTATTCCCAGCCTCCAGAGACAGAGAAGTTCTGGATACGCTTTTCTCAAACAATAGTCTCTGTGTAAAGAGTGGACCTGGCGTATACCGCCGTACTCCGCAGTCTAGAAAGGCCAAAAAAGTACATGACATCCACAAATGATCCACGATGTAGTCGAGGCTGTGTTGCTCTAAGTCTCCACGGCGAGACCCGTCTGCTCCATCACCAGCAACGCCGCTCTCCGCAGAGACGTAGCCGAGGGCCAGCCGGAAAGCTTCCCACGACTTAGTTTAGCTCGTAGCTGCCAGGAGTTAAGCCGCAGATGACGATCGGCAAGCTCCACCACACCCATCGCCTCGGGTGCTGCGATCGCCCGCCCCCTAATTTAATTGTTTCGGTACTGCGTCTGTACATACAAGCCACCCACAGGCACGGGTCCGGGTCCGCGGGGGCTCATCGGGATCATCAGAAGCATCCGCGGCCAGTCGAACAAGACGCGGCTACTGTTTCCAGCCACTAATAATGCGGGCGGGTGTAGTGGCAAGCCACACGGCACAAAGCCAGAATGTGAAAAGCCCCCTTAGATCGGGGAAGCGGATTAGCTCGGACTACTAGTTATGAGCTCTACATATACAATGACACATTGTCTGCCCAGAAAGCCCTACAGTATGCCTGCTGGGAGGATGCATCGTCGATCCCCGTCACTTTTTTAGGAATGTGACCTTGACTATTTCGATCGATCGATCTGCTGCATACATATGTGTCCCCGACAGGGCGCTACATAACTACTCCATGCCGACTGCAGATCGCCCTGCCACCACCATCCTCAACCATGGTTCTGCGATCTCGCAGCTGCCCGGTCGATCGGCTCGATCATGCAGTCCGGTCCGTGGGGGAAGCTACTCAAGTTCCGCGAGGAGCGCAAATGGATCCTGGGGCGGCGGCCCGAATTTGATGCATCAGATCATACCTCGCTGACACAAGTACGCCGATCCTCGGTAGATAGATTAATGCACAGTCTGCACTCCCGTGTAATATGCAGGGACTAGCCCTGTCTTTGTCGCGTTCCTGGCAATATAGCTAAATCCGGGCGTCGTGACGCGTCCGACAGTCTATATCTATCACCCGGTGACGGGTGTCAACCGCGAATCTGTCACCTCATATTGATGTGAAATCATGTGGCTGATCCTGTCCGCCTTAAATTCGACTCCTCCATTCCGCAGTTCACGATCGCGAGCAAACACAGTGGTATGCCATCTCGAACTATTTGAAATAGTCAGCCAAAGAATGGATGGATTGAACCGGAAGATCTCTCTAAGAAGAAAAGAAAACTCGCCTGTTCATTGGTCTGACAGACCAGTACCCGGGGTCCCTTGCCGGCGCTGCCACCAGAGGAGATGTCCTTCACTGTCTGGTCATCTTCCGGCCCTTGGTCGTTGGCCGTTGAGTCAATAGCTACACCCAGGCACCGGCACTTCTCTGCCAATATCTGACGTAGGAATGCACTTTTCTCGCCAATTCCGCCTGCGAAGACAAGAGCATCAACCTGGCCACCCAGCTTGACGTGGTAGTTGCCAATATAGCCGAGGATGCGATCGACTAGGATATCAAATGCCAGCTTGTGTGCTGCGGATGGTGGGTTCTCAACGGCAATTTCAGCGAAGTCTGTCGTGCCGGTGAGCGCTTTCCAGCCAGATTTCTTGTTGAGGATCTCCTCCGCCTGTGCAATCATGTCAGAGTCAGCCTTGAACTTGGATGAAGGCGAACAGTGACTGACAGTGCTAATGTGCATTTCCTTTGTACTAGCGGGGCTCAGCTTGCCAGCCTCGTTGGTATAGTGAAAGACCAATCTAAGGCCCCGAGCGGTATTAACACAGATACTCCATCAAAGCTAACCGGGAAACTTACGAAGGATCGATATCACCGCTCCGCGTGGCCCCAGGTAATCCAGCCAAGGGAGTGAGACCCATCCTGAGCAAATTTAGCAAGTTGCTAGACTCTAATCTGCCAAGAACCTACGAGGTATCAATGGATTTGCCTTCCTTGATGGCACATATTGAAGCACCGCTCCCGATATGCATGACAATGAGATTTGTCTTTTCCATCGGTGCGCCCAAAAATTGGGCCACAGAGCGTAGGATGAACGAGTAGCTGATCCCGTGGAAGCCGTACTTGCGCAATCCGTTCGCCTTTGCGACCTCTTGGTTGATGGCGTATGTTCGGGCATATTCGGGTAACGTCTGGTGGAAAGCTGAATCAAAGAATGTGACACTTTGGACTTTGGGCAGCTCCTGTCTGCAGAGACGGATGATTTCCAGCGCTGAGAAGTTGTGTCTAGATGCGGAATGTTAGTGATTGAAATATATATTTCCACCACCACGCAGACATACAGCGGTGCCAGGTCCTCCAATTCCTTCAGATGGTGGTATGTCTCGTCATTAATGACCACTGCCTCGCGATAGTCGCCGCCATGCACGACGCGATGGCAGATATACGCCAGGTCGTCGTCACAGGCTACCTCGGATAGTTCGGGATCGTTGAAGCAGCGTGACAGGAGGAACTTGAACGCATCCTGCGGAGTGTTTAGCTGCTCTTTGAGTTGTTCCTTGTGTTTGACAGCTCCGCGCTGGTACTTGAGCGTGGCTGGTGGTGCTGTGATCCCGGACACTTGCGCATCTGCGATTGCTTTCGGCGGGTTCTCAAATGTATAGAAGGTGATTTTGATCGAGGACGAGCCCGCATTCACAGCGAGAATGGATTTGCCCATGATTTTGGATTTGGATAAGGAATTGATGCAATTGAACGCGTCTCAAGTCCTCCCCCGCCGTGTTGTACTTCTGTTGACGACTGTGATGTCACCTCGATTGATGACGTAGAGAACAAGCAAACCGGCTCGTCTGGATACGGCGTCCTTGCAGGCTATGAGCGATTGATTTCATAATTGACAATAGCATACATTTTGCTTAAAACCTGTGTCCGTTCTCCCCTGCTTGTTCAACAATTCGATCCGTTGATCACCCGTGCCAAGCTATACCAATCCTAACCTCAATCCATCATGCCTGGCGAAGTTATTGACCGACCAAATCCGCAACCCCTGCCATCTCATCTGCCAGATGATTTGGAGAGATTGGCAGTGGTGCTTCCTCATGAGACCTTGAACCAGTCAGCCTGTGATGGTCTGTTCAAGTTCCGGAGGGCGGCTTCCTACATTGCCGCAGGCAAGACCACCTTTCCGGGGGATCTTGCGCTCAACTAATCCGCATGATTTCTAGCAATGATATTCTTGCAAGATAATACGCTCCTGAAGAGGGATGTTACTTTTGATGATATTAAACCTCGATTGCTCGGTGAGTTCTTTCAGTCGTTGTGGCCTTGCTTTGGGCTATCTGCTTATATATCCCAATTGCCTAGGACACTGGGGAACATGCCCCGGATTGATCTTGGTTTATTCTCATTTGAACTACCTCATCAAAACCATGGATCTCGACATGCTATTAGTTGTCGGTCCAGGCCACGGCGCGCCGGCCATCCTGGCTGCGCTTTGGCTCGAGGGCTCGCTGGAGAAATTCTATCCACATTACTCGCGAGACAGCGCTGGTCTTCACCGGCTGATTTCAACTTTCAGCACCACTGCTGGACTACCAAGGTGTGTTTTCTTGTGATATTTTACTACCTCTCAATTTGACTGTCCACCTAGTCATATCAATGCTGAAACACCGGGCGCCATCCACGAAGGTGGAGAGCTGGGCTATGCCCTAGCCGTGTCTTTTGGCGCCGCAATGGATAACCCTGATCTAATTGTCCCCTGTATTGTTGGTGACGGCGAAGCCGAAACTGGACCGACTGCCACGTGTGTAATACCTTTGTTCGAAAATAGGCCACTACTGACTACTTCTCAGGTCCTGGCATGCCATCAAGTACCTTGATCCCAAAGAATCTGGTGCTGTCCTGCCGATTCTGCATGTAAATGGCTTTAAAATCAGCGAGCGCACGATATTCGGTTGCATGGACAACAAAGAACTGTTAGCCCTCTTCAGTGGATACGGGTACCAAGTTCGCATTGTGGAGAATCTCAATGATATCGACACTGACCTCCACTGTTCAATGGTCTGGGCTGTGGAGGAGATCCGCAAGATTCAAAAAGCAGCACGTTCTGGGAAGCCAATTCTTAAGCCGAGATGGCCGATGCTAATTTTGCGGACTCCGAAGGTATGTTACGCCTCCAGAAGTGTTATTATGTGACGAGGGTTGACTAGTCTACTTTGAATAGGGATGGTCTGGACCCAAGCAGCTTCATGGACAGTTCATCGAGGGCTCTTTTCACTCCCACCAGGTCCCCCTGCCCAAGGCTAAGACCGACAAGGAGGAGCTAGGCTTGTTGAATAAATGGTTGTCCGACTACAAGCCAGCGGAGCTGTTCACAGAGAAAGGCGACATCATCGACGAAATCAAATCGGTGATCCCTACAGAGAACGACAAGAAACTTGGTCAGCGCGCCGAAAGTTACAGAAATTATATTGCGCCCAACCTTCCAGACTGGAAGAAATTTGCCGTGCAAAAGGGCACCGCCCAGAGCGCGATGAAGGTGGTTGGAAGACTGATCGACAAGGTCTTCGTAGAGAACCCGCATAGCGTGCGGCTGTTCTCCCCTGACGAGCTGGAGAGCAACAAGCTCGACACCGTGTTTGAAAACACCACTCGTAACTTCCAGTGGGATGAGTTTGCCAACGCGCGTGGTGGCCGTGTCATTGAAGTCCTCAGCGAGCATATGTGCCAGGGCTTCCTGCAAGGATATACCCTCACTGGCCGCGTGGGCATATTCCCGTCGTACGAGAGTTTCTTGGGGATTATCCACACGATGATGGTGCAGTATTCCAAGTTCATCAAGATGGTAAGTAAATTCGAACTGTCAATTTCGCGGATACTCACATGATATGGTTTCTTGCAGGCGCGAGAAACGAACTGGCACTCGGATGTTAGCAGCATCAACTACATCGAGACCAGCACCTGGACCCGCCAGGAGCATAACGGGTTCTCTCATCAGAACCCATCCTTCATCGGTTCGGTGCTGAAGCTCAAACCCACGGCGGCACGCGTCTATCTGCCACCAGATGCGAACACCTTCGTGACAACGCTGCACCACTGCTTGAAGTCGAAGAACTACGTCAATCTGATGGTAGGCTCGAAGCAGCCAACCCCGGTCTACCTGTCAGCCGACGAAGCAGAGAACCATTGCCGGGCTGGAGCATCGACCTGGAAGTTCTGCAGCACCGATGAAGGACTGGACCCGGACGTGGTATTGGTGGGCATTGGCGTTGAGGTGATGTTCGAGGTGATTGAAGCCGCCGCGATTCTGCGAAAGCGGGCGCCGGAGCTGCGCGTGCGTGTGGTCAATGTCACGGACTTGATGATCCTCGAGAACGAGGGCTTGCACCCGCACGCTCTCTCACTGTCCGCCTTTGACAACCTCTTCACGGACGATAAACCCATCCACTTCAACTACCATGGCTACCCGACCGAGCTGCAGGGCTTGCTCTTTGGTCGCCCGCGACTCGACCGCATCTCAATTGCTGGCTATATCGAGGAGGGCAGCACCACTACCCCTTTCGACATGATGCTCGTGAACCGTACCTCACGCTTTCATGTTGCCCAGATGGCTTTGGATGGTGCTGCTAAGCGCAACGAGAAAGTGCGCATCCGTCAGCAAGAGCTGCATACCGAGTTGGGGCATAATATCGTCGAGACGAGGAAGTATATCCTCGCGAACCACAAAGGTAAGCATTTCTGTCGAGGTTTTTGGCTGTGTGGTGCTGACTGATTTGCTTAGATCCCGATGACATGTACGACATGCCCAAGTTTACGTAAAACGCTCGTTAGTTTCGATCTTGAGGGTAAATTGTAAAATAGATGGAAATGGTTTTCCGCATTACATTCCGACTTGGGGAGGAGTTGAGGCAACCTAGAAAGTAGGGTTGAGTTTGGCTACATGCCTAAGAATAGGTGGTCAGGGTCGACACTTTGTCAGATTGAATCAGACCCAGCCAGATAACTACGTAGGACCCAAGGCTTACGGTGCCATCGCGCTCGCGCTAAACCGCAAGGGGCGTGCCTTGCGACCTGTGAGCCAGAGACTTCCGGGCCGAATCGATAACTGTCAGACCTGGGTTTCGGTTCGTCATCCGGCGAATACAATTGCATTAACGGCCGAGTGCTCCACCGCCAATTTTTTCCCCCCCTCGGTTTTACGTTGCCAACTCCGATCCGATGGATCAGTCGGTCTGTATTCCTCCGATGGCTTACTGCGTGCCAAAATGCCAGCTACTCGCACATCCTCTTATTTTACCACGCATCCCAGCCTATCTACTATTGGGAACTGGCCAAAAGTTCTGCCTAGCGCCAAGATATCTTTCCTCTCTTTCTATTTCCATATCCTGAAGCCTGGCTCTCTATTGCCCTAACAAAGGCGAAAGAGGCGCTGCGAGGCTTGCTTGAGGCGCAGCAAACGAGGCCCAACAACAATCTATCTCTGATCGTGACGCGGCATACATATCAGCTTATTTTCTTTATTATCTCGACTGCACTTACAGATCACTCAGCCTTTCTTTCTTGGTTACAAGTTACCAGTCTATATCTAAATCCGTTGCCGACTCGCCTTTCTTTTATTGCCATTCGCTTTTTTACACCATCCCACCAACCCCTCTTCTATACGACAACTTCATCATGATTAACAAACACGAGATCACAATGGGCTGCCATGCCCTAATCCCTGGCTACCGTACTGAATATGGCTACGTCCCAACGCAAGCAGCGGGAATCGCATTCCTCACGCTCTTCGGGGTGTCATTTATCCTTCATACGGTTCAATTCTGCTGGAAGCGCACATGGTGGTGTTCGGTGTTTGCTGTCGGATGCATCAGTATGAACTACCTCAGCAGTCCCCAATTGTTAATCTACGATGCTGACCATACCAACTAACAGCGGAATTGATCGGGTGGGGCGGCCGGACATGGTCATCATCTTGTCCCTATAACGGCACTGCCTTCCTGATGCAGATTTCCACCCTCATTATCGGTAAGAGACCTTCTTCCCTGTTCCCGCGGAAGTCTACGTATTAAAAACATGCCCCAGCCCCGGTCTTCTTCACTGCAGGCATCTACATTCTCCTAGGCCGCTTCATCCAGATCCTCGGGCGGGACTCTTCGATCCTCAGCCCAAAGTGGTACCTCTGGATCTTTGTGACTTGCGACGTGATCTCGCTAGTCATCCAAGCCATCGGTGGCGGCATGGCCTCCGCAGCCGTCGGAGGCAATGGTAACACTGCGGTCGGCACGCACATTATGGTAGCGGGCATCATATTCCAACTGGTCTCCATCACGATCTTCGTATTCTTCGCGGTGGACTTTGTGCGCCGCACGATCCGCTACCGCATGCTGCAGACGTTGACGCGGTCAGTTGTACCATTGCTGGTTGCCATGGTCATTTCTCTGCTCTGCATCTATGCTCGGAGTATCTATCGTACGATCGAGCTGTTGCAGGGCTGGTCCGGATTCCTTATTACTCATGAGAAGTACTTTATTGCGCTGGACGGCACCATGATGGTTGTTGCCGTTGGGATTTTTAATGTCTTGCATCCTGGTTGGTTGCTCCCCGACTCGGGGACGGCGTCCACGATTAAGAGCGAGGGGTCTAACGACGGAATGGAGATGTATATCTCGGACCGGACATAGATATGAGCTGTGCATAGATATCTTTTCTTGTTTTGCTTTGTCCAAATTTTGATATAATATGTTCATGGATATACTAGCTTTTTGTGTTGGAGCTCGCGTTGGTTATGGCCCTAGACATTTAGGAATACAGTGAAAATAATTCATCGTGGTATCAATCGAAGCTTAAGGAAAACAGCAACAACGCCAGCCTGAACGCCTTGCTTTCTCATATAACATCGGTTTTGAAGGAGAACTTTACACCCCCTCGACTGCAGCAATCCAGGCGAACATCGCGCCAACAACCAGGATCCCCATTGCCCAGACTCCACCCCATGCGAACGAACCCAAGAAATCAACACGGTCGAACGTGCCGAGCACCTGCACAATGGTATTGAGAAGCACTCCAGTAGTGAGGATCAGCGTCCGTGACACAAGTGCCCTCGTCTTGGCCGGTAGCTTCCCCCAAGTCTTGCGGCGAAGACTGACAATCAGGTATTCCCCTTGGCGGTTTGCGGGCTTCTCAGTGTCATCGGGAGGCGAATCGAGAGGCTTGTAGAACAGGAATTCGCGCAAAAAGTAGCCAACTGGGAGCATAACTAAGAAGACAAGAAGGTGACAGCTGGCGCCACAGGTATGATCAGACTGAGCGGCCCTGATAGTCCGAAGGCTCTCGAGATGCGCGAGCAAGAAAGAGTCCATCCAGGTCGCAGCGTTGAGATACATAACAACGTAGAAAACAGATGTAGCGGCGATTGTAGTGTAAAAGCAAGTAAGCCAGTCCCGCAAAATACCCCGGTTGGCGACGGTGGATGGAGGCTCGAGGGAAGCTAGCCGGTTTTTCAACATGGTGGGGAGACCGTGTGTAGCGACCAGGGGGAATGTGGTCGACACGAGCAAAATGGCAAACGACGACACTGCCGAGGAAGCTCGCACGCGGTAGAAGAAGATCAAGATGTAGTAAGTTGGCATGTGTGTGACAAAGAAGTATGCCCAGATATCATTGGCTGCACCGCAGACGGGTTATTCTCCATTCCCACAGATTCCAAGCGAGAAACTCACGGTCAAACATCATGATCCACACCAGGCCAATCTCCACAATTCGCCAGGCGATCAAGCCCAGGATCTCCCACGGTTTCTCCGGGTTCTTACTGACACGAGCGAAGTCGTCCACCGTGATGGAAGCGGTGAGTTTGTAAAGGACGGAGCTGATAATGAGACTGCTCAGAACACAGAGCCCAAATCGAGAAGCTGCGGGCATATCGTTCACTCGCAGTAGCAGTGCAATGACTTTCGGTAGCTGGTCGCGGGTGGGACGCGTCTGGACGTCGTCCCGGGAAACGGCTTTCTTCCGAGGAGACATGGTGGATGATGGGCGAGAAACAAATGTCAAAGAGAAGTCCGTGTGAAAGAGCAGATCAAGGATTTGGAGAAGAGAGAAGGGTGAAGGGAGGACAGAGAAGAAAGAAAGAGGGAAGGAAGACAAGAGAGAATAGAAGGAAAGAGAGGAATGCAGAATGTTACGTCATCCATTATCGCCTATCCTTATCGCTTATCGACACATCCATCACTCGTCTTTTTCTTCCTCCTCGCGCTCGGCGACTGCGAACTCCACCGTTCCGCTCTCTCGTCCCTTGTTGTCCCGCACGACAACACGGTACTTACCCTGATCCCACAGGTCTTTGATGGTCAGCTCGCGCGTGCGGCCCAAACTCTCAATGTCGCCAATGCGCGTCAGGGTTCCCTCCAAGTGCTTGTCAAATCCAGGTCTCGCGCAGATCTCCTGGAAGGCTTGCTGCATGGGTACCGAGTCGGCGCGCACCATGGCCCGCGAGTCAATAGTGAATATATTTTCATGGTCGTAGGATTGGATGAAGTCGGCGCGGGTCATGATCTCGCGTGCTTCGTGCAGTGGGATCTCGGGCAGAATGTGGCCTGTGACGGGATCGTAGGTCTTCTCCATCTCCTTGGCGCGATCAACGAGTGCTTTTGCTAGCACCATGGCGGCAGACTGCGCGGATATTAGGTCAATTGGTTGTGGCACTGCAAGCGGGAGGTACTACTTACAGCGTACTTCTGCTGATCCATCACGTCGTCGTCCATCTCCATGCCAAGGATCCAGCACTGGTTGAGGAACCAGGTCTTCTCGGCTTGACAGATGTCTTCGCAAGTTTTCACCATATCGCTGGACTTTGCGACGCGATTGAGGTAGGAAAGTCGGCCGCCCACTTTATTGTAGACGTCCTCGAGCAGCGTCGACGGGAGATTCTCGTGGAAGAATTTTCTGCGGTACTTTTGTAGCGCCCCCATTGCCTTGTCCTTGGGCAAGTCCGTCACCGGGATGAGTTCCATCCGTGTTGCGTACCTCTTCAGGCGCTCATAGACCCAGTAGTCGTCGCTATTCAGGACTGTTCGTCACATCGTCAATGCAGGCCAGAGCAACCCCTTCGGGTAGACTTACTGGTCGTCACCAGACCACTGGCGGCCCATTGTTCGGCCCGTTGCTGGATCATCTCGAGAAGATCCTGTCCATCATGGTCATCACGAACCAGGTGGGTGCTGTTGATAATGAGCACCATCGGTGGCGAGCCCTTGCGTCTTCTCGCCAGGGCCACCTTCTCCATCTTGTTAAAGGCCCGTTCAATGTCCAGCAGGGCAGTGGTATCCCGCGGCCCCCGAATGCTGAACAAGCTCCCAATGTAACTGGTTCTCTCCGTCAGCACCAACCCATCAAACGCCACAATGGGTGGCAAACGTACTCTTCATGAAACTCATAGTCCAGCGCCTTCCCCAGTCGAATACGGAAGATCTCCAGATCCGCATGCGCTTCGAACATGGCAACCCCCGCACCATTGATTTTGCGCATCCCTTCCAGGAGCATGGAGGTCTTGCCCGTGCCCTTCTCGCCGATCATGAGGTAGTAGTGGCCGCCAGTCTTACCAGCGACGATGTCATCGATCTTGGCCTGCTCGTCCCGCGGAACCCAGTGCTCTTCGTGGTGGTACTTATGCTTCCCAGATACAACGCCTGCAACCTCGAGGGCGGGATCGCCGGGGTTAAAGGCATTGTCCATCTTGTCCAGAACCAAGTACTTGTAGTACTTGTGGTATGAATAGCCCGCCGCACTGGAGGGGGAACGGGTCAGCCTAATCGATTCTGCTCTGGTCGAGGAATACTCACCCAAGAATGACAATCGACGCCGCCGTCGTAGCAGCCGTCTCGAGCATTTTTAGGATCGTGGATTTCAGATTGGGGTCGGAATCACCGCTGCGACCCCGGCCACCTTCATCGTCACCCCGATCCGTCGGGTCTGGATTTGGCGCGTACTGGCCCGTATTATTTTGAGGAAGAGAGGAATTGAACCGTTTGGAGACGCACAGCGCCGTCCGATCGTTACACCCACGAGGCGCGAGTAGACCCTGCCGGGCGCGGGCCATCAGGGGTTGAGTTAGCCTCCGGCTCCATAGCATGATGAGCTAGTCACAGATTTTTGAGGGAATGCGATCTCCTTTCGGATTTGCAGATCCGGGCCGATGTGGTCAGCAATGAATGAATAGCCCAGGAGAGAGACAACAATGCCCCTGTTCTCCGAAATCTCACCCGCGCCAGGGGGGTGATATGGGAGTTAAGGAGCGTATGGCCAGGAAGGCCGGTTCAGAAGAAGATACGGAAGAAAAGAAAGACAGAATGAGAAAGCACAAGAGAGAGACAGGAAATAATATGAGAAGCAAAGAGACGTGGTCAACGGGAGTGGGCCAGCCCGACGGAGGGCTTGGCATCGATTGAAAGAGGTACGGAACTAGTCGGTGGTTCCTGGTAGTGATGATAATGGCCCTGTATATGATAACCGGATCCTCAGTGAGGTTTTCTGTTTTTCTACTTGACGATCATCTGCAGCACCGTTGGGTGGCACCTGCATGCCTCGACCCGGGATACCTGCCATGGGAATATATATATATAGTCCGAGTTCCTCCCCAGTAACCATCTAGTCACAGTACCATCTAGCCACAGCACTATCTAGTAACTATTTCATTTGAATGATTGATTTCCAAGACGAATGAACGAACCATCCGCATCATCATCGCGGACATGATATAATTCTTCACCCGGGAAACGCCCTTGTGGAGACGACCTCCATCTTTTACCGCCCGCTCTTCCGAATAATGCCGCAACCTTCCAATCCCGCTCGGAGCAAATTTTCCTTGCCCGCTTTTATCTCGTTGACGCCCTTGATCTTTTTTTTCTTTTTCTTTTCCTGGGGTACGGGGTTGTTTGTCCTTTTGGTCTTCAATTGCCCCTGTCCTTCCTTGTACCATAGCCACTTTGCTTTCTCCCGGTCAACTTTCCGGCGGGTCTTCAATTTTTTTATCGATTCCCTTCTCGTGCAACTGTCACGACAGAACACGCCTTTTTCGCATATTAATCTTGTCGGAGCTGTGATTTCTCCTCTCTGGACAGAATGGCGCAGACCAATGGGGATAAGGAGCTCTCGAAAGGTTTGTCCACCCTGTCTGTTGTGGCACGCCGAGCGCCGTACCTTTTTTTTGCCCTTCCCCCGAGACGAAGAACCCTCTGAAGCTGACCCGAACCAGAGGCTCCCGAAACTTCGCAAGAGCTAGTGAACGGAAACCCAGAGGAGGAAGATCCCAATGCAGGTGGTATGTTGAGACCGAAGGAGCACGACTGCGTGATAATGGACAGTGGGTTAACTGGTGCCAAGGTCTCTTTCAGATCTCCGTGAAGCTTCCTCATGCGCCACACAAGATCCAGGTCATGGTGAGTTTGATCCGCCTACATTCCCAGAGACGTGCTGACCGTTCGTCCTTTTGTGACTTCACAGGTGGCGAGCCAAGAGCAAGTCCAGGATGTCCGTCAATCGATCGTCGAGCTACCCGGCACTTTCCAATACACATGCTTCCACCTGGAATTCAACGGCAACCGCATCAATGACTTCGTCGAGTTGTCCGAGGTGCCGGATCTGAAGGCCGACTCGGAGATCGTGCTGGTGGAGGATCCCTATACCGAGAAGGAGGCCCGGATGCACATTGTTCGCACGAGGGAACTACTCGGCGCCGCTGGAGACCGTGTGGACAACCTCCACGGTATTTCCGCGGGTCTGTCGCTGCACGACGCCATCTCGGCGGAGGCGGCTACTGCCGGGGCATCGGAAAAGGACCACACGCTCTCTAACTACGACCTGACGGGCGCCTCGTCCCTGCAGACCATTCTTCCCAAGCCACAGGATCCTCTGCCCAAAACGGTGAAGTCAATCTCGCTCTCCCCGTGGAATCCGCCTCCGTACCATCTGCGTCAGAAGGGCCACCTGCTCTATTTCCAGGTCACCACCAACGAAGGAGAGCAGTTCCAGATCACATCCCATGTGTCGGGCTTCTTTGTGAACAAGTGCTCGAACCACAAGTTCGACCCATTCCCGCGGGCTATGCCCAAGAAAGAGGGCAGCGCGCATTCACTCCTCACTTTGATCTCTCAACTCTCGCCCTCGTTTAGCACTGCCTTTGAGGCTCTGCAGGAGTACAACAATCAGAAGGATCTCCTGACGACTTTCCCATTCCAGAATGCCATTCCTAACAGCCCATGGCTCGTCTCACCGGCCTCTTCGAGCCTGAACGCGCACCAGGCTGACATCACCCGATCACAGGAGAGCTATCTGGTTTCTGGCGTTGATAACGCCGAGACGCTGCGAGACTGGAACGAGGAATTCCAAACCACCCGCGAACTGCCCCGCGACACTGTTCACGACCGCGTGTTCCGGGAACGTTTGACCTCCAAGCTTTTTGCCGACTATAATGAGGCTGCCGCTCGCGGTGCCGTGCTGGTCGCACGGGGCGAGGTTGCGCCTCTGAACCCAACCGAGGCACGCGACGCCCAGATTTTTGTGTACAACAACATCTTCTATTCGTTCGGAGCTGACGGAGTTGGCACATTCACCTCCGAGGGCGGCGACGAGGCCGCGCGTGTGGCCGTTGGAAAGGACGTCCTGGGTATCAAGGCAGTGAACCAGCTCGATATCCAAGGGCTGTTCACCCCGGGTACTGTGGTGGTCGATTATCTAGGCAAGCGCATTGTTGGCCAGAGCATTGTCCCTGGTATCTTCAAGCAGCGCGAGCCTGGAGAGCACCAGATCGATTACGGCGGTGTTGAGGGTAAGGACGTCGTTGCCACCCACGCCGACTTTGTGCCCGTGTTTGAGAAGTTGTCGAAGGCGCTCCGGATCAAGAGCCACCCGGTCTGGGATAAGGATAACAAGCGTCACGATCTGGAAGGTAGTGTCGAGACCAAGGGTCTCCTGGGTACCGATGGACGGAAATACGTCCTTGACCTGTACCGTGTGGCTCCCCTGGATGCGGTATGGCAGGAAGAGAATGGCAGCGAGGCCTATCCTCACCGCATGTCTGTTCTGCGATTGGAACTGGTTGAGGCGTATTGGAGACACAAGATGAGCCAGTACGTCAAGGCCGAGGTTGAACGCCGCCGGAGTGAGAAGGCCCAGGAGAAGGAGGACAAGACCGAGGAGGACTCGGAAGAGAAGAAGAACGAGGAGGCTGCGGAGCAGGAGAAGGTCGACATCTCTGGGTTCAACCTCGCCCTCAACCCTGACGTTTACAGTGGCCAGGTCCCCCAGACTCCGGAAGAAAAAGAGCAGTGGGCCCAGGACGAGAAGGACGTGCGAGAGGCCTGTGATCACCTGCGATCCAAGGTCATGCCTGATCTGGTCCAAGACCTTCACGACGGCGATGTGGGCTTCCCCATGGACGGCCAGTCCTTGACTCAGCTGCTGCACAAGCGCGGTATCAATGTCCGCTACCTCGGCAAGCTGGCTCAGATGTCTACGGAGAAGGGTCCTCGGCTGCAGGCCTTGTCGACGCTGCTGGTTCAGGAGATGGTTGTTCGTGCCTTCAAGCATGTTACCAACAAGTATCTCCGCAATCTTCCCGACGCGTTTGTGGCGCCCTGCCTTGCCCACCTGCTGAACTGTCTGCTGGGTACCGATGTTAACGCTGCTCCTCGCCCGGAGATCGACAACTCCCTGAAGAAGATCTTCCCCGAGGCTGACTTCTCGTTTGAGAAGGTCACCCCGGAGTCGCTCCGTGCTGAGATCGAGAAGCAGGTCACCATCCGGTACCGCTTCTCCCTGGAGAAAGGATGGGCCAATTCACTCCGACACCTCCAGCTCCTGCGTGATATTTCCCTCAAGCTTGGTGTCCAGCTAGGTGCCCGTGATTTTGTTTTCACCAAGGCTCAGGTGAAGGAACAGGCTCCTACCACCCATACCGCTAACGGAAACGGCTCCGACGACGGCAAGAAGAAGAAAAAGAAGGGTGGTGAGACCAGCTCTCCAAGCCGTGCTGCCGTAGATAACAAGCCCACATCGACCTTCACCTCTGACGATATTCTCAATGTCGTGCCCCTGGTCAAGGACGCTTCCCCCGGAGCGCTTTGGCGGAGGAAGCACTGGAAGCAGGTCGAATTTCGCTCATGCAGAACCAGAAGCAGCTGGGCCAGGAGCTCATTTTGGAATCTCTGTCGCTGCACGAGCAGATCTATGGTATCCTCCACCCAGAGGTTGCCAAGCTGTACCACCAACTCTCCATGCTCTACTACCAGACCGACGAGAAGGAGGCGGCCGTGGAACTGGCTCGCAAGGCGGTCATTGTCACCGAGCGCACACTGGGTGTGGACTCAGCCGATACCATTCTCGCCTACCTGAACCTGAGTCTGTTCGAGCATGCTTCCGGTAACACCCAGACTGCGCTAGTGTACATCAAGCACGCTATGGATCTCTGGAAGATCATCTACGGTGCCAGCCACCCCGACTCCATCACGACCATGAACAACGCGGCCGTGATGCTGCAGCATCTCAAGCAGTACTCTGATTCCCGCAAGTGGTTCGAGGCTTCGCTGTCAGTCTGCGAGGACCTCTTTGGCAAGCAGTCCATCAACACCGCCACTATCCTCTTCCAGCTGGCACAAGCTCTGGCCCTGGACCAGGACTCCAAGGCGGCCGTCGGCAAGATGCGCGACGCATACAACATCTTCCTTGCCCAGCTAGGCCCCAACGACCGCAACACCAAGGAGGCCGAGACCTGGCTTGAGCAGCTTACGCAGAACGCCGTCTCCATCGCCAAACACGCCAAGGACATTCAGGCTCGCCGCCTGCGCCGTATCAACATGAACCCTCGCGTCTCTTCCATGGGCACCCGCGTCCAGCCCCAGGTCGGCCAGACCGCACCCGAGACCGCCGGCACCGTCGATGCCTCCGGGACCAGCTGGGACTCGCGCAGCGTCGACGAGCTGCTGAAGTTCATTGAGGGCGGTGACACCGGCTCTTCGCGCTCGAAGCAGTCGAAGCGCGCTGCTACGAGCAACCCCAAGCTCCGCGGAAAGCAGAAGCAGACTCCCAAGGCATGAACCACTGCTTTTCATCCTTGCACCGTCGGATACCATCGTACCTAGTGTATGGGTTCCGTGTTCCTTTTCTCTTCTTCCTTAACATCAAAATATCATATATCCATTGTTGTTCCGTCTGTGGGAGGGTTGGCCGGATTGGATGAGCCAAGACCGTTTTCTGTTTGTGTGTATTCTAGATCTACTCTCTCCTCTCTACTCTGCTGTCTTCTTTGATTTTGGCCAGGTTGATTGTACTATATGGCTCTACTCGTGCATGATGTTGGACCCGGATTATGCATATGAATTTCTTCGTCTTCTCATGATTTCCCTGTAGTTGTATCCCAGCTTTCTTGCTCTTTTTCTTTTTGATACTTCGTTCGTGGTTGGATCGCTCACGCTTTACCCGATCGGGTTGTTTACCCGGGTTGCCTCCGAGGCTCCGGCGTCTTCTTCCACCCGCATTCCATTCAACCCACCTCAACACGCGCCCTCGGGGCTTTGCATACTCCTTTATTCTCAACTTACATATTTGCATCTGTTCCTCATCGCATGTCTTGATTGCTGTTTGGATATTGAGGGGTGTGGTGTTGGGCCTTTTTTCTTACCATGCATCCTTGAGGAGTGGGTGTTGCGCGGTATGCACTGAAGCCTCACATCTCCCGGAAATGCGGGAACTGACTTATCTACAGCTGCATGGTATAGCCCTATTATTATTATCTTAGCCGACTCAATGGAGGACGTCCAGGCAACCGCACGATGGGCCAATCGCATGCTGCGCCCTCTAACCTCTATCTACCGCCGCCTTGAGAAACACCAAGAGACACTATCGATTATCGCTACCGAATCGAAATATCAGGGTCACCCAGAGGATATCTCTGTGAATGTGCCGGCCACAACAACACAGGTTCGAAAGAGCAAGGTCAATGAGTCGGACGCGGATGAGGACGAGAACGATCCCGTTTGGGTTCCCGGCAAGAAAGTCGAGCAGCGCCGGATCAGACACAAATACTCGTCTCGCGGGGAGGACAACGGTGGACGCAGACGCAACCGGTTGTCTATCCACAGCCCAGAGGCACCTCGGACACTGCCTGGCGCGATCGAGCTCGCGACGCCTTTGATTAACGGGAAACGATGGGAGGCCCCTTCGAGCGCGCAGTCGCAGCCCTCAGCCATTCAGCCCCGTAGTATCTACGGAAAGGGACACCTGCAGGCATTTCGCGACAAATACCCGCTGCACAAGAGTCCGTGGCAGGAGCTGCTCCACCAATCTGGCGACTCTGGCTTTGCCGATATTGCGCATAATCTTCATCGTGTTCTCCAGAACTTTCTGTACAATACTCGAATCACCAAAAGTGATACCGGCGATCCACCTCCAAAGCCTGTTCGCGGCGCGCGTTCCTTGATGTCGATGGTCGTGCGGCGTTTGCCCGAGTTCATTGCAGACGAGCAAAAGGGAGCAAGGCGAGGATGGCGATGAAGACATGTGCGGTGCATATTTTACAGAATTGGAATCTTTCTATGCACCTCACGGCAGAGGGTGGAAGCCCCTTCGCGAAGCCGTGCGCTCTCAGGGCATCCATTTGGTGGCCATGATGATACAAAACAAGTGGGTAACAGAAGCGATCGCCTGCGCGCTTATCGAAAAGTGTCGATATCATGAACCCGATGCTTGCGAGTCTTTATTATCGACGTTTCTTTCGACGTGCAAGACATACCCTTACCCGCTCTCCTTACGCCCGTCTGGCGATTCAAAAATAAACGGTGACGCTATCCGATTACTGCGGCTTTATGCTTGCTACGGCCCAGCACATCGCTCCTACATCTTTGACGAGCTAGCCAAGCTTCTTTTACGCGGTGTTCTTCCGCCAGAATGGATGGCAACCAAGTTGTGGACTAGTTGGATGACCCGTGCAACGATATCATTATCAAAAGAAGACGCCGATTGTGCCGCGGCCTCGCGACTGATCGAAGCCGTAATCCTCTCAGCCAGTGGCGTCCGTTCAGACACCCAGTGCGCGGCTCCTATGCGAAGATACTCTCGCAAACGGCCAACATTTTGCGGTAGAAGGACTCACGCTTCGTTCACGGCATCTACGAGGAAACCGTCCACTGATCAGCCATGCCCCGTGCCGGTGGCGGACGCTCTGAGTAACCACGTCATGAGCCTCATGGCAGCGCTGTGCGGGATGCATGTATCGAGGTCTCGCGAATTGGATGCTGCTGACTCTGCGGGTAGAACGAAAACGAGCGATATCCTCAAAAACATCTCTTTTTCAGTGGAGCGGGAGATGAACTTGAAACCGCTCTCTAGTAGCCCCAGCATCAGCTCTCATCACTTATTACGACGTGGGTGCATCTTACTGGCGGATTGTCTGCTACAATGTAATAAAGCAGTATTATCAGACGACCCCCCAGACGAGGTGACACCCAAAACGAATGTCGACGCCTATTCGCATGAATTGGCTTCCCGCTCAAACTTGGTAAAGGAATTGGCATCGTTTGTGCGACAAGCTTTTCGCTGTTTTGGCGGCAGTTCGGAAAGTGAGCGCGTCCGAACCGGTCAAGAAATTCGCCGCATGATATCTTTCTTCCCTCGGCTGACCAAAGCGCCTGGTTTGTCTGCGCTTCTTGGTCGAATCGCCGCGGAAGCTGCAATGGAGTTTGCGGAGAGTACCGGTGAGCCGGAAGACCACCTGTGGGCGGTTGAGATTCAAGAGATGGTAGCATCTGTCCGGGCTGAGGCGGAGAATGAAGGAAACGATGGCGTTGACGACGCTGGGCAGAGGACCAGCCTCTACCGTTGGGAAGAAAGCATTGGAGAGTGGGTTGCTAGGACGCCGATGGCAAAGCCGAAGGCGATATTTGCAAAGCAGAGCAGCAAGTGCGCCTTCATGTCTTCAATTCCGCCGCCATGCATACCATCTTCCACAGATAGCAGTCCTCCCTTCTCAGACCGGTTTGAGAAGCCCGTCTCCATCTTGAGCTCATCCCCTTCATCGGTGGACACGAAGCGAACGTTCGAACACTCCGACTCCTCGCCCATACGACTCCGCAAGCGACAGCGGTCTGGTTCTGTGGTTGTGATCAACAATGCGGAGCGCCCTCGAACGAGGTCTTCGATTATCAATAACGGATCCAGATCCACGTCCGTGACATCGGCCTCGTCTCGTCGTTACCCCCCTGCGGGAAATGTCGAGGACAAACATAGTTCAGCATCGGGCCCCCACGGATCCCGGGCCCGCATCCAAGATCGAAGTCGTGATTGTCAATAAGAAAGAGACCAAAGTGGCCGGGGATGGTCTTGCGCAGCCTGTCCCGGAGCCTGTTCTCAAGCAGGTCCATCGCCCTGCAGATCGTCGACCACGCGGACGGCCTCGAGGGCGACATCCTTCTGCGCCGTCAATACCACAGCGAGCGCCGATGGTGATTCCCTGCTCCCAGGACGAGGACAGTGATGACGAGCTGAGCTTCATGTGAGCAGCTGCCAAGAGTCCGCTTCGCTGGGCTTGACAAATTCTTTTTCAATCTATTAGGATTCCGGCTCCTTGTGGATACATTCATGGTTCTAGCATCCATCTCATTTTGCACGAACCGACCGTACCCTTGGGTGTTGGAGTTTGATGGCGTTCGACCGATCGCGAAGGACGATCGGTCTAGTTCATCCAGTCATCCTTGTTTGGAAACGGTGGGTCAAGGGAATGGTCCGCTTTTTAGTTTGGTTTTTGATGGGAAGCCGGTGTTTCGGACCTGCTTGACACGATACCCACGGGGCTTTGAGTTTCCCCATTATTATTTTTTGTACGTACTCTCTGGATATGATTTGGAATTGGGGGTTGTTGTAGAGGCACTGGTGAGACATGATTATTAGACTATTGTACAGCAATCGCAAGGAAGAAACATTCTCACACAGCTCTAACATAGATGAGACCGTACACGTCGAGTCTCTGCTCACTCTGGCGGTCGCCCTGTTTCAACATATGTATGCCCTCATGTATTCCGAACAGGGCAGGCTGTCACGCTTACCAGTCGACGGGGTTCTCCCGTCCACGCTCGGAAGGAGATACTCCATCTAACCGGCCAGGGGTCTGATATAGATGAACCGCCAAGGCCCTAGACAGGGGTGCGGGAGATCGAGCAGGATTTACAGTGCGGCTTGACACTGCAACGTAGGTAATTGTCATCAGAGTATTCAGGCTGATTTCTCCGTGTTTCTCGCGTCATTCAATCCACCACAACGGATCGCATCCGCCAAGGCCAAGACATATCCTCAAACCGCCAGTTGTTGTGCTGCCGCGGGGATCGGCGCGAAAAACCGGCCTGGCGCCCGTGGGTTGGACAACGTCGGACTTTGCTGGCGCTTGGAGTGTTTCAGGTCCGACCACTTACAGAGGGCGAGTTCATGACTGCCGGCACATTTTCTCTTTTGCGTGGAGGGTCAGTGTCGGTTGCACTTGCTCAAGTGCTGGCTGTTTGGGCAGCACAATATGGAGTTTATTCGACCTATGTAGGGCTCGTCCCGCGCCTGCTCTAGCTGCTGTCGTGAAACAATCCACAAGTGATCAGTCGCATTATTCTTGATACACTCGTGGAGTCAGGGCCCGAGCAGCCCTAGTTCCTGGCACCTTATTTTTCGCGTCTCAGGTCTAGGGCCCGGACGGGATAAAGGAACCTCTTTGTCTCCTTGTTTGGGTTCCTGGTTCATGGAACAATAGACATTCTGATTGTCTCTTTCTTGACTTCCTTTCTTTCTTTCTCCCTTCTTTCGTCATTGTATTCTGGTGGACGGGTTCCATCCTTTGCCCTTGTTGGCTGTTGACTGCGTCACCAGCATTCCGTTCGTTGCGCCGCCGACTGCCTGGAGGCATCTGCGCTCTCCTGCCCATTCTTCCTATTAATCTGCTGGGTGGCTTTATTGATTGTCCCAGCCCCATTTTTTGTTCTTTTGCTTTTCATCCGTTACATCTAGGCTGGCCCTATCTTCCTGAATCCCGCAACCCGACAGGTCAGGACGTGAAACCAGCTGAATTATCTCTACTCTCCTTTTACCCAGTCTGTTCAGCATCCTGGTGGTGTCCTGATACCTAGCTGTGCTGTCCCGATAATTTCAGACGGAAATACCCCGTTTTCTTGCCTTTGATATCGACGGTCCCTTCTCAGATCCCTTCTCGAGCGAGCAGGTCTCACAGTCACAAGAGTTGAGTTGCAAGCACCAATACCATTCAGCACGTTCAAGACGTGAGCTGGTTCTCGTGGGGACACCATGGACCACCTTCTTCTGGCTGTCTCACTCGCCGGGCTGACAAGTGCGACGGAGATGGACAATATCAATATCAACAAACGACATGACTCCTCCAGCTCATCAGAGAGCTTCTACGAGGCTCTCAATGATGACCTTGCACGAATCTCTCTCCTCGCACTCGGTTGCGCCGCGGCCGCCATGTACGTGTGGCAGCTCGGCTTCCGCTTCTCCGGCCATCTGCGACGACTATCCAGCTTCAGCGATGACCGGCAACGGTACTTCACATCTGCACAAGAGACATTTGCTCGGCTCAAGGAGCACTTGATTTATGCCCCGCTGTTTCGCACGCGGCACAACCGCGAGTTCCAGCTCTCGCAGGCTGTTAACATGGGTAATCTGCCCAGTCGGTTTCATGCGCTCCTCATCTCGGGAATCATTGCTATGAACGTGGCACTATGCGTTGTTACGGTTCCCTATCGGTCGCCGGAGAATACCGTCGCAGGAGTCATCCGTAACCGTACTGGCACGATGGCAACGGTCAATTTGATCCCACTGGTTCTCATGGCTGGTCGGAATAATCCTCTTATCGCGATGCTGCACGTCCCCTTTGATACTTGGAATTTGCTCCATCGATGGCTGGGTCGCATTGTCATTTTGGAGTCTCTGGCTCATGTGTTCGCGTGGGCTGTTCCAAAGGCCCAGGAAAGTAAGTGGTCCTCCCCCAGGCTGCTGATTGGTATCTCCCATACTAATGTTGATATCTAGAAGGGTGGAATGCCGTCGGAATGGTTTTTGGTGAAAGCAACTTCATGCTTGCTGGCCTGGTGGTATGTTATGAACCAATCTCGCAATAATAGACACTGACATGATGACCAAGGCTGCCTGTGGACTCACGGCTATACTTGTCCATTCCCCCTCTGCTATTCGCCATGCTTTCTACGAAACCTTCCTTCATCTGCATATAGTCCTTGTGGCTGTCTCTATGGCCTTCCTTTGGATCCATTTGGACGGAATGATCTCGCAGGCGTACCTGATGGCAGCCCTCATTTTCTGGGCTCTCGAGGTTAGCTTAATATTTCAAGTATAAGAGAATCCCAGCTAACTGTTTCCAGCGAACTACCCGTCTTTTCATCATTGCGTACCGCAACTTCGGGCGCCAGTCTACTACCGCCACTGTTGAAGCAATGCCCGGCGACGCCATGCGCATCACCCTGCGTCTAGCTCGGCCCTGGACCTTCCAGCCGGGCCAACATATTTATCTTTACATTCCCGCAGTAGGGTGGTGGTCATCACACCCATTCTCGGTCGGATGGAGCGAAACTGAAGAAGTGCTAACAGACGAGAAATCAAAATCAATGCCGATGTCCCGACAAGACCTCCTCGGCGTACCACAAAGAACTACCCTTTCACTCCTCGTCCGCCGCCGCACGGGCATGACCGACAAGCTCTTCCAACGCGCCGCCAACTCATTTGGCTCCCGGGTAACACTGCGCGCCTTCGCAGAAGGTCCCTACGGTAATATCCACACACTGGATTCCTACGGCTCAGTCCTGCTCTTCGCCGGCGGCGTGGGGATAACGCACCACGTTCCCTTCGTCCGACATCTCGTCGCTGGTTTCGCAGAGAGAACAGTCGCCGCCCGCCGCGTCACGCTCGTCTGGATCATCCAGTCCCCAGAGCACTTGGAGTGGATCCGTCCCTGGATGACGAGCATCCTGGCAATGGACCGCCGACGCGAAGTCCTCCGCATCAAGCTCTTTGTTACCCGTCCCCGTAACGCAAAGGAGATCCAAAGCCCCTCGGCTACCGTGCAGATGTTTCCTGGTCGGCCTAATATCGACACTCTTGTTGGTATGGAGGTTGAGAACCAGGTTGGCGCTATGGGCGTCCTGGTTTGTGGAAATGGAAGCCTGAGTGACGATGTACGGCGCGTGTGTCGGAAGAGGCAAGCTCGTACCCATGTGGATTATATTGAAGAGAGCTTCTCGTGGTAGGATGTCCGCGGTGCTGCAGGTCTTGTTTTCATGACTATGTTTTTGCGATGATATCTTCCAGTGACGATGCTTTCGTATTTTCTTAATTGCTGGCTTCTCTTCGTCCGAGGCAGCAGACTTCACTTCCTTCTTGTTCCGGTCCTAGACCCTGTTTGAAGCAACTCTCACCATACGTTTTATTCTTTCTATTGTGCAGCCGACTCTCTTGTTTCTTTCTCTCCTTAGTGGCAACGGTCCGTCATAATTTGGAGACTTTGATACTTGTACATATCTTTGCTCTTGTGCGTAGCGGTCTCTTTCGAGAATGGGGAAACCGTACGCTGGTTAAATGTTATAAATACCATCTAGAATTTAGTTTTCAAAGACAATACACGACAGACACTCCGAGCGACAGCAAGTGCGACAGCAGTGGCCAAGTACAGCACTCCACCAAAGATAATTAGTTCCTCGTCCTCCCCTCAATTGAGTTGCTGTAAGAGAGATTCAGGGCGTGTTCGTTGATGCAGTCTCCATATGGAGCTTCTACGAACGGCTGGAATTCGAGACTTGCTGGGAGTACGAGGCCTTACGTCCAGCGAGCCCTCGAAGGAAATGTCCTCTCTTATCTATAGCCAGTGAATACGTCCCTACGACTACTTACTCAAATTATACAGCTAACTAGGACTTCACGATCGTAGAATGTTCAACGTCGGAGTTTAGATGTCAATGTCCGAGGCGGGGCACAATTAGGCATTCCATGGGGCCCAAAACATCAGACGGAGTTAAACAAGCGGCTCACCGATCAGAAGAGGCTATAAAGAGTGATATTTCTTCTCAGTGGACTCTACCTGTGAGGTTATTGCAAGCATATACCCAACATGGCTCAAACTGTTGTTCTGATCACTGGTGCAAACCAGGGCATTGGATTTGAGGTTGCCAAACAGATCCTAGAGTCCAACAAGAACTACTATATTCTCCTCGGATCTCGCGATCCCGAGCGCGGCGTCAAAGCTGCCGCAGAACTTGACCCCACTGGCGCGTCAGTGGAGCCGATCACGATCGATGTGACGGACGATGCATCCATCGAGCGCGCAGCAGAGCAAGTCGCCTCGAAGCACGGCCGACTGGATGTTCTCATCAACAACGCGGGAATCAACAATGAGATTGACATTGCATTGGCACGTATGAAGCGGGAAAAGGAAGGCACCACCGAAGAGCCAACGATGCCTCTCACCGAGCTGCGGAAACTATACCGCGAAGCATACGAGGTGAACGTGTTTGGTGCCGCCGCAGTCACTGAGGCTTTCACCCCGCTGCTGGAGAAGGCAGCGGCATTGCCGCCCCGGATTGTCTTTGTCTCATCGCACACCGGGTCCATGGGAATTCGCTCCGATCCGTCGCAAGAAATGTATCCCCGGCAACACAAGCCCAACGGCCCCATCTACCGCAGCAGCAAGGCGGCCCTCAACATGCTCATGCTGCACTATGCTGCCTTTTTTGAGGACAAGGGGGGCAAGGTGAATGCATCGTGCCCGAACCTCACGGGCACGAATTTTACGCGCGGAATGGGTGGCCGGCCGGTGTCCGAGTCCGCCGTGAATATTGTCCGACTGGCGACTCTGGTAAAGGACGGGGAGACGGGAACATATTCGGATGAAAATGGGCCCGTGCCATGGTAGGAATGGCGCCTTTTAATTGGAAATACATGTAACCCTAGCAGTTTTCATAGCTCGAATGCGCTCGAATGGATTAGATTGGTCTATCACTCAAAGTATGTAATCACTCCCGAGGCAGCTCCGAGCTTATAAATCCAAGTGGGGGAAGCTCGTGTATGACCTCGACCCACGTTCTTTAAAGAGCAAACAAATCTCTTGCTCCTGCAATAAATCTCTCTCACTCAACCTCGCACATTTCAACATCACAATCATGAGTCGTCCGGATATTACTCTCTACACGGCCCAAACGCCTAATGGGATCAAGATCTCCATGGCGTTGGAGGAGTTGGGGTATGTGTCTCCTACCGGTTCTTACGCAATAACTGACGAGACCAAGGCTGCCCTACAAGGTCGAGAGGATTGATATCTCCAAGAACACGCAGAAGGAAGAGTAAGGATCTCCCGACTTTGACAACCTTCGACCAAACTGACCTCTTATCGCAGCTGGTTCCTTGAGATCAACCCCAACGGCCGCATCCCCGCCCTGACCGACACCTTCAGCGACGGGAAGAAGATCCGTCTGTTCGAATCCGGCGGCATCTTGGAGTATCTAGTTCAGGAGTACGACCCAGACCACAAGATCTCCTTTCCCAAGGGCACGCGCGAGCACTACGAGATGAACAACTGGCTCTTCTTCCAGAACGCGGGCGTGGGTCCCATGCAGGGCCAGGCTAACCACTTCAGCCGGTACGCGCCGGAACGCATCGAGTATGGCGTCAACCGGTACGTCAACGAGACGCGCCGGCTGTACGGAGTCCTCGACAAGCACCTCGCGCAATCCAAGTCCGGGTACCTGGTGGGTGATCACGTCTCCATTGCCGATATCTCGCACTGGGGATGGGTGGCCGCCGCCGGATGGGCTGGGGTGGATATCGAGGAGTTCCCACATCTCAAGGCGTGGGAGGATCGCATGGCGCAGCGTCCGGCGACGGAGAAGGGCCGCCATGTGCCGTCACCACACACCATCAAGGATCTCATCAAGGACAAGGCGGCCATGGATAAGCACGCAGCCGAGTCCCGGAAGTGGATCCAGGAGGGAATGAAGGAGGATTCGAAGAATAAGATCTAAACGAGGGTTACAATAATAGTATTGAGATCGAAGGACTAAAATTAACAATGAATGACGAGCGGTTCACCGCCTTACCACGTGATTGGCCACCCCTTGTAAAATACCGTAGAAGCTGCTCTCTCCACTCACACCTCCTATCCTCAGCTTTTTTTTCTTATCATTCCCCACGAGAGCCATGGCGTGGCGTAATCAAGGAATCACGGGCTCCAACAACATCCCGCTGGGCCGGCGACGCTTTGCGGGCGATGTTCCTGCGGAAGAGGATAGTCGCACTGCGACTCCTTCCTCTATGGGAGCAGACGGCCCCAAGCGTGGCCGAAGCCCTGTTCGTGGTAAGTCTGATCCGACACCATGGAAAATTACCATGTCTGACCATGCGCTCTCTACAGCGGACCCTCCCGCCGACGGTATCAAAAGGCGCAAGAAGCGCAACCGCTGGGGCGATCAGCAAGAGAACAAGGCCGCTGGTCTGATGGGCTTGCCCACCATGATCATGGCCAACTTCACGAGCGAGCAGCTTGAGGCGTATACCCTGCACCTGCGCATCGAGGAGATCAGCCAGAAGCTGCGGATCAACGACGTGGTCCCGGCCGACGGTGACAGGTATGTGGTGATCCCTCCCTCGTTTTTGCCTTTACTTACTGATTCTTCCAACAGGTCTCCTTCGCCACCGCCGCAATACGATAACTTTGGTAGACGTGTGAACACGCGCGAATACCGCTATCGCAAGCGACTTGAGGATGAGCGTCACAAGCTGGTCGAGAAGGCCATGAAGACCATCCCTAACTACCATCCGCCTTCTGACTACAGACGTCCCACCAAGACCCAGGAGAAGGTCTATGTCCCAGTGAATGACTATCCAGAGATTAACTTCAGTATGATAACTAACCCTCTAACTCCTAACCTGCCTCCATGCTCGACTCGAGCCGACGAGATGTTTCCTCGGATTGTCCTCGGCTCGTTTCTTGCTAACCCTTTCTTTCTTTGTGCTTAATGTTGCACACGCCTTTTTGCGCTCTTGACAGGCCACAGATGACTAACACTTAGCTCTTTGCTCTCTTTTTTCAAAGTTGGCTTACTCATAGGACCTCGTGGAAACACTCTGAAGAAAATGGAGACCGAGTCCGGTGCCAAGATTGCCATCCGTGGCAAAGGCTCCGTCAAGGAGGGCAAAGGCCGCTCTGATGCCGCTCACGCTAGCAATCAGGAAGAAGATCTTCACTGTTTGATCATCGCTGACACAGAAGACAAGCTGGTGAAGGCACGCCAGTTGATTCACAACGTTATCGAAACAGTAAGTCCTGCTCCCTGCTTGTTCTATCCCTTTTACTAACACACCCTAAGGCTGCATCTATCCCTGAAGGCCAAAATGAGCTCAAGCGCAACCAGCTGCGTGAACTGGCCGCTCTCAACGGTACTCTTCGTGACGATGAGAACCAGGCTTGCCAGAACTGTACGTATGCCCCTAATCTCTCTCTTCTATCAAAATACTAACCGTGCTCTTGCAGGTGGTCAAATCGGACACCGGAAGTACGACTGCCCCGAACAGCGCAACTTCACTGCAAACATCATCTGTCGTGTCTGCGGCAACGCTGGACACATGGCCCGCGACTGTCCCGACCGCCAGAGAGGCAGCGACTGGCGCAACAACGGTGGCTATGGTGGCCGCGACTCTCGTCCTGCCATTGGCACTGGCGATGCTGTCGACCGCGAGATGGAGGTAAGTTCTTCATTAATCGCAAAGCAACAGACTTCAAATGCTAACGCTGTTTTCTAGCAACTCATGAACGAATTGTCTGGAGGTGCTCCTGGCGAGTACCCACCCCGTCGCATTGAAGCTGGTCCGGGCCAGGGCTATCCTGACGACCGTGGCGCGAAGCCCTGGGAGCAGCGCGGCCCGCCACCGAGCGACGTTGCTCCCTGGCAACAGCGAGGTCGGGATCGCGGACGCGACGACTATGGGTCCCGCGACCAAGGCGGTGCTGCTCCATGGGCTTCACAGGGCCGCGGTGGCGATTATGGATATGGTTCTCAAGGATATGCCGCTCCCGGTACTGCCCCTGGCGCTGCCCCTTGGCAGCAACAGGCTCCTCCCCCGCCTCCCGGTGGGCCGGCTGGCTATGGTTACGGCGGATATTCGTCTTACGCACCTCCCGGCACGGGCGCTCCTGGTGCTGCTCCTCCTGGTATGGGTGCTCCGCCGCCACCTCCCGGTATGGCTCAGATGTACTACGGTGGTGCTGGCGACCCGCCGCCACCCCCTCCGCCCGGTGATGGACCTCCGCCTCCTCCGCCGAGCGACCAGCCTCCTCCACCTCCGCCCCCTGCGTGAACGCAAAATCGAAAATTGACTATCGGATTCTTTTGCTGAATGGAAAACTCGGTGGGAGAAAGGCATTGGAAATTGTTTCTCTTCTTCGCTGTGAAAGTAATATCTTGAATTGGACTCTTCTTTGCTTCTGTAGTTATCTTCCTTATAAGTACACACCGTAGCAGTTGATGCCTCAGGCCTCATTCTCCATCCTTGGCTTCCCAGTTTCTCCAACTTCTTCGCTCCCCGCACAGTAATCACCATCAACTGCTGCTGCCATTGCCCTTGATCTCGCCTTTGCGGATCTCCCCTAGCCCCTTTCATAATATTACTACCCTCATCCCCAGCTTCTGGTTCCCTCAATTCTCCCAACCAGCGTGCAGGTTGCACTGCGGAGGTCGTCTGGGGACTTCTCCTTGCCCTCAGGTCCAAATATGCAGGCTCCCAGCAACTCATCGCCGGGACTCTCTTCGTCTCCAGCTCACAGGAGACCCTCCTGGCAATCTCAGCGCCTGTCGTCATCCCTTCGATCAGGCAAGTCAGGTCAATCTCGGCGCGCCGCTCCGGTCTCGGCCCGGCTTGCAGCAGAGCCGCAGGACACTGCAGATGCCAGGACGTCAGATTCACAGCATCGCCGTGTATCAGTCGCGTCGTCTTTTTGGTCGACCCACCCGAAATGGTGGCGCGTGCGTCTGTTCCGCGGGATGGTCAAGGATATCAAACGCCGGGCGCCCTATTATTGGAGCGACTTGACTGATGCGTGGGATTATCGCATTGTTCCTGCGACTGTTTATATGTATTTTGCAAAGTATGCTTGCCCTTACATGTTTCCCTTTTCGCATCAGGTCATTCCGTATTTCTCAAGCTCTCGAAACCTATACTCTGGGTCATTCACATTGGATGTATCTGCCCTGTTTCAAGCTTTAAGGCTTACTAGTGTTGCAGTATCTTGCCTGCCCTGGCTTTCTCGCTAGATATGTTTGAGAAGACAAATCAGAGCTACGGCGTGAACGAAGTCTTGCTTGCATCTGTGCTTGGGGCCGTGGTGTTTTCCCTCTTCGCGGCTCAGCCGTTGGTCATTGTTGGCGTTACTGGTGAGCTCTTTTGCCTCTTTATAACCAGTCTTGTCTTTTTTCTTAAACGTTGCAGGTCCGATTACGGTGTTCAATTATACGGTTTATGATATTATTGCACCCCGGGGCACACCGTTTCTTGCTTTTATGACTTGGATTGGGATGTGAGTTTATCTCTTTCATTGTCAAGGACGCACTCCTAACCTCTACTAGCTGGTCCCTGGTCATGCACTGGCTCCTTGCCATCACAAATGCCTGCAACGCACTAACCTATGTCACCCGTTTCTCATGTGACATCTTCGGGTTCTACGTTGCCTTCATCTATCTCCAAAAAGGCATCCAGGTATTGACTCGACAATGGGGTCTAGTGGGAGAAGCCTCGGCCTACCTGAGCATCATGGTTGCCCTCCTCGTGCTCATGAGCGGATGGATCTGCGGCGAACTGGGCAACAGCAATCTCTTCCAGAGATATATCCGCAAGTTCCTGGAGGATTACGGTACCCCATTGACAATTGTCTTTTTCACCGGCTTCGTTCACTTTGGCCACATGAAGGATGTGAATGTTTCAACACTTCCCACGAGCAAAGCTTTCTTTCCAACTGTTGATCGGCCATGGCTCGTGCATTTTTGGAATATCGATGTTGGAGATATCTTTCTCGCCATCCCTTTTGCGGTCCTCCTCACCATTCTTTTCTATTTTGATCACAACGGTAGGCTTCCTCTAATCTCGCCGTTATCTGCAGTCTAATTTGCTTCTTTAGTCTCATCGCTCATCGCTCAGGGAACCGAATTCCCACTCCGCAAACCCGCCGGTTTCCACTGGGATCTCTGGCTACTGGGTCTTACAACCTTCGTGGCGGGCCTCCTCGGCATCCCTTTCCCCAATGGACTCATCCCACAAGCACCCTTCCACACCGCCGCCCTCTGCGTCACCCGACAGGTCGCTGACGAAGACGACACCAACAAAGGAAAAGCCATTCGAGTCACCGATCACGTCGTCGAGCAACGAGTCAGCAATTTTGCCCAGGGTCTGCTCACGCTAGGCACTATGACCGGCCCACTACTTATCGTGCTGCATCTAATACCGCAGGGGGTGATGGCCGGCCTGTTCTTCATCATGGGCGTGCAGGCATTACAAGGGAACGGAATCACGCAGAAACTGATCTTCCTCGCCCAAGACAAGAACTTCACGTCCGCATCGAATCCCCTGAAAAGACTCGATCGCCGCATCGTCATCTGGGCCTTTGTACTCCTCGAACTGATTGGCTTCGGCGCCACTTTCGCCATCACCCAGACCATTGCGGCTATCGGGTTCCCGGTTATCATTCTTCTTCTCATCCCCATACGGTCTTTTGTGCTGCCGCGCTGGTTTACTCGGGAGGAATTGGCCGCGCTCGATGCCCCGACTGCTAGTCCCTTTACTATGGAAAGTGTTGGTGGTACTCATGGATTGGAGGATGAGTCTACAGAGGAAGAGAATGTTGCTGCTTCGGGTGCGGGCAACGCTGTGCTGCAAGGAGGTCGTTCCTTACCGTCGTCAGAGTCGGCGGTTGAGGATAATGATTTGGAGAGTGGTGAGGCGTACGAGCTTGCTTCTCTGTCTATGCGGAGAAGAAGCAATGCCAGTCGGGTTGACTAATGTCTGGGGGCAGTTGTTGGGACCATATTATATACACTTACATGGCGCTGTAAATAGAAAAGACCGTTCAGCAGCGATTCAATAAGCGCGATTCACGCATTTTCCTTCATGCTCGAATTGAATTTCGAGTATAGAGTCACGTGTGATATTATCATACCTGGTATATAAGGTGTCGAATAATTTCCACCGCCCGTCGATACCTTTTTCTGCCGCAAAAATATTTCCCGGACAACAGACAGTCTCGACAAGTACAATAATGGCGCCCTCAAATGCTGCAGAGGCCCTCTCAGAGGATTCGCACAGTTCCTCCGAAGTGTCCGATGTGGAACAACCCGAAATCCAAGACCGCGCGCCCAAGCGACGGCGTCTATCCGAGTCCTCGGACGACTCATATACAGCCCCAGCGCCTCTCCCCACCCTCTCGCGCATTAAGAAAAAGGACACAAACCCCAAGAAACCCGAGCCAACAGAAGACGAAGACCCAGTGACTATTCGCGACGCTCTTGAAATTGGTCTCCGCAGCGAAGAGTCGACCTTTTCCTCTCTGGACGTCGCGCCGTGGCTGGTCGGGTCGTTAACCACCATGGCCATCCGCCGGCCGACAGCTATTCAAAAGGCGTGTATTCCGGAGATTCTGAAGGGGAGGGATTGTATCGGTGGTAGTCGGACTGGTTCCGGAAAGACGATTGCTTTTGGAGTACCGATTCTGCAGAAGTGGGCGAAGGATCCGTTTGGAATTTTTGCAGTTGTCTTGACGCCAACTCGGTATGGTTTTTGATGTTACTCTTGTTTGCGGGAATATAGAAGCTAACCTTTTTTCTTCTTAACAGTGAGCTTGCGCTCCAGATTTTTGAGCAGTTCAAGGCAATTTCCGCCCCGCAAGGTATGAAGCCTGTTCTGATTACTGGTGGCACGGACATGCGGCCGCAGGCAATTGCGCTGTCGCAACGACCGCACGTGGTCATTGCGACCCCGGGTCGGCTGGCGGACCATATCAAGACATCTGGTCAAGACACGGTAGCTGGGTTAGGCCGAGTGAAGATGGTGGTGCTGGACGAAGCAGATCGATTGCTGGTCAGTGGGCCGGGGAGCATGCTGCCCGACGTGGAAACATGCTTGGGAGCACTACCGCCGTCTGCAGAGCGACAAACACTGCTCTTCACTGCAACGGTTACGGCAGAAGTGCGCGCCCTGAAGGAAATGCCTCGACCGGCCAACAAGCCGCCCATCTTCGTGACCGAGATCGCAACCGATAACCACGGCAGCATCCCACCAACCCTGAAACAAACCTACCTCAAAGTTCCCATGACGCACCGCGAAGCCTTTCTGCATGTTCTGCTCTCGACAGATGAGAACATCTCCCGACCCGTAATCATCTTCACAAACCACACCAAAACCGCCGATGTACTGGAGCGCACGCTCCGCCGCCTTGGCCACCGCGTCACCTCTCTACACAGTCTCCTTCCACAGTCCGAACGCACATCAAACCTGGCGCGTTTCCGTGCCGCCGCCGCCCGCGTCCTCGTCGCCACGGACGTCGCCTCCCGCGGTCTCGATATTCCCTCTGTGACCCTTGTCGTCAACTTCGATGTGCCCCGCAACCCAGACGACTACGTCCACCGTGTTGGTCGTACGGCCCGTGCGGGACGGTCCGGTGAAGCAGTTACACTGGTTGGACAGCGCGACGTCCAGCTCGTGCTGGCCATTGAGCAGCGAGTTGGCCGCCAGATGGACGAGTGGGCTCAGGAGGGCGTCAATGTTGAAAGCAGAGTCGTTCGCACCGGGGTGCTGAAGGAGGTTGGCTCGGCAAAGCGTGAGGCAGCGGGTGAGATTGAGGAAGGCCGCGATGTACTTGGGCGGAAGCGGAATAAGCTGAAGAAGGTCCGCTGATTTACTCTTTTGGGTCATATTAACAGGGTGGTGTCTGGCATAGGAAAATGGATGTTATCAACGACTATCGAAGGCAAAGCTAAACTACTGATTGGCCGCATATACTTATAAACCTCGTTCAGCAAGAACACGACTGAACCGTTCCTCAAACCCTTCCACGTATTGAGGATTGATCATATCTGCATTTATATCCGATAGTCATACTTCGCGAGAGCTGCATCTCACACGGTCTTTTCCAATTAATTACGAGAGGATTCCAGCATGTGCAAATGGTATCATTAATATCAGCAGCGAAACAGCCCGCTATCGAAGGTGCTCTATGTGCCACGCGAGTATCTCACAGAACGAGCACAGTCAGTGCTCACGATAAGGTGCACATCCCTGTGCCAAGGTAGGCAAAAGAAACCCCGATACTCGACCACGGGGTACCCGCGAGGCCGCGAGATATACCAAGCAGCCTCGATCTATTCATGTCCGGGACTCCGACCAACCAAAACATCAACACGCCCACTATTGAAAAAGAAAAGCGGTCTCGCAAAGTCTCATGTAGTCCATGCGTCTCCATTATCGTACCGATCCGTATGCATGAGCTTTAGCAGCCCGTCAACTGCATCGCCTCTCTCAGACAGCGACATCCCCCCTCGAACCTCGAGCCTTGGCTCGCCACTCTCATCTTCATTGCTGTTACGACGCCCAACCGTCGCCGGCGGGCTACTCAGCTGCATCGGCGACCCCAGTGCCCGCGGTGGCGTGTTGTTATCACGAATCGGGATCTTAGCTGGAACATCGTGCGTAGTATCCCTCACAGCAACCGCGCTCGACGGCCGCGTGGCAGACAGATCAGGCGTTTTCAGCAGAGAAGGAAGTCTCGTTCCCGCAGAAACAATTTGCGGTGCCTTGGTTTGAGAAGCTGTGGTCGCATTTTTGGAGAGCATGGACGGTGTCGAGAGAGCGGAGAGAGAGAGCCGCGGACACTTGCGGCTGTGTGCTTCCAGCTCGGAGACGCGTCGGTCGAACTGGTGGTCTGTAACGTTGCGCATGGCGCTTTGAAGTCGACTGCGGAGGAGATGTGCTTTCTTTTAGGGAAAAATGGTGTTAGTACATATTGTTTGTATTTTGGGTCGCGATATAGACTTCGCGATATAGATTTGACTCACTTCTTGGATGAACACCTTGCGCGTCTCGGGGTCGCTGGGAATGGCTCGCGTGGTAGGTTGTGAGTTGTTGTCGGTTGTGGCAGAGAGGGTTTCTGGATGAAGATGGTCTGGTTCGTCGCGTTCGAGCTGTGTGTGTTGTGGTGTTGAGGCACCGGTGTTCATCGCGTCCGGAACCAGCTGGAGCTATAGGCGCGTGGCATTGAGATTAGCAACTTAATCCCTGAATATTTCTGAGCGTGTCCCGACGTACCTGATCCTCAAGGCCATTTTTGAGGATGGGTTGGGTGCTGTTTTCTTCGGGGGAAGGCGAGAGCTCCGGACTGTGTCTCTTGACGTGTCCGCTGTTTACATCGGTCTCGTCCACCTGGTCTCTTGTGCGTTTTGTGCCTGCAAAAATGGGAGAAGGCAGAAGCTTCTTGGGCGATGCTGCAGTTGATACTCGTTTGGTTGGGGTGCCTGTGGCCGAGAAAGCGTCCTTTGGCCGGTTGGCCGGGGACAGACACGCGTTGGTGTTTTTCTCGCCGAGGATGCGGCGGCCATCCTTGACAGGGCTCAAGGGGAACTGTGTAGATTGCATGATTGAAGCTTTGAGGCGTGAAAAGCACAGCTTCAAGGAGCTCCGTGATGTTAGGGAAGAGAGAAAGTAGTGAGAGCGGATGTGGGATGGAGAGGAATGGAGAATGGAGCTCGGTGGGGGACGAGATCTGGGGAGGATTGTCTGCGCAGAGTCAAACAATGGGACAAGAGAAAGAAAACCAGACAATGATGAACAAGGACCAGAGAAAATGCAAAGAAAGAAAGATGAGCAGTCTCACGCACAGAGTAAATTGAAAGTCGAAACACAGGCGCGTCGATCGCGTACAAGCGGGCTTAGCGGGTTGTATAGAAGCACGGACACGCTCCACACCGTGTTGAGCACGCGTCCCCGTTAGTTAGTTGGCTTCACCGGAGGACCACATTCTTCACTTCCGATCGGGAGCATTTTTGGTTATTTTGGTCTGATAGCTGGTCCATGCGTGATGATATCGAGCATTATGTATCCCAAATGGAGGTGTAACTATAAACTGGTCCTAGTATATATTTGAGCTACAGGGTAAGCCTAACCATAACACCGCTACTCCAACACTGGCAATTTATAAACAGCTGTCTAGATGAATGCCGTTTATCAACGGAACATAGATCTTCTAATTGATGCTCATCATACATGATGTTTGCCTCCAGCATCTCTCTGTCCTGCTCTCTAACATCGTCTCTGCATGACATCATCGCATGAGCTGAACTCTCCCAGTTATCCAGCAATGATGGCGGTAGAGAAAATAAAGGATCCATCTAGTAAATATCGAATATGTAACCACTGGTAGAGCTGAATAACCATCTAGAGTAAGCACAGGGGTGATCCTTCCCCGCGTTTGGACCACATTCCTCGATGATGTCGACATCCCGGCCTGCACACTGTCCTTCCTCCTTCCACTTCCTCCTCCTCCGGGAAATCCACCCATACTCGTTCGTTACACAGCATACCCCCTACATTTAGAGTATATTTATTGCGGGCTGCTATAACCCGCGCCTCTCCACATGCAGCTGTCGCTCGCACTCCTGGCGGCCGTGGGCCAGGCCGCGCTCAGTGCTGCCTCCACACTCACGCCGCCCGTCTTGCCGCTGATTGTCCGCAGCCCCTACCTCAGCACATGGCTCGGAGATGCTCGGGAAGCACCCTGGTCCAAATGGCCCATGTTCTACACCGGAGAGGAGGTGGGCCTCTCCGTTATGGCCCACGTCCCCAGCCAGGGCGTCGTATACCCGCTCCTGGGCCGACCCCAACAGGACCTGACGTCCGACGCATATCCAGTCCAGTTTCCCGAATACCTCGGACATAACTACGACGCTTCAACGACCAACTTGACCTACCGTATTGATACGGGTAAGACACCACTTGATATCACTGTCTCGTTCCTTTCTCCCATTACGCCCACGTCGACTCTGCGGCAGTCGATTCCGGCCTCCTACATCACGATCGATGTCCAGGGTGACACCGATGTCAACGTGTATATGGATGTTGATGGACGCTGGGTGACGGGTGACATTGGTGCTCCACTACACTGGCAGCGGGACACAGTCGCGGTCGAGGATCACAAGCCCTCCCTTCAGAGTTGGCAGTTCCGCAGAGAGAATGAGCTCCATCTGTCAGAGATCCGAGACCGCGCAGAATGGGGCACCCTTCACTTCACCGGACCCGCTGTACGTGCCATACCCACTTTTTCATTCCTCAATACTAACGCCAGACACAGAGTGCCCAGTATCAGTCTGGCGGTGCAGCCATAGTGCGGCGAGCCTTTGCCAGCACCGGCACCCTGCGCAATGAGAACGATGAGCGATTCCGGCCTATTAAGGACCACTGGCCTGTCTTTGCCTTCTCCAAATCCTTCAAGTTGGGCCAGAAGTCGCAGGAAACAACAGACAGCGTCACATTCACCATTGCTCTTATCCAGATTCCCGTCGTGCAATTTGCAGCTTCCCGCGGACTGACCCAGATGCGGCCCCTCTGGAACTCTTGGTTTCCAACTACCGAAGAGCTGCTCGGGTTCCACTACAAGGATCATTCCGCAGCGCTGGCGCTGGCGTCCAACTACTCGGAGCAATTGGCTGCGGATGCCTACCTGTCCGGAGCCGATGACTATGTTGACATTGTTGCCCTCACCGCGCGGCAGGTTATGGGTGCAACCACCTTCTCCGGGACACCAGAAGATCCTATCCTGTTCCTCAAGGAGATCTCATCGAATGGCAATTTCCAAACTATCGATGTCATCTTCCCCGCCTTCCCGTTCTTCATGTACACCAACCCGCGGTGGCTGGCATACCTGCTCGAACCGCTAATCGAACACATGCTGAGCGGACAGTATCCCAACACGTATGCCATGCACGATCTAGGCACCCACTTCCCCAATGCTACCGGCCATCCGGACGGAAACGACGAGTACATGCCTGTCGAGGAGTGTGGTAACATCCTCATCATGGGACTGGCTATCGTGAACTCTCTCATCTACGATGAGTCGTCGGAAGCTTCATCAATCTGGTCTACTGAGGGCTCACATCCCATCAACATTTGGAAAGAAGCCTCGGGAAGCTTCCCGCTGGATGGCCAGCAGATCCTGTCTGGAGTTTCCCATCAGGATGGGAAATGGGGCGGCGGTGTACACGGTCAGCGTCTGGCTGAGGAATGGGTGAAGCGCAGCTACCGTCTGTGGAAGCAGTGGACGGCGTATCTGGTGGAATTCTCCCTGGAACCTGCCAATCAACGTGGGTTTGTGATCTCCCATGTCGAATCCATATACTAATTATTTCTAGTTTCAACCGATGATTTTGCGGGCTGGCTGGCGCTGCAAACGAACCTGGCTCTTAAGGGCATTGTGGGCATCAACGCCATGAGCAAGATTGCCGAGGTGGCCGGACACAAGTCTGATGCTGAATACTTCAAGGTAAAGGCAGCTTCTTCTTTTCCGTCCTCCCAAAACTAACTACCACGAACAGAAAATCGCCGACAGCTACATCGCCAAATGGGAAGAATTCGGCATGTCCCGAGATGGGACGCACGCCAAACTAGCCTACGACTGGTACGGATCCTGGACAACAATCTACAACCTTTACGCAGATGCACAGCTCTGCTTCCATCTGGAAGACACCGACACAGAGACCCCCGGCTTTGTCCCACGACACATCTACCAGAAACAATCTGTGTGGTACCACTACGTGCGCCAGAAATACGGCCTTCCCTTGGACAGCCGTCACCTCTACACCAAGACCGACTGGGAGTTTTTCTCCATGGCGGTAGCCTCCAAGCCCGTCCGCTCCGAGATCCTCGAGTCCGTCGCCACCTGGGTTAACGAGACCGTCACCGATCGCCCCTTCACCGACCTCCACCAGACAGAAGGTGACGGCAACTTCCCTGGCCCGAATTTCTTTGCCCGACCCGTCATCGGCGGCCACTTCGCTTTCCTGGCGCTGCAGCGTGCATGCGGCGGTCGTGCAATGAAGGGCCTCTCTTTTCTAGATGACGTCGACGACGAGACCATGGCTGCGTGGTCGCGCAGCGCTGAAGCTGCCGCTGCGGAATTTGTTGCCCCTGCGGCGGGGCGCGACCGGTTCAGTGACGGTGAGCTGTAGGGTCGCCCTACCGTCACCTTATCGACTGTGCTTTGGTGTCTCTGCTCTTGGGGCTGCTTCTGGGCGTGTTTCTGACAAGCGATCATGTTGTTGTGTTGTGATGTTTCCTTAGCCCTCCCTGACCCTGTCCCTAAGAGTTGCTCATCTAGTCTCCCTGGCCTGGCGAGCTTGGTTGGCTCCAACGGACCCTCTACCCAGATCATCCTTAGTATATAAGTCTATCGCGCCGTGGATCAACTATCATCAATGGACGTTTATATTGTTCCATGAACTATCGCCTTGATCGCTAGCTATGTTGGGCTTATATATGTATCTATGTATAGCCTTATAGGGACTGACGGTGGCATCTTAGCTCTTTGGATTAATAGTTATCTGTATGTAGGATGAACGTTAAAATGCTAGGGCAGGTGGATGCATACACCGTCCTTTTACTGAGGATCTTCCATATTCGTGCACCATTCCTATGACGATGTAGATGGTCAGTCTAGTATAGTTTATCTTTGCGGCTAAGGTTGATATCAATTCCAGGCCTAAGACATGCAGCCACCGCAGAACTGACAATAGTCAAGACTCCATTCACCTACCCTCCACTACTGTATAAATTGAACGCAAAAGACAATTATCATTCCACTGAAACGTATTTTCTCAGCTGAAAGAAGAAAGAACCGCTGGTCCTAATGCCTCAGTTATCTCTTTCTTTTTGCCTTCTTGTTTTGGTTGATCATCCATTCCGTTTCTGGAATCGAGTCAATTTACATAGTACCATAGAGAGAATGGAGAAGAAATTGTCATCCAAATCCGCGTTGCACAGAGTTTAATAAAAAGCAGAGACACATAATAACCGGCCTGAATCAGAGCGCGGCACACACATATTTTTTTGTTCTTGTTTCCTTTCCCCAGACCGATCCCGGTAATGACAAGACACACACCAAGAGAAAATCAAGTTGCGAACACAACGCCCAGCTCATTGTTTCCTTTTTGCCTCCCACCTTTCCCATCCTCGGAACAAACGCAAGAAAGAGACAAAAGGAGAAGAATAAAAAGGGAGATGCTGCTGGGTTCTGGGGACAAGCAAGTTGGTTTCCGTCCGTCATGAGGGGAGGGAAACGTTCAGATCAGATGATTGATCTATTTGCCGCCGAGGCTGGGGAAGTTCTTCTCGTCGACGGTAGGGCCGGCAGGGCCGCGAGCGCCACCGCGAGGAGCAGCGCCGCCGCGGGGTCCGCCACGGCCACGATCACCTCCACGAGGAGCAGCACCGCCGCGGGGGGCACCACGATCGCCGCGAGGGGCACCGCCACGGCCACCGCGGTCACCACGGGGCGCACGGTCACCGCGGTCACCACGGGGAGCACGGTCACCACGGTCACCACCACGGGCACCGCCACGGCCACCACCACGGGGACCACTGGACGGCTGCTCGACGAAACGCATGTCGACATCGAGGAAGTTCTTCTCCTTGCGCTGCTTCTCGCGCTTGGCCTTCTCGGAGCTGCCCTGGATGTAGGCGTCCTCCTCCTCGGTGCGCTTCAGCTCCTTGGCGGCAGCCCACTTGGAGTCGGTCTTGGTGCCCTCGTTGGCAGCACGCACGGGTTTGGCGGCCAGAGAGTCCTTCTGAGCCTGCTCGGCCAGGTAGTCGGTGTACGACATGGACTTGTCGGCCAGTTCCTTGGCCTCCTCGTCGGCGGGGGTCTGGGGCTCATTCTCGTCCTCCTTGGCGATGTTCTCGCCGATCCGCTCGTCAGTCCAGGCCTTTTCGCCGTTGTCGGCGCCCCAGCCCTGCTCCACCTTCTTGTGGGTGTCACTAAATAAAAAAACAAATTAGTCTCTGTATTCTTGCCACGGCTTGCCCTCTCTATTCGTATATCCGAGATGAAGACCCGAGTGAATTGGATGAAGCTTACGTCTGTCCGGAGCGGGACTGGCGGTCGCCACGACCGCGGCCGCTGCGCTCACCACGGCGCGGGGGCTGAGCCTCGTCAGTCGGCTTCTCGCGGTTGTTGTTCCGGCCGGCGTTGCGATCACGGAAAGCTATGCACAGTCAGCTCGATCCTTCAATTTCCCCAGACGAAAATACATACCGGCCTCGTTGCCAGTCGTACGGGCACCACGGCGAGCGTTGGATTCCGTCAGGCGGGGCTGGTTGGTGGGCTCGGCGGGAGCATCACGCTTGCCATGGCGGGCAATAGGACGGTCGACAGCCCGAGCGGGGGGCTGAGGGGGTCTGTTGGGGTCGAGCTCAGGGTCATTACCTGTAGCAAGGAATGGGTATTAGATTTCGACTCTGGGGAACAAAATTGGAGCAAAATTGAAAGAAGGGGGGTATTTACCAAGAAGCTCATAGAGGTTCTGTGAATTTCGCAAACAGCACAGTTAGCCCATGAAACCCACAATCACGAACAAGCACACGGCCCAATTCGTCCCCTCACGGCTCGTCTCGCAAAAATGTCGCTCGACACAGCTTCCCATGGTGATTCTTCAGCGTACCTTGGACCGGACGTCGACCATGACGCCTGGTGTTGTGGTGGAGGCCTTCCGGGGAGCGGAAGGCGCTCGACGATCGCAGACGAGTCGATGAAAAAAAGGGACGGGGTGTGAACCGTCGGAGGGGCGAGCAAGGCTAAACCTGACTCGTCGGGTGGGCTCGATGGATAGAGGTTGTAAGGGTGGATGGGGTGAGAGAGAGAGCTGAGGGAAGGAGCAGTTTGAGCAGTTTGTGAGGAGCCAGGCCCGAATCCGGTTAGGCGCGGATTGCCTAAGCGAATCAAGGCTGCTACACGCTGATTGGCTGGTTGGGGACTAGGGCTTAGGGTACTGTGCGTCATTGGATGTGGTTGATGGTGTCATCGACCGGGAGAAGATGGTGTATGTATTTACTCATGGAATTCATGTACATCTCGGAACGTTATACCTCACCATGGTATCACCGCTGAACATTGGGAAAACGCCGGCCCATGCGAAAACAGATCCCAAAACTCTTCACTTTTTTCGGTTTCGAAAGGAAAAAAAAATACTCAGTTGCGGTTGCTTTGCTCGTAGTTGAAGGGAGTTGGGAAGTGCATGCTGGCACTCAGTCCGAACGGATCCGCATCGAGCATTGGCTCATACTGGCCTAGCAGCTGGTTGTTGTTTCCGAACCCCCCGGCTCCGTCGCTGCCCGGGGCATTAAAGCCCGCGATGCTCTGCGAGCCCGAGGCTACCGACTGGGGGGTAAACCCGGACACATAGGGGGTATTTACGGACCCATCGTGGTCCTCGTCGACCAGATCGGCCTGTGCATCGTATTCTTGTTCTGGCATAGTCAGCAGGCGGCTCGCTAGGAGGGTGAGAACCAAAGAAACATACCAAGTTGATCGTAGTGCTTTTGGAATGGCGACGGATAGTATGCTGCTGCGACTCGCGACCCGCGCGGCCCCATGGCTCCTGGCCCTCGAGGTTTGGGATCGGCCGGGTCAGTTTGGGGCATGCTGATGGCCGGCGGCGACGTTTGGTGGTTGAAGGCCCGAGGCTGCGGCAGTAGCTGCGGGCGACCCGTACCCTGCGACTCGACGGTGACGGGAGACATGGCGCCGTGAAAACCGAAGCCGGGTGACTTGGTTTGTGACGGCGACGAGACGTGGGAAGTCGGCGTGGCCTGGAATTGTGGGGACGGAATGCCATAAGCACCCTCTCGCTGCGACATGCCGAACGCCTCGGGCTTGGAGGCGATGCCTGCGGGATGCCGTTGCGCAGAACGGGGTGCACCAGGTGCGGATTTGGGCATTGGTGGATTTGGTTTGGCCGAGGCCCCGGGGGCGCCGGTCTTCAGCCGTAACTCTGCTTGCACATCGATACCTGAGAGGTTTGGGGTTAGCAGCCAATTCGAGATGGCATGGAAAAAGCCACTCACCCTTTTCAAGGAGAATCCGCTCCAACAGAGAGTTTTTATATCGCAGCATCAGGCACTCATCGGCGGCGCTGCGATGGCTCTGCTGCAGACTCTGCAAAGAGTCTTCATTCCGCTTGATGGTGGTCTCCAGCTGGCGGATGTACTCTGTCCGACGCTCGCGGAATGCCGCCTGCGCCTGACGGTTGCGCTGCTTGCGTTCCTCGGAGGTGGCGTAGATCTGATCCGGAGGGTTAGAAGAATGGCACACAGAGTAGAAATGCGGGGCGTCCGTACCGGCTTGCGACCACCTTTCCTCTTCTGCGTCTGGGCGGGATCCTGTGTCATGGGCTCTGCCTCGGCGTCCGGGGTGGACATGGAGCTCAGCGAGCCATCCTGGCCGGGCTCGGTCTTCGGCATCGGTTCCATGACCGTGTCATTGTGCTCGTTGGAGGTCTCGACCATGGAGACCATTGATGGATCTGCTCAGCCCTGCAACAACGGCCTCCTCCGCGCGGCGGGACAGACAGACAACAGCCCACTTTTCCCCGGGGAGCGCAGCGTGTCTGGGGCGATAAAAATAAAGTAAGAGACGCAAACGCGCGGCTCGGCGGGTAGAGGGGACGTGCGAGCGAGTCAGAGGGCACAGAAGGGAAAGGGTGACATAAAGGAAACTGAATGATTATGAGAAAGGAGGAGTCAGAGATTGGCGATATGGGGAAGTTTGGGGGTGGGAAGGGCGAAGAAATGAGGTAAACCGATTGACTAACGAATAATAATCGTATTGTGGTTGTTCAGGCCTGGGAAAAGTCTGCCTGGGTCAGGCGAGGGGCATTTGGGTTTTTTTCTCTCTGGGTTTACTCCTTTGGGAGATTTTTTTTGCCGGGGGGATCCACGTTGTCCAGTGTTCAGCGCGAGTGGGCCAGTCTGGGGACTGACCGAGTGAGCATTTTCGGACCAAATGAATAATCATGGGGGGGTGCGACTCGAGGTCGGATCTGGCGGCTGGGACATGCGGGGGTGCTGGCGAGAGGGCTGAAAGTGCCAAGTCGAAGGAGCTAGGATGTAGTAGGAGTTGCCCGCGGAGAAATGAAGGACTGTGTTGCGTTGCGTTGCGTTGCGTTGGACGGACTGGGTAGGGAGCCGATGTCGGGGCGAGCCGGTCGAGTCGAATGGGGCAACACGAGGCGAGCGCGGTCATGTGCACGGTCATGTGATTCGGGGGAAGTTGGAGATCCGTCTTCTGTAACGAACTATACACTTATGGTGTATAGAGTACTATGTATGATTTAGTCCTACGCTGATGGTTGATGCCGGATAGAGAATTAGAATTTGTGAAGACCCCAGGAAATAGTTCGGCTTTCGGCTCCCCGCCGACCCTTTTCACATGCCGAGCTCAAACCTCCACCACCACCTTCTTCCCACTAGCTCGACTTCTACATCATACCTGATCACTCACCATGCCGGCCGACGAGCACCAGGATGCCGTCTCGGCCCTCCAAGAACCACAGTCGGCCCCCGCGCCGACCACAGAGCCCGCAGTCGTGGCCTTAGAGCCGCCCCAACCAAAAGCCGAGGTTGAGGACGACTCCGACTTTGACGAGCTGGACGGTAAACCTCCCACAGCCCCCCAACGCTCACATTGATCCTAACGAATATGGCCCACCAGATGTCCTGGACGATTTCTCCAAACCAAAGGCACAACCCTCACCACCACCAACGGCGGCAGCCGCCCCCGAGACGGGCGCCACGCCCGCAGACTTTGACGAGGATGCCTTCCTGAAACAGCTGGAGAAGGACATGGCCAACATGATGACACAGGCGCGACCGCAGTCTGGCGCACCGGACGACCAGAGTTTCCAGGCGGCGGTGGATCAGGGCGCGGACGCGTTCGCGAAACAATTAGAGGAGAGCGGGATTCCGCCGGGAGATTTCCTGAAACAACTTCTTGCAGATGTGATGGCCGAGGAGGGGAGTGGTGACAGCGCTGCACTATCGGCTGCCTTTGCCTCTGCCTCAACCTCGACACCCCCTCCGGTCTCGTCAAACCCCCCAGCAGCATCGGCCGCAGCAGACTCAGCAGACCAACCAGCAGACTCCTTCAACGACGCAATCCAGCGCACAGTCAACCGCATGAAGGAATCCGGCGACCGTGCCACAGCAGCAGCCTCCAATGAAGACGAGTTCTCGGATGACATGATCGCGCAGCTCCTCAAAGCCGTGGAGGCCGGCGCATCCGGTTCTGGCGAGGACGGTGACCTGACGAAGATGTTCATGGGAATGATGGAGCAGCTCTCGAACAAGGAGATGCTGTACGAGCCGATGAAAGAGCTGGACGGCAAGTTCGGCCCGTGGATTGAGAAGCATAAGGCCGACGGCGCCAGCACCGTACCTGCGGAGGATATGGAGCGCTATGAGGCCCAGGCAAGGATTGTGAAGCAGATTGTCCAGAAGTTTGAGGAGGAGGGGTATACGGATGAGGATTCCAAGTGCCGCGAGTATGTGTGGGAGAGGATGCAGGAGGTGAGCTTTCCTTTCCGTTTCTGCGACATCCTACCCTACTAACAGACGGCAACTAGATGCAAGCTGCTGGTAATCCGCCCGAAGAGCTGATTTCGAACCCGTTCATGGGGGATCTCGGGGCTGCGGGAGCGGCGGGCGCTGGGATCCCGGATTGCCCGCAGCAATAACCATGTGAATTGCAGTCATGATCTCATTTGTGTATCTCTCTGTACTGTACATATACACACACAAACCCCGATACCCTTATGTACGCGATATCAGACCAGACTCTGATCCCGAACAAGTGTTGAGGTTCACAGTCACGACATATCCATGTCCTGGCTCGCATAGCCATGCTCCGTCATCGCGCTGAAGATATCATCATACTCATCATCATTGAAAGAGCCACTTGGCTCCTTCGTGCCATATGTCGACGTCCCAGCCCCCGATTCAAATATAGGCCTCTCGACCGACTCTTCTTGAGCAAGATACTCATACAGCGCGTGCATCTCTTCCTCATCTGTAACAGTTCTCGTTAGCAACTACCCCAAGATCAACCCGAACCCCCCAAAAAACATACCCGGAATCATTTCTTCATCCCCATCCCCCTCCCCCTCAACATCAATCTCACACTCTCCAACAACCAAATCCATATCATGACTCATCTCCTCCTCCCACCGCCTCCGATCCGCGAGATGCTCCATCATCATAATCTGCTCGCCGCGCGCCTCGAACCGGCCCGCGTCGCGATCATTCTTGACTCGGTTGAGAAACATCTTCCGCGACTTGGAGCGCACTAGCGCGCTGGATGTATTCCGGAGCGGATTGGCGATCTGGGACGCGTAGCGCGCTGCGAACCGCGGGGCGGGAGCAGCAGCGGGTGAGGGAGATGTGGGGGAGAGAGGTGTAGCTGTGGTTGATTTCTGGTGGAATAATGGCGGTGCGGAGGCGATGGCGCCGAAGATATTGGTGTTGGCGTGGCTTGCGCCTTGTTGTTGGGATGGGGTGGTGCTGAAGACGGGGAATGGCACGGGCGACGACTGGATGTGCTGTGCATGACTATTTTCGTCTGTCCCGAAGGGTTTCTGCATCTGGTCCGCTGCTGTTGCCGCGGACGCGCGTGATGGCGTGCCCATTGTCCATGGGGGCGTGGAGATGTTCGCGCTGCGCGGACCGAGAGGCGATGGTCGCACGGGCGTGTAGTGTCTGTGGCCGAGAGGTGTTGAGGGGGAAGAAGGGAGAGGGTGTGCGGCGAACATGATGGGTCGAGGAGATGATGCTGTTCCGTGGTTCGGACTCGTTCAGATCAGCCGGATTGGGACAGGAGTGGATGTTGACTATTGTAGAAACGGGGAGACGCGCAGAAGATAATATAAACGACTGATCTGCAATTCTAGATGTGGCAGTCTTGCCAGTCGCGTTAAGGCTGGGTGGAATGCTCGATCCGATACGTGCGCGACACGATGGACGTGTCATGGCACGTGATGGCGTGAACGCCAAGGCTTTTCGATTATTGGCAGATGCTAATTGGGCAGTAACCATCTACAAGGTTGCAACCGGCTAGTAAACAATCTAAAATACAGATGTAGCAGCAGCTGAAGTGCCGTGACGAGTAGTGGACAGACATGTATCGTGAGCTTTTGGATGGGTTAGCAATAGTCACCCCGGTAAGGTTAATGAGGGTAGAAAAAGGCCTAACTAACTGAACGCACGACCTTTATCGGCCGCAAGAAATGAATTTACTATACAATTATTGCGGACTGTGCCGCCTTCTCTTACCCTAGTACAGCTAGGGTCCTATTCAATTCCGCCCTCTATACGGTAACTCTCTGCTGGAACCATAGAAGTAGTCATCGTGTCAAACGCCGAGGAGGACACGAGCAGTCACGTTTACTAGCTGCTGATCATTGGCCTCTTGAAGTTTTCTCGCGGAACATAGCAGTTGTTCCTCCAGTATGTAGACGCTTTAGTGAAGTTGCCGACTAAGAAAGGGCTCTCAATAAAAGATGATTGTAATTCAAAATACCCAAGAGACCTTCTTAGACTTAGGTAGCGCTGTATCTGAAATCATTTGAAATCCTTCGACATCCTTCAGTAATGTTGGCCCCTATTAACGTCCTTCCCGTAATGTAGTCCCAATCCACAACGACCCATCGATGGATCATGACTGTAGGATTGTAATATTAACTCAGCAAATTTAACATGCAGGTGATAATGATAATAATTAAAAGTAGCACGCCTTGCTAGATTAATTTTCCTACTTTTCATAGTACACCAGCGTCTACTTGCATCGTGTTGTCCGGTCGATATCATGGGTTCCTGCGCCACTAGTCTAGGAAGTATGAGGGCAATTTTTCGCCTTCTCTCCCTTGCAGCGCTTCTTTCCGTCGACGCAGCCACTAAGCCTACGTATGAGCAAGCGCAGCTATCAGCCATCCTTTCGAACGCGACCACCAACATTATCCCCCCCCGATGATTGCGATTATTTCGATTATAACAAAGGAAAACGTGCTTTGGCGGTGGACACCTCCGAAAGAGATCTGAGGTACAGTTTGGTTATAACTGCGGAGACTAATTTTGGGGCTGCTGCTTGTCATATATCAAAAGCATCAAGTGATTCTATGACCGACAAAATGAATAAGGAAATTGATCAGAAACCCCAGAGAACCGTCCAGAAATTGATAAAAGACCAACGTGACTGGAAGGTGAACGGCGCCGAGTATGACCAAGTGCTTCAAGGTCGTATTTTTCCGAAACTAAGAGAAATTTTGAATCGGTGGCAGAGCACGAAGCGGATATGGGGCCAACGCAGATGATTGAGAACGAACAAAACGAATTGGTGCCCAACCCGGCTATTGAATTTGTGCGTGCTTCCCCACTTCTGGTTGAAACCAGCGAAATCAGTTGCATGTATGGCCGTTCGAGGCCATACCCATACCTCCCAGCCCTCGTCACAAGGGTGGCAATGGATTTAAAGCCGATCCTCGAACACTATGACCAAAGTTTCGGAGAGAAGATAATTGGCTTGTTGAGAACGAGCATCCAGGGCAAACCCACTGGGGTAGCAGCACAGCAACGGGATCTATCTACCGCGATTACTTCAACTGGCCAGTTGCTACCGCAAGTCTTCGTCTATGCCAGAGGATATGGGATGGGAAACAATCAGCATGCATACAATGATCCGGCTGTCCAGATTCGATTAGCAGGATTCAGCGAACGTTGGGAGATCCCACCGGGCTGTGAAGAAAGTGGCTCGCCGGGACAGATCTGGGTGGCTGAGAAGGATCCTCGCAAACTCAGTGGCGATGATTCTGTTGCAGCCGGACAGATTGTTCAAGTCTCCTCCAATTCCCTACACGACGCAGCAAAGGCAGTATCATTGACAGAATAGTGCTATTTGTACGTAACCATCGCTTAGAAGTATCAGTGAACATATTGTATGAGGACGATGAATGGCCGCGGAGGATATAAATTGGGAAGGAGTGGGATCGTGTTGAGAACACCGCAGACAAATAGGCTGCTTCGAGTACCCAGCAAATTCGAGTAAGATGCCAGTTCCCCCTTCAACAGAGTTTTACCCTAGCAGCCAAGATGTGATGCAGGTCAGTCCTTTCGTCGATCATTAGACGCATTGTATGTGCACGGACACTACTGAGTTGCAAGGGACTCTGCGTTGATTGATCTGCCTCGAATTACATACATAGATTTGATGAAGGATATTTTTCTGCACCTCAAGGGGGGATGTTATACACAGTAGTACACCCCCAAACACCCAGCGATGCGGAAAAAACTAAGGAAAGCAAGACGAAGAGGAAATAGTGTCGAGACAGATGACAACCACGAAAAACAACACAAGCACAAGCCCAAGCAGTTTAAGAAACAACGAGAAAAATCGAAATCCATGACGAATTCGGGTGGATGTTTTGCACAAGAGAAAAAGGAGTGTGAGAGGGTTGTGAGGAAAGACAAACACGCTCAGAAGGAATGGATGATGCTCAGTTGGTCGGATGATGCCGAATCGAATCTATAGTGTCGTAGGGAAAAGAGAGAGAGACGGTGAACAGAAAATGGAAAAAGGAGCTTGCTTCGCAACCCAAAAGATGAATCAAAACGCATTGGTGACCTGCCCCGTATCCTGCCCATAAGCGCCCGAAAGAAATTGCATGATGGTCGTACAAATTTTTTTTTACACTGCGAATGATGCTGAACTGCCACACTGGGGGAATAAGAACCAGACAGTGTGTTTGGGCAGACAGACTTAGAAATTCGATGCAGCGTTTACGGGGCCAGGGTTGTGATACTGGTCCAGCGTGCTCTTGAACGGGGTAGCATTCGAGGACGGGCTGGGGACCTTCTCGCGCGGACCCGAGCCAAGGGCAGTTCCGCCCATCAGATCATCATCCTCATCGCCGTTCTGCTCATTGCGCTTCTTCTGGATGCGCCAGATCACCAGAGCTAGGGCGCCGATCAAAATCGCACCGCCGACGCCCACCACGACACCAATCACGATCTTCTTCTGGGTGTCCGACAGGCCGCCGCCGCTGCTGCTGGAGCCGCTGCCCCCGCTGTTCAGGCTGGGGGAGGTCTCTGCAGCTGCTGGGGTGCTTGTCACCACGGTGGGCTGGGTGTGTCCGTTGATGGTCTCAGTGAGGGTCTTGACGACGGGCTTCTGGGTGGTGGTTTCGGATGACGTCGTGGACGTGTGCTCTTTGGAGGTGGTTGTGGTGGTAGTAGAGGAGGTAGTGGTGGGCTCGGATGAAGAGCTGGACGAGGAAGTGGTGATGGTGGTCGTGGTAGTGGTGCTGCTGCTGCTGCTGGTAGTGGTGGTGGTGGGTGTGGATGTTTCGGAGGGCTCGGAAGACGTGCTGGATGTGGTTGTGGTGGTCGCCGTGTTATCGGCTGGAGACGAGCTTGTATCCAGCAGATCCCCTAGATCATTTGCGGCGGCATCTTTGGTGTCTTTCGGGTCGGCAGCCGCTGCTGCGGTGAGCAGCAGGGTGTAGAGGACGAAGATCAGGCCGGCAAGACGCATGGTGGAAAGGGCTGCCTTTCTGACTCGCAGGAACGAAGGAAAAGAGGACGAAAGGAAGGAAGGGAGAGGGATGGAACGAACGAGTGTGTGATGGAAGAAGGGAGAGAAACAGAGAGAATAGAGGATGATGAGAGAGGGAGAAAAGGCCGCGACACGACTGTTTGGGGGCTAACCCGATTGGGGACGCTAGTGGCTCAGCCTGGCACTAGTTTCACTCGAGGCTTCAACGCCGGAGGAGTTAGTTCGGATTAGTCGGGACCGGGAAGGCCAGGAATCTTATTATTTTCATCCTCATTTACCTGTTCCTGTTTGTGCGCGATCCCGACCCATGGATGTCCGTTGGTGATCATGGCGGATTAGTCAGGCCTCATTGTGAAACATCGGATCAATCAGTTAGGCTGCAGAATACTCTATGGATGGATCCCACCCTGAGGTAGCACCCGTGCAACGTGGACGCGGCAGATAGTCATGCTGAAGAGGTCACTCCCTCGTCCGCCTGTTCTCCCCAGCCGTTGTGCCCGTCCTGGTCTAGATCCAGCCTCATCCAGGTACTCCACCCACGCCAGTCATGGACCAGGCCAGATCAGGCACTCTTTAGGGAGGATTTGGGAAGGACGGCTCGGGTCGGATGGCCGGTCCTAATAGCGCTGGATATTTCTTGTTTTGTTCCTTTAGATATTAGCCTCAAAAGGAGCTAGTCGCGGTAAATGAGTTCAGACAGGAAGCTTGTCCGGCATTGAGTAGTTTAGCAGTCTCAACATCAGGGGTCATTCAGACAGCCATTCGATCATAGCCATAATCCAGACAGGGGGATCCTTTGGTAGCTACGGTAGATAGGGCTTGTAGGGTAGTCTGCGCTTATACCCCTGAAAAGACATCATCGTGGCTCAACTGGCCCAACACAATTGAACTCTCCGTCCCTTGTGCTGTGAGGATATCCATGTGTACTCTACTGCAGATCCCGGCCGTACTGTCCACACAAACAGCGGGAAAAGCGGATGGACCAGTCCGAGCTTCCTCTCCGGATACCTCTAAGGGACGCAATCCACAGCGAAAGGCACCACTCTGTATCCGGGATCCACCTAGGCTGCAAGGAAAGCCAAAAATAAAAATGATCGATTGTCGAGAAGAATGGGTATCAAAAGGAACTACCGTGCTAAACCTAAACCAAAACGCCCAAGACCCAGATATCATAGTTTGTTCGGAGGGTTGCCCTTCATCTGATCCCGAATTTCTTCTTTGAAATATGCGAAAAACTGCTTCAGACCGGGACCTGCGTTCTGGTGAGCATCACTAATCCCCAAGGCACGAAGGTAGATCACCAACCATTCTTCTCCTGCCGCGTGCCTCCCATCTCTTCGGGAGGGATTCCATGTCGGACATGTTGAACTTTCTGGTGCACTCGCCCCACCATGCGATGGAACACCGGACTGCGAAGGAGCTGGCCGAAGGGTTAGGAGGTTGACGGGACTGGGGATTCCGATCACATACCCGCGTGGTGAGCCAGATCTGGGCGACGATCAGTGGCTGAACATATGGGCACCAAGATCAGCACTCACCTCAAGATTCCGTAGCAACAGAAAATGGAAGACCATGATGCCGGCGTGGTCACTACATGTGGTGGAAGAGAGAAACAAACCCGATGAATGAATGACGCTAAAGAGTCGAAGGCTGACTCAGCTCCACCCCGCCTCGACCCTCTTCTTTGGGACTTTTTTGGTTCTACTTTGGACTGATTCGAGATACAAGAACAGACGCAAAGCGGGATGCTTGCGTGGCCAGCCCAACAGTACTGACCGACTCGAATGATGGCGAGTGGCACCGAGCGAATCTCGCAGGTGGCTAGGCTTTCGACAACCCGCTTCACCAGCTTCTACGCCCTCCGACGATCTAGAACATGACCAAAGGCTGTTACACTTGCCGACGGCGTCGCATCATCTGCGATAATGGCCTGCCCACCTGTCGGAAGTGTCGCGATGCAGGGAAGGAATGTCTCGGCTATCAGAAGCCATTGGTCTGGGTGAAAGGTGGCGTGGCGAGTCGCGGCAAGATGATGGGGAGGAGCTTTGATGAAGTGAATAAATCGGCGCCTGGGACAAAAAAGCAAGCTCAAGCTCAAGCTTCCCCTGCTGAAACCCTCGCTGCAGTGGCCGGGACTGTTTTTTTCCCGCACGAGTCTTCGTCCGACGCTGATAGCTCTGCAAGCCATGTTAGTCCGGAGACTGATGCTTGGATTCACGAGACCGTGGAGAACGTTGCCGAAAACGAAGTGGCACGGTCTGTCCCAGAGGAGCCAGAAATGGGGCTGGTTCACGTTCCTCAAGGTTCACCTCCAGCCGAGTATATTCCCACGCCGTGGGGATTAGTAGATCCACTGCTCAAGGATCTAAGCCCAGCTTCAAGGTTTTACATTTTTCATTGTATGACACCTTCTCTTCTAAGCGGAACGTTTGACTAATGACACTCCAGTCAACCACCATGTCGTGGGCGACTTTTCGCTATACACTCAGGTCAAAAATCCCTACCGTGATCTCCTCGCCGTCGTGGGCAGCTCTGCCGTTCTCGGCCACGGTCTCTCCGCAATGGGGGCTCTACACTATTCCCTGCTCTCGGACTGGGACTCCGCCGTGATGCCATGGTCCCCCGATAATCAACTGGCGAACGGCCAACCGATGTCTCCCGAGGCGATTGAAAACGCCATCATGCCGGCGGCATCTCGCCGGCCGTCGTCAAAGGCATACGAGCATTTCCTGGAATACAAGCAGCGCGCCCTCAACCAGTTGGCTAAGGATCTATCTAATCCAATAATGCAGAAGGATGACAGGACTTTGGCTGCCATTGTCGTTCTTGCTCTCTTGGATCTGTACGAGTCAGGCAGTGGAGCGTGGAGCTACCACGTTGAGGGTGCCAAAAATCTCCTTAAAAGCCGACCCGACACTCAGCCAGGACAGAGAATCATTGAAGGATTGGACACTTTCGCTATTGACGGGTGCTTAATGTATGTTTTTCTTCTTTCTTTTTCTTCCACTGTTCATCATGATTGCAGCTACTAACATCGGTTCTAGCATGGAGATTATGGGATCTACACTAGCCCGTCCCGGCGCCCTCTCCAAGCCCTTCTACTCTTCGTCCATGGGCCCCGCCATCCTCAAACGCCTCGAAGAAACGTCCTGGGTCGGCTGTCCAGCCTACCTCCTCGAAGTGATCTTCTTCGTGCACGCCCTCTGGTACCCGGACTCCGAATCAAGCACCACAACAACCCCCCAACCCTCAGCGCTCCCATCCTTCCAACCGGGCCAACCTTTCACACTCGACTCCTTCTCGGCCCTCCTCCAAGGGATCCGCAACTTCGACCCCATCTCCTGGGCCGAGGAGATGCAAGCATTTTACTTCATCGAGGATCTCTCCGCCCGCGTCGCCCTCGCAACGGCCTACCAAGCCGCTGTCTACCTCTACACAAGCCGTGTCCTCTCCCGCACGAGACCGGGCTTCGACCCGCCCTGGACAGACGTCGGACTCCCCTCCGACCACGCCTCCGTCGCAACAGATCTCATCACCCAGATCTGTCTCGTCCCGCACTCAGACCCGCACTTCAAGTGCCTCATCTGGCCCACCTTCATCGCAGGCGCGGAATCCCGTCGCCCCTCACAGCGTGCCCTCATCCTCGAGAAACTGGGCGCCCTCTACGGCGCCGTGACGAGTGTCAACGTCCGCAACGCGGCTTGGGTACTGCGTCTGATGTGGCAGAACCATGATTTCAAGCACCGTCGGCGCCGCGAGGCTGACTCGGATCTTCCTTCGGATGCCGTGGACGAGCAGTTTCTGGATGGCTCTGACCTGCCAATTCTGAATGCTGACGGCGACGATAATGATGAATATGATCACTCCTTTGATTGGGTTGAAGAGTTGGATCAGTCGCGTCTGGACTGGCTGTTTATATGATTTTCTTTCTCTCGGGGAACAAGGACTAGGTTGTTTATGCACTTGGAGATGAAAAAAGACCCGTGTTGTCCTGTGTTATGACTAATGTTCTTTATTCTGTTCTTGTATATAATCGAATGCCAACTATATAATCTTATGGACAATCAGTGATATTCGTATTCGATAGATGATACCTAAGTTACTACTGACAACCGCATTTCAGGCTGTAAAGACGGGCTAGACTGCCTCATACTCAAAACACGCACTCTACAGATAGTAGAAAGATAGTAGCACATGACCAGGAGAGCCGGGTATATCATTTCTCAGGTGTGAAAGGAGAAGAAGAAGAAGCTATCTGCCGCTAATAAAGGAAAGGAAGACAGAGAAGACAGGGAGACAAAAAGTAAACAACGACGGAGAGAAAGAGGCGGAGAAAAAGTGTATAAGAAGAGAAGAGGACAAAGATGAGGAAAAGGAGGGGTCAAAGAAAGTCACAAGGAAAAAGGGCGTCAGCACACGACTGGACTTAGCGAAGAGAGGAAAAGGTGGACGGCCTGTCCCGGGTTGTCTGCAATTGGCAACCAACCGTATTGGAACAAGATAATGGACCGATCATAAGAGAGCAAGGAAGTGGACAGGCTGGGATGTCGACAAGATGCTTCGGATGAAAAACCAGGGATATATAACAGAGGTGATGACGAGACGAGACAAGAGCAGTAGAAGACGAGGGGGGAAATGCAGGGCAGAAGAAAAGAAAAAAAGGGCTCGAATAGACGCAATGACGCACGCTCCCTTCCTTCCCAATCTAAATGCAGGAAAAATCGGCCAAGTAAAAACAAAGTGACACGCTCATCACCGAAAATGCAAAGGGCAGGGCAAGGGCAACCAAAACAGTGCGATGGATGGATAACTATGAGCAGCGGGAAATGGGATAGCTGAGAGACAGCAGTGCTAGAACACAGCCGCAAGCCCGTTCTTGGAATGGCGCTTGCTGAACCTCTTCTTGCCCTTGGTCGATTCCGAGTCGGCGACTTGGTGTTTCACCAGATGGTTACGCAGTGGAGCGTGGGCTCCGCTCTCAGTCTGGGGATCTGAGTTGCGGTCGAGTGTGTTGGTATGACTTGAAAAGCCAGACGAGATATCCCGGAATGCGTCGTCGGCGGAGTAAGGGCCGGAACTTTGTTGCGTCATGGCCATTTCGCGTGCCCTATCCAGCGCATCAAGCCATTCTTGTGCGGAGACTGCGGTCGCGCCGATGTTGCTCGAGGACGGTTTGGGGTCTTCGAAGACATAATGCTTCTCTCTCTGTAATCCGATATCAGTATTATGTTGGTGGTTCGATTCTTGACGGAAGGGACTTACTGTATCCACGATCCAGGACGAAAAGCCCTTTGAGTCTGTGGTACTTCGATAATGAGTCCCCGGGGCAAGAAGAGAGATCTCCAGTTTCGACTTCTTCTCGTCTCCGCCAGATGCGGCCAGGATTATCCGTCCCGACGATGTGACCATCACCAATCGTTGCTTCTTCTTTGTTGCGCTTCCCGAAAAGAAACGTGAGAATTTCTTGGGCGCCTCGATCTCCCCGCTGCTGTTCTTTGATGTCGGACTATGGGATGCATGGGAAGATACCACCGTAAGGTTACCCAGTTTCAAAATCCGTTCGTTCGACCTGCTCAACACTGGTGACCATTCGATGTCCAGCTGGCTTGGCGGGGAAGCTCCGTTACTACTCGTGGGAGTGCACGAGAGCTTGCGTTGGTTGCATTGGACGGAGCGGTGGAGATGGCTGGAGGGAAGTTGTCGCCGCCCTCGGCGCCATTGAGCTTGATGGGCTCGCGTGCAGGCGGTACATAAGCCTTTAAACGAGGCGCTTTGCGCTTCCATAAGTCCGCACCCCATGTGATGTCGGCAAAGAATTCATGGTTCTTGATGTGCTCGATCGGCAGACGGCAAGCCGGATCCAACACGAGAAGACGCTCAACAAGGTCTCGGGCAACGGCGGGAAATCCGATGGGAAACTCATAGTCCAGCGCAACGATCTTTTGGAATGTTTGGTACTCATTGCCTGCCTTGAACGGCGGACGACCAGCCAAGAGCTGGTAGATGATGCAGCCAAAAGCCCAGAGGTCGCTTGCCTTGCACGCATTTTTGTCTGTCAACAGCTCCGGGCTGACATATTCAGCAGTCCCGACAAAGGAGCTGGCCCGTTCGTCATCCGGGATCTCCGTCGAGTCGATCAGTGGCATGTCCGTCGAATTCTCATCTGGTCGTCGTGTGTTCTTGAGAATCTTGGCTGTCCCAAAATCCGTAATCTTGACATACATCTGGCTGTCAAGCAGAACATTCTCCGGCTTCAAATCCCGATGGATCACTCCACGCTTGTGCATATAGTCTATCGTGTCCAGAATCTGGGCGCCGTAGAACTGGGTGCATTCTTCGTCAAAGGTACTCATCCGCTTGAGCACCCCGAGCAGCTCGCCTCCTTTGCAGAGATCCAGCACAAAATAGAGCGACCGCTCATCTTGGAACGTGTAATAAAGCCGCACGATTCCCGGGTGATCGGTGAGACGGTTGAGCGTATCTTTCTCGATATTGACGTACTTGACCTTCTTCTCCTTGATTATGTGCCGCTTGTCGAGGATCTTGATCGCATATTCCTTCAAGGTCTGTCGGTCCGTCGCGAAGACGACCGTGCTGTAAGATCCTTCGCCCAGGGTATTCCCAAAGGAAAAATCCCGCACCCCCTTCTTGATGAAGCGAGCGACGGTCTTGCCATTCGCATCGACCTCTTGTCTTACCGCGACCGCCGCACCCCGATCCGACCAGTCTTCGCTGCTGGATGGCGGGGCAGTCTCCGTGTAGGACCGAGGGATCTGGGACGCTCCTCCGCCGTGAGCCTGTGCTCGAGACGACTGACGAGACATCACCGCCGACGCATTCGGCGGAATCTGCGTTGTCCGGTACGACCGGTCACTGTGAGAGTTGTCGCGCACGGGAACTCCTGCTTGTAATGCCGTCGAGCCGCCACGGTCGACCCGCGACTGCGAGCCGGAAGTCGATGAGGCACCCGAATCGGTCCGCATACGGTAGGTGTTGTCACGGGGGAGGACGGAGGAGGATGACCCATTCGTGTAGAGAGATGAGAGGGGACGGGAGGCGGGCGTCGAATGGGATTGTGTCGAATAGGCCGTGTACGTTGTTGGGCCCTGCGCTGACTGGTGGATGTCAGGAAAGGGATGAGATCGGGGGTCTGTTGATGGCGGCGAGTCGATGGGTGCTGGAGGGAAGGCAGACGGGCGCGAGTCGTCTTTTGGGTTGAGATCTGGGCATTGTGGAGGTGTTGATAGCGAACCGCCCGGTGCTCCGGCTGGGTTTGGTCCCGTTGAACCAGTGGTTGCGTCCTCGGGGGATTGAATGGCCGGGTCGTCCGGATTGGCTATTCGCAGGCCTCCCAGGGACCGGGATAGGCTGAGATCCCCGTTCATGACGGGAAGGAGGAGGGAGGGGTGGACAGGGCAGGAGGGAGGAAATGGTGAGAGTTGATTCAGTGTGGGTTGTGATGATGGTGGTGGTGGAGGGGAAGTAGGCGAGACAGTAAGACCGGAGGGAAAGGGAAAGGCACGAGGAACGAGAGACAGGCTATGATGGACGAGGCATGGCGGGCAAGTGTGAGGAAAATTTCACGGTGTTGAGGGGGAGAAGAAAAAGGATCAACAGGAGAGGCTCCGGCTTTCGCTTCGGGTGAAGGGGCTGAGCGTGAGGAAGTACTTGGACTATAAAAGAATCGAGGGCCTACAAAGTGAACGATTTCTTTCTTCCTTGAACGAACACTCCCTCGCTCCTTCCACGGACTAGAGTGAATCATGGCCCGTCTACTTGGTCTCGTTACTACCCAGTCTACTATACTCCGTCGCCAGCCACCATGATCAGACGCCCCCCGACCGCCATCCTGCTGAGCCCCGATGAGCTCCAAGCAGACCTCCACCGGATCCATCTGACTTTCTACTTCACCCGCCTGCGCCTGGACGAATCCAGCCAAAGCGGCCAAGACGAGGATGGCCAACACGAAGAAGACAGCACGCTGATCGACCCATTTGATCCGTCCTCCATCGACTCGTGTGCATCTGCAGCGAGTACGATATCCGATGCGGAAACGGATACTCATGGAGACGTTGGACACACCGCCGATTGGATGGGACATTCAGTCAACATCGACATCAACAGAGTCCAGAAGACCGTAACCTGGAAAGATATTCGCGACGCTACTACTGCCTCAGCGTGTAAGCCGATCCCGAATAAGACTCCAATCAACACCAACACCAACCAGGCTCCCAGATCCATGGTTCGAGTGTCTCGATCGGTTGATTCGCTCCGTCGAAAGTTCACGTCCTCCACACCGTCCCTGCAGACCACACTGGGCGCTCACAATGGCAATCCCGCCGCGGCAACAGGTCCGTCTCTCGCCGATGCGTCACTCACCACTGTCTCTGGCGAGTTCTTCGTTATTGACACAGGACGTAGAACCAGAGACAACAACTCGCCCAAACCCAAATCCCGCCACAGACGGTCCGCAGGATGTGCTCCGACGTCAGAGACCCAGGCGCTGACCTCCGGGACCCCGCCGAGCCCGCCAGTCGAGCACAGTAGTGTCCCACTCCGGGCCCTAAGCTTGACTAGCGGCCACGCGGTCTGACGAAGCATGTCTTGGGCGATCGGGCGGGCGAGGCTGGGCAAGAGTTCCAGAGCCTTCTTTCTCCATCTCCGGATTGGGGGGGGGGGGGGGGGGGGGGACTAATGTGTCGAGCGTGTCAGGCGACTATGATTATTCTTGATTGAACAGAAGTAGAAAGAAGTGGCGGTGGCACTGCTACTGCTAATATTACCCGGGATGATAGATCAAGCTTATGATGCTACTTGTACATTTAAAGTATACCCCGGCTATCAGATTCCATGAATAGCCTCTGCAGTGCGCCTGTACTTTATCTACCGGTAGGACAGCACCCCACCGAGTCTCGACATCTATACATAGAACATTGAACCAACCCACATCTCCGCGAACTAACTATAGTTCTCCGGTGGGGATGAAAAGAGCAAACCAATCCGAGAGGGGCGGGCAAATAAATAATCTGGTTGCCTCCGGCAGCCGTGCAGGACTGACGCGTCGGATGCCCCAACTATGAGGTGGCAACGACTACTGCATCCCCCGTCCTATCAAGTGTGATGAGCACAGGATGGTGGTATCATACTGTGTCGGATAGATAAAGTGTTTCATCCTTCTCTCTCTTGAAACGAACGGGCAATTTCTAATATTCGATCCGATCTAATTGGATTCAAACTGGACGCATCACCCAGTCCTAAGGAAACACACACGCAACACACAACACAGAACACACATCCGCCCTCGGAACCGAGTCTAGAGAGGGAAAAAAAAGCAATCCACATGGTTGGCAAGTCTAAGAAGTGTAACTGACAAGAAAAAAAGAGGGCCCCAAGCAAACGAGCTCTAGTGAGAGCCGCCAGAAGAAAAGAGGGGGAGGAATGGGATATACGGTGGTCAAATTCAAGTCACAAAGATGAAACGCCAACAAAGATGTGAAAATTTCCCGGATTGTCGCTTCAAATATGCTCCCCCGTTCTTTTTGAAAGCGTGTATAATATTTTGGGTGTGTAGTGGACTGCTGTAGTCAGATTTCCATTTTCCACAGGATGTGACGAATGCATTCTTCTTTGCCGACCATGAAAGAATTACTGCTTCTTCTGGGCGAAGATCTGCGCACCATCGACCAGGCGGCGCTCGGTGTTCTGGCGACCGTTGACAAAGTCCGGGTAGTTGAGAGTGAGCTCGACGGCGCCGTTGACGATGTTGTCGACGGCCTCGACACCGAGCATGAACGAGTGGTCCTGGTTGCCGACCTCGTAGCGCCAGCTGCCGAAGCGGCCACGCGACCAGATGCCCTTCTCCTGCAGCTTGGGCAGGAGCTGGGTGAGGGCGCCCTCGCGCTCCAGGCTCGGGGTCGGGTAGCCGTGGTCGAAGCGGCGGTGGTAGGTGGAGACGATCTCGTCGCCAGGCTGCAGCATTTCGGTGTTGACGAGACCCTGGATCGACTCGGCCAGGAGGGTGGCGTGGTTGACGGGCTTCATCGACGACTCCGACACCTCCAACATGATCGACCAGTATGGGCCCTCCTGGGCCTCGGTGCTCTTGGGCTTGGAGCCGTCGGCGAGCTGGAGCGTGGGCAGCTTCTTGGACTTCTCGGGCTGGTTGTAGGGGGAGTAGTTGGAGAAGATGGTGGCGCGGTAGAAGGGGCAGTTGTCCTCGGGGAAGTAGAGCCAGCACTTGTCGCCGATGCGCTCGGGGCGCGAGCCACGGATGCCGACGCCGACGACGTGGGTCGAGGAGAAGTAGAGCTGCTTGGTGAGGGGCATCAGCTCGGTGTCGTTCATGGACTCGACCAGGAAGTCGACCGCCATGGTCGACACCAGCTTGCTGTAGCCGATGGTGGTGCCGTCGGCCATGGTGACGGTCTTGTTGTTGGCGTTGACCTTGGCCACCTTGCCCTTGTCGCCGAAGCGGGTCTTCTCCTTGGGGAGGGTGTTGGCCACGGCGATCCAGATGCCACCAGTACCGTCCCGGGCGGGGAAGCGGAAGGTCGCGTTCGGCCCCCAGTTACCGGCGGTCTTGTTGAGGATGACGTTGGTGGTCACAGCCTTGACGTTGGGGGCGGCGACACGCTCTCCGAGCCAGGCGCATTGCATCTGGATCACTGGTCAGTTTCGACTTGCCAGGGGGGGGGCCAAAGAGAATGGGTAAGACCTACCTTGGTGGTCGGCACGGCCCAGACCTTGAAGTTGTAGGGGCGCATGAACAGGTCGGCAATACCCGTACCCATCATGCGGACAATCCACTCGTCAAAGGTCTTGGGCTTGACGTTGGAGACCCGCGCCTCGAGGGCGGCGTCAATCATGCCATCAATGCAGCGGACCTGCTCGTCCTTGGGCAGCATGGAGATGTTGTTCTGGAAGGGGTAGGGAACCCATTGCTCCTGGCAGCGCACGTAGGAGATGCGCTGGTGCTCGTACCAGTCCTCATCCTTGGGCAGGGCCTCGTTGATGCAGTCGTCAAAGTACTTGTAGTGGGAGAAGATAACGTGGCCACCGACGTCGTAGAGGAAGCCTTCAGGGGTGACATCGGTCGAGGCAAGACCACCGGGGATTTCGTTCGAGTCGACAATCAACCATGAGGGGCCGTTCTGGGGAGGTGATGGTTAGTCTTTTGGTGATTGTGCCCCTCCATCCCACTTTTCTTTTTTTTTTTCTGGCGCCCCCCTATTTTGGGGGTCATCCTGTGCGACCACGTTTCATCCCACACTTACAATTTGATTCAACCGCTTGGCCGCACCCAAGCCCGTTGGGCCGGCGCCAATGACGAGAACGTCAACAGAACTGGGAATGGTCAGCTGTTTGTTGGCGGAGGGGAGTTGCGGGCAGAGGGCGAGCGTACATGTCGGGGTGGGTCATCCTGCCTTGAAGGATATCCTGGAAGCTGGGGACGCGTCGGAAGGTCTTGCGGATGTTGAGGTTCAGCATAGAAGAAGCACTGCAGATGCGCAGGGGAGATGGGAAGAGTAAGTCAGTCGGAGGGAAGAGGCGACGGAAACAGCAGACCGTGGGTTTCGGGACAGTGGGGGGGGACAACACCCGTTTCAGGTTTACGGTTATTTTTCAGTCTAGAACGCATGCATCCTCAGCCCCATCGGGGCACACGTATGCGTAATTAAACGGACCCTGCTTTGGGTCTGATGGGTTCGAATCTTTAATTGTCTGCTCCGTCCAGCCTACTCTATCGCCCGCTAGGAGCGCCACCGATGTCGTGGGCACGTTGTTCCTCCCCGACCCTGACCCCCCTGAGCAGATTCTGCCGGCGCCGGGATCGGCCCTCTGGCGGTCGCGCAGTCAGGTCCACCGACGGTTGACCATCGGGCCAGTCGTGGCCCCAACCTCCCGACCGACACTCAGGATCCGTCGTCAAACCACAAAAAGGGGTCCCGATGGCGTCAGGGTGAGGATCGCCGCATTCTCCACCCGGTAAGGGACCAGGGCTCTGAACGCGGGTCCTTGGTGGGCCTTGGCGGTGCCTGCTTGCGTAATGCTGGTCACATTATGGTGACCGCCATCGTGAAGCGGTGGTGATGGCAGTCCTTCATCCGCCGTGCGAATGGCAGGAGGAGGATGATCAGGATAGGGAGGACCATGGCATCCTCCGGTCATGGCCTCCCGGGGAGAAGGGTTCTGGCACAGTTCGCAGTATAGAAATCTGACCGTCGGTGGAGTTGGGGCGACCGCCCCTGCCAGTCAGGACGGGCCACTTGGATTGCTCGCTGTTTGCAGCTCTCACGTTATTTGCCGGAACCACCCAGTTCCTGCCACGCCCTGTTCCACCCGCTCTTAATCTCTCGAAATAACACCACTAAACTTGGTTCTCCCGCCACTAAGTAACCACCGACCGAAATTAGCCAAGGGAAAAAAAAAGAGACTCATTCTACCATCCCTTCCATCATCATTTCTTCATCTCCCAACGACACTCTTTTTTGGTCCAACTCGATCACCGCTCGTTCCACCCTCTTTTCCCGCCTAGCATTCCCTCCGTGGCTTCCTCCGCCTTCTCCCAAGGAAGCCTCTCCCGGCCACGCCCTTTCCAGTTTCAGCGCTTCTTCTCCGACCAGAAGCGCACATTCACCATGAGCGAAGGAGAAAAAGTCCGTACCTCCGGCGAGGTCGCCCGCGAGCCCACCCTGCCCACCGTCAACCCGGCGACAGAGAAGCCCGAGCCGGCCCAGGCCACCTTCCACCCCGCGGTCTACGTGACGTGAGTGATCCTCAAAAGACCCAAAGGGGAAAAATAAAGAAGAGCAGAGACTGACTCTCCTCCAGTGTCTGGATCACGCTGAGCTCCAGTGTTATCCTGTTCAACAAGTACCTGCTCGACACGCTGAACTTCCGTAAGTGGCCTCGACTCCTGATTCTCGAAAATACTCATGGCTAACTCTCGGATCGCACAGGTTTCCGTAGGTCGCCCTCATCTCGGTCTGCCCTGCCAATGCTCCATACTGACCCTCCCATGCAGCGATCATCCTCACAACATGGCACTTGGCCTTCGCCACGCTGATGACACAGATCCTCGCCCGCACTACCACGATTCTGGATGGCCGCAAGACGGTCAAGATGACCGGCCGGGTCTACCTCCGCGCTATCGTTCCGATCGGTATCTTCTTCAGCTTGAGTCTGATCTGCGGCAACATGACCTACCTGTACCTGAGTGTGGCCTTTATCCAGATGCTCAAGGTAGGTTCCGGGTGATGGTGGATGTTTCAGACGAGTCGCTCACGGATTTCTCTTTCCAGGCTACGACCCCCGTTGCCGTCCTGATCACCACGTGGGTCATGGGCATGGCCCCCGTGAATTACAAGACCCTCGGGAACGTCTCCATCATCGTCCTCGGAGTGGTCATCGCCTCGTTCGGTGAGATCAAGTTTGTCATGGTCGGTTTCCTGTTCCAGCTGGGCGGCATTGCCTTCGAGGCCACCCGCCTGGTGATGGTGCAGCGCCTGCTCAGCTCCGCGGACTTCAAGATGGACCCCATGGTCTCGCTGTACTACTTCGCACCCATTTGCGCCGTGATGAACGGCATCGTCGCCCTGTTCCTGGAAGTGCCCCACATCAGCATGGAGAACGTCTACACTGTCGGGGTCTCGACTCTGATCGTTAACGCCATGATCGCCTTCCTGCTCAACGTCTCGGTCGTTTTCCTGATCGGCAAGACCTCGTCGCTGGTGATGACCCTGTGCGGTGTCCTCAAGGATATCCTGCTGGTCGGTGCCTCCATGGCCATCTGGCAAACTCCCGTCACCGCGCTGCAGTTCTTCGGCTACTCCATTGCTCTGATCGGTCTGGTCTACTACAAGCTGGGCGGTGACAAGATCAAGGAGTACACCAACCAGGCGGGTCGCTCGTGGGCCGAATATGGCGCGAACCGCCCGGCCCAGCGCAAGTTTGTGGTTGTCGGCGCGGCCGTCCTCATCCTGTTCTTGTTTGTCGGCACCATGGCTCCGAGCTACGCCCCCGAGACCGTTGACCGTGTCAAGGGCGTGTTCCCCGGTAGCTCTGCTGCCGGCAGTGCGTAAATGCACTAGGCCCGTGACAATCCCCCTAGACCCAGGTTGGGTCTGCCGGGTACACGCCCCCTGTCAGTGGCTTCCCACAGCCGCCGACCGCCGGGCTTTGTCTCTCAGGTTCGGCCGGAGCTGATGAAAGGAGGGAGCCCAGTTTCCGGAGGCCGGGCCGCCCTCAGCGGACACTGGGCCGGGGTGGCTGAGAGAGGGCATTTCCGATTTGGTCGATTCCGAAGTTCCCATGGAGGAACTTCCGGTGTTCTTCCGTGCGACTATGTTCTTGTGATGTATACAGAGACATGAGAGAGGTGTTGCTGGCGGTGTACTTTTTTTCCTCTACCTATTACTTGATGACAAGATTTTTCTTTTGCACGAGCTTTGGTGTCGGATTGCTGTTTTTTTTGGATTATTGTTTTGTCTCCCGCACCATCCTCTTCGTGTCTCCATATTTCCTCCCAATACTAGACTCTTTTCTTCTTTCTCCTCGGGTTCGCAATATCTGAGTCAGCGGGGATCACTCTCCGATTGTCCAATCACACCCATCCGGGTCGTCCAGCCATTCACAGAACTCTGGCTGATGCTTGGATGCACCCTGCTCCACTCGTCTGGGCTGGTTCCAATACCGTAGCGCTCGATCTCTGCCAATCGGACAGTGCCCCGTCGGGCGGTGAGAAACTGCCGCTCTCCGCACATCCAGCCTCAGAGACCCGTGGGCCCCCCGGTGCTTGCAGCTCTTCCTCCCTCTCGCGCGCTCTCTCTTCTTTCTCCCTCCCACGCTACAGCGGCGGTCGTGTCTTCCCATCCTGGTCGCATATATTCTCTTTGACTTCCATCCTACTTCATTCGCCAGAAAATCATCAGAGTCTCTCCTCGCCACCCACCCAATCGAGTCCTCTATACTCCGAGCGTCTCGCGTGATCTATAGGTGGTTGTCGCTGGTTGTGTCCTACTCACCTAACCCCAACAGAACAGTCCCGGTTGTCGCGTTCCTTCCGTTTGGAGCTACTCCAGTGGTCGCAATGTGTCCCATGATCCTCAATCGCCTCGCCGACGGTCCCGCCATGGTCCTCTCCCCCCAGGAACACGCCTTCGTTCAGTTCCCCTCGCACTCCCTCTTCGACACCCCCGGCTACCCGGCCAGTCCCAGCTCGGTCTTTGCCAACAGTAGCTCTTCCTTCCAGCCAGACTCCAAGCTCGCGTCCACGGCTCCCGTTGCTCCCGCTGCTGCACCCAAACCGTCCCGAAAGAGATCACGCGATGAGGCGGCACTCGAAGAGGATTTCCGTCACGCAGCGGAACCTAAGCCTGTCCCCGAACCTGTGGAAGAACCGATCTATGGTGAGGGGATGGTACTTCTGAACCCGCGCACGGGCATCGCGCTCTCTGCCGAAAGCCAGACGGGCACCTGGTGCGAAGAACAGTCCGAAGCCCAGCAGGCCGCTGCATCACCGATCTCGTCGCGGTCCAATGCGCCCTTCGCAGACGCCGCCGATCTCAGCCGCAAGTCCCAGCGGCTCGATCCCTCGGCGCCTGGCCTGGACGACATCGCACTCGCCTCAATGCGCCAACGCCTCAACGGATCCAACGCGGACGACCAGCATCGCACTCTCCACACGGGAACAACACCGCCCTCTGAGCCCCTTGTCGACGAAGCAACCCGTCTGCTCGGCATCAGCTGGCAAAGCATCAATCCAGACGACGACATGGCGCCGGCCGTACGCGGCTGGATCAAGTACATCGACAACCAGTACGCGGCGCACCTGCGCGACTCACAGATGCTCATGAAATCCCGCGCCCTCAACGCCTATCTCGTGGCTGCCACACCCATCGGCGCCCCCGCACCTGCTTTCTACCTGTTCAGCGAAGACCTCGCGCACGCCCAGCTCGTCGCCTCGTCCTGGGATGCTTGTCTGCATAACCTGCGCTGCTCCCCGATCGCCTTCCAGGGCCCTGGTCCCCTGACTGCCGCAGACCGCGAAGACCTCCAAACCACCAACCCGCTATCCGTCCCCGCTGCCGTCGATCAAGGCGTGCCGCTCTTGCAGCAGGCTCTTTCGGCTCACTCGAATCCAGAGGGACCGAGCGGAGGCGTCGACATGGGGATGGAGATCGACTCATAACGAAGTTTTCCACTCGTCTCGCAATACCGTCAATACACCGTCGACACTCACCTATTCGATCGAACTCGACTTTACCGTCTGTTTTGGTCTTGCTTATATGATCTTTGTTTAGTTTCTTGTTCAGACGCGCTTCACTGACCCAGTTCGCGGTAACCAGGCCGTGTCCTTTTCCTTTTTCCTTTGGTTGTGAGTATGAGGATGGGTATGGATTGGAAATGGTGTTTTTGTGTGTCTTTCTCTTTTTGTGTCTTTCTCTTTTTGTGGCTGGCTGGCTGGCGCACCTTTGAAGGGCGTTCTTTGGCGTCAAAAGTCGGGTTTCTTTTTGGTCTTTTCTTTTTGTGTCTGTATTCATTTTTTTTTGATTTCGTATTTATTTATGAGTTGACGAGTTAAGTTACATTTGAATGCCAAGAAACAAATATCGATCAGTTAATCATTCTCTGCGTATGATCTAGAGCAGCTTCCTAGTGCAATAATGAGTCATTTAGGTTCAATATATAAAGTGAACAATAAACCAACGTATAGCAGCATCAACAACCATCAACTAACAATCAACTTCGCAGTGCGAAATCTACTATATACCCTGCTTTATCATTCTACCACCCATCCATCTTATGGCAAACAGATAGCACACTAGCTCAATCCATTCAACCCCATCATCTTCCCCCTAGAATACAACATGTATTCACTTCACTCCTTCGCATGATCCTCCCTCACCTCCATCGAAGCGACACCTCCATTATTCGCTGCATGCATACCCTCCTGCCGCAGATCCGTTCGTGTCCGGTCCGTGAAGAGGAAATCGATTTCTTCAAGGGTCAAATTTGCTGTTTCGGGGTAGAAGAAGTAGACGATCTAGATGATGCATTCTTAGCTTGTTTGGAGATGGAGGTGGGCATGGAAGCATTGGCGAGGAAGAAATGGAACCGGAAATGGAAATAGATAGGGTTGGATAGAGGTGGAGAGTATAGACAGAAACGAGTATCTAAATGAAGGCGACGAAGAAGAAGGAGGAGGAGGAGGAGGAGGAGGAGGAGGAGGAGAGACAAAGTAAAGACTCACCGGAACAAACACCAAATTCAGACACATGAAAATCAAGTATCCCTTCCAAGCCAAATTCTGAATCAACGTAGGGGTAATCATAACCACGAAGAAATTCCATAGCCAATTTGCCGAGATGCCGATTGCTTGTCTTTTCAGTACATGGTATTAGTTTTTGGTTCTATATCTATAACCCATATGGCAAAAGCAGATTCGACTCACCCCTTGGCACGAACATGCAGCGGCAAGATCTCCGGCCCATATACCCAGGGAATGCAATTCACCGAGGCGCCGAAGATGAGCATGAAGAGGAAGAAGAAGGCTACAGAGGCGGAGGCGGTTGGTTTTTCGACGGATGTTCCTATAATAAAGAACGTACAATCAGACTTGGCTTGTCTCTCTCTCTTTCTGTGCATGAATGGCATACCTTTGAAAGAGAGTAAGATGGATATCATCATCATGGAAATAGAGAGCCCTAAGGAGCCCCACATCATGGGCTTTCGGCGGCCGAATCGATCGGAGTAGAAGGTTGGATAGAATGAGCCTGGTTTTGGCTTGTTTTTAGAGGTTGATCATCGAGGAAAGAGAGGGAAAGGGGGGATGTACCGATTACAAACATGATTTGGATCACGCCTCCGAGGAGGAGACTCAGTTTGCGGCTTAGGCCGACGTTGTACTGGAGGACTGTGCTGTTGTTAGCTAGGAAGGAAGTCAAGTTGGCTTTGCTGCTGCTCTCGCTCACCTGAAGTGACATAGTACTATATTGCAAAATTAGACTTAGATATTTCTGGAAAGAAAGTATTATACTTACCACCACCAAGTTGATCCCCCCCATTTGATTCATAAATTGCATCCCATAGGCTAGAAGCACCCGCTTCCCCGTCTGCACCTCATCCCGCTTCAGAATCTGTGACCACTGGTATTCACCATGCAGTGTCTCAAGTTTAATCGCCTCAATGATCTCCTCGGACTCCGAGACAATCTTCGGGTCATCGGGTTGCAGGTCATACACATCACAGAGAACCTGTATCGCCTCGTCGGGACGATTATGTCGGTAGAGCCAGCGCGGACTTTCAGGAAGACTATTGAGAATGAAGACATCCCATTAGTATCAAACAATATATTGCGGAAATTAACGAGTAGACTCACCCAAATACCAGCCCAATAACCATAAACGCAAAAATCATCTGGCACGCGATCGGCAGCCGCCAGTTGATCGCGCCATCCACGTAGCTCATGCCATAGTCGAACCAGTACGCAATCACAATCCCCACACCGACGAAGAGCGGCTCGCTGCAAACATACTTGCCGCGCTTCTTGGCCTCGCACAGCTCGGACTGGTATACCGGCACGGTAGTGGTTTCGATGCCGGTGCCAATGCCCGTGACGAAGCGCGCGACGAGGAGCTGCGCGCGAGAGAAGGCCGTTGTTTGGAGAGTCGCACCGACCTGACAGAACCCGTAAGCATGGATGTGAGAGCAAGGTGTCGGTGCTGGGGCATACAATAATCCACACCATGGCGAACCACATAGACTTCCGCGGTCCCAGCCGGTCAGTGAGCAGGAAGGAGACGATTGTTCCACTGAAACAGCCTAGATTGTATATCGACACGATAATTCCCAGCACGCCCGCGCTGGGGTGACGCACGGTCTCGAGAAAGTCTTCGTTGCCGACAATCCCAGAGAACACGCCTTGATCGTAGCCTACGCGGGGTTAGACCAGACGTATCATTGAGCCAGGACAAAGGATTCACCGAAGAAGATAAACGCCAATTGGCATGTAAACATGATGGCCATGCGAAGCGGGAGGCCCCGGCCGTAGATGTTAAGCTTGACCATCTTGAACTTCAATCACCGATCAAGGATCACAGAACTGCATCATCATCGACAGAAACAGAGCGAGGGCGATGCACCCCCCCTTTGTATGACAATCAACCATCATCTCCTCTCAATCAAATCCTTGGCCTAGCGCAAGCTCGCCAAATCCGGCATCGAAGACCGCCGCCTTTAGGCCAGGAGTGTACATCCCCGCATGATTGACCCTCGGCCACGGGCTTGGTTCTGCGGGGATCCCGGGGAGCCCCCACGGGGGGGTAGGTTTAGCCCGGAGTGAAAGGGGGTTCGGGTTGTCGGTTTGGGACAAGAAGGCGCTAGAGGTTTCCTTTTTGGATTAGGTGCAAGTGATCTTCGCTCGAACCAAGGCTCGTTTGGATAGAGTAGAGAGGCCGGATGGGCTAAACATATTGCTGAAGATCCGATCTATGTACTCGCAAATGGATATCTCCAAAACAAACCATCAACACCTTGGTTCTAACCCCCCAAAATCCGTATAACAGCCTCATGCCTCGTCTTATCTTCAACCTGCCTCCACGCCGCTCGAGCCAGATCCAACGGCGTCCCCTGATACGCAACACGGCTCCGATCCGCTCCCCACTCAAGCAACAGCTCCACGATCTCCACCCGCCCATTCTCCGCTGCTATATGCAGCGGTGTCTGCGCAGAAGCAGGCACAGCATCTGGATCCGCGCCTTGCTCAAGCAAAAGTCTCACGACAGGCTCATGGCCCGCCCGCACAGCATAATGCAGAGGGCGGTCTTGCCTGCGCGGCATCACCTCAGCATTGGGATCAACCCCCTTCTGCAGAAGAAGTCGCACGATCAGCTCGCTGCCGCGCGTGGCTGCTACGCAGAGCGGATAGTGGCCCGCTCGATGGGGATCAACACCCATTTCGAGGAGATGCCATGTAATGGGCACGTGCTGGGACTGGACTGCGATGTCGAGAGCGTTAAAGCCCCAGTGCGTTAGGTAGGGGTTTGCGCCCGCCGACATCAGGAATAGCACAATGCGGTCGTGGCCGTATCGGATTGCATCGTGCAGGGGGAGCCGATAGCCTGCCGTGCGGCTTCCCAGCCGTGGATCCAGGTTCGGGTCGATGCCGTGCGAGATGAAGAGCTTGACTAGGTCTTCGGCATCAAAGCGTACGGCCTCAAGGAGGGCCTTGTGGAATGCTCGGATGGCTTCCTTGGGGGTGGGGACGTGTTGTTTGAAGATGAGTTGGGCGGTTCGGAAACTTGATTCGCGTATAGCCTGGTGTTCTGCGAGAATTGATTCACCTACAGCCCACTGTATTGCGTAGGCTTCGGTGTGCATGATGTTGTGGGCGTAGAGGTAGTCGTTTAACTGGGTGTAGAGGTGGCGGCTGGTCTGCACCAGTGCATTGATATCGCGCTCCGTCTCGAGATATGTGATGATCAAGTTGAGGAGCTCGTTTGGGAGTGCGATCAGCGACATGGCAACCACTGCTTGGGAGTACCGGCATTTCGACCGATTGCTGGGTTCTTTCTTGTTGTTGCTACTCGAGTTGAGGCGACGAAGTGGTGCATGGCATCACGTGGCTCAGCTCGGCCTGAAGGATTTCTTTTGTCTATTATTCGTACAAAGGAAAGCATACAAAATATAAAGCAATTTCCCCCGAAACTCCCGTGAGTTATTCCAGATGTTCCTCTAATCATAGTCTTCGTCATCGTCACTGCCCTGGTCATAGTAATCCCCATACTGGCCTGCGAATGCGGCATCAACCCCGTCATCGCCATCATCCTCGTCTTGATCCTCCTCTTCATCGTAGTCATCTGCATCCGGTTCTTCATTCTCCACTGGGCCGCTGGGGGCGGGTGCCGTGGGCGGCGGAGTGGGCTGAGCCGCTGCAATGCGTCCTGGGGCCGGTGTTCGGCCCGATTTCGAAGGGGTTGCCAACCGTGCACGTCGTGACATTGCTTCCGGTTCGATGCTGGCACTGCGGCGGCTTGCGATACTCTGGCTGCGGCTCTGACTCCGGCTCAGGGCCTCCGACTTGGCCTTTTCAGCCTCTTCCTTGCCTTCTTGGCCGTACAGGGACTCGAGGAGAGAGTAGTTGATCTTCTTGCTGTAACCCCGTCGCTCCAACATCCGCCGTGTCGCCTCGGCAGGCGTCGAGGCGCGAGAGCTGCGTCCATCCGTATTTTCGCCATCGCCTTCAAGATAGGTGACATCGCCCATTCGACCTCGGCGGCGCTTGCGGGGTTTGTGGGAGGTCGGACCGTGGGTAGCTTCGGCCAGTGCTCTCTTCAGCGCCTTGGCCTGCTGGGTGCGGAGATATTCCTTGTTCTCATGCACCCAAATGCGTTCTTTGATGTCGACTTCACCCGGTGACAGGAGGCAGTTAGCAACCTCGGGATCATCTTCAAACTCCGTAGCATCAATATCCACGCTGTCCGAGACGGGTTTCCGGGCCGGCTCAGCGGGTGCCATTACGCTCTCAATCATATTGGAGCCCTTGGTCAGATACTCATTCATCTCCACCTCCAATGCTTCTTCAGCTGCAACCTGCTCCGCAGAGGGAGGCGGAAGGGGCTCGCGTTTCTTGGATTTGCCCTTGGACTTTTCGCTTTCTTGCTCCGTATCTGCAATGACTTCGTCGACAGCCTTACTGACCGGGACCCGCCGGCTCTGGCCAGACTCTGTCAGGGCAGGGTCGATTGGGAGACTGGGGATGGCAAACCCGTCGGCGTCGACACGCGGTGGCTGCATGGGATCGGGAGTACCCCCGGGCCAGTCGCCTTCGATCTCCGCTGCGGTCTCTGCAGTCTTCCGCTTGATGCGACTCGGCCTTCGGCCTTCCTTGGAACGAGCGAAAGCGGGAGGGTCATGGGAGCTCTCCAGCTGGACGGAGCGGAACTGGTCAACTGTGAGTTCTCCACTGTCCGTGGAACTAAACTCATTCAGACGCTGGGAGATGGTGACCTCGGTCACTTTCACGACATAAACAACTTCACGGGTCGTACGGCGGAAATTATTCATGCGTGCGGCAAGAATCAATGCTGCACCACAGAGACCAGCGGGACGTCGGCCGGTCGACATCCAGTCACGGTTCATTCGCTGGACAATGCGGACTGCGTCACCAGCCACCTGCATCGTCGCTGCACCAAACTCCAATTGCTTCGCAAAACGATAGATCAAACTTTCAGCGTCGACTGGATTCATCTGAAAGACGTTACCTCCCAGCCGAAGCTCGTCGAGCAGGGCTTTGTAGGTTCGACCGAGTTTGAAGACATTGATCATCAGCACATCAGCGAAATCGATCAGCATGACCGTGTTCCCGTTCTGTCGCCGACAAGCAATGTACAGACACACCGAAGCCACCGTCTTTGTTCGGCGACCTTGAATGAAGTTCAAGCCAACCGCAAGCTTGAAGACTTGCCCTGCAGCCTTGGTTGCACTCTCGGGGATATTCAGGGCCCGTGAGAGCTGGTTGATGTAACGGTTTCCGTTTTGCTCAGTTATCTCCCGGCTTTCCATAGCACCTCCGCGCTGAAAACCCGGGCCATAGCTGCGAACGTGGGTCTGGTCTTCTCCAACGAACGTGCCTTGGACGACCGCTGCACCGGAGGCCGATTCGCCGAACGTGACTTCCGACACGATGTTGGCTTCGCTGATGACAGTACCACACCCAGAACACACCTTCTGTCCTTCATCTTCGACAATATGGGGGGCTGGACACCCGGGGTTGGGACAGTTCGAGGTCTTGGGGTGTGTCGTTGGCCGGGTCTGCTGAGGACGCCCAGCTGCCTGGGGGCGTTTGATAGGAATTGGATTTGAGGGAGGCTTCAGACTGGCCAGGCGCCCAACAGGAGCTCGAGGCCCGCTGCGTGAAGGCACCGACGGACGCGTGCCGGAGCTGGAAGCCGGCATGGCCGCGTCAGAGGGTAGTGGAAGTAGGGTGATCAGTCAAGCACTGGAAGAATGTGTGGTATTGCTGTTGAGCGGAGCTGCAATGTGACGGCGAGCGGGCTTTGATACGGGCGATAAGAGGGGTGGGTGAGAAAAAAGTGTTTGGGAGTGGTCGCTCTGACTCGGGTTGGCGTGAGAGAAAAGTCAAAGCACTGTCAGCGAGGTCTAGGTAGATCTCGCCTTGCACATTCTCGACAGTGCGGAGATCTCCCGTACCCGGATTGCAGACGACGGCGATCCGTAAACGACAGAAAACGAGACAGGAACAGGAACCGATAAGAGCTGGAGGAGGGACTGGTGCGGGCGCGGATGTTGCAGAATTTTGGAGGCTGGCGAGGAAGCGGTGGCCCAGCGGGAAGGTCAGGTGATGGCAGGCAGAACTGGCAGAGCAGCATGTTCGAAACGAGTTGCATTCATAATAGTCTCCAATGGATTTTATCATTCGGGTCCAGGGAGAAGAGAAGCATCAGCTCACGTTGGTCTAGAGTGACTTTCTGCCTCATTCTCGATCATTCTTGTCATTGTCCGTCAATTCCTAGCTGCCTTAGATTGTATGCCTGAGGCATTACTATGACGGAACCCAAAGCGGATGAGTGTGGTGCATCGGTTCTACACACGCGATATAGATGCATCTCTGCGTCTATCCAAGGCCAGGGAGAACTCGTGATACAGGTGGTTTACCTCCCATCATTCCTGGTACACGAGCTAGTTTAGTGCACATACTGGTCCAGTTCTCCGAGGAATGCGGCATTTCTGCGTGGTTTTGCTCCGATCACGCACAAATGTCGCATCGTCGCCGCTGACCTGGTTCGCCTCTTTTCTAGCCTTTTCTTCCCTCTTTCCATATAAGTCACCCCCCAGCGATCATCCTCCGGCGCAATTTTGGGATCTTTATGATGCGGCTCTGCTCTTGGTCGTAGTTGCTGTTTCCCACCTCTTTTCCTCTTGACGACCGACGATTGGGAATAAATAGCGACGCCAAACCCGTCAACAAGCTTCGTTGCATCCTCCATCTTTGCGCTTGACATACCTGAGCCCATGTCAGCGATGTCGTCTGCGCCACGAAGCCACCCCCAGACTCCGGATCTGAGGGCGGGCGACCTAGACCCTAATACATGCAGAAGTGTCTTCTGGGTGAGCAACGTGCACTGCTCCTCGTGCGTGTCCTACGTCACCGAGGTTCTGTCGGAAATCCCAGGAGTCAAAGACATCGATGTTTCGATTCTGACGCACGAGGTGCGCGTCGTCCACGGACTCACGACACGCCCCCCCGACCTCGCCGCCGCGCTGGTCCACGCGGCCTTTGAGGTACACCATGCGACGACCTACGACGACCGGGGGACGGCTATTGCGGACCTGGACACCGCAACCGTAAACCCTCGAGGCTCGGCGCTCTTCTCAACGCCTCGGACTTCGTACTCAAGCCTCTCTTCCAATATAAAAGAGAGACTTCAGTCTAGAGAGAAGCGACATATCGCCAATTGCGACGCCTGCAAAAAGGAAGAGACTGCAAGCTGCTCTGGGACAGAGACGGGGACCCTCGCAGAGAAATCCCCTGCTGCCTTCTGCGAATCGCCAAAGCCAGCCCAGAGCCCGAAGTCACGAGACTTGACGCCAGAGCCTTCGGTATATGAAGACCCGTTGTCGGCTGATACTTCTGAAACTCGGGTAGAGTTTGAGGTCCCATCATTACCTACCGATAAATCTCCAGCAGCATCTGTGGGCGAGTTCAGCGCGCGAATCAGCATTGGGGGGATGAGCTGTGCATCATGTGTCAACAGCATCACCGGCGAGCTCCAGGATCTAGAGTTCGTCAAGGAGATCGCCGTCAATCTCCTCACCAATAGCGCGACAGTGAGATACATCGGTCCTCGAGAGAACATTGACAAGGTCATTGAGCACATCGAAGACATCGGATTTGAAGCCTCACTCAGTGAAGCGAATCCAGTTCCAAAAGATGAACTCTCGAAGGGTTATGTCATTGAGATCGCCATAACTGGGATGACTTGTGGTTCTTGCGTTGGGACCATTTCTCGGGGCTTGGAAGAATTGCCCTATACCCGCGACGTCTCTGTGAATCTGCTCTCGCACAGCGCAAGGGTGGAGTTTGAAGGGCGGGAAAACGTCGATGAAATTGTGGAAAAGATTGAGGATATGGGCTACGATGCTGCAGTCAACAACATTTACCCACTGAAAGATATCAAGGAGTCTACTACTACCATCCAGGCCAGGACGATCTCCATTCGAGTCGATGGAATGTTCTGTCATCACTGTCCCGAAAAGATCCTGGCGTCCATTTCAGAATCGCTCCCGGACATCACGGTGGAGGAAACGTTGTGCGAGAATAACCCTATCCTCAAAGTTACCTATGTGCCACAGCCACCGTCACTCACAGTTCGCACAATCATCTCGACCATCGAGTGCGCAAATGACGCTTTCACCGCCAGCATCTATCACCCACCCAGCATCGAAGACCGTTCGCGCGCGATGCAGCATCACGAACGACGCCGATACCTTACTCGGTTGCTCTTTACGTTCGCCGTGGCGGTCCCGACATTCCTCATTGGAATCGTGTTCATGTCTTTGGTCTCGTCGCAAAACTCAACCCGAAAGTACTTGGAACAGCCTATGTGGTCCGGCAGTGTGAGCCGCACAGAATGGGCGCTCTTCATCATGGCGACACCCGTCATGTTCTATGGTACAGATGTATTCCACACACGCGCTATGAAAGAGATCTATGCTCTCTGGCGGCCGGGAAGCCGGGTGCCCATCCTGCGTCGGTTCTATCGTTTCGGCAGCATGAACCTTCTGGTCTCTGCGGGGTGCGCAGTGGCTTATTTCTCATCATTGGCCGTGCTCATTATGGACGCAGTCGAGGGCACGAGATTCAGTGCTCCTAGCGCGACGTACTTTGACTCGGTCGTCTTTTTGACCCTCTTCATCCTCGCTGGCCGGTTCTTGGAGGCATACAGCAAATCAAAAACCGGTGATGCAGTCACATCTCTGGGCAGCCTCCGCCCTTCAGAGGCACTCCTGGTTGAGAATGTTCCCGACTCCAACGCAGACAATAATGGAATACAGCGGATCAATGTGGACCTTCTCGAGATTGGGGATATCGTCAGCATTCCCCATGGCGCCTCTCCGCCAGCGGATGGAGTCATAACCGATACCGCACTCAGCCAGTTCGACGAAAGTTCCTTAACGGGAGAATCGAAACCCGTCAAGAAATCCATCGATGATAAGGTCTACACTGGCTCCGTGAACGTCGGTCAACCGGTTCGGATCCGAATCACCGAGCTCGGCGGGTCATCCATGCTTGACCAGATCATTGCAGTTGTGCGCGAGGGCCAAAGCAAGCGCGCACCCCTTGAGCGGATTGCAGACCTGCTCACCTCGCATTTTGTTCCCCTGATCACTCTGATCGCTATCGCAACTTTCGTCATCTGGCTTGCCCTCGGATACTCCGGTGTGCTTCCTGCGGACTACCTGGATGTAGAGCACGGCGGTTGGACATTCTGGAGCCTGGAGTTTGCCATTGCGGTTTTTGTGGTAGCATGTCCCTGCGGATTGGCACTTGCTGCCCCTACCGCGCTCTTTGTCGGGGGTGGCTTAGCAGCAAAGCATGGGATTCTGGTCAAGGGAGGCGGAGAAGCTTTCCAGGAAGCTTCGCGGCTTGATGCCATTGTCTTTGACAAAACTGGTACTCTTACTGAAGGAGGCAGTCTAAAGGTCTCGGAACATGAGGTTTTGACCAAAGATAATGCTCTCCTCGAAGTCGCATGGACTCTGGCGAGAAAGCTGGAAGAGAGCAGCAATCACCCGATTGCTCAGGCTATCTCGGATTTCTGCAGACCCGAGAAACCAATCTCTATCATATCCGCGGATATCCACGAGGTCTCCGGCCAGGGCATGAAGGGTGTTTTCACCGTAGCGGAAGATCAGTCTACCGCGCGATACGAAGCTGCAATCGGCAACGAGCGTCTTCTGCACAGCCTGATTTCTTCAGAAGAAACAGACACATACTTTATCTCAAACCTGCTGTCCAAATTTCAATCAGCTGGCAAGTCGACCGCTATCCTTTCTCTGCGCCGACTTGATTCTCCGCCATCCCCATTCATCTCCGCCATCATCTTCGCCACCTCCGATACCCTCCGCCCCGAAGCCGTTCAGATCATCTCCCAGCTGCACAAACGCCGCGTCGACGTCTTCATGTGCACAGGCGACAACCAGACCACAGCACATGCAGTCGCAGATATGCTGGGCATCTCCCGCTCCAACGTCATGGCCAACGTCCTCCCAGCCGAGAAGGCGACTTTCGTCCGCCAGATCCAGGAGGGATCACTGCGCTCTCCAAGCTCAACAATAACAGACGCCGGAAACAAGACCACGAAACAGAGTAGCACAGCCCGGCCCATCGTCGCCTTCGTCGGCGACGGCATAAATGACTCCCCGGCGCTAGCAGCCGCAGACGTTAGCATCGCGATGGCCTCGGGCTCCGACGTGGCCATCAACTCTGCAGGCTTCATCCTGTTAAACTCCGACCTCAGCACGATTCTCCAGCTCGTCCTGCTCAGCAGACGCGTCTTCAACCGTGTGCGCATGAACTTTGGCTGGGCCCTCGTGTACAATCTCTGTCTGGTCCCTGTTGCCGCTGGGGTCTTTTATCCGATTGTCAGTGGTCATCACCAGGTGACTGGGGTTGGAGGGCAGGCCGTTCGTGTTGGTGATCATTGGAGACTGAGTCCCGTGTGGGCGGCGCTCGCTATGGCGCTGAGTAGTATTTCGGTTGTGTTGAGCAGTTTGGCGTTGAGAATCGATGCGGAGGTTGTGAAGAAAATGTTCGGGAGGAATAAGTCATGATGTGGTATTGGTGATGGGCTTTTTTTCTGTATCATTATACCAGGTAGCGAATTTAATGTTTATGGGTGTAATAAATCCTGACTTTCCTCGAAGAACCAGCACACCACTAGGAAGTATAGGATCTAGACAGTAAGAAGAGAATCATCCAGCCTCCCCCCAAACCTCCGCGATCTTCTTACTCAACGCTCGCGCAACCTTCTTCCTCCCGACCAGCGTCTGCATCTGGCTCGACACCATCACCTCGCGGTCCTTTGGTTCCAGCGCCATATACGCCTCCACCAACTCCCGTGGTGTCTTCCACCGTTTCTGCATCTCGAGTGCCTTCTCGCCTGTTACACCACGCGTGCACATGAGCATCTTCAAGAAGATATCACGGAGAGACAGGACGTCGGATTTGGAGGTGAGAGCTGAGAATGTGGAGAATGTCACGCCGTAGGTGAGAGCAGGGTCTTGGGCGCGGAGTGTGTCGAGGATGGTGAGATAGGACTGTGTGGAGGAGATGCGGCGGCTGGGAATGAGGCTGATCGGTGTGGATGAAGCTGGACTACTGGTGGTGGTGGGATTGGCGTCTTCGGATGCTCCGTACATCTGCCGTAGAAGCAGCGTCATCCGGGCCAGATATCGAATCGAATCGTCGAGGTTGCGCGTCTTCTTCATGAAGTACCCATTCACTACCTGCGTCGAGGCAATCGCCGACGCAACCATCTCTTGATATTTCATGGCGCTCCCACTCCCCGCGTCGGGATGCGTGACTGTGAACTCCTCAACCAGATAAATAACATTCTTCATGCCAGAACGACGTAGCCGGAACTTCTGTTCGTGGAACCGGCCGTCTTTGATGGACCCGATCAAATCGTCCAGCCGCTTCCGCTCAATAATCCAGTCCAGCATCACCTCGTTGCCTTCCTCGCCGTGTCGAGCTAGGAACGACGGGTCGCGGCATTTGGCTACCCACATTGCGTCGCCTAGTTCCAGAGCGCGTACTTGGGGAGTGATTCCTTGCTTCATGAGTTCGTTGGCGATGTAGTCCCGATCTGTTGAGGTGCGCACTTCTCGGGTGTCGAGGACAAGTTGGATTGTGAAGCTCCCTGGTGGAAGGGTGATGGGGAGGATTGGGCCTTCGTCTTCTGCAGATTGGCCATGATGGGCACTCACGGGGTGCAGAATTGCCAAGTCGTCGTCGTCTTCTGGAGATACCGGATCGGCAGCGACACCGGCGCGTGATGTTTGTAATGCGGAAGTCTGGTCTGAGGCTTGATTGCCTGCGAAGGACGTCATATTCTGGACAGAACCCGGTAGTGTCTTTTGTATCCGTTTTGCGACCTCCCATCCATCCTCCGAAAGAGCATACTTGCGCAGCGGTCGTCCGTGCTCGTACACGAGGTCTTTCTGGACCAGTGTTTTCATGGAGTTCCATGCCGTATAGAATTTAGTCGGGTCCGTTGGCGCCGTGAAGGAGCTGTCACAGTAAGGCTGGGCCACCTCAATCAGCTGAGCCTTTGTCATACTCTGTGAGCTATCCTCGCCCAATGTGGCCAATCCCAGTAGAAGTGCATAGGGCCCAGATCGCAGTGCAGGCACGTATGGCTTTGTTTTCCGAGGCTTCTTGGTTGGTTGATCACCGGCCACACCGGTATCGGATGTTCTCTTATTCGCTGGCACAGAGATTAAGCCACAGGATATTAACTGTAATGTTTAATGGTGCGCACCTTGACCCGGAAGCTCGGGCATGGGAAGGCCACTTTCCTGGCAATAGGCCTTGAGCTTCTCTGTCAGCCTGTCACATAGTTTTGGACCCAGTCCGTTCAGTTGTTGCGCCTGGGACGGATGGTCAAAGGCCAGCGGACACGCCTTCATCGACTCATAGGCCTTTTTGTAACTGAGAATGCATCAGCTGCATGACGGGAAGATCGAACACTCGGGAATACGGACACTGTCACGCCTTTGCTGTTGCGCTCGCGGGCTTGGTCGAGCCATTCTTTGATCCACCCCAGTAGCAGGGGGTTCGCGCACTCCTCGCTCATTCTGTGTTGGCGATGCCGAGGCACCTCCGCCAGGAGTTGCAGGTGGTTAATGGGTTGACGCGACTCTTTCCCATTTGGGAACGCGACGAGTCACATGATCCGTTACGATATTACGATAAGATAAGATAAGGACTGATTGGACACTTATCGCTGTGAGGTAAATTCCTGCATTGGTCCAATGGGTAAGATGAAGTCTACAAGCATTTTTATTAGTTGTGATACATGTATTCACGATTATTGAAGGCTGTAATGATGTCTAGTAATGTGCGTTGATGGTGGTGCGAGACCGCTACTCACTCGTACAACAGGGAAACCGGCTGGCGATGACGTCGATACCCCTCCAGAATATACTTCTTTCATCGTCTACTTTCCATCAAGAACCCTTCTCCCTCATCATACAATGTTGGACAACGAGGAAACTGTGACATCTGTGGACACCACAGTCCATAAAAACAGTGAAGATACCGAGGAACCACCACAACCCCAAGGACCAACAACGAGTCACGTCCTGGCGCAAATTGAGCAAGACGAGAAAGGCCTGTCGCAGAAAGATGACACAACCGAGACCGCTGATATCGGATGGGGACGATCGGGAGACCAGATTGAGGAGTCGCTGGTGGCCGGCCTGTCAAACGACGATCTATTCATGCTCATCAGACGCTTCAACAAGGTGCGCCATTCCCCAGGTGTAGAGAGCACGACTAAGCACAATGCAGCAAGTCTATGCGGTCAAAGCAGTACCGGATGCTCCACTGCAACGATTGGACCTTACCCGAACGGCCGATGAGGACTTCTCGCCGGATAAACTGCGTGCCACGATTGAACGGTTCTACATCACGGTCGTGGTTGGCCTGACCAGTGCCATTAAACACGTTGCGCGTCTGCGATCGTGGAAAGAGCCGAGACGAACTGCCATATTTTTCGCAGTGGGTTTATCCAGTGCACATTATTGAAATGTACTGACGCTCTTACAGGTATACTTTATTGCATGGATATTGGACTTTCTCGCTCCCACATTCTTTGCTATTTTGATTGCCTTGGTTATATACCCGCCATGCCGGCCACTCTTATTTCCTCCAGCACCCATTGCTCTCGTTGATAAGAATACTGGCGGCGTTCAAAAGCCCAAAACAGGGGTACTGGGATCTCATGACAGCATCACCGGCGCCCCGGAGAAGTTCAAAGGCGAAGCGGCCGAGCAGGAGGCGAGCAACTTAGTCGCGAGCGTGGCCAGCGTTGCTGTTGGAAGTGCAGTTGGGAAACATGACCAAGGAGTTCCCGAAGATGCACCGCTAGAAGGAGCTGTCCCTGATGCTATGGAGATCGTATCCAACACGGCCGACGCGCAAAGCGCAGCGCACGGCAGGGTGCCGTTGGATTCTCATGACAAGACGAGACAGCCAGTGAGAGAGGCAGTTATGAATGCAGCTGATCTGTTAATGCAGATGGTCAGTGATCTCACTGATACCTATGAGAAATTTGGCAAGTAAGGCAACGCCAACCAAATTGTCTATCGCGATTGGTTCTAATGAAATCTGACAGTGCTTTGTCCGCTACTCCTCCATTTCCTCAAATGGATCCTCGCCTGCGTCTGGTCTCAGTACTGGCACCAGCCTGTCTGGCATCGGCCTTCATATCCAGTTACATTTTGATAAAGATGAGCGGACTCGTTATCGGCATTGCCTTCTTTGGAGATCCCCTCATCGGACGAAGCATCACTTATCTGAATCACAAGGTCCCGCACTGGCAAAAGTTCTTCGAATTACAGAAGTACGTCCCCCACACGACAAGCTGTCTTCTCTAACAATCAAAACCAGTTCGCTCCTCAAGGAAATCCCAACAAATGCCCAGCTGACGCTAACACTCCTTCGAGTCGGCGAAAGAAACGCTTCACCACTCCCACCACCCCCAACTTCCCGCGACAAACCTCCTTCACGGCCAGCTTCACTGCATCATGAGAAATTGGCCTTAGGCGCTACTACCGAAGAAATAAAGCAAGCAGCTTCTGGTGAAGCTCTCGATTCTCAGTCACCACAAGAGCCTCAATTACCCTTCGAAGTACCTCACAAAAGTACCTGGGCTGCCAATATCCTGGGCTTCTTCCGCGGCACTACAGCCACAGGCGTTGAAAGCAAACGAGCCATTGACCGCATGCGAGCACTAGCAGGCTCACGGCGCGCCAAGAACAAGGTCGGGGTTCTTCGTCGTAAAGGTCAAGTCATTATACCCGTTGGACCGGTTGAATTTGACGCACGGTACAAAGGCAGACACGGGACTGTGGTACTGGACTCATCTAGAGAGCCTATGCTGCTATATTTCACCACAGACCACCCACAGGGAACTGATCTGAGAATGGAAAGCCGCAAGAAAGGATCCGTGCTTTTCAGTCTTCCTGTCCCGGAAATCCGGGAGATGAAGAAGCTAGGCGGGATGGGCTGGAAGGGCAAACTGGTTGTCGGTTGGGCTATGGGGGGCAAAGAAGTTGTGGATGGCTTGCTTATCGTCGGGAAGGAGTCTGGTCAGTCGTACCAGTTGACTGCTATGGGGACTAGAAATCAGTTGTTTAACCGGCTGGTTGCGATTGATGGACAGGTGTGGGAGAGCTGTTGATTTTTATACCCTGGTGCGCGTGCTAAGATGATCACAGGTTTGGAAATGATTATGAGCCGGTTGCTTTTTCCTTCAGTCTTGGCAAAGGATTTATATTTCACCACGACGGCCTAAAACAAAGATCTACCGACAAAATAATAGAGCGATCTAAGAGCTGGACTGTTTCTCAAGATGAATTGTGGCAGCTACGTACCACTGCGTAGGTATAATCGTTCTGTCTTTATGCAGGATCATGAATGCTCCAATTCAGCCTTATAATCCCGTACAGCCTGCTCAAACGACTCATCCCGTTTAAATCCCAGCGCAATAGCCTGTGAATTGTCAAACTGCGTAGGCCACGACTTTAAAATTGCAACAAGCGCAGGGTCTTCCTTCTCCTTTAGTAGAGCCAGCTTATCCTTCCCACCAACCTTCTCCAGCGCATCCATCATCCCCTGTACCGTAACACAAATGCCTGGCACATTGATCTGGCGGATATGCGGCGGCACGCAGTCCGCGGACAGACCAAGAGTCAGAAGGAGATTGTGCACAAGGGTTTTGGGTGAGCAGAGCCAGGACTTGAACCCGCGGTTCTCAATAGGGATGACGCATTCCTTGCCGTCGAGAGGCTCGCGGATCATACCCGACAAGAAGGACGACGCCGCGGCGGTGGGCGCACCGGGGCGCACCGAGATAGTGGGAAAGCGCAGCGTGAAACCTGTGATATACTTCCGGCGCGTGTACTCGTTCACCAGCGTCTCGCACACGATCTTCTCGGCGCCGTACGACGATTCCGGTGTGGGCACCACGCTGTCCGTCACCACTTCGGGGAGCGGTTGTCCGTACACAGCTTGGCTGGATGAGTAGATCACCCGCACACCGGGGCAAGTGTGTCGTAGCGCTTCGAGGAGGTTGCGCGTGGCGTCGACGTTAACGCTCATGCCGAGGTCGAAATTGGCCTCGGAACCGGACGACATGATCCCATGGAAGGCATACACGGCATCGAGCGACGAGTCAACTCCCGCTGTCGCTCCATCCAGAAGGTCGGCTTTCACGGCGGTCGCATTCTGCGGGTAGCGCACGCCCTTGGGGACGGGTGGTTGGTGGATGTCGGTCAGAGTGACGCGATAGGCTGGGTCATCCAGTAGCTCTCGGGCTAGGAGTTGGCCGATGAAGCCCGCGGCGCCAGTAATGAGAATATGCATCATGCCGTGGGAGTATAATGGGCTGAGAATATTGATGAATGTGACGAGCTCTTATTCCTCCGCATTCGCATCAAGTCCGACGCGCGCTCCTCCGCACCGGACTTGGCCCGGGGGCGAGTGTGGACCATGTGGGTTCTGCAAGGAATGGTCGCTAGCTAAACACGGGAAAGTACACAGTGTAGTATATTGACGAGGTAATCGAGTGTCTTCAATTCAATCAAAAGGGAAAAGAAAGGATGGAAGGTAGAGAGGGTAGGTAGGCGTCTACCGGTAGGGTTCGGTGTCTGTCCCTGGTCGGACCACAGAAGCTATTTTCTTTGCCGTTCGCCCGACCTTCCCTCTCTTTCTCCCCTCTAGTCTCTCATTCGTGCTCCCAGGGCTGCGGCCATTCGCATTGACCCATTGCAGCCATCGAGAATTCCAGTGACACATAATTATCCTTACTCTTGATCCTTTGGCCCACTCGGGTTGCGCCGACATAGCCTGACGACCCCCATCCCACATGGCCGGAGAATCCCCGACGGATTCGCGCCTCATGGATGGCACTCCATTGAAGCGCTCTTCTTCTCTCGCCGGCTTCGAGTCTCCCCAGCCGGCGAATCACTCGGACCGGCCTCCGCCTCCCAAGATCTCCAAAGCGCGTGCCTGTAAGTCTCCCTCCCTTCCCTGCGGATGGTCGATCTCATGCTGATCTCGCCCGCACAGGCGCGGAGTGCAAGCGCCATAAGATCCGCTGCGAGTTTCGCCCTGGAGAGCTGAGCTGCAACAAGTGTCTCCGCAGTGGCATCAAATGCGTGGTCAACGACTTTTCGCAGAAATTTGTCGATGATGATGGGGCGTATGTGCGCGGTCGCTTGGACCCTCCTTACTGGCGTCGTGGAGCACGAACACTGACAATTAGCGTCATAGATGGAAATCCCAGGCCACGGCGACTATGCAGCAGCTGCAGGCGGCTGTTTCTCATCTCCTGCGACAAGGTGGTTCGCCCGACCTCTCAACCTTTGCCACCAGTGACGTTCCCGACACCTTGAGCCCCGCTACCTCGCATCATGCTCAACGGCCGTCCATTAACCGGTCACATACATACACCAGCCATCAGGAGGGCCCGGGGGTTGTGATGGACGTTACTCGGGAACATTCACAGGAACCTGACCTTCAAGGCCCGGACTTGGTTCCAGCACCTATGCGCAGTCTTTACGAGGTCACCAAGTTGCGCAATCTACGAAACAACCCCATCGAAGCGCCCAAGAAGACTTTATTGGAGGAGGACTTCATTTCGCGCGGTTTGGTTTCGATCCACGAGGCCGAGGAGCTATTCGCCTACTTCAGCCGGACGATGAATCAACTGCTCTGGGGCGGCATCATCCTCGTGCACCGTGATCTGACATCGGTCCGCCGCGCATCGACGCTTCTCTCAACCGCCGTTCTGACTGTGGCGGCCCTTCATATTCCCAACCGCACCGATACCTTGAACCGGTGCTACAGCGAGTATGTCTCTCTGGTGTCGAGTATGGCGCTCACGCGCGCCCACACCCTGGATGATGTCCGCGGTCTCTGCGTCGGAGCCTTCTGGCTGTCTGAGTTGAGCTGGAAGCTGTCTGGCCATGCCGTGCGCATTGCCACCGAAATGGGTCTGCATCAGAGCTACCAACGCCTGACCCGCGGGCACAACGATCAATATGAGCGCGCTCAGCTGTGGTATCTTCTCTATGTGTGTGACCACCATTTCAGCATTGCCTATGGGCGGCCGCCGGTGATCCATGAAGATGTGGCGATCCGCAACTATGAGAGGTTTCTCGAGTTTCCCATGGTCGTCCCCGGGGATATTCGGCTTCTGGCGCAAGTGGCTTTGTTTATGATCCTAACCGAGGCGTACCGGGCTTTCGGCAGCGATACCGAGCAAGCGATGAGCGAGGAAGACTTTGGACAATTGCGAATGTACAATGTCGCGGTAGATCAATGGCGACTGCTGTGGCAGCCTCGATCTGGTACGTTTGTTGATGCCCCGTCGATACTGAAAGCGTTCTAACTGTTTTGATTCCAGCCGACAGCCCCTATGTACGGACCTATCCGTCCAAGGGCGTAGTGTTGCACTACCATTTTGCCAAATTCCAGCTCAACTCGCTCTCCCTGCGCGCACTCTCTCCATCTACGACGCCCGTGTTCTCCATGGACCGCAAGGAATCCGCCAACATTGCCATCTCATCCGCGATGGCCTGTCTAAACATGGTCCTCGAAGAGCCTGACATCCGCGATGCGATCGTGGGAGTGCCTATCTTCACACACACCATGGTGACCTTCTCCGCCGTGTTTTTGTTGAAGGTGGCCATCAATTGGAACTCGGCGTACCTCAGCATCAACGCGCGCCAGGTGCGGCGGCTGGTGGAGCGGGTGATTGAGCTGATGAACTGCGTGTCGGCGGGCGAGCGCCATCTGACCCGGCACATTGCACGGGGGCTGAGCAAGATGATTGAGCGCTTTGACTCGTGGGAGGCTGCCTGGCAAGTGGGTGCGACAAACGGCGCGACAGGGAGTGAGGTTCCTGGGGGCGCCAATGCGATGGCGCAGGGGTTCCCTCCGCCAGATCTGATTTACGATATGGTCGGCACATATGGGTTTGGGCTGGACGAGAACCTGCTGGATCCGAGCATGGCGAATTTCGAATTTCTGGCCCAGTAGTATTGGTGACGATAGACATGCCACTTCGGTAGCGATCGGCTCTGAGATCATGGGGTGAGCCGCTCGCTAAGCAACCTGCTGGTAGGAACTCATTCTAAAACCCTACAGCAAAAAGATATTGTGGCTCGCATTGACTGTGATCTTGTCCGGCTTTAGCACAGACATTGGACCTCAGATTACCCAAGGCCTCAAGCCATTTACCTGCATGATTACTTCATGTGAGCATTGTATAGTAAAGACAGGAAAATTGATATCCTAGTACTATTCAGACCAACTTGACCTTGCGTCTTTCCCAACCCATTGTATCCATTTGGTCCCTAGAGTTGAGTGCAACTGTCAAAAAGCCTACTCTGGTAAAAGAGTCGCTTTCATCGGAACCTTTCAAAATAAGACATAAACAGGATCCCACACCACCAGTCTTCACGTCCAAGTCGCCAAACTTCAGGATAATACAGACATGATGCTCGACCTCTTGATTGAATTTGCTCGAGTCTGCCTCTTGGACCTCGTCTGGCCTGGGCCTGCAGCAGCTGCAATCAAACAGCAATGATTGATCCAGAACTGGTCGTACTTGAAACCCTTGTTCCTGTACCTTGAAACTATCTGTTAGGTTTTTGAATCCAATGCAGGCCGCCTCAAGGGCAATTTGCGACCCCTGCAAAACATTTCCATAGGGGTTGGAAGGGTCGGCAAGTATAATGTGGTGGGAAACAAGCTTTGGTTGGTACTTCTGAAGCCACATAAAATCAGAAGTAATATCGTCCTGGACATTATCTATGGCCACGGGGCCATTCACGCTGGCCCAACTCCAAGTTGGAGCCACATACTCGGGTGTTGGAGTCAAAAGAGAGAACATGCGGCCCCAAGCTAGCCCAGATATGATGTGTTTGCTCCAGATTCCGGCCAGGTAGTCTCCCATCGTGTTATCGCTCATAGCTAGTGCAATCTTTCCAACCACGAGGAGTTTGTCGGAAGGAGGCTCGAATTTGCCCCAAGAGAGCGCGTTCACGCTGTCCGTCCAGGTTTGTAACCGTGCAACTGATTTATCCTTCCCATCATCACTGCCTTGATTGATCTCGGCAAGGGACTGCTGGAGTGCATCCTCCACATAGCGCTGAAAAATGGTTTTATCATAGCCGTTGATCTTAGGGCCAGAGCCTTGGTTTCCAATACTTTTTGCTGCTTCGAATTGGCAGCCTGAAGCACATTCCCAGACCAGCTGCCGATTTGTGAAATGAACAATGCGTGGTGCAAGCATTCTCTCCACGACATTCCAACCAAACATAGCAAGTGGTGATTCTTCAACATTTGACACCCAATGTAGGGCACGTGGTCGGAAAAATCTGTCTTTGCCAGTCCCTAGCGCAGGAGAATAGAGGATCTTCCTGTCGTGAAATAATCCGTGATCGGCTTCTGGTCCAGCAGATGCTGTAAGCATCAACGCTGCCCGGGCGTAGATACTCAAGAAGCCGGATGAGTTCTCCGAAAATTCGCTCGCTGTCATACAGAGCTCTCTTGCCCAGAGATATCGATAGCCCAATCGGCGGGTGACATCGACGGCGTCAGCTATAGCTTTTGGGAAGACCGCGACGTCTAAAGTCACGGGCAGGCCACCTTTCAGTAGTTCCGCGGTGTCCGGAATCTTAGCGTCCCCGGAGTAATGATGGCTTAAGATGATATAGGACCCATTTCGTCCGTCAGAGGAAATGATGCGTGGAGCCACCGCAGGATCCGGGGAAATTTCAATGACCCTTTCAGGCAAAGAAATTGGCTTCGATTGAGAGCAAGTCGTGTGCTCTGCACATTCAGATATCCAAGATGAAATCTGACTCAAGCATCTTTCGTCCTGCGAATTGACTGGAATGTCACGAAGACAATCAAGCCCATCGACGGGCGGACCTAGAAGAGTCAGTATCGCTAGCATAGTTCAGTTACCTTCATGGAGACCGATGCATACCAGCATAATCACTTGCAACACACATGTCAAGGCATAAATCGTCCCAGGACATCGTCATACCAAAGGATCCCGCCTCTCTAGCGTCTAGGCGCTCGTTACAGAAAACCACAACTCGACCGACCAACTTTTCAAGTTGGTCCTTGTAGCGGCTTGAGGACTGCAACATCGAACAGAAAAATCTGCAGGCTTCGCAGCCGTTGTCCGCCTTTACGACGAGATCATTGTATTTACCCAAGGTAACACCAAATGGGCCCTTCAACTCCAGATCCCAAGTGTTACAGTCTTCGCAGAGAGGCATATCGAGCAATGGAAAAACAGGTCAGGACTTGAGAAAGTGGATTGGCTGTCCAATGAAAAAGGAATAGAAAATGTGAAGTTACCGGTACGACGGACGCTTTATATATTAGTGTCCCGTGGTAAGGGTGAACGTTGTTGCCTTCCTCTGAACAATATATGTGTTAAGCCGATATTTCTCTCGTGAGCCCATTTGTAGAGGCTTACTGAAGCCTGGAGCTTTGGACTCAATCCCATGTCGCCTCGCTAACGTGTGCGGGACGGTCGGACCCTCGCAGTGTCGCTGCGCCTCCCCATGACAGAAAAAGAACGGGGGGCATTTGAGAAGTCGGCCCAAGAAATTGGACCTCACACATTACAGCTGACGCGCTTATTCTTTTGCAACCCTAAAAATTTACAATTTATCTACAATTAGATCAAATCCCGGCGGGTAATTCAAGGTACGGGTTGGGAGGTTGTTAGTGTACTTGGTGCCTTAAAGCTCGCATATGGCCTCTCGCACATGACTTATGACTGCCAAAAAATTGCTATTGATGCGTTCACTTTTCCGTGGTCTCGGTCGCTTTCTGAAATAGTGGAAAGGTGGCTAGGACCGGGGTTGCCTGTTGTTGCACCGAGTACGGAAGGAACCGTTGCTGTAATGCGGCTAGTGGGCATGATTAGCGAGCGCCACTGGAGAATATTCAACGAGTAAGAAGAAACAATTCCGTCAACGGCTCACTCAGCCAAGAGACAGACCCCTGAAAGTGAGGACGCTGTAGCCGAGCTTTGAGCTATAACTGACTAGCGAGAGCGATGAAGACGGCTATGCCAATACGAACTTGGCTTTGAATAGTGACTTGGCAGTGCCGTAGAAACATAATTTGCCGATTGCACTCTCCTTTTGACTTGCAAGCCCTTCGTTTCCTTTTGCTACAATTTACCCATTTCAAAATTGGACGATGTTTTCTCGCGCTTTCCTGGTCCTCTGTGGTGCTAGCATTATTGCCGCCCAACAGCACATTGCTGACTCCCCTTTCTTAAACCAATGGCTTGTCGATTCCGGTTATGTATCCATTTCTACAGCTGGCAGTGTACGTGGCGATTGTGAGCATGCGAACGGAAGTACTTTATTGACCTTAACAATTTAGGATGCCACTCACACTACCTATGTTGTCAAATGCGATAACGGCGATGCCAATGTTTGCACGCTACCTAGTGCTGGTGCCACTGTTGTCACAGGCCCGTCATATGTTGGATGTTCATACACCGATCCGTCAGAGCCATTGTGAGAAAACCGCTTCTTAAGAGCATTCATAACCATGAAATACACAACTAATATGATCATAGGTTCTCCTCTGTTGGGTGTAAGTATATCGACTCCGGATCTTCAGCTGCCTGCACCGAGTACCAGTCGGGCCAAAGTGGGACCTATGTAGCCACTTTTTCGAACACAGCTACTCTTCCTGCCTCTGCGATCGCATTGGGCTTTAATACACCTGCTGCTACAAATACGGCTGGTGGTACCAAACACACTTCCGAAGCCAGTGCTGGAAACGCGGCTACTGCTACGACTGAGTCCGCAACTCCTACCGATTCGGGAGCAAGTGAGACCAAAACTGGTGGTGCGGCTGAGATAGCTGGGCTCGGGACTGCACGTTTTGCTGCCGGTGCAGCAGTTCTGGGGGGATTAGGACTGATAATCTAAAATTGCAATCTATTGTCCTAGCATAAACTAAGAGAAGATGGGGTCCTTAATGGGAAATACAAAGGGATTTCGAGGATTTCCTTTTGATTGTACTTGAATAGCGCTAGGGATCATCCTACAAATTAAGTTCAATTCTCTTTCGCACATTGTTCCCTCATTTAAGACGGTTTCCCACCCGAGGGCTATATCGGAGGTGCAATGGGCCACTGCATAAATAGGTAGTATATTGTCAAAGCATTGAACGTATTTTCGTAACGCCCATGAAATGCGCAAACCATCGCACGGTTTTCATGTTCAAGCACTCTTCAGATTCTACTCTATTAAATTTAACATTCAGATTCCTTACTGCATACAGCGATATTCGGAATTAGTTTACCCTCTATACTCTCACCAATTGTTTCCCGGACTCAACGCTAAGCCAATTCTGGTTACTCTCTACAACTTCTGCTCACCTGTAATCGTACATGGCAGACAGTCACAAATAAATCATTGTTATAATACTATAACGATTCATAGAACCACGTAGAGTCAATCCTCTATTCAAACAGACAACAGGCCAAACAAGGACTCTAAGTCCTAGTGATATTTGCTAGTGAAATAACACGAAGTCCCAAGCCATTAGTCCAACACGTATAGCGTATAATACCCACCCTCTCCCCACCCCCTCCCACCACCTCCGCACTACAAAATCATTTACTCTCTTATAGAGCAGCGTGATCGCCCCGAGAACTCAAAAACGTCTCCATAGGCAAGGAATCCTAAGCCAAGCTCATTTACCACCTTTGCACCAGACTTCACGCGACCGCATCCATCTACCTTATGGTTGATTTCCCTCTTCAAGACGCCGGGCCAAACCAAGTCAGGGCCTTTTTAGCTGATGTTCTCATTAAAAAACACGATGCCTCTTCCGAATTCGCCCAATCCACCGCCGACCTCTGGCGCCTAGGCCGTGGAAGCACCCTATATAAATCTTCTAAGAAGGATTTCGTTCAGATCTTTGGGAAGGAAGTTGGTCCGTTCCTTTACGAGAGCGTATATGAAATTAAATACGCTGAGTGGCGGGCCTCCACCTCGGGGATTATTAACTACTGGGCTTTCGTCATTGCCTGTGTTACTCCCGTCTTTTTCTTTACCAAGGCGTCTTACTCTCACTGGCACCCGCAAGCAGTGAAGGATGTAGCATGCGCATTTTTAGTGAGTGGGCTGACGCTGGTGATCTATACAATTCGGGAGTGTCAAGTGCGAGACTCGGACGCCATTCTCTTGGCAGGGGTTCTGGGCTTTGTTTTGACGATTTGTGGTATTATCATTGCCTGTAGTGAACCTAGCTGAAGCAATGATACAACATATCACGTTGTATGATAAGGCAACAAGTACAAGATCCATGATACGGATGACTTGAGAAAAAGCTATTTGGCAGTCTATATAGACAAACAACGAAAATGTCGCTTGGAATTCTTTCAACAAACCTCATTGTTCAGGGTACATCAATGATATCCTATTTTAACGCGGTTTTCTTCAGTCTGGATTATATTGAGCAAATCCCATCAATGTCGTTCGTTGCTGCTCTTATCCTCGGTCTTCTTTGTCTGCGCAATACAAGGCTTGCAAACTCTTGGGCTCCACTGTGCAGAGCTCATCATTAATTTATACCGAGAAGAAGATGTATGGAGAGGCCTTGATGCTCAATGCTGTTCTGGCGGAAGAACCAATGTTCTCGCCATCCAGCCATTCCTCTGCCCTGACGAGCTGGAAGTACGGCATGCTCCTAATATTCGAATCCCTTCTGCATTGACTGCTCGGTCAATCATTCCAACCTTCCTTCGATTCTGAAGAAAACAGGGTTTGGTTCACCATGAACCACGCTGGGTTGTTCGTTATGTCATCTGCGTCACTATCTTTGCATCAGCTCTTACGTTTCTTACGTTCATGAATCCGTAAGGCCCCCAGCCGGTAACGTACGGTCACATACAGACTATTGCAGACGTTATTGACGAATGGACCTTGAACGATAATGGAAGATTTTAGTAGGGAAAAGGCTGCAGAGAAGGAGTTCGGCACGCGGGGATGAGTTCTCTGAAGGAAGATCTAGGACTGATACAGATGAATGCTCGCTACGCTGGTGAAGGTAGTAGGAGCTTCCTTTGAAGTCGCAAGACGGAGCGCTTGAAAAACATCCGTACATTGAAAGTGATTCTCTTCGATCATTTAACTTACGAGGATAGAAATGTAACCCCTTATCCTAGTAATCCAACTCAATAATTTTCTTTTTCTTTTTCTAGAAAAGTTCCGAGACCTACCCACTTTGCAGGTTGGCCAATCCCGTAATCCCGTCAGCGGAAGGCCATTCCATGATAGCTACTTAACTTTTAGTTACTAATCACTAGCATAAGTTATCATTATCAAGCATTTGGCGTCTAGATCCAAGCCAAATACAACCCGCCCACTAACCCTAAATAAGTAAATAGTCGTTTGACACTCATACGGAGTATATTCATCCCGTGTCGACTCCATCACTCCAACGACTCCAAAGTGGCGATTTTCTGATGCAATTATCTCCGCAAAAAGTATTCTGAGGATGTAAAGTTCCTGTACCAGGTTGTGCAGAATACTCTTCGAGTTGTATACGTAATCCATACTATTATTGATGTAGTGCTATTGTAACGATAACCGCGTAGGGGTTGGGGGTCCGATTTTAGAAGCGAATATATCTGAACCATTAAATCTCAAGAATTTCCAGAACTCCATGATTGGGCTAAATGTGACCTGAATAGTACTAGGATACAATAAAATCTCATATTTAAGCTATTATTGTTCAATTATGCTGTAATTTGTCACATTACTATGGTGTTTTGGGTGTCTCACTTACATGTCTCACTCGTTTACCGATTACGTTAAGTATGGAAGATCCGTAAACCCGGATTTTAATACTCTATCTCGACCAAGACAAGGATAGGAAGGTTCTAAGAGACGAACTCCTGACTAGACCCAATTAGTTAGAGCTTTCTAGGATTACAAAGTGCCATTCGGTAACTTAGGGAAGTAACCGTACCGCGTATCTGGCGGCGGTTGTGGATATATTAAGTAGAAATGGGAAGGCGTCGTAAGTCCCATGGCTGTGCCCATTAACTTAGGTAAATGCTGTGCTGTGATATAGATCTTGTGATCACTTCATAGGGTTGCTCTAGTTGGTTAGTTATGAACTTACGTACCCCTGAAATCCAAAACCATGGGCCATATAACCCTTTCTGGCTAGAGGGTAAGTGGCAGCCACTTAAAGATCCACCATTTAATTGTTAAGCATTTAACGCCTAGACCCTTGGCAGATGCCACCCGCCCTACTAAGCCTAAATAGGTATATACAGTTTGTACACTCATATGGAGTACATCCAGTCGAAATCACTCCGTATCGTCTCCGTCGACCCCAACGACTCCAAAGCGGAGATCCTCGGATTCTCTAGTGCTTATTGCTATTTTGGATTAGGAAGAAATTTGGTTTCCGTGCACCACTCGATGGAGACATTCTTGCGGTAGAAACGAAGTTGACGACGCTCCATCATCTCGTAGCGATATCGGGTCTGAGTTTGTTATTACTTATAAGAGGGCCCTCATCCAACCCCTCTTCCAGCCAGGTTGTTATCCTCACTCAAGATTATCTTCCAGATTTACCCTATTGAGTGATCAAAATGAAAAGCTTCTTCCTTTTGCTAGGCCTTGCCGGCTATGCTGCTTCGCAGTGTCCCTTTGCAGGGCTTTCGAGCAGTAGCATTCCTTCGAGTCCGCCCTTGTACAGCGATGACACGGACGCTTACATGACCACCGACTCGGGTACTCCGATCCAAGACCAGCTGAGTCTGAAGGTCGGGACCCGGGGTCCAACTGCCTTGGAGGACTTCATGTTCCGTCAAAAGCTTCAGCACTTCGATCATGAGCGCGTAAGTTGATTAATGTTCATCACCAGACAACAGCAAGACTAACTATGATTAGATTCCCGAACGTGTTGTGCATGCCAGAGGAGTTGGAGCGTATGGAACCTTCACTTCCTACGGCAATTGGTCCAACATCACCGCAGCCGATTTCCTCAGCGCTGAGGGGAAGCAGACAGATACTTTTGTACGATTCTCCACGGTTCAAGGATTCAGAGGCAGTCCAGACACTGTTCGTGATATGCACGGATTTGCCACCAGGTTCTACACTGATGAAGGCAACTATGGTGAGCTAGCCCCTTCGTAGAGTTTCGATCCTCCCGATGTTAACAGGTTGAATGAAACAGATATCGTCGGAGTGACTGTACCCACCTTCTTCATCCAGGATGCCAGCCAGTTCCCTGATCTGGTTCATGCGATCAAGCCCGAGCCTCAGACCGAGATACCCCAGGGTGGCACCGCCCACACTACTGCCTATGACTTCTTCTCCTCCCAGCCTAGTGCTTTGCATACCGTACTGTGGTTCATGGCTGGCCATGGCATCCCGCGTTCTTTCCGCCATGTAAACGGATATGGTGTGCATGCTTACCGCTTTGTGACCAATGCTGGTGACTCTGTCTACGTCCGAATCCAGTGGAGAAGTCTACAGGGCGTTGCTAGTATGGTTTGGGAAGAAGCCCAGGCGGCTGCTGGTAAGAACTTCGACTATCATCGCCAGGATCTGTACAATGCTATCGATCAGGGCCACTTCCCCGAATACGAGCTTGGTGTCCAGATTGTCAAGGAATCTGACGCCCTGGCCTACGGCTTTGATATCCTGGACCCTACCAAGTTCCTCCCGGAAAATGTCGTCCCTGTGACCTGGCTTGGAAAGATGCAGCTCAACCGCAATGTCCTCAACTACTTCGCCGAGACAGAGCAAGTTGGCTTTCAGCCTGGCCATGTCGTTCGTGGCATCGACTTTTCCGAGGATCCTCTTCTCCAGGGTCGTATTTACTCCTACCTTGACACCCAGCTCCAGCGTCATGGATCCGCCAACTTTGAGCAACTTCCCATCAACCGCCCTCGATCAAGTGTTCACAACAACAACCGTGATGGTTTCATGCAGCCCACCATTTTCACAAACCAGTATGCGTACACACCAAATACCTTGAATGGTGGCTCTCCAATGCAGGCAAACCAGACCGTTGGGAATGGGTTTTTCACTTCCCCCGACCGTTTCTATAACGGTTACCTGGTTCGCGAGCAAAGCCCAACCTTTAACGACCACTACTCCCAGCCCCGTCTGTTCTGGAACTCCCTTGTCCCCGAGGAGCAGCAAATGATTGTCAATGCACTCCGTTTCGAAATTTCGCATGTCACTGAAGTGTCTGTGATCCAAAATATGGTGACCCAGCTGAACATGATTGACAATGACCTCGCCTGCCGCGTTGGTGCAGCCCTGCATATTCCATGCCCTGCTCCCAACCCTACTTACTACCATAACAACAAGACTGTCGGAGTCAGCGCGTTCCAACCACTGTACAACATTTCTGGCTTGCAGGTTGCTTTCCTTGCTTCCCAGGCCTACCCTGATTCTCTTACCCAGGGTATGAAGCTCGCTGAGAGCCTGGCTTCCGCACAGGTCGATGTCACCATCATCTCGGAGACCTTGCAGAACGCTAATGTAACCTACTCCGCTGCGGATGGGTCTCTCTACGACGCAGTCATTGTCGCAGATGGAGTTCAGAATCTGTTCTCCCCAAGCAGCTTCACCAAGCAGCCCGAAAGCACCCCCGACATGCCCACAACTGTGTCTCCTTACTCGAGTCTGTTCCCTGCTGGCCGTCCCCTCCAGATCCTGGTGGATGCATTCAAGTACGGGAAGACTGTGGGAGCTCTTGGATCCGGTGATTTGGCCTTGACAATGGCTGAAATCGCACCGAACGTCCCTGGCGTTTTCTTTGCGCAAACCATTAGCTCCTCTTTCATCTCGGACCTCCGAAGTGCATTGACGACCTTCAAATGGCTGAACCGTTTCACCCTGGACTCTAACTGAGCGTGCCAAATAGACGACCAAACGAGTATCTGATGTTGTTTCCAGTAGCAACTGATTTAGAGCGCATCTAATACTATTTGAAGGAGAGTGTTGTCTAGTATCCAGTTCATATTGAATTTGAAGCTACTCGTTAGAACTATATGTGAGCTGTAAATTTAGTGATAGATTGTCAATTTGAGAAGAATTTCTTCGACTTGTTCTTGGACGTATTATAGCAAAATTTGTTAATAACTATCAGTATAATGCAACTTAACCTGCTCGAAGTTTCCTTGTCTGGTCCCAAGTGATCATCTGTCCAATATTAATCTGCGGGTGCAGCAAATGATCTGAAACAATTGGATCGTTAGCAAAACGAGACCTACCACTCCTTCAATCCAATCGGCCCAGTACATGTCCAGTGTTTGTGACTCAACTTGTTATTCTCAACCTCATCCACGATCGCCACCGCCATGTCCTCAGCGGGGCCGACGGGGCCGACAGGGCCGATGGTCGACGTCACCAATTATTCACCACGGGGAAAACGGGATAACTTCTTTCACGACCGAGAGCGAAGTACTGCTTGTAAAATATTCGCTAGAACCTGAATAATCAATACTCTGTATCTTGATACTTTATATGTGTTCTGATATCTCACTTAAACCTCTCCGCCCAAAAACCTTTACTTCTTCCAAGGAATAGCAACACGATGCAAAAGGCCACGCGTGCAATTTTTACCGACCAGGACGGCAAGCCGTACATTGGCACAGTCGATGAAATCTACGAGCCGTTGCCAAATGAGGTTCTTGTTAAGGTTCAATTTTCTGGAATCAACCCGGCCGATGTGGTTCATGCGAGACTTGGATTCACCAACACTGTCGCGGGGTACGACTTTTCTGGTATCGTTGTCAAAGCAGGCAGTGCAAAAAAAGATAAATTCAAACCCGACGACCGCGTCCTTGGATTTGCTGCGCCTCTTCTAGATAAACCAAAGCAGTATGGCGTGCACCAGGAATTCCATTGCGCCCGACAGTTCATCTACCATGTTCCCCCTTCTATGCCCATGGAAGATGCGGCTTGCTTCATGGTTGTAACCCATACCGCAGCTGATGCTCTCTTCAATCAGCTCCAGCTTAGTTTTGAACATGAGACTGAGCCCCTTTTGGTATGGGGTGGCTCAAGTGCTGTTGGAAGTGCTATCATCCAATTTGCCAAAAAGGCAGGATGTTACCCTATTATCACCACTGCGTCCCCTAAGAATCATGCGAAGCTCCTAAGCATCGGTGCAACGGAGTGTTTTGATTATAATGACAATGAGGTTGTGGAGAAAATTCAATCTGCTCTCTCCAAGCATACCACTAAGCCGCTAAAAAGGGTGGTGGATTCGGTTGTGTCCAGCGAACAGCCTTCGTCAACCAGCCTCTGTGAGGCTTGCGTGAATGACTCAAGCGACGCTTTGTTTACTTCTGCAATTCCTGCTTCGAGCGATGCGAAGAACCAGTGGAGTCACATCTTTGCCTGCAGAAATGTCGATCTGGAATACAAACTTCCGAATGGACTTGTGGTCAAACATGCCGCCGATCAGGCCATGAAAGAAAAAATCGACCAAGCTGTCAGCTGGGCTATTTCAAACTATGGAAAAGGATACTGTATGCCAAATGTCGTGATTGTGAAGGGCGGAGAGGAAGGAATTCGTGCCATGCTTGACGTTTCAGCTGGCAAGGCCAGCATGCAAAAGTTTGTGATTGAGCATCCTATCTGAAGAAATCGGGATAAATATAGTGGTGGATCGTTGGTTATATATGCAACTACTTCTGTTCGGCCTTCTATTGCTGTGGGGTCCCGGTCTTACATTATGTGGAAAGCTAAATTTATTCTTAGTCTTGGAAATATTTTCTCTCTGCCTTTCTTAGTCTGCTATCTTACTATTGCTATTGCTAGCTTCAAAGATAGAAATGCGAGTCTTCCAATAGTTCGACAAGTGAGGTAGCTCTATGGCATCCGGCAAGCTTCTCTTAGACAACCTTTTGCCTAGTGGCCTGATTCCTCTATGGCCCGCTTACGTGATACCGTTCGGGTCGGGTTTGCTGCTGGCTGGACCACAGTGAGATGAAGTTCAGGCAACGTTGTGCGACCTGTAGTCGCTAGTTGCTTCAACAGGATCAGCGTCCCGAGCAAGCTGCTCGGGAACTCTGCTATATGTCCGTTAGCCCATCAGTCCGTTTGAGGGGTGGTTCAAACGGGAATCTGAAATCGAGAAAGGGGTGCAAAACGTGCAAGTAGGTGCTTATCCTGTAGGATTTATTAATTTCTTTTCACCGGAAGGGCAAGATACTAAACTTCAGATAGAATCAGAAGAGTCAAGTGCGGAGAAGAAAGGCCACACTGTACACGGTGTACTACCACGGGTCGCAAGTGTGAATACGAGGGCACAATCTCCATCATCGATAGCCCTCTTTCATTATCACCAAGCACTGTGTGGCGAGAACGCCGGTCTTTTGCCTACTATTTTCAGCAGGCCGCACCATCTGTTGGTGGTGGGCTAGATGTCACTTTCTGGCGCGCCATCGTCCCACAAGTTTGTCGGAGTGAACCTGCCGTGTGGGATGCTATCATTGCCATTGGTGCATTATTTGAAAGCCCTGGGCTATGTCTAGGCCTTGTCTCCATATGCCAGTGTCATTCTTGCACTCTCAGTCAAAATCACCGAGACGCGTTACGCTGGTACTCCCGCTCGGTGTCTGCCATCCGCCAGCAGATTGAGCGAGGTCGCCTAGATATGTTTGTTGGGCTGATCAGTTGTTTACTGTTTATCTGCATTGAGTCCATTCAAGGAGGTGTTGAGACTGCTTCACAGCTTTACAGCCAGGGGTTGCGTCTTATCCTCGCTTTCCGCGCCCAATTAGCTGCCAAGATCATGCCAGCAACCAATGCCTCTTTGTTAGAGGATGTCATCGTTCCGATCTTCCTTCGTCTAGGATCGATCGCTCTCCCTCTTTCGGCACTTCAGGTCGGTTCTTTGCTAGGAGAAAATAAGGATTTGCCGATGCAAGGATTTGACTCCCTCAAGTCTGCTCGAGATGGCATCGTTCTCATAGCCGCAGAGACCCAAGTCTTTCAAGGCGAATGCGTTGAGTATTTACGGGACCCTGACACCGCCAACAAATTCCAAAACTTGTCACGACAACAATCAGTCCTATCAACCAGACTCAAGAGATGGCGCTCTGCATTTATCAACCTAGTGGACTCCCTACGCAGAAGAGAAGTCTTGTCACCACAACAGACCGGCTTAGGAGCCCTGCTCTTCGCTTCTTACGAGGCGCTGTTTATAACACTCAGGATCTGCTTATCACCAAGAGAGACCGACACAGACGCATATATACCCAACTTCCAAAATATAGTGGAACAGTCCGAAATCGCTCTTGATGCTACAGCACGACCAGACGGAACACAGCCACCCTACACATTTGAACTCAGCGTTGGCCTCCCACTCTGGTTCACCTGTTCCAGATGCCGCGAACCTAAAATCAGGCGCACCGCACTCGCCTTATTACGCCGAGCTCCTCGGGTGCTGGGGTTCTACCAGACCCGATCCATGTTCACTTTCGGCGAGCAGGTCATGGCGTTAGAAGAAAGATACGGAATGGCAATGAATACAGGTCAAGCGAGAGCCAGTTTTGTTGTACTGAAATCAACCGACCCATCTAGTGAATATCAACCCGACAGTCAGGGCACGGGTAACGAGGTTTCAAAGTTCGATCTGAGCACTCTTGTCACCGCTCCGGATGATGAGACTATCGCAAGCATATATTCCATGCCTGCAGGCTTCGAGAACTCGATATCGACATCAATGCTCATCCCGGAAGAGGCACGGATGGGACCCATCAAAATTTTTCGACCACAAGATGGGCTTCCTGAAGGAACGACGGAGAAAGATATTGCGAAGTGGAAACCAACCCGTGATCAACTCTTTTTGCGATGTACGTGGAACGAACGTGATCCGACTACCGATACTTGGCGAAGAGTCCACGAATACATCCCCACTACTGTATAATCTTGTGAAGGTATGATCAGGAGTGTACACAATTCTACCGGGAGATTGAGAAGCGGCGAGAGGCGAGCATTAGAACAGAATAGTAGAAATTCGAGTCGTGCCATACTAAACTGGGTGTACATGAGAGACGACTCTTTCTTAGCAAAAACGTATACTTGAGATATCTCGAGAACCAGGGGCCTAACGGCTCTTAACGGCTCTGAGAAATTGTTTAAACTCTTAAGCGACGATGAGCAGCATCTCTAGGGGTCGCCATAGACGCGCTCTTACAGGGTTGAGCGTGATGCTTGGAATTGACGAGCAGCTTCGTAAACCTCGGGAAATCCATGTTTTCAAACAACATGAATAGCTAATAAGATGCGCCCCTCTTGCTCGGTCGAATTCTGCGAAGACCGATTACGAATTGGTGGCATGGTGGGTAGTTGAAATGGAGAGGTTGGCGCGTTGGAGCGCGACCTGCGACTTAGTAGTCGGCTCCTAGTGAAATCACATTAGACCTTAAAATGACCGATTTCGGCGCCCAATTTACCGTCACTGAGTGTTGTGGTGTAATAGCAGTAGTACGTATCGCTGTCAATAGTCAATAATAAACATGAACCATAGAAGCCCTAACTATGTAAGTCAAAGTGACCCAGTCACCACTCCGCACACGCACCCACTCCATGGCGTCACCAACCAGCCCCCTTGCCCCCCCCCCTTCGCTCGCTCAACCCTGGTCTACTCCTCTCGTTGCTTTGTTTTTCTTTTCTCCCTCCTCTCCCTTTCTATCTCCCCCTTATCCGACGTGACCCCCGAGTCCGCCATTTGTTCCACCTGTTATTGGCAATCCCCCATTAATCCGCTCATACCCCGGCTTCCCTGCCACCCGACTCCGCAAATAATCCCTCACTATCAACATGTCCACTCGCAAGAGAAAGCAAGACGCCGAGGAGGAGGAGGTCCTCCAGGCGCTGCCTAGCGACGAGAGCGAGGAGGAAGAAGAGTGTGTTTACCTATCCTTTTTCCAATTCCAATGCCCAATTCATTGCCCCGTTGCCTGCCTTCTGTCGGCTCTCGCGGTCCCGCCATCTCCCCCAGCCTCGCTTGCTCCAGTCAGCGCATTGCGGTCGCAATGGTCGCGCAGCGCAGGCTATATATCGGGATCCATCAAAGTCGCGATTCTAGAGAAGGTGGCTAATTCGATTCCTCTGTAGATATGAAGACTCAGAGCCTGATGTCAGCGATGAGGGCGATGACGACGAGGATGATGGCGGCGAGGAAGTTAGTGATGAAGATGAGGACGAAGAGGAGGAAGATGAAGATGAGGGTGGAGATGAAGGTGCGTATACTAACCACTACTTTTCTTCCTATCTTATTTCATTCCCTCACCTTTCCCCTTCGTTGGTTTTATCTGTCTGTACCTCTTCCTAATAATTGCACAACAGGCCCCCCAGCAGCAAAGAAACAAAAGACCGCTCCTGCATCTAAAGACGAGGAGGGCGTCGAGAAAGAGAACGGGACGAACGGCGCGGCGAAGGCCAGTGCTCCCGCCGAAGAAGCTGTGAAGGCCAAGGGCGGTGATGTTCCCAAGGAGTCTCCGCTGCCCGAGGTGGAGGAGGCTGAGGAGTAAATGGGTGAAAAAATTTGGATTTGGGATGACTCTTGTTCTTGCTCTGGTTAGGGCTTGCAGCTTGGAGTCGAGCGTTGGCTTGCTTTGTTCCTATCTCCCTTTTTTACTCTTGGCTCTGACACTGGAGCTCTTTATAACTATACCTGCCTCTATGACTTATATCAAGCCATTGCTGTGGTCTCTTTTTTTCAGTGTGCTTCGTATGTTTGTAAATCCTGTCTCATACAATAAATAGTCGAGGACGCCCGCCACTCGGATCCCAAATCAATATCAACACTGAATTGTCAATAGCGAATGTTCAGGATTGCCCGATGAGCGGCCAGTTAGCAAAAAAGGAGTTGTGGCAGAGGCCTAGCCATAGCAATAGCGCAAATTCTTCTCATTTTGGGAGACTGAGACTCTTGCACCTGCCGAAATCTAACTGGAGACTTAAGCAAACATAATAAGATGGGATAGAACACGGTAATGACAGTCATCCGGAAGAAGCCTATGGTATTGGTGCTGACTTAATTGCTTCTGTTTGCCGTTCGAAATGTGACTCGGAATATCAGTTATCATCCTTCGACTCTCAGTTGATTCATTCTATTGCAATTTTGTTCTACATTTGATAGAGATCTCGACGGTTGCTGCCCGTGCGGAAGATAGATGATCGCCGCCCCATTCAACGACCTGCAGATTGCACAACCCAATAATGATGGCCCCCCTGCAGCGAACGCATCCCACCAAGATTACACATATCAAATCGCGCGTATGTGGATTGGCTCATGGCATAATGATTTTCTCGCCGCCAAGAAATTAAACAATGCCTTATCAAGGTTGCTAGACATCGTGAGACTGCCAGAAGCTCGGTGGACGGCACAAATTTAAGACATGTAAATCCCAAGATGATATTATGGAGATTGCATGACACTCGTACTGGCGTTAATCAGGAGAATGAGAAGCTGGAAATCCATCACCAGCGCACTTCGATTACTGGGCAACCGAATTAGGGATTCAAGCATTACTTGAAAAATCGATACATGCCTATGTACAAAGCCTTGCTCTTCCCGCACAGTCTTCCAAGTCAACTTCGTCTTGATTGGGCTCAAGAAAGCCAGCCGGTTCCAAAATATTTCTGCTCAGTAGTTCGGTAGAATGTAGAGTAAATGCTAGTGTGGTGGACCAATCCAATGCAACTCGAATCCACTTGTCAACAGTTTTAGTGAGTCGCTCATCTGGTTGAGTCAAACCCTACTGTTCACTAAAAGCTATGTCAGGACGAGAAAACACTTGACACAATGAAATATATATATGTACCCTCTAAAATACCTACTGACATTTGGGAAACGGGGAATTACGTTATGAATGAATCAAACAGGGACAAAAACAACAAGCGTTATCAATGGATGGTCATGAACCTAGGTCGGCGTAACGCTCTCTCGCCCCAGACAGTACCACGCCGAGCAAAACAGACAGATACACCTCAAGCATCACTACCACTGCTGCGGAACATGGCACAGAGCTGGCAGTACTGGTGCGTGAGGTCCAAGACAGGCTGCGGCAGGTTGGTAGCCTGGACAATGCTTCGGACCTTGACGGCGCCTTCATCCTCGATGAGTTTGCGGACCATGAATAAGAGCTCAGGCGAGAACTAGAAATGGGTCAATACAATCCCAACACATTAGGGGAGAGGGAAAACATACTTCAGAGTACCATCGATACTGCCAGGCAATCAGACGAATCAAAGCACCCAACATCCCACGCGTATCGTTCTGCTGCTCGTATAGCTTCAGGAGTCCGCGCATCGCTTTCGGAGAGAACCGGATGGCAAGACAGTTCTGATAGGCTTCGATGCTCTCATCAAAGTGGTCCAGGCGCTCCGCAAGCTCGCCAAGGATCTCCCACTCCGTCGCCGACTTCTTGTACTCCATTGCCTGTTGCCGGAACTGGGCCATCTCCGTCCGCCAGATGGTGTAGATGCGAAGGTCTTCGTAGAGAACCATGAACAGATTGTCCAGCCAACGCTCACACAGGCGCTTGTTGCGGAACTGTGAGTATGTCTCGTGTGATGGGTCGCCAACCGGCTAGAAAGGAGATTAATATCCATATCAAACCAACAAGTCTACAAAAAACTTACATCTTCGTTGCCAGACTTGACGACTTCGGATGCGACCGTTTGCTCGGGTCGCTCGATCGACATGCCAGGCTGAGTTTCTTCTCCGTTGCCGCTGGGAGTGTCCTCAGCAGACTCCTGTGCGAATCCGGGACCAGACACAGAGCCGGTGTCTTCTTCATCTTCCTCAACGCCATCGCCATTCCTCTCCGCATCAAGTGTCTCGGCAGGTTTGGGCACATGCTTCCGCTCAACACGATACTCCTCTTCCATCACAAAAACCTCGCTGCGGACCTTGAGCAGTTGATCCCAACCAATTGCAGCAGCGATCTTTGTCAGCAGATTGTAGGCCTTGAGGAACGTGCCTTGATAGGCGGCTGCGTGCAACTTCCGGAGAGATGGGTGAACATAGTCGTGGGGGTCACCCTGCTTCGGCTGGCCTTCGTCAATTTCTTCCAGAATACTCTCCGCAAGGATCGGAAGCATGATGCGAGACGGCTGCGGCATACGCGGGGTATCCTTGTCCTGATACGTGAACATGGGGCAGGAATTGAGGGTCAAAAGCGCAAGGTCCCACTGCTCCAGACTGACGTAGACTTCTGCCAGACGAGCCCAGGTAGTGAACTCGCTCGGCGCAGCAGTGACAGCTCGCTTGGCGCATTCCAAGGCCATCTCGCCTTCTCCTTTGCTTTGGCAGAACGAAGCCTGCTCATCTAGCAAAGCGTAGTCCATCGGCACATCTTGCAGAGCGTCATACATCAACCGCACAGCTTGCACTTCCTCGTCTGCCATGATCTGAACCTTCGCCAGAAGTGACGACACTTCCACATCCCGAGTCCGGAGCTTCTCGAAGAGGTTAATCCCAGATGTGTAGCGACCAGTTGTGTGGATATATTTTAGGAGCCCCGAGGTCAAGTGGTTGCTCACGGTATTCGGGACTTGGGTTTCGGGATCGGAGCTCAATTGCCGCCCTGGGAGGTTGTCAACTAGGCTGGGGGCGAACAGAGCATGGCCAACTTACCCATAAAGAATAGTTTCTCTGCCGCCTCCAAGAATTTGTGTTCCATCTCCGTGTTTGTGACCGGATTGAACCGCCGCACTCCCACAATCTTCTTGATCGCATCCCCACTTCCATTATCGGCATACAAGTAGGCACGTAGGACAGCACAGAGGAATGTTTCCAGCCAGAGAGCCTCTGTCGCCACACGCTTGTCACCGCGCTCGTCAATGCAGTAGCTCTCCAAGCTTCCGGGGATCTTGACTTCGACCCGCATGTCGAGGTGTGAAAAGGCATTGTAGCAACTATGTAGATGTCAGCAAAGAAGGTTGTATTGTCTCCATCGTGCGTTGATCTAACCAGTAGATTCCTGAAACCACCTTGTGTGTTTTGTCGAGGGGCGAGAAGGTCAATGTGTTCACGTAGGCTGCCAAACTAGCCGAGGACGAAGCGTCGATTCCGGTGACATGGTGGTACACCCCGGTCTGTGAGGAGCGCAATCCCGTCAGCTCTCCATATAAAATCAGACAGAAAGAGAGAAGCATACCTGTCGGGTCCCACTGGTTTTGGGTTGCTTGACTAGATACACCAGGTCGGGGGGACCTAATTCTCGCAAGCTCTGTAAAGACTCTGTTCGCGCATCGACCGCAACAAAGAGATCCTCCTCCTCATGGATCCTGAATTCACAGTCAGCCACAGATCCTACCGGTTGTGCATTATGAGGGGCTGCCGATAGTGAACAGTGCCATGCGCACGAGTGCCCGGGAACACGTAGACGGGGTCAAAGAACATACTCGGGGACAGCGGGCGCAACCATGGCGCCTGCACAGTCGCAGAGAGGATGAGAAGCAAGGTGTCACGGCAAAGGACGAGAAAGGGAATTGGGCGACGTTAGGGGGAGATTGTGTCTTTGGAGGATGCGGAGGGGAATGCGGAAGCAGTTGCCAAACATTGAGACGGGATGGATTGATTGATGATCCCTCAGGCAATAAGGCATCAAATTCAGGCAGACACAACGCGTGATGCGTGTTGAAGTGAATCACGGGGTCCGTCGACGCTCTTTCAGCAACCACGGCTCCCTTTGATTCGCCATCTCCAGCAGTCGTCTGGTTCTCAGCGATGCTGGTGACTGTGCGCTTTCTCTCTGACAGTCTGTGAAAGACCTTTCAGTCCCAGGCGAGCTCGCATCATGGCGAGCTGGGTCGCCCTGAATGTGGAGCCTGACGAGGCCATTGAAGAGGAGGTTGACGACACCAAGGAGCTTCAGATCGAGGAGGCTCTGAAGCTTTACCAAAATGCATTGAAACTTCACGCGCAAGGTCCCGAGTTCTTCGCTCAGGCGAAGGAAGCATACGATCTGCTTCTCAACTCGGAGATTTTCAAATATCCAGAGTCCATATCGGATTTCAAAAGAGGCGCATCGCAAGATACTCAGTCTGTCGTGGCATTGGACGAAGGCGTTGCGGATGTTATCGCCGGGTTCAATGTCGGCGATGCTACATCTAGCCTGTTTCAGACGCTCTACCTGTCCTACAAGAATCACGGCCAATACGTTCTTGATTGCTTGCAGGAGTCGTTGCGGAACGCTCCCAAGACCTCGGAAAATGCGAAGGAGCTGGCAAGCAGAATTGCCGGATCTTCAAAAACTGCTATTGGATCCTTCGCGGAAGCTCTGGAGCGTGACGACACCGATCTCCACCTATGGAGACAAAGTGCACGACTCGGCAGCGCCCTTAACAGCTATCGCCTGGTTCGATACTGCCTGGAAAGCGTTCTCGCTGACGACGACAATCGCCTGGAGGTACGACCAGAACAACTAGGCTTGGAGGAGATCTTTGCAGAGGAGCGTCTGCGGGGCACGCTGCAGTCTCTTGGAGACAGGGCTTCTTCTTCTCAAGTGCCTGTCAAGCAGCCGAAGAAAGCGGTTTTGAAGTATTTGAAGCAACATGCAGATCCATATCCATACCTACCAGCTCTTCCCACCGATCTGCACGATTTGGATGCGTCCAAAGGTCCCCTTGCTTTCCACATGTCTCGACGGCAAATAACTCCTTCTGACTCGACCTGGATGTCAGTTGGACAAGCCCTTCTTCAGGCGCTTTCTGACGAGGAAGAAGCTCCGAGTTCTGCTGTCCCAAATACGTCCCTGGGAATCACTATACCACCAAGGGACTCGCAGACAGTATCAGAGATGGATGAGCAAGAAGACGCCACGAAAACTGACGAAGTCGACACCAAAGTTGAACTTGAAGACGTCGACATGCTGGAGACAACGGAAGCTGGCCCGGAACCAGAAGCATCTACTCACAAAGACACAGAGGAGGCATTGGAGCCAAGTGAAGAATATGCCTCCATTGACCAAAGCGCAGAGAAACAACTTATGGAATCACTTGGAGGTCAATCCAACCAGCCAGCTGAGACACAGGCCGAAGAGGAGGACGCAAACCCAGAGGAATCTGCTATGAATGGACGCAAACGATCGTCTGCATCTGCTGCGAACGAGGAGCATCCGGAGACAGGACGAATGAAGAGCCGGCGGACTCGGGCTCGAGAGTCCATTGTGGAAGGCGTCATGCAAACCGATGAGGTCGCTTTTGACCAGGAGAAATACTACGAAGATCGTCTGGAGGTGTTTGTTAATTCTGATGATTGGATGTTCGGCACTCTCAATTCTCTCTTCTCAAAGTTTGGTGTTGAAGCACTTGGTAGCATTGAGAAGCTGAGGGAGAAAGCATCAACAATCGACACCAGCGATCCGTCCGAAGACATTGAGGTCAGGCTGTTCCAAGACTTCCGGGGCATCATCAAAACTTGGAACGATGAGAAGTCCAAGTTGATTCACAGAAAGGATGATATTTCCTCTTTGAAGGACATTCACGGCACAAGCAAATCTGGCCTGGCCGTGTTCCTGGAGCATTCGAGGAAATCGTCTCGCAAACCCCCTCTTGAAATGGAATTACCTTCGGGGGACGAGCTATACGCGTTTTCGGATACAGTCAACGGTGACTGGTTGCACCCCCACGAGGTCTCGTACGAGTGGATCAAATGTCTGCTCATGCCTGAATTCGGCAAAGAAACCCCAGACTGGCCCGTTATGAAGTCCAGCTACGAGTCTTTTATTTGGCCTGATGGCTTGAAGGAGACTTTGATGCAACTTTTGCTCAAAGAAGATGAATTTATCTACCAAAAGTCTTGTGATCATGTCACCAGCCTCGAGCGTCGAATCTTCATCTCTGGACCTAAAACTCCCTTCCAGTACACAACGAGCGATTTCTCTTTGCTTGAGATGATTCAAAACGTTTACGAACTGCACCTGGATAAGTACGCCTCTGTCGACAATCCAAGCAGTGAGGCCAGCCAGGACATCAGGCTAGCACAACGAGACCGTCTATCAAGATGGGGCATGCTCGCTCGAACAGCGCTTAGCCACTTTGTCGATCATGGGCCGGCTGGTGAACATCGTCAGAATATCATTCTTCGACATCTGTGGACATCCATCTTCCACGTAAACCTTTCTGGCGAGGCCCAACGAGAACATGTCCTGCTTTGCCTTCAAGATCTGAAGCAAATGCTACAGTCCATGGGTGATCCGGTTATTAACCTCGTGAACAACTCGATAATGACCGAGCTATCTGCTGCCGCCATAGATCATGAGGTCTTGAAGCTCAAGTGCATGGATTTCTTTGCTAAGGTGTTCAACTCGGAGACGGAAGACCCAGTGTCTCTTATTGAAGCTATTGAACCCATTCTTGAGCCCTCATTTATTGAGTATGATGAAGGCCCAGCCCAGGATAATGACCCAAATCATCCATCTTCAAATCTCAACGAGATGGCTTCTTTTTTGGATCGTGGTGATGCGACACTGCGACTGTTTCTCTGGAGAAGATTGCAAGACTCATATCGAGCCATTGATTATTCTCCGAAGGTTGTCTCCTGCTATCTCCGCAGTATAGAATTGATCATGACAGAGATTGAAGCTGTGAAGCACAATGAAGAAGCCAGCGATCGGCGCCAGTTCGCTCTGCTTGGCTGGTTGAAGACACTCGATGGTATCATGACCAAAGCTATTCCACTCATTCTTCAAGAGGCAGAGAAGGCCTACGAATGTGTCGATATGGAGCACTTGCACGCTTCCATCTCCGCGGTGGCCCGTCTGGCAAGGCTTCTCCACAGCTTTGTGTTGTACGAGGATTCGGTGCGTGTCGGTCAGACTTCCGGACGTGATCTTCGAGGTGCTTTGGCAAAATCTCTCGAAAATTTCAAAGAAAGGATGCGCGAGACTTATGTTCGCTGCTGGATTCTGTTGTACACTCTTTTCATCGAGGCAATTTCTCAGAACAAGGAGCTGTTCGACGAGCCCTTCGAAGACCGCATCCATTTCCTTCGGTCGGTGCACAGTGCCCTTGGCGTCAGGTCCATGTGCAGATATTCGCAAAAGCGATTCCTCAAGCTCATCAAGTCCGAATTGCTCGACCACGAAACAAAAGGTGACTATGAATTTGATGTCTGTCAAGTGCTTTACGATCTCCATGGCATCAAATTCTCGCCTTTTGATGGAACGACTGATCATGGCTGTCCAGCCGAAAAACTGGATCGCCCTACGGCTATCATGATGATTGACTTTGTGATGTCCCAGACCAACAAAATGAACATGAAAGATCTATCAAAGTCAGAGCTGAAAACCACAATCGAAAAAATGCAGCAGGCGATTGGCCCAGCGAAGCCATCTTCGCAGACCCCTCAGTTGTCCTTCAACAGACGCATCATCAATACCTACCTCAAGACCCCGATTAATCCCGCGAATCTTCTCCGAGCCGTTCAAGGAGTAGCGGAGCTTTCGACGACAACCGTGCCTACGGAGAATGCAAAGATTGCGGTGAAAGGCTGGTATTTCCTTCTCGGCCATGCTACACTCACGAAATTCCGCTCCCAAAAGCGACTCACCCCTGGATCCACAACGGAGCTCGATGATGCTATCACCTTCTTCAGACAAGACCTAGATCATGGCTCGGGGAGATGGGAAACTTGGTACCGGCTTGCACAGGCATTCGACTCCAAGCTGGAAGAGGACATCACTTGGGCTGCGGACAAAATCAACAATAACCGTGCGGACCTGGCGACCACGCAACGCCATGCAATTCACTGTTACGCGATGGCGGTCTCGACTGCAGTCAGAACCGCCGAGCCCACGGCCGAAACACGAGCTCTCCTGTCTGACCTGTATGCCGATTTTGGTCTCCGCATGTACTCATCTTCCCGCGAGCCGCTCTCCATGGGCCCATTCAGTCTTGCGGAATTCGATCGTCACTACAGTAGCGAGGAGAGCCAGAATATGTACAAGCAGAAGCCATTCAAAGAAATGTCCCAGTATTCGGTGTGGTATTTCGCGAGCAACCTTCTCAAGAGAGCTATCGGGAACAGTTCGAAGCGATGGATGTGAGTACAACCGGCTAAAGATCACATGAATACAGGGAATACTGACCGCTTACAGTGCTCGTTACACACTTACCAAGTGTCTCTGGAAGATGTTTAACAGCGATGACTCTGCGAGGACCACATCCAAGCGGGTCGAGATGCAGGATGTGCTGGACGCTCTTCTGGACGCGATTACGGCACTACCGCAGCGGAAGGATTCGCGCTCTGATCCCATCTTTGAGCCTCACTTCAAGCTCGTGTCTATCGTGCACAAACTTGTGGTTCAAGGTAAATTAACGGTAAGTTTAGATGCCACTGCCCTGATGGATTCTGTTCACTAAGACATATACAGCCAGCTGAGGGTAGCAAGACTCTCCTTGCAACACCCTGGGCTCAAAAGATCGAGGCGCCTACCGACATCCAGACTTGGAAGGCGTATATTCTTGAAGTTATCCGGAAGTTTAAGAGTGCAGATAAGTCCAATTGGCACCATCGCATGAGCGCTAGAGTATGTGGTTTTGTTCATTATTCTTCCTTGTTACTCTGCTTACCACTTCTAGGCCGCCCATGTTATCTACGACGCCCAGAAAGACGCTACTGCTGCGGCCGCAGCCAAGCAAGAACTTTCACAAATATTCACCAAGACGTTGACTATTCAGGTCTGGCGACCGGAATTCGAACGACCAGGGAGACATTTCGTCTACACCACACGCTACGTATACTTTTTCGTTGGCCTTCTGGATCAACTCGACGACCGGGCAAGCCTGGACCAGCTACTTCGCCGCGTGAGAAAGAAGCAGGGCGATTTCATCAACCACACCAAGCTGTGGGAGGATAGCTGCTTACTATACGCTAAGATGATCCGTAGAGCAGCCAAAATCAGGGAGGGACACGAAGAAGGCGTGTTCAAGCCCATTGGCTGGGAGGAGTTCTCCACCAAGACAGCCCGTCTGGAAAGCCTCACTCGGCTTGTTCCAGAGAGCCAACCACTGCTGGAATTGATCCGGGACTCGCTGGAGCTGAAAAAGCTCAATAACAACCTCATGAAAGTCACCATGTTCGAGGACCTCATCGCAGACCTTTACTCTCGCCTCTATGAGATCAACATGCCGCTTCTCATTGAGCAAGAGAACGAAGACAACAAGGAAAAGATGAAGGTGGATCACCTCCTCATGGCAGGTGACGGTCCAACGGAAACATCTACGCCTTCGACCTCCGTCCCTGCGTCCGACGCCCCTGCTCCCCGTGGCCGTACTAAGGGTATCGCCCGCCGCGACATCCAGAAACGAGCAGACACCATCGTCAATCTAAAGTTGGCGCCCCGCACCGCGACGAGCAAGGTCACCGCTGCTGGTGACACTGAGCAGTCCGCTAACGCGACTGCTGCCTCTACTACTACTGCAACGGCTCCTACGTCGGCACCTCGTGATGCTTCCATGCAAACCCCCACATCAGGGGATCTGGATGGTGGAAAGAATGACGGTCCTAAGGACAGCGCAGATGATACGGAACTCAGCGAGGCAGACAAACAGTCCAAAACAGTAGAGCAGAAACTGGGCTCTACACCGAACCTGGGCAAGAGCGACCCCGTCTCTGAGGCTGACGACCCGGGCAGTGGGAACGAGGGTGCTGACGAGGGTGATGGAGATGGCAGTGAAGATGAAGCTGGGAACGACCATGACAATGACGACGGTGACGGTGACGACGACGGTGACCAGGTCGCAACAGAGGCTGAGACAGATGCTTTGGAAGGTGAAGAGGGTGACGGTGACGGTGACGGCGAGGGTGGAGAAGGCGACAATGAACCTGAAGACGAGGAGATGCAGGATACCGAAGCGGAACCGAAGCCGGGTGATGGTGGCAAAGAAGAGAAGGAAGAACGCAGCAATGCGGCTGAGCAGTCAAGTGAATTTGCCAAGTCGAATGCTCCGGTCAAAAGCGAAGATGCCGGTGAACCAGAACCGATGGATGTTACGCCGGCCGGGCAATGAGATGTTTTGTAGTCTGGGCCGTTTTTGCTCTTCTGGCGCGGGAATGGGCTGGGTTGGTTGGTTTCATGGAAGGATCCCATTCATGGACGTAGATTTTTGGAAACCAAGGCGTTTTCTTGAAGATGGGCTTGCTTGTACAATAAACAGGGCCAGTCATTTATCGCATGGAACTCTTGTATCATTATTATTTCCCAATGCAAGTATGAACTGAACGATCCCAGAACGCCTCGACCGGTGATATCTTAATTCTGGTATATCCAATCCGTCATTCATAAGAGCCCCGGGTGAAAAATTAACAAAATGAACGAAAACCTCAAGGCGTGATTGAACAAGTTTGAAGAATGAGAAGTAGAATCATAACAGTCATGAACAGAAAAGAACGATGCTCGCAGTTCTTAAAGCTGATCCTCGGGACCTAGGTCCCATTTCCTCGTCGCCATTTTCCGCGGCTTCTTCCCCGGAGATGTAGGCGCTGGCGAAGAAGGCGAGAACATGCCATCTGCAATCTTCAGGTGATCCAGCCGTTGGAGTGCATTCTCAATATCACTCTCACGACCAAGTAGATTAGACGAGCGAGTGGTCGGGCCGTTCTTAGCTCTGGGTTTTCTGGTTGGGGATTGGGAGTTCATCTCGCGCTCGAGAGCGGCGAGTCGGCGACGAAGCTGTTCATTTTCGTTCTCCAGTTCCTCAACCCTTTCGTTCGTCGATTGTTTAGGGTCTTCATAGACTGCAAGTCGTTCAGTTTACAGGTTCTGGGATATTTAGGGTAGGTCCGTCACTCACTTTGGAAACCACGAGAAAATAGTTCGATCTTCTTGTCCATGTGCTCATCTGCACGTCCAGCCTGGAACTTGTTAGCCATTACCCGAAGCACATCGACGGGAAAAAACTAACCTGCTCTTCCCAGGCATTCTGCCACCGTCTCCGTTCCTCTTCCATCCTCTCATCCATCTCAGCCCAACATTCTTCTCGGACTTCTTGCTCAATCATGAGACATCGTTCCTCGGCAGCGCCAAGCATAATTGCAGTTTCGTCACGCGCAATCTCTTCTTCAGCGAGCTTGATAGCAAGAGTTTGCATGTCGCTTGTCAGTCGAGAAATCTCGGCTGCGGCCCGGTCAAGCTCTTCGCCCAATGCGTAGTTGGGAGAGGTGCGTCCACTCTTGCTGGACGAGTGCGACATAATGGATTCTGTGACGGAAGGAATTCGTGGAACGGTGACTTCACGAGCTAACGCCGAGTAGCGAAGGATCTGGGATGTAGCGTTGAAGTCTCCGAGAGGATCTGCTGTGACGACCATGATTGCCCTTTGAGGATGATGGCCTCGAGACATTTGATTTGCCGATGGGAAGGAATTTGAGAATAGGAGCTCGGTGAGTTTGCACTGGCGGAAAGGAACGAGTGTCGTCTAGAGTGCATTAGTAAATGAGAGAACGTGGTACCAAAGAGGGCATACCTTGTTCCCATCCTGGAGATTACTCTGCATCTGCAGGCATTGGCCCAGGTACATCAAGCTCTCGTTGATCTTACCAGCCTCTGCGAGTGTTGCACCGGCTGTCTTTGCCGTTCTTGCTCGCTCAGATCCTAAATCTCATCAGCCATGACATCCCGTTGGATGTGAGTGTTACTTACCAGCTAAGTCCACGATGGTGAGAGTATTTCCTTCCCAGTTTACTTCACCATAACGTCTTCCCTGTGACCGCTTCTTGACTTCCAGGCAGAAGAAACCGTGGCTTCGAGAGCTGACACTGTTCGACCCCGTAGCGTTCACTCTGCGTTCAGTCAGACCAACATCTAGGATAGCCAAGGCCTCTTCATAAGTGCTGCACGCAATCTTGCGCAAGCCCGCCACAACTTTTCGATCCGGTGATCCTTCGGTAGGTTTGAATAGCAATGGCCGTCGTCCATCCTTTTGGTTGTTTCCGCGAGACATAGTATTTACAACAAGCGACGGAGACAAGAGATCAAATATCCGGTCATTGTAAACCTCGTACATGGACACCAGAACCACGTAGTCCGAGTCGTGATTCAGGTCCACGGCTAGATGGCTCACATCGGGAAGTCTGGGAAGGGCGCTTGGGCGTTCACGCGGGTTGCGACGAGGGAATACCAGGGCAGGGGACGGTTCCTTATAGACGTAAAGTCGTTTAGCGAAGAAAGAATCATACAAAATGGGACGCGTGTAGGGGAGGGGGTAGGAAATCCGGGGTTCATCCTGCCGGAACGCTCGATCGACCGGGGGCCATGGCCGGGTTGGTCCGCGCGATTGGGGGTTGAAAGAGGAGTGATGTCCGCCTTGGGGGGCTTCCAGGCTTTGAAAGACATGGTCCAGCTGTGGCGGGAAGGCTGCTCGCCGATCCTTGATGGGCAATAGGGTTCCGTACCGTCAGGGGAGTGTGAGCACGAGATGGGCTCATCGGTGTTTGTGCTCGTGAAGTGCGGCCACGATCGGTATTAATTTCGCCATAGACGGCTTCCAGGAATGTCTGCGCCGAGAATAGTCGCGCTTCGGACGCATCTGCTGCAGCAAGCGATGCGAGCATCATGGGGCTGATGCCGTCCGCCGTCTTTAAGGTTGGCTCGAGCGATCGGAAGATGACGTCCAGACCCATCTGAGTGATTCCTCGTTGGGTCTTAGACCCGAGAATCGTGTGACTCTGCATTCGCTCATTAGCTTCGTCGTCACTCGAAGGATTATCTATCAGACCTTTCCGCTGCCTGTCACGCCTAGGGTCGCGACCAGTCCATCACGACCCTCCTTCAGCACGCCCTTGACAAGAGACTCCATTCCCGTGTCATGAAAGATGTCCAACTGCGAGGCATTCTCTTCAAAGACTTTGGTGAAGCCAAACTTCTCGACTGCACGTTTGCGCGAGTCGCTGGGAGGCTGAAGAGTGATATGTGTGGGGACTGGCGGAACGATCTCCTCATCCTGGGCGACTTCGGGTTTCTCGACTGTCAGGAAGCGCTCCGGCTCATTCTGCTTGGGCGAGATGGGCGGGCGCAGACGGAGGTAGACTTGAAAGAGCGAGGTCTGGGGGTGTGTGGAAGGCATGATGGCACTTGCTCCGGGAGCGCGAGTGAGCGTGGACTGACGGAGCCAAACAGAAAGGACTGCTCGACGGCGCGGTAAGGCTGAAAGGGAAAGGTGGACAGCGTGCCCCGGTCCGATGAAGAGGGATACTCGGCCGGTGGTGATGGTGGATCAGAGCTGGCAGGATGAGAGAGATGGGGATGGGCTGGCAAGCACAGGTGTTGAAGTGTCGACAGATCTTACGTTGATATTTCCCGATATGGACCGGTGTTTGTTGTCAGGGCAACTAGATGTTCGAGATGACTAACCAACTCCAACTGGGACAAATCCCGCGATAAGGTTTTGGCGGACAAGGCTGAGCGATCGTTACCCTTCTAGAAACACTCAGCATGGCGTGGGCCAATACGAAACTTGCCCCTTTTGGTCGAGCTAGGGGCTTTTCCGCAGTGCAATCCACCACCTTTCTGTAGAACCTCTGCTCGTATTGGCCCCACGTTGTCTGCGCCTCGACCCCCAAACCATGTTTTACTCGCTGCCTTACAAGTGGCTCGGCTGGGGCCGCCCCTGGTTGGCCCGTCTTGCCCGCCAGGGCTACTGTAACGGGCTAAATCTCGTTTTCGCTTGTTCTTGGCTCTCAGCTTCCACGATGTCGGCTGCGGCTATATCTACCAGGCCCCGTCCCAGATGGTCTTTGAATGGTTTAAACAGTTTAATCAACGAACCTCCGAACGTCCAGATCCGCGTGTACTTGAACCAACTCATATCACCAACACTCTTTTCCCCTGATTTTCCTTGCTCCCTCCCCTATCTGCCACCATGCTGGAATCTAGGTCGTCATACCGTGAGTGCGACACCAGCATTTCCAGACTAAATGTCTAACCCGACGCAGAGCCAGGCAGTCTGTGGTTCTATGCTCCGAACAAAGGTGCTCCGATCGCCTTTGCGATCATGTTCGCCACGTCGGGACTCTTCCATCTCTTCCAATGCTAGTATGTCGGCCGCGCAGCCCTAGCAAAGTCTTCTACAGACTAACAGTTGGCCGCAGCAAATATAAATCCTGGAAGGTGACATCTCTTCTTCCATGGTCGGCGCTCCTCTTCACGGCAGGTTTTGTCCTACGCAGCATCGCTGCATTCGGACAATGGGGGAATCTGAATATCTATATTGCGAGTACTGTTCTTCTACTGGCTGGACCGTAAGATTAGACCCCCTCCAACCTCTCTATACTCCTTACTAACAAATACGACCAGACCTGTCTACGAAGGAGCCAACTACTTCATCCTTGGTCGCATCCTGTACTACATCCCGTACCACTCGCCCATTCACCCAGGCCGGGTATATACGACCTTTATCGCGCTAGGAGTCGTGATCGAGGTCCTTACAGCAAACGGCGCTTCGCGCCTAGCTAACAGCGATAATCCTGGCTCCGAGGCAATCGGGAAAGGACTGCTCAAGGCCGCGCTAATCCTGCAGATTGTCCTGATGGCAGCATTCGTCGCGCTAGCAGGCAAATTCCACTCCAATTGCTCCCGTGCCGGTGTGCTGAACCACAAAGTCAAGCGCGCTCTGATAGTCTTGTATTGCAGCTGCACGCTCATCACTATCCGTACCATCTACCGGACGGTCGAGTACTTCACCGAGGCTAGTCTCAATGTCGCCAATATTCACAGCATGAGTCAAATTAGTCCCATTCTCAAGCAGGAATGGTTCTTCTACTTCTTTGAGGCGACGGTTATGTTTTGCAATTCCTCCATGCTCAATATCTTCCATCCCATGCAATGCTTACCCCGTTCGAACAATATTTATCTTGCGACTGATGGTGTGACTGAGGTTGAGGGGCCAGGATATGAGGATAAGCGCCATTGGGCCCTTACGGTCGTGGACCCCTTTGATATTGGTGGGATGTTTTCCAAGCGAGATAGACTGAACAAGTTCTGGGAGACAGATGAAGCCCAGAAGAACGACGAGTCTTCTCCTCGGTCACAGGAAGCATGAGATATCATGTTGTGACATAACTCGCCGTCTCTCATCTGAATTTTCCAGCGATTCTCTCTTTACTGTTTTGGTTTCTCGGCTATTTCCCCTGATTTATAGAACATTATTAATGGACACTCAGCCCCTTCAAACTATATATGACAAAAAGATCAAAAATCATCCTCATCTTTCCCCATCTCCTCCTGAATCTCCAAGCTATATCTGGCAAAGGGACTCCGCCCCCGAATCCGCTCTCCATAACAAATAAACAAGGGCGGCACTACGCAAAAGACAGTCGCCGCGGCAGCCAGCACAGAGACCGCAATATTAGCACCTAGTCCATCAAACATCTGCCGCGTAAACAGCGGAAACGTCCCCGAGAGCATTGCACGCAGAAACGCGACCGCCGCCGTGGCGCTAGCTGAATAGCTCAGATAGCTATCTGAGATGTAACCATACAGCACCGTATCCAGCTCCGTCAGAGCATAGCCAACAAAGACTAGAGAAATGGTAGGCACAATCCACGGTGCGTCTGGGCCATGCACTTTCGGTGGGATGGTCCAGCCAAACCACCACAACCCGATAGCTAGCACCGGTGCACCAATAGCCAGGCCAACAAGCTTGTCTTCCGGCTTGACGATCTGACCCTTTCGTCTGCGCAGCGTGAAGATGTGATTATCCAGTACGCGGGTTAGGGCGCTGAAACACGTTCCCAGGCCGATTGCCATGAATATCAGGGAGGCTTGTGAGGAAGAGAATCCCATGGATTCATAGATCGGCTGTAGTGCCTCAGTAAAGATGTATACGAGGGCGAATGCGATGGCGATGATCACGGCAATGGTGAAAATGATTGGTTCTTTGAAAAAGAGCTGGGCTGGCCGGAAGAGGGCATCCTTGGCGAAGGCGTATAAAGAGGGTGAATGGTCATGGTTCAAGGCTGGCGGGATTGCTGGTTCATTTGCACGTAGCCGTTTGACTTCACGGGCGAGAAGAAACGAAGGACGAGATTCGCGGATTAAACAAAGGAGACATGCGATCAGGCCGAGGATTGTGGCGTAGATGTAGAAAACCCATCTCCTGTATTAGGTCAAAGTCAGCATTGATGATACTCAGTAAACAGGGTACTTACCATCTCAGCCCAGAAATGATATAGCTACTCATGATCGGCCCAATAATCAACCCAATATTTGACGCAACTGTCCAAACAAACACAACCCAGATTCTTGCTTGCGAATTGAACATATCTTCGATGCTTCCCCCGGCTATCGTATATGGTATTGCAGAGAGCATGCCTGCAAACACTCTCATGATGATAGCTACACTCAGCACGGGAGCAAGTCCAATGACCATGCAGCAGAGACTGCTAAATCCGCCGCTGATTATGTAGAGTTTTTTCCGGCCAAATGATTCGGACCATGGCGGGAGCACGATGCTGCCTACTACCTGACCAAGAAGAAACCTGCAAGCTATTAGCTTGGGCCTTCAAATTAGGACTTGTAGCTCGTACACGGTCACAAAAGAGAACGTGGAGAGCGTATGGCTCATGCCGTATTCGACGCGCGCTTCGGATGCTACCGCTGCCTATGAAAATCGTGAATATCAAGCAATGGAGGTGCATGTTGGTTGACTTACGCCCGCGGTACTCGTCGCCGTTCTAGATAAAATAAGGGTACCGATCAGCCACGTAGAACTTTGAGATCGCACAGGGCCATTCATACATGAAAAGATCCAAGAGACATATCAGCCCCATATCATAACACTTGCGGCGAACAGTCCAGTTTCGAGGATGTTTGGGGTTATCTCGCTGCCATCGCACGAATTGGCCGTCCACGGTGAGCTCGAGATTATGATCTTGCAGGTGTTTTCGAACGAAGGTTTTGGGTTCACTGTCGAGCAGGGAGGAGTTTAGGGGCATATTGAGCTGCCGTTGAGAAAGTCGTCACTGTTGAACGTTGAAGCAGTTCATGACATGGTCAAAAGTGATCGAAAATCGTCAAGCCTTGGCATGCCCTTGGAGCATTGATCAGTTCTACATCGTGGCCGGAGCTCCTCGTGACAGGAATGGGTGTGTGCCCCTTGAATCATTCGTTTGTGGATCTGCATATGAGAAGACGCGTAGGACCTTTGGACTTAGCACTATCTGAGATAGTACAAATTTACGGGTTCAGGTATAGATAGTCGGTCTTGAAGCAAACCCGTAGCACTTTTTAGAATCTGTAGCTTATGAGGTTACAAACTAGGGAAGTATTCTCTGTCTAGCCTGGAAACCCGGTTTCCAAGGGTCGGATGATTTCAACATTCCTAAGAAAATCTAAGGCCCCTTGATTGATGGAGACGAGGATATCCTTCGTCTTGCCGAATACCGATAACCATAGAAGACAGAAATTCATTACAAGACTGTGTTGGAATATATAGTTATTTTTGTATCGCTGATGGCTTTTCCAATTGGGTAAAGGCCATTAGCTGAAGAACTTTGTTTATTAAAGCATTTCACATTTTCAAACGCAGAGTTGGCAATAGTTGACTGCATTGCATCTGCAGCAGTCAGTTGGCTACTGATCCTCACATGCCGTTTCCATAATCACCGGTGCGTACAGTCCTGAGAATTTCCTAGAGGCAATGCGGAGCCGGTATAGTCAGGGATAAGCAAATAAACAATTATACTGAGGGCAGCCAAGCCTGTGTACGCGTAGCCTAATTTTGCGGATCAACGTGAATTTATCTCAGAGCATTTGTGGAAAACAAAGTGCCGAGTGAATATTCCATGTGGGAAACAAACTTATTTCAGACAGCTTAAGTTCATGTTCGGTGTCCCGAGGTACAGCCATCTCATGCTCTTTCTAGCCTTGGTCATGGTGACCACGCAGAACGCTGACAGGCAAACAAAAATAACCACCAGGAGAGCTAAACACGCAATATATGGGACCAAATTAATAGGAAGAAGATATATGCGTTAAACCACAGATATTCGCTAATCCCACCTTTGTTAATTCGAGAATTGATTGTATAGATCCCTTAGTGTCTTTCTCAAGGCCGCATTCTAATCCCCTTGTGATGTCATTGAGGTTCTTTTTCTTGTTCCGACTTAGTGCATTATTTAGCGCTGATGGCTAACTGATAAACTCGGGCCTAACACAACACTTAATTCCGCCTATGTAAATAGCAGGTTTCATAGCCCCATTATAACCAGGTGCATTTCTCCGACCGCAAGTATAAAAAGTGAGAACTGCCCCCGAACTAACAATTTGATATTCGCTTCAATAATTACTCTTGGAACCATTTGTCAGTCCTAAAAATCCCCAGTGTCTCATTTCTACACGCCATCCACCGTCCACCATGCCTCTGACGCTTCATCACCTGGGCCTCTCCCAATCCGAGCGCATCATCTGGCTCGCTGAAGAACTCGGCGTCGACTACAGATATGTTTTTCACAAGCGCGACCCCATCTTTGCCCCGCAGTCACTCAAGGACCTCCATCCCGCCGGCACAGCCCCGGTAATGGAGGATGACCCATCCCCCATTACCAACTCCAAGATCGTGCTGGCTGAATCAGGGGCCATCATTGACTACATCATCGCCGTCCATGGGAATGGGCGTCTGGCACTCACGCCAAAGGACGGTGCCGACTACCCTCAATTCCTGGAATGGTATCATTTTGCCAATGGGAGTCTCCAGCCAACTCTATTCCGAGTCATGATGGCTCGAGGTTCAGACCCGAACTCTCCGGTTGTCGCGCGCACATTGGACAAGTGGCTCCAGCATCTCGCTATGCTTGATGCCCGGTTAGCTGAGACGGGGGCCTACCTTGCCGGAAAAAATCTCACAGCTGCAGATATCATAATCTTTTTCACCTTGACGACTATGCGGGGCTTTTGTCCGGTGGATTATGATACGGATAAGCATAGGCATCTCCTCGCTTACTTGAAGCGTGTTTCTGAGCGCCCGGCGTACCAGAAGGCGATGAAGATTTGTGAAGGCGATGATTTCAAGCCGTTGCTGGGCCCCAAGGCTGAGCCATGGGCTATTATGAAGAAGCTGTAAGCTCATCGCCACCTTTTTTATACCCGGTTGTATTATAGGATGTGCTCTCTACTCGAACCACGAAATAAAGCTCCAATCCATAATGACTTTTCTTTCACAGAGATGGCTCAGCAAGCGACAAGAACAATAAAGGGGCAAAAATGTAGATTCTAGCTATTGTATCCACTTTACAGATGCAATGATCTCGTTATCCAGAACTGAAAGTTACTTCTTGATAAATTGTTCTCGATGCCGTGGTCTACGACACATCGAAAGCACAGCGTCAATATATATATCTCGATATCGCCAGGATCAATAATTCCCCCAAAACAAATAAATCGACAAAAGATGTTAGTAGATGTAATTATGAGAGTAAATTGTAGTCCAAAAATAGACAACATTGCCGACTATGTTTGTACACAGTAGGAGGTGTTGGACAGACCGGCATTGTTGATAAGGCGGAGAGCGGCCGAGGCCACCTCTCCAACTTCCATCAACAGCTTAACTCTGGCCACACCTCAGCACGCGCCGGCTCAGAACAGTGAGTTTCCATATCGACCATTTTGGGTTTCTCTTGAAACCTGCTTCATTCGAATTCTGGCCACTCACTAACTATCTGTCCTTCCTCAGGGCATCTTCATCTCCCACGCCGCAATCGCCAGTCCTGACCGAACCACCCACCATGCTCTCATTCCTCGGCACCAGTGCCACCAATATCCGCCAGCAGGTAGGCCAAGCGTTAAATTTCGCGCTCGTTCTTTCCACGGCTTTCATGTTATGGAAATCCCTTTCCGTATTCTCCGCATCGAGCTCCCCGATCGTGGTCGTGTTGTCCGGGTCGATGGAGCCTGCATTCCAACGTGGAGATCTCCTCTTTCTGTGGAACAGGAGTCCGCGGGCGGATATTGGGGAGATTGTTGTCTATAACGTGCGAGGTAAGCGCGCAAAGTTCCCCCGTCATAGCGCATATCTGACGCCTCGCAAACAGGCAAGGACATTCCCATTGTGCACCGCGTCGTGCGAACCTTGCCCGAGGTTGAGGGCAGTAGTGTGAAAAAAGTGAAGGAGATTACTTTGTATGTTCTACACCAGGAGACATCTGGAGTGATTTGGTCTGACAACGGATGCAGGAATTCGGCTCCCAATTCGCATATGCTCCTCACCAAGGTACTCGCTCCCCCGAATCCTCGGTTCTGGACCTTCCATGCTGACCCCCTCCGTGCTTCTAGGGCGACAATAATCCGTCCGACGACACCGAGCTCGTAAGTCTCAGCCCTTGCCTGTCATCTGATTCTGCCTTCTCATCTTTTCGCAACAGTATGCGCGTGGCCAGGACTACCTCAACCGAGAAGAGGATCTCGTCGGCAGCGTTCGCGGATATATTCCTTCGGTCGGATACGTTACTATAATGCTCTCTGAACATCCCTGGCTGAAGACGGTGCTCCTGGGGGTTATGGGGCTGATGGTGATGCTCCAGCGGGAATGATGATCAGGCCGATAGTTCCCTAGAATGTAATTGGAGGGACCCAAATAAAAACGAGCTGTTCTCAAGTCGCCCATCTCGGACGGAGTAAACAATCGTGCCTGAGGCCACCACTGACGTACCCCACTGCCTGCCGCTTCCAAGCTTCTTCCCTCTGTCGTGCGTGTTTACTGTTGGTCCTATTCTTCCCTTTCCTTTCAAACATCTTGCATTTTCGCTTCTCTGCATCGTTCTTCTCTCCTCCCCACTTCAGTCCATCTCGCGCCCCTCGGAGTTGGCACACTCCGCACCCACGATGGGTAGCCAGAAGCGCATAGCCAAGGTATGCACCTAGATATACCTCTAGCCTCTGCGGCTCTGACCAGTGCCATCGATCATCTAACACCTTGTTTCCCCTACAGGAGCTGGGCGAACTCGTCCAGTCCCCTCCGGAGGGGATCACTGTCGAATTGGCCGATGAGTCCAACCTGTATGACTGGAAGGTTCACATGGAAGGACCAGAAGGATCTCCATTTTATGTACGCCTCTTATCGACTCCTCGATACTGTGTCTTCCCTAGATAAACCTCTCCGTTCCCCGCGCTCAGCTCGGGTGGCTCGCTCTGAGCCCAGAATGATCGCGTGCCTCGCTTGGAAGCAGAGCTCGGAGACGGAAGAACATACCTCGCTTTCACTGAAACCAAACTCGCTGACCTTGATTTCACCATGCAGAAAGGCAAATTCCTCATAAAGCTCACACTCCCCACCGGATACCCCTTCAAACCACCAAGCGTCTCCTTCGCTACGAAAATCTACCACCCAAACGTGACCAACGATGACAAAGGGAGCATGTGTCTAGGCATGCTCCGTCCAGATGAATGGAAGCCCAGCTCCAAGATTGCCGCCGTTCTAGAGTTCGCGCGACAGCTGCTCGCAGAGCCGATGCCGGACGATGCGGTTGAGGGGAGGATTGCAGAACAGTATAAAAATGATCGGAAGCGCTACGAGGAGATTGCCCGCGACTGGACGAGGAAACACGCCACGTGAAATTAGGGTGGATATGGTCTGGCGCCTTTGTGTTTCTCACCGAATCAAGTGATGGGTGGTGATTTGAATTACGTCTCTTCCGGTTTCTGGTACTATTAAGCAGGGTCTTTGCCATCCAGGGAGTTGAAGAGCTGAGGATATCATATTGAGTTATTTGGTCTTCATGCATTAATGGAATACTATACACTGAATCATTCCTCCAGGGTTGCACGGAGCGCGGAATTCACGCCGCCATTTCTTCCCCGCATTCGCAAGCCCTAGGACGATGTACACAGTCTGCCTCGGGACTGGCATAGAAGATATAAGAAGAATGCTGTCTCGGCAGTGTAGATTGTAGACTATTCAAGAAGTTTGCTATCATGGCCGTCATCTCCGACACAATAACCCTACTCATCCACCACCTACCCGGCATCTTCCTCTTTGCCGTTCTCTTCCACCTAACGCGCAACTACCTGACTACAGGCGCATCCGCCGTCCCAGGCCCATTCCTAGCAAAGCTATCGCATATATGGCGCTTCATAGACGTAGCAAATGGCCGCGCAGAGAGAACGTTGTACAAACTACACCAGAAACACGGCGACTATGTCCGTATAGGCCCGAACGTGATCAGCATACGGGATCTGGAGGTGCTGAAGATGATCTATGGCATTAACCAGGGTTATAGAAAAGTGAGCAGCTACTTTTCGTCTTTCTGGTTAGCCATTCACTGACAGAATTTTGTTCTAGACGGATTTCTACCGTGTGCAGCAGCAGATGGCAAAGGGTAGAGCAACGCCCACGCTGTTCACGACAACGGATGAGGGTTTCCATGCTGCCATAAAGAAGCCTATCTCTGCAGCTTACTCGATGAGTACATTGACGGAGTTTGAACCATTTGTTGATAAGACTATACATACTTTTTTTGTGCGGTTGGATGAGTTTGCGGCGAGGGAGACAGTGTGCGACATTGCTAGCTGGCTGCAATATTGTATGTCGTTGATGATATCTTTGGGAACTTGAACTAATGTTTAAATGATAGATGCATTCGATGTCATCGGCGAATTAACTTTCAGCAAACCGCTCGGGTTCCTGGAACGGGGTGGTGATGTGGGCGGAATAATTGCTGCTCTGGAGAAGATGTTAAACTACTCTGGGAAGGTAAGCAACCTTTGCTGTTTAGCATGTCATACTATCTGATAAAATATGCAGATCGGTCAAATGCCATGGCTGGACTACGTTTTCATCAAGAACCCTCTTCGACAATTTATCCAAGGCGGCTCAACAGGCGCCGTGGCACGCTTTGCACGCGCTCAATTAGACGAGCGTCTCCGACAGACAGAAGAAACCGAGGACAAATCAGCACCTCCACTTCATAGAGACTTCCTATCTCGATTTTTAGAAGCGAAGAAGACGAATCCGGATATCGTCACCGATAATCAGATCTTCTCGTACACGATCAGCAACATGAATGCTGGCTCCGATACAACGGCCATCTCTCTTCGTGCTATTCTCTACTACACACTGAAAAGTACCCAAATTACCGGGAAACTATATCAAGAACTCACAGATGCATATAAAGAGAACCGAATCTCACTCCCCGTATCTTGGAAACAGAGCCAAGAGCAACTGCCTTACTTAGATGCAGTCATCAAGGAAGCACTGCGCCTCCATCCTGCCGTCGGCTTGCTGCTTGAGCGCATCGTTCCAGCAGGTGGACTCCAACTTCCTCATGGCGGACCATATCTACCCGCGGGCACAATTGTCGGCGCTAATCCGTGGATTATTCATCGGTCTTCGGTGTTCGGAAATGATGTGGACGCATTCATTCCAGAACGGTGGCTACAGAAGAATGGCGAGACGCAGACGGACTTTCAAACTCGCAAGCAGCAGATGCTAAGGGCGACCTTCACATTTGGGGCTGGGCCGAGGACTTGTATTGGGAAGAATATTAGTTTGCTGGAAATCTATAAATTGATCCCGTCGATTTTTCTCAGGTACAAGGTTAGTTTTGTAAGTCTTTGTGGAGTTGGATGAGCTGATGATTGATATTATCTGCAGATTGAGCTCAAGGACCCTGATGTTGAGTGGGAGATTGTAAATGCTTGGTTTGTGCGGCAGAAGAATATGGATGTTAAGTTAGAGAGGAGGGATATCGGACAAGTTTGACTTGGGGCTTGGTACTAAATATGACTGGAAGGAGAGTGCCCCATAACAGCCAAGGTGAACACTCGGGGCCGCGTTGAGTGCATAGTGAACACACCTAGGAACGTCAATGGTACTGCGGCTACTGCTGCTATCGAATTTGGTGCCACTGTGCCCGCCGAGTTGTCGTCTGTAGGTATTTTGAGCGCCTAAAGCAGTACACGGGGTATTTCGAAGGAGTGATTTCTTGAGTATTGATATTTAGTACAAGAAACAAATCACTCTCAAATCCGAATCCATGAATATTGTCGTACAGTACTAGCCTATGCTTCCATTAAGCACCGTGTCCAGGACTGGGTGGCACAGCACCGGTGTCCCAGACGGTGATGTTAGGTCCTAACACAAACTCCAGATGCCCGCCGTTCGCGATATCACCATGACTCAGCCAGCTCTTGTTCCACTCTTTACCATTGACTTTCAGGCTCTGTACATAGAAGCTATCGTCTGCGAGGTTCTCCGCAGTGATTCGTAGGGTCTCACCACTTTCACCCACAGGGAAAGAAATGTCTTCAAACCATGGTGACAAAATCAGATAGACGGGCTGAGAGACAACTGGGTACAGGCCGAGCATCTGCCAGAGCATCCACGAGTCCATGGCTCCTGCATCGGAGTTCCCGGGCAGCCCTTTGTCACCGGTGGCGTAGTTCTCATTGATATTAATGCGGGATTGGTTGACTGACTTGTACTGCTTCCCAGGAAGATAGTTATAGATAAACGGCGTGAAGAAGCTAGGCTCGTTTCCCGGGTTAAACAATGTTGTCCCTGAGGCCACGCCGACGCCCAGGTCCGTCGTACGCAGACCAGGGACAAACATAAGATCTAAGCGTTTCTCTGTCGCCGTGTTGCCACCCATGAGATTTACTAGAGACTTGATATCCTGTGGGATGGACCAGGTATACTCTGAATTGAGATCAGTGTCAGGACGATCCATGTTTGTAGATGTTAAAAACTCACCCCAAGGAAGGCCTTCCATTGTATAAGAATCGTCCTGGGGCGAGATAGTAATCAGAGATCCGTTTGCAGCTCGCGGTCCAAGGAAGCCAGAAATGTTATATTCATTCATTTCTGGGTTCCAGAGGTTTTTCCAGTACCTATGCGCCCAAGATTGAGTTAGCCAACATTAGCTCCCCGCGAGAGATGGCCTCAGGTGACACGGCATAAAGGGGATGCAACTCACGCAGATCGTTTAAAATACTTTTCGTAGTCCTGAGGCGCCATATCCTTAGCTACCTGGCTGATGGCAAAGTCGTTCAGAGAGTAATCGACCGTACGACTGACGCTCAGAGAGAAGTTTGGCGTAATGTAGCTGTACTCTAGCCAGTCTGGCAACGCGCAACGACCCTCCTTGTTTGCGCAAGTCGGATCGTCAGGATCGTGGTTCGGCTTGGGAGTGACTTCGGCATCCTTTTGCATAGCAGCGTAAGCATCACTCCAGTTAATCCCATACTTGGAGCTGTTGAAGCCCTTGACCCACGCATCAGCCAGCACGATGTCGGCGTTTGTGCCGCCTTGAACCTTGCCGTTGTAGTTACCGCTCCGCGCGTCTGGCATGTAGCCCTCGTGGCGCCAGGTGTCGACCAAGGAGCGGAGCATGTCCAGGGCGCGCTGAGTATGCGCTAGCAAGTACCAGCTGTTAAGACAGCGGAAGGTATCCCAGAGAGTATAGAAATCGTCATAGTATGGCTCGGAGGAAGTCCATTTCGGGTTCTCGCCAGTTCGGTCAGACGGCATCTGGTGCATACGGTACAGCGCGGAATAGAACATGGTGAGTCGCGTATTATTCGCTTTGTTGGCCTTATCGTTGATACTCATCTTGTTGAATACCTCCTTGTTCCATTGTTCTTTGGTTGCCTCTGCCGTGTCGTTCAATGTCCATGATGGGATCTCCTCCTGGAACTCACACGCCTTGTCAATCGAGATGAAGGATACTCCAAGCTTTGACTTGACAGTGTCGACATGGCTCGGGAATATAAAGTATGCACCAACCCGATTACCTTGGTCATCCCCAACAGGACCGCCTTGGACACCGTACTGGCCACCTAGAGTGACCTGGGTATCGGGCGATGGCGGAGAGGTTGGATCGTTCCATGGCCCTGTGAAGTACTCAAAACTCGATGGGATCGAGTCAAAGTCGTTGCAAAAGTATACTTGCATATCAGACCCTACATAAAACCTCTGGTTAGTGGTTTGGGGCTAAAGGAGAGGCAATGATATGGACAAATTATCCTACCTTCGCCGTAAGCAACTCCGCCACCTCCCCACCCTCCACGCCAGACTCCCCAGCCAACAAATCTCTTGCCCCCATTCTGGACAATCATCTGACCGTTACTGTAAGTTTGAGATTTTGGAAATTCGGCGTCGATGCCGGATGGTAAGTTGTGAGACACATCAACCAGCACGATTCGGTCTCCATGACTCGGGTAGTTATATTGCAAAAAGCCGGCGTGTTGCGACGCGGATAGTTCAACATTTACACCATTTGACAACTGTGAGGCGTAGTATCCGACTGAGGCTCTGTCGTGGCCAACACGAGGCTGCATGTACGTAGTATTGTCAAGCACGTTGACGCCATCTAGGGTTGTCAGTGGCATGTGCCCCACGACACCGTACTTGGAACCACCGCCGATTCCACACTCGTGGAAACAGGTAAACGCGGTCACTATCACAATGTAAGATTCTAGCTCAGGAGCGAGATACTATAGCAACACTTAAGACATAACATACCATTGCCATCCGGAGTGTACCCAGCAAAGGGATTGGAGGCCTGGTCGGCCTCATTGGTGTCAGGGCCGATCTTCACCATGCCAAAAGGCACACTGACGCCCGGAAACGTGTCTCCAGAGTTGGCTCCATTTCCAGTTGGTCCCTCAGTGCCAATGAAGGGGTCAACGTAGACAGTCACGTCTTTCGCAGCTGCGGCTGCGGCTATTATGGAGGCGAGGATGCAGACAAGCGCCAATTCTAGGAGGCCCATGGCCCCTGCTGTGGATAGAATAGGCTTACGGCGGGTAGAGAGACCTGGCTTGTTTTGGTTCGTGATCGTACACTTGCATTACATAGTTGGGGGGTGACCTGACAGGCTTTATGTAACAGCGGGATGCGGCAAGAAAATTCTAGAATTGGCAACTGGTTCCATCCGATTAGATGCTGATCAGTTGTTAGTTTGGGGATCATATTCATCATACTCAATGCGAGAGTAGTTGTTCTATGTGGTGCCGACAGGTTGTTAATAATTATCCGACGGGCATGTCACCATCGTAGAGCTAGGCCTGAAGGAGTTGACTCTTACCCCAGTCGAAGCTAGCTTATAGGAGTATGCATAGTATAGTAGTGATTTTGGGGGTTTGTGTTGGAGTAGCCGAGACTAGGCACAATCGTGTGAAGCTGGGAGCCAAAGTTCGAAAACAATAGAGTATAAGTTGCGCTGCTGATGCGAATAGTTCGGAGGCATCGACCTTTTGCATCCCAAATCTTTAACGAGTTGTCGCTCGACTATGGCTATTTTCATTGTCAGCCACTATGGGATTCACGCATTATTGCGGAGAACGGATGTACAACGGAGGCAACTACCTCATTTGGGAGCTCTTCATCTGTCGGCTAAAACCCCGCATTATGACGCTCATCCTGCCCAGGAATAAAATACCCGACGGGTAATATAGAGAGAAAATATTGGAACAGTAGCGACGATCGGTATATATAGTTACCATTCTAGTCCTGAAAAATGAATAGACGGCGACGCGAGTTCAGTCCGTCCCACAAACACCCTAAAAATTGCAAACTGCAATTTCCCAGCCATGAACATTTCAAACTCCCGTCTGTTGGCTCTGATAGCCATGAGCCTGGCTACAGTTGACGGACTCAAGCTGTGGACACGGAAACCAGCCGATCCAAATGATATTTTGATGTCTGCTTATGTTGTCGGAAATGGAAAGCAGGGAGGTTTGTGGCACCTGATAGTAAACTGTTTAAAGGACAGCTTCATGAGCTCGATGCTGAACCTATGATAGGGATGCCACTCGGCATTCCCGGTAACGACATCGTGAGCATCAACCACGACAGCCTGTGGTCAGGAGGGCCCTTTAGCAATACGGTATATTAATGCCCCAAAAGCTGCTGCCTGTGACGTTAAGTTCTACTGGTACTGATTCTTTTCCAATGACAGAGCTATCGAGGAGGTAATCCCACATCGTCTCTGGCGCACTTCCTTCCTGGAATTCAGTCGTGGATCTTTCAGAACGGCACCGGAAGTAGGTTTAAACTATTTGATTCGGGAGCTCGACGAACTAACATCTGCACAGACGAATCAGCACTGTATGGCAGCAGCAGTGATTACGGGTCGTATGAAACTTTCGGCAACCTCACAGTAGCGATTGCAGGGGTGGAGCAGTATTCCAACTACAAGAGAGTCCTTGACCTCGAGACAGCTATTCATTCGACAGATTTCACTGCCAATGGCGCCGATTTCTCCACGCAAGTTGAACTTTCCTTGGCGGCTGCGTAAATGCACGCGGACTATCGCTAACGTTGAAGACAGGTATCAACTGTGCTCTTACATCGATCAAGTCTGCATTTATCATATCAGTTCGACCAAAGTGCTTCCGGATGTGACGTTTGGCATGATAGACACAGTTCGAACCAATCCAGTCTCCAATTCCAGCTGTTCCACAGACGGCGTTCACCTCAGCGGCCGAACTGAAGCAGATGCTGGGTTTGGTAACATCGGCATGAAGTTTGATGCCCAGGTTCAAGCCCTTGGCGCCAGCGAGCTAAAAGCCCGATGTAATGAAGACGGCTCGGCCCTCATACCTGGCGGGTCAACGAAAAGCTTAACACTTCTTCTTGCAACTGGCACAGAGTATGATGCCTCAAAAGGCGATGCCTCTAACAATTATTCCTTCCGCGGCCATCTTCCTTACCCAGTCGTTATGGGAACTATATCCAAGGCATTGAAGCGGTCTTATGCGGACATGTTAAAGGACCATGTTGCCGACCATCAGAGCTGGATGAGCCTGTTCCGTCTGGAACTGCCGGACCCGAACAACTCCGCGGAAGTCGATACTTCGACGCTGCTGTCGACTTATACCTGGGAGAAAGGTGACCCCTTTGTAGAGAATCTAGTCGTCGATTATGGCAAGTATATGTACATTGCATCATCTCGCCCTGGATCATTGCCGCCAAACCTACAAGGCACGTGGGCACCGGATCTATACCCAGCATGGAGCTCGGATTATCATATTGACATCAATGTCCAAATGTGCGTTTTCGGCGGTGCAAGTCTTATGATTAAGGATGATCGGACCACATTTGCGAATTTACTGACGTGGGCAACTTTTACAGGAACAATTGGCATGCAGAGCAAATGGGGCTCGGAAACCTGACGGAGCCGCTCTTCGACTATATGACCCAGACCCTAGTTCCCCGTGGGACCGAATCCGCTCGACTATGGTATAATGTCAGTGGCTGGGTTGCCTTCTCGAACGTCAATACTTTCGGCCATACTGGGTAAGTTGATAAACTCCGTGTCTTTGACCCAATATTTCTGACGAAACCAGTCAGGAGAACGATGAAGTCTGGTCGGACTCGCAACATGATGTGGCATGGTTGAGTGAGTCTCGCAAATTTACTCCTTTTGCATTAAACGAGATTCGAGAACTCGCTAATTCTTCGCAGTGGCATATGTCTGGGATCGATTTGACTACGGCCGAGATGTACAATGGTATCGTTCAGTCGGTTATCCTCTCATAAAAGCGGTCGCGGAGTTTTGGCTGGATATGCTCCTGGAAGATGAATACTTTAAGGATGGGACACTCGTTGCCAACCCGTGCAACTCTCCGGAACAATCGCCAACTGTATGGAATACCCTGGCTCCATTACGTCAACCCTCGCGTTGCTAACAGCTTACCAACATCAGACCTTTGGATGCTCACAATCTCAACAAGTCATTTGGGAACTATTTGACCACGTCCTGAAAGGGTGGGAAGCATCCGGTGATACCGATGAAGCCTTTTTCAGGCGTATTAAGGATGCCTACGGGAAAGTCTATGAAGGCGTCCGAGTCGGAAGTTGGGGTCAGATCCAGGGTCAGTTTCTCGGCTTGAGCTCAAAGATGACTAGCTAATATCTTCCCATCAGAGTGGAAAATTGACATGGATGTCGAGAACAACACCCACCGACACCTCTCCCACTTGACAGGCTGGTACCCCGGGTACGCAATCGCGGGCTTGCATGGAAACAACAAGACCATCACCGATGCGGTCGCCACAAGTCTATATTCCCGCGGGAACGGTACGATCGACTCCAATACCGGCTGGGAGAAGGCTTGGCGATCTGCCTGCTGGGCTCGACTCGGTGTCGTCGACGAGGCATACTCGGAGTTCAAATACACCATTGACATGAACTTTGCGCCTAACGTGCTCTCAGTCTACGCTACTACTGATGGTTGGCCGTATACCCAGATCCTACCGTTCCAGATTGACGCAAATTTTGGGTTATCTGGTGCAGCACTGGCCATGCTCAGCTCTGATGTCGCTCAGTGGAACGGCGATAAGAGCATACAGCGAGTTATCCTAGGCCCATCAATTCCACCACAGTGGGCAGGTGGCTCTGTCAAAGGGCTACGGCTACGTGGAGGCGGGACAATAGACTTTACTTGGGACGACGACGGGATGGTGTCCAAGGCAAAGCTCGGGTCACGAGATCTCCCGATTCAAATAGTCAACAAGGCTGGGAAGTTACTGGCGGAAGTTTGAGAGGATTTGACCTCCAGACTCGTATGCAAGTGTACTAAGAAAGGAATGCAATAGACAATGAAGAAATAGGCTTACCTAGTATGAAGCCATGCTCTGTTACCGCATATGTACGAACGCTACTAAGGCTCCTGGCAATGCTCTTCCTCAGACTATAATACTAGTTCGTGCAACATACAAGCGTGAGGGATGGCAGTCTTCGTCTGCCTGCACACCCACAAACAATCGACCATGTGCCTGATGCCGGCATGGCCCTGTAATTTCTTCATTGTTTGGCATAAATTGCATGGCGCTAAACTATATGACACTTCGATTGTCCACCCTAAGCTAGGCTTCTTAGCCCGAAGTAAAAACCATGAGCGTATGCATCCATTGTTTTGCCTAGGGATATCTGCAGCCAAGCACACCAATAGCGCTTGGTCCCCAGGCTGGGTGTGATGGGTCAGATTGGGATGTGGTCGGGGGGGGGGGGCGTGCAAACAACTGGGTGATGACATAGGGGCCCTGATCGACATGGACCCTTCCGCCCTGCGCGTCGGGCCGGACAGGTACAGCCCAACCGAGTTTGCACGGAAGCTGGGGAAGGGATATCTCACATTGTGGTGTCTACTAGACTAGTAGGAGTATCCCTGGCTAAATACCATACATATTAAAACGATTTTTTTAATTTTATTTCGAAATATAGTAGGAACGGAGAACGCGGACAACACCAACTCCCTACGTCATGTGCGGTCACGCGTCCATGATTAGTTCGTCCGCCCTTTATTATTTTTCTCCCTCCAACCACCCCCCAACCCCAAGTCATTTCCGGGCAGGTTCCGGCAGTCAATCCTTCTTCTGGTTCCCCAGTTTTTCGCTCCTTATATCTCTGGCCTGGACAAACCCACTCTCCTTTTTACCTCGACGTACCGGTACGCGCCGCCTTGTTTTGTCCTCTTCGCCTCAGGCTTCTTCACCTAGATTCCACCCACACGCCTCGCCAACGACAACTCCATAACCAATGTCCAGCGGGAACTGCGTGATACGTCGTGGCTATGGTCACAGAAAATGGCAACCCTCGATTTCCCCCTCCTGCAACTTCCGATCTCCGCGGACGGCGCAGGATCCCTCATCCGCCGCGATTGGATTCTCTAAAAATCGACCCCTGCGCTTCACGCCCTGCTAGATCTGTCCCGCGATCGACTCCGAGCTCTCCTCGCGCGCGCTCTCCCCCCCCGCCCGCCCCACACTCCGCTTTTGACGACCGTCGTGGCGGGCCATTCCCGCCTCAGGGTCCCTCGCCGGGTACGAGGGACGATTGGAAGGCTGGGCGTGGGCGGTCTCCTGCTCGCTCCGCTCCCTACTCGACAACACCAGATGCTCAACCCCCGAGATGGTTTCCTCCGCGAGAGGATAGCTTTCGCAAAGCTCCGCTGCCTCGGGGCGGACTTCGTATCTGTATGTCGGCACCTCGCCTGAACGACAGAGAGCACAAGGGATGCGACTCTCCAGATTATCCTCCACAAGATATAGGCCCGTACGGTCTGCCGCTCCCGCGTTTTCCGTCCGGTGGGCCTGCGGCCGAAGACGGTCCTAGGTCGAGCTTCAATTCGGCTGTGACATCGCGATCGAGCATTGAACAGGCCAGCGGGACGGAGCGTAGCAGCGTTCTGACCAAAAGCAGCTCTATCACAGATCTTTCGCCCGACACTCCTGACGCGCCCTATGGCACGGATGAGGGCATGAGCGTTGAAGATGCAATTTCAATGTATCTGGATGGGTTCAGTGATGTGACCGAAGAACCTTCGTCACCAAAATCTCATGTCGAAAGCAAGGCACCATCGCTGTCGCCTCCGCCCTCGCGGGATTCACTTCCCGAGGCGGAGTATCTCCCGGAATTGACATCCTTGGACGATGTTCAACCGATACCCCCGTTGCCGGAGCCTATAGAGCCAATACATATCGTCCAAGAGCCAGCGGCCCCGGATCCAATAGTCACAGATCCCCCAGCTTCAGAACCGACATTGTCAGAGCCTGCAGTGGAGCCTGTTGTGCAAGAGCAAACCGTACCACTGTCCAACTCCGAACCACCTTTGTCTGAATCTCCGACCACACATCAAAGACAAGCGTCAAGGAAAGTGTTTATCCCAGGCCCGGTGCCTCCTCCATTGCTTCCTGAAAGTGCCACCCGTGATAGCCATGGTTTCCGGAAGGCGACACAATACGTGACCCTGGAGCAGTATGAGTCATGGAAAGGGCCTTACTCCGAATATGTGACACAGAGAAGGCTGAAATGGCAGAGTCTCTTTGAGGATCACGGGCTTCCTACGGTGGATCCGTCGAATTTCCCGCCTGCATCCACCAAAGTAAAGCGCCTTGTGCGCAAAGGAATACCGTCCGAGCTCCGAGGCGCGGCATGGTTCTGGTATGCAGGTGGGTATGACCATATGAACCGAAACCCATGGCTGTACGACCAACTTGTACGGCGTGCCATGGAATCTCCGAATAATGACGATAAAGAGCACATTGAGCGTGATCTTCATCGAACCTTCCCCGACAATCTCCATTTCAAACCCGAGACTGTGAACCCTGCCGAGAATTCGGGCAGCAGTAATCCCCAATATGACACTGTGAAGACGGAAACGCAGATGATTCTGTCTCTCCGCCGGGTTCTGTATGCCTTTTCACTTCACAATCCCAAGATCGGGTACACGCAGTCGCTTAATTTCATCACCGGGATGCTCCTGCTCTTTCTTCCGGAGGAAAAAGCCTTTTGGATGCTTCACATCATCACCTCGGTATATCTCCCTGGCACGCATGAGATCAGCTTGGAGGGGGCAAATATCGACCTTTGGGTTCTCATGTCGCTGCTCAGAGACTCCACCCCGAACATATACTCCAAGATCGCCAGTATGTCAGGACATACATCTAGTCGAAGTCGACCACCTGCGCTCACGGTGCATTCTCGCCTACCGGACATCACCCTCGGATTGACCAACTGGCTGATGTCGGTGTTCATTGGGACTCTCCCTCTGGAGACTACCTTGCGAGTATGGGATATATTCTTTTACGAAGGCTCGAAGACATTCTTTCGTGTGTCGCTGGCTCTTTTCAAAGCGTGCGAGCGGGATATTCTCGCCGTGTCCGACCCGATGGAGGTGTTCCAGGTGGTGCAGACCGTCCCAAAGAAGCTCCTGGATGCTAACGCCCTCTTGGAAGACTGTTTCTTGCGACGGCACCGTGTCGGGCAAGGTCGGATCGAGGAGCTGAGAGCCTCACGACGGACGGCCGTGCGCCAAGAGAAGTTGCGCCGGTCAGTGGCCTTCAGCAAGGGCCAAATCAAGCCTGCTACAGACGACTTCCCAACTAGGATGCGGACCCCAATCCCGGGTCAACACCGCGTTGCTGATTCTTGGCGCCAGTTGAAGCAGCGCGTCCCGAAAGGCGGACAGCGTTGATTGAAGACCTGGATGTTCTTTCGTTTCCATCTTTTGCATACCCTTTTCTGCATAGCGATACCTATTTGGTTTTCCTTTGTCTCTACACCTATAATGCTAATTCCCCTTGTGAGCATCCCAGCAACCTCTCTGAATTGGGGTATCCCTTGCATTGTTTTGGCGTCTTGTTGGCCGGGAGAAGAAAATGCAGGGCTAGAATATTGCATTGTTGCACATGTGTGTTTGTACATAGACCTAGCATCGAATCGGAAGATCCGCAGTCAATTAATACCTATTCTTTCAGGGAACACATCCCAGCCACGAGCCATGGATCCAACCCCCAGATCGAGCTTCCTGTCGCGCCTGCCCGATTTGCATGACGCCATGAGGGCGCGTCATGGATTTGTGTCCGCATGCGGAAAATGCACGACGGAGCTCCTTGCGTCTGCAGAATCCCGACTTTTCTCCTGTCCGCGGAGAATATTCCCTACTCCTCCTCTTTTGACTGCTTCTCGTGGGAATCCCGGAACACTATGAGCGGACAGGCTGCGAGTTACTACAACCCGAACGAGGGGTCCGTTGAGGAGCCAGTGGATGGTCCACCGGCCTCTTCCAAAAAGGCTGACGGCGTCAACAACGACTACCAAAATGGTAGTCAGCCGTCGGGCGAGCCCAAGCCGCCGCCCTACGCGCAGGGCCAGCATCCCCAGGAACCGCCGCCGCCGTACACCGAGTTCGACGAGGCTTTCAAGATCGAACGGCCCAAGTATAACGATATATGGGCTGGCTTGCTGGTCAGTGAACTTCGCCGCAACATCAGGTCAAAGCTAATAGAGAATTCAGTTGATCGCCGTGTTTCTCGGATATGTCGCAGTCTCCGGCGTGACTATCCACAAGTACGCGACCAATAAAAGGTTCAACGGAGACACCATCTACGACGCATCTAACAACTTCTCGCTCGACACCAATACCCTGGTGCTATTTATCTTTGTTCTGTGCGTCGCACTGGTCTTCTCGTGGGCGTACTTCATGGGCGCGCGCTACTTCACCAAGACTTTCATATGGGCGACGGGCATTCTAAACATAGTCTTCGCGCTGGCCACGGGCATCTACTACATTGCGAAAAAGGAGTATGGAGGTGGAATAGTTTTCCTCATCTTTGGCGTCTTCGCGATCATCTGTTTCATCAGCTGGATTCCACGCATCCCCTTCACTGCGTTCATGTTGCAAACTGCCATGGATGTTGCGCGCGGGTACGGGCATGTGTTTCTGGTTAGTGCCTTGGGCGGCATCGTCACTGTCGCCTTTGCAGCTTGGTTTTCTGTCACACTAGTCGCTATATACGTTGCCTACGAGCCGGATTCGACGGGGACTAATCCGTCCTGTGCAAACGGCGGCTGCAGCACGGCCAGGGTCATCGGTTTGGTGGTGTATGTGACCTTTGCCATGTACTGGTTCAGCGAGTGGATCAAGAACACAGTGCACACGACCATTGCGGGTGTTTACGGCTCATGGTATTTCTTCAGCAAGTCCCCCGGCGGCATGCCCAGGGGCTCGACTCGGGGCGCATTCCGCCGTGCGACGACCTACTCCTTCGGCAGCATCAGCTTTGGCAGTCTAATTATCGCGATCATCCAGATGCTCCGCCAGGCGTGCTCTGTTGCGCAGCGCCAGCAAGCTGCGCAGGGGAACCTGATCGGCAGCATCTTCATGTGGATCCTCGGCTGTATCATTTCGCTGCTTGACTGGCTCGTCACACTGTTTAACCGCTACGCCTTCTGCCATATCGCGCTGTACGGCAAAGCCTATATTCCCGCTGCCAAGGATACCTGGAATATGATGCGCAATCGTGGAATTGATGCTCTGGTGCAGGATTGTCTGATGGGCCCCGTGCTGACTATGGGCTCTACGTTCGTCGCCTATGTCTGTGCCTTGCTGTCCTATCTGTATCTGCAGTACACCAAGCCTTCCTACAACACCAATGGCGAGTTCACTCCTGTCATCATGGCGTTCGCGTTCGTCATTGGTTTGCAGATCTGCCAAGTGTTTATGACTCCCATCGGCAGTGGCGTTGAGACCATCTTCGTGGCGATGGGCTGGGATCCTCAAGTTATGATCAATGATCACCCGGATATCTATTACAAGCTGGTACAACTGTATCCACAAGTGCAGCAGGCGATACATGCTTAAATGGGCTTGAGTTTGGATATCACTATTCGGTTACAGATGGTCATACCGTAGCTACTCTACTCCACAATTTATTAACGGTTACACACCATCAATATCGTAAGAACAGACATATTTCATTGGTCATTAATAGCAGATCCTAAACTTCAAATAGACTAACTGAAACAAAACCCAGTACTCAAATATAGACTCCCAAAAAGAATAAAAGACCCAATCAAGGTAGACAGAATTGAACAGAGACCCAGTCCAAGAATGAATCAAGAACTCGAAGTGTTTACACCTTACAGAGCAACCATGAGAGCCATAACAGCCGCCACACCCAGAGCGGCAACACCGCTATGCACCGCCGAGCCAGCAGGGGCAGCACCCTGGAAGGCCTGGAAGCGGCTAGCACTCGCACCACTGGGAGTGGGAGTAGCAGAGTGCGAGCCATAGAGCATAGAAGACGAGGACATCATGCCCATTGACGAAGACGGGGTGGCCCTGCTGCTCGCCGCGGGGACGTCGATGGGGATCTGCGAAACCCCCGGCATCATTGCCCTCTGGGTGCTCTTGCATGAGCACTGTGTCTCTGTCACGGTCACCACACGCACTTCGGCGGAGGCCTCGGGTGCGTAGGCGCGCTTGTGGTTGGCGGGTTCCATGGGCTTGCTGGCGTGGCGGGCGCCGGCTTCCACGTTGTTGCTCTTGCACAGGGATCCCGAGAGGTCGTTCATAGCTTATTTTGTTAGTATGTACTTCCTTGATTGTTTTCATGCTGCAAGAGATCGTGCTTACTGATTCCCGTGCCGGTGCAGGCCTCCGCGGCGCCATCGCCAATGTTGTCGAGGGCGTCCTTGTTGGCGCAGAAGCACTGAACGCTGCTCAGATCGGAGCAGTCGGAGAAGTCAGGCAGGCTCGCGCTGTTGATGAGGGCCTCCTATTGGATAGTGTTAGTGACAAATTGATAGCCCGTATAAAGAGATATTCTTACCGCGCACGCTGTGTAGTCAGCAGTCGACCTAGCGGCAGCGCCAGCAATGAGGAAAGCAGCAATGAAAGAACGCATCTTGCTTGATTGGATGGTAGGTTTGTTTTGGGAGTATAGAGAAAGAGAGAGAGAAGTGAGGTATCAGAGGGGGTAGCAGGAGATAGAGATAGAGAGAGGTAAGGAAAAAAGCCAGCGCGGGCATGTACTCGACTACAGGTTTTAAATACTGGCATGCCACGCACCAGAAATGAACAAAGTAAACATCCAATCCCTTGGTGACGTGAACATTCTAGTGCCATCCTGTTATGTGTTCCTATAAACTTCTGCTGGCATGGTCGGATAATACGGCGCCCGACACACCTAAACAGAACAGAAACGCGCAATGCTCCCTTCTCTTCCCTTCGTTTCCTGGCAATCGGCCTGGAATGGCAATGGAATGTGCCAGTTGCCATGTACATACATACGCGGGTCGTGCCTGGGTCTTATCCCTGGCTGGGTATCTTCCGAGGAATGCACCGTGCCAGGAGACGGACATTTAGGGTTACACGTACAGTTGTTTAAATTCTTATTTGGATCTGCTTGCTGCATTTGTTGAATGGAGCACTCTGGTGGTGTTAATTTGAAGAGGAAGCTGATTGTCACACAGTTGTAGTTGCTCAAAGGTCAAGTTAGGGTTACTTATAGCGGGGCCTCCACGATCCACATATTTTGTATGATGGGAGTTCCGCGGTTTTAAGGCCCTTGAATCGCGGAAGCTTATCTACGGTGTATGGTACAAAACTGCAAACTTATCACTCTATCTGTATTATGCGGCTTCCGCAACTCCTCAAAACCCCCGGAGCTGCAGATGCGTGTCATAAATTTTGTTTGAGTAGGGCTCTCTAAACATAGCTCCTTAGACCCTAGGGAGTGGCGGAACTTTCACTATGGCAAAATAGTTTATACCATAGTAACACTTGGTATGCGCGATTCCTATAGCTCGGTAGAAGCAAGCGAACTGCAGAGCTCTATTGCCTCAAACATATATGTTTCACCTTTGAGACGCGCAAGGGATGTCTCCTCTCTGGTATGCATTCTGAAGAACTTGCCAGATATAAATAAGGTTGACATACCTTGACCACAGTCGCCTGGAGAATCTATATTTTCCAAAATGCACCAGAATATATATACTGTATGCAACTGCCAATTCATATTTATGCACCATAATTCTATGCAAACGTAGAGGGTATAGACATCTCAAAAGAAACAGCAGAAACAGAAAACCATTATACACACATCATCCATCCGTGTCGGAAGGGGTTAATGATGACCCTCAGTTGGCAATTCTGCAACCTCACCCCGAGCATCCATCTCCTGAGGAATATGCGACCGGGTATTATTACCCTCGACTTCAGTGATAGGAGGAGAACTGCTGCCTTCGACTTCAGAGAGATCAGACTTATGCCCTGTAGTGGGGTACCCGTCGATTTCGGAGGGATTGAGCAAAGTTCCATTCCCTCTTTGAGAAGAGGGTATGTAGGCCAGTGGTGCACCGTTTTCCTGTGTCATTGAGCGACGGTTTTGGTCTCCCGAAGCAGCAGCAGCGGCAGCTTGGTTCTTCTTCCTCCTCATCAGGAAGAACATGAACAGAGCAGCGCCGATACCTGCAACGCCCACCACACTGCCCACCACGGCGCCGGCAATAGCGCCGCTGGAGACCGATGAGCCGCCGCCGGAGTTGGTGCTATTGTTGATCACGTTGAGGGTAGGAGTTGAGCTCGCCGCTGCAGCGGTGGATAGAGGCTGTTTCCCAGCGCCTGTTACATGTTCATTTATATAGGCGTCCCCGACTGTACTGATGGGGACAATCTCTAGGATTGCTGTCGAGGAGGAGCCCGAAACAGAACCAGATCCAAGCGCGGTAAGCCCCGTCGCCCACGTGGACATCCAGATCACGGTGTTGGTATCCGTGCATTGGAAGTCGGTGACTCCCAGCTCTGGGTATGTCCATGTCACGCACTCCGCGGCCGTATTGTCAGTGCAGAGTTGGACGAAGTTGTTGTCCGAGTATGACATGAGACTTGGCGTCGAGGAAATCTGGTCGGCGTTGTAGCAGGTACTTCGGAAGCCGCAGGCGGATGAGCCACCGTCATCTAGACAGCAAGCGACCATGCCATTGTAAGTGGCGTCGGGAGTGTGGAAAATGCATGCATAACCAGGATTGCAGAAGATTCCTCCATCTATTTCGGTTGAAAGACTCAGGTTAGAGAAAGAGAAAAAAGCTGATTGAAAACAATCACCGAGTCCATTGAAACGAACCTAGTTGGCCAGACGAGTAACCGCAGAATTCGGAGCCCACAGTCGATGTCAAGTATGAGACACCAGCACTCACACTGTATAATCGCCGTCCAAGTGCACGTGGGAGTAAAGGCCCGTCGGTGGGAGCCGGGGGTTGTTGTCCCCCTCGACGGTCAAAATCATATACGGGCGTTGCTCGAGGCTCCTCGAAAGGGATCGCCTGAGCCGCCGGCACAAGCGCAAAAGCAGCATAGCAAGCAGCGGCCCAGAAATTGGCCATTGTGCTTGACTGAGATGTATGCGATGTTGACAAGAAGAAAGTCAGGCTGCGAGGCCCGTACGAGCGAGGGCAAGGCTCCTAAAAATATCATTAACCATGGGGCAAGGGACTAGCCCAACCTCAGCCGCCGAAATGAGCCTCGCGAGCCCTTTAGCTTAGTGCTATTCTCGGTCAAATCTCCTTGTTGTTCTCCACTTTGGGGCTCCCTACCGGCACCAGCGGAGAAAGGCTTCACTTAGCGGCCGCTTGGGCCGGCCCTAATAGCCCCCGCTAGGAACTTGTATGTGGGGGAGACGGCAGCGTGAAGCCTAAAGCGGTATAGGTTTTTCAGGTGCGGGATGATTATTGGTCTGTTTGTGAGCCCCAACAGTTGCTCGATTGCCCATCTGTTATCGGTGTCCTATTTATATCTCAGCCATCAACTGCGTACATGTTATAGTATTTCAACGTTATAATATTGACTGGAAATGTACGCTTCGTTTCGCTTTCACTGATTATGAAGCCCTGGGTCAAGTGTTCTGTCCATTCACGATGGCATTAGCTTGTTTTATTCGATCGACCTCGAACTATGCTGATGACTGTGCTCCTCGGGAGTCCTCTGTAAGTGCCGAAAATGGTGATGCGCCCCAGAAGATCGAGATGAGACAGGGGCCAACACGTCATGCCACCGGGGCAGTGTGTTCCTCCGGACGATGATCAGTGCCGGTCCGAACGCCCAATACCAAGAGAGCCAGTCCAGTTTCTCGCTAGTTGATTGTGACTGTCTATTCACGTCGAGAGTGCCTGAATCGACCGTAATTGGCTACATTCCATGAAAACGAGCGCCATCGAGGAACTCACTAATTCTACTTTAAAAAAAACAATCAATTCCGGGTATACCAAACTATCCCTGCACCTCTACACCCTCGCTCTCGTATGAACATAACAACAAAAACATGAAGAAGAGAAAGGGTACCACAGAATCAAAAGGGTAAATACCCCTGAGAACCAGCTCAGAACTTCTCACTCGTGACGCACCGCGTCGAATTCACCAGCAACCACGCCAAGATCTTCACCACCATTGTTAACGCCTTGACCACTAGCTCCAAACCCCAGAACAATACCCGCAGCCCGCTGCGAGTGACACCCGGTAACTTCTCTCCCTCGCGCGCCGAGCCAGGGGCATAACGGCCATACTTCTCCAGATCGAATTCCTCCACAACCGGCTGATTCTTCTTCTTTTTCTGTGTCGTAGACCACGAACGACCCCAGAACCTAAAGAGCCCCCGTTTCTTGGGATCTCTCATTGTCTGCGCGGACTCGATCCGCTCTGCAAGCTGCAGACTCTCTTCTGCGTCTTCGCGCTCCGCGATGGTAGTAACCAGTTTGCCTCGGAACGGCATTGTGCGCGTAGCGGAGTCATGTTGAGAGGAACGCGGGTGCAAGGACGGCGAGCCGATGGACATATCCGCCAAAATAGGGTTCGTCGCTTCGTCGGAGACGGCAACGGCCATCATCGCCGCGATGAGTGAGTCGATCGCGTACAACGACGGGATCGTGGCAATGACAGCCGCGGGACAGATGGAGAGAGTCTTGGTGCCGAAATCCAGTGCCGCAAGCGGCTCATCCGAGTCTGTGACTGGTAGTGTTGACGTGCGCGGATCGGCAGCTTGCTGCGCTGCTTCCATGGCCGTTGACGAAACTGGCCCCGTGACGATGATAGTGGGTGGCTGATGAGGCTCAGCATCGCTGGACGGTGCAGAGACGGCGATATGAAGCAGCCCCGAGGACTGAGATCGGACGGGCGACAGTGGGATCCCCGCTGCGCCGACGAGGGCGGGCGGGTTCCGCTTTGAGAGCGAGGGGTGCCGAAGCTCGTACAGCCGGCTGTGCCGGTTCCAGGATAGTCGGCATGATTCTTGGGCGGCGGCGCGCTTGAGCGCATTGGCTTCTACCTCCGCTGCCTCAGTGGGTGAGAGGTGGTGCTCTTTGCAGATTTCTTCGGCTTGTTCGATGGCGAGCATGGCTGCTAGTCTGGAGAAGAGGAGGGCGACGAGTCCGTCGTGTGGATGGTCGCGCCGGCTGCGCTCTTCCAGGTTTAGCATCATGATTGGGACATTGCTGTTCGGTTTTGATGGGTCTCCCCGTGACAGCGCGATTTCGTTTGTTGAGTATGTTTGAAGAGTATAGAATGGCTGTTGTGAATGCCCAAAAGTAAATGTTGCCGGGTCGGTTCTATAGTCAGAAGTATACGTCAGTAACTGAGTTATGGCAGTTATATACGATGATCATACTTCGTCATGCGCAAACTGAATGTCCCACAGAGCTCCGGTGGCCGTTGCCCATTGGCAGTCTCCCACAATATCCCCAGTTCCGAGGTAGACGAATATCGAATCTCTTCTGGGTCCAGCGCATCGGTTGGAAAGTTGAGCAGGCTCGCCGGTACGGTCTTCGGTCCTAGGAATTGATCGATATCGGAAGTCGTATTGAGAGTGAGCTTTTCTGGCTTGTGCGTAGCCCTTGAGGGCCGAGTCTTGGCCAGCTGGGGATCGAACTGTGGGAACATGGATCGTATTGGGACCGGCGACATCGAGGACTGCGAGGACTGTGGTGAGGTAGCCGGCGTAGCGGTGGTCCTGGTGCTGCTGCTGACGGTACTAGGGCTATCATGCTGCCGCTGTGTATTTGCTCGGCGACCTTGGCTTTTCGGTGTTTGAGGAGATACAGACCCATGCGATGGCTCCGGCGTAGATCGCCCGACGTTCGTAGTTGTCTTCGAGCCCTGAGTATCCTCGATTATTTTTAGCGGCGCTCCCGCCGTTTTGTTCAGATTTGGTCTGCGAAACGGGTTCTTGTTCAGCTTCACCTCTGGCGTGGGAGGCGGAAATAATTGGAACTGGCTCATGGCGAGGGATGGGTGCAGCGATGCAAGCCTGGCGAGGGGACAAGGATGCTGGGTATTCTCTTATACATCATTCCCGGCACTTCGTGATGGACTAGCCCCGGCGGTTATAGTTCTAGGACCGCGCTGATTGGATGTGACCGGGGGAACATGGACTGCAGCGGCGCTTCGACGGCGGATCCTGAGTGGCTGTTGGGGTCGGAAAAGGCCCCAACCAGAGTACAGAACGGCTATATTTAGTGTCTGCAGCGGTCTAGCTATCGCTTGGATTGGTTTATATACAGGAGTCATATGGTACAGTGTTTTTATTCCCGCCCGTGCTCGGCGGCTTCGGCGTGCATGGTGTGCGTGAGGACTTCCGCCATGGCGATGGCCCCGTCCATGTTGCCCTTGTTGTACAGGAACAATCCCTGTAGCGCCGCGGCGCTGGTACTTTTGGCCCGGTCGGCCTTATGGCCATGCTCGTCCTCGATCAGTCCCAGCTCCTGGAGGCGATCGAGGAACAATTTCCGATGTGACCCATCCGTGTCGAGCTCCTCGTAGAACCGATCCCAGAGACGGCCGACCTGGTAGCGCGTCACCTCGCCCAGCCGCACGGTCATGTCGACGCGCCCCGGTCGGACCAAGGCCTCGTCGAGCCGCTCGACATGGTTGGTGGTAAGAAAGACGATCCGCTCCTCCGCACTGGCGACACCATCGAGCGCGTTGAGGAGTCCGGAGAATGTCACGTTAGCTCCGCGGTAGCCATCCGCATCGGACTGCGCACGCCGGTTCGAGAATGCGGCGTCCACATCCTCCAGCAGCACCAGCGTGCGGTTCGGGACTATCGTGAGCAGATGGTTAAGTCGATCGTCGGTCAACCCTCGCTCACTGAGATTCAGGATGGCAATGTCGTAGTCCAGCTCGCCTGCGAGCGCCTGAATAAAGGAGCTTTTGCCCGTTCCTGGGGGCCCGTAGAGGAGATAACCCCTCCGGTAGGGGATACCACGGTCTTGGTACCAGTGTGCACTCGAGATGAAATCCTGGACATCCGCCACGATGCGTTCCTTCACGCCCTTATCCAAGACCACGGACTCCAGCGGTCGCTTCCGTCGCGGGTGTCCAAATGGCCGCCACTCTGTCCCCCAGCTGTTGTATATGGTTGTTTTCCCCTCGTGGGATTTTGCGGCATAGGCATGAGCTTCGGTAAAGAGTTCTTCGAAGATATGGCGATGCGAGTAAAGGGTGGTGAGGGTGATGGTCTCCCACGGCTTTCCAGTCTGTATGTCGCGTGACTTGGATTCGCGCACGCGGTTGACGAAGACAAACGCGTTTTTATAACGGAGGACATGTTTCCCTGGCCCTGGTACGAGGGAAAAGTGGGTGTGAATAGCTCCGTTGGCGTGCTCGACCTTTTGTGTCTGGATGGAGAGGTGTCGCATGCCCGGCGTGATTTTTTGGAGGAGACGGTCCATGAACCCGGAGGTGTTGGCTGCCGCGCGGGTCGCACTCAATTGGGATTGTTGGTAGAGGGTCATCCAGTGTAGGAACCACGGGTACGAGTCGTCTTTGATGCTGATCTCGACATCGACTAGCATGCGCCGACGGAGGAGTGCCGCGCCATGTCGGACCCCCTTTTGCGCGAGGGTCAGTCCCGCTCCGAGACCTGCCAGTCCAAATCCCTAGGGAGATTATCAAGTCAGTCAGCGTTCGCAGCAGACGCGTGGGGGATTTCTCGTACTGCGGTGAATAAGGGATTGTTGGTCAACTGCGACCAGAGACCGCCATCGCCACTCGGGGCCGACTGCAGCGCATCTTTCTTTTGCTGCAGGATCAGCTCCGCCGGTGAGACTGGTCCGGCAGGCGACCCTGGCACGCGTCCATTGGAGTCCATGCCAGCAAGGGAAGAGTGTGGGAGATGAAGAGAGAGAGAGTTGGTTGAGCGATAAGAGAAAAAAGACGGTTATCGGGGGCCACCACGGGCCGACACAACGGGTGCGTTATGGGGATCCATGGACTGGCAGTATATTCTACACATACTATACTAGGGATATCTCATACGATTTCCTATAGTTAGTACTTTCTTAGTAGTATATGGCGAAGTGTACCAATGAACATTCCGTCGGGGCAACTTGCAACCGACCCGGAGTTAGCGGGCGAGCGCCTCCGGTCTTTTACCCTTGCATTGCTGCGTTCTCACTCCCTAATCGCCGCATAAAAAGGTAAATGCACACCCTTCTGCGGTGGCCTATTCTCCGTTGACCGACTCAGACTTAGAGGCCCGGGAAGTTTGGCTTTCATAACATGACTAACCCCATCACCAACGCCGCGCTGTATGCGCTGACGGTCTCTGCTGCGCCGACAAAGCCGGGGCCCGACGATGCGGCGCAGAAGAGTCACCACGTCCCATCGGGATTCCGGAATCCGTGGGAGTAAGTACTGCAATTGACACCTCTGGCGCACCGCTAACGTTGCTCGGGCAGTTCCTTCACCGACCTTAACTTCAAGGTTATCGCGCAAATGATCAGGTGAGTCGGCCCTGGGGAAGCCATATTGCATTGTACCATTTGCTCACTCGTCCTGGTCGCGCAGTCGTCGCTTAACCGGAAAAGCCAACGTCCCCGATACCACGCCGCCCACTGTCCCAGTGCGGAAACCCGAGTTTCTTCCCAGCCGCGAGACCTCGAAACTGCGCGCAACATGGCTAGGGCACGCGTGCTACTATGTGGAATTCCCCAGCGGCCTTCGAGTGCTCTTTGATCCGGTCTTCGAGGACCGCTGCTCGCCATTCTCGTGGCTGGGTCCCAAGCGCTTCACCGAGGCACCGTGCCAGATCAAGGATATCCCCGTGATTGATGCTGTGGTGATCTCACACAACCACTACGATCATTTGTCTCATCCCACCGTGACAGAGATCGCCAAGAAGCATCCCAACTGCCACTTCTTTGCCCCGCTGGGCAACCAGGCGTGGTTCCATAGCTGTGGGATTCGCAGTGTGACCGAGTTGGATTGGTGGGATGAGCGGGATATCACCCTGTCGCCGTCGGCGCAGAAATCCACCCAGGTCGACGCCGCTGGCGAGGCCCAGCCCATTGCGGCGGACATCAAGGCGAGGATTAGCTGCCTCCCCTGCCAGCATATGACCGCTCGCGGGCCCTTTGACCGATGCAAGACCTTGTGGGCCTCTTGGGCCGTCGAATCCGGTGGTAAGAAGGTCTATTTTGCTGGGTATGTCCGTGATGATCAACACCCGAGAGCTGTCTACTGATTGTTTGTGCAGAGATACCGGATACCGAGCTGTGTCCGAGCAATCGGAAGGCGCTGAGGACCGGGGTTCAGAAGAAAAGTTACCCACGTGCCCTGCTTTCAAACAAGTTGGTCAGTTCCGGGGGCCCTTTGACCTTGGCTTGATTCCCATTGGCGCGTATGGCCCTCGACACATCTTTAGCTCTGTCCATGCAGATCCCCGTGACGCGGTGAAAATATTCCAGGATACCAAGTGCGGCAAGGCGCTGGGCATGCACTGGGGGACGTGGGTGCTGACGGAGGAAGACGTGCTGGAGCCGCCGAAGAAGTTGAAGGTCGCGCTGAAGGAGCACGATCTGCCGGAGACGGGGGTATTTGACGTGTGTGATATTGGAGAGAGCCGGGAGTTTTAATCAGAGTCCGCCATATAACTAGTCATCGCCGTTTGTACAATCACTAATCATACATACCGTTGTCTGTGTCCGATGGATCTAATAGGCAGCCTCATGAGCCGGGCATCAACATCACCCGATCGGGACTAGCGCATTAAGCTCTCCCACTGGGAAAATTGATTCGATGGAAATCATGCGGGAGAACAACAGCGGACCTCCTGAGCTGTGATTCTTCCACCCACACTCTCTTGTTGTACTCGATCCTGCTCCCTTCGTTTCCCTTATCCTCCCTAAACCAGCAGAAAAGAAAGATACCACCGCCAACATGCAGGCCCCGGTGGTGGTGATGAGTAGGTCATCCCCGTGCGACCCCTCCTGGTGATTGCGTTCATGGACTGACGGACCGCCAACCCAGACACCAATGCTGGTGACAGACAGGTCGGTCGCAGAGCACAGCTGTCTAACATTGCCGCTGCAAAGACGTACATCCCCCCCACCTTATCGTCACGTACCCCTCCATACGATGCTAATTCGACCCCAAACGCAGTGTTGCCGACATCATCCGGTCATGTCTCGGTCCCAAAGCGATGCTGAAGATGCTCCTGGACCCCATGGGGGGTATTGTATTGACCAATGACGGACACGCCATTCTGCGAGAGATCGAGGTGTCGCACCCCGCGGCCAAGAGCATGATTGAGCTCAGTCGGACGCAGGATGAGGAGGTGGGAGACGGAACCACCACCGTCATTATCCTCGGTATGATCCTCGCCCATCTTGAAATGGTATATCTGACGCAAAAGAACAGCCGGCGAGATGCTGGCCCAGGCCCTCCCCCAGCTCGAACGAAACATCCACCCCGTCGTCATCATCTCTGCCTTCAAGCGCGCGCTCGCCGATGCCCTCACTATCATCGAGGAGGTTTCCGTACCGGTCGATATCCACGATGACAAGGCCATGAACACCCTGATCCAGTCCTCCATCGGAACCAAGTTTGTGTCGCGGTGGTCGGACCTCATGTGCGGGCTGGCATTGAATGCGGTGCGGTGTGTCTCCTTTGACGTGGGCGGTGGAAAGCAGGAGGTCGATATCAAGCGGTACGCCCGAATTGAGAAGATCCCCGGTGGTCAGATCGAGGACTCCGAGGTCATCGACGGTGTGATGGTCAACAAGGATATCACCCACCCCAAAATGCGGCGGAGGATCGAGAACCCCCGCATCCTGCTGCTGGATTGCCCGCTCGAGTACAAAAAGGGCGAGTCCCAGACCAACATCGAGGTGTCCAAGGAGGACGACTGGAACCGTATTCTGCAGATCGAGGAGGAGCAGGTGAAGCACATGTGTGAAGCCATTCTGGCTGTCAAGCCCGATGTTGTCATCACCGAGAAGGGTGTTTCCGACCTTGCGCAGCACTTCTTGGTGAAGGCAAACGTCACGGCCCTCCGCCGCGTCCGGAAGACAGACAACAACCGCATTGCCCGCGCAACGGGCGCCACGATCGTCAACCGGGTCGACGACATCCAGGAATCCGACATCGGGACCCAGTGCGGCCTGTTTGAGATTGACAAGATCGGCGACGAATACTTCACCTTCATGCGCAAGTGCAAGAGCCCCAAGGCTTGCACCATCCTGCTGCGCGGCCCATCCAAGGACATTCTGAATGAGATCGAGCGGAATCTACAGGACGCCATGTCCGTTGCTCGTAACGTCATCTTCCACCCGCGCTTGTCCCCCGGCGGTGGTGCCATCGAGATGGCCGTTTCTGTCAGACTCAGCCAGCTGGCTCGGTCCATCGAGGGTGTCCAGCAGTGGCCATACAAGGCCGTCGCCGATGCTATGGAGGTGATCCCACGGACACTCGCTCAGAATGCGGGAGCGAGCCCTATCCGTGTCCTGACACAGCTGCGCGCTAAGCACGTCGAAGGGCATTCGACCTGGGGTCTGGACGGTGACACTGGCAAGCTGGTCGATATGAAAGAGTATGGGGTGTGGGAGCCGGAAGCCGTCAAGCTTCAGAGTATCAAGACGGCCGTCGAGGTATGCGATCTATCTATTGTTCTACTGTCTTACCATCTGCTAACTCATCTTTCTAGTCTGCATGCCTGCTTCTCCGTGTCGACGATATCTGCAGCGGCAAGACTGCGCAACAGGCTGGTAACGCCGGTGGTGGTGAAGAGTGATAGACACCTTGAGAAATGGTACATAATGCTATACACGATTTGCCTCTGGGGTGTTTCTGTATGAATATCCTAGATCAATGAACACAAAAAAAGTTTAGATGGGTATCTTCTTCAACAATCAGTCATACAACAAATTAGTCCTCAATCATCCTCGTGTATAATAACACCAGGCACTTCCTCCTGCGGCGCTGCTCCCCCTATCTGCTCCGCCGCATCATCCTCATCCTTTCTCTCCGGACCTTTCTTATCCACATCCATACTCTTCTGACCCTTCAAATCCCCAGCCGCATCCCGTTTATTACTACCATTCCCCCGCTTCGCGGCGCGCTTCTTCTCCCTCCTCCTCCGATTCTTCTCCGTCTTCTCATCATCCTTCATCTTCGTCTCCTCCCGCATCTTCCCCCACTCCGCATCGTCCTTTTCCTTATCCGTCTCCGCCTGCATCATCCGCAACCGTTCATACTCCCGTCGCCGACTCGCCTTGTATACGTGAAACTCGCCCGAGCCCGCACCCGCCGACGAGCCCTGCACATTGGCGACGATTTCGGGCGGCGCGGCCAGCGAGCCGCTTGTTCGTGGCTTGACGCTTTCGGGGAGTTGGATCTCTTTGTTTGGGTCCCGGAAGAGGGAGGAGATTTGGCTTGCGTGCTCTGAGTGCGGTGTTACCGCGCGCCGTTTGGTAGGACGATTGCTGCGCGAGTCGGCGCTTGTGGGGATGGATTGAGGGCCTGGTTCCGACATTGTGGGAGTGTAGGATGTCGGCTTCAACGAAGAATGTAGATGGCTCGATTTGAGTTGTTTGTCGAGTTTTCAACTTGTAATATTCTCAAGTGACGACAAGAGATTGGCCAGTGTAATTCCACAGCCCTGACAAGGCACAGTATAGGAAGGATAAGGAGACCGCTAAACAGACAATGAGTATCAGACTGAGCTGGCGTGGTAGAAAATCGGTGGTCAGTAGCAGAATCCCATCCTCACCGCCTTGCATCCGGGAGAACCATAACCCGTTATCGCTTATCGGTCCAGCCTACTCCATAGGCCGGTATGGAAGTATACAGTTTCAAAAAGTCAGTCACCACTGTAGTGCAAAAAATTCGATACTCTGTGACTGTCTGTGAACGTATAGTTACCTGTGACTATCGTCGACTAAGCACTCCCAACGAAACCAATTTCAAAATGTCCTCACCTGCCATCTTTGTTTTCCTGCTTCCTTCCGATCTCGTCTCCACAGAATCTCAACTTCCCAACTTGATTCGACCTCGAATTACATTGCTTTCTTCATATCCTCCCTGTCAGGAGATACCTCGAGTCTTATTTTCCTTTTTCTTCGCATCCCTACCCTCCTTACTGTCATCACCCGCATGGACGAAGTGAATGGGCCCTCGGGGGCTCCCGACGCCCAGGTACGTATATCCACGAGTATGCTGGATTCCTCCATGGAGTATCTGTCAAACCTAAAAATATACACTGTAGCTGGATGTCGGTGATGCCGTCCACCTGCGGGTGGACCCCCGTCGCCGAGGATATGTTATTGTAAGCTCAGCACTCCCTGCCTGCAGTACACACCACAACAAGGTTAATACTCGACGACAGCGCACCTACGCAAATGTATGATCTATCAGAAGCTCGAACTATTTTTACGCTAATTTTCACTAGGCTCCAGGCCGTTTGAGCCATGCGAACAGGCTCATCCTCAAACATACGGATGTCTCCGAGGCCGACCTCAAGGACTTCATCTACACCAACACGGTATGGACTGAAATCCAAGTCTTTGAAACAAATATTATTTCTAACATCATTTTAAAGCCCAAGGAGGGCTACGTGTTTGTTTCCTTTGCCAATGTCGCCCAGGGCTACGCTCTCATCAAAGAGAGCGATCTCGAACTGATCGATCGCCCCCTCAGGGCGGGCGCCATTGTTCACCGCGGCAAGAGCGATTCCGTGCACGGGACCGTGCTCAATGCCACCCGGACTCTCGATCTGGAGTCTATAATGGTCCGGGTTCCTGGTGCGCCCCCGAACGAGCCGACCTTCCAGGATCAGGGCGTTGTGGGCACCACCCCAACCAGCATGTGGCGTATCCAGCTGCACGATATCCCTGCCAAGGAGCTGCGTGGATACGATGAGTTTAATCGTGATGACTTTGTTCTCATTAATGAGAAATTGGCAGTCATTGAGAAAATTAGCTGCGACTGCTTCGTGCAGCTCGTCGATGGGACTGTAACCAAAGTCCCCCACGATGCCAAGATCAACGCCTGCGATGCGTTCGCCATTCCCACGACTCTGTCGCAGAGTGCCCTCGTTGCGTCCCCTACTACTGAGGAACAAGTAAAAATGTCTGTGGAGTTGCAGCCTGGTGTATGGTATCTCCTACTTCGCCCTGACTCTCTTCATCAGCTCCATCCCGGCCAGCGCATTCTTGGGTCTCCCGATGTATTCAGAGCGCTGCCGTTTCTCAAGGGCAGATTTCACGAGGACATCATTCAGCAGCATAATTTCTTTGAATGCAACATCCTCGGCCTTGTGCCGGCCAAATACCAGGTGCGCTGGATTTGTACCAATCCCTTCCTAGCAAAGGTTCCTCGCCTCGGCCCACTCCGAGAACAGATTACCGCGGACGCCTTTCACAGTCGAGCTCACAAGGTCCTGCCGGGATCTAGACACATGGATAAGGTTTCTGGTTGCACTGTCATGGCTCCTGCGGACTACTGCGTCGGTGCCCATGTAATCTTCCGGAATATGTGCGCTGCTGGTGCTAAATACCCTGACATGGGAGTCTTTCCGACTATTTTTGGAAATGATTTGAATGTCTACACCGTTACAGCTACTAAAACACGGGTCCATGTTCTCTGGGAGGATGGATCGCAAACAACCGAGTCCTCAAAGGATCTCTGCGTGGGAATCGCGCCGGAGTCGCATGAGGATGAGGAGGATATCCTCATGCCAGGGAGTCTTGTGGCTGCTATCAGTGGCATCTCAGAGAGCATGATTCCTCGGGAGGATAAACTTCTTAGTCTTTGGCTCGGCAAAGACTTGACGAACGACAAGATCTCATGCAAAAAGGTGGGTGTCGTGCAGAAAATCCAGAACGACACGCAAACCGCGAATGTCAGATGGTTCGAAGAACCCCACGTGGAGCTGTTCCAGGGAGGATCTATTCTGGACATGGCGTCTATCTTTGGCGATCTCGAGGATAAAGAACATACCGTCTCCTTGGATTATTTGGAGATGTACTCGGCCCTGAACCGTCGTGTCGGTGACCTTATTATTTTTGCTCCCCCGAGAGTCAGCCAGGGCATGATCGACAATGCATCTGGGATGTCGAATATTCCCGACGTTGGATTCTGCCACTTGGAATTTCTCTTTCCGGTGAAGCTTGCTGATATTACTGAGTACGTGTCCTCACTGCGAGTTCGACTTGTGGCGCAGAAGTGGTTTCTTGATTCCACGATGATCGAGGCGGAGGATCCACTTGGCATATCGGGTGTCTATTTCCTCGCTCAAATTACTCGTTGCAACCTGGATGGCACACTGACCATTGAACCTTTGGGTGACTACGGTGTCTACGGAAAGAGTCATTATGACTTCAAGATTGACCAGGAGAGAGCTTTGCTCGCCATCCCACGAGACACTGGTCCGGGTCTGTGCTTTGATGACATGGAAGAGACCCCATCTGGGTCTGGTGATGGCCATGGTGACCGTGGTTCAAACGGTGTGTACAGTCTTACGGATGTTTCTTATTCGTCGAGTGACTACGACGAGGATCACATTGAGCGGAATTCGGCGATTCTTTCTCCTGGAGGAGCAGGTTATGAGGCCGATGAATCTGACTTGTCTGGTGATGATGATTTCGTCCATCCGAGTCGCGACGAATTGCTTCAAGAGCTCGCCCAAAGCGTACTGTCTACTTTTAGTCTCAATATTGAGGAATCTCCCTCTGCTGAACAGACTGCCACTACTGAGCAGCAGCTTACCGCTGTTTCTGCAGCCAGTGAATCTCAAGCGGTTCCGGTTGGCTCTTCAGATGATGAAGAGCAAGCCCAAAACTCCTCCTTTGGCCTCGATGGGGTGAGCGAGACCATATCCGATATCCCGTCCAATTCTCCTGACAGCGAACTCATCATCGAAGGGATCCCGGGCACCCCTTACTCTCCCTCGAAGGTTCCTGACTACAGCGAGTCCTTCAAGAACATTCCTTCACGTTTCCCCGATGCATTCTCTGTCCTTGATGGAGAGCCTCCGAAGAATCACCACTTTATTGATCAGCCCCAGGCTCTTCCCGAGGCTCTTCAGCGTCTTCACTGGGACTTCTCAATTCTCCGTACTTCCCTTCCATCTGACATTTTTGTGCGAACCTGGGAATCACACATGGATCTTCTGCAGGTGTTGATCTTTGGCCCGAAGGATACCCCCTACGAATTCGTTCCTTTCTTCTTCGACATTTACCTGGGCGGAAAATTCCCTAACGAGCCCCCGGAGGTCTTTTTCCACAATTGGAAGAACGCTACGTATGATATCAACCCCAACTTCGATCCCGATAGCGGACATGTCTGTCTTAGTCTGCTGGGGACTTGGATGGGATCAGCCACGGAGCGGTGGTCGAGAGATTCAACCATTCTGCAGTTGGTTGTTTCCATCCAGGGTCTCGTCCTTGTGAAGCATCCGTTCTACAGTATGTATCTGTCGCTCTGTCTCCCTTCAGCCGTACTGTTACTTAATTTTCACAGATGAAACTGCCTGGGAGTACATGAAGTCTGACGGGAATGATTTCGAATTTGCAAAGCTCTACCACGAGAAGGTGTATCTTGCTTGCCGCTCACAGCTCTGCCACATGGACTTCAAGAGAATCCCTGGGTTCGAGGATGTACTCGTGTGGTACTACGTTCCTGACCCCGACGCCGACTCCGATGACGACGATTTCCCGAACAACCCCACGCGTCGTCCCAACTATCTGCACAAGGCTGCCGTGAGCCTCAAACGGGTGATTAATTTCCACAGCATCAGCATGGGTACGAGGATACTTTTCGGCCTCGACATTGGGGCCACTGAGTTCATGGAGTGGTTCAGCAAGGAGGCGCTCGAGAAGATGTGGCCGCTGTACAAAACCCTGCGGGAGATCGAAAGGAAGGCTGTTACTGCTCTTGATGCGGGCTCAGTTAGTGCTGGGGAGGTGGATTTGGGGCTTGAGTAAATGGGATGCGATGAACGGACTTTTCTTTTCGACCTGTATGGAAATGGGCAAGAGCTGAAGAGTTAAGACGGGGGAAATTACGGGGATGAAACTTTGACGTTGTATGAAAACGAGCCATGATGTACAAAATCTACTGTTTGTTTATTGAGTTCTCTAAGCATCATCTTGTCAGATGGAGGCAGAAGACAGAATTCTATCTCGCTTTAGATGAGGGTTAAGTAGAGGTATTCTGCTCTAAGATGTACCTTGACCTTATCTGTACGACTATTATCCTTTTGGACAGCTTTCCTTGGCCACAAATATATAGGAGGGAAGCAAGGTAAGCGACTCATATTTTAACAGTGAATAAATAGTAATATTAAAAGTATCCCAATGTTTTATCAGTGTTTCGGTTCTTTGTTTGTCTGGGAGTTACCAGTTTGTGGTGCGCGAGACTGACCCTGACCAATAAATACCGGGCGCTCCCACGTCACTGTTCCTTCCTTCTCTTCCAACTTCATCTCCCCCGTCTTTCCCACATCTCCCAGATCGGGCTGGTTTCGGTCCCAGAATCCAGCCAAGTTGAATTCTGTATTCCAATTGCATCTCTCATCTCTGATCTACTCAGTTTATACTGCTTCACTCACTGTAGCGACCGTCCTCGGCGCGTTTTGCAGTTCACAATGGGCACTTATCGTTTCGGTAAGCCTCGATTTTCTTTGCTTAAATTTCCTAAAAACAACCTCCCCGGCCAAAAAGTTTCATCAGAAAACTCTATTTTGGTCTCTGCTGGCCAGATATTCGTGCTCTTGTCCATTGTGTCGCGCCTTCGAGCCGTGGTTTGGAGCTGGCGATGAGGCGGAGCGAGCTGGATATCGCTATCGATAACGCACCGTGGAATGCTGGTTCCAACCAGTAACTCCCATCATTTCATGAATGGATTTTTTCTCAATTCAGATCTGACTCGTCAACAGAGGAGGCTAAAACTGGACGCGCCGGCTGCCAGAACAAGGAGTGCAAGGACGCGAAGGTCAAGATCCCTAAAGGTGAACTTCGCGTGGGCAGCTGGGTCGATAGCGGCAATTTCCAGTCCTGGTTCTGGCGACACTGGTGAATTTTGCATCGAAACCAACCCGTAAATTGTCTTCTAACCATTTTTAGGGGATGCGTCACTCCCAAGATGATTCACAACGTCATGGAGTCGCTTGATGAGCTCGATGACAGCTCTGGCGATGAGAAGAACCTTTCGCTTCTTGATGGCTTCGATGAACTGCCCGAAGAATTCCAGGCGACAGTTAAGAAGGCCTTAGAGCAGGGTCACGTTGACGACAAAGATTGGAATGGCGTAAGTTCCTCCAGCTTTGCTGTTGTATAACTCGTTCACCTCGCTAACTGATTTCTTTTTTTACCAGGATGCTGAAGTGAACAGGCCGGGAAAGTCCGGATTCCGTGTTCGTGGCAAGAAGGGTGACGACGAGGTGAGTCGACCTCTTTTGCTGCCATATATGTACCTATAACTAAGCGGTTTCTAGCACAATGAAGAGACCCCAAAGAAGGCGACCAGCTCTAAGAAGCGTGGCCCCGCTGACGAAGATGAGGCTGAAGACTCGAAGCCCATCAAGAAGACCAAAGTGGTCAAGAAAGCAGCGAAGGATGAAGGCGCTGACTCGAAGCCCAAGAAGAACGGCACAAAGGTCACCAACGACGACACGCACGAGGAAGATGAGCAGAAGCCCAAGCGTGGTCGTTCCAAGAAGACCAAGGCTGAGAACGACGGCGATGCCGAAGCGAAGCCCAAGCGTGGCCGTCCCAAGAAAGCAAAATCGGCTGAATAGAGCTGTTTCGTTCTTTTCAACTCCGAGTTCTGCGCCAATCATGTCGCCAATCATGTTGGAACCCAGCATCGACTATCCTGTCTCCTTTAAGGTGGTGCACGGCGCCTCGGGTCGTACTCGTTTTACCCACTGATGGAATGTGTGGGTGATATGGGGATTGTACAACTATGGTTACTGGCACTGGGCGCGATATCGTGTCTGCCCTTGCAATGAAATGTGGACGAGAGTTATCTGTATCAATATGAGAGAGATATTTTCATTCCATGTGCTCGAATGGACCATTATTCGAATCAAATAATCGTTATTTTACCGAGTACGTTCGAAACCATTCTTTAGCAGAGATGCCTACGATAATTTTCGCGGGTAGGGCGCACTGTAAGCAGAAAATGACAAACAGCGAGGATGTAGATGTAGGGTTGGCGTCAAGGAGATAAACAAGATGGGATACACACGTTTGGGCTTAAAGGGCTGCTCAATTTTCTTCTGTGCCGGTAACTCCATTGAGATGATATTCATGCCTCTAATGGAAGAAGGGCCTACCAGTTGATTAGTCCTATGCGATGGAGATGCAATGTCAAATATGCTCATGTTCATGCAAATTTCCCTTAGAACCGAAGCCTAAATAAATAGCACGCTGCTCCGTTCATGAAAGTGCAAAACTCACTGCCTTAAAACAAGTCTGTAGAAAAGCAGCAAAAATAGGGCCAGAAACAATCACTAAACTTCCTCGGATCCAAACATCTTCCCCATTGTATCCCATACGTAAAACCCATTGAGAGCGTAGAGACTAGGTTTCGACGCCACGGCTGCGAAGCCAGACAAGAGGGTTGGCGTACCTCTCCGGACTCTCACGCAGCTTCTTAGCGTACTTTTCAAAAACCGCATTGCGCAAAAGAGGGCAGCCATTCATGGCCCGGTTGAACTCCGCGCCATACTTGTAGAGAAAAAGCAACATTATGTCCGCGAGGAATGCGACGACCCAATTCTGCATTCCATCAAACGAATCAGACACATTTCCCGCATCGAAAACTCCCCGGGCAACTGCAAGAAGATCCTCCAGCATGGACAGTCCCTGGTAAGAATTCCAGGCAACTTGCAGCTTCAAGACAATCTTGTCAATCAGCGCATCGAGCCGGAGGCGTCGTGCGTGAATATACAGCTCTCCGAGGGCGATTATGTGTTCATGCAGAACATTGTCAGAGTAGACATCCTCCAGTTTGTATCTGGTTCCAATCAGACGCACATCGCCAATACGCAGCGTAGCTTGCTCTTCATCGTCGATATCGCTGTCTCCCGCGTTTGCCTCGGAATTCTTCAGGATGAGACGAGGACAGAAGTCGTCGGTTTCGAAGAATGACCGAATAAAAGCCCCCTGCGGACCATGCGTCATCTCCACAATTGCTTGGACAAACTCGATATTTTGAAGAATTTCAAATTCATTGCTGAACGCCGTCTTCACGAGATCCTGGACAGGTGTGCCAAATATGTACTCCCTGATCTCCATAAGTGGATTTGGCTTGATTCTGTGACCTTAATTAGCCTAATAAATCTTTCAACGAGTTGGGTCAATTGATTACCTGATAGATTCGCGGTGAGGCTGATTTGGAGCCTCCACCTCCACTTCCACCTCCATAGAGGCCTCAGGGCTGAGCGGGTTGACAGGAGGAGTTTGTAGACCGTCGATGGTTGGTTCACCCGCCTCATAGAAACCATGAACTGTAGCTGACGTCTGTGTGCTCATGTCTCCATTTGGGTCTGTAATCATGTCTGTGTTTGCCACGATCGCGTTCATAGTCCCTGCCCCTGTACCAGGGGAAACAAAAAGAGAGTCGTCTTGCTCAGCGGAGCCGGAGAATTCATCTCGATTAAGAGCAGTCAAGGCTCGAGAAGTGGAAAACGAGTTGCTGCTAGCTTGCACCTTGCTAAGAGGCTCTTGAGCGCTGAGTTCACCAAGCGTTCGTTTGTTAGGATGCAAAGGCTTCGACGCTGAGCAATCGCCTTCCCCGAGAACAATGTTGTAGCCAGTTGGCACACATAGTTTCAGATCGGTGGTAACGAGATCGCCTTTTTCCTTGCGCTCCACTTTAATCATGTCCAACCAGAACTGCAGTGAAGGCTTCTGCTTCACGATAGCTAGTATGCTTCGAAAAAGCTTTGCAACGGGCTTGTCGCTGAGTTCCGCCTTCATAGACGGGGGCCTAGCCTCAATCGTGAACATGTCATCGGTTCCGATCCATCGGCTAAATCATGTTACTACCATCTAGTTGGTTCATCATTTGATGTGACTTACTAGGTGTTGCAACCAGGCAGATAGACCGAATATTTTCGAGCCCTACCTGAGGTTGTCCATTCTCCATCGTTTGTAGGAGTCGCGCCAACGGGGCGTTTACCAGTGTGCCTGCGGGGACCGACCTCCTCAGGAATGATGACTCCAATCCAAATCAACTTGTTGGGCTTTTTGAATCGGACGAGGTAGGTGTCGCCGACTTCGAGCTCAGCGTTTGGGTCGACCGCGTTCAGCTGGCAAGACAGGAGAGAGAATTGAGCCATTGTAACTCCTTTCTCGAGAAACGAAGTGAGGTATCTAGACGGAAGATCAGTAAAGCTAAAAGGAACAGAGAGACCAAGGATGATACCTGCCTGTAGGTGAGAAAAATGAGAATGAATTAATGAAGAAAAACTGTGGATCAAGAGCATGTCAGACGTAATCGGCAGGCATGAAATATGGAAAAGCACGAGAAGGAGTATGATAGGAGCTGTGAGAGGCCAGGAGAAATGCACAGAGAAAAAGTGGCCGACTGGAAGCTGGCAAGAGATGACGGTAAGAATAGACATTAGTGGTGGGTGAACGGAGAAGTAGATGGAAAGAGAGGGGGGGGAGGAAGAGAGCGAGGACCAGAGCCAGTCAGACAGCCAGACAGCCAGGGAGAAGGAGAGGGTGTGACGATATAGGGCTGGAAAGGCAATGACTGACCGTGTGGAGTGGAGCTGGGTGGTATGTGGGATACAAGACTAAGGTGAAGATCAAGATGAAGATCAAGATGAAGATCAAGATGAAGATCAAGATGAAGATCAAGATGAAGATCAAGATGAAGATCAAGATGAAGATCAAGATGAAGATCAAGATGAAGATCAAGATGAAGATCAAGATGAAGATCAAGATGAAGATCAAGATGAAGATCAAGATGAAGATCAAGATCGAGATGAGAATCAAAGATAAAATGAGATAGGTAAGGCTTGTGGAATGACATGAACAGATCGCCATGGGAGATATATGAAAGTGAGTGAGAATGGAGAGCCGACTTGCCTGAATTGTGAGATGACGGATGGGTAAGAGAAGATAGTAAGTCCATTCGAGGACAGGGCAGAGGATGAATGTGGGCGTGGTGATTCAGAATGTGAGTGAGCTCATGGGGTTGAACGAGAAGAAGGCATGATTTACTTGCTTTACTAAGCTGGGGTGTGAGAATGTATGATTTATGTATCCGAGTTAGGCAGGTGGCGAGATTGACGAGATCCTGTAGAAGTGAATATCAGAGGCAAAGACAAAGACGACTGTGGTAAATCGATAAAATCCTCTCATAGATCTCGCGTGCGCTTTCTTACCAGAGAAGCATCATTATTGATCAATGGGAAGGAAAGTCATCAAATAAGATAGAAAGGGCAATACTCTGGAAATCGCCCTGTGGATTGGGTAGTAGGCCACGACTAGAATGTAGATCGCGGCTATGGGGGACTCGAAATCAATATGGTAATATTAATGTACCGTATGCAATGATTGAGAAATCAATATATTACTTTATGAGCTATATTCTAGCCTACAGTTCCTAAATTGCAGCGATATTGTACTGCCAACAGACGATGTCTGCTATCCAAATATTTGGTTCTTTGTGGAATAATACACGTTGACCAGCATTCGGTAAAGATAATTGGATAATGTATGTGCATGAATCGAATGAAACTACTAGTAATATCTAGGGCTTTCGCGCTCCCAAAGTCCATCAATGGAATGCTAGCTGTCACAATCTTAGAATATCATTGTATGAAAGACTAGCTTTTGAAATAAATTGGTTGAATGGGGAATGATAGCAGAGATGCCATATATGGTAACGATCTTTCTAATAAATGCACGCCTAGACAGCATCGGGGAACGGAACGGGATTGGCCAGAGTCTGGGGCGTGTTAGACCGCAGCGAGGGCCCAATTAGATGATCAAAGGACGGCGAGTGCGAGACGCGGGGCGTCAAGTCCGTCAGATCCCAGAGATAGCCCAGGGTCTTGAGCACGGAGGTTGCGCTGTAGGACGCTGATTTGCCGGTGGCAGGATCCGTGCCCTTGTTCTCAATGTGGCCCTTGGGCGCATATGGAGAAATCAGCCAGGTGGGCATCCGGCCGCCCAGACGGTCATAGTTCAAGGTGTAGGTGCTACCGTCAGGCGCTACCTCTGAGTAGGTTTTGTTATCAGGACGAACGGCAAGCGGAGCCGGAACGTGGTCAAAGAAACCACCGGTTTCATCGTATGTGAGCAGAAGCAGGGTCTTGTCCCACTGGGGGCTGGTGCGGAGGGCGTCGTAGATCTGCTTGACAAAGACCTGTCCGAACGACACATTGCCTGAGGGGTGCATCGAGTTGGTGTTCAGGCCACAGCAGGACGGGTTGATGTAGGACAGCTGGGGCAGCAGGCCCAGGTAGGCGTCCTGGAAGAAATTCTCCACTGGGACCACGTTCGACTTCGCGTTCTTGGCAGTCCAGTTGAAGAACAACGAATCCGGCAGGAAGGCACCGTTGGTGCCGTCATAGTTGCGCCATGAGATGCCCTTCTCGCTGGCGACCTGGAAGATGCTCGGGACGTCGACGCCGGAGACAAGGAAGCTGTTGTCGTTCATACCATGTCCGTCGGCGGTACCAGCAAGGGCACACAGGCGGTTGGGGTTTGTAGGCTAATTATAAGTGTTAGCACGCTGGGGAAAACAAAATGGTTTTGGCGGACATACACCAGGCACGCAAGAATGCCAGTAGTTGAAGGTAGTGAACTCATCCACCAGGTCGACCAGAGTCGGGATCTCGCTCTCCGAGTAGTAACCCATGACCTCACGGGAAGCAGTCTGCGTAGAGATCTTAGGGTAGGCGTCGCTCTGGCGGTTGACAAACCCGTTCAGGGTGGGAGTCAACGAGCCATTGGCAATGGCGGCATTGTTGGGCGAGTAGGTGCCGAAGAATTCGAGGTTGTTGCCGGTGACCGAGTGGTCTGGGTCATTCAGAACCGAGTCAAAGTCCTTGTAGACGCTGCAATACTTCTTGCTGTGAGGGTCGCTCACATTCTCCGGGTTGCAGAAAGGCCCGTTGTTGACGACGTTGTCGAGACCCTCCTTGTGCACGCCACCGAGGATGTTGTCAAATGCGCGGTTCTCCAGCAGGATCCAGACAACATTCTCGACCTTGTCCTTCAGATTGGTAATGGACTCCTTGGATCCGGCCTTGTAACCCCACGGCTCGCTGCTCTTGTGCACAGCTGCGGCGATACTGGTGCCACACAGGCCCAGGACGGATGCGAGGGCGCTTGTCTTCATGATGAAGTGGAGCAACGTTAATCGAACTGAATTGTTGCCTAGGGCTCACCCGGCTATTTATGTGCCGTCAGTCTTTAATTGAACGGCAAATGAAGATATTCCCTCTCATGCACATGCTCGGATCGTCCCTTGCGACAGGCTGCCTTGCTGCGATGGACCGATAGACTTGCACTAGTTGTATTAACAAAGTGGAACAGCGCTACAACTACTCCAATTATGTATCGGCACCATATGTGACTGTTGTTTCGCTAATTCAGGGTCAAGCATGTGGGCATGCCTGTATCAACCACGGGTGGGTCGACCCATATCCTCGGGGCCAATTACACCCGCTCGGTCCCAGGCACCGGGCACGTGGGCCTGAGCATTCGCCAGGGAACAAAGTAGACGAGATTAAATATCTACGTGAGGCAATTAGTTGAGGCGGCCGAGTTTCTCATTTGCTATTTCTTAACCATCCTCGGGTTTGGATCAACCCCACCAGTTTAGTACACGACGGACAAGTGCCGTCGCTAAAGGAGCGTGGATATAATAACGACACAGTAGCAGAAGAATCAAGCAAGAAGATAGGAAAAAACAGAAAGGGAATGGAGAGGAGCATAGCGATCATGCAAAGAGATTACCAAAAGAATAGAGCTGGAATAAATCCAACCAAAAAGTGGCGGCCAACCTCCCGAGAAGAGAATGTTAGCATGCTCTCGAAGCAAAAATCACTGTGTCAATCTCTGGTGCGATGTCAATAGTCATTCGGTTGAAAGCAAGAAAAAACAGATATCTCCTCCCATGTTCGATTCAATCTCCCACACGCGTAACCGGTTTGAGCGGCAGGAATGCAACCAGCTAGAATAGCTTAGATGGACGAATGGTGCTGTGGAGTAAAAGAGTATAAGCAGTCAGTTCACATCAGATAAGAGAGAGTATGAGCAGTGACCAAACGACAGGAAAATAAAAGATGTTAAAAATATCCTACCGGATCTCCGCCAGATCGTCCATATGGTTGCACATAGCCACAAACAGGTCAAAAAATAGCTTGCCGCCATTCTCCATCTCCATCTGCATAGTTCCACTCTTCTTGAAGGTCTTGCGGCTGCGGATGATAAGAGCCAGGTAATGAGCGCGCAGTCGAGACTCCGATTCAGGTGTGTGATCATACGCAAAGCGAGCAGATCGCAAGATCACGTCGGCCGGGATGCCGGTCTGAAGGCCCTGCTTGCGGAGAGCAAGGCGCTTCAGCTCCTCCAGGCCGTACTTCTCGGCTGCGCAGTAGACCACTGTGTCTCGGAGCACGACATCTCCCACAATAGAGTGGAAGATGGTTGCCTCGCTCGACCCGCGGCCACCGGAGTTATTGAGGTCCTGGGCGTTCTCGAGATGCCATGAGTCGCGACGCTTCCCATGCATCAAGCGTGGGTAGTAATCACCCTTGTACAGAAACTCCAGGACACATGACAAGATCTCGGGCTCCCTGATTTTGTAAGAAACTAGTATGAAGACTTTAACAAATACTTACTCGTCAGGTAATTCCACCCGCTTAGTGCCGTCCTGCAGGGGCTGTTCCTTGAGGATGGCGTCCAAGTACGGTGAAAGCGACAGCACATCTTCATGCGCTGCGAAAAGACGCTGTTCCGATCCCACGACCATGGTGATGATGGGACTGGTAAGAGGGCTGGTTGGGTATTCTATCAGCTCTTGATTTTCTCTGAAAATAGATTTAGGCTCACTAACTTAGCCCCTGGAGGGGTTTCTGCCTTCTGCTGCATCTTCTGCTTCGCCTGCTCGTCGTACTTCTTCTTGGCAACCTTGACGGTCTTACCCGCCCGGTTCTTGGACACAAAGGAGCGCTTGAACATAACCACGACACAAGTGGCTCCACTCCACCGAGTGACAGCCAGTGTTGATCCGAAGGAATGATCTGAGTTGGTCAAAAGAAGGAATTGTCGACGCTGCTAGACCATGCACAGGGGCACGTGAGAGTCTGGAAACCCTTTCCACGAAACGAAGCTCTCCGATCGAGTCTTATTGAAAAGACCTCAGAGAACCAAGTCTTGGATGGCTTTGCGTGCGCGGGTTGGTGAGACCCACGTAGCGCAGTGTTGTCGACTCTGGCAGGCGTGAGAAGAAGAAGAGCGGGAGGGGGCACGAGCGACTATTTAAACGGCCCCGTCAGGTGATATCAAATGCATGATCAGGACTTGGACTAATATGGATGTGGCGCTAAATCCTGGTATGGTATTGGTCCAGTGTCTAGAGGTGCTTGGCAGGCAACCACAGAGGGGTTGGCAATTGACAACACACCTAGGCACCAAACAGTCATGGTTTATTTCCAATATAACGAACTGTGAAAGCTGACAATTGACATAACTTGCATAATAGCTGGCAAAAGGAAAGGGTCGTATATAGGTCGCCAGGTTGAATGGCTCATCCGCCCATTTCAATGTCACAATCGAGTCAACAACGATAGTTTCCCCACCTGCGGGTACTGCATGAGGCTCCTAGGCCTGTTCCCACATCCCATAGTATCTACAGGGTAAGAGATCCACATCCCGCAGCCCCCATCACAACTCCGAAGCTGGAGAAATGACCAGCAGTGACGCCGACCATGCCATTGCCCGCAGAACATTGCGTGTCCCGCTCTCCAGAGCATTGGACACAAGTCGCAGCGGTGCCGTCGCTGTAGTATTCCTATCGGTAGTATTGTAATTAGTCCACGCAAACTGGTATTCAGCGGTGTGGGGTTTCCTCACGGTTCCATAGTGCACGAAGTTATACGGAGCGCTGACGTACATGTTCTGAACACGTCAAGTTAGTACCCATGAACAAGATAAATATATCAAATCAGAAGTCTTGGAGCTACACACAGGAACGCCGTCGTCAATATTATTCCCACGATTCAATGTTCCATTCTGCGAACTTCCAAAATTGGCCCACGCAGCGTTCCCAATGGGGAACGCTGCCATCGCATTGCTGGTTATCTGCTTGTCAGGGAAATTTTGGGCCAGCGCCACATAGGAAAGATAGGTCAGCGAGCCACCAAGAGAATGCCCAGTAGATTCCAGAGTATAGTCTGGATACTGTTCGATAAGAGACGCGACCGCAGAGATCACATCAGTATGGACCGATGACCAAGGACTGTAAATCCCCTGCATTATCTGGACTCCAGATGGAAACTGGACACCTGAGAGGGACGGGACGACCAGGGTCGTGTCAATATCGTTGGCAATATCGACAGCTGGGGAATATGAGTACTATAATCTTGCAGGAAAGCAGAACGGGAGACCAACTGGTCGTAGAGCCTCTCATGACGACAGAAATCCTTTTTTTGGACGTCGAGTACCCAACGAAGCCCTGCGTGGTGTTAATGGTGTATTTCTAGGAGATAATGAGGAAGGAATACCTGAGTGTCGGTAATGGCATCGTTAATCTGCTTCGTGATCGTCACATCAAACGCCGAACCCGTGCATCCAGTATAGGCAGCGGAGGATAAGTCGGCAGCCCTCTGAAGCTCGGGAAAGGCTGCAGAGTCTAGCCTCAAGCTGTCAATTAAAATGAGCAACTACTCGAGTGACCTGACATACCGGCGGTGGCCCTCGATTGCAGCGTGGGGATTGAATAGGCTTGGGATACGCAAGCCATTCCAACGGAGAGGGTAGTAATAGCATGAAACATCATTTTGAAGATGAGATATATGGAATAAGTAATTGTCAAGCTGGAGGAATCTTGAGCAGCTGGGTTAAAGGATGGATCGCTGTAGAACTGGCCCTTAAATAATCTCCTCCATCTCGTCCATAACGTCCGACAGTGAAAGATAAGTGCCTCGGATGTTTCCAAATGCCCAACATACTCCGAAACAAGATTCCCCGACGAGAATATCGCAATCAAGAAATAGCGTCTTGGCCTGCACAAATTTGATACAAATAAACTTTCGGAGCGATCGCCGTTCTGTATTAATCAACAAGACGAGTGGAATTATTAGGGTTGGGTGGGCGTGAGCCGAGGCGAGAACTGACGCTTAATTAGATCTGATGCTCATTAACACTAGGATGAGCTTTATTGTTTCAAGTAGACGCTGTATTCTTGAGCAGCAGAAGTTGAGCGTTCTGGAGTTGAGTTTCGAGGGATAATGTTCAGCGTCGTCGGAAGGAAGACAAAGCTCGGACATATTTACGGACTTCATGACGTTGCACGGCAATGGAAGTCTAAGTCTGCAATGAGAAGGGCACTGTGATTAATGCTGACCTATCTTGCAAAAGAGAGTCATGCCGAGGCAATAACGTGGATGGTTGCAGCTCCGCTTTGCGTGAGGAGAATACTGCGTCGAACGAGCTACAGTAGTCCAAGGAGATACTTCGGCCTCAGAGTCCTATTGAGGTCAGGGGTCTGTAGATCCTAGTATATGAACCCCACCCGCCGAATAACGTGTCGAATGTGCAACGTGCAGCATCAAGGGGACAAGGCGTAGGCCCAACGGAGAAATCCGGAAACAAATTAAAGTCTGATCTAGAACATGGGTAATGCAGAAAACTTGACATATGTTATTTAAGAACAAAAAGTGAGGGGCCACAGACTGCTGGAATACGCTTAATATTCCACAAATCAACTTTTTCCATTCTAGGGCAATGCCGAGAAAGTGGTTCGGCAGTTGAGGATTTGGCATTTGGGACCGAGGCTTATGTGCCCAATGTATCATGACTGCAATGTAACACTGACAGGGAATTCCCCGCATTTCTCGTATATCAACTTGATACGGCAATGGCAATCGATATTTCGCTTCGCCTTACCCTGCATTAGGGTGTATAGAAAGGGACAGGTGATCAGACAGACATGTCAAATAGATGGATCTGGCCGTTTGGGCGAGAAAAAGGATCTCGACTAAATTATCGCTAGAAAACTACACATAGAGAGAAAATCAGGAGAAGAAATAGGCTCATTTACACCCACATATTAGACACTTCATCTCCATCTCCATCTTCATGAGGATCCCGATCGGGCACTAGGGCTCGGATGTGGCGGTGCACAAATTTGGTGTGGCGAGTGCGGGGAACTGAGGCGCAGTCAGTGATATCATCGGTCGGCGAAGTGATTAAGAGAAAGCTTGATCTGCCTGAAATTCAGATCTTCTTGTAAATCATCCAAAATATCTAACCATGACTGTCCAACATTTATGATTGCCTTTGGTTCACGCACTATTTACCAGCAAGAGCTGACCTATCAACCAACCCTCTCCCATGCGCTTGGACCCAACAACCCTACGCGCTTGGTTTATGTTTTTCCCTGAAACACCCCAGCAGCTCCCACCCATTTGAGTCCACCATGGCAAACGACTTTATCCACCAAATGAAGAGCCGCCGGCGTTCGTCACAGGTCATGAAGTCACCCAACCCCGTTCTGACTGCTGAGGACGAGGCCTTTTTGCAGCAAGTCACCGCGCAGCCAGAGTCGCCGCGATCTGTTGCTGACGGTGAAAATCCGCCACTGGCCGCGACTGAAGACCCCCGCAGCCACTGGTGGTGGATGACGGAGCTGCGAATATCCCGCTGCCCGCATCGCCTGCCGACGAACTTGGAAAACAGCTAGGAGAAGAGGCGCGTGAGAAGTCCAAGGATGAAGCGTCGAAAGCTGAGCCGGCGAGTCAATCAAATGTGAAGGCGCCAGAGAAGAAGAAAAAGAATAGATGGAGTGCTATTTTCACCAGGAAGAGTTCAGACTCGAACAAGGTGGGTTTTATGGCCAGCCAACCGTCGTCCCCTGTACATGCTAACCCAGAGGTTCTAGGGTAAACAAGCAATCAAATCAGATAAGACGCAATCATCTCAAACCAACAACGATATGTCGACCAATAATACTCAGGATACCCAGCAAGATACAGAGGATATAACGGACATTCTGGACCGGCTCAACCTAGCCGCCGACAACAACCGGGTCTTCTCGATCAGCGACGAGACCCAAGAATTGTTGCGCAAATTCAAGCTGATCTTTAGAGACATGGTCAATGGGGTCCCCACAGCTTATCGTGACCTCGAGAGTCTCTTGACAAACGGCAACCGCCAGCTCCAGGACACCTATTCGAAGCTGCCCGGGTTTTTACAGAAGCTGATCGAGAAGCTTCCCGAGCGATGGACCGAGACCCTTGCACCGGAAATGCTTGCAGCGGCCGGTGCGCGAGCTAGTGCAAGCGGTGTCAACCTGGAAAATGTGGGCAAGGCAGCTGCCGCTGCCCAGAAGATCGGTATCGATGTCCCGAGTTTGAAGGATCTGGTGGCTAAGCCGACTGCCCTGGTGGGGATGCTCCGGTCCATTATGGCGTTTCTACGTGCTCGATTCCCGGCCGTGATTGGCATGAATGTGATGTGGTCATTGGCATTATTCAGTAAGTGACTCGGAGCCACTCCGCTCCTTGGTCTATGCTAATCTTTCCGGGGGTTTAGTTCTACTGTTTGTGCTCTGGTACTGCCACAAGCGCGGCCGTGAAGTCCGCCTTGAAAACGAACGGCTGGTGACCGAGGAAGAGATCAACAAACTCAACCAGGACGCCTCGGAAGGCAAAATTCGGCCAACCGAGACCCTTATCACGACTGCACCTCCAGGCGCCTCGAGCGACGAGGTGCGCCAGGGGGTCAAAAACGTCGAGGAAGCGCGTGCTTCGGCCGCCACCGAGCCCGATGTCTCGGAGCCGCCGGAGAGTGCGCAGGGAAGGACTGTTGATGGCAATCAGAGCCCGGCCCCAACACCATCCCGCTCCAAGTCACGTCTCTCGATCTTCTCTCGGTCCAAATCCCAGTCGACGCAGGATGTTGCTCCTTATCCGGGCACTTGAGACCGCGCCAGCTGAAAAATTGCCATGCTGGTTGTTTGGTGATCTTGTTCAGGGGAAGGCGTACCGTGGTACAAAATCGGAGCGGGCGGAGCATCGCGGGTCTGGTCCAGTAAAGAGGCGCCGGCGATTACCAGTGAAGATGATGACTCATGGACATGTTTATTTTTTATTTTTTATTTTAGTTTTTCGTCTGGTGATCTAGAAGTGTAATACCGATCGTTGTGGAAAGTCGAGATCCAACTAGTTCTATCCAGGGTGCAAGGCCGTGAAACATGCTCAATAGTCTAGCTAGGGTGGTGGTGGACAGAGTTTTATCGCATCGGTCAGCCACTGCGGGGGCGATGATCTCGGGCTCCGAGTCGGCAGAACGAAAGAACACCGTAGTTACCACCGGTTCGGAAGACGAACGACAATAATATACCGCAGAAGAATGTGAGTTGACCAACTGGCCAGACTAACGACCAGCCACACCCTAGACCAGTGCAGCGGCGATCGCGCTCCTTACCGCCCCTTCGTGAGAGTCCACCTATGACCGGAGTCCTGCAGGTTCCCGTGCCACTAGAACAGCCGCTGAAAAGGTCGGCACAGCCAATGATCCTGCTCAGGGCGTAGCCTTTGCGCATGATTCATCTAGCGCGTGTGTCATACGGGGATGAATCAGAAGTATCCTCGCGCAGTCGGCCGGGGACCCTTCTCGTGGGACGGGCCATCCACCCGGGCATTCGCCTCTCGACTGGGCCTCCCTCCCCTCCACCGGATGATTACCTCGAGTCATCGATGATTTAGTTTGTAGCAGAACAAGTAGAACAGAAGATGCGGTGAACAGAGCCAACGAATGAACTGTTCCCGGCGCCCATCCGCCCGGCCAATCAGCGTGGCTCCCCACTTCCCAGGAAAAATCCACTTCTGCCTCTTTTCCCGTGCCTACCCTTCTTCTTCTTTCTTTTTTTCTCGTCTTCACCAAGCCAACACTCTTCCAGCCCATTTACAATACCCTATTCGATTCTCATCCGAACTGCACTTTCTCCAGATATCGTCCAGAATTCCCGCCAAATGGCTGTCACTGGGCTGTAAATCCCCCGCTGGGGAGCCTGTTCCCAAGGCTCCCCAGTCCAGCAGCTCCCAGGATCCCCAATTCGACTCGATATCTGTTTCTCTTTCGACGCTGTCCGCTGCGTCGGAATTGCCCCCCAAGTACAGTCCCAGAAGAAGCACTTCAGCGTTCGTGCCGGACTGGAGGTGTTCCCACCCCGAGAAAAAAAAGTCTTTCCTCCCCCTCCTCCTCCGACCTCCCACCCACTCCGATCACCATAATACGAATCCCTGTTTCACGATATACGACTACGACCGACCAGTTCCCTCGGATTTTCTCAACCCTTCCTTCCCTCACCGACCACTGGCACTCGACCCAATCGACGTGCCGAAGGGAACTCAGCAAAAATTTTTGACGAACAAACGATATTGAATTTGCTGTCGTTGCCGAACATGCCACAATCAAGCCCTCACTCTTCGAAACGAACACCCAAGAGTTCGGCTAAAAATTCTCACCCCACCACCCCGCAGTCGAACATCATGCGGCACCCCGACCATTCCCCCAAAGGTGCCAACCAGAGCAAAAAAGCGGGCAATGCCCGATCCGCCGGCCGTACCGCGACGCAGAGAAAACGAAGAGCGTCGTCGACCTCCGTGTCGAGCGTATCATCAGTCTCCTCCCTGGAGGAGCTGAGCGAAGAAGCGGACGAGTCGGAAGATGACGCCGATGATGAAGAAGACCGGCCGCTAGCGCGGGCCCCGTCTTATGGGCGCAGTCAAGGCAAAACCTATAAGGCGGGGCGTCAACCGACCCAGAACAAGCGGAGACGGGTCATGGACCAGGAATATGACGACCATATTAGCAGCGACCCCGGCGAGTCGGATGACAGCTCGGATGATGTTTATGCGGGCGTCGACTACATCACTGACGGCGATGATGAAGAGCAGGATGTTGAGAAACTAGAAGAGATGATGATTATGGAGTCCGAGAACCATCATCGTATCCTGCCGACATCTGAAATCGGCCATGAAGGGATTGACTGGGTCAACTCGGGTACTTTTGAAGACCAGATGATCCTCCCCACAGCATCGTTCTTTGATGAAGAGCATCTGTACAGCGCCATGGATACATTTGGTGAAACCGACATGGCCAGCGAAGCGGTTGAGACTCCCATGCCCCGACGAGTTCACTTCGAGGAGCGCTCGGAGTCTTCGTCGGACAGCGACTCCCACACGGATGATGAAATCCCAAGTGATTTCCTACAGCAGGATAGCTTAGATCCGCAGCTGCGTCGCATGATTGAAAGTGACAACGAGGTGCACCGCAGCCATCGTCGCCAGTCAGAAGAGATGTTTGGCGATGCCGACTATGGCCACGGAAATATCTATCATGTTGAATCCAATGGTGGCTCTTCCGAAGGGAGTCTCAGTGGTTATGAGAGTATGCAGACGGACCTTGTTGACATTGCTGTATTTGTGCTAATCCATTTCCAGCCGACGATGGCGACACTACGGATGAAGACCTCCCGCCCCCGGCGACGATTACCCACCCTCGGTCCCTGCTTCGTCGGGACTCGGCTGATTCGCTGATTGCTGCGGGTGACGACAAGTGTGACAATCTTCCACGCCGCCGTGGACCCATCATGGGAACGTTCGTCGCCGATCCTCACAAGCCTGTGGCTCTGGTCGACTGCACAGGCAAGCATCTGGTGATCATTCCGGCCTATGCTTCCTCCCGTCACGATTGGCTCGACTCTGCCGCGAACAGCATGCCGGGCACTGCCAACAACAGCCCGCGACAGACCACTTTACACTTGGTCGATGAGAGCGACACCGATGCACTCGCGTCGCCGAATCAAACCGACTTTAGCCCGATGCTGGCTTCCAGCGCCAATCTCATGATGACGGCCCTCGGCAACGATCTTACACCCGGCGGTCAAGTTATGGGCCCTCCGGAAGCTTTCTATCCGTCGCAGGACTTGACGATCGATAGTTCCTTCGAGGACGACGACGAAGATGATCCGGAGGCTTCCCTCAATGTCGACGATTTCATCGATTTCGGCAATGACTCTTCCGACGAAGATGAAGATGAAGAAATGGACAAGCCATTTGATGACGAGACGCTCATCTCGCCCATGGCCCCGCCTTCCCTTCGGAACATGGGCACACCGACCCCGACCCGACACTCGGAGTCTCAGCAGGCCAGTAACGCAGAGCAGTTCCTCAACCACCTCGACAAGGGCATTGTGACGGCCTTCCGTCGCAACCATAATCGGTACCAGACACTGCTGCGTCTGCCCCAGCACCGCGAGTTTATGCCCGCCAACTCGCCTTCCCGCCCTGCCAGCGTTTTTCGTCACGCCAAACACTCGGACCAACGCACCCCGACCAGGAAACGCAAGGCAAGCGGATACGCTGGCGGCGAGGCCGTGCGACGGAAGCTCATGGACGCTCAGCGTCGTACTCAGCTCCCGTTATAAACATTGTCTTCATTTTTGTTCGAGTCTGTGACGGATTGACTCGACCGAGTACCACACCGTCGGTTCTTTACGATTCCACGAAATTTGGGGCGTTCTCCCTAAAAGATTAGCATGATACAAACGGCTGCTGTTATATGTCTACGAGTCGCTGGCAGACTTGATTTTCCCTAGGCGCATTACTTGGTCTTTCTTCCCACCCCTTGCCTTCAAGATCTTCGATTCTCCATACGATGGAGCTTGCTTTGATGAATCGACATGGATGAACAACAGCAAAGCACACTCGCATTTCATTCCACTTCATTTTCTTGCCACGAAAAATGACCCATGGCCAAAAGTTGACGAGCGAATCTCATTGCATTTGGATGTTGTTTTGCGCACTGTCTTTCAAATTTATTGCTTTCCTCTTTAACTTTCACCCACTCGATCTCTCTTTGGTTTCCTATGTGTTTTGTTGTTCGCGTGGGATGGTGTTGTGCCGTAAGACTTCTTCGATCCCGTGGAGTTGATCTGTTGTTCTCGTCGAATGAGCCATGGAATGATGTATTTGTTTATAGCTGAAATTTCAAGTTTCTTCAAAAACATCTTTTGCATTAGACTGTAGTTGCTTGCATAAAGGAACGCATTTTGTCCTCCGGCGGACGGGATCTCGGAAAATCTGGGGGTTCAGACGACAGGGATGAGCCCCACCTTATTGCTGTTTTCGGCCCGGAGAGGCGTCTTCCGAGAGACTGTAGACGTTTTGGGCCAGTTGCGAAAAGTATTTTGATGGATACAACCTGGTCAGGCTGGGGAAGCTCATATTATTCGTTCGAGGATGATGGTTTTATGTGATACTATCCCCTCGCAGTCTGTCAAATGTTGTCCTCCAGATTCGGATTCCCGGGACTTGATCACGACCCAGTCGTCGCTGGCATTGATCTGACTTTTTGTTTGATTATCCGGACAGCGAAAATAAATACGAAATCGAGATCCTAGGCGGAAGAATGGGCGTGGAACGGACAAAATGCGGGGAACCACACGAGGTGGCCAAACAAAATGTTTACGCTAAGCGAAGTTGGGCTGATTTTTCTTGGATTTTTTTGCCCGTAGTCCCTTCCTCTGCCTGGTCACATGGGCTCGCAGTTCTCCGAATCTTCATTGATCGTCTAACGCATCTAAGCCGGACCTTCTTCCCCACATTCATAAAAACCGATTCGTATCGTTGCCGAGTAATCCACAGCTCCATTTGGTCCCCAGACCCGTTTCTCGCAATGTTCCACACATTCGAAAGCGTGGAGAAGTCTGATTCAGGAACACCTGAGGGGGCTCGCAAGCGTGCCAAGCATCGCGAGGGACAACCGCGAGCAATTACAAACGCATGCACCTCGTGCCGGACTCGGAAGATCAAATGTGACGGCGAGCAGCCGTGCGAGTCCTGTCGGTGGTATAATAGGCCTGATCAATGCCAGTATTCAGAGCCGCGGGCGCCGCATAAGTGAGTCGCTTTTGCGATTATTAAATTGATGAGACCGAACTGAGCAGGTCAACTAGCCATCCTTCTATAGCCCAATATAAGAGCATCCTGCGCAAGATCTTTCCCAATGTGGCACCGGAAAATATTGTCAACTTGCCACGAGAACGACTACCGAGTCTCATGGACCGCAACCTCTTGCAAGCGGCGCTCAATTTGACGACACAGTCCCAGGCTTCACCCCCTGCCTCGGTCTCGGATGCCACATACAGTGATCCGCCGTCGAATGAAGTTGAGAATCTGGAGTCACTCCAGGCCATGCCGGAAGAGTTTCCTGATAACAATCCGGCGGGCTCCACGGCGTCTCTTATGGGAGCCTTTTCGGACGAGGTTAACGCTTTATCACTCCTAGTTCGACAACCTTCGTCCTATCTTGGAGTTTCTTCTGTACAGGCTGTGCTAAAGGTTATCACTTGGCTTGACCCCCAATGTGCTTTCCACTTTGCTCACACGCCATCCACTGAGAGGTATGAGCGGCCTTCAGACTGGATCCATCACATGCCGCTTCCACCACATCCACCGCCATCACTCTCGGAGCTTGAGATGCTCGATGCTTATTTCCTATACTTTCATCCATTTGCACCAATGTTAGACGAGCACAGCTTTCGCGAAACATACCGAGCCGGCCATAGAAAGGATGATCACTGGCTGGCGCTGCTGAATATTGTCCTTGCTCTCGGATGCATTGCAGCCACCTCTGCGAGTGATCAGTCCCACCAGTCCTATTTCTACCGGTCTATGAGCCACCTCAGCCTCAGGTCCCTGGGTACTTCAAATCTCGAAAGTATCCAGGCTCTAGGACTTATCGGTGGCTGGTATTGTCACTATATAAGCCAACCTAACATGGCATACTCCTTGATGGGCGCTGCTCTACGGATGGCAGTATCTCTTGGACTACACAGAGAGCACCCTAATAGACGCCAGCCGACGAACGATTCTGCAAGAGCCCAGACAACCGACTCCAACAAGGCGTCTTTAACGGATCTAAAACGTCGTATCTGGTGGTCTCTTTTCTGCCTGGACACTTGGGCTTGTGTGACCCTTGGAAGACCAAGTATGGGCCGGTCTGGTCCGGCTATCACTGTGAAGTCGCCCTCCGGCCAAGATAAGGTGCGTCCATTGCTCTCATTTTCCACTTTGTGTGCCATCGCCCTAACATAGGCTTGACAGGAAAATATTTTGGACATCCTTCCACTTATAGAAAACATCCGCTTTACAAAAATAGCTACCGAGATCCAGGAGGCACTGGCTGCTGTGCCACTGGTCAGGTCTCCAGAGATGTCGCGCGGCGGAGCGCAGCTGCTGCAGTGGTGGGAAAACTTACCCCCAGTGCTGAAGGACCATGAACCATGCTCCGAGAAAATCAGCATTGTGCGCACAAACATGCGTTGGCGCTACTTAAATCAGCTCATGCTGCTCTACCGTCCAGTACTCCTGAATTATGCAATCCGACGAGCTCCATATATCACATTGCAAGCTGAGGAGTGTGCGGCTATTGAGAAATGTCGAGAAGCCGCCGAGCAGACTATAGAAAGTATAGCTGCCACAAACAAGATGGACCAATTTATTTGCTGGAATGCTGTCTGGATGATCTTCCAGGCCACGATGGTTCCACTAGTTGGCCTGTTCATCCATGACTCGACAGCCAGTGATCCGCGCGCATCTCTAGAGTCCTGCAAAGCCCAGGTTGAGACCGCCATGCTCACACTCTCTCGTATGAATCCTTTTGCACCCACTGCCAAGCAGTCCCTAAATGCCATTTCTCGCATTTTTGAGGCTAGTAAGCGCCGGACACAGCCCTATACCCCCGGACAAGTCGAATCAACCGATGTCTTGCAAACATCCGATTTCGCTCACACTACTGAGTCTGCAGATAAAGAAGATGGATTGAATTGGCTGAATATCAAGATAGACAATTTCGATGCGCAGTATCCGTGGGATTATATGAGCTGGGGGGATATATGTTCTGGTGAAACTGGAGTCGACGCCCAATTAGACTTGATGGCGCCTGCTATTTCGGATGATGAGTTGAAACGATTAATGGGCTGAGGGACAAGGCTAGCTGGGTTGTGCAGTGGACTGGTGTGGGTGCCAAAAGGGAGAAACGCCTCGTGTACTTGTTCATGACATTTCGATGAGACATTGAGATTTCGATCTCCTTTCAAGTATACTCTGTGATAGGCCCACAATATGGGCAAAACAGAGGTTATTGGGGTTGATATTGAAGCGATTGAAGTTAATCTACATAATTAATTCGTTCATATCACCTTTCAGTACACTATGGTATAGGTCATGGTAATGAGTGACTTAAATGTATGGAGATATTGAAGGAGGCTAGGTCCTTTGGACAACAAGTCTGAGACTAGCATTGATCCTGAGGGGTCATTCCATTCAGAAGAATCAGCAGCTAGACGGGCTGATATTGACCAAGAGATTGGGGCTGCCACTCGACCAGCCAGTCCCAGTAAGTGCGGTATAGGCACTGACATCAATATCGATTGAGTTGGTGGAACTGCTTCCGCATCTCTCATCGGCGGGGACATCGGTCTTGCAGAAGTTGTATGCGGATTCAGAAGGGCAGCTTTCCAAAAACAATTAGTATATGCGATTCTATTTCTTTTCAGAAAGATGCCAACAACTTACCTATCAATAACATTGACCGTCACGCAATTCCCAACTCCACCAACAGAGGCACCTCCGTATCCACCAGTGTTACAAACCTGGAAACACTCGCCACAAGTGGTGGTTGGGCATGCGGGCCCAGTATATCCCGACACGGGGTTCTGCCCATCGCTATTGTTCCTTAGTACACAAACTCAAGATAGTCAAGGACGGTATCGCAGTTACCACTCGGAATAGTCGATTGATCCACTGCATTTATCACCACTCCAGATATTGGGGGAAAGATCCCCTATGGCCACCCCGTAGGTACCAGAAACGCCTGTTTTAGGACCACATACGGTACTAAGTCTATATCAGTCTCTTGACCGTGAAAAGAAGGAAACTCAGGAGTAGTAATCATACTTGCTCTGGGAGGCGTAGTCATTAAACGTGGCGACGCCACTGTACGTCGTTCGCTTCATTAGCGATGCCGAAGCCAATGCTCCCATGGCCAAAATCAAGCAACTGTACATTTTGATAATTTTCGACGGGGTTCAATGAGATTCTTCAGTCAAAATGATAGTAAATAGGGGGCTATGTATGCTGATTTGAATCGCACCTTATATTCTTTGCGAGTGTTATACTTTCCTTAATGCGTCGCGGATGCATCGGGATCTCCTCTTGCTACCTAAGCTCAATCCAGACCGTGTCCAATATGAATCTTTTGAGGGGTATTCCTGTTTATCCGTACGACGTAGATCTAATGTCTTTCTGTTTCTAAGTTATTCTTGTGTGTCCAAATATAGAGAGTATCAATAACTTTCGCTCTAGTTCCACCTCCTAAATTGATTTTCCCGATACATATCTTCTTCCGAACTCTGCTGAGTTATATATTTGGTATTTGCTATGAGAACCAACCTTGAAAGCAATGTTATCACTGTTGTCAATCCTGTATTCAGTGCCGATCGCTGCTGTTCTTGTCACGGGTCCAGTCAAGCATTCTTCAGGCCAATCTGGGCGCGGGTTGATCTCGACGAGCACATTCTGCTACCAACCCCGCAGTTGTTAAGATTGTAGTGACATTAGTAGCATGGACTAGTTGCTTTGCCCTCGCTTCGCTCAGGCGACTTTAGGTAAGAAAATTAGTTTTAGTAAAGGGTAAGAAGATAGACTTACTATGATTCCTTTGACAATAGGCTTTATTATCCACAATGCCCTTTTTACAGATGCGTCGAACGCATTAACGCGCCGGGTCCGTCTGAGAATAGTATAACGTAACCGGCTATGGATAACTAATCAGAAGCTGAAAACTACTTCTAAATAGACGGTACGTTATGGTAGATGAGGTTAAGAATAGAGGTATAATATGTCTTGTTTCCAGCATTTGAGGCATATGCCTCAATTTTCTTTCCCGGCCTTTCTCTAATTTGTTTCCGCTTCTTTTAGACTGAGAGAACGGGATTTATACGTATCAATCATTTGATTCACCGAGGAACTATGTGTTTGTCTGGAGATATAGCGCGTTTATTGTGCTCACACCATTATTCACTATAGTAGACCATGAAACTCCCTATCTCTCGATATTAGAAGGTACTAACACAAATATCTCAAATCCAGCAGATTCCTAGACAGTCGACTGCTGCACTGCGTCCTGACCATTTCCGGAAGTGGATCCACCTCTGAGGAGCAATGTGGCATCTGTGCTAGCCTTCCGAGGATTTGGCGCCTCAAAGACCTCGTCTAACTCTTCAAGGGTTCGTCCTTTAGTTTCAACGAAGAACATATAGATAACACAGAACTCTAGGACATCCCAAAGAACAAAGAATACGTAAAACCAATATCCAATCTTTGAAACAAGTCAGTGAATTGAGACAAGCCTTTGTGATATCCTAGACGTACCTTGCTGAGAGCTACGGGAGCAGCAAAGGTGTTAACAAATGAGGCACAACCACTAGTTATTTGCCAGACACCCATCCCTAAAGCATGCAAAGACACATGGTTAATAAAGCTGAAAAGGATACGAGAGAGTTGAACCGTACCTTTGGCTCGCATATCATTCGACAGGACTTCCCCTGGATAAATGGGCTGCATTGACGTCCAGGCAAAGGCAAATACCGACCCAAAAATATAGATAAAAGCAATGGACGCGTTTGAATCTAATTTACTGCCCGTGTGAACGTATCCTGCCGCAGTTCCAGCAGCTACCGCAAGGGCGAGAGTCATGCCAGCAGTTGCGCCCAGTAGCATTTTTCTTCGCCCAATAATGTCATGGAATCGGGCCCCTGCAATCGCCGGTATCCATCCTGTAATGGCGTAGACAATATTCAGGAGCAGTTTGGTATTCGTATCGGTGATACCGACGTTCTCCAGCAAATATGGGAGATAGTATGAGGCAACACTAAAGGGTTGTCAGTAATCGTTCAGGAATAATCTGCCTTGGATGTGAGCGCGTTGCCTTACTTGTTTCCAGAAAACTGGGAAAACCACGCAAAAGTCATATTGAGCATGAGGCGGTATCGTCTTGCTCTTGACTTGACAAGCACGCGCAGGTCGAAAAAGTTTCGCCAGCCCACCATCCCTTCTTCACTGAGGGATTTGGCCATTTCACTCATTTCAAGTTGTACAAGTGGATGGTCAGAGTCACCATTGGCATGAAACCTTGCCACGATTGCTCTGGCCTCCGCTGTTCTTCCCTTTCCAATCAACCTATTGGCTTCATAAGCGACTGCTTTCACATTGTTGGGGAAACACTGTTACCAACCATCGCGGAGATTCGGGACAAAACCAAATTCCTAACGCAACGATGCCGGGGCATAACATTTGGAGCCATAATGGGAGTCTCCAATCCATGTTTCCATGATCGGCAAGGTTTCGATGTGCTCCATATACGGCAGCGGTCGCGATTATAGATCCCTTGTTAATCATCAGCCCATCTGCAGACATATAGGACAGAGGTGCTATATACCAGGTAGTAAAGTGTGTTATAAAGACCAGCAATAGTGCCACGATACTGAGGAGCTGCAATCTCAATCAAGTATAACGGGCTGCTCATTGTCGCCAGGGTCGAAAAAAGGATAGCAGGAATCGACCACCGACAAAGGCTGGTATGGTTGGAGCAACGCTCGTTACAACAGTCCCAACGCATACCCCGAGACATCCCACAAAAATAGGAAGTCGACGACCCTGCCAATCTGCAACCCAACTGAACAGCGCGCCAACCATTTGACCGACCTAAGTTGTTCTCAGTAAACTTAAACCACCATTTTTCTTGGGATATGAGGATTGAGTGCATACGTTAAAGATAGAAAAGACAATACCAGTGCCCGCATTTCCTTTCGCCGGCAGATTATAGTATCGAGTGTAATTTGGTGTGGCATTGATGCTGCCCATCAAGCTGCCGTCGTAGCCTATCGACAGTAAGATAGTATTCTCTCAATATCTCCTTCCGTAAAAGAACCCACCATTCATAGTCGAACATAGAAAAATCAGCGCACAAACGGAATACATATGCAGATAGCCCTTGGCCCATGGATTGGGCTTCGAGATTTCCAGGGCAGCCTGAAAAGTGATTCCCTCTGCCTGCGCAATTTCGAGCTTCTGGTCATCTGCATTGTCAACATTCTCTGCAGACTTCTCCATTTTGAGGGCAAGAAACAGCTTTTGGAAAAGATAGCGATGAGTTTAAGCGATCAATAGGAGATGAGAATACCAAATTAAGCCGGCCTGACATGCCAGACCAGCTCTGGTCCGCGCTCTTTATGTAGCCCGAGGCCAGTCCGCTTAGCTCCATTTATTCAAAATTGGGTTACCCCGGACTTGTCGCCCTCCGCAATAGGTGCAATTGTTAGCCGGAGCAGCCCACATTAACCAATTTGGGCACGGTCTGTTTCTGTCCCTTCCGAATGTGGGGCAGGCCAACGGGTGCTATGTTGTTTTGCGAAAACATCAGGCTGGATTGTTTTTTGGAAGGTCCTAGAATCTTGTCGAGGAACATTGACTAATTGCGACGAGAGCAAATCTTTAATTGAGTCAAAACTAAGCCCATAAAGGGTCTAGTAATCTCATATGTACTGGCGACCAAGTCCTTTAATATCGTTCTCTGGGACGTATGTCAGAAGCTTAGATCTACTTATTTCAAGCCTATATTATTGGTGGGTTGGATTTATTAAGCCCTTGGCCCTTTGGGTTCTCATACTTGCAACCAGCGCTATAAGGCATAAACAAATTCTGGGTTCTCTCTATCAGTAAAATCACGCCATCTAAATACAACAAGTCAGTATAAGCCTAATTCTTTTGGAAAGGCCAAAAATAAACTTACCCCTGATTATCCAATCGGACATATCCTGGACTCGCTCGCACGGCTGATTTGCGTCTATTCTCTCTCCGACACCACCAATTGATAAATAGGAGATCACAAATGCACAGGCCAAAGCAGACCAAAATGGTGATCTCAGCGGGCACGTATCGTGGCGCGTCCCCGGGGTTAAACGTCTGCGGCCCAATGACATTTCCAAGGCAGTATCCGATCAGATACAAAGCTGCGACAGTCGTCTTCTTGGTGTACCCAGCAATATTGCTCGAGATCAAAGAAAGTACACTGGCACCTGTCGCAGGAAGTGCCTGAGTCATGTAATAACCAATCAATCTTCCGATATTGTAATCGTTCGAGATCGGGAGCGCGACGATGAGAATGATCCCCACCAACGCGCAGGCCATGGGCCCACATGCAACCAGCGTGCGATTCTGAAGTCTATCTCCGACAAAGCCGTTGGTCCAGCATGCTATAATTACCACTGCTCCGCCGGGTATACCATAGAGCAGACTCTGTTGGGATGTGTATCCGAATCCCACGATTAGTTGGCTGAAAAAGTTGGTGAGTCCACCGTTTGGGATATCGGAGAGAACCCCGTAGGCAAACAAAGCCCAGGTTAATGGATCGAAAAAGGCTTCCTTGAATTGGTACAATTTGAAGTGCCGGTTTCCAATGCCTTGCTCATTTTCACGTACTCGCTGGATGGCCAGGAGCCTGTCGCGCTGGTTAAGCCAGCGGCAATTTAGTTGGGAGTCGGGGATAATGTAGAAGAAGATAAGTCCAATGCATGTCTGATTAGAATTCGTTTAGACCAGACAAGCCGCAAAGTAGTAGGTCTTTGGAGAGAGGGTTTGGCTTACCGTGAAGCAACCAGTCGCAACGAAGATTAGCTTCCATCCAGCAATGGCCGCATCCACTTCAGAGATGCGCCGCGAGATGCCGTACGCCACTAGCCCACCTATGATTTGGCCCCAGCCATTTGCACTGATCCACAATCCGGCGCGGAGGTTGTGTTCGCGCACAGTATACCATTGAGATGAGATTAGCGCGAACGCCGGCATGCTGGCAGCTTCAAACATCCCAAGGAGGAATCGGATTGCCATTGCACCTTGAAAATCTGAGACAGTTGCAAAAACAGCAAGAATCACACCCCAGGTGGTCACGCAAAAAGCAGAATATTTAGCCAATGGTAGCCATTGTAGAAGCCGACTTGTGGGATACTAGCGAGTTATCATCAGATTTGCCTGTACCTCACTGAAGTGCTGTCTTACCTCCCAGACCAACCATCCAATGTAAAAGATTGACCCAAGCCAGGAATACTCGTTTCCTGTGAGATTAATGTCCTCCTTAATTCCCATGATACTAGCGTATGAAAGAGTCGTTTTGTCGAGATAATTCAGACCAAAGACGCAGCATCTATTAATTGTTGGAGATTGGCCTCGGAGCATACGCACGAATACTTACAGTATAGGCAACATATGCCAGTCAATCGTGCGTAAAAGTCTTCTATTTGTCTCATCATCCAGGACCAATGGCGGGCCGTCATAGTTCGCCATGGCCTTCATGGCTTCGTCGTCGTCTCGCGAGTACTTCCTCACCTCCTCGGCAACGATCACTTTCTCAGTCTCGACATCTGCCTCGGGAGTCACCTGGTCTGCTAGGGCTCCAGGCGATGCAAGCTCGATATGATTATGGCCGGGCGCCTCCGTTGGCTTCGCGTTTTGGTCAGACCGTGTGCCCATGTTGATTATGTTGAATTAACTGGGTGCTAGGGCAGCCTTAGCCCAGGGAGCTACTCACAGTTATACCGAAGTCATTGACCAAGATGTTCTCTCCCCATGGGGAGCCCCGGCGGGAATCTTCTCCGGACCCACTGCCGGTCGATCTCCGACGCACCGACGGTGGACTGCAACCGGTCGTGGCCGACTCAGAGACCATCTAAACGCACGGAGCTGTGGAAGAGCGCTGAGCCGCTAGCTCCTTCCATTTAAATCCTCGGTGTCGGGATAAGAACTTGCAAGAAATTCCTTGAGCTCTCCAACATCCCGCATCATGGCCAGCACGACCGGACTGAGGGGCCTCAACCCTCCTCCGCCGTCAAATAACACCGTTCGTGTGCGCATGGTGGACACAAAGTCTTTCATGTCTCTGCATGCGTTTTCCTTTGTTAAGCCCGTCATGCCGGGCCATGAGAGGATGAGTGTGACAACGGTGGCCTTCTTAATTGAGAACGAGAGACTGGGCAAGAAGGCCATGTTCGATCTCGGGACTCGAAAAGATTACTGGAACTGTCCTCCGTTTACACTGACGAGGATCGAAGCGGCTATACCTGGAGTCCGAATTGAGAAAGACGTGACCGAGATCCTGCAGGAGAAGGGAATGAAACTGAATGAGATAAGTTAGTTGCCATCCCTAAGTTCTGGTGTTGTTTTATTTAACAGCAAATCCACCGCTAGACGATATTATCTGGTCTCACAGCCACTGGGACCATATGGGGAGTCCACATTTGTTTCCCACTACAACGAATCTATGCTATGGAAAAGGCACAGGGCCGTTCCCAACATATCCCGAAAATCTAAATTCCAATCTCAGCGCCGAAGACTTTGTAAACCGAAAATGTAAGGAGATCGACTGCTCCGATCTGCACATCGGACCCTTCCCCGCCCATGACTTCTACGGCGATGGGTCGTTATATCTCCTTGATACACCGGGGCACTGGCCGGGCCATATATGCGCGCTGGCCCGGACTACACCGGACACATTTGTCTTTCTTGGTGGCGACATCTGCCACTTTGCTGGCGACTTCAGACCGACCGAGGATATTCCACTGCCAGAGATTATTCCCGGTGACGCACTACGGCACAGCAAGAAGTATCCTGCACACTGTCCTTGCGAGTTCTTTGCCGCGCACCATCCGCAGCTCCGTACATCAAAGCCTTCGGTCGACACAATATCGACCCCGTTCTATGAGCTCTCTACTCATGCGCACTCAACGTATAAATTTCCAGACGTTGCGGCAGTAACCACAGAAAGGATGCAGAAATATTTCGATTCTGACCCTAATGTCTTGGTCTGTCTTGCTCACGATTCAGCACTCCTAGACCATCTGCCTACCTATAACGAACATCCTCACCAAGATATCAACGAGTGGAAAAAACTGGGGATGAAAGAGAAGTGCCACTGGGGTTGGCTTGGTGAACTGCCGCGGTATAATGAGGACGGAACTGTACTCGGTCCGGGGAATCGAGAGAAGCCAATTGTGGATGGGCTTTGGAAGAATGGTGTTCGGGTGGACTCGCTCAGATCTTAATCTTAAGTCGAGTGGGTCGGGTCTATTATATAGAGTTGAATGGATTCAAGTAGATAAGTGGTGAATTCAATTTGCCCGTTTACGCTCAGCTATTCTATATGGAATGGAAAATCGGCGTTGGCCAATCCCCGCCTCCGGGCGCAAGCAAATCATAACCCATGCCCAGATTCCACATTTCCTCATCCTGGAAGCCCCAGTTATTGTAAGGTGAAACGTCAGGCGTCAGCTGTACAGAATCCACATAGTTTGGGTCCTCATGGGCTTTTGGATTGATTGAATGCTCGACAGAATAGTTCATAGGTCCAGATGAATGACCATTCATCAAGTCCGGCTGTAAATCTATCCATGTAGACCCTGGTTGATATGAGTTCGAACTTTCCGTCGCATGTGCTTTACGTGCAGTCGAAGATGCCTGTTTCAACATTCTCTCGAACCCATTCGCCATGCTGAAGACCATGTGGTTAGCACCTGCCTTGCATCCACGAAGCAGCTTGATAATCCCCTCAACGAGTGGTCGTGTTCTCTGGGCAGGGTCGATTGTAATCCCGATAAAATACCATCGATGCGACATCTTCATCAAAAACACAACCGCGAAGGCAATCATCGAGTGAAGGTACAAAGGCATTCCCACGATGCCTTCGCGGTATCCAGGATCCTCAATGAAATGTCGAAGCAGCGAGTGCGCAGCTTCGATTGCTCTCAGTGTTAGAGGTCGCAAACTATTAGGAAGGTCACGCAGGTTATCCAGCGGCCGTCCCCGGAGGACCAAGGAATGAAGCACCAGTTCGCTGAAATAGTAATGAAGGTCCACACCTCCGCCCAGCATGTCCATTTTTCGTAGGTGTCTCCAGCGATCCTGCCACGCTCTTGCCTCCTCTGTAAAGCGGGAATGGTTCAATACAGAAGCATCGTCGCCGCCCATTATTCGTTTCGGCTCCAGTCCGAAGGTCTGAAATGCCTTGCTCATATTGGCCAGACACGTTACCTGTGCAATCAACACTCGGTCGGGTGGAGTGCACCATGGTGAATCTAGCAGAACCGCAAAGTCCTTAATCGGCCGTAGCTCAGCCATGACGGGTGGTCGACCATAAGCTATGCTGGATTGGTGGTCGAGAACAAATAAAAGATACCACAATCTGGCCTTCTCAAGGCTATCCCGTCGTGCATCTTCGCTTATATCCGGTGTGTAGAATACCTCGTAAAATGCATGATGGAGATTCAACTCGGTCGCCATTCGGATAGATATGCCACTTAATTTCCAACTCAGGTCTGGTTCCCAAAATGCAGCGATGCACAACCCCCGAATATCGTCGAGGGTGTGAAAACGGTCAAAAATAGCAGATGATATAAGACCCAGGAACCGGCTGTGACAGATTTCGTGTGTGGACTCGCGGCCGGGAATGTGCAGGGCGCTGACAAGCATGACAGCTGTAAACAGAATGGTAGACGACGTTCGCACGGTTTCAAGAGTTGCATCTGGTGAAATGGTGGCGGAGAAGAGATGAGGAGAGAGAAGGGTCTTGAAACTATATTCTGTCAAATGGTTTGAACAAGTCGAAAAGTCAGGGGGGACACACAGTTCCAGCATCTCCTCTGCTTCTTTATACGACAGTAGTTTCTCTGCTATCAGATCGGAGTCCATGCGTCTCATTCCGCCCTTCCGCCTCTGCTTAACACTGCGCAGCTGGCTACATAGTCCGTTCATCCTTGTCGCCTCGATTAGACTGCCCATTGTTCCAGGGGAGAGATCGCGCTCGTCTCTCCTTCCAGTGCTAGATATCGGCTCCTGCGAGTTTTGCCTTGTTGGTTGAGGCGATTGAAGAGTCTCCGAAATAACAGGCTGGGCATATAAGTCCAGGGCCGGCATGTTGAGCTTCTCAAGGACATCTTCAAGGGCGCGTTCAAGCTTGAATAGGACCACGTCTGATGGGTGGTGGTTTTTCTCATCGCCCTCAGCGCTAATCCACACCTTCTTTTCACTGACACATTGTAGCTGAAGACGCAAACACCGAGAGCAGGTGCCCATGCCGCGCTCGGCGGAGTCGCATTTCACTTTGAGTCGACGACAGATGGAGCACGCTGTTCCTTTGCGCGATGGTTGGACATCGCTATCATCCAATACTACTCGACGCTGTCTTTTTCTTGGTGGAGGTGTCGCTGCTTCTGCCAAGGCTTGTCCATCTTTGATTTCAGAGCTGTACATTGTTCTATTTTGCCAGTGGTGACACGAAACACAGGCCGGTTCTTGTTCGGCGAGATGTGCGACAGTTATGAGTAACGCAACCAAGATAGTGCCAGGGGAACAAGGAGCTCTCCATTATGGACACATAGCTGCGCAGCCAGCGACAGCCTCTCGGGCAAGGCCGAGAAATCCATTCTCCGCACTCGACCAAAATGAGTTTAGCGTTAAGCTTTCGCTGCAATTCTGAGATTGCGGCACTGTCGGGGATCCCATGGGGTTCGCAACGCCGCGGAACAAAGCTATGTTTTTGTACAGGTAAACAGGTTCTAGTTTTGATTACTAGAGCATCAATTATGTAGGCTGCAGTTGCTTCACTTCATATGTTAGTATATATTCAGCTGCCACGACTGAGAGCGGAATCAGCGCTCATCCCTCCCGGTGTCACTCCGCCGGGGTGCGTCGGCGTTTCGCCGGTGGAGATGAACCGACCAAAATGGGGATGGAAACGCTTTCTGCCGGAACGGAGATCGATCGGAGCAGAGAGACAAGTTGGCACCAATTATCGCAAAGTCAAATGTTTGGTTCCTCGCTGTTTTTTTTTTGGAATATGGCCATACGCTCTACTCGATTCTGAATTAAATCAACATCTACATCATGACAACTTTCCGTCCACGTATCGCTATCACGCTCGGCGATCCAGCAGGTGTCGGGCCTGAACTCGCTGCCAAGCTACTCGCAGACCCTAAGAATAGAGCAAGAGCCGACCTACTTGTACTTTCCGACAGATCTGAAGTCGAGGCAGCTGCTTCGGTTGCTAACGTGACAATCCCCATCTCCGAAGTCGCGGGACCAGAGAGTGTCAAAGTACTTGATGATGGAACCGCGCCCATTATTTCGATTGAGCGAGGCAAAGTGTCAAAAGAAGCCGGCCAGCGGACATTCCATCAACTGAAACGCGCCGTTGCGATGGTCAATCGTGATGAAGCAGATGCTATCGTCTTCACACCATTGAACAAGACATCGCTGCACATGGCCGGCATGCACGAAGAGGACGAGTTGAGGTGGTTTGCTATGCAGCTCAATCATGAGGGTGCCACTAGTGAAGTGAATATTATTCCAGGTTTGTGGACTGCTCGGGTAACGAGCCATGTGGCCATCAAGGACGTGTCGTCAAGAATCTCGAAGTCCACTGTCTTTAATGCGGTTGACCTTCTGAATAATTTGCTGTAAGTTTTGTCAGTTTCTGAAGTATTACGACAAAAACTGATGCATGGCAATCCAGGACGGACTTTGGCATCAAGAACCCACGTCTTGGGGTTTGTGCGCTCAACCCACACAACGGCGAGAACGGGCTATTTGGGCGCGAGGAAATTGATTCGATTAGGCCAGGCGTTGAAATGGCTCAATCAAGAGGAATTGATGTGAAAGGTCCTTTCCCTTCTGACACCATCTTCGTCAGCCGATCAAATTATGATGGTATCATCACCATGTACCACGACCAAGGACAGATTGCCCTCAAGGTCATTGGTTTTGATGGTGGAGTGACTGTCCAAGGAGGCTTGCCGGTAGTGATAGCCACACCTGCCCATGGCACGGCATTTGACATCGCGGGCAAGAACATCGCGAGCACGAAAAGCAGCCAAAACGCATTAGATGTTGCAATTGCGGTGGCGAGCAAGAAGGCCGAAAGAAGGTATACTGCGGCAAAGATGCAGAGTTCGCATGCTACTAATGGCGTTACCACACACTATTAGACGACGATATGGATCTCAATATATAAACGGGGCACATAACTGCAGATTCAAATTTCCTCAATCAAAAACAAAAACATACGTACTAGTTTTTCCAAACCATAAACAGCTGATTACAAGAACATATGAAGAGAGTCCTAACTACGAAATCATACGATGATACCCGGCATTTTTCAGGTCAGAATCCTCAAGGTCAAATCCGCGCAGTGAGATGGCTTTAATCCCATTCGTTCGCTTTTTAACTCTCTTATTGTTTTAGCCGGAGTGGCAGTGTGTGACATACCAAGCCCGGGACTTGTTAGACCTGACATGTCTCAAAGCTGAAACACTCATGCTGTTTCTCCTGTCACTCGCCTGCATAACTCTTAATGCAGTCTTTGACGAGAAACGTTCCATCTTGTGCCTTGTCGTGTATGATTCGGCAAATGACATTAATTTATGCTGCACCATGAGTTCCAATAATTCTCGCGTGCGACACTTTCCGATTTAAGAGGAACGTAATCCGTAGTAGTAGAGAGCAATATAGTGGATAAATCCCGAATGCTAAAAGAGTGGGCAAAAATCGAGCTCGATGTGCTTCGGCTAAACAAGCTGAGCCGAAGGCAAGCTATCCCGACCACTCGATCAGGATGGCTCCGTTAAAATTCTGAGCTAACTAGTGTAGCCTAGCACTCCCGGGGCTGGCACTGGAATGCGAGGGAGCAAGAACCGGTTAGTGTGGAGGAGCTACTACTAGCACGTCGACTCCATTCAGGTACCGGCGCCACCGGAAACCAGACCCTTTACGGGTCTTTACCAGGATCAGGAACACTTCAGCCACCACACTACGTACATACCCATGACTGACTATGCCTCTCGGGAAAACGGCACAAAGAACACGTCGTGCTGCCCAAGCATGAGTTCTGGCACCAAGCTCGCTAACTTCCAGGGAAGTTGGAGCCGTGGATTCTGGTTGGGCAGATGGGGCGGCTATGTCAGATCCACGAATTTATTTTCGGTCGAACAAAAACAATGGGGCCAACAGGGACGAATAAATCATGATTGTCTCGGTAGCAGTCTGGTCAAAAGCTGCACCCGATCGCTGACAGCAGGAACTTAGTGACCCTGAAGTTAGAAGATCGCCTGTAGGGAAGACTATTCGTCAGGGGGTTTCAGGGCGAGACGCTGGCGGCAGGCTGGGTTGCAGCTTGCGGCGCCAGAGCTGCAAAGCCCAGACAGGAGTTTGGTGGTTTTTCTGACCAATCACCCGAGCTCACTGAGATCAATAGTCTTTGGCCTTCCACGTTTCGACCATTCCTCTTCCGCTCAATAGGTGGGCCTGGCTTGTGTGAGATTCTAGGAACAAAAGGAGCCGGCGATCAAGCCCGTGATAGATGCCAACGCTATCCAAAGCTAAATGTGAATAAAAAGAGAAGTTGATCGTTGTCGACTTTCCCTCTCTGCAGAATGAGTATGCTGAATCGCGTTTCGAGAAATTGTTAACTTGGGATGCTCACGCTGCACTCTGCCGATCCGGCGCTTCCTCTTCACATCTATTTTTAACCGCCAGACTTCTCTTACGGACCTCACACACCGGATGTTCAGCAACTCATTGGGTCCCCACTGCCGCCCGGTAACGGTTCCAGTTCTCAGATCATTACTGGTTCGCTCTGAGCCTCCTCAGCGTGTTCCTGCACTAGTGGACGCCAGCCAATTATTTTGGGAGAGCACTCCGTTTCATCTACCCGGCCTCAACTATGCCGATTGGAAAAATGGGACTACGATGGCTTGACCTGTCTGCTCTGCACAATGAGGTTGCTCCAGGAGGGTGCCGGATAGGGCCCAGTTGCAGCCACCAGGGAGAACCCTTTGTCTAGAGTGTATGGGTCTTCTCGTTTTAAGACGCGCCCTCCTCCCTAGAAGTTCAACAGGCATTCATCTTTCTTGTTTCTTACTCCAGTCATTGTTAATCTTTCCCCCTTCTTTTAATTGTTTTTCTCCCCTCGGTTCGCTCAGAACCAAAGCCATTCGTTTCGGACTAGGGTTGCATTTCTTATCCCTATCGCTTTCTCTCGATATCACCCATTCAGGGCCCCATTGTTGCAGGTTTTCAACAATACTAGTTATATCACTTCTGTGCCACTCCAGCAACCATCTCATCTCTTTCTTCAGTCTCTCGTTGACAGCACCCTTTCAATATGAAGATCGCAACCTCTGTCGCGTTCTTTTCTCTTCTGGCTGCTGCCCAAGCCACCGGTGCTGTATGTCTGCTATCCTTCCTTTGTGGCCATGTATATATTAACACTTTACCTAGTACTGGGGCACTGAGCAATGCTACAGTAGCCCAGGCAGGTCTCCCAACAAGTGTAATGAGTGGCAGAAGACCGGTTTCGACTGGACCGGCCTCTCTACTGGATCGTTCGGGCACTATGGCGGATTTGACTTCTCCGGCTTTACTTGCAGCAGCAGCTTCAGTGGTGCATCCCACAAAAAGCGCAACGATATGAGCCAGGTAATTCAAGAATACCCTTTCCTATTTGTGCTTAACATTGACCAGCTCTCCAGGGGAAATGCATTGAAGGAACGGCGTACAAGAGTGACAGCTCGCAGGCTCCGTCGTTTTCATGCAGTGACGAGGAGGGTGGCTTCTCCATTACCAACTTCCACATGTCCACTTCGAAGACAACCGACGTGCAGATCGTCTACGGCATGCCTGATGGCTCGCAGTGTCGTAACACTGCTTCCTGCTCGTCCGAAGGTACCATGATCACCAATGATCAGTGTGGCGGAGCCACCTCCGTCCACTTCAAACTGCCTGACGACAGTAATGATGAAAGCTGCGGTTTCGGTATCTACAGCATCGGCTTTGATTGCACCCCCGGGACCACTACCACTGTTCCATCTGTCCCTACTACAACCACTGTTCCCACTGTCCCTACTACAACCACTGTTCCCACTGTCCCTACTACCACAACTGTTCCCTCTATCCCCACCACCACCCCTGTTGTTCCTCCCGAGCAGACTGGGTCCACGACCACTAGCACTCCATTGAAGTTGACTACCTCGACTGTGTACGTCACTAGTGAGATCACGATCACCAAATGCGCCTCAACCGTCACCGACTGCCCGGCTGATTCTACAAGTGTGGTGACCTCAACCATTGCCGTCTCTACTACCATCTGCCCGGTCACTGAGACCACCTCGACCCCTGTTAGCCCGACTGGGGTTTCTCCTGCCAGCACACCTGCTGGTTCTTCTGTTGTGACTCCTACCTCGTCCTCGTCTGGCGGTGGGTACTCTGTCCCATCTGTTGCAACGACCCCTGCTCCTTCTGGCGCTGGCGCTACTTCCACTCCTTCTGCCCCTGGAGAGCCCACAGTTACTGTCATTACTTATGAGACCACCACTGTCTGCCCCGTGACTTCCACAATAACTTCTGGCTCGAGCACATTCACCACGACCTCTAGTACTACTTCTACTATCACGGTCACCGAAACGTCCACTGTCTGCACCAGATGCGAGGGAAGCACGACTACTTCTGTCCCCGCTGGTGTTGCAACAACCCCTGCTCCTTCTGGAGTTGGCGCTACTTCCACTCCTTCTGCCCCTGGAGAGCCCACAGTTACTGTCATTACTTATGAGACCACCACTGTCTGCCCCGTGACTTCCACAATAACTTCTGGCTCGAGCACATTCACCACGACCTCTAGTACTACTTCTACTATCACGGTCACCGAAACGTCCACTGTCTGCACCAGATGCGAGGGAAGCACGACTACTTCTGTCCCCGCTGGTGTTGCAACAACCCCTGCTCCTTCTGGAGTTGGCGCTACTTCCACTCCTTCTGCCCCTGGAGAGCCCACAGTTACTGTCATTACTTATGAGACCACCACTGTCTGCCCCGTGACTTCCACAATAACTTCTGGCTCGAGCACATTCACCACGACCTCTAGTACTACTTCTACTATCACGGTCACCGAAACGTCCACTGTCTGCACCAGATGCGAGGGAAGCACGACTACTTCTGTCCCTGCCGGTGCTGGAAGCATATCTGCTCCCTCGGGAGTCGGTGCTACTTCCACTTCCACTCCTTCTGTCCCTGCAGATACCACAACAACCGTGGTGACGTACGAGACCACAACTACGTGCCCAGTCACCGGCACTATCACCTCGGGCACCAACACTATCACCACGACTTCGAGCACGGTGTCTACCATTACATTGACCTCGACCTCGACATATTGCCCCAAGTGCGTTAGCACGACTGGCACTTCGCCGACCTCGGTCCCCTCGTCTCCTTGCCCGAACACCGTTCCGCAGTGTATCAACACGTGGTTGTCGCTGGTTCCTAAGTGCGCATCTAACAGCGATGCTAAGTGCTTCTGCCCGAACAAGGAGTTCACCAAGAAGGTCATTTCCTGCATTGACGCATGGGGTGCCTCTAAGGCGGAAATCGAGTCGGCAATGTCCTATTTCACTGGTATCTGTGCCTCGTGGATCCCACAGAACCCGGCCATTGTGACTGCTATCCCCTCGACTGTCACTATCGGTCCGACTGGCGCCTCTGCGGCCTCGGGCTCGGGTATTACCTCTGTTGCCGTGATCACTCCTGCCCCTGTTACCACGATCACCTACTCGAGCTTTACCCTCACAGTCCCGCAGGTCAAGTTCACTACTTCTACAGTGGAGGGCAATAGCCCGACCGTCGGCCTGATCCCGGCTGAGACACCCAACGGCACCTCGCCTGTCAACACTGGGCTTCCTGCGTCGGTGCATGCTTCCTCGACCCTGGTAGTCAGCAGTCGGCCCTCGACCGTCGCAACACCCACTCCTACTTCAGTCTACAGCTCTGCGTCGACGGTCTCATTATCCGCGAGTCTTCTGCTCACGTCGCTCGCCGCCCTGTTCGGCCTGATGCTGTAAACGCGCTGCCGCCGAGCGATTTTCGACTTTGTGTTTGAATTTTAGTTTGGTGCTTTTCTGTTTTCGCAGAATGTATTTGATTCTTCTTGCTTGTGTTTCGCAGCCTTTGCGCTGTAACGACCTTGCTCATTTTGAGACTATGTCGGACCCAGCGCATGTCTGCGTTCGAAGGATTTGTCCTGTATTGTATAATTCACTCCTTAATTGACAAATACATTAGATCTTCCAGTTACTGATTTTGGGTCCGGGGTAGAACGTCGTGCTCTGACTCCCGGTCTAGTAAGAAAGCAGCCAATAGTAAAGCCGGACCTCGGCTGTGACTCAACCTCACATTTCGTATTTAAAGTGGCCCAACAGAGACCTCTAGTCTTCGCCTTCTCTCATGCCCATTGAAGAGAAGCTGCATGAATATCGAGATAATTGTGGGTCATGACAATTCTGCTCAGCGAAGTTCCCTTCTCCCCAACATTTGACCCTATTCCTAACTCCACCAAACCAGACATCGACATAGCCTTGTACAATGCCCGGAAACTCTCAAGGAACAGTTTACTCTGTCTCCACATCATCAACACACTCCTTCTCCAAAGACCCCGTGCCAAGCATAACCCTAATAGCCGGCCTAGGGATACAAGGCGATGCACACGCCGGTGTAACTGTACAGCATCGCTCGCGCTTACATATTAAGCCCCCACCGGCGAATCTGCGGCAGGTGCATCTGATCCCACTGGAACTGCTTACGGAAGTGTCAGACTGTGGGCAGTTTGAGCCAGGGGATCTGGGTGAGAATGTTACTACGATTGGGATTGATTTGAAGCAATTGGGGAAGGAAACAAAGCTCCTTTTTGTTGACCAAGAACATGATATCAATGGAAATGGAAGTGGGGATTGTGAGGCTGGCCCTGTAGTTGTGGTTATGGGACTGCGCAATCCGTGTCCGCAGATTGACAAGTTTCGCTCCGGGCTACGAGAAAGACTCATCGTGCGAGACGAGCAAAGAAAGATCGTCGGTCGTCTAGCTGGAGTGATGGGGACGGTTGAGAAGGGGGGTGAGATCAGACCTGGGATGAGGATCCGGGTTCAGCAACCAGCCGAATATCAACCCCTGGAATGTGTCTGATGGGCGTTGGCGCTATTCTTTGGATCAAATATTAATTAACTCCTCGCTCTGGACGCAAATGGCAGAAAACGGCCGACCGTCTACGGGCATCATACCTCCATCCGCACTCCGCAATGATCTTCAACGCCTGCATGAACAGCTGTTTCAGCGAAAGAACAACGGGTGTTCTTCTATCACCCCCCAGCTGCAACATCCAATAGTCCCGACCTCTCGGAAGCAACCATTCCGTAAGCCATCCGTGCCCTAATTAACTTCGAGTCATCGGAGATCAACCGCTTATCTCGGCAGCCTAACAAAGTCCTGATAAGCCAACCGCCCTAGATTGGCCGAATGGCATTGCGGTCCCCATCGGTGCACATTCATAGGCCTTTTTTTGCGAACAATCAAGCATCATTGGTCGGAGGTTGCCGTTTGCCATTAATGGCGGGAACGTGCTCCCTAAGGGTTGACATCCATCCCCGGCTGGGGGTGGTTCTCCGGCCTGTCTGACTGGCAGACAGGTCACATTCCCCTTGGGGAGTGATTGAGATAAGCCTTGTGTCAGCCAGTAGGTGTTGCCAAAGGATATAAGCAAAAAAGGTTACTTGTCTGGCAGGGGGTGGATTAATTGCCGCAATGTCCGTCCTGATAGTCATGTCCACGCCCCCATATCTCACCTATCGCCACTTCATATCAGCCGCCCTCTCCTCCGTTTGCGATGTCCCAGTCTTCTCTTGTCAATTGTCAACGATGCCCACATCATGGCTACGCGGCATGAACCCAGTTCTCTATGGTGGCCCGAGGAGAGAATCAAATCGACCTTGAATGCCAAATATGTGATCAACCACCTTCCCGCAGGAACCAACACAAGGCTGTTTGATTCCCCGCGCTGGGGAGAGGGGCTGACCAGCGATACCTATTTGGACTGGATTCTCCTCAAGGCAGCACGTCTCTTCTTGATTCTCAGTGATATCGGGGTTCCGGAAAGGATCTTCGCGCTGGTGGATGAGTCTCTGGATGATGACAATCTACCCATTGCCGGAGATAAAGTTCATTTACTCCATCTCTCCTCGGATGGAGGAAGTTCTGCGCTAAATGCCAAATTTCTGCGGGCGCAATGGCGATTCCTTGTCCGAGGTATTGCCGAGGGCGAGCATGTAACATACACGGAGCAAGAAGGCGTCCCTGTGGAGGTGATGCGTGGTGGAAACGGTGCCGGGATGCAAGGTCGTGATAATGAAGTCGACAATATTGTGCTGGCGGGCTCAGTATGTCGCGTGTTGCTCCGATCAGAAGTCCAGATCGGTGTCGAACCGCACTTCTTCAAGACAGAGGAGGTGCTGGAGGAAATTCGATCATTGCGGCGCCTGGCTCATGAGCATCTCACTTCTGTATATGCTTCCTATTTCGTCGACGGCACAATCTGCACGCTCTTCACTGGCGCAACGGCAGAACGCACCTTGCACAGTTTCTTGACAGACGAGCCACAATCCTTCAAAAAGCTACCGAAAGAGCGCCGTCGAGAGATACTGATCAGTTGGCCGCACTGCTTAGTATCAGCATTGACTTGGCTGCACGCGCATGGCCAACCTCATGGTGCCATTTACCCTTCAAACATCCTTGTCGACCCTATGTTCCATATCAGCCTCGGTCAATTCCAGGCCCTCGACTCGCTTCTCGAACCACCCCGAGTCCACGAACTCGAGGCATATAACTACTCTCCCCCCGAGCGCTGGGTGCGAGCTACCACCCGGGTCCAGCAGCAGACTACTACACCAGCGCGCACGGAACTCCCATCTGGAAGCCGAACAGCGCGACGGAAACGGTCTACCCAGTTTACGCTGGCATCGCTGAATGAAAGCCCTCAATCTTCGCCTGACCTCCGACGACCGGATTCGGCCGCCTCCAAGGGAACTGTTATCCGCGTAGGGTTGCCTGTCTCATCATCACGGTCCTCTTTTGCGCACTCCACGTCTTCATCCTCGTCTTCAACATACTCAGGTATGAACGCCAACAACGAGGGATCACAACATCGCAGCTCCAGTCTGATGCAGAGACCCCGACCTCGTCTATCAATCGCGTCAATGACTTCATCAAACTCCTCTTCCTCGCCGACTTCTTCATCTTCTTCTTCATCCACCCCATCCTCTTGTGCCCCCGCAAGACAATGTACCAACACAGTCCTAAGTATCTGGAAATCAGAGCAAACAACCCCTCTCCCATCAGATATCTTCTCCCTCGCGGCCATAACCCTCGACATCCTCACACACCTCTGCAAGAGATCTCTATCATCATTCACATCCCACCGCAGCGCCCGCAATCGTACCGCCGGCCGGGGTGGTGGCATCGCCGACGCATCTTTCCATCTTCCGCGCAATGCCGTGCAGATCCAGTCCTGGGTTGCTTTGCTGGAAGGCGATTCCAAGAAACGTTGTCGTCGCAAGCGAGCCAGCGATAATGTCTTCTGGGCTGTTCCTAGCATGCTCTCCCTTGTTCGGTCGATGCTTCAATCAGAGCCGGAGGAAAGGCCGAGCGCTAGACAAGTGAGGAAGTATTTTGCGGATGTTATTAGTCAAATTCCTCCTGTGGATGGGGCAGATGGTGTATCTGTGCATTGTGTATCAGTGGCGGAATCTACGCCCCAGACGAAGAGAAAGGGAGGGAACAGCCATCCTGACAAAGAGAACAATATTGAGAAACACAATACTGCCCACGTCAAAGATATAGCGACTCTACCTTCCCCCATGTCAGAATTTGATTTCGGATTCTCTGGTGATTTGAGTGGCAGCGATGCAAATCTCAACCACGATCCAGCTGACTCTTCGCCTTTCGTGAAACAGGACCAGGTTCTAGTTGGATACCCGCCTGGTGGGCAGGACTCATGCGAGGATCTGGGTTACAATGTTACCGCAATGGGCAAGCTAAGCTGCCACGAGGAATGGGTTCATGAGAGAAAGTCGCCCGGTGTTGGCAGTTAAATGGCTTGATTTTTTTTTATCCATCAGCCACTGTTCTATATTAGCCTGTGGAACCACCACTATTCATTGGCTACTCGGTAGTTCTGAAGAGAAGATTCAATTTAACAACAAAGGCCCAGCATGTGAATACCATGCAGGACGAAAATATGTATATTGTACAGCAGGAAGAAAACAAAGTGATGGATGATACATAACGTGAAGCCAATGCGTGTACGCTTCATAACAAAAACCAGCTCAGTCATGTTGCCAGAACACAGAACCAAGGAACTGCCCTCTAGGTAGTCAAACCTGGTGTCTATCCTGTAATCATGGGAATGCATATTGATACAAGACGTTTCCCTTCATACCGCCCCCCCCAAAAGGAACATCGAACAAAATACTTCATCACTCATAGCAAGAAGGCTGCGAAGCCCACCAGGCTGGAGAAGAGAATAGAAAGGAAAACCATGCGGTCCAACTCTGGTGCACCATGGATCATCAATGCGCGGGCCGCGTTCGTCTTCGTGGCGCTGGCTCCAGTAGCAGAGGCTGTACCGACACCACTGCCACCCGAACTCGTTGCTTGCGCTGTGATGGAAGGTCCCTGGTACGTCTGTCCCAGTGTTGGCAGCTGCGAGTTGGGGTCGACATCCCAGACGCCCTTGGTGGAAGCAGGGCACGCGAGGGAACTGATCGAGGAGGCCGCGGCACGGTAGTCCGAGAGAGCGACGCCCGTCGGGTGCAGAGTCGCCCACTGGGACTTTAGGTTGGTAAAATCAGGCAACACCGGCGTCGGGATCCCCTGGCGCGTGAAGCCCCCTTCAACAAGGGTGTTTGTGGCCGGGGCGTTGGGATTCGACGGGCCGTAGCTGATCAAGCCGTAGTCATTCGCCTCCTCGATCCACTCGTAGATGATGGCGCCAGACCAGGTGTTCTCCATCTCCGGGCCAAAAATAGCCGATTGGTCATCGAAGGTGCGCGGCGGCGGGACGATGCAGCCGGTCTCAGAGAAGAAGATGGGGATCGGGTAGCCCGTCGCGTTTTTCTCCAGCATGTCGTAGCCCGACCCAGTGTAGCTGGAGTCGCCGCACCATTCGTAAGCATTCAGAGAGTAGAAATCCAGCCGGTCCGCGGCATTCTCTGCGCACGCCAGGTAGTTCTGGAGCATGGGCCGCAGAGTCGCAATATCGGCGGCGGAGTAACCGACAGGAATCTCGCGGTATCCCTTTTGATCCCGGTAGGCCTTGACGTCGCGGGCGGCAGCCAACACGTAAGGCGCAGCGACAGAGCCAGCGGGAGTCGTCAAGACCTCATTGCCGACGAAGACCCCGGCGGTGTTGTCATATTTGACGAACTCGTCGAGCACCTGTTGGAATCGATCCAACTGGGTCTGGTTCCAGTGCGGGTCCGTCTGGCGTGACCGTTAGCTCTCCACGGGCCAACCATGATTGGCGGGACGCCAGCAAACTGACCTGTTCAATCTGGGTGTCAAAGGTGTCGAGATCCACAAACAGATAGATGCCCGCATCGGCGAAAGCCGACATGCAGCCCTGGTGGTCGGCAGTCGGATCAACATGGTAGACCCGGATGGCGTTGGTCCCCAGCTCCGACATCAGGGCGATGTCGCGCTTGCATTGGGCCGTGTCGATCAGAGGATCATCGGGGGTGAGCTGATATGCAAGGCCTGGGCACCGTTAGCCGTGGTGGCCCAACCAGAATGGGTCCCCGTGCAGCGGTACCTTTCAGATAGTACTGCGTGCCGTCCTCATAGAAGAACTTTGACCCGACGGCTGAGATGGTCGGGACAGCGCCCACCGCCACCGTCTGCAGCGCCCCGAGCAGGAGCGACAGCGGGGCTGCCAAGAGGGCGGATGAAGACCGCATCGCAAGAATGGTGATGGGAAAGGTAGTCCGCCGAGAGTGGTTGAAGGGTGGTGACCCGGATGTACAATTGAAGAGCGAGAGAAAGAAGAAACACAACGAGTGACAGGAGGCAGGCAAAATAAACAAACACACGTCCAAAGAAGGAAAGAACGGATGGAGAGGACAGGAAAGGAGAGAAAGAACGCAGATTGGATCGTGACGATGGGGAAGGCGTGACCGACAGTTGAGATTTCTTGCTTGGCAGGGGTCCTAGCGTGTGGCCTGGCCCTCGTTGGCAATTTGGGGGACTCAGGGTCCATCGCGACGGGGGTGCCGCGGCCCACTGGGGTGTTGGTCCTGGCCCAGGGGGGATCTTGCAACTCCATGAAACACTGAAACGTTCTGCATCGCGGATCTGCGAACGTGTTGGGCACCTGAGCCCGACGATCGCTGTTGCAGGATCCGACGGCCACGTTGGCCCCGGCCACCACTTGCCACGGGGCAGACACGATTCAAATGGCATACAATCAAGAACCACCGTGCCAGTCCAGGCTTTCCGTTATCAACAGAATCCAAGTTCTGGTCGTTCCAGACTCTGCGCCGCCTCCACTCGATTTCCACCAGTCTGCCGCTCCCGCCAGTCAGCAGCCAGCATGGCAGTGTGTTCGTCAGCAGTGGGGCCCCAATCCATTGCGATCGGCTCTGGCTGGTTGGGAGATCTGCACGCACCCATGACGTTCTGCACAAGGGGGGAACGATATAATAATACCATCGCCGCATCCGGAAATGCTACGCAGAATATATTCGACCGCCCCCCCCCCAGCTATTCGGGCGGAATCCCCTAATCAACCTCCTTCCGACATGATCGGATCATTATTCCACGACATGTCCGACCTGCTCACCTCCCCGTTTCGCATCTCATCCCCCGATCTGGTCGAGTTGGAGCGCAATGAGGCCTTCCAGGCCATGCGCGACCAGCTGCACCGTCGGGACTGTGGCATGGAAGGGCCGAGCTTCTGCTCCATGCACCAACACGAGTGCACCGCCGACGACCAAGACGCCTTCCGCCTACATCGCGACATCATCCATACATTACTCGTCCCGCTCTTTCTGATCGACCACCAGGCCTCCCGGGTGGCCGCGCGCGCACTCCCGAGTCAAAAGGGCGCCGAGCCCGAACGGGCGTTCCGCGGAGAGGCCCGCAGTGCGTTCGCCTGGCTGCACTGCATTTTGACCGAGGAGGGAGACTGGTATCGCACGTCGCGTTGCCCGGCGTGTATCGTGCTGCACGTGCTGCACTCCGAACCGACCATCCGTTTTGTGGCAGTCGCCGCGCAGTTGGCCGGCCCCAGCACGGGCTTTGACTGCTGGCTCGAGGCCCTGGAGACGGCGGTGCGCGAAGATCCCTTCTGGGGCGACGCCTTCTGGCCCGACATTGAGCATCGTGCGGCGGGTCTGACGGAGGGCGTGCAGGAACTGGTGCGCCAGTGCCATGAGATCCGCACGTCCTTCGACTGTCCCACGCGTCCACCCCCGTCGCGGGCCAAGGCGCCGCTGTCGGGCTGCGATCGAGTCAACACGTCCACGTGCACCATTGCCTTGAAACCATCGAGCTTCGCCCGGAAACAGGTTCGCCTGACGCGCGAGGAGCAGCGCTATCGATCGTCCGTGGCATGGAACTACTCCCGCGATGCTCAGTTCCGGCCGTCGTTTAGCGACACGACCACCCAGTCCCGGCGGCGTTCCCTGACTTCGTGAGATGCGATCGGACCGGCTGTGACATGAACAAAGCCGCAGCTATTCGTCATTCTACATCCATCTACCGAGTACCAGCGACGGACCTCTGATCGCTCAAGCCACGACACTACTGTCGGGCAATGCTCCCGGATCCGGCCACGAAAGGACCAACGATCCTCTGACGGAAGAGCACCGCACCTCCAACGCTCTGAACCCGCTTCCCGATGGCCATCAACACATCCCATACCGGATGCCCGCGTCTATTCCACCTGCTACAAGCCGGGTATCCACCCGCTGCCAGCGGGATCGGGCCAGCCCCAATCACTATCCCCTCAGTGATGATGCCATGAGCTCCGAACCACGGACGAGGGAAGTTTCGTGCGCTTCCAGCTCCTTCTCGATAGGCCCGGAATGTCGCGGGGCCGTACCAAAGCACGAGGCATTCCTGTCATACGCAAGCACGCGATCTGATTCGCCCGCTCTGGAATGTTCCATATTTTGCTCAGCATCAAATCTTGCTCAGCATTGTAATTAAAAGCCTCCCAATATCAACGAGTTATACATTATACTAGCGAGTGCTGCATTGTGCGTAGAGCATCCGGAACCCGCCTCGTGGCGACACCCCGTTTTTATCTGAGACGCGCGGTGGAGCCACCCACGATGGCGTGGTAGCAGAACCAGATCGGGACCACCGTTGGAAATTGGAGGATGGCCCAACGTCTGTGTATCTTCGTCCGTTAATCTACGCTACTGCCAGTCAGTCCGAATTCGAAGACCCCGCGCGGGAGGACGGAGCCATCCGATGGCTGGACGAATCTGACAGGAAGTAGACGACGAATAATCCGGCCAGTCTCTATCCGGCAGACCTTGCAGGCTTGGGCCGGGGAGCGTAATTTAGTAAGATGGCCCCCGCCAGCAGTGTCAGTATCGTCATGGCTTGCCCCCTCCCCACGGTGGCGGCAAGGATGATGAGTCGATGAAAATCCCGTCCTTCTCCCCGGGGGGGAGCACCGGAAGCGGACAGGTACAGGGCACTTGGGATTTGGTGGTGGCGACCCGGGTGGGCGATGTACCGGGTACTCTGCATATTGGATCTCCTCTGGAGTGGTCCACAGTAATGAAAAAGAATCAGATTGATCGTGAATCCAGGTTCTGGGGCCTCAGGTAAATCACCCGATTCATCAACTCGATGCACGGGCGAGACTGAAATGATCGCCCCAGTGTGGGTCTGGCTGGCCAACGGGCGCATCTAGACGAGCACATTTTTAGCCTCGCAACAACACAACACCGCGGGGACCAGAGGATCCGAGGGGAGCAGAGAGCAGAGATACCAATCAGATCCGGGACAATTATCACCAGAATCCAAATCGGCCGGATCGCCATCATCGCCCAGGCAATAGTGCAGTTAATGACCGATGACTCCATGACCCTCGCTGCTGGGTCTAGAACGCCCGCCGCCCGCTGGGTCTGGATCCAGCCGGTACTGGGTACCTCGCCTGTCGCAGGGGCCCCCATAACAACTCCAAGTACCCAGTACTCGCCCTGCGCCCTCATGCCATCCGTCAATTTCCAGTCTTGCTTTTCCTTTCTTTTCTTCCTGGCATCATCCCGGTTTCTTCTCCTTCCTTTCTTCACTGCTTCCTTCCTCCCCTCCACCCCCCTCCACGCTCCTTCCCCTCCTCGACATCCTCCGCGGTCGCCTACCGTCGACTCGACGATACGCCCACTTCAACCAACGCCTTCGAATCCACCTGTTTGCTCTCGATTTGGTCGCTCCCGGCCACCGGTCTTATGTCCTCGGTCGTTTCCCTCCATCCACCTGACCAGCCTGACTGGATGAATCCTTCGCAGTGCAATGGACCGCGTTGGCCTCTTGCTCCCCTCTCAGACGATCGGGTCACGACCACGCCATCGCCCACAGCCGTGAACCTCAACCCCAGCTTCTCACAACCCAATATCCGTGACACCCAAGGCGGCAGCTCCAGCAGGCTGCGCCGGCGGGCCTCGCAAGGATCCCTTCGAACAAAACCCTCACCCGTCTCCCGTTTCCTGTCCAAAGGCAGCGTTGCCGTACACTTCCCTTCCTGGGAGCAGCACCGTTCAGGCTCTCCGGGTTCGCCATCGCGAACTCGGTCTACCGATTCCCGCCTTCGTCTGTCCACCACCGTCTCTCGCGGGCCGAGAACGGTATCCGGACAAACTTCCTCGTGGGAAGCTCGTTCTCGACCCTCGTCGTTCCAGTCGGACTATCCCTCCATACTACCGCTTACACCACCGGATGACGACGCCCCCGTGGCGTGGAATCCGCAGTCAAAAATTCTGCTGTTCGATACACACACACACCAAGATCCCGGTGCCATGCCCATGGTTGATGAAGATCCGAGTGTAGGGAGCTCCCCTGCAGTCGGGGCCCCAGACGGCCTCAGCAGCCCTTCGGATCAGCTCTCCCACGGCACCTCCAGCTCTGGAGGTAGCCCGGGCCCGCACGATGCAATGGATTGCCAACAGGACGTTGGGTCGTGGCTGGATCACGGCATCAATGTTACTGGTGAGTGTCTTAACATGTGAAACATGCACTAGCTCGATTCTAACCAACATCGTTTTAGTATCGTCACTGGGTGTCTCCAATCCTCGAGGCGAGGCTGTGAAGGTCGTTTCACAGACACTTCCATATCCGCGGACTTCAGACCAGTCGGTATCCCTGCCAAAAAATGACAGCCTTTTCTGCTCCATCGTCCAGTCCGTGCACAACCACCTTCAACCGGGCCACTCACCTTATATCAACGTCACCCACGCCGTCCCCGAACAATTCAGCCTTTCCAATCTGCCACATTCTCCACCTAGCACCCCCCGCTCTTCTGCTTCTGCCGACGATTACTTCAACGCCACCGTGTTCTCCAGTGCAGCCGTAGTATCGGCCTATCATGATTCCCGAGGGCCCCTGCAACCGCAACTCTCGCACGCTCCCATGCCGATTGTACCGCCACACAGTGTGCACATCTCGGTGTTGGAGAGATATCTCCCTCCACCGTCGGCACAGGAGTACCGAGATCTGTTCTGCCCAACCCGCCCATCCTTTCTCGTGGACCGACTCAGCGAGCTGTCGCCGAACGGCGGCTCGTTGCTCTTCGTCTATCCAACCAAGAAAGGCGCATCTACGTTCAAATCACAATACCTGGGCCCCATCCTCGACCCGCTCCTTCGCCAGATGGTTGTGGTCAACGAGCTATCAGCCGACGTGGGCCGCTACCTGGGCAAGCTCTCGACAGTATCCCAGATGGACGATTTCGCCACGATGAAAGCGAACATTGTCGCACTATGCGAAGCCCTCAGCTCGCCTGCCTCGCAATTCCAGGTGGCCGATGCAGGCCGCGGCAGCGCCGAGCTCGACCGCAGCCTCTGGGCAGAGTGGTTCATCCACCAAGAAAAAGCCCGCATGAAAGAGGTGCTCAGTCTGTACTGGCAGAACGGCCGCCGACTTCCAATGAGCAAGGCCATAACCACCGGCGGGTCCGGCGGCCACATGACCGATCAACAAGTCACCTCATCTATGCTGCTCAGCGAGATCTTCGACGGCATCCGACGGAGACCCTATGGCGAGGACAACGAGCCCCGCGATGGTGTCGAGTTGGGAGTCTTTATCATCCGCCGGACCCATTAAGAGCAAAACGCTCCTGGCTCTTTTTCACTTCTTCACTTCGTCCAACCCCCCCCCCCCCCCCCCCTTTCACAACTATATCGCTTTTAGTCTACCAGCCCTAGTGCAAAAAGATGGCATTGGACGCACGCACGGTGTCCCCGGTGTTGAGTTTTGATCTTTTTGGAGTGGCCATATAATGTTGCTCTGCTGTTTTTTTCCCTCCTGTTGTTAGCTTTCCTCTGGTCCGGAGGAAGAAAGGAGTATGGATACCCAGGATGGTAGTTATGATTTGACAGTGATTGATGAATCTCTCTGTCTTGATGATTGTTATAAATATAAACACGAATCATGTATAAAGGTTTTTCTATGGAACTTCAAAGTAGGTAATCCCCTCCAGGCCTGATAAGAATGTAGAGGCGACATTATATGTTGAGCTCCAGTCGATTGCGCGGGCAACGCATCATCGGGACCAACAATCCATTTCAAGAGAGATAGTAGACTGTCAAAACGGTCTTCTTATCGAGCAATATTATTCTTTTTTCTCGTGACTTGAGGTTGTTATTGCTTAGTACTACATAACTGGTGATCGCCCTATACCTCGGATAAACATGTACCCGAGTCTAAACCGTTTCTGGCACCCACTGCTTTTCGCCGTGTCGATTCCGCCTCAATCAACTCTGGCTCTTGCCTTGCGTGTCCTTGACTCTCATCTCGATGTGTTAGTACAGGAACGAGCTTCCTCCCAATCGTGACCTACTTTACATCCACCCTACACCACTCTGCACAGTTTCAGTCTTCCAATCCCCCATGGCATACTCACCCGGCCCCCCATCCCCAGGCGGAGGGCCTTCCTATCATGGCGGCCTATACTCGCGAGGCCGCTCCCCAAGTCCTACTGGAGGAGCCTCGGGCCCTCAATCAAAACGCGACAAGCGACGCACAGCACTACAGGAACGCCTGCAGGACCTGACAGCCTCCTTTGGCCAGAACCGCGACACGCAGTTCCGCCAGCAGCTCCATGCTCTGCAGTGCGACATGACGCTCATCAACAATGCAGACCCTTACCAGATAGGCCCCCTGCCCGACTCGGCGGATGATATCGCGCAGTTGATTGAGGAAACGGTTGGTGGCGGCAAGTTCGCTAAGGAGATGGCTAGTCTGTCCGGGACGTGGTACTCCAAATTCGTGCAGGAGGTGAATCGGGTCAAGGAGACGAAGGATTCGGAATTGACGGACGCTATGGTATGTTTTTTTATTTGTGATTGTGGAACTCGCTCACTGACAATCCTCCCTCTGTCTTTTAGAACCGCTACCAAAATTATCTCGACCGATACCGCCACGAATACGACTTCCGCGTGCATTTTGCCAAAGATGAATTCAACCAGCTTTCCTCGACTCTGCGTGAACGACTGATGCAGAACATATCGGGCAAACGGGCTCGTTTGATGCGTGAAAAGGAGCAACTCGATATCGCCGATACCAATGCACTGCTGCTGCACCCGAACCAGTTCAGCATCACCAACCCGGCCAGTCCCGGTGGAATCCATAGCAACCGCAAGACGCGACATACAAGGCACCGTGTTGAACTGGACGAACTGGGCAATGCCATCTCGGAGCTGAACAAGCGGAAGCGCAAGGCGCCTGAAGAAGAGGCTGGGTCGCCCGCGCGGGACGCGGGCGGAGCCACACCAGCAGATCGCTCCAAGACCGATATTTCGCAGCAACAGACGGCACCAGCCTACAGCATGAACTCGCTCTTCACGGACAAGGAACTCAGCGCGCACGCCAACCAGGCCCATGTGGCGACGGTCCACTTCTTCTCTACATCCAAGCGCGGAGAGCATGGGTCGGGCGCTGCTACAAACGGCAACAATACGGATGCCGAGGAGACCTCTGGCGCGGGTGATGGGACCGGGCACGAAGATAGCGGCACTCCAAGTGCTACAGATATGATCCGCACCGCGAGCCACAACTTCCATGCCACCCGGTCGACACGTGGAACCGCCGCTCACAGCGCCCTCAGCGCCCTGGCCGAGCTGGCAGACAAGCCCGCTACTCGACCCAGCCTGCCGTACCAGATGCTGTCCAACTACCACGCACGGCCAACCGGCAATGCCCCTCCGCTGACTTCGCTGATGACCGAGGAGGTGGACGATGACTGCTCGCGCATGGACCGGGTTCACTCCAAACCCGCCGGCTGGATCGATTCCAGCCTGCTCGAGCTGGTCGTTGCGCCCCCGCCGTCGCAGCCCCCCAATGGGCATGCACCGAGCTCCAACCGCTTCAATATGCTGCACCCGGACTTTGGTCCCACAATGGGTGTCCAGCTGTATCCCTCACGGGGGACTCAGAACATCGAGATGTTCCCGTCGGCAGTAATGGAGCGCGAGCGCAGCAGCAAACGGACCAAAAATCAGTAGAGCCCTGCGTCTATCTGTTTATTTGGCATATAGATGGATGTATGTTAGGTGTGGGCGCTGACTTATGCTACTGAGGTTACTTCTACTCGGTGTATGGCTTTTTTTTACCCCCTCGGGGAGGATGGCGTTTGGAGGATGGGCGGAATTGGTTGTTTATTCCCTCGCCCAGCGTGGATGTGTTTCTGCTGGGCTGTAATTAGCTAGCGCCATTATTTCTTTTCCATTCGAGTATGTTCTGATTACTTTCCATTCTCCATTTGACCTAATTGTAAAGAAATCCGGGGAACAGCAAGTATAGGTACGATGACGCCACCGATGCTTGATAATCATGTTTGCCGCCTTCCCGTTGGACTGGGGATCTGGGACGAATGGTGTGATCGCCGCCTCGGTGTTTGAATGGATCAATCAGTCCTCGTCTCCTCACGGCGAGATGACAAATGCCGGATGATGCGATGCTGCTCACTAATTGCCCCGACTGACGGATTGTATGACTTGCGAGAGATATTTAAGCACGCGATCTGCTTCTTATCCATATACCAACACATCAGTCTATACTCTCCTCCATCATGGCGACCACAACTACTGCCACCACCACTACTTCCCTCTCCGCAACCTCATCCTCCTACATTCCCCGAGGACCAACATCCGCCACGATCACCTTCTACGGCCCTCCCGCAGACAATTCCGCGCCGTTCAACTACGTCGAAACCCCACCTGCCGGCCAGCCTCAACGCAACTATTCCGAAGTCGAACATGAAGTCTCCCTCAATGACATCCGCGGTTCAGAGACGTCCTATAATCTCGACAAGGACTCCTTTGCAGCACTCCAGAATGTCCCCAGCGCAGCAACATACTCCACCTTCGACTCGGACGCCGCTGTCCGCGAAATCTACTACCCGGAAGTGGAATCCCTGCTCAAATCGCTGCCCGGCGTCCACAAGGTCGTCCTCTTCGATCATACCATCCGCCGCGCGAAACCCGGTGCCCCGCGGCAGCCGGTCACTCGCGCGCATGTCGACCAGACCCCCCGCGCGGCCGCTGACCGCGTCAAGCTACATATCCCCGACGAGAAAGAGGCCGAAGCCCTGCTCGCTGGCCGGTACCGCATCATAAACGTCTGGCGCCCGCTCGACGATCACGATCTTCCCGTGCAATCTGCCCCGCTGGGGTTTGCCTCTGCGGCTTCAGTCGACGGGAACGATCTCGTCCCCATTCAGCATCGGTATCCGAATCGGACTGGCGAGACCATGGGCGTTAAGCATAATCCGGCTCAGAACTGGTTCTACTGGTCTGGTATGACAGGCAATGAAAGGTTGCTGCTTAAGTGCTCCGACTCGGCAGGTCTAAAGGATCAGAATATCGCGCAGTGGGTGCCACATACTGCGTTTTGGGACCCGAGGACCCCTGAGGGTGCTAGGCCTAGGGAGAGCATTGAGGTTAGGGCTTTGGTTTTTGGATGATTAGTTTGCGATATGGTCTTTTATTTGCATTATGAGAGAACGTTTGCTATAATAATATTTGTTTTATGATGAAATGATATTCGAGTTCCGATGCAGTTTAAATAAGGTCTGGAGCACTTGCGCTAGAGAACTATACAAAACCAACTATAGCACAATTTGATAACAGATAACCCCGGGGTTTGGCGATCTGCTTGCTCCACTCCCACTACCACTCTCACGCAACATACTCAAAGAGACGACTTTACCTTGTTTTTCTGTCCCCGCTTATGTTCGAACACTAGACATGAATGCCTGATCGTTGCAATCAGATCCCCATCATCATCAATCATTTGCACATGCATGTCAAAGCGGCCGTTCTGTAGCTTGTGCATCTTGGTACGATTCAAGATCCATTCCTTTCGGCCGGCCGGATCAGCGCGGAAATCAAAATCCATACTAATGGTCGGATATTCATAATTCAAAACAGCCTTCAGAGCACTCTCTTGGTAGTTCATGTGGATTGCAGGGATCTGGACTTGTCAATTCGTCGTTCACAATGTGCCGGAAATTCAAGAGTGAACACGTACGAGGTCCGCCATGAGCCCGAGATGTTCCAAACGAAAATTGTCGCCAGAGTCGAGCTTCCCCCATTGGTCGCGCGCATTGCGCCCACGACTGGGGCTCCACATGAGGCTGTCACCATCCTTGGGATTGTAGTATCGAATCGCCGAGGTCGGCGGGTTAATATGGTAGAAGAAAGCGTTGGTCCAGCGGGCGCAGTCATGTTCCCGGTCCGGAGTCGGAATTGGGGGGAGTTTCATGGAGATTCCAGTGTTGTTATTCAAGTCACCCATCGTGAAGAGTGCAAGACTGTTCGGAGCTAGGCTGACCGGGTCGGACGAGACGAGCTCGGCTTGGATGGTGGAAAGTCGTTTGCTCAGCTTGATGTCTGTGAAGCGGACGTGAAAGACACCCGGTGGAGTGAGCTGTAAATATTGCAGGTGCATCTGGATAGGATCTGGCTGGTTTAGATCTCCATGATAGGCACGAAAATAGGTACGACTTCCAGCAATGAGCAAGGCGGCGATGTATCCACCATGCAAGCAATGACCGCGGTCATCTAGGACATCATTCGGTGTCAATGTCACGAGGTAAATAAAATATGTGGCACGCCAATCATACGTGGAGTGCACCAATCCCTTGGAGCAAACCCGGAGTAATGCCCCCTCTGTCCATCAATTGGTTTAAGGGCGATGGCCTCATCAAAGCTGGTGCGCGCGTATCCAATGTCCTGCCAGTCGGGCGTCACGTCTGGGTGCGAATTGGGGAGATGAGAATTTGCCATATTAACTATTTGGTTAATGGATGATGCTTGATATTTCGAAAGCGAAGATTGTCATTACTGAATTATGGTTTAACTTGCATAATGGAGAAAGTTGATTTGTAAGTCACATTTAAAATTCCGCAATGCCGTCATAACGGGTTAATCAGCCAACTCTTAAGCTTTAATAGCTCCGAATGTAGTCTTAGAAATGATTACTTACGCCAATCTTAATGTAGTTTCGAGTTCGGGCCTAGAAAGAAAGCGTGAGTGTCTTGTTGGTTGGGTGGGGACCCTGTTTTAGAATTCTACCGTACACCTTGTGGATGAACATAAAAAGATTATTGAGAATTCCCATGCTAGATTTCGGAGCCGATCAAGGTAGTTAGAGAATAATGTGGAGCCAGAAGGCGAAAAGAAATCCCCGAAGCTGAATGTTGCGGACCCGGAATAAAATGCTGGCAACAACAGACAATATTCCGAATCCCACTCCACTTATCATGGAATTTTTCAGTAAACGATGCGCATGGTCGGTATTCAAATAAAAAATCCTTAAGTCGCAATTAAAAAGAAATTAATAAAAAGGTACGCCTATGATGAGGGTTTCGATGACCCATAGATAACCCTTTGCGTTGTATCAAAACTATCCATCATGTCGATCCACCGCTCAAACACATGGACCAACATCCCAGACAGCATATCAATATCCCAATTGAAGAAAACACAATGTTGAAAACACTCCTCCCGATAAAGTAATCTACGAAGAAGCCCTTACGGGGAGAACCGCGACTTACGGATCATTCCATCGCCAGATTCGTCGAACAGCTTATAGTCTGCGTCACGATCTATCGATCCAACCAGGAGATATTGTGTCAATCTCTGGATTCAGCTCCATTGAGTACATTCTGACTGCTCATGCCGTCTGGTGGACCGGTGGCATTGTGAGCCCAATCAACAACAGTCTCCATCCCGATGAGTTATCTCGGGCTATCGATCTTGTCAAGCCAAGATGTCTAGTGATTGACAAGACCCTCTATGAAAAGATTCATTCATGTAATTACGAAGACCTCAAATCACTGCCAAACCTTCAACACATTCAAGATATTCACGATAGGAGAACCGACCGGCGCAAAATGGCCACCTTTACCAATCAACTACTCGCCCTCCATCGACGAAGAACCCGAGCTGCGGAATCCTATCCGGCCCCATACCTTCAATCCCAAGAAAGCTTGCGCAGCGATCCTACTTTCAAGTGGAGCAACCGGCATGTCAAAAGCAGTCATGCTCTCGCACTACAACCTCGTCGCCCCCTGCTTCCAGCTCCGAGAGGATAATCCACAGAACTGGCGTGGAAGTCAACGAGAGATATTCTTTCCGCCCTTATCACATATCTATGCGCTGTACGTCTGCTTCACGATGGGTCTGTGGCTGGGTGCATATGTCTGTCTTATGCCCCGGTTTGACCTGGAGCCCTATTGTCGCCTGCTCAAGGACAGGAAAGCTACGCTCGCGAGAGTCTTGCCTTCCATCTCGAGGATGTTGGCTGAGAGCCCTGTTGTACGTCAGTACAAGTATCCATCCTTGGAGTATTTCAGTTGCTCTGCTGCACCGTTGCATGTACGTGAAAATGTCCATTTGAGTGGCATTGTCCGACTAAGCCAACTAACACGGTCGGTCTATTTTAGGAATAAACGGCAACAAAACTCAGCGAGGCTTTTCCGGGGGGTTGTCCTGTGTCAGAGTAGGTTGGAATGTAGTTCGATTACGATGGGCACTTGGATACTAATAATATATTCGCAGCATATGGATGTACTGAGCTATCTGGACCATGTGTTCAGAGTGGAGTGCGTGATAGAGGGCTTCCACTCTCTGCTTCTGGCACTGTGATTGCAAACAGTGAGATCCGATTCTTGGGTCTGGATGGTAAAGATGTCGGGGCACGAGGACCTGGTGAGATTGCCTGTAGAGCCCCAAATGTTATGATGTGAGCTCGACCTACTCCACAATAAAGAACTATTACCATTCTGACTGTTTGAACAGGGGCTACAAAGACAATCCAGAAGAGACAGCAAAAGCCATGTTTGAAGATGGATGGCTCCGCACCGGAGACTTGGGATACATGGACGAGAAGGGATACCTGTACATCTATGATCGTTTGAAAGAAATGATCAAGTATAAGGGGTACGCCGCCTGAAACACACTGACTTTCAGAAATTCTAACAATACCACAGATTTCAGGTTTCGCCATCTGAGTTGGAGAACATTATCATTCAGCATCCCTTGGTACATGAGGCTGCTGTAATCGGCGCTTGGAGCTCCACGGAAGACACGGAGATACCTCAGGCATTTGTGGTATTGAAGAATGCACAAGGTAATGCTCAAGGGGTTGCGAAGGATGTCTCGGATTTTGTGTCAACTAAGGTTTCTAACTACCAAAAGTTGAGGGGGGGGGGGGGGGGTTGTTATAATTGATGGATTGCCTAGGAATCCCACTGGCAAGGTGCTGAAGAAGGTATTGAAAGAATACAGGAGCAAACCACAGGATGAAAGCCAGATGCCGGTTGCCAAGCTGTGAAGGTGTACCACCCTAGACAGCGCTATATACGTACAAGGTGCATTTCCTCTAAAATAGCTATATCACTGCGATTAAAAACAGATGCAAGTTTATTCGGGCGGGATTGTTCAACACTAATGTGTCTATTAGAGGAAAGCGTAAATTGTTTACAGTTCATTAGTCTACAGAGGCAATTAACTGAGTCAAGCAGTACCTACCTATCCAAGTCTATGTAGAACAGCTCTAACTCTCAATCGTGCATAAATCTCATCTACCTGAGCATGCAGGACTAATGCATGAAGACGAATAAAAGTATCTGCTGCCACGGAAATATGTTTAGCACAGTCAATTAAACCTGCAAGGTAAATGCATGAGAATAGGAGTCTTCCTAGCCATTTGCCTAGTCAAGCTCCGACGAACTTGTGGTTAACGCGTATCTTCCATAAACAGTGCCGGGTCTCTCAATGTCAGCTTTTAATGCCTAGTCTGTCGGGCCTAAAGAAGTCATGTATACAGACGAATTTGCTCAGTTGCACTAATTGTATGCTAATTGAAAGAGACTCGCCCTTCTTTAGTTCAATATTTTTCTCCCTAGTCTCCTTTCTGAAACCCATCAGACGCGACCTTGATTATAGTTTGCGTTGACCTATAAGCCTTGCGTATGCTACCTTCATTCGATAAAGGGAAGATCGTTCGCTTCAAAATTCTGGAGCTCCGAATAGAATTCTTTCATAGTTAGACGCTTCGACTGTTCGCAGGTGGTTTTGCCAACGAGTGTTAAGAATTCGTCATATCCTTCGAGATCAAATAAATCTTCCAGAGTTTCTTTGACATTAGTTGGGCTTCGAGGTTTCGACAGGATGCTAGTCAAACGACGCTGGTATATTCGTTCTTGGAGTCGAGGGACACCAGCATATAGAAGGCTTAGCCCTGCATTTTCAACATCCCCTGCAAACTCTTCGTTTGCTCTTATGTTCCCTTGTGGAGATTAGCAAGGTGAGATTTTTATGGCTTGCACTATAAGTGATTTGGGTCTTACTTGGTTTCCGACCATAATCGGTCGAAAAATCCCAATCAATAATCTTCCACTGGTCAGGCTGAAAAGTCGACATCAAGTTACCCAGGTGGGCATCCTTATGGGCAATTCCTAGGTCATGGGCATAGTCCAATCCCTTCACGAATTGCTGCATCATGATAAGACGGTTGAAGAGCCTATATTGGGGATCATGCCTCGCTCGTGCAGCGTTATACCTCCTCAACATAGATGCCGCATCCTTATACAGTTTCTCCATAACGACGATTGACCCGTTCTCCGAATTGTCCCCGCAGTAATCCTCATCTGCAGGAACCAAGAGAGCCTTGTACACACGGGGAACGGTTTTGCTCGGTTCGAGCATTTCCATTATATGCACGCTTTTGTATGCAAGCGACAAATACGAGTCTTTTGCAACGAGATCATACTGGACTGCTTCATTTCCGACGGGATTCCCACCCCAGCTTCGGCTTGCTGTGTTCTTGCCGACTGCTCGCGGCCTGTTGAATGTCAACAGTGAGGCTTGCAATATCGTCGCCGCGCCTCCGGCATTAATTTTCTTGCCGACTTTGACGATTCCTTTTGGTAAAGAATTTTCGTTTGAACCAAATGCATAGATTGTGTTGCCGTGTGAATCTGGACCTATAAGCCACCCTTTCGCATATAGATCCGGACTGCTCCCTCGCTTAACAAGAGGGCTCCGGTCAAGTTCATCTTGTCGGCTGAGTGCATAGAGCAGCTCTGTTTCGGTATTAGGTCGGGAGGGAAGTGCTAGATCAAGATCGGAGGTAGGAGCGCCGTAGGCAAGAGTGATAAAAATAAAGTAGAGAAATCCCAAGTTCATAGTCCAAAAGATACTAAAGCTGTAGAGACCCCCTTTCGATGGCATTTTGAACATAGTCAGACTGCTCGGAAGGCTTATAAAACTCACGAACATGTCATGTCATGCCAGACAGAATGTATAACCTCGAGCATCTAGTTGAATCGCGGCCTTAAAATAGATGTTAAGGGGCTATAAGGGGCCGTTGGGAAGTAACCTTCCTAGAGGATGAGATTACGCCCCGATAGTGGGTTGAGTTTGGCATTTTTGGGGCCGTGTATTTTACGCCTAGCTCAGACGCCCCCATGTACTCTGCTCCACGTCAGCTGGACTGAGAGGAAGATCTGAACCGAGAAGGTTAGGGCTCCGTGAAAGACACCCATCTATGAGAACAGGATCTTGTTTTGCGGCGCCAGTGATGTTCAACGTTGATTGAATGCCATCAGCTCCTGGATAGACAATATCATGTATTACGAAAGGACCGATGGTCTCAGTCCTGAATTTGCAAAATGTTACCAGAATCGAAAGTTTGAGGGTGAAGATCAGGGGAGAATACTTGTGCCAAATCCTCTAGTTCACATCGATTCGTTTGAGCGTCTAGTAACCAAAACGGTGACGGCGAGCGGGCAGAAAGGCGATGCTGTATAGGTTTGTGAATAAACCGGTTCGTAAGGTCAGAAGTCACCTGAATTTTTGGTTTTTGAATTCTTCTTTGTTGTTTCTTTTCTGTACTTTTCTGGAAGGCGCGCTGTCACAAGCTGATAGCTAGGCTCTATCGCATTCAATTATCTGTACGAATTTTTTTGTTCTGTCTAGGTCGCATCCGTTGTTACCTAGTAAACAACCTTTTGAAAAAGCTGCCAGCTCACTGACGGCGCCAATGGTTAAAGTGGCTGATGTTTTCCGGAAGTGGCCCGCATCGGATGGAGCACCAGATGAAGTCTAAGCAGTTTAAAGAGCAAACGATGATTTTTAAAATGGAACATACAATCATGATTTGGATGCACACAAATACTGTAATGCTCATAAGTACTTCCATAGCGCCATATCTTCCCTATGCTGTCCAGTATATAAGCCCAATACGTGCTTCGTCTTCTTCCATCTTTATCGCGAGAAATGCGATACCAGAATCAAATTCAAGTTAAGCAGAACCAATAGAATCGCTTCTTCATACTTAAATCGGTGCTTCCACTGCTTTTGCCGAGCACAGTTTGGGACTCGCGTACCCAGATCGTTGCAGAAGTCGCACTTTTCCCAGGCCATTCAAATCATTATTTGGGGCGGATAACTATATTTCTGTGTTTAATTTATTAATGTACCGATACGCGCTTCCTCCACGACTTGCGAAATTGATGCCGCTCATCATCCTGCTGTCTATTGCGCATAAGGAGAAAGCATTGGTGGGCTTTTTTCTCATCACTCAAAGCTTGGACCTTAGCCGGGTTGGTAAAATAGTCATCAGTATTTGGAATCTAGAATGGTCTGGTTTTGTGTCCGTATCCGTGATCTAAATGAACACCAGTAGACCTTGATAAGAGTAACTCAAAATTAGAGATATCACGTACTTGTGTTAGCCATAGCTCCTGCTCTGAGTTCCATGCTTTCTGGCACCGAGTAAGCTCTTTCATAGCAAGTTTCAACTGCTGCTCTTGCTCCTGTGTCCAGCGGTATTGGCTTCGGACGATATTTGCCCAACTGACAGCGCGAAATAGCCGGGACCGAGCTGACGGATCGAGGTTGATGCCAGGTGGTAGCGATTGTGATTTATCCTCAAAATCACCCTCCTCTTCTGGGATTGAGTTGACATCCAACTCAATGTGCTTGAAATTGTCTATGCCTGGAAAGAGGCCCGTGTTCGTGCCGAGTCCCGATTTCACCGCTAGATGCGCGGTGTTGGAGACATCACATTCTAGGGCAGGGCTGCTGGTCTGAATATCACGACTATCGAAGTTCATGTCGGCATGGTCGCTATTATCGTCGAAGAACTCGATCTCCTTCTCTTTTGTATTAGACGTTGACAATCTTTGTTTCCATCGAAGTGGGAAAAGGAGCGCGCGTTGAATGGCGGTAGAAATGGACATGATAGCACTGCTGCAGCGTCGAGGGTATTGAGAGGAAGAATAATTCACAAAACTCTAAAGAGAGCTTTTGGATCTGTAGTGCCTTTGGCAGCTTTTAAATCCCGGGTTGGTTGCCACAAGGGCAGTCCTTGCATGTCAACCTAGGGTGACAACGACAAAATCGAGCATCCATGAACTTGCGCAAGAGTGGGGGTTGTAGACCCGACATGCATCGTCTAGATGGAGTCCACATCTTTTGCTTGGCTGACCGCGCGAGAATAACGAGGAGTCAGAGCCTATGGCTGGGTTTGCAGGGATGCTGGCTGCAATGTCGGTCGAGACTGCGAGAATGCATCCAATTAAGATACCCCTACTAACTCAAGAGAAAAGTGGTCAGACGGGCTTGGGCCGAGTGCCGGATATTTTCTCGAGACCCACGGCTCCACCAGGTCTTGCAGTTCACAGACCAACAGTTGGCTTAAAGAGTGATGAAAGGAACTGGAGTTGTTTGGTCAAGGCGTATACTGTCCGCCCCGAAAAGCTTCGGGGAAACAAGAAATCTCAATGCAGAACCAGGTCATTTTGGACCACATATTATCATACGCTGAGCAAATATCCAAGTCTTACGGGTGCGTGCAGTGAGGCCCAAAATACTGCCTGACCCAACGAGGTATCAGGTAAAATGGTATGAATCAAAAAAGAGAAACTGCCATGTACAACACGTCGTACAAGAGGCAGCTGAACAATGACGCTAAACAATATAAATAACCAACCACCAACACCAAAAACACGCCTGATATCCAAGTCAAAGCCGTGAGGGAATCATAACGAAATAAAACCGCATTCCAAAAAAAAAGTCACCAACATAAGGCTAGGAATTTCCATGGGCCCAAGCATATGCCATGAACAGAAACGGGAGAGTGGTCATCGCCACGTATCCACAGAAGCGCCTCTGAGTGCCTTTGCCTTTTTCTCCTCTCGGATTTGTTCACCAATGATGATGCTGATCAGTCTTCGATGCAGGTCGGCTTCTGTCCAGTAAACATGCCCGTCGCCACCGGATTGGACATCGGCTCTGGAAAGTCCCTGGGTAAAGCGGTCTATAATGGCAAACTGCAGCTGCGTGATGGGCACCCCATGATGTCCATCGGATGTCCAGATCCAGTCACCGATGATACGAGCACGTCCCGGGGCATCATAGTACTGGAATCGTTCCGGGAACCGCTTTGCCGTTCGATACACACGCCGAAGGGCGTTGTAGTGGACATCAGAGAAATGACCAAGTTTGCTGGATGCTGCGTCTTCTTCACCAATGTCATTTTCGTCACCATATTCCTCGGCTTGTTCAGGTTCACTGCGTTCGTCATATATTGCCTCTTCTACTTCAGGTCCACGATTCTGTTGCTCAAAGCGAGATGGTGGATGCGGCGATTCCGAGGATGATTCATCTGAAGAGATTGAAATCGGCCGGGAACGAAGATGTTCAACAGTTCCTTCGGCTGGTTCAATAACATCCCGCTCCTCGTCGCTCAGTTCCTCATCCTCCTCATCCTCGTCTTCAGATACAGAGCTTATGCTCTCATTTCGGCTTCGCGCAGGTGCTCTCAACCACCTTGGTGTAAGATTGGTGATTCTCTGAAACCAAGAGGATGCTGGAGTTTGGCCGCTGGCCGGTTGCTCAGGTTCTGGAGTGGTTGCAAGGTCCCCGTGGACAGATCCCGGATTGGTAGGAGGGGCGGCGTCAGAGGCGCTACTGTCGGATTCATTTTCATCTTCTTGATCCTCCAGTGGCGGGCTTCGGTGTTGTGTCGCCTGGAAATCAATGTCGTCTTTCTCTGAGGAGCTGACTGGACTAGACTGAGAAAGAGGCTGTAGACGATCATATCGCGCAGTCAAACGCTGCGAGCTCCCTGGCACAGCAGACCCGTTCACTGGCGACGGTTGCATCAAGGTACGGTGGCTCGTAGCGCTGCGGGGTGTACTGCTCCCATTGTAGTAACGAGCTCGATTTGGTGTATCCTCTTCTGCAAGTAGGGCTGAGAGATCAACTTCCTCCTCGCGTAGCTTGTGAATATGAGACCGACCAAGGTACGGCGTGGTGCTTTGTTCGAGATTCCATTGAGATGGGGATGAGCTCCCACCACTGATACTTGTAGCAATCCTTCGCCAAGGGCTGACAGGATCACTCTCGAGGGGCTGAAGATGTCGGTCTTCTGATTGATGGGACACCTGGCTATTATCGCGAGCCTCTTGCTGCCAGATATCATCAAAGTCGTCGTCGAAGATTTCAGGCTCCATGTCAGGCTCTTGGTTCTCATTCGATCGTGGCTCAGGAACAATTTCGGGCTCGACGACCTCGTCCATCTCCTCCTCCTGGTCGAAATCTGTCTGAAAATTGCCATCGTATGCATCCCTAGCCTCGTCCTCGTTGGCCGGTGAACCGCGTTCATCACTGTCGATATAGATCATTGACCCTCCGCTTGTTGTTTGGGCCTGGCGGCTAACGGCTTCTCGTTCACGTTGCCATTCAGCCTCCCGCTGTGCAGTTATCGAGTGCATGTGCGTACGGTCCCTCTGCTCCGACTGCGGGGCCTGTGGGATAACTTCTACCTCGTCGAGTTCCTCAACATCATACAACTCTTCATCCTGATCCTCCTCGATATCTTCTTCAACAGAATCCTCCACATCCGAGATAGATTCAGTGGCTCGTTTTTCCTCGAGTTCCGACTGTCTCCTCGCAAGTTCTTGTCCGATCCCCAAGGCAGCTCGCAATTCTCGTTGGGTATCAGGACTGAATGTGCTGAACACGTCTTCCAGGCGGCTTTTGCGGGCTGCGTTCCGGAAATCAGATCGCTCGCCGTCCTGTGACCTGAATGGTCCCATTAGCGCCATCCCAACGCGAACAAGCCGAGCCAAGCTCGTCAGAGGCCTTTTCTTCGGGACATTCGGAATTTTTTCAGCGAGAAGAGACCGAGAAAGCTCTGAATACCGAACATCATTCGTAACGGGGCTTCTCCCAATGGGTTTCCTTCCAGCAGGGCTCCTGCCAGCATTGATAGGAGAACGCTCCGACATTGCATCGATTCGAGACCGGATGCGCGATCTAGGAGAGGAGCCTTGGGCCTGTGGGCTTCGCGATTTCGAGGCTCGGCGTTCACCTCGAAGCTCATCGATACTGCCGGGCAACTTTCGTTTCAAGCGATCCGCAGGGCCACCCTTCTCGCGCTCCAAAAAGGCCTCAGAGCTCCGCTTGAAGACAGTCTGGAGCTGGAAGCCAGTTCACGTTGCTTGGCCGAAGGAAGTGTGTCCAGGGAGACCATGCTGAATCCTTCGCCCTCCATGATCGAATCAAACTCGCGATGTTGGCTTGTCGGGTCGGCTGTTCGATCCTGTCCCACACGGGGGCTCTTTGTCTCTTCCCCAATGTCTTCTTCGGTCTGATTGTCCTCTTCAACTGAAGAGGTGGGGGTTGGATATGTGGGCTGTGAGGCAGGGTCGCTGTTCGCCTGCTGCGTAATTTTTGGTGATAAGATTGATAGGTCTCGACTCGGTGAAGGCATTTTTGAGGGCGTTGAATGTATGTTCTCGTCATCGTTCACGTCAAATTGGTAGTCTGTTTCTCCGACTACTGGCGTGTCGTAGGTTGCTCGACCGTAATCGTGGCCCGTGCTGGTATCCCGGACGTCCACATCAAATTGACCAGTGTATAGAGGATGTTCACTGAAGTCTGCGACAGGCAAGTCATCGGCCCCAAGTGAGTCGGTCTCAAAGGTCCTGTCGGCTTCGAGATTCATTGGAGTCCAATCACGAGGTGGTTCAATATCGTCATCGAGGGCGATATCCATTGGACTCCCCGGCTGGTCAGGGACAATAGACGGTGTTGGTGGGTTATCCGGCTTCGGCGGTTCTTGAGCGGTTGGTTTCGGAGTGCCTTTGCGCGGTCGACCCCTTTTTTTCTGTGGAGTTCCAGTTCCAGCCGGGCGCGCGGGAGTGTTCCCAGGGCTTCGTGGATACGGTGACCCGTTGAGCGTCTGCACGTCGGATTTCCGTGGGCGACCGCGGCGTCGCGGTGTTTTCTCTGCCAGAGGACTCCTTTCATCCTTGAGCGGAACCTTTGTTGTGACTGTTGTGGAGCGCTGGCGCTTCCGCGGGCTAACCTGATTTTCTTCATCCTGTGTTGCCTCCAGCGTGACTCGAATGCGCCACGGGCTCACATTCCCCTCCGAGAGGTCTTTCACTGGCGAAAGCGAACGCTGGCGCCCATCGAGCTTCATGGTTGGCGAGCCAGGAAGCAGGACATCATCGAACCGGATTGAATGCGCACTTCTCTCGGGGCTGAGGTTGATGCGCCGTCGCTTGGCCGGAGTGTTTTGGCGTTTCGTGTCCGCAGGAGATAGCCAGCTCTGACGACCGGCGAAAGGCTTGACTGGTGATGAAATTAGGTATTCAGCGTCGCCTGGTGGACCCAGGATATCGGGGGAGGAGCTGCGACTGCGCGACGAGGTCGACATGGTGGGCCTTGGGGAGGGAATCCAGGCACGCGTACCGCCAGGGGGCGGAGCGAGCGCCTGTGGAATGCGGCAGGGGAATCAAACAGACAGACAGATAGACAGGCAGGACTAGAGAGGAGGTTCTCTCATCAAATAGTAAATGATGATGTCAAACATCCGGAGAACAGAGCGCGGGGATAAACAAGTCTCCCGATACAGAGGGCGCGTGTGGTGGTAGCTTAGGTAATGCCCTTCCTCATCGAGAAGTGTATTACACAGAACAATAATAATAATAATGATGATGATGAACGAACGAGATGATTATTCACCTCTGGCCCATGATTGAGCCGTCCAACATGAATAACTAGCGAATGAGACTATACCAACAGTTCTGAACCTCGAAAGGCTCGCTTGATGCGGGCGACAAGGAGAGTTGATGTCACCAACATAATCATTCATCTATGCGAACTCCAAACCCTGTCAAGTCCGTTCCCTCCGGGTCTAGCGGTAGTCCTTCATTCTTACGGAGAAAAGTGATTAATTAGCCAAAAGAGTACTACTAGTGTCGGAACCCAATTTGGGTCAACTGCAGCAATTCCGAACCCCGATAGCGCCATTTATCTTGGCGAGGTCCGGCGCATTTACTACTAGCAATGCAACCCCGGTCTATCGGGCTAAACAGACCCGGATCGTTTGAGGGGACGTATCTCCACACATTATTATTCTCCGTTCATTGATTACCCCATCCGCCAACACGTCATGGGTGAGAAGCATCCCCTGGGAGGATTGGCCTGGAATAATCAGCAAAGACGGGCTTTGCGTCCCAAACCCCAGGTCATTATTCCATCTCTCTTATTGTGCCTTTGGATTCTTTTCCATGGCCGCTTAAGCACTGTGCCATCAGGCAATGGATTAAGGTTCCTCGAATACAATGGAGAGCATATTAAATGGGAGCCCTGTGGGGACATCCAGGGCAGTCCCCTCGAATGTAGCAGCATCAATGTTCCGATAGACCAATTCGATCTGGAAAACTCTGGAAGCAAAACCTTTACCATCCCACTTGTTCGCATGCGCGGCAACAACGCAACCCAAAATCTCCTTCTAAACCCCGGCGGCCCTGGAGGGGGCGGCTTCGACTTGCTCTATCGCCGAGGCGAGTAGCTGAAGGCTTTAGTCGGCGAAGGTTTCCACCTGCTCTCGTTCGACCCTCGCAGGGTTAATAGCTCGACGCCAGTAGCGTCTTGCTACCCCGACGACAAGACCCGACAAGAATTGTCTCGCGTTCGATCTCTAGATGTATTGGGTGATAGCCCCGAGGTTTACGCGTGGGCGCAGAACTTTGCCAGAGCATGCCATGACACAATGGGCGAGTATGGCAAGTATCTCAACACCCCCCAGACAGCCGCCGACATGAACAGTATTCTTGATGCACTGGGTCAGGAAGACATGATCTACTTGGGATTCAGTTATGGCACTCTGCTTGGCCAAACCTATGCAGGACTGTTCCCCGAACGGTCGACACGCGTCATCATTGACGGGGTTGTGAATCAATTCGAACGGTACGAAGGTCTTTTCGAAGCACAGTCGCTGGTCGACGCGGACACGGTGCTCTACGGCTTCTTTGATGAGTGTATCAAGGGCGGAGTGGACAACTGCCCTCTGGCCTCGCTGGCCACACCCACCGAGGAATTACGTGACACGGTGCTCTCATACATGGACACGCTTCGAGAACAGCCCATCAGTGTATACATCAACAACTCCGTTTACGGCTTGCTGGACTACGAGAAGGAATGGTACAATCGGTTTTTCGAAGCCCTGAACAAACCTCCCTTGTGGACTGCGCTGGCGCACAATATATATAAACTCATTTTAGGAAACGCGACGGATGCCTTTCTCGCATATGGTATTGAAGAGGTCCGAGACTGGCGCCATGAAGCTAACGAGTTTATCACTTTGAACGACGGGATTAGTGGCCCGGAGCATTGGCCTCAGGATAGACAAGCGTTTCTGGACAAGATCGCGCCTTTGTTCAATCATAGTCTCTTCAGCTCTGGGCAGAGCAAAACGCATTACATGCGGCAGCAGTGGGTAGTGCCAAAGACACATTCTTATGTGCCTCGCAAAGGGATCAAGACGGCGCATCCGCTGCTAATTCTCTCGACAACTTATGACCCTGTGTGCCCGCTGATAGCTGCCCGCTCGGCGAACGAGGCATTTGAGGGATCGCAGGTCGTCGAGGTCCAAGGGTACGGGCATTGCTCTGTTGCAGTACCGTCGGTCTGCATTGCGAAACATGTACGAGCGTTCTTGTATGAGGGCTTATTGCCCGACAGCTACGCGAAGTGCGAGGTGGATTCCCCCTACTTCGGGCCAGTGTCGGCTCACAGACACTTTGAGGACGCGGAGGAGGCCAGAATCCACCTAGCGCAGGAGCAGTTAGCGAGAGACTGGGAATATTTTGCACCAGTCAGGTCCCTGTAGCATGTTAGAGCAGCAGACAAGCATTTGTCCCCAATGAGGCGGCCTCCAGATCGGCGAGACTCTTTCCCCCCTGCGTTCTTAGCACATTCCACCTCCACCGGAGTTTTTCATTTGTGAGCTGACTCGGTTTAATTGAGGTAGCATTAGTCCGGACTGTTAGTGGCAGCGGACCCTGGTCAGCGCCGGTGCTTGTTTGGGTCTACGGCCCCCGCAGTCAGGGCTCAGATCGTTGCCGCTCCCATCCTGCGCCCACATTGACGCGCAGTGACTGGTTGGTTCGCCCGACGGTCACATCATCGTTTTCGGGTAATCCTTTCGATCTATCCAGCCCAGGGACTGTACCCCGGTTTCCGTCCCTGACCCCGCCCCCTAGCGTCGGCCCATTGAGGCATTGATCCTTATTGATTTGTTGTTTGGAATGGTGCTCTTGCTCGCATAAAATGAATGCTGCTCCCCGGCTCGGCTGTTTCCGTTGCTTGCTGCTGTGTCCTGCCCGCCTCACTCCTCGTCTCCTGTCTGTCTTCTGTGTCGTGTTCCTCTCCATCACTGCTCTCCTAGGCCTCAGGATGCATCTCAAACCTTACATCACGGCTGCCCTCACCGGGCTGCCTCTCCTGACGCAGGCTGCCCCCGCGTCGTCGTCGTCCGACAGCTCGGAGGATGGCCACTTCACGAGCTACACCATCTCCGCAGAAGGCATTACCGTCAAGGCAATTCCCTACGGGGCGCGTCTGACCTCCGTGCTGGTCAATGACCGCCACGGCCATGTCCAGGATGTCCTCACGGGCTATGATGATCCCATTGAGTACCTGCATGACACAGAGACCAACCACACCTACTTTGGCGCAACGGTGGGTCGCTATGCCAACCGCATCAAGAACGGCACGTTCACGATCGACGGCAACACCTACCACATCCCCGAGAATGAGCACGACGGCGAGGACACCCTCCACGGTGGCTTCGTGGGCTACGACGCGCGCAATTGGACGGTTGGGCCGCACACGGACTCCTCTATCACTTTCTCTCTGCTTGATGAGGGCTTCCAGAACTTCCCAGGGGATGTCATTACGACTGTTACTTTCACTGTCGGCAACGAGGTCACTGCAGAGAATCCCAAGGGTCTGCCGCAGCTGACATCGAGAATTGTTTCCGAGGCTTTGACCAAGAAGACTCCGATCATGCTCGCCAACCATCTCTATTGGAATCTGAATGCCTTCAAGAACAAAAATGTCCTGAAGGACACCACTATCCAAATGCCTCTGTCCACACGGTACATCGGTGGAGACGGCATCGAGGTCCCCACTGGCGAGATCTATGAAGTCAGCAACACCTACGGCGGTGCATTGGACTTCACCAAGCCCAAGTTGATTGGCAAGGACATTGAGAAGACTGAAAATCTGTGCGGTACTGGCTGCACTGGCTACGACACCTGCTGGATCACCGACCGCGACCCCGGATACTCCGCCCCGGACTCGATGGTCAGCTCCATCACCTTGGCTTCCGATACCACCGGAATCAGCCTCGACGTCATCACCAACCAGGCTGCGCTGCAGATCTACACCTGCAACAACCAGAACGGCTCCATCAAGACCAAGAAGTCGCAGCAGGAACGCAACCAGAAGCAGGACGGCAGCCCCGGCGCCGAGTACGTGGAGCAGTACGGCTGCGTCGTTATCGAGACCGAGGACTGGATCGATGCCATCAACCAGCCACAGTGGGGCCGCGACGCCTACCAGATTGTTGGCCCGGCCGATCCGCCTGTTGTGAACTGGGCTGTCTACCAGTTCAGCAATTTCTAGATTCATTTGCCTCTTCTGGCTATTTTCATTTCTTCTTGGATTTTCCAGGTGGCGTAAGACATACGGGCACTCCTGCAGTCGTTAGTTGTTCGGCCATGGCTTTGGCGCGCCATCCTGGTTCAACCATGTTACATACTTAATATAGCATAATTTTGACTTGCATATTTGGATGTAGCAACTACCTAGATATCCCCTACATACATCTGGGAATATCTTTCACAGCTTCGACAGTATAGTCGACCCATTATCCCCGCTTCCCTTGACAATCTCCTCTTCCCAGTAATTCGGGTTGAACGTAATTTTGTTCAATGGATTCAGTCGATGGGCCCGGTTATATAGATCCTCATAAACGCGGCCATCATATCGACCAAGTGCGCTGTTCCGATGATTCCACACATTAGTTTTCTGTTCATCATGTGTTGCTCATTCTATGTGAGAGGGGTATTACCTGTCCAGTAGATAGTCGGGGATCTTCCAGGAATCAACCAGGTTCACGGCGTGAGGCCGAATACGCGCCATCAAGTCTTGGATGCGGGCTGGGAGGCGGCTGAGATCGGCTTGTGAGACAGCATTGCAGCGGAAGACTTTACGAGCTATCGTTAGCCAAGTGCAACAAGGACGATGGACACTTGGTTCTTGCTTACATTCAAAGCCCTCATTTTCCATTGTGTACAGGGCAAATAGCCGGTACAGATCCCAGATCACGGTCTTGGTGGAACTGGAGAGAGTCTTGTCGGTGGAGAGGGTTTCAAAGAACGTGGAGACCAAGATCGATTGGGATTGTGCTGTTTGTGTGAGCAATATAGTTCAGGTATCCTGCAGTGTATTTCAAATCTTACCTCGACTCAACTTGTGCAGTTGGATTAGCAGTTCATTCCAGTTCTTCTTCTTTAGGACTCGCTGCTCATATGCGTCATATGCCTGTTTCCCGTTAGCAGGGGTTCCTCATTCTCGACTGGAAACATTGTAGACATACCAAAGCAGTGGCACGGCACTCAAAGCTCTTGACAATATCTTGATCATTCTCCAGAACATTATATTGAGCCGGACATGGGTTCGCACTGCTTCTCGCTCGAATAAATTCCTTGAACCGCGCATCTGTTTCGTCAGCAGCAGCGTTATTCGGCGACTCCGCTGCGGAAGTCATCTTCTTGATCAGATATGCAGCCACCTGTTGCGTGATCATCCAGTTATCACCCTCCACCGTGGGCTTAGATAGGTAGTCATTATTGAGTTGGATAAGACCGCTTCCACCACCAAAGCCGTGTCCGCCCAATGCACGCCGACAAGTCTCGATTCCATCTGCTGCAAGCATTGTGCAAAGACTCTTCAGTCCAGAAGACATGCTGTGCATATGGGCCAGTGTCCGGAAATTGCCTTGCTCAACCTCGCTTCGCGTGTTCTCATATACTGTCCGCATTGCCAGGCCAGTGTAGTGCAGAGCAAAGGTAGTAGCTAGCAGAGGCACGATGCGGATTTGAACAGTGGGATAATCAAGGACCGCCATTTCCGGTCCCTTCTTGTCTCCGTCACGGTCTTGGAACTGTCGGCGGATTGCAGTGTAGCGCACTGCAACGGTCACTGCGCGCGCGAGGACGAGTCTTGCGTGGTGAACGATGTTTGCGCGCACGTAAGTCAAGGATCCATATACCAATGCAGGCTGTTCTGGCTTTGTGTAGATACCGGTGTCAGGGTTGACACTGGAATAGCGGGATAACATCGCAGAATGAGGGATTCTAACAGCATGATATTAGCAAAGTTTCTTTGTTCGGCGAAGGCCTCGAAAACAAACCGGAAGTTCTCGAATAGCATATACGCGTTATCCATGGTGATATATCCATATTTCGGCCCAATGTCCCCAATCACCACTCCATTCAGGGGCTGATGCGTCTTCATATCTCGCACTTGCACAATGAACGGGTGAGGCCCATGGGACACATATTTGTCTGGAGAGCCTGGCTCAGGGAGAAGCAGCTGAGCAACGACAATGGCATGGTTGGCAAGGCGGCCCAAGCTTCCATTCCACCATTTGCTGGCTGTCAAAGTAGGGCTGTGCAGCACGAACTCCTTGGTGCGACTATCCCAGCGCGCCTCGAGCTCCAATCCGCGAACATTACTGCCATGGCCGAGTTCAGTTTGTGCGTATGCGCCGTAGATCTTCCACGACTCAATCAGAGGCTGCCAGTATGCGCGCTGCTCCTCGCTTGCCTGCTCGCGGATTGTGGTAAGGAACATCTCCATCTGAAGTAAATATGGCGAGACATCATCCACCAGGTATTCGGCCATTTTAAAGTCAACAGTACTCCAGGCATGTTTGTCTGCCAGTCGGCGGAGCAGCTTCGCTCGCGCCAGCCCTAGTTTGAAGCGTTCAGGTCGCGACAAGTTTTGCTGTTTTTCTTTGGACAATAGTGGTTCTCGCAGCAAGAATGGCAAGACTCGAGCCTGTCGCTCCAGGAATCCATCGGCTGAAAGTAAATGTTGGGCCAGCTCATTCACAGAAACACTAGACTGCTCTCGCTCACGAGCAAGTGTTGTTGGCCCGTCGGGCTGGCTGGGACGGAGGCGATCAGTGAAGTCGGGCATTTTGGGCGCTTTCAGTCCTTCAAATCATAACAATAAAATGGAGAAGACGATCATCCGAATTCGACGTACGTGACTTCTTCATAAACCTTCAGCTTTCGCTATAACTGCCTTGCTCAATTGTGGTGGGCTACCCGAAATCACCGACTGCCGAATGCCGGCGGGCCTCCCACTGCCACGCGGGGAAGATCGTGGGGAAGTTGCCGAATGAAATAGACAAAAACTGGCAATGATTGGATGTCTGCGTGGTAAGCGGGTTTATTCCGAGTCCGTTATATACTCCAATGCGCTCGCCCGGTGTAGAGGGGGGCAAACGACCCATCCTTAAGGCGGAGGAGACAAAAGAAACTCGAATTGCTTCGTGACAAAAGCAACAATATGGGCGACCGCACTCTATTCGTGCCTTCACATGTGGGCGACAATGTTTTGCCCAACCTTCCCTTTTTTCACAAGCTCTTGCGATACGCGCAGCGCTCACCTCCACTTGTTGCAGTCCGCGACTTGAACGCCGGGATCGAGAGAACCTACCACCACGTGCTCTCAGATGTAGTGGCAGTTCGCAATGAGTTGGAAAAGAAACTCAGTGCAAAAGTTCGTCAGGATTTGGCTGAGGACAAAGAGGTGTATATTGGTTTGATAGCGCCAGGTGGCTATGAGTATACCGTTGGCTTCATTGCCATCCTAGCTGTTGGCGCCGCAGTGGTGCCCATGGGTAAGTGTCTTCAGCCACGCAATAAACTATAACTGATCGAAAACAGCGACGACATTGCCAGTCAGTGAAGCTTCGTACTTCTTGCTAAAGGCAAAATGCGTAGCTCTAGTGGCTAGCACCACCTGCGAGACTCTAGGGCAGTCCGTGGTGCGCTCCATGGGCGAGAAAAATGGAGTACATATTCCCTGCTTCTCTCCGATCGCATCCTATTTCCGTCCTACGCTTCTTCCAGTATATGAGGTTGTCATCTCTTCTAACCGCATCCCGGACATGAATGGCGCGAGCGTTGTTATCTTCACCTCAGGCACGACTGGCCCACCTAAGGGCGCCGTCCACCGCCGTACGTATGTCAGCGGCAACGCAGAGGCAGACGCAGCCCACTATCGTATAACGGAAAAAGACACCGTTCTCCACGTGGTTCCAGTTCATCATGCCACAGGTATCGGGCTGACTTTCTTGCCTTTCATCACGGCCGGTGCATGCATCGAGTTCCGCAGCGGTAGCTTCGACACGGCATGGACGTGGGAGCGCTGGCGGAAGGGAGGCCTTACATTCTTCTCTGGGGTTCCTACTATCTACATGCGTATGCTGCGGTACTACGAAGAGAACATCGCCAATCAAGCTCCTGAGGTGCGGGAGCAGTACGACGCTGGTGCGCGGAATATTAGGGTTATGCTTTGCGGAACATCTGCGCTTCCAGCACCAGTCTTTGAGTTCTGGAGGCAAATTCGAAATGATCCAATTCTGACTCGGTATGGTTCCACTGAGTTTGGGGCCGTCATCAAGACACCTTTGAACCATGAAGGCACGCCGCTGAATAGCGTCGGCATCGTCTCTGGGGCCGTTTCCCTCAAGCTCGATGACGAGGGCCAAGTCCTCGTGAAGGGTCCGAATATGTTCGCTAAGTGAGTGATGATCTACCTCGGGAATTCCGTATTTTTCTGACCGTTCATTCTAGATACCTTCATGATGAAAAGGCAACGAAAGATGCGCACGATGAGGATGGCTACTTCAAGTCGGGAGACATTGCGCGTCGTGAAGGGAAATACTACTTTATTCTGGGTCGCGCCTCACTTGATATCATCAAGTCAGGTGGCTACAAAATCTCTGCTCTTGACATTGAGCGCGAGATTCTGAGTTTGAACTATGTCTCCGAAGTCATGGTGGTTGGAGTCGAGGATGAGGAATTCGGACAGCGCGTTGCAGCCACTATTAGTCTGAAGACGGATCATAAGACGACCCGCAAGACTCTGACTCTTTCAGAGCTCAGGGAGGATCTTCGGGACATATTGGTTGGATACAAGATGCCAACTATCCTGCGAGTGGTTGAGGGTGAATTGCCCAAGTCGGGAACTGGAAAAGTGCAGAAGAAGATCCTGGGTCCGCGGTTCTTCCCTCCAAATTATCGGGAGCTGCCTGAAGTACAGGTATGGAGTAGGGATAAGAAGAGTAAGTTGTAGATTATGCGCATGTTCTGTATAGGCAGTTTGCAAAGGGCTACAGGGGTTCTCGAAATCGCCTTGACCAGTGCTCAATCACTCTTTCTCTTCTGGCCCCACCGCCAATACCTTAGCGCACACCCGTCATTGACCTGGCCACACTTAGTTGAGGAAGGCTGTATAATGCACGTGGTATGATACGGTCTCTAGCAAAGTAATAATACACCGGTCTCATGAGAATCCCGTCGACTTCTATGGAACCCAGAGTGGATCTTTGACAGTCACAGAGAACCGCCTAGGTCTGGTTTATTGATGATCTGCCGCCCGTAGGTATCCCCGGCTTTCTTCTTAGGATACCTGGCATATATCCCCTTTGCTAGTCATCACTCCTAGGATATGTCTCTTTCCAAGCTTCATCCTCTAAATATCCACAAGCTGCATATCTAGCTGATCGACTTCCTCCAACCGTCACTAAGTCCTTTACGTCGACACAATCTTAGCTCTACTGTTTAGGCCTCGTGGGAGCCACTAGGTTTTGCTCCTTCTCTGATGGCTCTTTTCAGCGAAAGTAGATGATAACGGCAAGCTTCACGCGTCCTTGGCCTACGATAACCAGAAAAATCGAACACCACTCCAGCCAAAATATCTAAAGACGCTCCTTCTGAGAATAGCCAGCGAAACCTTTCAAAGTCACCTTCCTCGTATGCTTCGCAACAGAGCCGATCAATACCACCTGGAACCTCTTGAAAAGAAGCACTCTGATCGATCAACCAACTTAAAAGCACTTTGTAATTGTATGAACGAGCTGCGCTCTCAACAAGGTCGCCGCACGGAACATACTTCAGTGAGGCCCCACGTTGGATCAGAATATCCAGGCCCGGAGTCGCGCCATTTTTGCGATAGGCGTATAATAAAATGTGGCCTCGCGATATGTAATGACTTGTTCTGAATTGACAATCCTCGTCCTACGTTTCCGAAGCATCGTTTTTAGGGGTCTGAATCTTTTTCAAAATAGATATAAGAGCCGAGCAGTCGAACAAAGACCATGTCCGACGGCAAAGCGCGCGGAAATGTAAGTAATCAGGAAGGTCAAGATTCATTGCGATCGATTCCAACATCTCCTGCGGTAGGTCACAGAGAGATGCCTTCCTCCTCTCTGTACGCTCTATGTCGAGGCTTGTATATGATACATCGTAGTAAATGACGAATTTAGGTGATTTAGTCTTGGCTCAATATCGGAGGACGGGAGGCGCTCCAGTATCACCGAATTGCTGGCTGGCTATTACTCTGGATTGTGGTGGGATCACGCGGGCTATATGTAGCAACATCAGGAATCTGGGGGATAGATGACGCGGCACCTGTGAAGGCGGACAGCATAGCTCTGGCAGAAATCGTATTAATCGAATACATGTCTACAGAAACAGGCTGTACAACTGTACAATAATACTGTGCCCCTGCATCTTGTCGAGCGATAATTCTACGCTAAGGTCTTGGCGGTGGGGCCAGAAGAGAAAGAGTGAGTGTGTACTGGTCAAGGCGATTTCGAGAACCCCTGTACCCAATACCAGAAATAGCGCACAGGACTCTAGGCAGACGGGTAACCACGATGCAACCGTGCGAGGCCGCGCGAAGTCCGCGAGATCAAAATCGATAATTCCTATGAACGTAGGCGGCCGTGCAATATGAGTCTTTAAGCAATTCTCCGTTGGTTTTCACAATGCGGTCCTTGTCATCGTGAGACCTAAACGGGGCCTTGCATTGTTTACCAAAATTACAAAAATGTAAGGTCCGTTTAATAATATACTTGAGTTTTATCGACGTAGAGATCGTGGCACAACATGGCCGGTGCCGTAGGTCAATGTCGCTCTTGTCGCCCTAGTATGTCGCGTAACAAAATTGACTAGCACGCCACCAATAACCCTCCCTAGCTGTTGCTTGATTTCAGCTGTTCTTACTGGTACGTGCCTCTCGCATCAGATCGAGGAATAGCTGTTGCCATGGCAGGAATGTGTATGATGAATGATTCATGGTAGACTGTAAAACGAATGTGGTTGCTATATTCTGAGTCGAGCACAAGGCTCCTATCTACATGCTGGTCAAGCTCGTATAAACACCTAATATCAGGTGAGCAGGGTGAGCGACACTCGCCCTGCTCACACTCTTGATCACCTTGCTGAGCGAACTGCTCTGGTGATCACCACTGACCATTGTTACTTCCGCTAGCTTCCATATCCCTCTTGGTCATTCTGATCCAATCCTACCCTCCATAACACTTCCGTAATGGAAGCTGTGGAACCAATCGATCCATTTCGTTTAGCATTCACATTTGTGGAGCGGACCTAAGGCGATAACATGACAGTGTCCATTGGCACAGTTTTTCGTGCATGTGGCCGCGCCAATGAAGTCCTGGCCACATTCACTGATTTTCCATGTTAGTGTGGTCTGCATCTTAACGTTGAAGACTATCTCCAATGACAAAGGAATGTTTTCATTGAGCTGGGATTATACTCACGTGCCACGACGCTCAAGCTGCTCGGCAGCTTCGGTAGCTGGCGCAGCAGTGGCAGACCCAATGACTGCAAGAAAGAGACAGAGAGAGGAGATTGAGAAACGCATTGTATCTTGAGGCTTGATGGACTTTTCGAACGAAAGAAACTTGTATGCTTTGAAGATGTACTGTGATAGTGCAAAGACGGGTTGAGTTGCTTTGATGAAGGAGTTGCAGAGAGAAACAAAGGGTGAGGACGAGCCTAGCTTTAAGTATCCTCGCTGGCTCTCGCACCTTGGTCATTTGTGAGGGCAGCTGTACTGTAACGTCGTGAAGGGGGTTGTCCAAAGACCCTGTTTGGGCGGACTTTGGCGAGGTCTGTCTCCACTGATCAGATAGATATATGGATCCGGGGGCCATGAATGAAACTTAGCCAGTTACAACTGCAATTTGTTGTTAATTTAAGACTCGTCTCTGACGTAATACTAAACAATTCTTCTGGATCTAGTTCTAAGGGTCGCGGGACTTACTGTAATGGGGTTTTGTGTTCCACAGGTCTATGTTGCTTCAGAAACAGAACCCCGTTCGTGGGACTTACTGTAACAGGTTTAGTGTTATGCAAGATCAGCGCGACCCTGGGGCCAAAACTGGCTAAGAGCCTTCAATGTAGCTAGTTCTTCGTAAATTGCATTCCTGCTTATCCTAACAATAGCTAGCACAGAGATAGAGTGAGGCTTTTTACTTTTGGGAATGAAAAAGTTTGAAGTGAATGGGATTTAGAAGAATTCCGGAGGTATTTGTCTCGTCTTTTTTGAAAAAAAAGCTGTGGACCTTACAAGCTCCCTGTCTAGACTTCCAGTGTCCAATAAGCCAGGCTATATATCTCAAGCAGAGCACGGGCCTGCTTGCGTTGGGCCAATCGGTGCCAGGTCTCTTTTTTCATTGGAACAAGCGAGGCTGAGTACATGGAGTGAAGAGGGGAAACAAGAGAATCTCGTCTCAGGGCTCTCAGTGGTTGATGGTGACTTACAGAGGTAAAGGTGTCAGGATACCTCAGCAACAGGTAAGCTTCAGGAAAAGTATTTTTGAAATGGAAATATGAAGTCGCCTTTAGCTTCTTGGTTTTTTTCTTCTCTTTTTCGTTTTCAGGTCTGCAGTTGACCTGGATGATGAGGTCGACACCGACGTTGGTTTCTTATAATTGTTACTCTTGACCAGAATGTTCCCAGATAATCGAATCTAAGCAGAGGGTCTCATATTCATATTACCCAACCCTATAAACAGATAATAAATCCCAATATCGTACAAGCTCCCCCCCCCCTCTCTCCAAATCAAAACTCCCTCAACACCTCCTGCATCCAATCCCACAATCTCTCCGCCAACATCTCATCCGTCGCCCTCCCCACAAACCCCTTCTGCGCATTCTCCTCAACAGGCAAATAAGACTCCCCATTAACAATGCTCCCCTTTTCCATTGTCGCCGCCCAAAGCTGACTATATGCGTCCTCCTCCAGCCTCAAAACCATCCACCAGGCCATATGAGCCGCCGCCAAAACAATAATCTTATTTATCAGTGCCAAATTATTCCCCAGCCCCATCGGCACGATTCCCGGATGAACAGACACAGCCGTGATACTGGGGTATCAGGAGATCGTTCGGGAACTAGGCGCCAGGCGGCCCTTTCCGCGTGATTTGCAGACCCACTATCAGTTTCAATGGAATTCCACGGGGGTTTCGTACACTTGTGTACGTGGATAGGTACTGTAACATACAAAGCGCATTTTACGGTGTCCCTCAATTTAACGAAGCCCGCTCAATGATTGATCTGCGCTAGGGCCTTGGCAGTGGGGCCCGAAAAGAGATTCTCAGTGTCTTTTGGTCAAGGCGATTTCGAGAATCACTGTATGTCTAGGTTGCATGGACTTTTTTATGAATATAGGACGGGCAGTATGGACTGTTACTTGGCAAACCGCTAATATTGTCTTTGGTAATGCCGAATTCTTCTCAAACCACAGAAAGCACAGTTCATGATTTATATACAGCAGGTGTCTGCTACCATTAAATCTTGACCTTGGCCGGAGCCGACGTCATCCGGCTGTGAACATAGCTAATCCTCTGGAATTTCTTGATTGCTTCTCCCCAAAGCTCCTGTCGAAGTAAGGCATATACCCTAGAAATTTAAGTTAACACTCTTTTCCAAAAGAAAAAATAGACTGAAATCCCGTCGGAAAACAAAAGATTTAAACTTACCCCATCTTCGCCTTGGGTGCCCACTTCGCCGCGAGCTCCAAAGCAGTATCAAGCATCTGCTCTGGCTCAGCAACGGCGTCCACAATACCTTCTTCCAGTGCTTCCTTGCCAGTCCACTTGTGCGCTTCCAGGAGCATTTTGCGGGCGACCTGCGGACGCAGCTTCAAACGAGGCAAGGCGCCGATTCCGTCAAAGTGCAGGCCCAGATTCACTGGGGGCATGGAAATGAAACCCCGTCGTGAGTTCATGATGCGATAGTCGTGTGCCAATGCAAATGGACAGGCACCACCAAAAGTGTGTCCTGTAATAAGCGCAATTGTTGGGAACGGGAAGTCGAGAATAGTGTGGAGGAGCTGGATATATGTCAGTATGAAAAAACACTTCTTCATTAATATTTCCCAAGAAATAGCGGTACTTACAGGGTAAAATCCATCTGTATTAGCGAATGGATTTCTATCTGACTCGTCCAGCTCCAGACCCTAATACAATTTATCAGTGTTATTCGGGCCGGGTTGTTTTGGCTGGAGAGTTTCATACCGTGCACCAGAACTTGGCATCATTTCCTCGAGTAATCACTGCACCCTCAGAATTCGGACCCAGGAGCTTTTCAACAGTGCGATATGCCCGGATTAACTCCTGGCAATACCACGAGTTCAGTCGGTTCTCCGGGGGCTTCTGCATGGTCAGTATGAAGACATTGCCGCGTCTCTCTAAAGAGAGATTGCGAAAGGTTGGGATATCTGTCATGGTGTCGGTTACTGACGAAAGGAGATTTTGATATTCAGAAAATGGCGAATCTTCAAGTGTAATAAGTTCCAAGGTTGCTCTGGGTTATTGCGTTGTCCCCGCATTACAGTCCCCGGATTGTGAGTTGGTACCGAAGCGCCGAGTGCCGAAAAGTGGGGGAGAGGGGAGACCGACATGGAATCGAGTATAACTGAGCACACGGCTAACCGTGGCCCAAAATTTAATATAGTTTCGGGTGACGGCTAGTTGAAACCCGAGTATGAATGTGTACGTGGAATAACCAATATCCTTTTTTCCATGGAATTCCGTATTTGGATATAGATTGACTGGGATAGAGAGCGGACATACCAGAACAACGAGCTACCAAGTAATATCACCACTCCAGTCCAAATCTTTAAATAGCCAGTCTCCCATTCCCTGGTATTGATTATGAAAGAAGTCATCACTGGCTATATCCTGGGACATATCTCCCATAGCAAAGCCGGTGTTCGGGTCGAGGATAGTTGTTAGCGGGCGGTAATCGTCTGTCGCCGCAGGAATGGTAGTGGCATCCGGCGGTCGGGATTCGGTCATTTCGCTATTATTACATTGATCCGGGGTCCGGGCTGCGTGTAGTACTACACCAGTACTTTCTTCATTCCGGCCGGTAGTTTCCATGGGCATATAATACTCCCACGCCCATGAGAGATTCGAGCCGAAGCCATCAAAAAACGGATGTTGCTCCCTGGGAAGCGCCATTATGGACGACCCGATGTCTGGCCTTGCGCTTTGCTGTTTATCAGCAACGCTTTTCAGTGCCCTTAAACTGCCTTTTGCAGAGGACCATCGTTTGGCTAATTCCTCAAGGGACAAGTAAATGAGTTGCATGCTGCCAACCGCGTGGTCCCATAACACTGGGGTGCCATTGCTTGAGAGCAAGCCTATCCCAGCTGCCAAAAGATGAAATGTGAATATGGGTCCGAGAAACTGAATCTCGTCTCGAGCGAGGAAATCTTCAAACATTCTTGCTACCATCGAAGACGCAAGAACGACTGCTGGCGCAGGCGAGTCGCCGGGACTGGGCCGAAACATGATAGCGAGACAGGTTAGGTACGGAATATGAAGTTGGCGTGCTTCAAAGTTGTACGAAGCTAGAACAGGCCCGCATTTCCCTCCTGGCTCACAATATAGTCGCAAAGATGGGTCAAGGCCCCTTATCCAGCGATACAGACGATTCTCCATGTTCTGTCGTACCTGACGCGTGAGGGCTTTGCGTCGACAGCATTGAGTAAGGTGGCCGAGAATAGAGCTAATCTCGACGTACGCAATGAAGAGCGTCGCATTTGAGCTTGAATCATGAAAATCCTCCATACAGGGTGGTGCTAACTCGCAGTCTTCTATATCAACTGCAAGGGGACGACCCTGGCCGGCAGATATCAAGCAATCTCGAGCCTTGTTAAAGTCAGTCAACAGCAATTATCAAGAGCCTTTTGAACTCACAAACAAAGTCCACCATAGCCTGCGCCTTAATGCGGCATCCCGTTTATTGGTCGGTTCTTTATGTAGACCAACTTGATGAGCCAGACCTACACCCACATATCTCCAGAAACCACTGGTGTTGGTGGAAACATGCTCGGGACCTTCGGGATTATACCAATGTAAAATACACACCGCTGCAACGACAGTAACCGGGTTCTTCTCGTACCCAGACCAAAACAGTGCCTTTGCGCGCCGGTAAAACTGCCGGGTGGAGGCATATGCTGTCACAGACGGTGCAGAGGTGACGCGGCTGGCAGCGACGAAGACAGATTGGAGAAGGAGAATCGACGGCTTCTGGGCGCCGCTTTCTTCCAGCCAGCTGCGCTCAATGATTGGCATCCATGGGGAGCATCGCTCCATGAAAGTGTTGATCAGTCCATCGCGGATGGACCGCGGCGGAAGGTCGAAGGCACCCTGCAGTCGGAGCAGTTGGATGTCGTCCTCTGTTGGTCCGTCTGCATCTCCAGTCGGATAGGACCGCGCTTGATCTTCGTTGATCACTACTGTGTCTTCAAAATAGCGAGATCGAGCCATAAAACTTGAGCTCGGGGCTGATGAGTATGGATTGGAGTCTGAACGTGGCGCATCATTGTTTTTTGTCCATTCCGCTGATGGCAAGGAATAACCCCCGTTTGTCGAGTTGGGTTCGCTCGGAGAGCCAAAAGAGTTCCTGCCAGTTTCAATCGGCGTACTTGTCTGCCCAGGTTCTGTCCAGGTCATTCGACGTCTTCTTCTATCCTCCTGAGGACTCTCGGCATTGGGGTCGCCAGCGCTGGTCTGGGCTCGTTTCCTCTTGCGTTCACGCTGACTAGTTGAAACATTATTCTCCTGGTCTTTTAATTGATTTTCTGTCATCTTACATACGAGCAAGGCCATTGATGCCGCTGACAGTTCAAACATGTCCGATTATCTCCGTTGAAAATGCACCGGACCTGTCATGCAGAAGGGTCAGTATGGTGGACTAGTCAAGATGCTTCACTGACTGTCAAATCACCTTCTTCTTATTACAGGCCACGCATGCCGCGGGTGCACGAAGTGGGGGCGGACTGAATGTTGCTATGTCCATTGAATCGGGGCATTGTTAGCTGGATATGCTTGAGACGGATGAAGTGTCGTTCGTGTCGGACAGTTATTCCCCGCGCTGCCGAGCCGAGGCTAGGTACGATGATTCATGGCCTACTTACGAGAAACACAACACAAACACGACAGTAGGGATAAAAAAGGGTATCTAATTGTTGCACTCGCGCATTTTGTACATGTTGATAGTCTTTCAAGCCCAGCCTGCTAGGGTCCAGCTGGACCGATCACCACCTGCTCGTAGGCCCGACCGCCGATCAGGTACCGGGGGCTCCGAATCCCGAGTCGCACCGGCCAGTCCATGCTGCAGGAACTTCTCGCGGTCGATCTCAACCATGCCCCGGATCTTCAGGCTCGTCGCCAGACTGGCCCCAGCCCAAGCGCCAAGAGACTCGACCTCGCGCAGGACGCCCTGGATGGGGATTGGGATGTCCTTGTTCTGTCTACGCAACTTTTGCTCCACGAAGTCGAGCTCTGGTTCTTCCTTCGAGGGGTCTGGCCGCTCGCCATCAGCGGATGATGATGCATCAGTGCTTGCGGACCGCTCCGGTTCACAATTGGACGAGTGTTTCTCCGTGGCCAATCTGAGCTCACGTAGCCGTTGTCGCTGGCGCTCAAGGGCTTTTCCTCGAACTGGAGTCCATCCATGCCGGTCAATCAGCAAGGATACCTCATGAAGAATCCGCCGTCGAAGCCCGGGAATTCTAGCGCCTCCACCCACGAACACAATGCGCGACATGCAAGTGCCACGCGTGTCGGGCGACAACGCCAGAAGAGTGTTGTAGACAAGTAAGGGTATTGAATTCTCTTCATCGTCAAACTCGTCCTCTGCGACACCTGGTGCAATAAGGACCTTCTCAACGGGTTCAGCGAGACGCGAAAATGGCACGTCCATGTACTCTTGTTCCGGGTGGGTTGGGGAGGGAATCGAGACGGTCTTGCTGGAAAGTCCGTCCATCGCTTCATCTCCTGCTTGGCTCTTGCACCATGCCAATCGGCTGGTGATGCCCTCGCAATATGCGAACCCGACTGAGATCTCATCCGCCGAGGGCTTTTCTGGGTCGCCCGAAGCCAGGCCCGTGAGAAGTCGTCCCATCTCCTGCAGTACGAACTTCATAGCCCTCATACTTCGTCTTGTCGCGATTTCTCTATATTCGTAGATTCCCGTCACAGTCGTCTCTGCCCACCCAAGGTCAACCACCAACGCTGACCGTAAACCCGCAGCCGTAGCCGACATAGTGGCGCTGGACAAGAGCGTGATGGAAGGGAAGCGCCAGCGACTGAACAACGTCGATAGGATTGACGATAATAGCGGATGTGGAATGAGAGATGGCAACACCAGTACCAGACGGGATACGCCTGCGTCCGTCAGGAGGTACTGATTGTAGGTATCCCGGAAGAGGCGCTCGATCTTGTCCTCAACAAGCCCCAGGTCGACATCTCGTAGATTAGGGCTCCACAACTCATATGTGCGCGTCCAGTCCTCGGCATTGACAGGATGCGACGGCGGTGCCGCACCGGCCTCGCCCTCGATCCAGCCCCTGTAGTCTCCTGCTCTCCTCGATTCTTCAGGCCCGAAACCTAGCACACACATCGGGGTGCCATTGCCTTCAAATCCAGCTCGGAGCCACCGAGCGCCTATCTCGAATATGATAGCATCGTCTTCGTTCCGAAAGGAAGAGCCGGGGGACGTGCTGGTGAACGAACCCGAGCGCAGTTGCTGTTGTGGTGTTTGGGGGGAGATGGATGGACGGTCTGAGTCTGGCGCAGACTCGAAGATGCTGCAGAAGTCGTGCGTTTCGTGTCGGAAGACGGGGTCGCGCTGGCCATGGTGCGCCGTGTCCAGCTGTCGCGTTGGACTGGGGTCTCCTTTCTCGTCTCCGATGAGCAGAACTCAGGATAGACTCGGTTCACCGACGCGCAAAAGGTGTGTCTAGCGCCATCAGAGTGAATAGTTCAGCAATTGGTGTTGAGGGGACAATAATAATAATGGTAGAATGACCAGGTTCAGAAACAAAGGACAGTCGAGGGGTCAGGGCGACCCAGCGGATCTACTCTCGGGCCGGGTGTTTACTTCGCTTCCTGCAACTGCTCGTCATCGCCTCTCTCCCTCTCTCTTTTCCTCTGTCTTGATCTCTCGCTGTCTTGGGTTTCTGCTTGGGTTGATTTTGGATTCTGGGGTTTGCTGGCATGGGTATCCCAGGGTGAGTGACATCTCCTTCGCGATCCCTGTGTCGCGTTGGAAATATATATCTCTGCGCGTTGTTATCATCATCGCCAAGCACAACAAAACAACAACGATTCTAACCCGCACTTGCAGACTCATCAATGCCATTGGCTCGGGGGAGCGCATTTCTTTGTCCAAATTAGCCATCACACATTTGGAGCGCACCGCAAGGCCCATCCGTGTTGCAGTCGACATTTCCATTTGGCTATTCCAGGTCCAAGCAGGGCGGGGGGGCAAGAACCCCGAGCTGCGCACACTATTCTACCGACTGCTAAAGTTCCTGTCTTTGCCTATTCACCCTCTTTTTGTGTATGACGGGTCTCACAAGCCCCCTTTCAAGAGAGGCAAGGCGGTCTCCGCACGCAGCTACGGCAATGCGCCTATCATTCGGCGGTCCAAGGACCTGATCGAGCGGTTCAAATTTCCTTGGCATGAGGCTCCCGGCGAGGCGGAGGCTGAATGTGCGCGCTTACAACGCGCTGGAATCGTGGATGCGGTGATGAGCAACGATGTCGACACGTTGATGTTTGGGTCTTCCTTGACGATTATGAATTTCTCTAAGGAGAGCGGCAGCGGGACTTCTGCTTCCACACATGTCACCTGCTATGGCATGGGGAAAGAGGGATATCCCTCAAATGTGCCCCTAAACCGAGCGGGAATGATCTTGTTCGCCATGCTCAGCGGAGGCGATTACCTGCCATCCGGGGTGCCCAAGTGCGGGAGCAAATTAGCGGCAGAGATTGCCAAGGCCGGCTTTGGTGAAGATCTTTTACAAGAGATCACTTCTCATGGTGCAGATTTAGGTTTGAGATTGAACGAGTGGAGGGAACGACTGCAGTACGAGCTGGAGGAAAACGAGAGTGGCTACTTCGCGACCAAACACAAAGCCGTCCGGATTCCAGAGACCTTTCCTGATCAAACTATACTCGAGTTTTATGCCGAGCCGAAGGTGTCCGGTGAGGAAGAGATGGCTTCCTTGAAGCGCAAGTTGCGGCATGCGTGGGATCGAGAAATCAATCCCTGGGATATCAGAGTATTCGCCGCCGACAATTTTGAGTGGAACTATCGTTCCGGTGCAAGGAAGGTTATCAAGCTTCTGGCTGAGCCCCTCGTTTCCTACAGACTCCGTCTTCAGAGACCTGTGTCGACATTGGCGCCGGGCCAGTCCCTGGCCCCCGACTGCGACATACCCATGCTACAGAAAGTCTATAAAAGTCGGGTCAGTTTTGGTACGGATGGCATGACAGAGCTTCAACTGGATATGCTCCCCATCGATGTTGTCGGCTTGGACTTGTTTGCCGAAGAGCCCAATCCTCCTCTTCAGTCCCAGGAAATGCTGCCTTCGCAAAGCACAGTTCACTCAGGAGACGAGGAAGAAGACGCAGAGATGGCTCCTCCTCCGACGCCCTCAAAATCCCGCGTGACAAAACGGTTTGATCCCTGTGCGTCCGAAAAAGTCTGGGTCTTTGACACGGTGGCTCGACTGGGCCTTCCGGAAGTTGTGAAGAAGTGGGAGAAAGAACAGGCCGAGAAGGCTCAAAAAGCTGCTTCTCCAAAGAAGAAGGCGACCAGTCGACGTACAGGGCCCAGGAAGAAAGGGCCCATCGATCCGGGAATGCAGCGAGGAAGTATTTTGAAATATGGCACTCTCACCAAGGAGAAGTCAGAATTGTCGACTTCGAAACAGACACATTGGCTGGATGCTGCCGCTTCGACATCGTCAACTAAGCACAATCTATCCAGATCCCAGCGCTCATACTCGCCCCCAGAATTAGGAGATGAAGATCCTTTTGCACCCACCATGTATTCCGTCCAGGAACATAAAAGTGGAATGCGCTACTCTTCGCGAGAGGTTGATGAGCTCTTGGGCACATTTTCAGGTCTATCTATCATGTCACCAGCGCCTGGCGTTAAACGCCATCCTGTGACGAATCAGAGTCGGGTCAGAACTCGTCGTGGGATCCTAGGTGGCGGTGGGGTTGATCTTGAAGAGTTGGATATGCCTGTTAACGGAAGGGATGTCTGCCCATCAAACCCTGTCCTGCTCCAGGGGATCAAAATGAGTTACTCTGTCTCTCAGCCTCAGGGAACAGAGAAGGACATTCTTAAACCGCCTGTTCGTTCCACTCTGAGAGGGCATCATCCTCAAGAGAAGAAGAAACAGGGCTGCCCTGACCGAGAGGAAAACTTCCAGGTCGAACAATTACAAGAGGCTGTCAACTCATTATCTTTGTCGCCGAGCAAAGAACATTTTCCTCCCAGAAGCCCGGTCCGGCAAAGTTCACCAAAAAACATTCCAACCCCCGACATTCTCAACCCTTCCCAAAAAAACCAGACCACAGGCTCCTTTCTACCACCTGAGCGGCCAAACACGTTGGCCAATCATTCTCGTGCATCAGGTACAAGGTCTTTGGCGACTGGGTCCCAACAGCAGCCACCTTTTGAACATGCTATGCCATCGAGCGATAAGTCATGCAAAACAAACCAAAAAAAGACATCAACACCGAAACCCAAAACGACATCCAGGCGGGGAAACGACCACTCAGAGCCGCAGACAATAGGACATGTTGAGAATATCACGACACGTGATGGCTTCTGGACCGTGGAAGCTGCGGGCTCTGAGCTGGCTTCGGATTGCCGTCCAGGCGGTGGTCAGTCTATCCAGAGTCGGGATGGCAAAGAGGGCAAGAAACGCATCCCACGGGTTAGCATTCTTGACCTAACATAGACTCCAGTCATAACGAAATACCAATATGTCTGATCTTTCCCAACTCAATACAGTCGTAGCTAGTTGATCCAAATTTTCTTGGTAATAACATCTCGAGATTCTTCCTCTCAAGCCACCCAAGGAGGTGTAATAAAAAAAGAGACCCAGCCAGCGTCTTTGAAATTATCGTGATATATATACTAGGTAGGAAGAACAGGCGTCAAGAATAAGAATTGTTTCCCAAAGAAGCATATATTGTCATAGAAACTCATATGCAAATGGAGTATATCGACGACATCAGACAAAACCCGGCATAACCAAGATTAATCACAGCAAAAATAACAAGGGAAATGAAGATGGGAGATGATATCCAGACTCCCCCTCGTCTAATCCAAAAAAAGTACACGAAGCCCAAATCTGATGCTAATGCAAGGCCCGAAAGTAACAACGTCCAGCCAGAAGAAAGAAGCGAATGACGTTTCGTGAGGCGGACAAGCGATGTGTCTATCCAAAAACCTTTAGGAAGCCCCAAAGACCCAGTCCACTCAGGACAGGGATGGTCAGGTTATCGTCCCAGCTCCATAGGTCGATGAACTCGCTTCCGGCAGCGACAAAGCCAGAGACGACACTCATGACACCGAGAGCCAGTGGGCCAGTGATGACACCAGATGTGCTGTCGGCTGTCCAGGGCAGAAGGCCGCGAATACAATCCGGAAGAAGGTTCAGACGACCAGTAAACATGAAAGCGCCCTCTGGGTCGTTGGGGAAGGTGCCGATATAGGGCACGAACCAACCCCAGAAGGTGGCGGCGGTGATGACGCCGACAAACCAGGCGGCCGTGGTCCCAGCCAAGCTCTTTCCGGGACGCAGATTAGGGGTGTAGCGGCCCCAGAGGCGGCCGAAGGTCGACGCGGCGGTGTCGCACCAGCTGAGTAGGAGAACACCCATGACGCCAACATCCTTGGGGAAGAAGCGCAGCACGGCGTATGCGCCCAGGAGGTACCAGATCACGCCATTGTAGCCTGACACCTCGGTTTCGCGCATAAGCGCACCCAGCGAGCGGACATAGAACTTGTTCACCTTCTCGGAGCGGTGGCGCACAAAGTCTGTGGCGGCGATGGGCACCAGTGCTGTGAAGAGCACCGGCGTAATCTGCAGCGTCTGAACACCTCGGGTGTACAAGCTGAGGGTTAGGAATCCAATCGACACATGTAGAAGCTTGCGCGGGATTTCATGGCGGTGGATAAACGAGCGATAGCGCGTGTGGAGAGGAATGAGACCGAGCGGCGATGGGGACCGCGAAACGTCGCGCAAACCCTTCGGAAGTTTTGAATTTGGCGACAAATAGCCGTTGGAAGTACTGCCGTTACTCCGTGGTGGTGAAGCAGGGATTTTGGGATTCGACCGACGCTTCCGCGCTGAGGCTGTAGGTGTTGCACCTGCTTGCGTGCTGCGAGATCCCGCCGACTCGGATCCTTCCTCCATAGCTCCCGAAAGATGTTGCCGGCGTGCAGATGATCGTGTACGGGGCGCTTGGTATTCATCTTGTGTCTCTGAAGGGTCTGGAACTGAGGGCGAGGGAGAGATCACTCGGGGAGTCCCCGGGACCACATTGGGCGAAGAGGGCATGTCAGCCGCTCTCACGGCGAAAGGTGGGAGCGCAGGGGCCCAAAGATGGCCGACCAGAGGCCGGGAACAGGTAGGAGTGCTGTGACAGGCAAAAATGCCAGAATATGGCAAATCCTGTGGCGACGCAATGATGGGCGATTCGTTTGGGCACGCTGGGTGCGGTGTAGATCCAACAGCTAATTATATAGGTTATATGCGGGAAGGGCGATGAGAGAGCAGGACAAAGGCCCAGCGCATGATGTGCTTCGTTTCAAGCACCAATATAGCTGCGGGAAATAGTCGTTGTGTCTGATGAAGTTGCGAACAAAAAAGAGGCGCAACTCGTGTGTTGCATTTCCGCCTGAAGCCGTGAGACACGTGACTCTATCTAATCGATAAGCCTCGGTCTTTTTATCTTTTTTTTCTTCAGCTTCGCTCTAGTTGCCGACTCACTTACTTCACTTCACCAGGGACTAGACCTATGCCAATGGCTCCCAAGCCCTCTTCGTCCACAAGGGCGTGGGATGGTCTCACGCCCTCTCTGTCCGAATGGACTCTCGACGCTGTGGCCTCCATGGGCTTCACGCGCATGACCCCCGTTCAGGCCTCCGCCATCCCTCTTTTCATGGCGCATAAAGATGTTGTGGTGGAGGCAGTCACTGGAAGTGGCAAGACACTGTCTTTTTTGATTCCAGTAGTGGAGAAGCTTCTGCGACTCGAAGACCCGCTCAAGAAGCATCACGTTGGAGCCATCATCATCTCTCCGACACGGTGAGTATCGATTCATGGTGGGGATTTTGGCATGGATTGCTGACCAGTGAACAGAGAATTGGCATCGCAGATATACCAGGTCCTTGTGTCACTATTGGAATTCCACCCTCCTTCCGCCGCTGCCATAAAGCCGCCAGAGGACGATGCGCCTCGTCCGAAATTATCTTCCTCAACCTTGAAAGTCGTCCCACAACTTCTTTTGGGCGGTTCAACAACTCCCGCGGAGGACTTGAGTACTTTCCTCAAGCGGTCACCAAATGTGCTGGTGTCGACACCGGGAAGACTGCTCGAGCTTCTTTCGTCGCCGCATGTGCACTGCCCCCAGTCGTCCTTCGAGATGCTCGTCCTCGACGAGGCAGATAGATTGTTGGATCTTGGGTTCAAGGAGGACTTGCAAAATATTTTGCGTCGGCTGCCCAAGCAAAGGCGAACGGGACTATTCAGTGCCAGTATTAGCGAAGCTGTTGATCAGATTGTGCGGGTTGGCCTGCGGAATCCCGTCAAGGTTGCTGTCAAGGTGAAAGGGACGGCCGGAGTCGTGGACAAGCGAACCCCTGCAAGGTATTTGGTCACATCGAACACCAATTAATTCCACCACTGACTTCTAAATTAGTCTGCAAATGACCTACCTGACCACACCGCCAGCCCTTAAATTCGCCATCCTAAAACAAATCCTCTCATCCGTCCAACTCACGCCTCAAAAGACCATTTTCTTTGTGTCGACATGCTCCAGTGTTGACTATCTATCTATCATCCTGCCCTTGATAATAGGAGACGAATTCCACCTGGTACCACTTCATGGGAAACACCCCGCAAACGTCCGCCAAAAGAACTTCACCCGCTTCACCACATCCACCACCCCTGCCATTCTTCTAACCACCGATGTCGCCTCCCGCGGACTGGATATCCCGTCTGTCGATCTAGTTGTGCAAATCGACCCACCCTCCGACCCAAAAACCTTCATCCACCGCTGCGGCCGCGCCGCCGTGCCGGCCGCAGAGGCCTCAGCATTGTCCTCCTACATCCAGGGCGCGAAGAAGATTACGTATCATTTTTAGAAGTGCGCAAAACCCCCGTGGCACCCTTCAGCCTACCAAGCACAGTCTCCGAAGCCGAAGCAGCCAAGGAGGCCACGGACACAGTTCGCAAGACCGTGCTACGAGACCGTGCACTCTACGACAAGGGCCAGAGGGCCTTCGTCAGCTGGCTACGCAGCTACAGCAAGCATCAAGCCAGCAGCATCTTCCGCGTAGAAGATCTAGACTGGGAAGCCCTCGGCAAGGCATGGGGCCTACTTAGGCTACCGAAAATGCCTGAACTGCGCGAATTCACCGGAGACAAGAAGTTGGGCGTCGACGTGGACTGGGACAACTACGCATACAAGGATAAGCAGCGTGAGCAGCGTCGGAAGGAGGTGATGGAGGAGAATTTGAACGGAGATGCGGCGCATCAGCAGGCGTCTCGGAAGCGGCGTGCCAATGAGAGCGTGGCGTGGAGCCAAAACCAAGAGTCGCGGGAGAAGAAGCTCAAGCGGAAGGAGTTCAAGAAGGCGCAGAAGGAGAAGGAGAGGTGGGAGCAGTTGCCGGAGGATGAGAAGCAGAGGGTTCGGGAGACGAAGCGTATGGTTGAGGATATTCGTGCAAAGAATGAGCAGCAACGACTGCTCAACCACGCGACGAAGGCAGGCGCTGCGAATGATGGCCATGGGGATGGGGAAGACGAATTCCAGGGGTTTGATTAGATATCCTGCTTCTGTATTATTAGAAAAGTCATGACCGTCGCTTCACTCGGTGACTTGAAGCTGGGGGAGCAAGACACTATGTGCGAAAGCCTATAGAGTTGACATATACCGTAGCAACTGCAAAAGTCTAAAGCCTGTTGGGGTATACGCTAATTACGCTACTAGCAATTAGCAGTTCTACTACTCGAAGAGCCCTAAACATAAGCGGTGCGTTTGTATAAGGAGGCCATTATCTTCCTGACGGGGTCAAATGGCACGGGACATCGTGGGAGCGTGGATGAAATCGATGCCATTCTATACACGATGCTTTTCAGGATCACGATTCGTTTTACGATCCCTTTTACGCTTCTATCAACGATTCAACACAGACAGTGGGAAAGGCTACGACAAAGTAGGGGCGACGAGAATTCTAGGCCAACATTTTCTTGATTGGAACGAAGCCTAGTTTAACAACAATAAGAAAAAGAGACTATCCACGAGCCACTCCGGGAGTAACCCGGGGGCTCGTGGACTCGTGGATGTCATAACAACAATTGAATCTTGGGCCCATCCAGCGACCCAGCAGTGGGTCGACCGGAGGGCCCGAGAACAAGAGAAAAGAACAGAAGATCAATCAATCAATCAATCAATCAATACATGTTCAATACATGTCAGAAATCTGACCCATACATGGAAACAAGCAAACTCCACAGGCTTTTATGCAACACGGCCAAAAATGAGAATAGCCAAACATGAAGAGGATTTGTCAAGAATTGTAGTCGAGAGAAGAATAAGATGTCGAAAATCGAAAATGGTCATCGAGAATGGTAGTGATTGAGAACTGATCATGATTCTTTACAGTTGTCCGGTGCGTTCGAAGCGTTCGAAGCCATCATTGAAAGCCTGAACCTGACGCTGAACTTCATCCTTGCGTTCTTCCCTCATCCGGTCGACGACATCATTGACTTCACGGCTGAATCCCAGTGCTTGGTACATGGGACGAGGCTCAGGCCACTGAATCTGGCTGAGATCTCCAGTGGGGCAAACCTCCTTGAACCAGTGGCGCAGGCGAGTCTTGCGGTCCCGACGTTCGGACGGGGTCTCTTGGCAAATGGACATGGGGTCCGAGAAGAAGCTGGGGGTGGTGCAAGTACTGCTTGAGAAACGGTGAGCTGCACGAAGACGGCTAGGCGTCTTGGGGTTGAACTTGGTTGCCGCGGTGCGAACTCGGGTCAGCGGAGAGGGATCTTTAGTCGGACCAGTTTCTTGCTGAGTCTCCTCAGGGGGCTGGGACCGAACAGAAGGGCCAGTAACGCCAGGCGGTGCTGTAATGATTCGAGATCGCGCGTCAATGCTGCGATTGGAGGAGGCAGCGGGTCGGGGCGGCGCGGCGCTAACTCGAGAAGCGGGTGCCAGAGCAGTCGGCTCGCGGCTCACGGTTGGCAGCAAACTCCTGTCGTCATCAAGCGAGATGTCGGGGGACTGCACCGGGTTGTCAACGTGCTGGGAGGAAGCCGGAACACGAGGGGTAGAAAAATCCTGAATTTCGGTCACGTCGAAGTCAGATACGTCGGAGTCAGAAGAGTACGGGGTGCAAAAGGTTCCATGGGGGTTTGGAATAAAACCGGGACTTCGTGGTTCACTCGCTTCATCTCCAGTGGAAGACGAGTACGAGGTTTGGAAAGCGCGGGAGGAGCTCGATACTTCAAGCTGGAAGGGGGGTCTCGACGATACCTGTGGTTCACTCGCGTCATCTGCCGCGGCAGACGAGTACGGGGTTTGGAAAGTGCGCGAAGGGCCCGATACTCCAAGCTGGAAGGGGGAACTCGTTGCCTGCGTGTTGCTCGTGGCCTGCGTGGTGCTCGTGGCCTGCGTGGTGCTCGCGGCCGGCGTGGTACGAGCGGCGCGACGCGAGGGGACGTTTCGACGAGAGGTATCTCGGCGGCGAGGCGCCTGCTTCGGTTCTTCGATTCGAACCTTCTTCGGGGCAGGGCGTGCAGGCTCTTGGATAGACGGTGTGGGTTCCGCGTCCGGAGGTGCAGGTTTTCGGGACATGGCCGCTCGTCGTTCCACCTCCTCCTCGGCCCACTTTTCGTCATCTGAGTCAAAGGTAAAGTAGTCCATGTCCATGCCGTAGCTGCATCCCACGGGATTAGGAATCTGATCAGGTGAAGATCGACGCTTACGCTTCTTCGACTGGGACTGGACAGGTGTCGATGCTTCAACAGCCGTGGCTGTGGCTGGAGCGGAGACTTCGGCAGAAACAGCAGTAGCAGAAGAAGGGTTCTCCACAGGCTCCTCAACTTGTTCCTCGACTGGCTGCTTGTCCCTACCATACCAGTGGTCAAGTTGCTCCTTACTGTACCCAGATGGGTAGAGAGAGTAAGAGCGCTTGCGATCACTTGCACGTGAAGAAAGGACGGCCCGTCGGGAAGAACGAGGAGCAGTAGTCATGAACGGGCGTGCGTGTCTGAATGCAGGTGTTTCCGCGGTCGTCACAAAAGGCATGTCATTCTTAACACGAGAAGGTGTCTCAGGAGATGGAGGCGTGTCATTGTCAACACGAGATGGAGACCCGGGCTCCTGCAGAGCTGAGGTTCACCAAAGTTAGCCGCAAGCTTGAGCGATTGAGCAACACGACACTTACCTTGAGTCGGCGCCGGGCCTGCATCTTGAGTTGGGCGGGTAGTAAGGCGCTGACGAATACCTGTCCACCTCCGAGAAAACTCGTTAAATACCCAACGGGGAGAAACATTGGCCCACCAGTGCCCGCCTGCAGGTTCTGTGGCAGGGGCAGCCGGGCCATTTGGCTGAACGTTGTCTGGGGGGGGAGTAGCGTTTTGGCCGGCATCAATAGCCATTTGGGTGGAGGACTCAACGGGTGCGTCCGTCTTATCATTCTGCTCAAGGAATTCGGGAAGACGATACACAGTTCGGTCGATACGGCCAGTGGCCTCGATACGGCGGCGTTGAGCAATGTCAGCGTATGCGGTACGCGATGCTCGCGGGCGTTTCGCAGAGTGTATGGGGGTCTGCGGGGCCGTATGGTAAACACTCGGCGGAGGGGAGGAGTCTCGACGGCGCCGTTTCTTGTCTGATGGGTAATCTGGGTGTGTCAGCAGGGCAAGTTCTTCGAGGCTGTCAAGATCTTCCTGTATTTCTTTCAAGGAGTTCTGGAAGCCTTTGATGCATTCTTCTTTTTCTGCTTGATGGGCGGAGTCAAGAGCAGCAAGAGCATCATCACGGGCAGCCATCTCGGCCCAGGAGTTTTGTTCCTGTATCAGGGCTTCGTAATAGGCGATTTCCTCCGGGGTACGGGTTCGGTGGAGGTCGACAAGAGCATCATCAACCCTTCCAAACCGAAAGACGCTGGGCTGTCGGTGGAAGCGAGGAGGATGCTCCCGTCGGTACAAGGTGTGGTACTTACGTCGTTTCCCGGGGCTCTTGGGTAGAGATCCACCGGGCGAAAGTAGGTCCTCCGAACGCTTCACGGGAACTCTGTTCTTAGGAAGGACGGGTTTCTCGATGTGGACGGAGTTCTCGACGGGCGAGTAGGTTGGGGTAGGGAGCTCGACGCTCTGGATGGGATCGTCGCGATGGCTTTCCTCGACATGATGCTGTTCGACTTCAGCACCAGCACGACCAGCCTCTTCGACATTCTGATCAACGTGTTGGATCTCGACGCTGTGCATGACTGGAGCACGGCGGGTGTCTGCCATCATTGCCCAATCTTGGGGATTGTGTTCGGCAGGTTCCTCGCGAGGCTGCTCGGGGGCCTCTTCGGGGCTCTCAGTCCGGGCAGTGCGGGTGTTGGTTCTCTGGAATTCACATTCAGCTGTGGACATTCTCCATCACTGCCGCGCCTCCTTACCTTTCTTCCGCGGTTGCTTTTCTTGGCACGCGGCTTCCCTGCCTTCGCCGCGGGTGCCGACTTCGAAGCGTCAGTCGGCTGCGCACCCTCAGTCTCGGGCGGCTGAGAGGATGTTGCACGTGTCGTGCGGCGGCGACGCGGCTGAGGGTTGGAGTCAAGTGACACCAACCCGTTGGGGGAGAGTGGTTGAGATCGGGTACGCATCTTGGGCGAGTCGGGCCCAAGATGCGTTGGCGGGGCGAAAGTTGATTTGGAGGTGAGGATGGGCGCGAGGACGGGAGTGAGGATGGAAGGGAGAAGGTTGGAGAGGTAAGTGAGGTCGATGCTATGCGCTGGTGACAAGAGATGGTGATGACGGGAGCGGAATGAATAGCATGGGAAGAGGAAGGAAACAAAAGAGGAAAGGGAAGGGGAAGTCAAGGTAAACAAAACAGTCACGCACGACAGGGAAGGAGCGTTGTTGTTGTCGTTCCCCTCTGTGTCAAACAAACCAGTCGCACCTTCCTCAAGAGTTGAGTTGCGCCTGCCTCACTCAGAAAATTGCCGGCGAGCTCTCTGACCGCCCTATTATTATTGGTCGCCTGAGGCATCAAACCTGCTTTGGTCTCGATACAGGACCGCTTGAGGTTTTATTAACTTCACTCTCCGGTCCAGGCGGTTGGTGCGGTTTGATCTACACTACGCTATCACATTGATACCAGTATCCTGACAAAGAAAAAAAACGCGGGTCTAATTCGCTACCAAGCGGACAGAAGGAAGAGTGCTATTTGTACAGATGATGATCCCTATCTCTTGTTCGAGACAATGCGTATCAGAAAGAAAGAGAGGAAAAAAAGGGCAGAAAATACCATTATCGCTCCGGAGGTTCTCGGATAATGGTGCTCTCATTATAGAGAAACCTCGCCTTTCCACGTAGCATCCGACAGTCCCAATGTCTCAATCAAATGCTGCCACCGGGGTCCACCGCGTTCCTTCTGGCGGACGTACTGTAACAACTTCTGTCGCTTATGAACGAGGATCTGAAGATTGCGCTTGTTGTGTTTATCCTTGTTGGACGTCTCGAGGTGCCGAGAGAGATTCAGGATCTTCACCGTGAGGATGGCGGCCTGCACTTCTGCCGACCCTGTGTCCCGGCCAACGCGCGGGACCTTCTCCGAATGGACGGTAGCACCGTCCGGTAACACTGCGGATGGCTTTGGCGGCAGGGTAGAATCGGTGTTGTGTCTCCCGAATTGTTCGATGCATTTTTGTATGTTCAGTCGAACGTGGTCCTTCGAGTTGGCGTTGTTGAGGTTGACGATCCGGTCAATGGCTTCTTGAGCATTCCGGTGCTCCTTCTCGTGCAACTCCACGGCCTCCTTCTCATGCTGGGGATCGGCCGTGTCGCGGTTCGGGTTCTCGAGAGGCTCAGCCAGGTCCTTTGAGAACTGCAGAGCCCTCTGGAGCTCATTAGAGTCGATGGCATAGTTGAGAGACCCTGATGCTGCTGACGACGGTTGTGATTCATTCTGTCTCGCTTGGATCTCTTCGATGAAGGGAGTCGGGGTGCTGGCAACGGGATCTCCTATCGATCCTTCTCGCTCTTCCTTGAGGACCTTTTGCCGGGAAATGTTGGCTGCCTTGCGTTGGCGAACACGAGCGAGCAGAAATGGCTCAAGTCTTTTGCGTGATTGAGGTTTGGTAGACTTGGCTCTGATGAAGGTCTGCGCCGGGGAGGATGCGGCCAGCGAGTTGTGCCCATAAAATGAGCCTGAATTGGAAGTCTCGGTTAGCCTGCGTTGAGCGATTGATATGGGAATCAGTATATACCTGACAACGCCTTGAGCGAAGGCTGAAGGGGGGTTCGCGGAGGCATCTTGAACTGACAGACCACACACGTTGCGCCGACCGCGATCAAGAGCACAACTTCTTCTTCCTGTCGGGAAATCTGCCGGGCCGAGAGAGGAGCATCATTGCCTCAGGCAATAAAATGCATGCTTATATAATCACAGCCCTAAGCCCTAACTCACAACAGCAAGCGAAAATTAACGCTGGCGGCCGCAAGAAACATTTCGCGATTGCCCGCCTTTTATTTCCTCCTCCATCCCGACAACGATTGATCCCACCACCTCGTCAATCCCATCAATCGCCCATCATGGCCCCTTCTCAGCTCCCTCCCGTCTTCAACCCCACCTCCCAGGACATTGAGATGCTCCTGGCGGCTCAGGCTCACCTGGGCTCCAAGAACCTGCAGGTTCACATGGAGCCTTACCTCTGGAAGACTCGTCCCGACGGTGTCAACGTGATCAACATTGGCAAGACCTGGTATGTTGGATTGTCTAAATTGATATCTGGGGATAGACTCTAATCATGCGGTGGAAACAGGGAGAAGATTGTCCTGGCTGCCCGTATTATCGCCGCCGTCGACAACCCCGCCGATGTCTGTGTGGTTTCCGCTCGTCCCTACGGCCAGCGTGCTGTCCTGAAGTTCGCCGCGCACACCGGTGCCACTGCCATTGCCGGTCGCTTCACCCCCGGTAACTTCACCAACTACATCACCCGCTCGTTCAAGGAGCCCCGCCTCATCATCGTGACCGACCCTCGCACCGACGCCCAGGCCATCAAGGAGGCCAGCTACGTCAACATCCCCGTCATTGCTCTGTGCGACACCGACTCGCCCACCGACTTCGTTGATGTTGCCATCCCCACCAACAACAAGGGCCGCCACTCCATCGGTCTGATCTGGTGGATGCTCGCCCGTGAGGTCCTGCGCCTGCGCGGCACCCTGGCCACCCGCGAGACCGAGTGGGACTCCGTCGTTGACCTGTACTTCTACCGCGACCCTGAGGCCGAGGAGAACAAGGAGGTCGCCGAGGAGGCCAAGGCCCCCGGTGCTGATGAGATCGGTGCCGGTGCCGTCGCCTCTGGCTTCGCTGGTGACAACTGGGATGTCAGCGCCCCCGGTGCCGGTAACCCCGGTACTGCCTTCGCTGCCGCCAGCGCTGCTGCCGCCACTGGTGCCACCAGCTGGGAGGCCGATGGCGCCGACTGGGCTGCCAGCTCCACTGCCCAGGGTGGTGAGTGGGCTGAGGCCCAGCCCGCCACTGAGGGCCAGAAGTGGTAAATCACTTCTGCACGGTGATCAGGATAGCCGATGACAAGGGGGGGAAGATATGATCTCAACCAAAAGCCATGGCGATCCGGGATGAGTGTGGCCAGGAACCTTGACGAAAAATTCCTCTTGTTATCGACCTACCATCTCCCGCAATATCCCTTGACATGTCTATCCTAGTCTCTGTTCTGGAAACAACCAAAAAAAAAGAAACAACACAGCAAAAGAAAACGAGCATTCACCGGGAACCCTCAATCTTTCTGCATCTCCATTTTTTTTACCAACCTTTTTTTTGATTTCCTTGTTTTGCTGCATTGGGGAGGAATGGCGATGACAATTCTTGACTGGCGCTTGATGAGGGAAAGAGATCCAGTTGTCTATTGCAGACATCTGGGGGAAAGCCCTGTGCTGTCAATCTACGAGGTGGACTTAACCGTTACCTTGGTTTCTCCCTGTGTATACATGCTAGCTGTAATCGAAAAGCTCCTGCTCGGTATTCGTTGGTGCACATCGTATGTAATTTTTTGTAGTGAACAAGAGTCTTCCCATTGGAACTTCTTGGAACTTCTTGGAACTTCTTCTCTATAGATGCACCCAGGTTGGACAGTCCAACGCAAGAAGCTCTACAAAATGATACACCCGCCCTCAGACTGGCCGCCTTTTTCCGTCGTCGTCATCCCCGCCAGTCTCGCGAGATCCTCAAACGTCTCCGGCAACAGCTCACCCGTAACAGCCGAACACTCCGCGTACCGATCACAACGGAGTTCCTGCGCTATGCGGTAAGTCTGTACATGGATCAGGTCAACCGCATAGAATACCAGTAAAGGGGATGGATACCTCTTGTGGATAAATCATCCCCTCGCCCTCTTTCCTCAAGTCTCTCTTCAAACCCAGCATCATGACAGGTAGGCGCTCGCCATGACCATGCTGGAAGTACCGAATGACATCGTGTCTCCACTAATCTACGGAGTTAGTCTCCAGCAGCCAAAATCGGGAGAGAAGGAAGGGAGAAAGTACCGCTGTTAGGCCTGCCAGCGTCTCTCGGTTCGAGATATCAAATGCCAGGACTACCACATCAGGCCGCAGAGTCGTCCAATGCTGGTTCGGATTGGACGTGTCGTACACCTCTAGCGTGAACTTCTTCTTCGAGAATCGGATGTCATATATGAAGGGCTGGTCAGTGTCACGGAGGGTCTCATCGTTGCTGTCTCCCGTGACGCCGGGATGAGCCGGTGTTGCTCTCCTTCCGTGCTTGAGGCTGCTGCATGCGATATTAGCATTGGGCGCAAATAGAGAAATCGAATTAGGAATGTCGACCCACGATAAAAATGTCGTCTTGCCGCATCCTGCGTCGCCCATTAGCAGGAGAGTGACGGTTGTCTCGCTCTCCGGAGGGTTATCTGATTGAGCCATTCTTAATGCTGGCGGTGTGACAACAACTGTATTGCTGTCAAGGGCCGGTTCTCATGTTCACGTTGACCGCAGTTCAGTCAAGTATTGTTCCAGCAGATCATGGCATGTCTTATTATATTCATCGAAAGAGCGGGGTTCCTAGAATGCCTGGGAGTGTGGTGTGTGGTAGTTGAAGCGCGCAGGTTGCGACATCGGGGACAGATCAGGTCCAGCTCGACACTACCAACATCACTCTACATTCTAGATACAATTCGATCATTATTCCCTACAGCGTGCAAGTCAAGCTTAGATTCATTGATCGATCATTTTCATTGCCAATACATTAAATTCACCTGGCTTACAATTGTCCCGTAAGACAATGACAATACCATACGCCCAAAATAAAATACAGTGCCCGCTGGCCTTCAATTTTCACCATAGAACAAACCCGACATCTTCTTAACCGGGTCTTGTCTTCAGTCGCCTGGTGTGGCATGTGGAGGCCGTCAGCAAGGCTCTTGCCATTGACCCATTTCCCAACCCAGACCTTCCCCAAGTATACGCAGTTCCTGCGCCAGCAGCACACCTCCACGCCGCGAATTATGGCGGACTCTGGCGACGCCGCCCCCACGTACCCAGACTACACGACCTGGAACAATGCCAGTCTCATTGCACGGATCTCCGAGCTCGAGCGCCAGCTACACTCCCAGAACACGCAGTACACGGTTCCAGTGCAGCAGGAGGAACAAGCGCCAGCATCACACGCGCCTGTGGCTGCGGCTGTTGGAGTTAGCGAAGCCACGGCAGCTGCAATGACTACACCTGAAGCTACTGCGACAGTTACTGCGACGAAGGCAGCAAAGAAGCGGGCACTTTCGCCAGGCACGGACATCACGCACGACCCGGCGCCATCACGAGCCTTCAAGGAGCGAAACCGGGAGATCGATCCGACCAAGTACAACACGCGGTTCATAGCGCTCAAATTCGCCTACCTCGGACAACGATACAATGGGCTCGAGCACACTAACGGGAATGTCACGCCCCTGCCGACGATCGAGGAGGTGCTGTGGAAGGCTTTGCGGCGGACCCGATTGATTCTTCCGGCGACGGTGACGGGGGATGAGCCAGATGATGTCGAGCCGAGAGCGCTGCGGCCGTACTCGATTACATGGGATGGGTGCGATTACTCCAAGGCTGGGCGAACAGATCGAGGCGTGAGTGCTTTTGGGCAGGTTGTCGGGATTCGAGTCCGCAGTGCGCGACCCAAACCCAAGGCCAACCCCGAGAGACAGGAAGACGGGGATGCGATGCAGGTGACTGAGGATCCGGAGTGGGATGATATCAGGGATGAAATTTCCTATATACAGGTATTGAACAGAGTGCTGCCGGAGGACATCCGCGTCCTGGCTTGGTGTCCCCATCCTCCTGAGGACTTTGATGCCCGCTTCTCGTGCCGGGAGCGCAGATACCGATACTTCTTCACCCAGCCCGCGTTTTCTCCTACGCCTGGCCCGATTGGATTTGCCAACCGCGCAGGAAACCCCTCAGGGCCTCGTGCCCAGCGGCGCGAGGGCTGGCTGGATATCGAGGCCATGCGTGAGGCCGCCAAGGCGTTCGAGGGAACACACGACTTCCGGAATTTCTGCAAGTTGGATACCAGCAAACAGATTCAGAACTTCGAGCGCATCATCTTCAAATCCGACATCGAACTCGTCGATCCGAAGACCAACCCGCTAGGTTACATTGGCCGATCCGGATTTCAAGCATTGGAAGACTTCGTCCCCGAAGTGAGCATGGAGTCCTCGGAGACGCCATCCCCGCCCACTCCACAAGTTTACACCTTTACCCTGCACGGTTCTGCGTTCCTGTGGCACCAAGTCCGGCACATGGTCGCTATCCTCTTCCTGGTCGGACAGGGATTCGAGCCTCCTTCTCTTGTGTCTGAATTGCTGGATGTGACCAAAAACCCGAGAAAACCGACGTATGAGATGGCTTCGGATGCGCCGCTGGTTCTATGGGACTGCATTTTCCCGGACGAAAGCACTGGGAGCCGCGAGGACGCTCTGGAGTGGATCTATGCCGGTGACCCGCGGCTCAGTAAGGCCCAGAGTGCTAAAAATGACGGCAAATTCGGAATGAATGGCGTCGTGGAGGGGCTGTGGACTGTCTGGAGACAACGCAAAATCGATGAGATTCTGGCCGGTGCTCTGCTGGATCTATCCGTCAGTCAAGGAGATCAGGACATTGTGCACAACATGACCTTGAAACAAGGTGGATCGAAAAAACAGACCAGGGGGGCAAAGGTCTGGTACGGAGCGGAATATGCTCGTGTTGGGGGTAAATATATTCCTGTCCTGCAAAAGGCAACGACGGAGACTGTGGAAGTCCAGAACGCCAGGTGGCGGGCAGCCAAGGAGCGCAAGAGTGGCAAGGGCCTGAAAGACCCAGCTGGAGACGAGGAGCCTGAATGAATCATAAAATGTATGATACTTACTCATAGAACATAGCAAAATATCACGGATGTAGTACGGTCACTCCGCAACTTCACCATGTACGGCCCTGTGGTTCCAGAAGCTTCATAGATGTCAATCGGCATGACCGAGGAAGGTAACCCCGGAGGATGACGGTGTCCGCCTCCCTGGGCATGTTGACTCTGTTCCCTTGATGGTTCATGACTTTGCATCGTACAGGCAATGACGAGAACCTCTCCACACTTCCTCGAGTATCTTTCGCCTGGGTAACAGTGTCTAAGGAAAGATTAGCCCAGCGCATAACCCGATAACAGAAGACCAGGGAGCTCACTGGGAAGACCACCACAACCTCCGGCTCGCCCTCCACAATAACAGCCAAGTAAAACCGCACTTCAAACCCCCTGAAGGCTTCATGAATCACAATATCCTGAATCTGGGCGGTTGGGATGAACCTCGTCGCGGCGGTCGATAGATACGTGGAGGACGAGGTAGAAGTCTGAATCCCAAAGCCGCGGATGACAAGGAGGGATTCCTCTGCAGCAATAAATCAGCAACTGCACGGCAATCCAATCGCTTAGAGGCGTACCAGTATAGCCTTTCCTGAACACCCCGTAGATCACCAATGCGCTGCTCGCAGCAACCGCCCACGGGTTGTAGGGGTCCACCCAACGACACACCTTCACGCCCAGCGGGCTTGACCACACGTCCTCCCAGTGGATGATGGACTCATTCCCCGTGAAATACGAGTGTCGAAACCGTGCGATGGCCGCAAAGATGGCGCAGCAGAATACCAAGCTGCGGAGCAGGATCTGGAGGGCGAAGAGGATTTTGGCGGAGGAATTGGAGCGGCTGGGCGCATCGGAGACGGCGAAGGAGACAGTGGTTGGAGAGGGCCTCCGGACTCGGAGGCGCCCAGGCATCGTCAATGTAATCCGTCAGTTGGGGCAAGTCCAGGATGGAATGGAATTCATTGACTGGAGAAGGAGCGACCAGCTGCCAAACACACGCTAATCTCTTCTGGGTTAGCTCAATCAGCTCAGCAAAGCAGCTTTCACATCACGTGCCGCTGCTGATTGCTCTGCTTGTCGGGCATCAATTGTTAGCGCAACTGCATCTCTCCTCCCTTCCTTCTCATTCGCACCATGGGCGACCGCTCTCGCAGCAGATCTCCTGGTCAGAGAGACAACCGTGATCGAGACCGGCCGCGGAAGACCGGAGGGTTTCGATGGAAGGAAAAGAGGCGCGACGACGATTCCCGCGCCGGCGATGAGCGTCGGCTCGACCGGGGCTATCGAGACCGAGGAGACCGGCCACGATCACCACGACGAGACCGCGACGCCGACCGGTATGGAGACAGGGACCGATACAGAGAAAGCGAGCGTGAGCGGGATCGGGATCGGAGACGGCGCGAAGAGCGTGATGAGCCCCGAGAAGAGGGAGAGGTGAAGAAAGACGAAAAGAAGGACGAAAAGAAGGAGGAAAAGAAGAAAGAGAAGAAAAAGGAAAAGAAGCCCATCATTCATCAGTCCTCCGAACCGATGATTGTGGTGCATGTCAACGATCGTCTGGGCACGAAAGCCGCGATTCCATGTCTTGCCTCGGATCCTATCAGTTCGTTCCAGTTCTTTCCCCTACTGGCCATCCGTGTGTATACTGACCTGTGTTCTCTCCAGAACTCTTCAAAGCCCAAGTGGCAGCCCGCATTGGCCGCGAGCCCCACGAGATTCTGCTGAAGCGCCAGGGTGAACGCCCGTTCAAGGACCAGCTCACGTTGGAGGATTACGGAGTGAGCAACGGAGTCCAGCTTGACCTGTGAGCGACAACGCCACCCCAACTCCCTGACACTCTCCAAGCATTGATACTAACTACTGGCATAGGGAAGTTGGGACCGGCGACTAAAGCGTTCTGGGTTCCAGTACTTTTCACGGATAGGGATGAACGTATCCATTGTGTTTTTATTTTCATATTTCATACCGGAGGCGTTTTTCCATGTTGTATGTACCGGCGAATACGGATGATATTCCAGTTGTTGTAAAGCAAGCACCGATCACCTGACTCAGTCACGACATGCCGCTTGGCCGAATGCGGCCAGTCTGGGTGCCTCAGGCACCAACTGCCCGCAGCCAACCCGATCGTCGGAGAGGCTTTTTTCTCCATTGCGGGACTCACACGAGCTCCAATTCTTTTCTTCTTTTCTTCGTGCCATGCCTTTGGCCTCCCCTCGTCTTTCCGCTCTCCAGCCTCCGCCATGAGGTAGTCGCCCGACTGTCCAACTCTCTCCATCGCCTTTTTTTCTTTTTTTCTTTCCCGTCCCTCACCAAATCCTCGACGCCCGCCGGGTTTACCGCCCCTCCAGACCCTATATCCCTCATACCTGACTCGACCCGGTTTTCTCTTCCCATCAGTCCTAGCCCCTCTCCAAGCCGTACCTCAGACACATCTTTCCCTTCATGATGGTCCGCAACCTCGTCGTCATTGGGGGTACATCCCACCCGCAGCTGACGCAAACCATTTGCAACGTGCTCGGCATTCCACCGGCCGATGTCCTGCTCTCCAAATTTGCCGTTGGCGAGACCAGAGTCGAAATCCAAGAGTCGGTCCGTGGAAAGGACGTTTATATTATCCAGTCCGGTGGTGGGAAAGTCAACGACCACCTGGTCGAACTGCTCATCACTATTTCTGCCTGCAAGACCGCTTCGGCCCGGCGAGTCACCGCTGTCCTCCCGCTCTTCCCCTACTCGCGACAGAGCGACATTCCATACAACAAAACCGGCGCTCCCCTTGTCAAGTCGTCCGTGATGAGCCGGCCCAACAACGGCTACACTTTCGAGAGCACTCCTCCTACTCCCAGCCTGAACAAGTCCGACGGGGTGGGTCTGGGTGTGAATGGCATCGACAATCTCCAGAGGAGCCTTGCCAAGGCTCAGCTCGAAGATGGTGGCAATGGCAGTCCTGTTAAGCGGCGTCCAGCCAATGGACTCCCGCGCAGTGACACACAGGAGTCGCTAAAGTCTGTGAACGGCATTAACGATGACACCGCGAGCACCGGTTCGACTTCAACGTCCGCGAAGATCAACAACTTTCAGCCACGGCCTGGTTACAAACAGTGGGTTGCGCAGGCAGGCACCCTGGTGGCTGATCTGCTCACTTGCGCCGGCGCTGATCACATCATCACGATGGATCTGCACGATCCGCAATACCAGGGATATTTTGATATCCCCGTGGATAACCTCTACGGCCGGCCACTTCTCAAGAGTTACATCCAGCGCAATATCCCCAATTACCGGCAGTCCGTCATTGTCAGCCCCGACGCCGGTGGCGCCAAGCGCGCGACAGCCATTGCAGACTCAATGGGCATCGAGTTTGCCCTCATTCACAAGGTTCGTCCCACAATTTGGCTTATCTTCTTCATACCTGACTAGTTTTTCCAGGAACGCCGCCCCACAAAGATCACAGACCGTCAGAATGCCACCATGATGTTGGTCGGTGACGTTAAGGATCGGATAGCAATCCTGATCGACGATCTGGCGGACACCTCCAATACCATCACGCGCGCCGCCAAATTGTTGAAGAAGGAGGGCGCCTCCCAGGTGTACGCCCTAGTCACCCACGGCATCCTGAGCGGCGATGCCATTGAGCGCATTAACGCTAGCGCCCTCGACAAGGTCGTCGTGACCAACAGTGTGGACCAGGTTGATCATCTTCGCCGGTGTCCGAAGTTAGAGGTCCTGGAAGTGGGCCATGTCTTCGCTGAGGTGAGTCTCATAGTTTGAAAGGAACAGCTCATACCTTTAAGGGAAAGGTTCTAACCACTTAAACCAGGCCATTCGTCGCGTCCACCACGGCGAGAGTATCAGCGTCCTATTCCAATATGACTGAGCAGTGCCCCCAAAAAATTGGCTTTTTTTTTTCCAATGATGTCGATGAATCTCTTTGAATTCCACCTGACGCGAACTCGCTGCGCATCAAACCCGTCCTCACTTCCACCCGAATATAGAGCCCTTTTCCCATCCAGGTAGCTTGACCTGGCGGCGGGTATCTCTGGATTTCGTCTCTTTTTCCGTCGATTTCGTGTTCTATTTTATCTGCGCTCTCTGCCACCTGCACATACACGAGTGAGCACTGAATTCAAGCTGGAACATCATTCTCCGTTGGCTTGCATATAATAAGCTTGTATCTGCCGTTCCAAAAGGGATTGTAAAATGGTTCTATTGATGATAATTGTTGGCTCTGTTCGTCGAATCCAAGGTTGTATTGCTTGATAGAGATGGGATCTTAGATGCCTTAGGTGCCATACAATAATGGTTATTCATTTATTCCAAGTATTTTCTTCTATATCACAAGGATAAGAATCGGGGAGCCAAACGCCTTATACGAAAGCAAGACCACAAAACCACAATCAGCCGATACCAGCGACGGCCATTTGGCGCAAGCACACTCACTTCGACACCGAAACGAAACACAGAACGAACTGGGTACTCGACAGCTAAAGGGGAAAAAGGAGAACAGGCCCAAAAACCAGAGGCGAGTGAGGTTAAGTAAATACAGGAATTGCAGATGAAATGAGAAATCAGAACACGGAGATGAAGTTTCCAATTCTCTCCTTTTGGTTCTGGGCAATGCATTCCGAGATCCAGGTCACGTTTCGGATTTCCTGTCAAGAGTCAGAAAGATAATTCGGTACGAATATAAAAGAGAGTTTCTCACCTGCTCCTTCAGCTTCATCCACGCATACACCACCGCCGGGGTGAATTGCCGCGTGAAGACCAACTTTGACATCTCCATCTCCTTCTGATAGAACAGATCTTCCAGACTCTTGCCGTCCGCAGGGCCACCACCCATTCCACCGAGCCCGCCGCCGCCCTGGCTCAGGCCCACGGCATCGAAGAACGCCTTGTAATCCCCCACGGCACTAACAGCCAGAGCCACACCCTCCACGTCCTCCGCACGGGAGAGCATCAGGCTACCTTCGGGATAAAGCTTCCCGAATTCCGGGTAGAGCTTCCTCCGCTCGAGCTTGGAGAGCTCGGTACCAAAGGAGTTGAGGGTGATGTTGATGGCGCGGCGATCTGCCTCGAACTGCAGGATCTCAGTCATGATTTCTTGGGTGGGGGTCCCGGCGAAATCCGAGTGAGTGCTGATAAAATTATAGAAGTCCTCCAAGTAGTTCTTATAGAGGGTGTTGCGGACGATCTCGATGTTCAGCTCGTCGAGGTCCTGGTGGCTCAGGCTGCCCTTGAAGTAGGGGGCCAGCGGGGTCTCGATCAGCACGGAGTTGTACAGCTCCTCGATGTTGGTCGCGACGCACAGCACGGGCAGCGTCTCAAACCAGCCGAGAGGGTGGCACCGCTCCAGCAGTTCTCGGGTGTCCCGCTCATGCAGCGTGCCGGTGATCAGTAGCGCGATGTTGTCGATCATGTACCCGTACGTCAGGTACTCGAGGAACTTGGCGGTCGAGCCCGTCGCCTGGGCGATCAGGTACCGGAACTCAGAGACCAGCTTGTCGGTCATCCGGCCTGCGAGGGCGGAGGTAGAGGGGTTCGGGGGAAGAGAGGCGAGGAAGTCGCCGTATGCGGGGGCCAACTGGAGCTTGACATCTGCCGGGGAAAATCAGCCATGTTTTTGACCACCGTGTCTGGAGACATACCGTCGATGGTCTCGCATTGGGTCAAGTTGGAGTAGTTCTGGCCGCTGAGCAGGCTGTTGCGGTAGCCTCGAACAATGCCCTCGACGTAGCTAGTCCAGGTCAGCAGGGGTTTTGTATTAGGATGCAGAAAAGCGAGACGGACCCGCCATTAACATTGAAGAACAGGCCCTCCATGGTGGAACGGGGGAGGTAGGATGAGACGGGGGGCTGTTCTGCCAATGCTTGGGTCCTATCGAAGGTGTACACTCACGTTGTATTAGGTAAGCCACCCGCCACAAGCACACCGACTGTGGCACACCGACTGTGGCTTGGCGTGGTACACTTTTTTTCTGCTGCAAAATTTCCATTCTCCGACTCTTGTGATCGCCCGCACTTCGGTCCCTGATTTTTCGGTCTTTCTTTTTCCTGTTCACTCCCCCGGGTCTGGCTGGCCGTTATCTTTCCCAATCGAATTTTTTTTTCACCCAGCCTGAACGCCGTGGTCGCTCACCATGACGCTCTTCATTCTCACCGAGACCAGCGCGGGCTATGCCCTGCTCAAGGCCAAGGACAAGAAGCTCCTCAAGCGCGATGACCTCGCGACGGAGGCTGCTACTGCGGAGGGTATCTCGAATCTGTATGTGCAATCCCTTCTACCCTTTTTCTCGAGTCCCTGCGGCGTAGCCGACAGACGCAAAAATTTTGTCTCCAGGGTCCACGATAACTGACCAGCCTCATAGGTTGAAATTGAAGAGTTTCCAGAAGTTCGACAGCGCCGCAACAGCTCTGGAGGAGGCCGCGTCGGTCATGGAGGGCAAGGTCACCCCTCGCCTGGCTTCGCTTCTCGACGACATCAAGGAGGAGAAGAAGGTCTCGCTCGCCGTTGCAGACCCTAAGCTTGGTACGTTCCGTTTCACCCATTTTGAAGGGTATTTTCTAATCGAATGACAATAGGAACCGCCATTGGCAAGCTGCCCGGTCTCTCCATTCAATTGGTCGCCGACTCTTCTACCGCCGACGTCTACCGTGCTATCCGTGAGCACCTGACCTCCCTGATCCCCGGCCTGATGCCTAACGACATGTCCACCATGTCGCTGGGTCTGTCACACTCGCTCGCCCGTCATAAGCTCAAGTTCTCGCCCGACAAGATCGATACCATGATCGTCCAGGCTATCGGTCTTTTGGATGATCTCGACAAGGAGCTGAACACCTATGCTATGCGTGTGAAGGAATGGTACGGCTGGCACTTCCCCGAGCTGGCCAAGATCCTCAACGACAACATCGCCTACGCCAAACTTGTCCTGAAGATGGGCATGCGGACCAACTGGGAGACCGCCGACCTCGCCGAGATTCTGCCCGAGGAAATCGAGGGCGCCGTCAAGGCCGCTGCGGACCGGTCGATGGGTACTGAGATCAGCGAGGAGGATCTGGAAAACATCCAGGCTCTGGCCGAGCAGGTTGTTGGCTTCGCCGACTACCGCCAGCAACTGGCCGGCTACCTGACCGCGCGAATGAACGCCATTGCGCCGAACCTGACAGCCCTCGTTGGAGACCTGGTCGGTGCGCGCCTCATCGCCCACGCCGGCAGCTTGACCAATCTGTCCAAGAGCCCTGCCAGTACCATTCAGATTCTGGGTGCCGAGAAGGCCCTCTTCCGCGCTCTGAAGACCAAGCACGATACCCCCAAGTACGGTCTGATCTACCACGCATCCCTGATCGGTCAGGCAACGGGCCGCAACAAGGGCAAGATGGCCCGTATCCTTGCCGCCAAGGCCTCGCTGGGTCTCCGCGTTGACGCCCTGGCTGAGTGGGAGGAGGGCACCACGGAAGAGGAGAAGGCTGCCCTGGGCACCGAAGCGCGCTTCAACCTCGAGCGCAAGCTTGCCGGCATGGAAGGCAAGCCGATGAAGCCACGCGGTGTGACCATCGCACCCGACGGCGCGACTCCCGCAGCCCCGAAGTTCGATCTGAAGGAGGCCCGGAAGTACAACCCCGATGCCGATGCGCTCGCTAGCGAGGAGCCCGCCGCCGCCAAGAAGTCCAAGAAGGAGAAGAAAAAGCTGGTGCAGGAGGTTGAGGACGAGGAGATGGCCGATGCCTCCTCGGACGAGGAAGAGCCCCAGGTGAACGGTGCAGCAGACTCGTCATCTGACGAGAGCGATGCGCCCAAGAAGTCCAAGAAGAGCAAGAGCAAGGACTCCAAACTGGAAGCGCTGGCCGAGAAGGCCGGCCTCAGCGTTAAGCGGTACCAGCGGAAGCTCGAGCGCGGCGAGATTACCTTCGATGCGGCCGGGAACCCGTCTGCGATCAGCAAAAAGGACCTGAAGAAGGCCAAGAAGGATGCGAAGAAGGCCAGCAAGGAAGACGGCAAGAAGCGCAAGCGCAGTGATGACGGAGAGGATGAGAAGAAGAAGAAGAAGAAGAGCAAGGGCGAGTAAAGCTTGCTGCCGCCACCAATCAAAAAAAACTATATGGGCTTGGGATTTTGCTGTATGATATCAAATTTTTCTGTTTTTTTTTGTCTGCCCATCTATCTGGTGTGCTATCTGCTGCTCGCATGTTCGGGGCATTTCACGGGTACTGGTCTATTTCGGCGCAGGTGTTGGTCTAGCAGTACAAAGTCGCTTGTTAATTGTTCATACTGTCTTTTCCCCAGTAGATGTTCGTACATGGCACTTGGACGAGTCCTGTCTGCCTCAGGGCTTGAGTACTGGCTGCATCGATATCTACACCGCCTCGTTCTGCCGGCAAATCTACAATTTTCCTGATCACCACCACCACTACCAGCTAGACAACTATCCAGACACAGACACAATAATGAGGGTATGATGCCACTCCACTTCCCCTGACTGCCCAGGATCATCTCTCACACGGTCCAGGTAATCGACCCCCAATCCGCCGTCCTCACCAACATCGAGGTCCTGGCCTACCTCACGGCCAACCCACCCCGCCGACCACCGAACCCTCCGCCGAACTCGCGGCACTGGGTGCCTAGTCCCGATTTGCGGGATCATAATACTGTTGTGAAAGAGGTAGGCCAAGCCTTTTTGTTAGATTTATCTCTGGGGGTTTGGGGGTGGAGAGGATGTGGGAGCTGCTGCTTTTAGCAGTCACTCCAATCTATAACCTAACCCGCAAGAAATCTCCGATGAACATATATACCCATGCACACGCAGGTCGAGAGTGTGTGAGAGTGAAACATGGAGATGCTAACATATCCTAACAGATCCACAACTACGTAACCCGCCTCTCCCCTCACCTACAAAAGTACCCGCGCTACACAACGCAGACACGCTCATCAACAACGACCGGAGGAAGCGGAGCAGGAGTAATATCAGGAGGAACAACGAGCACCATCCCCGCCGCTCCAGACCCAACAACAGCAACAGCAACCACAGGCTCGCTCTCTGACACGCCCACCCTCCCACCACCATCCCCGGACTCCACACCCACACCCATAGACCATGCTCTCCGCACACTCGTGGCGGAGTTACAGCCCTACGGGCTGACCAAGGCGGAGGTGGTCATGATTCTAAATCTGGGGGTAGGCGTGGTGGGCTCTTCTGGGACTGGGGAGGAGAGAGTGGAGGGGCTGGATGGGGAGGATGCTGGTGGTGATGGTGGGATGGCTGAACATATGGATATTGATGGTTATGGCGATGGTGTGAATGGCAATGGGACAGACGAAAGGAATGGTGAGCAAGAAGAGGAAGAGGGCGAGGATGGGGAGGATTATGGGGCACTTGCGTTGCTGGATACTGTCATTGAGGATCGGGAGGAGAGGTTGTCGAACGAGGACGTGGTTGCTATCTTGGCGGCTATTCGGAGGACACTTGGCGTGATGTGAGATGAGATCTCGAGAAAGCTAGATCTGTACCAATTACATGGCATTTGTTGCGTATACTGTGGTAGTTACATGAAGTTGTGTCCTTGAATTGCTATGTACATGCCAGGGACTACTAACTTCGGTGTCTCAGTATGGAAAGAGGTATATCTATCGTACAAAGATCAAAACCAAGCAAAGAACGCCAGACCCCCGGGCCAGGTGAGGTGAGCAACCCAGTTGCTGTGGCTCCGGCCGCATTCATGTACAGGTAAGATGGTCCTGGCAGACCAGACCTCCAGTTCGTCTGGCTCGGGGGTCAGTGGTGGTTGGCTGGATCTCCTCACGTATTGTGAGGAAATGGAGGATCGGATAACAGGTAGGAAGGCATTTCCCAAGGCAGAGTCTCACAAATGGTGCTCTCCAGTGGAAGCGAGACGCGGTTCATCAGCCAGTGATGAAAGATGCCATGCCTCACGCACAGACAGGCAAGAAGAGCATCATGTTCGTAAGCGTGTGTCTCGAGAAGGCAGAAGGAAAGAAACGATCATCACGCCCTTTTGCGTTTCTTCTTCTCCCCCTTGATCAGAGTTCCAAACTGATTGTAGATCGGCTTCAGCGGATCACCGTTCTCCTTCCCGAACGGCCCCAAATCATCATCGAAAAGATCGCGCTCCTGGCCCTGGCACACCTCATACAACGGGATCCACTCCTCTTCATCGGTCCAGATCCCGCCGCGGCCGCCGCGCGTATCCCACCAGTCCTGCCCGCCTAACAGGGACGACTGCGCCGAGTCGAACCCACGCGAGTTGCGGATGTATTTGCGAAGCAGGGCGCGGGCCCAGGGGAAGAACCACATCTTCTCCCACCAGATGCCGCGCAACTTCTTGTCGCCGTTCAGGTGCACCAGTGCCGGAATCGAGGCCGAGTGCGGGTTTGTCATGAGTGGAACGTTGACCCAGGAGCGCTCGTTTGGATCGGGAAGTTTGTCTAGGGTCTCGTTATAGGCCGGGACCATCTCTTCGTCCTTGGCGAAGCGTGTCTGGACGAATGGACTGGCGCATTCGGCCAGTTCGGTTGGTAGCAGGAGACGATGCTCACGCGGAACTTTGTGTTCCATCTGTAGGGTCGACATCCTGCTGATGTTGCTGTACTTAACCCAATCAACGTCGTTGCGAGACAGGATCTGGTTGAAGAACAATTGTGACTCGAAGTCGACTCCGATCCCATACTCGTATCGGTGGCCCGACTCCAGTCGGACACTCACCCCGGTGACATTGCCCCCGTCCGAGATGCCAATCGTGCGATAGAGCCAGTCCTTGGCGCGGTTGGTCGTCCGGCGACGCTCCAGCTCCCGCACGACTTCCTGTCGCCCGTACATCTGCGTCAGGATATGGTGCTCGTCGATTTTATTACTGCTCTGGCTCTCCAGTTGCTGCAGCATCTCGTCGTAAATGAGTCGCACGTCTGCAGCCTGGCCCATGACTGCGCCCGGGTTCAGCCACCGGGGCCGATTGCGGGTTCCGTCGTGGATTTCGTCTGTTTTCCATCCGTACACATCCGGAGGCAAAGATGACTGTGGCACCGTCACGCAGCCGGCGTCGTTGTGCAGACTGGGGATGCATTCCTTGCTAGCGCCGAAAAGAACTCTCTGCTCATACTTCTGGACCAGCTCGGGTTGGGCATCCGGGCCCTCTGTCGGCAATTCGGCATAGCCATATTTCTTCGCCAGTTTCTGGTTGGTGGTCCGCAGGATATTTTGGAATCTTTGTAACAAAACCCGTGGCGGCAATTGGAAGAAGATATCCTCGCCATCGACGATCAGGACGATGTCGCGGTCGTGGACGTAGTGGCTGTCTCTAAGATAGTCGCGCATGCGGGTGATGCGCTGCACCGTTTGCTCGAGCGCGGTCGCGCCGGATGATGAGGGCAGCCCCCAGCCGATCATGTTCAGCGGTGGATATTCGAGAATCATGGCCGATGTCATGGTCCGGCAGACGCCGCGGGAAGAATCCTCGGCCGGCACCAGGACATGGAACTGGGGATTGGCCTTGGACAGATCATGAGGCAGGGAACCGTTGACGGAATATTCGAGCCGGGGCTGCACGAGTTGCGCATCTTCCGGCCGGTCGGGAAAGGGATGGCGCGAGGGGAATTTCGCCCAGTAGTCAGGGTCCGGTGTCTAGATCGGAGACATTGTTGGTTAATTGACTGACCGCGGGGGGCAATGATCATCACCACACTCACGCTGGACGACCGACTCAGCAAGAACCAGAACAGAAGAAAAGAAATTGTGGCCAGAGCCAGCACCTTGGTCCGCTGGGTTCGCGGACGACAGTGGTAGACCTGCCATAGCAGCGTGGTCGCCGATGACTTGGCCTCGTGGAACTGCGGCAGTGGCGTGCCAAGCGACGCCATCCTGCGTGACGTTCAGCAAGGGATAGAGTGGGTTCGAGGCGTGTCAAGATAGCGAATCAACCATAATATTCCTGGATAGGGAGAGAGCAGAGGTCAACTCATGCCGGGTGGAGAAGAGGAAGAGGAAAAAGAAGAGGAAGAGAGAGACGACGCAATCGGTGGATCCGAAACGGGTCACGTCCCGTTCGCGGCGTTGCAGGTACCAAGCACTAATTAGTTCAGCTGGGGGCCAAAATCGTCAGAGATCTATTATAATTATTATGGTGGTATGTTTATTTGGGGTCCATGATAGTACTGTTCTATGCAACTATACAGGCTGTGTCACTTGTGTATCTCTGTCTTACTCCAGGTAGATTTCCTCGCGCAGCCGCTGCAGATTGCGGAACAGGCCACCCCCGGGCCCTCCGCTATCGCTATTGCGCCTCTGCTGCTCCATCGACGGGCGGCCTTTCGCCTGCGATCGAGCACCCTGGTCCGCCTGCGCCTCCAACACCCTCCGCCGATCGTCCACGATCTTCGTCAGGCCATCCACCAGCCTCGTGCGCGCTTTCTCCTCCGCCGAACCCTTCCACACCATCGCCAGCCTGCGCACAGCCTCCACGCGCCGACTGGCGGCCTCCACCCCGGCCATCCCGCCACCCTCGCTGTCCAGCAGCTCGGTGATCTCGCTCCGTAGCTTCCTCAGTATCTCTTGGCCCTTTTCTTCCCGGCTGCGTCCCTCGGCGCCCAGGTCGGGACCCGAGACGGAGATGAATGACGATGAGAATGAGATCTCAGACGGTGGTAAGGGCCATTCCATTGCGTCGCCGAAGGTCTGTACCACGTCTTCGAGGCGGGAGCGCACTTGGTTGAGGGTGCGGAGGTTGGTGATGTATTCGGGATCGTTGGCGACCGTCTTTTCCTTCTCCTTGACTTCGTCTTTGTCTTTGTCTTCCTCTTCCTCTGCTGTAGTCTCCCCCTCCTCCTCTTCTTCTTCTTCCTCCTTGGGTGAAGATACAAGCTCGTCATTCAGTTGAGCCTTACGACTAGACACCGCCGTAGTGCTCCTAGACTCAGGAACAAACTTAGTGATATCCTCGCGCAGCACCTCCGTCAGAGTCTCCGACAACCCAATAGTCTCTCCACGCAACACCTCCACCTCGTAAGCCAACCGCCCCCCACTACGGAGGATCTCATCGGTGAGCTGGGACAGCGTGCCAGAGAGACGCACGTTCTGCGCGCTGATCTGCGAGAGCAGCGACTGCACTTGAGCGGACAGCTCGGTTAAAGGCACGGAACCCGGTGCTCGTGAGGCATTGGGTTGGGTGGATGCGACGGTCAGTGGTGGGAGAGAGTCATTGAGGAAGTCGGCGGGGTCAAAGTTGGGGTCGGCGAAGTTGGGCGTCATGTCGGTGGGTGGCTTGGGGGGGTTGGTGGCCATTCTCGATGATGCCTGTGCGAAGGCCATGGTTTGTTTGCCTCCAGAGGTGGTGGGTAGGAGGGCGAAGTGGGAGTGAGTGAGTGTGTTGAAGGGCCAAGGATGCTGCTGTTCACCGCCTCCCGGGTCAATTGGAGAGCTATACAAGACAGGTACAAAGCAACGAAAGATGATTGACTTAGGATCAGAGTTGTTGGGGAGCAGTGTATTTTCTTTTGGTGGTGGACATTGGTTTACATCTAATTACCGAGACACATCGTCCACATTAAGAAGTATATAGTAGATGCTAGTAAGTCTAGCGACAGTCCCGATTATGTCAACTCCACCATTCTACCAATTACTTTAAAATATATATATTAACCATATAACATACATTTTAACTCTAAACGGGTTCAATTGGATTTAAATTAGGCGTGTATGGATGCCATTCAATCACATCAACACTATGCCTTTTAAATCACTCTCGTATAACGCATGATTTATTAATATTCGCGTTATCTTGTTAAAAGATAGTACTAGGTCTATAGTGCCTAATAAAACCGTCGTCGAGTGTATCAAAGTATGATTTCATAATGTATCCGTTGTGCGCCGAGTCGGTGTCCCGCCCTATAATAATCAATTTTAAAAAGGCGATTGCCCTATTTCAAGGGCATAGAGAATTGCAGCGCGAGTTGGACCCCAAAGTTCAGTATTTAGTCTTATTTCTACCTATCTCCGTCCCAAGTCGACGCATAGTTGTTGAACAGAATTAAAAAAATAGGGAACGCGAGGTATACGCGCTAAATTGGGCGAAGCGTCGTTAGACGTAATGAACAGTGTGGACGTGTGTGGATATGTTAAAAGACCAATTGTTTCAAATTAAGGTGAAAAACAATATCGCTATTAAGACAAGAAAGTCATCAAACAGAACAGCAAGAGTCAAAATGAAGGTGGGTATCGTCAATCGCGTCCATCATTACAAATCCCCGAGAGAAGGGTGGTATAGAACTCTCCACCAAAGCACAAGTCAAGATCATATCCTCATAGACAAAAGGAGACTAAATGTCCTCGACAATGCGCGCATTCATCGCACGCTGAAACCCGCTATCGTCCGAGCCGTCAGTCGGCTGGCCGTACTTGCTGGGCCCCTCGCCCGCATTTTCCGCGGCGGCCAGCTGTGCCGACATGTTTCCATTTACCCCAGGTAAGAAGATAATTTTGCTGTTGGCCGTCTTGGCCATTGACTGCATTGCTTCCAGGTACCGGATCTGCATGGCGGGGGCCGAGGACAGGATGTCGGCAGCCTGGCGCATCAACTTGGCGGACTCGACCTCGGCGCGGGCGGCAATGACCTTGCTCTCACCGATACGCTTGGACTGCGCGGCCATCGACAGCGAGTCCTGCAGGTCGCTGCTGAAGATGATGTCCTTGATCAGCATGGACTCGACCTGGACGCCCCAACCGGCGGCGACCTCCTCGATGATCTCCGAGGTGGACTGGGCGATTTCCTCGCGGCGCTCGACGACATCCTGCAGCACGCGCGCGCCGACCACATGGCGCAGGGTGGTCTGCGTGCGCTCGATGAGGGCCTGGCGCGCGTCGGCGATGCCGAATGCCGCCACGTGCGGCGACACCACCTCGTAGTAGATCACCGAGGTCAGGGTGAGAGTGACATTGTCCTTGGTCATGCAGGTCTGGCGCGGCACCTCGACGATCTGGATCTTGACGTCCACGGTGGTGAGGTGTTCGCTGAGCGGGTTGACCTTCACCAGACCGGGGTCCACGGCGCGCTCGAAGCGGCCGAACTTGGTCACCAGGCCGACCTGGCCCTGGTTCACGGGCTTGAAGGGGTTGGGGCAGCAGAAGCAGCAGGGGATGGCGCCGCAGAACCCAATGCATTGTCCGATGTTATGAACTGGTCCCGGTCAGCGACTGTCCAGGAGGTACGTGGGGAGGGTGACACTCACTCAGAGAAGCATACCAGCTGTGGGCATCCGGGTTGTCATCCTGGTGGTCGATCTGGGCCGCATATTTGGGCTGCAGGTCAGCCATGCGCGCAGGCTGCACGTTGACCAGAGGTCGATCGCGGGTAGGAGTAGGCGTGGAGGCCTGGTCGTGGGCCTGGTCCGGGGCCTTGCCGTTGTCGCGAAGACCGTTCAGGTTGAGAGCCATGGTGATGGAGGATAATGATTGTAGTGGGGATGATGAGGATGGATGAGAGATGATGGAAGACACAAGAGGGGGCACGTAAAGACTTAAATAATCCAAGTTGAAAGTCAAGAGAGCTTCTCCGCAGTGGAGAGATGCAGCTCATTCGCCAAGCCTCGTAGTTCACTACGCTCGATTCAGTCTAAGCCTCCAATGCCGCCCAAGGCGGACTAGGCTGGCACTGATCCTCAGTTAATAATCCCTCATGTTAGTCAATGGGTGCTCGTTTTCGTATATATCGAGAACCTTAGTCCGGTACTGACTAGGGATTAGATCATCTGGCCGCGTATGCCTGGGTGGAACTTCCAGTCACTAACAACTAAAGGAAGCACCTACCTAGTTCACTACCCGGAGGGCATGGTAGTGGTACCTTGAATTATTGCCATTATTGTGCTCCACGAGGGTCATCTTCCAGACGTCTTCTAGAAAGCCCTTAGCCTTCTTCTTGGCTGGTAGCTAGGAAAGAATGACGAAATGCCAACCCAACCATGTTCACTCAGCCCCCACCAGGGCAATCACGCGGAGGCAGTGTTTCTCGGCCGCAAGGCTGAGGCTCTTGGCTGAGCATTATACAGATTGGTCATGGGGGGATGGGCCGAGCTACCCGAACTTGGGTACCAGGGGAACTCTTGCCGATATCCACGGTCCAGGCTGTGAAGCCTGAATAAGCTACTTCTTGTTTGGAGCACCTCGTATCCGGGTATCCGGGAATGTAATATTATTATGGCCCGATTTTGGATTCTAATGCCGATCCGCAAAGTTTCTATCAAGACAGCATCATTGGTCTAGTGGTAGAATTCGTCGTTGCCATCGACGAGGCCCGTGTTCGATTCACGGATGATGCACTTCTTTTTTGTTTTTGCCATAATCACTTTCCGGTGGGTAGGAAGTATGGCTTTTTGATGTTTATTTTCTCTGCTTCTTTCTGATATTTACTCTAGGATTGACAATCTCGGAGACTTCCGCAAGGCTGCGTGTGACGAACACTAGTCTTCAAGTGCGGGATATATATCTCACACAGCCACCATAGAGTGGGGATACATAGTAAACACTTAGTAGTGACATCGGGAATACTTATTTCCTTTCAGATAAAACCTCCCAGATAAACAAGAGGGACATACAAGTGCATAAGCTGATAGATCAAGATATACAAAATCACAAGACTCCAGGCTTTCAACGACACAAGAGAAACAAAAAACACCACCCCAAATCCTCATTAGATTAAACGCATCTCAGTCATCAGGGCCTAATGCCGCCCCTCCGGGTTCATCTCCGGCACCCCCAGACCCAGGTCATATGCACCCAGCGGCATACCGCCCGGCCCAAAAGCAGACATGTCAGGGGGACCACTGCCACCGGGCGGCGCAGCCGAACCTGCCCCTGTTGCGCCTTGGGCGGTAGTAGACCCCGGTGTCAGACCCGTGGGACCATCGCCACCACCGACGGGGTCGAGGTTGAACGGTAGGAACCAGGCACTAGGTTGATAGAACTCGCCTGAGCCAGCTGGAGCGTTCGGGTCCAACTGGCCCGAAAACAGGGCTTCGTCTGCTGATTGTTGGGCGTCGGCGCCGTTGACGGGTGGGATGGGGGAGTTGGTGTTGGCGACGAAGGAGGTTGGGTCGAAGTTGAAGGAGCCGTACACGAATTGTCGATCCAGCTGGGGCAGTTGATCCGGCGGGATGCTGAAATCGAAGGGTGGTTGGCCGAATGACATGCTCCGATTTTGGGAGAAGAGGGATGGTTGCGGGAATGCGCTGCCGGGGATACCCGTGCTGCCCATGGTCACATCCATCATCGGCTGGGGAGGCGATGTTTGATCTAGACCTGATACCCCGTCGGGGAGTTTGCTGTCCTTGTGCGAGCGTGAGCGGCGAGGCACGCTGGGCTGTGGTGTCGGTGACAAACTGGCGAAGAAATCTTCGACGCTCTGCAGGTCAGGCTTCTGGCCCATGACTGCGTCCTCACCCGACTCCTTGTGCCGAGTGTCGGGATCCTCCCAGTGCAGTCGCGATACTCCATGAGGATACTTATCAAACCAATCGCCATATTGGAACATGGGTGTGAGAGAGGCGCCATTTTGCGTGGCTACGGACCCCTTGATAGCTGCATCGGCGAACTGTCGATACCGATCCTTGGCACTTTCCACCATGTAATGGAACATGCCCCAGTATTTCTTCATCTTGTTCAGATAGCGGTAGGTGTGGCGGAGATTCTCCTTCGATCGGGCTTCAAGCTGCACATTCTTTGAGAAGATGCCCCAGATGTGAACAGTACTGGCCGAGTAGGCGCAGTACCCGGCGAAGGGAACCGTGAGAGGATATGCAGACGCACGGTCAAAGAGCACGGAAATGTTATGGGCTGCCTCTACCGCCGCTCGACCCGCGTTGCTGAGGAAAGGCTTGGGCATGTCTCGAGGTGGACGACCCCCTGGCAACAGAGGGATGGCAAACTGGTTGAGGAAGAGCGAATTTTGGTGGGTGATTATGTGTAAAAATAGGAACTGGTTTGCAATCTTCTCAGCTGCGTGGATTTGGAGATTCTCGTAGGTGAACGCCATCGAGCTGGGAAGCGAGGCAGAAAACTCGTCGATTTGCCGTTTGAGGAGCGTATAGCCCGATTCCGGATGCCAGAGGGGATGCTGGTCTTTTCGCTTGCCCCCAAGGTTCAAGTAGTCGACAATGCGGCCCCAGATGACAATGGCACGAATGATGTACGCTGATACGCCCATGTTGTCCTTGGCGTTGGATAGCTGACCCATATTCTCCAGCGCAGGATTGAGGACATCTCCATCCAGGTCTTCTGTGGGACCGGGAATTTCCATCTGGAAATGGCTTTCCTTGATAGGCAATTGGATCTGCAAAAACTTTTCATTCCCAATCGGTGGCCGCTGGCTGCCCGAAGAATTGTACCGATCCATCAAAAAACTGGCCCACATAGTCCGTCGCCGGATCTCTCGATCCGTGAAGCTCAACTGAGAGCTTGAGCCATTGCTTTGGCCAAGGAGTGGGTCAACGTCGAGTTCTCGATGGAGCTGCAGGGCGTACGCCATCCGCAATGCTTGTCCGCCAAAGGACCAACTTCGCCCACCATGACAAGTTCCAAACTCGTGAAGTCCAAGGAGGAGAAAGACAGTTAAGATGGTAATATTAGGCTCGTCATGTCGGCTGAGGGCAATCGCCGCGGCGGGATTGGCCCAGTTCTCTCCCCGCAGAAACGGAGGGTCTGAATTGAGCTGCGGATGGGTTGAGAATCGGGCCGACACGGCACACACTGCAAGGATCAGGACAGGGGGCACCGTACCCGCCTTCAGCCGCCGCATGAAGCTAGGTTTGTGTAGGAGGAGGTACGACTGCCCGTACACGCAATCGAAAAACGCTTCCGCGAGATGCTCCTGGATTTCAAGAGAAGGGAGAAACTCTGCACCCTCCGTCAACAGCCCACTTCCATCGCTCGACTTGGGCTCGCGATTCATCGGAAATGCTTCAATAGGCGGGCGGCGGTCCCCACGAGTCCACTCCTCTATTTCCGCAGTGAAGGCCTCATCCGCGCTGCGTTTCTTCTGGGTCTTGGATGTCTGAGCAACCACCGACGGTTTCACTACTGAGCGGCCGATGGAGGCCATATCCCTCGCCTCATCCTTGGGGATGGTCTTGATCACGCGCTCCTCCATTCTTTTCAGCCGTTTGTCCAGCATGGCCATGTAGTCCGTGCGCGGGGCCGCCTTTCTCGTGGTCACCTTATAGACACATGGGATGCGCGAGCGCGTGCAGTGTTGGCAGGCGGGCTTCTCGCCTGAGCATCGGATCTTCTTCCGCCGACAGGCGATGCAGGCCAGCGGGAGACGCTTTCTCTCTTTGCCCGCCTTGGTCTTCATCTCGGTCCACGCCGGCTTGTCATCCCTGTTCTCGAGGTTTGACGGATCGCCGCCGCTGGCATCTTCGCCTCGCTGGCTGTCGAGATTCTCCGGCGCAGTGCTCGGGTCGCCGGCGGTTTGGGTGCTGCCAGGATCGCGGGAACTTGTACGGCTGTGGGTATCATAGTCGTCGGGGACCGTCGAGTCCTCGTGGGCGAAGCTGAAGCCGCCACCCGAGGTCTTCGAGGGCGAATCGTCGGAGTGGGTTTTGATCATGACGGGTTCGGATACCCTAGGACCGAGACCCGGATCATCATTCGGCACGACGGAGCAGCCAGAGGAAGGAGGGACGGGAATCCTTCAATGGCCAGAAGAAGCAGGCGACACCAGGTGGGGATGGCAGGGATCGCAACGGGGCGTTGGGGGAGATGTGGTGGAGGTGAGGAGAAGAGAGCGAAGCGAAGTCGGAAATATGGGGAAAGGTGCGGGCTTGGCGACTGGCAGCCAGTGACAGGCTCTTCGTGAATGCTGACCACCGAATGATATAAACGAAGTACAGAAGAGAATTTTAGAACTTGGGTGAATAGGTCCAAAGAGAAAAAAAAATAAAGGTGTCACTGAGTGTCGTCTACAATGTCTAATGTTACCTACATACCGATCCGGCCTCGGCTGGGTGCACACGAGCTCTGACCACCACTATTATGTATAGATCGAGGCTTGGTTCTTTTTTTTTTTTTTTTTTTTTGGATTTGGCTATGCGACCACTGATGTATATGAAGACGCCCTATAGTTCGTATACAAATGACCTACACAGTAGATAGTTTCCTCGCACCTAAAAATGAATCCATTTCTCACGTGTCCGAACACATTTAAAAACAAGATCGACCCTCTCTCATACCGGCGAATTTAGGTGTCGTAATTAGAACTGTGATTGACCAGCTTATCACCAACTCATCACCAAGTCTCTTTCTCTCTCTCTCCTTCTCTGTCGTGTGCACTTGCAATTTGCAAGTGTCGGGCGTCTCGACTCGTTCGCTTGCGAATTGTTGCGCCCTTTGCGCAATCGTGAATCACGAAGCCTTGGGGCGGCCCGGTCGGCCGCGGGGCGTCGCGAGTTCTAGCGAATTGAGGATCTCCGCTCCGAGCACGTATATATTGTAAGTTGGGAAGACGATCCACAGACCACTGCGAACGACCGTTAGCCATGGGCGCCACGCATGGCGCGCTCGCGAAGACTTACTTGGGAATGATCCACATGAAGATCAGAGTGAGCCCGTCGTTATGTCCAATGTTGTCAAAGCCCGAGAAGACCTCATTCAGCCCTGGTCAGGGTTAGTCTTGGAATCCCAATCGAATGCGCCGACGGGAACACTTACAGTAGAGAATGGTCTTGCTGACGGTCATGACGGACGCCGTGTACGCGACCAGGAGCGCGATGGCGCCGGTATGGCCGGCGACCACCTTGTCGCCCGTCAACAGCCAGCGAAAGCCCTTGGTGATCTTGCTCTGCCGGCGACTGACGACCGCGGAGCCATGCACGTAGACGACCCACAGGTAGTAGATGTATCCGAGGGTCTCGACAATATTGAGGGCTGTCTGCGCGGCGGTGAAGCCATTGCGCGCGTTGAAGGCGGGCCAGCCGTAGATGTAGTCGATGGTGCCGTACAGCGCGTAGGGGGTCCAGATGGGCGAATGCAGCCGACCCCCGGGCATACTATGCGGGCGCAACAGCACATAGCCCGCGTCCCAGATGACCAGCGGCACGGAGACCGCCAGCCAGATGGTCACGGCGGCGGATGGGGTGTGCACCCATTTGCGCGCGGTGCCACTTGGGGTGGTCGCGGGCGCTTTGACGGGCGACTTGATCAGCGGTTTAGCCGTGGCGCTTTCAGGCGAGGGAAACTCGCGGGGATGATGTCGCGTGGAGACCATGGCTTGTGCGACGATGCGATTGTGAGAGATAGATTAGTGTCAGGGGAGGAAGGGAAACTGCAAGAGGGAAGGAAAAGTACTAGTTCGGAATGCCCTAACATTGCACTTGGGCCTCGGAATGCACCCCAGCCATCCGGGGGGCCATAGACTGACGGCCGGTGACGTCGACGGGCTGGCTGGTTGCGGATTAAAGTGCGAGGCTGGGGTTCGTTGCCCCAGGCATGAGGTGGGTCGGACACTTCCATAGTGAGTTGATCTTATTGACTACGGGTCGTGATTAAATATTCTTCGTCCGATTGGTTCAGTTATCGTATTATTGAGGATATCATTAATCCTCCCACTCACGCCGACGATTGGATCACGTGACCAGACGTGACTTTTGACTTGCGTTTCACCTGGTGGCGGAGAGGAAAGGGTGGTTGACCATTGAAGGTATCATCACGATGGACGCCAGTCAAGAGGTACGTCTCGCCCGGACGATGTCTAGAGTTCGTCTAGGGTTATCCACTGACTCCCACCCAGATCATTGACCGACGTGCCCGTATTCGAGAGAACCAGCGCAAAAGCCGCGCCCGCAAGCAGGAGTACATCCAGGAACTCGAGCACCAGATCGCCCAGTGCAAGGAACAGGCCCAGCAGAGCGATATTGACCACCGGATCACCGTCCAGAAACTTCAAGCCGAGAACCGCCGGCTCAAAGACCTGTTGGCCTCTCTGGGCGTCTCGCCTGCTTCGGTCGAGCAGTGTCTGCAGCAAGCCGCGCCCGCCGCGATCCTGGATCGGAAAATTGCCATCCGTGCATTACCGCGATCACCACACCCCGCTAGCCCGATGTCATCAACTAAAGTGCCAAGTGCCCGCGAGATCAGCCCAGACGATGCTCTCCAAAAGACAGAGGACCCGTCGTTATGCAGATGCCCCATCACCGGGCAAGACATCAATACCCTGCCCTCCGATCAGGACCAGCTCGATTCGACTCTATGCAGCATTGCTGAAGAGCTGATAAACCAGTATAACACCTGCGGTGCCGATGTCGACGAGATCCACCGCAAGCTCTCTGCTGGCTTCCGGAAGGGCATGGCCGGCGGTGGCTGTAGCGTGAAAAATCACATCCTCTTCCAGGTGCTCGATGAAATCAGCAACGGGATCTGATCCTATATTTCTACCATGGGTGTCGTCTACCCATCCACTTGACTACATACACCAACCCCAGCAGCACCGGCACTTCCACTAACGGCCCGACCGTCGCCGCCAGCGCTTGATCGCTGTTCACCCCAAACGTGGCAATGGCCACCGCAATGGCCAGCTCAAAGTTGTTGCTCGCTGCTGTGAAGCTCTGCGTACAGGGCAGTTCATACCCAACGCCGCAGCGGCGTGTGAGCAACACCGTCATCAGGAAAATGACAGCAAAATATACGATCAATGGTGCGGCAACCCGAACCACCGACACGATCTGGTGCACGTCATGCTCGCCCTGAGATGCGAAGAGCACGAGGATGGTGAATACAATCGTGCTCGAAATCGCCTTAAACAATATACACTGAGAAACTCTTTCCTGGCCCCACTGCCAAGGCCTTAGCGCGGATCATATATTGAGTCAGTGTTAAATTGAGGGCGAAATAAAAATGCGCTGTGTACTGTATGTACCCTGACGGAAAATTACACCATGCGTGTAAAACGTTGGTGGAATTCCATGGAATCGTATAGTGAATCTGCAATTCATGTGGGGAGGGCTGCCTAGTGCCGGGTAACTTGATGATCTTGTGAACGACTTCATTTCTCCTCCTAAGTTACATGCGCCACTCGCTTACCGGTTACGTTAGGTGGATCCAATATGCTGATCCAGCAGTCTAGGGGTTTCAGGATAGCCAACGGTGCACAATTACTAACTCCCTTCGCATCGCCAGTTCGGACCTCACTACTCATGATGCAATTACAAATTCGGAATCTACCAGCTCTTGACTTATGCCACGCGACTGCCGAAGGCTGGGTTACCCGTGTGGAGTCTCTGCTGGTTTCAGGCGTTGATCCAAATGCACGTTTTGATGACTCGGAGTTCGCCCTTTCTGGTCTGGCAGACGATAGCGACGATAGCGCCCATAGTGTGAAAGCTACGCAGCCTCCGCAGTTCGATTTTGAGGCCACTAAAATGCCCGCCCTACGCCGGGCTGCTCGGGACAAAGGGGTTCAGATCCCTGAGACGTGCGATTTACTCAAAACGGAGCGTCTTATGACGATTTTACTTGAACATGGTGCCGATCCATATGCATTATTCTGTCAGCCCATTTTCAGCTACAATCTTGTCCCTATATACCCAGGAGACACAGGAGATCCAGAATATGATGATGATGAGTCAGATCTTAACTGTATGAGATTTGCTCGTTGGGGTATCATCGATAAGACGCTTCGGCTGGAGTATGAGCGACTCGGGCTATTAGAGGAAACACAAAAGCCTGGTACGCGGGATTACGGACTTGGTGACGCCTATGAGGAATGTATTGACTATGAGCCTCGTTTTCCGCATAAATATGGGGCATGCAGCGTTATGCACTCTCTGCTTGAGGACGGTGCTTTCATCCAGCCAATTCTCAACTTTCTCGGAACCAGTCTAGATGTGGAGCGACGGGATCCCCAGGGCCGCACATTGTTTCTCGCCGCCTGTCGGAGTAAGCTTGGCTTGGATGGTGCAGTAGATGGGGCCTTCGCTTGCCTTTGGCAAGGGCAGGCGATGCCGAACCCTTACCCACAGCCAAACAATCCTTGGCAAAAAGAGTCTCAACGCTTTACCTCTACATGCACCGGCCCGAGCTTACTCGAATTCTTCGTATCCTGCGGGGCAAACCTCCTCGCCGTGGACAAGTACGGCCAAAACGCTCTTCATCACCTGCTAGCGTTTATTGATCGCGATAACGACATACCCCCACTCATCAATACATCGCTGAAATACTTAGCCCAGAACTGTCCTAGTCTGCTAAATCAGCCCGATGGGGCGAGAATCTATCCTTTACACTATGCGATTCGACGAATGTGTGACTACCCATACCAGGCTAACTCGGCCTTTAAAGCTATCTTTCACTTCGAAATAGCTATCTATGACCTTCTAGCCGCTAATGCGGATCCTCTCGTACGCGATAGCCGTGGGAACACCGTTCTGCATTACCTTGCGGCAGGCAGGCTAGGCGAAGGTGATCGAGTGGGTGATGAGCAGCGGCGTTTACTTTCAGTGTTCCTCGAGCGCGGAGTTGACCCAAAAGCTCGCAATACAGCAGGTGTGACTGCATTGGAATTGTTGTTCATGAAGAAGGATGAACCGATGTTTGAGAGCGAACATCGTAAGTACGATCGTTTTTACGCTATTGGTCAAGAAGTAGTCAGTGCATTTGAGCAAGGAGGCTATATCTTGACAGAAACAAACGCCGCTAACCAGACACTTCTACACCTGGTGGCTAAACTTGACTCGGGCCGTGCGCCCATATGGTTCAATCTCCTTAAAGACAAGGGGCTCGATATTGAGGCGAAGGATAAGGTTGGAGAGACGCCCCTAGATAGTGTAAAACACAACGACTGGTTTAGGTATGGAGTCGATTAGCAATATGGGAGTGGTCCAAGCGTCCTATGTGCTGGATGACGTGAACAAGCATTAAGTCACGTTGTTAGCTAAAGAGAAGAAAGAAAACAGTATATCCTATCTTTGGTCATTTGTCCTTCCGTAGCGTACTTATTGATTAATTTGAAACGCCTGCCCCTTATGCTTTCTGAGGAATTCGTACAACACGCGGTCAAACAAGCTACGAAGTTCAACATTGCGCTTAAAGAATTAGAGCAACGCGTCTGCGCCCTGAAAGGATGCGACAACTTTACTTAGTGTCATTCTCTCACTCTGTAAAGGGTGTCATCACCACAAAAGTGCATATGAGGTCATCTGTATGACGGTCATATTATTCCTCGTCTCTACAGTACACTAATTTTGACTGGGTCTTTCAAGAAAGCGAGTATTGATGAAGTGGCCTCGCAGTGGGCGGTGACTGGTCGAAATTATGCTATTCCATAGTAGGTTAATTTTAACTTTCATAAATTCAAGGCCCTTTGGAGCAGACGGTGAAGAGCAGCCCACAAACACAAAAGACAGACAGATCAGAACAGCCACCGAAAGTGACAAGGCCACCGCTGAGACAATTTGATCTAGCCTGCTTCCGACGGGGAGCTTCATGATGGCCACACGATGTACTGTATGTAGTGCGATGGCACATCTTTGGGAAGACAGTACCTGCGGACAGACTGTCGCACCAGATAGTTGAGAGAAAATTAGCGCAGAAGAGAAGAAAATCCACGGACAAGATCTTTGCCGAGTTGTATTCATGAGAGCAAGACATCCGGCATTTCATACGGCTTCCAATCTGCCAATCTGCCGAAATTCACACTCTTACCCGATTTTGCCGACGATTACCCGCCCGAAAAGCCGTCGAGAAACCCCGGGGGTGGGAATATGGGGTACGGTATGAGGTAGGGATCAGCCCGTGTTGCCAATAAAGGGCGCGTGGGACTCGTCGTATGGAGGGATGTACTTCATTGCAGACCCCATCGTGCACAATTCCCCCGCCAATTTATCCGGCCTGGTCTCCAATCTGGAGAGCACGGAGTAACATGGATAATATTATTGCGTCACGGTCGGCACGGGGACGGGAGGGGACTGTCCCACTCTGGTTCGGGGACTGATATCCTGGTCGGGCCGATGAGAAAACTGTCTCTGGGAGGGGTGACACTGTCGACCGGTAGGATGGTGAGACCAGGAACCTTTTGTAGTTGCCACGGCCATCCATGGATTCAAGCTCCGGGTCAGGCACAGGCCTCCCCACAATTTGGGGTCCTTCCGATCTCATCCAGGGACGAGGATAGCGGAATTGCCCTAAGGGGAAGGACACGCGGTGATCGCATTTCATCTGGTTTGTTTGCTTTCCGCGAGACTCATTGCCGAGCCGGAGTATGAGCGTGGCCCGCAACGAGGGCGGGCTGGAATGTATGTTTGGATGTCGGAAGTAAATAAGTCAGTCCGTGATGGATGCTCCTCGCTTGGTTTCACTCCTTCCGTTTCCCTGTCGATCGCTCCCTCGTCATCTCCACTGTTGTTTGTCCACTCCATCATCCCTTGGCCTTCCGTTCAGTCCTATTTAAGTCTGGACGATCCCTTCGACGAGTTGGATTTCACCCTCCCTGTCCTCCCACACTCGTTATAGATCAACCATGAAGCTCGGGTGGCTCGAGTTGGCCGCTCTGACGGCCTCGGTCGCCGGTGCCAAGGTATGTGATGTGATGATCCTTGATATCCGATGACTGATTCAGACTCTCTCTCTAGGAATTGGCCTATTCTCCCCCATACTACCCTTCCCCATGGATGGACGGCCAGGGCGACTGGGCCGATGCCCACAAGCGCGCCGTCGAATTTGTGTCCGGCCTGACCCTCGCGGAAAAGGTCAACCTCACCACGGGGTCTGGTTGGGAACAGGAACGCTGCGTCGGCGAGACCGGTGGCATTCCACGGTAGGTGTTTGTCCACCCGCCGCGCCCACAGCAACTGACGCAGGAGCAGACTCGGCATGTGGGGCTGGTGTATGCAGGACTCGCCGCTGGGGGTTCGTGACTGTATGGACTGGACTGCTGTGAACGATAACAATAGACTGACTGGTGTGCAGCCGACTACAACTCGGGATTCCCCGCCGGCGTCAATGTCGCCGCTACCTGGGACAAGAGCCTCGCGTACCTGCGTGGTAAGGCCATGGGCGAGGAGCACCGTGACAAGGGTGTTGATGTGCAATTGGGCCCCGTGGCTGGCCCGCTGGGCAAGAACCCGGATGGCGGTCGAGTCTGGGAAGGATTCGCCCCGGACCCCGTCTTGACCGGTCAACTGTTCGCGGAAACCATCAAGGGTATTCAAGATGCTGGTGTCATTGCTTGCGCCAAGCATTACATTCTCAACGAGCAGGAGCATTTCCGCCAGTCGAGTGAGGCGCAGGGCTATGGCTATAACATCGACCAGAGTGTCAGCTCCAACCTGGATGACAAGACCATGCACGAGTTGTATCTCTGGCCCTTTGTCGATGGGATCCGTGCCGGTGTGGGCTCCGTCATGTGCTCGTACAACCAGATCAATAACAGCTATGGCTGCTCCAATAGTTACACGCTCAACAAGCTGCTCAAGGGCGAACTGGGTTTCCAGGGCTTCGTCATGAGTGACTGGGGTGCGCACCACAGTGGTGTGGGCGATGCTCTGGCCGGTCTGGATATGTCGATGCCCGGTGATGTGCTTCTCGGCAGCCCATACTCCTACTGGGGTACTAACCTGACCATTGCGGTGCTCAATGGCACCATCCCCGAGTGGCGCATTGACGATATGGCTACCCGCATCATGGCTGCCTATTACAAGGTCGGCCGCGATCAAGTCCGCACTCCGCCCAACTTCAGCTCCTGGACCCGCGACGTGTATGGTTATGAGCACTTCATAGTGAGCGAGAACTACGTCAAGCTTAACGAACGTGTCAACGTCCAAGGTAACCACGCCAACGTGATTCGCAAGGTCGGCTCGGACAGCATTGTCCTGCTGAAGAACAATGGCGCGCTGCCCCTGACCCATGACGAGAAGTTTGTTGCCATTCTGGGCGAGGACGCTGGATCCAACCCCTATGGTGCCAATGGCTGTAGTGACCGTGGATGCGACGACGGAACTCTGGCTATGGGCTGGGGTAGCGGCACTGCCAACTTCCCCTACTTGATCACCCCAGAGCAGGCCATCCAGAACGAAGTGATCTTCAGCAGCCAGGGCAAGGGCGATGTCTTTTCCGTCACTGACAACTGGGCCCTGGATCAGATAGCTGCGACCGCTGCCCAGGCTGATGTCTCCCTGGTCTTTGTGAACGCCGATTCCGGCGAGGGCTACATCAATGTCGACGGCAACGAGGGTGACCGCAAGAACATGACCCTGTGGGGGAACGGCGAAGAGGTCATCAAGACTGCCACCGAGAACTGCAACAACGTCGTTGTCATCATGCACACCCCGAACGCCGTTCTGATTGGCGATTGGTATCACAACCCCAACATCACCGCCATTCTCTGGGCTGGCCTTCCCGGTCAGGAGAGTGGCCGTAGTCTGGTTGATGTCCTGTATGGCCGCGTCAACCCTGGTGGCAAGACTCCGTTCACCTGGGGCAAGACTCGCGAGGCTTATGGTCCTCCCATCCTCACTCAGCCCAACAACGGCGAGGGCGCTCCTCAGGACGACTTCACCAACGGTGTCTACATTGACTACCGCCACTTCGACAAGTATGATTACCAGCCCATCTACGAGTTTGGTTACGGTCTGAGCTACTCCTCCTTCTCCTTCTCGGATCTGGAGGTCACTGCTCTGCACGGCGGCAAGTACAGTCCCACCACCGGCATGACCAAGAAGGCTCCTGTCCTTGGCAAAATCGGTCAGGCTTCGGACTACTTGTTCCCAAAGAGCATCAAGCGCATCACCCAGTACCTGTACCCGTACCTCAACTCCACCAACCTCCGCGAGTCGTCCGGCGATCCGGACTACGGCATGCCGAGCAAGGACTACATCCCCGCCGGTGCCACCGACGGCTCTCCTCAGGAACTGCTTCCTGCCAGCGGCCCCTCGGGCGGCAATCCAGGTCTCTTCGAGGACCTCTTCCGCATCACAGCGACCATCACCAACACCGGCAAGGTTGCCGGCGACGAGGTTCCCCAGCTGTACATCTCTCTCGGCGGCGAGGACGACCCTGTCCGCCAGCTGCGTGCGTTTGACCGCGTCTCTCTCCAGCCCGGTCACAAGGTCGAGTGGTCGACCACCCTCAACCGCCGCGATCTCTCCAACTGGGACACGGAGTCCCAGAACTGGGTCATTAGCAAGGCGACCAAGAAGGTGTACGTTGGCAACTCATCGCGCAAGCTGCCCCTGTCTGCTACTTTGCCTAGGGTCCAGTAGGCGATTTTCTTTATTGTTAGCCCACGAGAGATTAGCATGCTAGTCACTTTTTCTTCTTAATGTTGTACAGACAGCATTATTGCATTGCATATAGTTTTAATGGCATGCCTTCTCACCTGTTGCATTTGATACCAAAATCTCTCTAGCTGTCTAGGTACTTTGTAATTTTAGAATTCCGTGGGAAGCGTCACACTATGCGATGATGTGATCGATATCCGATACCCGACGACGCTAAACCCAGATCGAGACACTTTTACTTCTATTCCTTTTATTTCCCACCTCTACACACCACTCAACTACTCCGAAATTCAAAATGCAAGCCATCCGTCTACATCCAGCACCCTCCCTCTCAACCCGTTACTCCCCCGCCAACCCCGCGCCTTCCAGCGCCCTCCACCTCGACCGGGGTGTCCCAATCCCCAAACCCTCCCAACCAGGCGACGTCTTAGTCCGCGTGAAAGCAACAACCGTGATTCGGGACATGTTAACATGGCCCGAAACCTACCACCGAACCTACCATATCTTAGGCCACGATTTTGCCGGTGTAGTTGCGGATATCTTTTCCGGCGCTGATGATGATGGTGATGACTCGTCTACCACTACAGCCCCGAACCTCAAAGTAGGCGACGAAGTCTTCGGGATGTCGCATGCAAACCGCGCCTCGGCTTGGGCGGAGTACGTGCTTGTTACTGTGGATGAAGTGGTCCGCAAACCAAGCTGCTTAGCCTGGGAGGACGCTGCTGCGTTGCCGCTTAGTGCGCAGACGGCATACGAGGCATTGTTTGTCCATGCGGGGTTGACGCCTCTTTTTACTCAAGAGAAGAGAGATTCTACGAAGCGGGTCCTCATCACCGGTGCGGCGGGGAGCGTGGGCGTTTACCTCGTGCAACTGGCTGCGGCTGCAGGTCAGTACGTCGTAGCAGCGACGAGCTCCAATGCCCGGAATGCAGAGTTTCTGCGCGAGCTATGTGCGAACGAAATGATTGAATATAGCGCGTTTATGGAAATGAAGAAGCAGAGCTTTGATATTATTATTGATTGTGTTGGTGGGGACGTTCTGGCTGGGTGCTGGGAATTTGTTGTGTCCGGCGGGTCGCTGATCACGGTTGATTCGTCGAGTTTTGATTTCGTGGAGGAGAATCGAAAGCGTGGGGCTAGCAGGGAGGATATAAAGACCTTGTTCTTTATTATTGAGGGGAGTGCTACAGCCTTGCGGACTCTGTCTGGTCTGGTGGAGAGGGGTGCGTTGCGGTCTTTTGTTGCGAGGAGTTTTCCGCTGGAGAAAATCCAAGAGGCTTATGATTATGCTAATGGGAGGTATGACGGTCGGGGGAAGATTGTGCTTACAGTTTAATGATTCTGCTGCCGCGAGGGCAGTAGAGGCTGGGTGGTTAAGGGATTTGATGAGATGAGTGGAGCTGAAGCTGTGCTCTGAGAAGCAGCCGTAGTATCCTCACCATAACCTGTCCGGAGACTATTAATATCTGTACCCGCCTCTAGTTAATTAGTGCCTGCAATGTTCTGCCCTCCTTTTTTAGACGGGGTGATGCTGCCAGAAGAGGAATGATTCTAAACGGGTTTGGATCTACGTAAGGCTGGCTCTCTGGAGCAACCAAAAGCAATTTACTTGGATACTGCCAGTAGAGGGATTATTCCTACTCTGACCCAGATCCGCATAGGGCTGGTTCCTTTTAGGGACCATGGATTGTAAAAAGAGGTCGTGTGGGATCGTGTCATTGCTTGGGAAGAATAAACTCCAATATCCAATAATGTAGGGTAGTATACGGCCCCTATGTGGAAGCGCCTCTACGAGAACCGCTGATCTTCTACCCTCTAGTCTAGAACAGGGATTGTTCCCAATCTGGTTTGGATTTTCGTAAGGCTGGCTCTATGCAAAAGGGGTCAAGGCGTTTGACCTAAAGGAATAAGCTCGAATACCCATATGCCAAGCTCGGTTCCTGGTGGGTTGTGCAAAGCGTTCGCGAGGAAATGTTAGCGCCTGCTTTCTTGCAGGATAAATGCATCAAAGATCACATAGCATGGCTGGTGTTTGCTGACATGTACTTGACCCAGTGGCTGTACTGCTGGCTATGACCTCGACCTAAGTTGATGTGTTGATCCCGGCCGGCAGCGGATTTGGGTCCAAAACCTCAAGCGGCAGCTCGGTTTCGGGACAGCACATCATTGGACAGTCCAAACCTAGGACCCCACTGAACAGCCTCAATTTGTATACTAGACAATGGAGCTTGTCAACAAGAATAGCACACGTTGATTTAGAAAGGGCATAAAAGGGTCTCTCTGTCCTGAGCGAAAATTTCATCTTCTCTTGCAAGCGACAACTTCAAGTCTTAGACACTTTCGTCTCTCCACGACCAAACCCATCGTGATTAATCCATGTCAAAGTCACACCCGCCCACCATGTCCAAGTCGCAAACCGAAGGTCTCGAGCTGGCCGAATTGGTTTTCTACGTCATTGCGATTCTACCAGCTACCTACTGTTTGATCAAGCACGGGAGACCCGGAATCCTGGGCTGGCTCAACGTACTGATTATGTGTTCTCTTCGCATTGCAAGCAATGCGATGGCCTATCACGACCTGACCACCACTGGCAACCCCAACAAAGCAGCCTCCATCATTTCCGGAATTGGTCTTTCTCCTCTGCTTCTGGCAGCACTGTGTCTACTCAATGAGGCGTATGTGATTACTTGCGCTGTCCCCAGACTTGAAAAGCCTAACAGGACAATAGCAACACTTCTATCCGAGACCACCTCCCCGCAATCATCAAGAGCTATGGTTACATTCTAGCACATTGGGTTATCATTGCGGGAGTTGGCTTGGCAGCCGCGTCGGCCAACGGAAAACTCATTCTGCTGCGCATTGGACTAATTATTTTTGGGACTGGCTGGATGATTGTTGCTATCTTCGCTTATATCTCATTCCGGGTGCCCATGAGCTCCCAGCGCACTGATGGCGAGAAAAAGGTAAAAGAACCATTTTTGCTCTAGGCTTGTTCGGTGGCTAACTACAAGAAATAGCTACTCATCGCTATCATGGCCGCCCTTCCCCTTATCGGTGTCCGGATCCTCTATGGCATTGCAATTGCATTCGTTGATGGAAACATGCTGGGCGGAAGCCTGCCTGTCCGAGTTGTTTTTGGAACTTTGCCTGAGTTCCTGGTCATGCTTGCCTATGTAGCTGTTGGTATTGTTACTCGAAATGTGGCCAAACAGCGCCTGGAAGGATCCAAGCAAGCAATGGGGAATCCCGGACTTGCTTCTTCATAAATATCTTGTTCTTTCGATCGGTCGAGATGTGGTTTCATTTTCTGGGAGGCTTTTTAAGACCCACGACTTTGATGTGACTGGCGAATATGGATCACGTAGATGGTATCGATCAATGTCAAAATTGACTACTGTATTATACGCCAGAGCAGGGACAAACCCTCATGTGCATATGGATCTTCTTACAATCGCTTAAATAACGGCCAGCATCATCAGACAGTGGATGCGGGAGATGGAGGTGAACAGGTCACCGGCAAAGGAATTTCATAGCAGCGTGTCTCAGGTGATGCCGAAATGAGCCGCAAAGGCCAAGACATTGCCCACTTCCACTCAATGGGCAGAATACTGTCGATACCGTGCACCTCTCGACCCGGAGTGCCTTTGAGCCACCACATATCCTCCGAGGTTTTCGCCATGGCAAAAAGATACGCCAGAATCACCAGGGCCCGTGGCCGCCTCTCAGAGGCAAGATGCATAAACTGACTTGGTACCATTGGTGGGAAACCATTCAAGATCCTGCGGATCACGGAATCCGGTTGCTCCCCACTGACAGCAAGGAACATCATTTCCAAATAACCAACGCTCCGACTGTAAGCCTCGCTAGTTTCATTGCACCATTCTTCTTCTTCACGGCGGTAATGAAGCAAAAACTGAAACGGTTTGGTGGGGAGATCATGGAAAGTACAATTGGGGTCCTTATTCCAGATGCTAGGCTGTGCGAAGAAAAGGGGACAAAGGGACGACTTGGAGTTAAGTAGAGTCCAATAGACCGATTGCAGGATCACCCGCACGCCGCGAGCCACTGACAGCCACAGGATCGGCGGCTCATAAGGTCCGGTTGAGGGTTCCGTGCGGAGAAACATTGTATAAAGAGAGATAAGAATGGCATTAATACAGACAGATTCGACTTCTGGACCGGTAACATGGCTTGTCAGGGCGCGGTGCCGCTGTAGAGAAGAGTCGATATAGCCATGATGTACAGGACGTAGCTTATTTGCTTCGCCTGGGACCATGGTGGAGCGGTGTGCGGCTCCAATAGCGAGCAGCGTATGCAATAGCGGCAGGTACTCAAACGCCATCTGCGGGACCGTCATACTCCACATGGCGCCAACCGAGGGCAGCTGGGCAGAGCTCATGGTTTGCGCTGTTTGAGTTGTGTAGTGGTGCATCAAGCGCAGATCCATGATCCGCAGTGCTCCCATGTCTGGGGACCCCAGTCCGGATGTAGGGCCAGGTTGTGAACTTCTCTGGGAGGTGGCTTTGGATATCTGACTCGGTACATAGGCGCGCGTTGCTAGTGACAGATATTCACATGAAACCCCATGCCGTTTGCAGTGGCTGCATTTTGGCTGTTGTTCATCGCACTATACGATTGGGTTAGCAGGGGACATGACGATCAACAAAAGGAAGCATATAGTTACCTTGACTTTGCGGGCCTTGCATCGTTGGCAGCCTTTGGTGGACTTGCGGTGGCTCAGGCGTGGTGGCATGATTGATGAGCCTCACAGATCCGTGCACTTCTGTAACGCTCGGTCTCGGGATTCTCTAGGAATACGAGGCAGACAGTGGAGAGGATTTAAAGTCCTTCATAACACCAACCCAACAAGGCTCAGAACAAATCAGAATCCCCGCCCGGTATGGCTCATGCCTGGTTTAGGGAAACGCAGAGGAGGTTGGGGGCTAGCAAAGTACCAAGCAGTCAAGTTCCGCCGACTCAATGCCGAAATAGCGCCCCACCCGCTTTAACGCCCTGAAAGAGAATGACATGTAGGCAAAAGGGCGCGAGGCTGAGTGAGTTATTAATTAACTAGTCCATGGAGATTACACCGCCGGTCCTCAAAATCATTCGACTTTTTAGTAACGAATGGTGAAATGGCGCAATGACCCGAGACAGGTAAGCTCCGAAAGATTTTCCCCATTGATAACTCTGCTATAGAGCTATGTCAAGTGTGATAAGATGTTATGCCCGACTAATAGAGATCGTAAATAATTTGTGGGGAAGGCGTCTCTTCTCGCTACGCTCCAACCGGCTCCGTTTCCGTTTCAGGCACGGGGAGAGAACCAAAAGGGATCGCTGATTGCCTTGTAATCGTCAGTGGGCCCCATCAGCCAGCTTGTCGTGAGGTTATGGATTGATGAACATCACCAATTAGAGCCCGACGAAAGAAAGATGTATATTGTCCTCGCCTCTCAACTTTAGTTACGAAGACGGGTGATAATCATTGAAAAGTAAGTGTGCATCTTATCCAAACAATAGAAGTGAGCTAGATAATGTAATTGATCCTCATACCATTGGGACCACAGTCTGAAGAACCAGTTGGCCATCAACAAATCTTGAAAACATATTCCAGGAAATTCTTTCTAAGATTCTTCCCACGGAATTCCCTCCGGTTTCTAATTCGATCTTCGAATGGCCCTGATTCACTCTTTTCGATACCATGGACATATTCCAAGAGTGTCAATAAACTTGAGGTCCTCTAGCACTCCCGACGTGCGTTTGTACTATCCAAGCCAAGCTTTCCCAATGGTCGCCTCGATGCGGGTATAAAAGACAGTTGTTAGGCAATAATTGAGTATATTCAAATCTAAAGCTGTTGCCACCAGTATTAGGAGTTATCCTCATTCTCTTGCCCATTCATCTATCAATTTCGCGACATGATATTTTGTGGTCCAGCCCAAATCCGCTTCAATTTGGGACAGAATTTCGAGAACGGCATCCTGTTCGTGTCGATCCTCGAACACCTGGCCAGCAACAAACAAAGCTTGAACAGAGTTGATCCGAACCGAATCTGTCGGACTCGCAAGACTGATACCGCAGATTTCTCTGGCGTGGTGCGCGGCCTCTTTCAAAGCATGTCGATAAGACCTTAGCCGCGCAGACACCGTTGACCGAATTGCCGTAGATTCTTGTGGTCTGTTAACTAATAACAGTATCATTGCTTGGTGATAGCTTTGTATTGTCGCAGCGCATAAAGGCAGGTCGAACCAAATCTGCTCGAAGCTGTCTAGACTCGATGCTCGAGTTCGCGCAGTTACAGTAAAGGCCGATGGAAGACAATCGTGCCAAGTCTCCAACTCGGTCATCAGCATGTTCCACCGATCTGTGAGATATTCCTGAGTCAACCCAATTTGCGGTCGCTGCCCGCGAGGAAGAACATAGTCCTCAGGGACTAAGGAATCTCCGGCAGTGAGGTGATTGGCGATTTTACCAAGAAGCCACGTGAGTTCATTGGCTTTTATGACTTCTTCATTCTCTCCAGTATTACCCATGTCCATAGAGCTTAGGGGGGTTAATGGTAGAAGAACGCCATGCTCGTCTGTCGCTAGACCTGCATTCTGCCAGAAACGCACATCCTTCAGGTCAAGACGCGTCTGAGTTTCGCTTATAACTAGCTAAGTTAGCCAATCTTGTACGTCTATGAGAGAGATTTTTGAAGCTCACAGGCACATAGCAAATCCTGTCTTGCCAGGCTCCAGAATACCGGGCCTTTGACTGCTGTCCTCGGAATGATAACTGGTGACTGGGCTGGTGTGGACTCCGATACATCATTGAAGAGAGGCAAAACACTTAAATGAGCTCTCCACGCCGTGCCAGGGGCATCCATCAATTCGTAGGTGCATAGTATGGCTACAGCGGCGAGCATCTCTTCCTTTTCGCCGGGGTTGTCAATATACGTCCCCAAGTCGATCGCTGTCTTCAAAAAGCAAAGGGCCTGGTCGTAATACTTTGCCGCTTGATAATGCCAGATATTCTTGCGTATCAAAGAAAGAGCATGGCTGTTGCGCTTTTTGGTTTCGTTCGCAATATTATATAGATGCCACAGGTGCTTTGCGGCAAGAGCACATACTGCAGATTTCAATAATGGCTTCGATGCTGCAATTACAGGAACCTTTGATGAGAAGTATGCCGTGGTATCAAAAAGATCCATCCTTAGGAAAGCAAAGTTAGCCACCAGATACGTACGAAAAAAGATTCCCTTTATACTTACCACTGGCCTGGGCCTTCTTTGAAATGTCGCAATAAATGTGAGGCAATCACATTTTGATCTACCTCTGTCTTGTCTCTAGCACTGTAAACCGAGTAGTCTTCATGGTGAGGTGTATCTGGTGTAGATGCATAGTGTGAAGTGGCGGTTTGAGCGGAATCCTCGCCAAGTGCCTTGTAGACAGAAGCATCGCCATTCTGCATGACTGTATTTGTTCCTCGGGTTTCGAATTGGGGACTCTTTTCATCTGCATTTTCATTTGCAATGGCCCCAGTCTCTTGCAGCCTTGTCAAGCTATCTTGTGCGTACGGGTCTTGGACTTGAACAAAAGTCACTGTCACATTTTAGCAAGAGTCAAACACAACTAGATTAATACGCACGCTCATCCGGGACTCTCACCCAGGTATGAGAAGGATGATCTTCTTCAAATAGCGCTGAATCATTCTTTCGTAATTCAGCCTTACGTCTCCGCCTTCGCCTTTCAGGGCCACGGAAGATAGATCCCTCTCCGTAAGTACAATCTCGACAAGCTTTTACACAAGGGCCACAAATCGGCTTCGCCTCATCACATTTCAACTTTCGACCTTTACAAGTCAAACTAGAACAAGGCGTGAGTCATCATTCCGAAGCATGATTTTATTGAAGACCTACCAGCCGAGGTAGGAACGCATTCCTGCCCGAAGAATGTAGATCTTCGGCGGTGGCGGTTTAGTGACAAGGATCTAATCTCTGAGACTAAAGCCTGACACAGATCCAACGTTTCAATAAAGGACGGGAGAAAACGTGCACTGTGTTGGTTGAAGGTAGCGTGTTAACTCGGCTTGTCGTCCAAATGAAGAGTGGGAAAGTCGGCTCGGAAAGATTGCCACATCACTCGGCTCGTTAACTACATTGGACTCGACGCCCCACTTGTTGCTGATCATGGGGTCCCACGCTTAGGGACGTTATCGCAAAGTAAACCAAAGTAGCAATGCCAAAACAGGAATTTCTACTCTTGTGCTCATTCATATACACCCCCATCAATCATAATTCTGCCAGCTCCCATTCAAACAGGCTGTTTTAGTGCATGTTTCAGTTCACTATTGCCTAGTCCATTGTCGCTATCGATCATAACTCGTTGGCATGACTGGCTTGAAAGAGTCTATTTGACTAGAGACTACTACCGAGCAGTATATCCACCATCCACAGGCATACAGACACCGGTCATCCAGCTGGCATCATCACTAGCTAGCACCACCGCCATCTTCGCAATATCATCTGGCATACCAGGCCCATTGAACGGGTGTCGGCGTTTCAAATCATCTAAAGATGTCATGTGTGTGGTAGTCTCCTGGAAAATCGCAGTTTGGGTATCTGTATACAACATCAGCACGATCTCAGTGAATTATTTCCAGATATAAACATACAACCCGGGCAAATGGCATTCACATGAATCCGATGCTGCGCATAGTCCAAGGCCACTTGCCGTGTCAGGCTGCTCACGGCTCCTTTAGAGGCACAGTAAGAGGCTAGCAATATAATTAGCACCATCAAATGACAAGTAACTTAGCCATGCTTACAATTAAATTGACCCCCAATCATGCCCATGATTGATGACATGTTAATAATCCATCCACGGTCTCCCGAGGAATGAGGTTCCTGTTCAAGCATCTGCGTAAGGGCATACTTGCAGCCCAAAAACACGGATTTGGTATTGACCCGCATGGTGATATCCCAAGTCGACTCATCGGTCAAGTGGCAAACAGCCGGAGTGCGAGCTTCAATCGAAATTCCGGCATTGTTCACTAGGCTAGAAGCGCAATGAGGTCAACTGGAATATCTTGGCAGCAGAGGAACCACAAGCTCACATATCCAAACGTCCGTATTCGGCGACCGCTTTTGAAACGAGATTTTTCACTTGTTCCGCATCGCCAACGTCTGTCTGCACAAAGATGGCTTGTCCGCCAGTGTTGGTGATGATGGTGTGCGTGCTCTCAGCTTCTTCGGTCAACCGTGCTATCGGAGTTAAATCTGCACAAACTACCTTGGCCCCCTCACGAGCATAGCGGATGCAGATTGCTCTACCCAGCCCAGATGAGGAGCCGGTGACAATTGCGACTTTATCCTGAAGGCGGAGGGGTGCCATGGTGTTAGGTATAGAACAAAACACGTCTTGAAAATTTGCAGCAGATATAGACAAAGGAATAGACTTCAATAAATAGTCACAGAGAGTCAGCAAAGGGAAACCATGTGTCATGTCCCACGTGCCCGATACTCGGGTGAAACCCTCCATTCGGGTAGTGGAGTATAAACGGCTAATTACCCCTCAGAATCATCAGATATGGCCGCTAGCCTAAACGGGCAAATTATCGGTGAGACCTGCACTTGAGAAGGAGCTGTAGAAGTGGAACTAAGCTGGAAAGCAATACACTATGTGGCGGAGATCGTGGGGATATCCCGGGACAATTGCCATCCTGGATTGCCGTGTAACACACAGGGTATACTTTCCGAGAGTATCTCTTTTCCTTGTGTCCTCATCAGTTGTTTACTCTCAATCCTAGACATATAAGAAGACCTCTCGGAACCCAATATACTTTACAGAACCCCGTTTTCTCGTTCATTGTCTTGTTGATTTTGTCGAACACCATAATGTCTGTCGACACGGATATCATCATAATTGGTGCTGGCATGTCCGGTGTTGGCATGGCCATCCAGCTAGTGCGCAAATTCGGTACAAGAAATTTCGAGATCATTGAGAAAACCTCGGATATTGGAGGCACTTGGTTTGTAAATTCGTACCCGGGGTGTGGATGTGATGTATATTCTGCCTTTTCACTCTGGAGTATTTCGATCAGTCGCTGATACATAACTGCCCAGGTGCCATCGCACTTTTACTCGTATTCTTTCGCACCAAATCCAAATTGGTCGCGAAAGTATTCACTGCAGCCAGAAATTCATCAATACTTTATCTCGGTTGCAAATCAATACGAGATCCGTCCGCATGTGCAATTTCACTCTACAGTCAAGTCGGCCGAATATGAGCCACAAACTGCAACTTGGAAAGTAATCATCGAGGATCAGAGGAAATTTCTAATACAGAAACGCTGCAAGATCTTGATTTCAGCAGTCGGTGCTCTCTCAATTCCCAAACAATGTGATATACCTGGCGCCGAGAGTTTCAAGGGCCATTTGTTCCATTCCGCGAAATGGGACCATAGCTTCGACTACAAGAACAAGGAAGTTATCTGCATTGGTATTGATACTTCATAATCAGAATCAAACTGTCCTCTGCTGACAAAGTCTAGGAAATGGTTGTAGTGCAACTCAATTTGTGCCTGTTATGAGCAAAAGCGTGAAGAAAATAACTCAATTCAGTCGTCAAGCACACTGGCTGAGCGAGAGGCCCAATCCTGAATACTCTCGTGGGTTTCAATGTCTGCTCCGTTGGGTTCCTGGAGTTCAGCGAGCATATCGAGCCTATCTCTATGCCCTGCAGGAGAAGGACTTTGCTGGGTTTGATCTGGAAACTGGCGAGAAGTTGCGCACTGACTGGACTACTGTGACTGCGGGTTACATTGCCCAGAATGCACCTGAAAAATATCGAGACTTTTTGGTTCCCAAAACAGTCATTGGATGCAAGCGGAGGGTTATGGATACTGATTACCTTGCCTGTCTGCATCGTGACAATGTTGAGCTCGTTTACGAGGATCCGATTGAACATATTACCGAGGACGGAGTGACAACCAAATCTGGTCGAGCAGTGCATGCAGATGCCATTGTACTTGCCAATGGCTTCGAGACCCAGCTGCCTTTGTTTCCAATGGAGATCCGAGGACAAAACGGACAGGACATTGCGAATCATGTAAGTAATCCACTGGCAGTGTTGCTAATGACCCTAGCTAACCCTAGTAGTGGATGGAATTCGGGAATGGCTCTCCAGAGGCCTATTTTGGCACTTGTTTCTCTGGGTTCCCCAACTTCTTTGTCTTGATGGGACCCAACACACTTTCTGGTCATCTTTCCGTGATGTACACCACTGAATGCCAGATTGGATTCATTCTGCGGATCATCCAACCCATTCTGGAGGGAATAAATCGACCTCTGGGCTCCGATTATCCCGAATCGGTGGCTGTTACTGCTCCTGCTGAGCGCAGAGATGTCGAAATGGTCGACCGAAAAGCGAAAAAGCTTGTCTGGGCCAGCGGCTGTACCTCTTGGTTTATCGATCCGAAGAGTGGCCGCAATACCGTTATGTGGCCCGACTGGCAATTTAAATTCTGGTTGCGCGCTATTTTTGTGCCATGGACAGACTTTGTGTACCGAACCGCTGGACAAAAGCAATGGCGACGGCCGGGGTGGATGGCTCAGGTTCTCAAGTCACGCACTACCATGGTGTTAATGGTGCTGGGAGGGTGTCTGGGGTGGCAGTATTTGGGGAAATCAGATTTGCCCTCGAGGATGAAGGATGTATGGAAATTCCTCCGAGCTTGAAGCTGTGTTGTGTTGTGTTTCTGTTCTATAGATCGAGAATCATATGCCTCGGCTGCACAGACCAGCTGATGTCATCCCTTTCAGTCTTCTTCCAAGACTTTGGAACTCTCCCCGACTTGTTATTCTGAATACCTTCGATGTTTTTTCGTACTGCTTTCGCGGTCAAAGCCCAGTCGATTTAATTGGCATTCTAGCCCTCAGAGGCTGTCTCGGTCGGCTGACTCCCTCTTCCCACTTCGCCATCATGGCCACCACGTCCACGGCCACGTCTTCTCAACCTGCCACCCTCTCCCCGGCAATCCTTCTTGTCTACCCAGCGACCTTACTGCTTGGGTCGCTGTTCTCTGTGATTTCACCAACAGCACGCTCCTCAAGATCCCAAAACGCACAACCCTCGGCGCCTCTTGCCCCCTCCCTCGCAGCCGACCTGCACCTGTCCCAAAGCCCCGTCAACTACTTTGCCCGAAAGAACAATGTCTTCAATCTCTATTTCGTCAAGATCGGCTGGCTATGGACAACCGTAGCCTTTGCATCTCTGCTACTTTTCCAGTCCGTATACAGCTCTGGCCCATCTCGTCAGTCGTCCCTCCAACAACAAACACGGCTCCGCCGGTCACTTCAAACTTTTCTCCGTTGGACCCTCGCCACGACAGTATGGTACCTGACCACACAGTGGTTTTTTGGTCCGGCCATCATCGATCGTGGATTCGTGATCACGGGCGGGAAGTGTGAACAAGCTCTGGAACAGGTGGAAAGGGCGAGTACACAGGTTAGCGCCTCGGCCGAACTGGAGACTTTGCTCACGGCTGCCGCATGCAAGACTGCTGGTGGAGCATGGCAAGGGGGACACGATATCAGTGGTCATGTGCTGATGCTGGTACTGACTACGGCAATCTTGACTTTCGAAGCGGTCGGAATTGGCGCTTTTCCTTCGTTTCTGCGCACCACACGACCGGCAGCTGACAGCGCTCGCGAGCGAAAACCCAGTGATCCTGAAATTCCATCGGCAGGAGACTTGAGTAGCTCGTCAGACCTAGTGAGAACGTGGGTTTCTCGTTTTGTTTGTGGCATCGTGCTTTTGGGTTGGTGGATGCTCTTTATGACCTCTATTTGGTTCCATACGTGGTTGGAGAAGGTATGTCATGGCAACAACATTTTCTGGTTGCAATCACCCCTCAAGATAACATGGCTGACCGTTGCATTTTCTAGTGGTCCGGCTTGTTCATTGCTTTAAGCGCAGTTTATGTCATTTACATACTTCCGAGGAAGCTTGCATCGTGGAGAGATGTGGTCGGGATCCCAGGAGTATGAGTATACAGTCTTTTGCATTTTTAAGAGCGGTGTTTTCGGCCCATGCAGATACCACACGCTGTATATTGTTCATAGATTCAGTCGTTTCGGAATATGAAAGCACTGTGCTGAACTTGCTAGCATAGAAGAGTTGGAATATTTTCTCTTAACTGAACTGATCATTTGGCCTCGATCGACTTCGGCTCTTCTCCCAAATATCCGTTACGGAAAGCTAGGAATCGTCAACATGGAGTTAACTCCAGCGGTTCGCATTGGTTTGACTCACCTCCTGGGATCAAGGCCGACGCATACATTACCCGGGTGATCGGTCGCAGATCCTCTGGTGTCAGGCCAGCCGAGATGGAAAGCTCCATATATGGATCCCACGCAGCGATGATGGCGTCTGCGTACACTTTCAGATCGACTGCGCGATCTTTCTCCGTGGTCTGAAGTGACTGGCACTGGATACCCATACATGTACCAAACTCTCGAAAAGCCAAGCGGAACTTAATGTTGCGCTCGAGATAGCGGTTGATCTCGAATAGATTGTCTGCAGACGGACCGATCAGTTGAAGATCTGCAAAGTAAAGATGAATGGGGAAAGCAACAGATTTGTTCAAAGCATCGCCCTGCAAGATTCGCCGCCCAGGTCTCCTTCTCGGAGAACCAATGCGCCGTCCACAGGGTCATCCCCAAGTCTAACGGATCGCTGGAAACAAAATGCTTTCCTTTGCGATCCATCACGCGCTTATAATCAGCGATCTCCTCCGTCAAGACTTCGCCGTCACCAGCTTCCATGGCAGCCGCCTGCAGCAGTCGGAACACGACATAGCCGTCGATTGGGTCCAAATTCCCCTCTGATGACACTAGTGGCGCTGACAAGTCCATTGCCATCTTCCAGACCATGCGCGGCCGTGCTGCCGCTCGGTCTACGAAGAAGCGTGGGTGGATTGCTTTCGCGAGGGCGACAGCTTGCCGGTTGAATGTCGGGTCACCGGAGGCCATTGACATACGGTTCAGCGCGAACATCCAGATTGTCAGGTAATGATGATATTGTCCATCGCCGTCCGGTCCGTGCTCGTCTGTCTTTCCAATGCGTAATCCGCCACCCATGGGATTGTTATCTGTAGCTCCCGGCAGCCGCCTTTTACCATCGCGTGTACGACCCAATACATCATGTACCGTCTCAACCAGCCGTCGTGCTAGGATGAGATACCTGTCATCGCCAGCTTCATCTCCACCCGCGCGGGTGTACTCCCTATGCATTGTCAATAGATTGATCACCCCGTACGCGTCCGTCCACAGATATCGTCCGCGATGGCCGCCAGACCTCAAAGGTGGCGACCAGTGCTCTGGATCTGATGTGCTAGAGAAGCTGCCGTAGAGTGATTCCATGGCTTGCCCGAAGCGATCCAAGCGCGGAGAAGGACTACTGATTGGAAGAGCCATGTCGGCGGACTTGGTGAAGAAAGCTCGGATATAGATGTGCGTAATGGGTAGTGTCTGCCCAACAAAGTGTTTTAATGAACACTGCTTAAAGAGCTGCATTTGCAATTGCAAATCTCCATGCTTAGCGGTTAGAAGTACCTGCCAAAGACACACCTGAAGTCATGATGACTGTGCGCTGACTCGGCGGTGATCTCATCAGCCGTTGCCGCTGGAAATGGTTCTTCCAACAACACATTTCTGCGGATGATAACAATATGGCAGCATACATTTCTCGTTTTTCCATAGTAATATTGGATCTTTCAATATATGCGTCTCGCATCTTTTCGCCGGATACCAACGTCCATGGCACAACTACAGCAACTGTTCAATAACGCGGTGCAACCCCTGCCGGCGATCAAAGACCAAAGCTTCGGATCTCGCTTTGACAGCTATGCAGACAGGCAAGTAGTTCTTCTGGGCGATGGTAGCCATGGCACGTCAGAATTTTATTCTGCACGAGCAGAGATCACTAAACGATTGATCGAGCGACATGGTTACATGATGGTTGCAGTCGAAGCCGACTGGCCCGATGCAGAGGCTATCGATCGGTACGTGAGGATGCGTCCAGGTCCCAAGGCACAGATTGGAGGTGTGGCCAATGGGTATGAGCCATTCAAGCGGTTTCCCACCTGGATGTGGCGCAACCGCGAGATGCAGGACCTGGTTGAGTGGATGCGTGATCGGAATCAGACCTTGCCCCCGGAGCGGCGCGCCGGATTCTACGGTCTCGACCTGTATAGCATGGGCGCGTCCATTCGGGCCATCATCGACTACTTGGACAGGGTAGACCCGAAGGCAGGCAAAGAAGCACGACGACGCTACGGGTGTTTGGAACCCTGGGTGGATGATCCAACGACTTATGGTCTGGCCTCGCTTCGAGGAATGGAGACCTGCGAGAGCCAGGTGATGGAGATGTTGCGCGATCTGTTAAATCGACGGCTGGAATACGCGCAGCATGATGTGCGTGATGGCGAGGAAGCCCACAGCGTTGAACAGAACGCGTACCTTGTACGAGACGCAGAGGAGTACTATAAGGCGATGTACTACAGTTCTGCGAGCTCGTGGACATTGCGCGACACGCACATGTTTGACACTCTGTACCGGTTGCTGGAGCACCGCCCGCCCCCGGTGAACAAGGCCATCGTATGGGCGCATAACTCGCACGTCGGTGATGCCCGCTACACGAGCATGGGCATCCGACGCAACGAAGTGAACATCGGCCAGCTCTGCCGCGAGCGGCTGGGTCGTGATAACGTCGCCATTCTCGGGTGTGGCACCCACACGGGCACCGTTGCCGCAGCTCACGAGTGGGGCGATGACATGGAGGTTATGGCCGTGAATCCCTCCCGAGATGACAGCTGGGAGATAGTCGCTCATGACTCGGGGATCCCAAGCTTTCTGCTCGATCTCCGTCGAGACCGCATGGATCCCGCTCTGCGCGCGGCCTTGGATGCAGAAAATCGCCTCGAGCGATTCATCGGCGTCATCTACCGTCCGGACACTGAGCGCATCTCGCACTATTCGCTCTCTTATCTTCATAACCAGTTCGATGGCTATATTTGGTTTGATCGTACCCAGGCCGTCCAGCCGTTGGAGGTCCTTCAGCCGGCGACTCCTCTGGGAACGGGCGAGACGTATCCATTTGGACTATAGATTATAGGGTGAAATTGGTGTTAGTTTCACCCTGTTTTAACTTTTCGGTCTCTAGAACTTCGGAAATAGAAATGCTTCTCGGAGGTCTCGGTATATGGCGTTGAATAGACTTTGTTCTCATTCGCTCACCATTAACTGACCTCACCTCCTTTTACTCGCTGCATGGATCTCGGGGCTCTCTAAACTATCTTGGCCCCTACTAAGCAATTGTGAAAATAACCTTGTGGCCTTCGTGAATGATCCTTCGTTCTTCCTTCCTCATCTACTCGATAAGTTTCATATACACTATTGTTAGCAAGTACTGCACCCAACAGTTATCTTGCTATGGGCCCTGCTCTACAGAGTCTGATGGACGCCAAGAAGAATCCAGCGGAGTAATAAATAATGTTTCTGCAGTGAGCAAGGGCTGCTTCAGTCAGGTGCCTTTCTTGCTAACTCTGCCTGAGGCACCAACGGTGTGAGACAGTGGAGTCAAAACACTAACGTAACCGCGTTTGTTGTTTACAGTTTCCCTCGATCGCCAAAACAACAACACAACTCCCTCGTCCCCCCGTCCACCCTTCACCGTTTTCTTCAAACTCTTCAAACTCCTTGAAAACTTCGCATCTGCTTCGACTACTCATTGACCTCTTGGACCATGGCGGTGCGCCGTTCCGCCCGCCTGCGCAGCACCAGCGCTGAGGCATCTGAGCATCTCGAGGTGAGCATGATGAATGTCCCAGCAACGCCCCTTGAAGGGCTTCACAACCAATTTGGTGTGAACTAACGGTGACTCCTTGCCTCAGACCCATGATTCTGTTTCCCATCCGGACACTGTTGCCCGGCTGCCCTCGGTCATGGAAGGCGAGGAAGCCGGGGGAATGCAATCTCCTCATTTTCGAACGCCCAAAGCCAAAAACGCACACGCCCAGAACACCCCGAAGACATCTGCTCGCAAACAACCTATCGAGACCAAGACACCTACTAGCGCAAAAATCCCTCGCCCGTCACTGGAGGAAATGCATCCGAGCAAGGCGCAACAGAGTACGTCCAAACAAGCGGACTCGGGACTCGTTTTGGGCTTCAATCCCATCAAGAAAGACGTCAATGGCAACTTTGTGAAGGACAGCGTTGCCGACAACACTCCAACCAAGTCAAAGGCCTCTCCCGCTTCCAGTCATTTTGGAACTCCGGGGTACGAGTTCAAGTTCTCCTGCCAAGAGGCCCAGCTCAGCGATGAGGCCAAGCGCCTAATGGACAGCGTCCGTGAGGATGTTGCACGGATCAAGTCGCAGATGGTCCAGGACAGATCAAAGCAGGATCAGAATGCTGAGAAACAACTCCATGGAGATCGGAAGATCGCAATGCCCAAAGGCAAAGCTGGTCGGTTCAGCGATGTGCACATGGCCGAGTTCAAGAGGATGGACTCTATTGCTGGACACCCTTCGTCCTTCCGGGCCACTCCTGGTCGCTTCCAACCTGTGACCCAGTCTCTGAAACGGACCAAGTCCAAGGCCCAGCTGGATGAGCCGGACCCTCAGAACTCGTCTCCTTCGCGCCCTACGGTCAAACCTACGAGCGCACCTACGCCTGTTGTGACAGCTAAACGCATCAAACACAATACATCTGACGATGCCACGACCGTCCGCTCTATGATTGAAAAGATCGAGGCGCCTCCGAAGCCGGCCCCTCCACGCATTCGCCCAGCCGTTCGCAGTTCCCTCTTGACGCCAACTCGATCTTCTATTGCGCGCTCTGCCAGTGTCAAGGCTCCCAAGACCTCCTTGATTCCCTCCCTCCAGCGCTCTCCCTCTACCAAAAATGTGTCAACTCCCCGAACCCCGAGGACCGAGTTCAATCCACGACTCAAAAGCAACCTGCCGAGCCTGGGTAACCTCAAATCCATTCTCCGTCGTCACCAGCCCCTGTTCTCCCGCGATCCATCCAAGATTGCGGCCGGCACTCACGTCGCTGCTCCTAATTGTGACCCTGACACCCTTATGGAAGGAACTGAGGGCCCAGCTACAGCTGGACCTACTCCCTCGCCCAAGAAGCACGTCGAATTCACCCCAAGTGTCAAGTCTCGCCATGAATTGACTCAGGCTTCGCCTTCTCCCTCCAAGGTGCCCTCCAAACTGCCGCGCTCCACCTCGTCAAATGTGCTCTACCCGACTCTGCCAATGCTGACCCCGGAGGAAAGCTCTACGGCCAAGTCCTTCCCGGCTGAATCTCCAACCATTCGCCAGGTGCGCAAGTCTGACACGTGTGCACAGCCCTCCTACCCCGAGCTTCCGGTGGTGACCCATGGCATTGCTCACGGCATTGGCAACAAGAAGCGGCACCGAGAAGATGATGACGACGACGATGATACTCCGAACGCCGAGGATGCTGAAAACGTACCGCCAACGGATGAACAGTCGGATGAACGCAGCGCGAAGCGGGTTAAAGCCAACCCGCCCACCCCTAGCCCGGCCAAGACTCGCGCCATCAAGACCCCAGTGCGGTCCACCCCGGGGCGCATGGGTACTCCTGCCAGTGCGAAATCCCGCAGCGTTCTCAGTTTGAGTCGGCTGAACATGCTTGCTAAGCCGAAGGGCCGAACTTAGTCAAGCGAATGATTTGATGGGGCCTACTACGCCTGGCGCGTAGGGCTTTGACTCCACAAACCTGCATCTTTATCGATCACAGTCGACTTTTTTTTTCAATTCAACCGTGTCTTCTTGTTTTGCTTCTTCAATTTATCGTCGTCCGCAGTTGGTCATTCTGCTGTGGTGACAAACGCCAGACCTTTCTTGCGTGTATCTTGAACATCTTTTTTCGGGCTTCTTGTTTGTGATTCCTTTTTTCGATCATTTTTCATGCTTTCAAATTTCTACTTGGCTTCCTTCAAAAGGAAGTCCCTGGCGTCTGGCATGCATCTATGGATGGTTCGGGTGAGATCCAATCGCGGCGCAAGCATGGGTCTCGGTTTTTCTATGTCTATCTGTGTGTGTGTTAATCGAGACATCCTGTCTTCTGTTTGATCGAAACAGATTTCTTTTCGTGCGGTTGGGCTAGTTACCGATGTTGTCTGTTTATGAAATAATGACACTTGAAATGCCTTCTTTCAACCTTGATCCTGTATGATGCTACGTCTTCGTATCCAAGTTTCGTTTCCATGACGGTAAACCGCAGACAACTACCAGATGGAAGTAGGTGGAAGAGTGAAGCGATGGCATGAAGCTTTTCGTTCTTTGTCTATGTACATACAAGATGATCATCCATCGTGGAGGAGGTTGCAAAACCAAGGTTGAAAAAACAAGGGTGGAAGGCTAGAAATACAAGGGGGTGTCGGGTCATCGAAGGGCAGAAATCCAAGTTTGGTACAACAAAGCAATGCAAAACCTGCAGAAAACCCACTCCCGGCCCGTGCGCTGAAAAAAAAATTAGGCAAGATAGAAATAATTAGGTCTAGAGTGCGGAGGATGGATGATTCCGAGAGCGAAGGGGATGCGGCGGTGGGAGGCGTAAGGCGTGACATGAAGATTTTCGTTTCAGGAGGGGAAGGAAGACGGTGATATGGTGACATGGAAGTGGAGTGATGGAAGCCGTGGTTGGTCGAGAAGGAAGAAGGCGGTTGGGTGGGTGAGGTGGAAAGAAGAAAGACAAGAGAAGGCATCTTCATCCTCACTTCATCGAAGCCAAGAAGGAGTCCAGGTTATATTCTTCCTGGTACTGGCGATCATCCCACAGCTCGCCGAGATCATCCAGCCAGCCCTTCTTGCCCTTCTCCTTGACTTCGCCGTCGATATCAACCATGTCGACCTCGTTGCCGGCCTGGTCGCCCGGTTTCTCAGCCGTTTCGGCCGTTTCGCTGAGATTGAAGAGGTCCAAGAGCTGGTCTGTGTCCATTGTGCCGAGGCCGGCATTTTGTTGATTGACCACCGTGGAGGCGACGTCGATCTTGAATCGTTGGAGGCTGGAGAAGAGAACAGCAATTAGTATGTTTGTAATATAGTAGGATGGATGTAGACGGGATCAAAGCAGAGCACTTACTTCAAGATCTTCTCCTCCAATGTACCTCTCGTGATCAAGCGATAGACATTAACGACCTTCTTCTGGCCGATACGATGCGCGCGGTCCATGGCCTGGATATCCTTCTGCGGGTTCCAGTCGTGCTCCACGAAGATGACGGTGTCTGCTCCCGTGAGGTTAAGACCCAGTCCACCGACGCTGGTGGTGAGGAGCAGAACGTCGTAGCTAGGGTCGGTGTTGAAGCGGTTGACGATGTCCTGGCGCTTGGTGGCCTCGACGCCGCCATCCAGGCGGAGGTATTGTACAGACGGGAGGAGCTTCTTGAGCACATCATTCTGCACGATGTCCAGCATCTCCTTCATCTGGCAGAAGACAAGGGCCCGATGCGGGCTGACATAGCTGGCTCCTGTGTCCAGTTCCCCCTCGGCAGTGTGATCGAGGCCAATCCCGCAGTCGATCAGAAGATCGCGGAGCGCCGAGAGTTTAGGAGCATGCGACACGTCGCGGATGTTGGACTTCTTGGCCGTCAGGAATTTCTGGACTTCGTCGTACTGCTTGTGGCCATCCTTGACCACCAGGGCAGGCGAGTTGCACAGACGACGCATGTACTGTAAGGCTTGGAAGATATGTTCTTTGTCGGAGCGTTCCGAGCTGCCCACTTTGTCCGCCAACTCCTTCTGCTCCTTCTTGGTGAAGTCCTCGAAGAGTTTCTTCTGGAGCTCACTCGGGTCACAGTAGTAGTTCTGGATGATCTTAGGCGGAAGATCGTTCAAGACCTCCTCCTTGAGGCGACGAAGCAGGAACGGCAAAACTTGTTTATGCAGTGCTTCAATCGCCAGGGCACCGGCCTCCTGTTCTTTCGATGAGGACTTGCTGAAACGACTTGCGGCAATGGGTTTGGCGAATCGGTCGAGGAACACCTTCTCCGTGCCTAAGAACCCAGGCATCAGGAAATCAAGGAGAGACCACAACTCCAGGACATTGTTCTGAATCGGTGTGCCCGAGAG